GGACCCTGATCACACAAAAACATTTTATTTCCTTTCCCCCGTTTCCGCCGTGCTCCGCCGAAGTTTACTTTGTGCGTTTAGAGGATAAACACGATGATAGTAAATTGAGTGTTTATCTCTTTCTCTTAATTGCTTACTTTCCCTTCAATGTATTTTTCACTTATATTTCATTTACATTTACAACTACTTACACTTCGAACTAATTAATTCTTCCGCCGCTTCGCGGCCCATTCGCTTTCTGATTTCAAAATCGAGTTAACATATTTTTTTATATACACAAGTCCAAAAAACAAAACTATACAAAGCGGGCAGGGTTACAAGAAGATTACAAGAAGAAGGCCGGAAGGCCGATGTCCGATGTCCGAAACTACCCTACTCTGCCCTCTCCCTCTCCTTCTCCTTCCCTTTGTCCGACCGGGCCTTCTTCGGCGCCGGTTCGTCGTTCTCCTCTTCTTCTCCCTCCAACTCCACTTCTTCCCCCTCCTTCTCCATCTCCCCTTCAATCTCCTTTTCTTCCTCCTCATCACTGTCTACTACCCTCCTTCTCTTCTTCGAAGGTGCCGATGGCCCGGCCTCCGGCAATTCAGGGGGCGTCTTCCTTCTCCTGTTGGCATCCGTCACTAACCACTCCAACTTCCGGACCATGTGGCGATGGTATGTATTCGCCTTGATCTGACCGTCTCGGAGTTGACGGTTGTCGGCGAGCAACTGAGCCATCTGGCTCTCAAGGACGGCTATCCGCTCGCCAAGCGGATTTCCTCCCCCCTCTCGCTTCACCGTCGAGGGCCGCCCGGAATACGAGCATCGTACCTTTGCGTCGTGGCAGGGTTTGCAAATGATAGAGCTCCTCTTACCAGCCTGCATCTGGCAAGAGATCTTTTTGCTCCTGCATCGTTCGCAGGGAGCTCTATCGTCTTCGTCATCGTCATCGTCGTCCCCGTCGCCGCCGTCATCGGGGTCCCCACCAACAGGCTACAAACAAGGAAATTAGTACGGGATTAACGTCTAAGGGTTCGTTACTCACCTGGGCCTTGTTTTTGCCTTTGCCTTTGTCCTTTCGAATTTCTACCACCGGCCGTTGTGGGGAAACCGAACTTTCTCCGGGCGAAGACCCACGTCGACTACGGGCGGTAGCTGCCTCCGCCATCTTCCGCCGGCGTTCCTCCAACTCTCGCGCTGCTGCTTCCTTCCTCCTCTGAGCCTCCTCTGCGGCTTTCCTGACCGCCTCCTCCTCGGCCTTCTTCTTAGCCGCCGCCGCCGCTTTCCGTGCCTTCATCCGGCGGACCTTCTCCTCCGCCCGCCGGATAGCTTCGTCGTCGTCTTCTTCCACGTCATCGTCGTCGTCTTCTCCAGGCTCGTTGGGAACGGTGAGGCCAATGGGTGGAGGAGGAGCCGGTCGCGACCTCGAAGGTCCGGCGGTAGAAGATTTGTTGCTAGTAGTGGTAATGGTGCGGCTGGTCGACATGCTGGTGGACTTAGGATTTTTGGAAAAGTTAGGGCCTTAGCGGCAAAACCCTGGGCCTTTTATAGGACAAAAAACTGCGCACGGACCAGCGAAAATTTTCCTTCGAGTTGTATGGGGTGTACGGTGAACCGAAAATTTTCACTGATGACTAACGCCAATTCCCGGTACTAACGGCTTTTGAAAATTTTCCTGCTGACTGAAGGGCCAAATCCCCGATCCTGACGGCCTTTAAAATTTTTCCTTGGTGACTAACCAACTACCGGTATTAATGGCTTTCGAGGGCTCAAGCCTAAGAGGGGGATACTGTCAAGTCCATGCCGCGGGCCTCCATTCCGCCGTTCGGGATTCCAAAGATCTGCTCCTTATTGTTATCTCACTCTTATTGTTCTTTCTCGCTACACATACCCTTTCGTTCTAGTCCCTTCTTATTGTCTTTTACTCTACCCTGCAGGTACTACTCGTATAGCTCCTAGTAGTTATTCTGGCGCTCCGCACCGCTGCGCCGATCCGTAGATATAAATACTGCCTGTACGCTACTGTAGTTCCTCAGTTTAATTATCAACTTAGATCAACTTAGATCTCCCTTCTCAACTTAACTCTTCTCTAAGTCTTCAGGCTCAACGCCTCGAAGTACGTTCTCCTCGTCCTTAGGACTTTAACGTTCTCTGGTCCGCTCCTCGTCACCGGCGATACCGCCGCTCCGACCTGGCTGCTACTTAGCTCCTCTCTCTCTACTCTCGCTCTCCGGGGACTAACGGCGTAACGGCGGTGTTGTTAATAACTTCACTACTGTCCCATTCGTCTTCCGCACTTAGACACCCTGTGGCCTTGGCACGGTTACACGGTGTACATGATCTTAACACATCGCGATATGTAAATTATTCGATGGGTCCTCATTCGGTAGTAAGAACCGTCCCCGTAATATGCATAAACGTTGAATTACGTCCGCAACAGAAAATTGAACTGGATCTGGATGTATTTCGACCGTTCGAGGGGTCATGATGAATGTAAATCCATGTTCGAGCATCGCACCCACAGACAGTAAGTTCACCGGAGCATCGGGGGCATACAAACAGTCGTGCATTTCTGTAAGACCTGGGTCAAAATAGGTCTTAGGGTAGGTTTGGTATATGAAGTTTTATGTTGTAGTGTGCTAGGAGCAGGCTGGAGCTCGAAGGGAGCTACGAGAACCGCGACCGAGGACGGGAATGACCTAGTAGTGCCTGGAACGACGAGATGATGACCCTTGAGGGGGTTCCTAGGAGGTCCAGGGAGGTCCCTAAGGCATAGGGAGGTTAAGGAAGAGTGCGGGACCGTACGGTATTGCGTAGTAGGAGTTGTACTCGCTAGAACGTCAATATAGGATCGAGTAGGTCGTATATGCAACTGGGTCTCGAGAGTGTAAGCTCCCGAGAAGGGATATACCAGGGAGGGTAGGTCCCTGGGGGCTGAGCTTGAGGATGGACGTCCTCGAGTGTGGGAGGTGGTAACGGAGAAGCAATACGTAGTTCGACGTGAGGGGTAGCTTCGACGTTACCTAGATCGAGGTCCCGAAGCTTACGAAGTAGCTAGGGAGCTCTGGGAGGTTTGGGGAAGGGTAGTTCACCAAAGCGGGTAGGCGTTGGGGAGCTTTAGTAATGTTCGAGGGAGCTCGGAGACTCACTCGGAAGGCTTAGACTTGAAGTGAAAGCGTATATTCGATCATATAGACGATCAGAGAGACAATAGACAGAAGTAGAGAGAAACAGAGGTAGAGAAACAGAGAGTAAAGAGAAATCCGTATGGTTAGCAGGTACAAAGGGACAGGGACTGGACCTATGCAAAAGGGTGTGTGTTCAAAATATACCAAGCTGGGGCTTCAGGACATTGCGGCGTTACTTAAATAGGTACGGGAAGTGAACAAGAGAACATCTGGAGGCATGAGGTAGCTAATCGGAGGGAGGGAGGTAATCGAGATTAATACTTAAAGGGGTTATCGGCTAGAGGGCTTTCGTACGCGTTTCGGGGTGAAGGACGTTTGGGTAGCTGCGTCAGAAATACTTGGGGAGGTGTCTGGTGGTACTTGGGGAGGTGCAGAGGACATACAGGAGGTGGGTAGGACGTATGGCAACGTGTGGTGGATACTGGGACTGGTCTGGTTGTAGCCAGGGCATGACAATTTCCAAAAGTAGTTTGTTGTCTGATCCCTCGATTCGCATCTCAAAGTAGCATGTTCCCGAAGCTTTAGTTGATAAAATACCCGAGTTAGCTGTCTGTACTGCGAAAGCTCCATCTTCATCGAATGTGAAGAAGAATCTTTGGTCATTGATGATATGGTTCGTACAAGCAGAGTCCAAAAGCGTCTGAGTCCTTTGGATGATGGATGACAATGCAAGTGGGGTTTCGATGTCGAGGTAGGGTATAGGCGATGGCGAACTAGTGAAAGAAGACAATAATGCCGCAAAAGGTTTAAGACGTCGCGCAGGGTAAGTGGGAACGAACGATTGTATTAGTGGTCGGGATAACATTAGTTACAGGATTTACATTATCCACAGGTTCAATCTTGGAAGTAGTGTTCAAGTGGGAGAAGTAACTGTTGCAACATAAGCAGATGGTTTATTATTCAGTTTTGAAACATTCGGTGAGTCCTTTGGTTTCTGTGGTTCTGGTGGCTTATCTGACGTTCCATTATTTCCGTTACACTGGAAACGGTGATTATATGCTCCACCCCCAGAGTCGGCCAGGTCGAGAAGTTCCCTGTTAGATATAAATACTGCCTGTACGCTACTGTAGTTCCTCAGTTTAATTATCAACTTAGATCTCTCTTCTAACTTAGCTCTTCTCTAAGTCTTCAGGCTCAACGCCTTGGAGTACTCTCTACTATAACCTTAGGACTTAGACGTTCTCTGGTTCGCTCCTCGTCACTGGCGATACCGCCGCTCTGACCTGGCTGCTTCTCAGTTCCTCCCTTCTCTACTCTCGATCTCCGGGGACTAACGGCGTAACGGCGGTGTTGTTAATAACTTCACTACTGTCCCACTCGTCTTCCGCACTTAGACACCTTGTAGCTTTGGCACGGTTACACGGTGTACATGATCTTAACAAAATTCTTCTTCGAGCATGTTAAGATCATGTACACCGTGTAACCGTGCCAAAGCCACAAGGTGTCTAAGTGCGGAAGACGAGTGGGACAGTAGTGAAGTTATTAACAACACTGCCGTTACGCCGTTAGTCCCCGGAGATCGAGAGTAGAGAAGGGATGAACTGAGGAGCAGCCAAGCCGGAGCGGCGGTATCGCCGGTGACGAGGAGCGAACCAGAGAACGTCTAAGTCCTAAGGTTATAGTAGAGAGTACTCCAAGGCGTTGAGCCTGAAGACTTAGAGAAGAGCTAAGTTAGAAGAGAGATCTAAGTTGATAATTAAACTGAGGAACTACAGTAGCGTACAGGCAGTATTTATATCTACGGATCGGCGCATCGGTGCGGAGCGCCAGACTAACTACTAGGAGCTATACGAGTAGTACCTGCAGGGTAAAGTAAAAGACAATAAGAAGGGACTAGAATGAAAGGGTATGTGTAGCGAGAAAGAACAATAAGAGTAAGATTACAATAAGAAGTAGATCTTCGGAATACCGAGCGGCGGAATGGAGGCCCGAGGCATGGACTTGACAGAGCATTTGTTTGAGATAGACATAGCGTGGACCCGAAGGTAATTTCGATATGTATTTTGAAAGCAGAGTATCCCATGGAATATTGTATCCATAGTTGCATAATGTGGTAAGCGTGGAACTCCATTTGAGATTGAATTTTTCGATGTCCATGCCGTGGATTTGGGAATTGAGAAGTTCATCCTGAATACGTAGACATGCCTTCCTATCAGGAGCAGCTTGATATGCCGCTTTAAGTCTGAGATATATTTGTCGTGCGGTACGTCGTTCGCCACGGTCATTGATCATAGGAGGAAGATGGTTTCGTGCTTTATCCGACAAACGGGCAGTCAGAATCGAAGAAGTCCATTCATCATTTTTATCCCATTTGAGACGAGCCTCAAGTTCCTTCCGTGTTGGTTGAGACGAAAGATTAGGTCGAACTAAGGGTGTATTCCATTCGGTCCAAGGAGTCCCAGGAGATGGGTCATCACATATGTGGCCTAGAACGAAGCCATCTGCAACTGCCTGCCATACACCTTCATTCCATTTCACCCATGATTTTTGGTCTTTCAGAGAATCGGCATCCTTAATTGTTGCGAGAAACGTCGCATGGATAGAGGAGTATTCGATTTTGAATTTGGGAGTCTCCGAACGTGGTTGTTCGGGAGGTGGTTGAAAACTCTGGTATACAGGGTATGGAGTGTAGTAGAAAGGGTAGTGGTGGTCCGGCGGTGCTCGGATTGGTGGTTGAACCCATTGTTGCGGTGATATGTTAGACTGATTAGGGGACGTATGATGGTATTCCTGCGGGAATTCGGACATAATCGCCGGTGCACTCTGTATTTCAGGAAGGATTTGGGCCGATGCAGAGATATGGTCGAGGTTTACAACACGGTGAGGTCGCGGTTGATGCATTATGCAAGATGGTGTTCGTTCAGCTAGATTATCCATTCGTGATCCAACTCGAGACGGAAGGCGTACAGATGCCGGCGGGACCGAGACAGGTGATCGTCCAAAGCTTATAGGTAAAAATGGAGGAGAATGCAGTGGAGTGTATGATTCAGGAATGAAAGATGATGGTTCAGGTGCAGAAGGTAGAGGACGACGATAATTAAACATACTCGGATTGGTAAAGGTATGAGTCAAGTTGTGAAAAGTAGGTACGATACGATTTTGCCAAGTTTCGGAAACGGAATGAGGGAATGTTGGTACAGAGGGAAAAGAAGAGAGAGATTGAACATTGTTATGATGAAGTGGAGAAGTGTTAGGATGAGGAGAAGAATGAACCGAATGAGGAGGAGAAAAATTCGAGATCATTTGTCCCGGTCCCGGATCCATCGGTGACGTGGCATGAGAATGTGGACGCATATATGCGGGTGAATGTTGGACGGGACGAACTGGCATAGAGACCGGTGTTTGGTAAGGGAACGTTTGGGTCCGAGGTGGATTGCGGTGAACTGGTGCCGTGAGATCCATTCAGGATCCCAGATCGTCAGTATTCATGCACGGCAACAAATATTGTTTCCGTAGATTGATGATCTCGTCAAGCAATAAGGAACACGACAGGCAAGAGAAAGATTGTTGAGCTGTTGGCTGTATATAGCCACGAAATTGGTTCTATTCGTTGATCGTATATAAAAAGAATCCTAGGGAAAACCCATAACCTCTTGGATGTCAATCCTATACGAAGAACAAAAGAGCCTGAGTTGTAGAACCAGTGAGGATCTAAACAGCTCGGATTATACCTATATGAAGAACAAAAGAGCTAAACAGCTATTAGTATCTACAGTGTAGGTATAATGAAGAAGAAAATGGACTTACCCTCAGTTGTAGAACCAGTGAGGATCTAAACAGCTGAGGGAAAGGAACGTGCGAAATACGATGTAAATAGTGTGAAGTCACGTGTAAACGAAATGAGTCGGCCTGAGAAAGGAAAGTATAAAGTACTTCCAACAGGGCCCTGCCGTTCACCGGCACTACTTCGTTATACTTGTCTATATCGGTCAAGATCTGGTGGATAAGGCCAACTTCCCCCCTACGAAAACAGACAAAACATTTTTGTAAGGAGCCTTACCTAAAGGTTCGGCAATTATCTTATCTTTGTCTTATCTAACATTTTATCAATCCACATGTAAGCGGAAGAGGTGATGGAGATTCAGATCGGGTACACGATTCTCACGACCCCCCCCCAATGAATAGAGAGTCCAGGCAGGGTCTATTTGTAGAACTGTCTCAAACGCCCTTCAAGCTCACATATACCTTCCAGACTGTACCTAAGTAGTTGGATATCATCAATAAGTGACACAAACACAGGTATTCGAAGATTTCGAACAAGTTTTATGGCCTCTCGAACCGTCATAGGATGCCGTGCAGCTCGGCTAGGGCTTGGTCAGGGCCTTTCGCGTGGCAACATAAGTACCCCCGATCTGAATCTCCCTCACCTCTTGTGTAAGCGCTATTTTGAGAACGTTTTCGGCGCGAGCCGTGCTCCGACCTGGGCTTCCGAGCCAAGTGCCTCATGTTTATATACCTCCACGACAAGTACACGAGGCAACTCTGCAGTCTTTGTGACTGTTATGTCGAACTCTATCTCAAGTAACATTACTATCTTTTCCCTGCAGGTGCAGTTGTAAAATCATCTTCCAACATTATTGCTTCGCCCATTGAACTCAAGCGAAATCAATGACTGCCTTGTATTCCCCTTCACATAATGGTCAGTTCAAAACAGCCTCGATGCGCCTTCAAAAAAAGATGCTAAATGATTTCCTAATCCATACATACATAAATTAGCTTCGCAGGATAGCCGATCAGGACCTTTGATATTCGAACCCGTAATACCCCAGGGTTCTCCTCGTTCTTCTGTTTTCGAAAATGGTGAGTGGATGCGATAGTTATGGATCAGACTCGTCTCAAATCACCAATCTGTCAAAGGAGTTCGCAGCGTTAGCCGCGCGTCTTTGCGCTCAAGGTCTCGATCCCCTGTAGCTCCCCCACCTCTTCCTCCTCCGCATTCCGCCCCCGTCATACCTAATACACCTAATTCGCCTCTCAGTTCCCCTCGGCTTTCCGTGAACGAAGGTATGGTTGCATCTGACTCGTACTATTGTACGTACTATAAACTCTTTTAACAATAAACGTCTTCTAGCCCGCCGCCTCAGTGCAAGTGCATCACCTCGTGCATTATCACCCGTCACTCCTGGGTCCCCCTCTGAAAACTTTCTTCATCCCGGATACCAACCAGCATTCATGTCATCACGATCGCGATCAGCCACCCCGGAAATATTCATACCACCTCTCGAGTCGTCAGATCCTACACCAGCGCCACCTACTACTGATCCCATACCAGTACAAGAACAGCCAGCGTATGCTGCCGCGCCTTTTTGGGGACAACCTTATAGTGGTGTCTCTTATCCGTATTTCAACTACTATCCGCCACAACCTTATCCGTACCATTCTACTCCCTACGTCGCGCCAGGTGTCGACATGTGGCCGCCACCGCCCATCAGCACACCATATGCTATGCCCCAATTCCCCCAGACTCTTGCGGCCTATGAGTATCCGACACCATTTAATATCTCCACGGCACATAACACGCCTTTTCCCAGCACTCCGATGTTTGCCATGGGACCCTCTACACCTTGGATCCCTACGACTCCATGGACAGTTGGGTCTCCTGCCGTTCGTGTCAACCCCAGGCTGGCTCCCGGGGGTCTTCGTTGGGATTTACTCCATCATCCCGACCAAGCACGTTATATCAACGACTTTGGTGCTCTCAAGGCACCCAAGTTCTCTGACAATGCGCTAACTATGGCGCCGCAGAGTAGCGGCGGTCCTCGTATGAAGGTTTCGAAAGTCGAGATCACTTCTTCATCTCATGCTGTACTCAATTATTGGATGTCAATCTGGGGCCCTATACCCTTACCGCATCATAAAGTGTTCGATGTCCTGTCAGCGGTATACAACTACCTTGCACAGCCGCTTACAGCCCAGGAGACGAAGCTGCTCTTAGATACACCTCAGAATGTCGGACATGCGCTCAGGGCCAAGGAGGCCCGCGCGAACGATAGCTGGGCTTTGGCATGTGTTATACTTCAGGAGGAGGGGTATCGAAGGATAGATGTGATTGGGGTTCACCGAGGGTTCGGTGGTATTTCTGTGGAGAAAATCACACCGACGGGTTTGCCTGCTGCTGCTGCTGAAGGGAACGATGAACCTGAGCAGGAAGCTGAGGTAGAACTTACGATAGCGCTCTCTCCGCTTCCGGGCGATGCGGATGAGAATTGGATGTAGTAGTGCAGGATGAACGATGATGATTTCAGGTTGAGGCTTTCGAACTGGTAGTATGAATCCTGTTTTGCTCCTGTTCATGCCTATTGTGTTTTTTTACCCCACAGGTTTATCTTAAATACATTTACTTGCTCATATAAATCGACTTTACTGGTAATTCAGAGATTTCTAACCCCCTCGCCCAATTTTGGGCTTTCGGGTATGGTCTTGCCTCAATCGCGGTCTGAGTTACTATTAGGTTCGTCTTCAAAACAATCTCTTCTGGGTTTTGCTGCCAGGGTGGCGTTACCGTCGTAGCTAAAACTAGAAGATTCATGATACAGAGTTATACAAAGATCAAACAGGAGCGGCCTGGGTGTGTAGTCGAGCCATTATCTGCTGTTTGAGAATGATACACGCCTCGAGGAGTAGAGTAGAGGAAAGGCTTGAAGACCTTGTTAATGAGAATTTTTGCCACCTCGTCTTTATATAGATGCGCACACTTGGCCTTCCAAAAAATTAGTTTGGCCACGGCATATTTGACTTGCAGCTTTTGCAATGATTAATTGATTCTTTTGTTCCAATTCCTTCAACTAGTTCTATCCAAGCCTATCTGGATACTAGAGGGAGGTGTCACAGCATGCGCAGCTGCTGTTCTAATCTAGCATGTTTCAATGAGCGCCGAGCCTTCGCGAACTTGGTGCATTTATTCTTGGAAACCAGCCGCCGTGTTTATGATCATCATTCTCTTTACAAAGGAGAGTCCAAGAGAGTAACTGCCAGGAGCCATTGTTTATCATGATATTGTACAACAAACGATATACACATATTCTGCATATTCTTTTTATTTTGTCTTTCTTTTTTGATGACTTGACGCGAAAGCGAACCGCGAATCCACAATTGACACTGTCACTGGGCCGTTCGAAGTTCTCAGTTTATCACGACGCCGCCGTTTGGATGAATCTACATTTCAAGAAGTGAGAATGATGTAGGAAGGAAAAGAAGAACGAATCAAGCATAAGAATCAAGAACAAAGAACAAATGGAGAAGTACGGAAAATACTATTTCTTACCATATTGCCAGAGATATAGCTTGAGTCTTCACTAGCCAGAAAAACGCAACACGTAGCAACTTCGACGGGCTGACCAGCTCTACCCATGGGAACTCCTCCGCCAGAGCTGAACTCTTCAACATTGGATTTCGAAAACGTTGATGGAACAAGTGGTGTCCAGATGGGTCCTGGGCAAATGGCTAGGAGGATTAGATATTGTTCAAGTCAAAATGAGTAACGGCGGATGTCAGGTTATATATGAACAAGGACAACACACCATTAACACGTATACCTTTTTCACCAACAACTTGGTTACTCAAACCTCTGGTGAAGCTCACAACAGCGCCCTTGGTCGACGTGTAATCGAGTAAATCGTCACGACCCACAAACGCGTTGATACTAGCCATATTCATGATACTACCCCCGCGAGGCATGTAGGGTAATGCAGCTTTGGTAATGTGGAAATACGAATGAATGTTCAACGCGAATGTGTCTTCCCATTGGGACGCCGTGAGCCCTGCCATTTGGGTATCGGCGTTTTCGAGTTGTTGGGCAGCGTTATTCACGAGAATGTCAAGTTGATTGGAAAAGCGAGAGAGGTGAGATTAGATAGCGTTGATACAGTTGGATTCGTTACGTAGATCTGCGGATACGAGGTGGATAGTTCTGGTGTTGTTGGTTTTTTGACGGCTATGGACGAGAAATTCAATGATGATGAAGATGCGGGTCTGTGCTCGAGGAACTTCACTTACATATAGTTCCTGGTATCCTCTGCGTCCTTCTCCTCGCCATCTTTGAATACAATGGTCATATCTGCGCCTTCCAACGCGAATAAGATTGCTGTTGCGCGACCAATTCCACTATCACCACCGCTGATCCACGCAACCTTTCCTTCAAGTTTCCCACTTCCTTTGTATAGTTTACCGTTAGCATACACGTCGTCTACAGGTTTTAAGTCATCAGGAAACCGATATTGTTTTCCTGGACGTTCTCCGGGTTGATTCTGAGCATCGACTTGACCTTTAGCTTTATCGGTTTCTTGAGAGTCAGGCGAGGCAGCAAGATATTTAACAAATATTTCTGCTGGGTATTGTGAGTCAGAGGGCATGATTGAATGAATTAGTAGAGAAAACGAACCGAGCTGCAGAGAACTAAGGATGATGACGTCATCCGACTCGCGTAAAATTAATTGTTCCGTTTTTGGAAATTCATTGACCATTCTCGGCCCGCTTATGGATTTGTTCCCCAGCGTTATGTTTCAACCCGGTTTCAGCTTAATTTTTGACTGCCACAATTTATCCTGGCCTTCCTAACTTGCTCTCTCTTGACTAAGCCTATCCTCTACATTGCAATAGCAGTCCAGATTTAGCGCTACATCTTATCAGCATATGCTCAGACATGCATACACCGTTAACACCTACACATCAGAATGGCCATGGACATCGCCATCATTCACCAGCTCGTCCAAATGGCAAACATTCTCATAGCGATCCTCCAACCCATGGCTTGCGAGCTCAACTCCATAACCTCTTGCCACGTCATTCTCTCTTCCACGCTCACATTCATATTCATCAAATCTCCAGCGTGCCTTTAGTTCACGGTGAATTTGCTGCACGTTGGAAATTCAAAAATGTTCAATCTCAGACCGGACTGCTGAAACGAGTCAAGGGAAAGCGTAGAGGAAGTCAGAAGGACGAAAAGGGAAAAGCCAAGGAGGTGGTGGATGAGGGTGATGATAGCTTTGGCAGTGGGGAAGCAGCCGCTGATCGTCATTCTTCATCTTCCAACTCCATTGTCGATGACCAAAATGTCAATATTCCAGCTGTGGTTGTTTCAGGATATATGTCGCCTACGGCTGCTCAGCCCAAGTCACCTTATCAGGAGCTACTAAATCCTCCGCGCGCCGACTTTTCACGAACCTCTTCTGCCTTAACATCTTCGTCTGCATCATATTCCCATTCCGGCTCTTCCGCGAATCTTCCGCAGAGCTTGAGTATAACCCCTATCACGAGCAACAGCGCTCCTCCAACCCCTAGCACCGCCGGTGTAGAAAGCTACTCGAATACCCGCGGTATGACTCCGTTTTACAAACTCAAGGACCATGCTGTCGTATGGGACCATGATCTTGATGTTATAATCAAGATGGATATTGACCGCGAAACATCTGAGCTTTTGCCGAACGAGTTCAAACTTGTTGTCATGCAGCGAGTCATCCCCGGCGACCCGGATGCACCGAGAAATCCCCGTCTTGGTGCGCTCTATCTGGATCTCAGTGAGTATGCTGGTGTAGGCAAAGAGGTGACGAGAACTTATCTTCTAAGGGATACTAAGATGAACGCTACAGTGAAAGTGTGTATGTCTTTTATCGTCACTTCAGCCCTTCTGAAATTATAATCACACAGCTCACAATTTATCTCGAGCACTCCGGTGGCGATACTAACTACATTGCCCCACTTCTACCCAAAGCCGAAATATTCAATGGAGTAGCAGATCTTCTGGATGACGACGTTTACATTACTCGACCTCGTGCGCTCGACCTTTGGGGTCCTTATCACAACCAACAAGAGTTGGAAATGGATTTACTCGGAGGTACGAGTATCCCTGAACTCCAGAGCGCCGCAGCTGAGAAGTCGAGGTCGAAATCTCGGGTCAGAGCCCGTTCCAAGTCCCGGTTAACGCACACTCGAATACCCAGTAATGGCAAAAATTCCATGATATCTGCTGAAGACATGAACAGCGACGCAGACTTCTACATCGACGAAGATGATTCTGATATCGAGGAATCAAGATACGAAGTCCCGTTCGATGTCTCTCGTCTTCCATTGGCTTACGGACCAAAGACCACGGAAATGCTTATCGAAGCGATTTTCAACCCCGTTCGCGTTACGCATCATGATTTGAAGGGCAACCCGTTCACATACTATGTCTCTCCCGAAGAGGTGAGGGAAGAACAGGCAAGGAAGCTTGAACGACTGCGAGACAAGGATAGGACTGTGCGCGCGCCTTACCTAGGGAATGAGTCCCCTTCACTGTATAGCGCCGACGATAACAGCAGTCACAGTGGGTATACGGAAAATAGCGAGGTTGGTAGAGGACGAAGTGGTATGAGAGGATGGTGGTCATCAAAGAAGAAAACGCCTGCTGCTGTGTCCTCGACACCAACGGGGTCGTCGCGACCTGGGACACCTGGGACACCGGTCGCAGTGCGTTAGTAATGCACCACCACAAGCCGTGTCTTGGCAAAGCCCCGGACAAAACCAACTATCCTTATCGGTTTTTATCCATTTCTTATATTTTAATGCAAATGCTTGCTGTCCGCCCATCTTTCACTATCTTTCACTGTACTATGCTTTTTGTACTACATATGCCTTTTACGACTTGTTCATGCCATACATACACATGCCTACAAATTCTTGCTTAATTTCTCGAAATTTCCGCTTTTCATTCGTCTGTCGTCAATGCTGATACACAATCATATTCTATCCTACAGTCCTACCTACAGTCTATAATTTATCCCCACATACATGTCTTTGGGTTCTTCTACTTGGGAATTTTTACTTATTCAAAGTTATAGATCGATTATCTCTAGTAGTCACTAGTGTTATGTTTTAGTATATTTTTTATTGTCCGTGAATACAATTCCGAGTTGTTTGCGAGAGAGGTCGACGTCGGACGACCTTCAAGGTTCAGAACATTTAACTTCAAGGCTCCAAATCTTCGTACGTTGTTAGTTTACTTGGAGATTCGGTTGAACTCAAAAGTGTGACAGGATGCACCCATGTATATTCATAATGCGACACACAGACGACATAGGAACATAGGACATGCTCATGAATACAGTATATGACCCTAAGCAGAGATCGTAACTTCGACTTCGACACCAGGCTCCAGACTGATACTAGTCTATTGAGGAGAATTTAGCATGCGTTTCTAATTAACTAGAGAAGGTACTGACAATTTGCTTGACGATCTCGCTGGAGGAATGCAGGTCAATCAGACGTTTGTGGACCTTGAGCTCGTACCGATCCCAAGTCTTGGAACCTTCACCACAAGGCTGAATGAGGTTGGGAAAGACAATCAATATCGTAGGACGCATCTCAGGCGAATGAGAAAAAACGACGCACAGTTTTACGGGTGGTAATCTTGAGCACCTTGGTAGGGAGACGAACGGGTCCTTTGACACGGAGCTGTTTGTCCTTGGCTCTGTTGATGAGATCCGTAGAGACTATAGCGTAGCGGATACTCAATCCGGAGGCCGTTGAACAATCTATGAATTTTACTCACACTTCTCGAGGCTCTTAACGTTGCTACTCGTCAAGGTGATCCTGATTTTGTGGATTTTGGCGGCAGCCACTGGGGCTCCGGTAGCATCGTATTCTTTTTCTCCTTTGGCGACGTAACTCATTGTTGGGGGAGTCAGAAGGTGACTAAAATAAGGGGACAAGATGTCAGTGACATTGTTCTCTCGTAGGGCGGGAAAGAATGCTCACCCAAAGTTTCTTGTTGTTGAAGATGCGGGGATGTGTACGCTGAATTTTTTTTGTGGACAATCAGAAATTAAGGTTCGTGATTGGATAATCAAGTCTCACGGTGCCACGAGCCCCTGCCCGGATTGCCGAATTGACTTAGTGGCAATTTACCTTTCAAAGAGTTTACCACCAGGCAGAATGGTGGGGACTCGTCGGACGAGCAAATTTCCTTCCACTACAGAGGATGAAGGTGGACCAAGTACCACCGAAGACTCCCATAACTCCTCCTTCATTGTCCCCATTCCAGAGGATTTCGACATCGAAGCCTTCACCAGCCTCATTCCCAACTTTGACATTCATTCACCGTCTCCAGAATCTCTTGTAAATCTTTACCAACTTCTGCTAGAGCAGTCGGGTGCTGTTGATGCTGCACAGCGCGATGTAGATGAGCTGCGGGCAGAATCAGAGCGGAAAGATGTCGAGCTTGATCAGGCTCTTCAGGACCGCGAGCAATCCTCGAAGGATTTGGAGCAGCAAGTTGAGCGGCTCCAGGAGGAGCTGACACAGGTCAAGCAGGAGAGAGACCATCTTTGTGTGTTGAATTTGCCTTTTCTTTATTTCAATTGGCTAATGCATTCTCTCATTGTTCCAGTGGCATCCCAAAACGAGCTGCAAACACGTATCACAGGTCTTGCTTCGTCGCAAACTACTTCTTCTCGGGAGGCGGAAGAACTTAAACATCGTCTGGAAGACGCAGAACGTGAGAAGCGGGATCTCATCAATGTTATAAGTCGTTTGAAGCAGGATGGATCCGAACGTGACGGTGAGCTCGGTTTTCTTCCCAATACGTTATACATCACCCTCATCGTGCATTAGACGAAATCAATACCTTGCGCTCGAATCTTAAGGAGGCCCGTGCAGAACATCAAGAGCTAGAATCAAAATTCAGGGAAATTCGTGCAACCGAAACATCCACAAAGGTCTGTCAATATACTGCTTCAGAGTATTCAATGATTGATTTATGTTCTCAGTTCAAACTCGATTCTCTGACGCAACAACTACAACTGGCACAATCCGAAGTCGAGCGCGTCAATGTAGAACTGACAACAAAGTCTGAAGAATATGGCAACTATCGGCGGACAAAACAAGCGGAACTGGTTGCACTTCAAGCCAGTCTCAACGACATGACGCAGAACCATAGCTCTTTACAGGCCAATCTGAAAGCTTTGCAGACATCTCATGCCTCTCAAACTCATCAATTAACACAAGCACTCACAAAAGTACAAGATCTCAATGGTCAAATTGCAGAGCAGGAGGCCACGTACTCTACTGAGACGAATTCTTTGCATCGTCTTGTCGAAGTGTTGGAGGCACGCGAGAAGCAGGCGAAGGACTTTGTCGAGAATATGGAACGGGATTGGGCCGAACTGGGTGAAAGGGCTGATGAGCGTGAGGCTAATCTCAAGGCCGACATTGAGAAGGAAAGGCGGGCCCGCGAGGAAGCAGAGAATAGAATTGAACAGTTGGAGAAGGTATTGGACAAAATGGGACGGGGTGAACTTCCGATTCCAGGCCGCGGTGCTGCTGGAACTCCCTCAAGACGAACCTCGGGTGTATTTGACGAAGTTCACGATGGTTTGGTGGGTCTCAGTCCAACAATTGCGATAGTCAGCAAGACCCAGAAGAGCGGCAAAAGTTTCACGGAAGTTTACGCGGATTACGTTCGGCTTCAGGATCTTTATGAAAAGAAGTGCATAGAGTCCAAAAACATGGAGGCAGCAATGGAAGATGTATTGGCCCAACTTGAAGAACGGGTAAGCGTCGCAGATCGTTATCGACCTATATTTAATGTCATTGTCATAGGCTCCTGTTCTTTCGCAGCAACGAATAGAATACGAACGACTTCAATCAGAAGCGTCGCAGCTTGCGTCCGAACTAGCTCAGGCCATCTCCGACCGCGACGTGCAATATCAAGCTGCGCAGGATAACGCACAAAAACTCCACAAATCGTCACGAGAGATTGATCTTTTGCAGCAACAGCTGGATGACCTTGGGCTCCAGGTTCGAGCACTACTGAAAGAAATTGGGCGTCGTGATGATCCAAATCTCCCGTCAGATGAAGAGCTAGAAAACGTCATCGCAGCGGAAGTCGTCGAGGATGTCATTACCAACAACCTTGTTCTGTTCCGTTCGATCGATGAAGTGCAGCTGCAGAATCAAAGACTTCTTCGAATTGTCCGCGGCATGGGTGAAAAGATGGAAGAGGCTGAGAAAAAACAGAAGGCGAAAATGGAGGCGGAGCAGGCCGAGGCAATCAGGGAGGCTCATGAAACAATGGAGAATCTCGCCGCCGAACTTGACCGACAAAAGAAACACAGCGACAATGTTATCCAGGCCTACGTGAAGGAGAGGGATGCACTTAAAGCGATTATTGCCCGGTCGAATCATAACGAAGGACACACTGGTATCCCAACCGACTCCAGCGAAATCGGTGTCTCAGACGCGTCGTCCAGCGTCGCGAAAGAGTTGGCTGAAATTCAGAGTCAGTTTGATACATATCGAACGGAGATGGGAGTCGACTCGGTGAAACTCAGGGAAGATAACATTGCTGCTCATAGAGAAATCGGACAGTTACAAGCTGCACTCGCCAAAGCGTCCGCTAAGAATGAAAATCAAATCGGTATGGCTTAAATCGTTGTGTCCTGTTTCAACAAGCAGTTGATCAATAGCATTCTGCAGAACGCCTTCGCATGCTTCAAGATCAAATCGGCCTTCAGAACCAGGAGCTGAATGATCTTACCAAGCGGAACCAGCAATTACTCGACCAATGGACTCGTGTTGACGTTGAGTGTGGTCGTGTCACAGAAGATTTGCATGTGACCTCTGGTCGTGTCGAACAACTTCGAAGTGAGTGTGCCAACCTACGCGCAGAGAAGGGTATTTGGGAGGTACGTTTGGTCCATTCCCACGTACGAAAAGTTGTCTTATCGACATTCAGAGTATTCAAAGTCGCCTAGTCGAAGAAAACAAGAGCTTGGCGTTGGAACGTTCTCACCTTTCCGCCTTGATGAGCAATGTTCAAAGGATGCATAGTGAATTAGAGCGATCCGGAGAGAACGACCGTCGTCGTCTAGAAAATCAACTCCAGCTAACCGAGAGCCAGTCGTGAGTTTCCTTCGCCATCAAGCAGGATTGGAAAGTATTCATCGCTTTCCTCATACAGGCAAGAATTGAGAAATCAAGTTACACAAGAACGCGAAGCCGTCAGAAACCTTTCGCTCCAGAAAGATATAGAGGTCAGAGATCTGCAAAATCGCCTCGACAAATCGGTACGTGTTTGAAGTACGACCTTCCAATGGGCGTCTCTCATATTACCGCTCAGACGCAAGAGTTGTCAAAGACTCGTGAAGCTCTAGCTATAGCTGAAACTAGCAAAGTGCACCTTGAGGAACGTGTTGGCGATCTTACCAAGCATATGAAAGGCAACGAAGAGAAGCTTGCAGTCTATGAACGCCGCAGCGGTGCCTACTCCTCCATGGAACAATCCGACCTGACTCGGGAGCAGCAGCTCGAGTCTGAAGTCGCAGGACTACGGTATTTGCAGTCTCCATACCTACCTTATTCAACACTCACTCTTTCTATCAGATCGGCCCTCAAAGTCGCAGAGTTTGACCTCACCCAAGCAAAAGGACATGTACAACAATTCCAGAGTATCAGCGAAGCGAATGAGACTGCCCTGACTGAATTCCAAAGCACTCATGAAGAATACATTGCCTCTACAGACGCACAAATTGCCAAGTCCGAGGTAGGTCGTTTATGGTATATGTAACCTCTCTCCCGTCACTCATACATTCGGTAGTCCGACAGACGAGTCCTTGAGGAAAGATTGCAAATTGTTCAAGCAGAACTTGCGGAATTGACCACGAAACACAACGACCTACAGAAACAATATGAAGATGATCGTGTTGCTTGGTCGAACGACAAGAAGACTCTCGAAGACACCATCGTAGACCTCAGTACCTCTGAAAACGACCGCAACTCCCATGAGAACGATGTTAAACAACAAGAACAACGGGCTAAGGTGATCTATCAAAAATTCTACGATACCGAAAGAACTAATCCTTTCCACTCAAGGTTGCCGAGGAACGTTATTCTAATGAAGTTCTCTCTCATGCGGAATCAATCAAGGCTCTCGATAACTTGAAAAAGCAACTAGCTTCTGTTCAGGCCACTATCAGGGATTACCAAGTTGCTGCCGAAACTGCAACGTCCAAGCTCGCCACCTCAGAAGGCAGCTGGCAGCAACAAAAACAGACGCTTGACAACGAGACGAAAGATCTGCGACAACGGTGAGTAATATCAATTGTTGATCGGTGTAATATCTTCCAATACTTTTCTAGGTGCAACGATCTGACAGAGCAAAACAACGTACTCCACCATCACCTTGAAACGGTCAGCTCTCAAGCAGCACGCATTCGGCAAGCAGCTGAAACAACAACGTCTACGAGCAGTGAAGCCGATGTGAATGATAGCTCCGACGTAAAACTTTCCGAGATGCGCTCTGTAGTTGCTTATCTCCGTAAAGAAAAAGAGATTGTGGACCTTCAGCTTGACCTCAGTAAACAGGAGAACACTCGTCTCAAATCCCAGATCGAGCATTTGTATCAAAATCTCAATGAAACGAGGCAGACTTTATCTGAGGTTTGTGCATCTTGAGTGGAATATGAAATTTTTCTGACAACCTTTAGGAACGAGAGAAAGCTGTAGAAGCTGCGACATCCGGTGCAAAGCACGAAGAACTAATCAAGAGGATCAACCAATTAAACATCTTACGGGAGAGTAATGCAACATTACGAGCAGATGGCGAAGCTCGAGCCAAACGTATTAAGGAATTGGAAACGAAGTTAGACCTTCTTGGAAACCAACTGGAACCTGCAAAAGAGGAGGCCCGTGTCGCTAAAGCTGAGCTTCAGGCCCGAGATACTCAAATCAAAAGGCTTGAAGAGGAGAACCGCAGATGGCAAGGACGCAATCAGCAATTGTTGACCAAGGTTTGCCATCATACCATTGCAGTCCATCGTGAGCTAACTGTCCAATAGTATGACCGTATCGATCCATCTGAGATGCAGGCCCTAAAGGATGAGATTGAGCGTCTCAAAGCCGAGAAGTCTTCATCAGAAAACGTTATCAAAGAACGAGAGGATGAGCTGAATCAGACCAAGTCCCGCGTAATTATTAATTTATTGAATTCTCATGTTCTCGACGAGTTTTCTAACTTTAGAAACAGGTCGAGGCACTTGAGAAAGCACTTGCCACTTACAAGGAAACATATGCGAAAAACATGAATAGCTTCAAATCGAAACTGGGTGAATTGAACGCTGTCAGGTCGAAGCTAACAACTGAGAAAAAGGAGCTCGAGGAAAAGGTTTCTGCTCTAGAAGGACAGACGCGTAATCTTGAGGCTACCCTTGATTCGTTGAAAACTGAAAAGGAATCGTCTGGCTCCGCTTCAGCTCTGCCAGACGGCGCTGCCGATCCGGATGTTGTATGTCTTTCTTCTTAAATGCATCTCCATCCTCTGACTCTAAACTAGGTGGCTTTACGTGCTGAACGCGACCTATTGCTGGCCGAAAAAGCCTCCTGGGCAGCTTCTCAGACTAATTCGGAAACGCTGTCATCTTGGGATACCGAGAAGGCTGCACTCATTGCAGCGCGGGAGCAGGCTGAAACGGCGTTGAAGGTACACCCTTACTTTTGCTACGTGGCTTGCGTTAATCTTAATCTAACAGACTGCCACTGAAAAGGCCGAGTCTGCGTCCAACACCGCCAAGAGCAATAAAGCTGCATTTGCAAGTCTTTTCGTCGCTTTCTGAAGGACTATTTCTAAAGATCATGATAGGAACGTCTTAATCAAAGATTACAGGCTCTCAACAAAGCTCGCGAGGAAGACGCGCACAAAGCCACTGCCGCACTGGAGGCAGCTGTGTCTGCCGCAGTTGCAAAAGTCAAGGACGAGTTGCAAACAAGGGAAATACCTCCAGACGACTTCGTGGCAAAGCATCAGGCCGAACTCAAAGCATTGGAAGTGCGTCTCATTGCTGCACACCAGGAAGAGCTCAAAAATGCTACCGGAAACAAGGGTTCGTCGACCTCCGGGTCTGAGATTGATGTTCAAGCGGCGGTCGCTGCGGCGATCGCTGCACACGACAAGGAGCGGGATGTGAAGATCGCGGAAGAGATATCGGCCGCTGTAGAGAGAGGAAGAATGGAAGCAGCGTCTAAGATGAAGCTGAGAGATTCACAGATCGTCCGAGTACAGACAAAATTGAAAGAATACGAAGCTCAAATCCAGACCTGGAAACAAGAAGGAATTTTACCGAAAGATGCAAAGGTAGCCCCACTTTCTGGCAAAGCCCCGCCGCCCCCGAGCCCTTCTACATCTTCCAATCTTTCCACCCCCGTAACACCCTCTACAGCACCTGCCCCTACCACCGCTTCTGCAAATGCGTCCCTTCCCCGAAAGCCTTCCGTCCCGTCCGCTACCCCCTCTTCTTCTACCATTGTATCGACCCCTCCTGGGATCGGTCGTGGGCGAGGGGGTCCTTCGGCCGTCGTCCGTGGTGCCATTCGAGGTGCTGCACGTGGTGCTCCAGGTACTGGAAGGGGTGCTAAGCCCTCACAGCCTTTGAGTGGTGGAATCACAATTCAAGGTGCTGCCAAACGACCTGCCCCTGAATCCGCAGCGGATGATACTCTTGCAAAACGGTTGAAACCAGCCGCTGGGAATCCCGTGACTCTGAGGCGGCCACCTCCTCCTGGCCAGTAGTTTTATTCTTGAACTATGCTCTCTGTATTCCTATGTTTTCCAACTGACTCAAAACCCATGTGTAAACCATCAACCATCTGTACTATGTAATCACTTCATCGATCCTGTTCATATACTTACTCATAATCATTGCTTATAGCAAGGTTTCAATTTCATAAGGTTCAATTGTGATCTCATTTTCTTCGTTTGAGGTACTTAAATGTACCCCGTTTAAGACACCTACCTTGCTTCTCACTTGCTTGATGTTCTTTCATCAGTCGGACTTTAGACTTCATGAAATTTGTAGGCTGCACTTCACACAAAAGATAAGAAATGAATGCTTATTTCAGTAGACTCTAAGCGAAGGTAGAAGCAGGAGACTTGTGGCACTAGGGAACTTATGGGATAGAAACAGGAATAGTTTATGAATACTTCAGACTAGTTTATGAAGGTACAATAAGTAAGTAATTGGTAATTACAGAGCAGAGGGGAACCATTTGTAGTGGGGAACAATCCTGTAAGCAAGCGGAAAAACTTAGGGACAATGCAGTATCATATGGCGAGAGGTTATTATTGGTAGAGTGCAGGGTTGGAGTCGGATTCACCATTGGATGAAAGGAAAGTAAAAGGGCTGCATCCGGAACGGGGTCACATGATTGCCTTATAGCACAAAAGAGATGCGCCGTTGGAGCGGACAGAGACAACCACTGTGGGGATGAGCCAATGTCTTCGCAGTGAAAATGAAGAGAAAATGCAAGGATTTTTACCAAAATTCGTCAAAAATCCTGAGCACGAATTTTAAAACTTTTCGTGTGGCGATTATTGTGAAGCTATCGTGAATTTGGCGGGGGGCCGTGCTTATTTTGAATTATCTTTTCATAATTTTACCATAACATCAGCTCAATTCCTTCAAGATATCTGCTGCCATATTTTTGTACATAACCTCGAGATAAAACCCACATTTTCGCCTCGAGGAAATCGGCTCATCCCCGCAGTGAACTTTAAAGGGAAATTTTGCACAGGCGCTCGAGGTTATGGATGTCCAATGACCATTGCAAGCAAAGTGATATGATGTTCATCACAAGAAACAGCATTAGTACCATTGTCGAAACTCAAACCATTCAACCGCAAAGCTTTTCTATTGAGAAAGTGCAATGGAAGTTCACTCAGTAGTAGCAAGTAAAGTTAGAAGATGAATCAGATGTCCATCCCTATAGATGCTACATCTATCTATCTATCAGAACAGCCCACACGTTTCAAGTACATTTAGGTAATCAATTAATCAGGACTAATTTCTTTTTTGCACCTGATTTTCATACTTAAACTTTGGACCATTTAAATTTTGCACCCCACTTTCTTTCCCTTCCCAACCTCCCTTATAATTTTTTCTTCTTGGTTCTTTTCTAGTTATGTCTTCGTCCGAATCCGAGCTGACTGACTTAATCTACGACGAGCTCGAAGATGAAGGCTCGGATTATACGAAGACAACTCGAACCAAGTCACCGCGCAAACAAGCTGCTCCAGCAACTGACTATAAGCTTCAAAAGACCTTGAAGCCTCCAAGAGCAACAACTTACACTGCGCGTGCTTTGTATGGTGAGTATATGTTTTCTGACCTCCACTCGAACATAAGATCTCAATCCACCTTTAGAACAAATATACAATTCAGATATTGACCTTTCCCCAGAATATCAGAGAGGTATTATTGCTTTTTCTCTGACTAACTGACCTTCTCATAATGGAACTTTCTAGATGTTGTATGGACCAAAGAGAAACAAACAAATCTCATTGATTCAATCTACCGCAATTACTACATTCCGCCGATCATTTTTGGTGAGTTGCTATGAGGTAGGACCCCTGACAACCCACTAAGAGGCCTGTACAAAGTGCGGGTAAGAATAGGAGAAAATTTTTAGAATCCATGAGCCAAAAGAGGGTAAAAATCACAATTTTTCATGCTGAGCCCTAGGGCTAAAATTGGGTAAAAAGGCTCCTTTCAAAAAGGCCTCATCTACAGTTGGGTAAAATGGCCCCTACGAGACTCGAATATAGTGCTCACTAAGCACAAAGCAATTGACTCGGCACCACTACTATGGTTCACAGGGTACTTCCGTAAACAGGGTACTTCCGCATTTTCGAAAATCTCATATTTTGAACGTTTTAGGTCGATAAATGCTCTCAGACTTTTTATGTAGTACTTTCTAGGTTCTCTATAAACATACTGTACTATATGAAATAGATTGTATTTAGGGGATGCATATGTACAAGACCAAAATACTGTAATATACAAGCGTGACTTTAGATTGAAGCCTCAGGAACCGTACGAAGAGCTGGTAGATAACTGTAAAAATGACATGGGCATTAAGTAGAGGTTCTCATTAGCTAGCATAGCAAATTTAAAAGCAATCCAATATGTTGTAGAGATTCGACAAGCAGATAAAGTGAAGAGGGTATGCGACGTGACAATATTTGATTCCAGCTTCATGCCGTAGCCTCGGCAAACCTCTGACACTCTCCAAAAGCGTGATCAACACAAGTTCTGCCTCAACCCAGCATCAAATGGCCAAGTGTGCCAGAGTGCCGAGCAGCGGCATTGATGTGACTCAGTGTGACCCAAGATGCGGAAGTACCCTGTTTTTCCTCGGTCATGGTCCGACGCTCTGTTTATGCCTTATCTGCTTTAACATGTAAGACAAAAGACAAGCTTAACATGATTCTAAATAAGACTGTCTACTCAGATTTTTATTTACTCAAAAATTTAAGACGTTATTCGCAATATTCAAGAAATCGGAAGTACCCTGTGAACCATAGTACACGATATTGACAACATATTGTAAGGTATCATAAACACATATAAACATTACTATACAGCTTGTTTATACATGTTTTTGCATGAACATCGTAGTAGTTGAATCTGGAGCTCAAGGGAAACTATATGGATGATGATCCATTAGATGAGTTCATAATTTCAGCATAGATAAAACAAGGGAAAAAGAACCACCTGCAGTAGAAACAAACAAAGAGAAAATACATTTGGCAGCTTTCTGGCAAAAAATAAGCAAAAAAAGATGAAAAATCAAATTTTGGATATACCCTGAGGTCTAAACCGGGTAAGAATGGGGTCTGGAATGAAGCCAGAGGAAAATCCGGGTAAAAATCCACCTTTTGGACCCCCAAAAAATGTGGGTAAAACTTGAGTTTTTGGGATCAGGCCTCTTAGTGGGTTGTCAGGGGTCCTTATGAGGTCCATTATCTCTGATCAAACTTGAATGGTATTGCTTTCTTCAAGCTGTGTCCATTGACGATGACGGCGCAGAACGGCGTACCTGCATTGATGGGAAACAGCGGCTTACAAGTATTCAATTGTGAGTTAGAGTTTCATGAATACTTATTTTCCTTGGTTATCTTTTACTACTTGCTAAAAATAACATAAATTTCCTATTTTTCAGGTTCATGGATGGCCTGGTAAGTGTTCACTCTTACCCAAACCAGGTGCATTCTGTTCTCACCCTTGGTACCTAGATACCACGTTAGTCTCGCATTTTTCCTGGGGGTCAATACTAGTCACTGAAGTATATGATCAATGCTGGATTTAGACCGGGATCCGTATGTGCCTGCTTTCAAGTTTCTTATAAAATGTCGAAAGAAATGAAATTTCTTGTAGCATCACGGGTCAAAAGTACTGGTACAAAATTCCTCAATCTCCAAATGCTAGTGAAAAGAAGCAGCAGGTGCTTCCGGATAAATTGCAGACAATGTTTGCCAACAAGCAGATAGTATGTGTTGAATATTCGGAATTGAGTGACTTGGAGGAAAGAGACATTTTCAAGGTCAGCTCGACCATGATGTCTGTTTGTGTCTTTGGACTAACACAAGCATATAGAGGGTCCAGCAAGGCATGGCTTTGAAGCCCTCTGAGAAATTGGGTGTTCTCAGTACTATCCGCACTGGATTCATTCGGGATTTGCTAAAAAATTACGTCACTGATGATACACTTGGTTCCATTCCTTGGGAAACATCACGAGGCGGAGACATGCGGTGCTTTTCTCATGCTGTTTACTGCATGGAAAGATGGTCAGAAAATCCAGAGGAGGTTAAAGATCATGGCACATTGGCTAAAATGGAAAAGTGGTTAGCAGGTGAGGGGGTGTTTTGTTTTGTTTCTTCTATCTAACATGGAAGTTGTATAGGATCCCATGATATATCCGACGTTGTGAAAAAACGAATTTTTGACACTTACGATGTGTTCGTCAAGTTGACTACTACGCCGAAGTATTCTTCCCCATTCAGAGAATACAAAAAGGTCAGCTCACAATATGAATCTAAATCTCATTGTCTGTAACAAATTTCCAGGTCTCGCCGGCCGAAATGGTATTTATCCCGCTCCTGATTTTTGTGCATGGAATCTTGCCGCCCGAGGAATTACGGTACAGTCGGCGGGAGCTTTGCACAGAGATTATGAATATGCGACGCTCCGTTCGTGAGGTTTACGACGATGTTCGCATGAATGGGCGCATTGGAAAGTTCCTCGCTGAATTTGTAAAAAAGATAAAGGCAAAGGTACCCGAGCCAGTTAAACCGGCAAAGATCAAACGGAAACGGAATTTTAAGGAGGAGGATGACGACGATAAACGACCACTAGCCACCACATCATCTCGTCGTAAATTGCTGACCCCTGATACCCCGACGACATCGTCTGCCGATCTTAACATGCCAGCCCCCTCGGAACTCCCGAATGCTGCATTTACGAAGAAAATGAAAACAACTGTTTCCTCGGCAAGTGGCTTGAATGCTACTGCTCCACCCCAACCACCGATGTCTTCTGCGCAGAATGCTCCTAGGAATCACCAAAATGATTTCTTCCAATCACGCATGTCTCTCTCACCCAATTCCTCTATCTCTCGTTCCACGGATCATGACATAGGCAGGAGCGATTCGAGAGGTCCTTTAAACGGACGAGTAACGTTAAACTCCCATTCGACCGACTTTCGCATGAACGGAATTCCAAGTTACCAGTAAATGCAAAATATTTTACTGGCCAGTATCCCAGTCCTTCCATGAACAGATTACCCACTAGCGACCAAGACTGGTCGCTACAACACTTACTTATTTGACTCTCTTTGACGATTGTTACTGCTTCACCGAGCTCCCGTTCCAAATTATTGCTAGTTAATACTTACCCACCTACTACATGTGTATTTTAAACAAATGTAGGTGGGTTTTAGTTACCCAGAACTCGGCGCTTATTAATTGCATGCATCCACTGCCTGTTGCTTCTGGCCATCGACCAATTCTGACCTCAACGATATGTTCAGTCTCCTTGTCATGACTACCCTGCTTGGGGCTTCTTCATTCGGATGTGGGATGCTCCCACTTTCATTTGTATTCTCGAGTGAAGAATATTTTATATCCATCCTAGTTGACTAATTCTGACCTACTTCAGAAACCCACCTTTCCCAACTAACAACGCTGGGATCGGGGCTTTTACTTGGGACAGCCTTAGGTGTCATAATTCCAGAGTACGTGCCAGATATACTCAGGGTGAATAATCAATGAACATTCTCAACTTCCAGAGGAATCGAAGCTCTTGCGGATGCTCATCCCTCATCTGAAATATCCGCTCCTCGTGTTGCTCTTTCTCTTCTGTGCGGCTTCACCTTCATGCTCATCGTTGAGCAATTGTTCTCTCTGCATTCTCATTCTCCCTCTTCCGCCTCAAACTCAACGGCGAACGTCAAGCCAACCAATTCTGAAGTTCAATTTGACGCTGAGTTGGCCGAGCTCGAAGGAGAACAAGGAATGGCACGTTCAACAGTTGACTGGGTAGCACCTGTTCAAGCAGAATCTTCGGCTCAAATGCAAGCAATTCCTTTAACTCTTGGACTGGTCATTCACAGCCTGGCGGATGGGTTTGCTCTCGGTGTCTCCTTCTTTCCCTCGAATGAATCCAAAAATTCATCAAGTCTTTCCGCTATCGTATTCCTGGCAATCATCATACATAAACGTGCGTGTCAGAATCATGCTCCCGAATATAATTTTGCTCACCATTTTTTTCTTTGTAGTGCCTACGTCCTTAGCACTCACCTCTTCCCTTCTTGCTACGTCTCTTCCTCGTCCTCAATGTAAAAAGCATCTGGCCGTCTTCAGCGTATCAACACCTATCGCCGCCCTTCTTTCTTATGTTGCTCTTGACTTCTTTGGTGGTGCCGAACATGCAGATTGGCCAGGAACTGCTCTCCTGTTATCCGTGCGTCTGTTATTCAGATCCTGTTTTGTGGGATTGATGTCTTTCACAGGGCGGAACTTTCCTGAATGTGGCAACGCTCGTTTCTCATCGATCAGATGCAAACCCTTCCGAAATGAGCGAGAGAATGCGTTTGACCCTCACAGTCCTTGGGATATTTCTCCCCTTTCTTCTGAGCTCACTGCTTGGACATGGTCATTAGATTCAATTCACTAATCTATTGACCCCACTGCTGTTGTAGACTTAGTCGAAACTTATACCACCTTTACGCTCTGTACGACTTGGTTACACATTAATTACACTTGAGTATCATCTGTAGTTGGTCAACATGTAAGTGTAATTACTCTTTGATCAGATCCCTTCCTTCATTCTTGTATTTTTGTAACTCTCTCCTCCAAGGCTCCCAATCCTCACCATATTTCTTCAATAATCGGCCTAATTCCTTTCGTTGCTCTTTCTGAATAACATCCCATGTTAATTTAAACTGAAGCCACAATGATAAGTCACTCACAATATTCCATGGTTCCTCGCCCGCATATATGTCTGTAAACAACTCGCCCAGTTCCCAGCGGCTCTGCGTCTCTGCGCGTTTGAATGCCTTCAACACATCGGCTCTATGGCGTGTTTTCAATTCCTCTTCAGCCTGAGCATCCCACCATCCACGAGTTTCCATAAACAATCGAAAACGAGCTAGAGGGTTATCTATACGCTTGCGATCTTCGACCTCTGAACGTGCTCTGTAGGCAAAAGAGTCATCTGAGGTGGAATGATGTCCGACTCTGAGAACCAGTTAGTCTAAAAGTCGGGTGCAAAATATATGTACTCACCGATATGACATGCATTCCACAAGTACTGCCCGTCCTTGCTCCACGCATCGCGTACGTGCTTCTCGAACTGCCGCCAGCACTGCGAGAACATCGTTCCCATCAACACGTATCTAAAGGCTGAACTCGTCAGAGATATTACACATCATGCCAACCTATCGTACTGTACCGTGTCGATGCCATATCCTGGTCCACGACTCGCGATCCCATCGCCATGATACTGCTCAGAACTAGGTGTGCTGATTGCAAAGCCGTTGTTTCGGGCGATAAACACAACTGGGGAGGGTATGGTTGAAGCTAATAATAATCCAGCATGGAAGTCTGAACATAGTGATAGTTAGGATCTAAGAAATTTTATGGTACACTCAACGACCAACGTACCACCCTCAGATGCTGCTCCTTCTCCAAAGAAACACGCAGCGACAGAGTTCGATCTTTCGGGAGAACGCCGAAGGGCGTAGGCTACTCCGGCTGCTTGGGGTATTTGTGTTGCAAGGGGCGAAGATATAGTGTGAAAATGATGTTGGGGAGAACCAAAGTGCTGAAGGAGTTAGACAACGCCATATACTCAATAAGAAATATACCTTACGACAGGCATTTGTCTTCCCTTGCTAGACGTGTCTTCGTGGTTTCCCAAGCATTGTGCCATGACATTATCAAGGCCGAAGCCGCGCCATAACAGGACGCCCATTTCCCGGTACTGGCCTACGTTCAAACTTGTAAGCACGCGAAATTTGTCCAAAGTCATGTTTCAGAACCTAGGACTCTGCGACTCGTATTGGATTTTTGCAATGGAAAGGAATATGAATGTACCTACTCATCGTCATCGGCAAGGGCGGCTGCTGAGCCAATTATCGTAGCTTCTTCACCATACTTGAAGGGATGAGAGTGGGCTTGAGAAACAGTGACGACTCAGAACTCACAGCAGTCATCTGTCAAATTAAGTGTTAGTTGGATATCAACGCGTTCAAATCTAAAAGCTGGAGGCGTACGTAGAAGGATATCTTGCCCTGTCTCTGCACATTATATAGAATGTTGTCAAGGTTTGGAAGCAGCTGCATATTCTCGTAGCTGAAGACGATTGAATGTTACAATCCGGGACAGGTACGGTAAAGATCCGAACTCAACAGTTTCCTAGCAAACGCTTCGTCCAACTGTGAACAAGATGGGAGGTTTGAGAGAGCATTCATGGGCAGAGTCTGGGGATAATCACCTCAGGTAGTTCGGCGCCATCTAAGGGCACGCCAGTTCCATCTATTAAACGAAACGCGGGGATTAGCTCGTTGCTGTCTCCCGTCACGGAATTGAAGAAATGAGGCTTCGAGACGATTGGTGACTGGGTATTTGGAAGACGGCCAAGTGAGCGAGTAGAAAGAGAGGATATACGATTGATAAGGGGTCTGAGCGTGGAGCTGGCGCGTCGAAGCATGATGAGGATTCTAAGAGAGATACTTCTGAAGATCCGAAGAAACCTTGAACGCGGAAATGATTTCACGTGCGCCACATTGAGTTTACGTACTCACAGTTACTCACCCGTATGTGAAGTCAACCAATTCACTGACCGCGATGTAACCTGATGTAACTTTGAGCTGAATTTGTATGCGCTGTATTTGTTGAATTTGCCCAACAAGAGCGAACACGCGAAGTAGAGGAGCAGGCTAAACCCGGTCTTTCTGCTGCTACCAGACGTAGCGTTCTCTAGTGGCGGAAACTAGAAGACATCACATTTTTAGATAATGAACGGTTGCTTGTAGATCGCTATGAGGAAGAATGCGCAGTCGACGAACCTAATTCTATGCTCAGTCGCATTTGTATAAACGCAAAAACTTGGCAAAGAGCGTTTTAGATGATCCTTATCAACGGTCTGGAAGACTGTTCGTACCTTGTTATGTTGCAAGGTTCGCGGCGCGCCGGTAAAATTCAGTCGGGTTCCTTCTTTCTACTTACTTCCATCTTCGCATTCTTTTGCGGCTAGTCCGTGTCCTTGCGCAGGGCTTTGTATGGTTTAGCTCTTTCCTCTCCTTTCCTTTATTTTATTTCGATGTTCCTTTCGTACTGGCTGCTTATCTTTCTGTCTGTGGGACCGCAGGTTGCCCTTTGCTCTCTCAAACTCAATATCTCAGAGATTACCGAGTGCGAGCCGGTTTTTGTATCCTTTCGTGGACACTTCAACACATCACTTCAACAGGTCCCAATTTCACTCCAGATACTTCCATTCAACTCCACTCCCAGCTTAATTCCCCTCCCGAGTTACGCAGCAAATTCGACCGGTGTCAATGTCACCTTTCTACCTATTCCGGCGAACACAGAATTTGTCGCGACGCTGGTATCTCCTTCGGGTAGCAGCATATCCTCTGTGTCTGACGTATTCGAAGTGAGTACAAGCTCTCCACAGAATACGGCATGCATTCCGCAAAATACGTTCATCCCCGCATACAAAATCTTGAATCCCGCGAATTTTTCTCAGTGCGAAAATTTTACTGTCAACTACAGTGGGCGCAGTCCGCCGGTCGTCGAATTGTTTAATCCACGAGGATCTGCTTACCCTTTGGATCTCACATCATTCTCAAACAATACAGCAACGTACAACCTCGCAGCCATCCGACAAAGTCAGGTCATGTTGAATTTCATCTCGACTGACGGAGGTCAGAACCAAACAAGTCCTCTTATGACCGGCGAGTATCCTGTTCCTCAACAGGGTTCTCATTCCTGAACTAACCTTCTTATAGTTCAAGGAGATGCTTTCAGCTCTACTTCATGCTTCCCAACATCCAACCATACAGATCAGAACAATTCTAAATCTAAATCTGACACCGGAAAATCTTCTGGTATCTCAAAGTGCGTAATCTTTGATTAACTTTGTTCGTCTATTCTGAATCCCATCCCAGAGGAACGATCATTGGACTGAGCGTTGGACTTGGTGTGATCGTGATACTGGCAATCCCTATGGTGTGGCTTGTAATTCGAGAAAGACGAAGGCGCAGACAAATTGCTACTCGGATAGAGTTCGATGGAAGCCGTATGGAAAGACAACCTTCCCAATACTTGCCTACAATCAATGAGAAGGGGCCACCTCCACCTCCACCATTTTTTGGATACCCAGGCTACACGGAGGGACAATACGTTAGAGATCCAATGTACGTTTCAGAAAAGTACTCCCCCACCATCAGCGACTATCCCAGAACCAGTATTTCCTGGGAGTACATTCGTAGGAACTCGGCAGAGCGTCAGGATAACATTAATAGCTCCGAGATGCTACGCCAATCTCTTAGGGCCAGCATGAGATCAAGTAGCTTGAATATGCTTTCTTCGAGTAACATCGAGAAAATGTTGGATATTGCAGCACGTGGCCGGGCATCTGTGGATGCGCTCGGACTCCATTCTCCGCGTAGTGCCCGCTCAAACGACAGCTTTGGATTTTTACCTGTCTCCCCTCCGCCGGCTCTCCATCGTATGTCCCTAGGCGATCGCAGAGCTCCGGACGTACCACATAATCCATCATTCTTTGCGGATTCATCGATTCTAGTAGACCAATCCATACCTTTGTCAGAGTCACCTGAATCAATGGGATCTCTTCTACGTCCCGAGTCCGGTACCCTTTCTCCTTCCTCACCTGGGGCGCCACAAAGTAGCTTTTCATTGGCTCAACCTCAGAGGGCGGTGTTGATTGGAGTGCCCCCTTCTTCGAGAAGCTCTCAACCGAAACGAAGCGCCAGCCCTAGAACAGTTTCGAGAGAAAATTCTATGGCAAAACTTGTAGGAGGTTCGCGACGCACTGCTAGTCATGGAAGTCGCTTCAGTATGGATAGTTCGGATTTGGAAGAAGGGAGATTTTACACAGATCATTTGAATGAATCTTGATGTATTGGAATTATATGGAAGCTGTTTTGCAGATGTTTTGTATTTTAGTGCTCTTCATCATCCGTGATCCTTTAGACAAGGTTACGATTTCTTTGATGCATACCCTTTGTTAGATCGACTCGTACTTGCACTGACTCCACAGATATGTGTGTACTATATTCTTTTAACCTGGCGAACATAGCTCCCATGTTATCTGCCAACCTCTTAGAGTGGACTGCTTTACTAGGCCTGTGTATGTGTTGAAATACAGTCAGGTACACATACTCAAGAGTATTCAAGGCTCCAACTTTTCATCATGATAACATCAGCAAATCATGTATAGAGTGGAAGTCGCTGGGCTTCCTACTCCTGGGACTTAACAGTGCCGGCTAGTGCTGGGGAAACCTGGCCGGCTTGCCTGCCGCCCCATATTCCATGATGAATCGACCAATATCGATTCATTCTGATTCATTTCTTTGAACAACCAGTCACTGCCTTCCAATCTCTTCCAATCGCCGGCCAACATCAGCTCAGATCTCCTTCCAATCAACTTCGGAGATACACCTCATGAGATTTGCCGGAAACTACCTTTGACCCAGCGACAGGCAGGACCCAAGGGTTTGATTAGCACAGTTTAGCACAGTTTTCTCCAAGCTATCATCCTGGACTAAGCTGGACTATGAAGGGAAGTAAGGGAATAATCTCACTCAAGTTCTCATTGCTCCTCCTCCTCCTAATGGAACTGGAAGTAATTTGATTTGACTGGCTTTGTTGGACAACAAAAGGGATGATGGCTTCGATATTGCTTGCATGAACCAACACATATATACCTCAGGTGCAATGGAATTCACTTAATATTTCAACAAATATAGCCTGTGTGTGGTGCATTTTCGCGAAGAATTTACTGAGGTAACGATCTGGAGCAATCTGGCAATTCTAACATACTCGACTATTGGTTATAAATTGTATCCTATTCTTAATATGCTATTGATTGCACAGGTTAGTCCCAGAGGTAGATGATGGTAACATAAAGTAGGTGCCAACCTTCCGGAATTTCTCGAGCTCATGAAACTGATCATCCATTGATTTTGTCCATCATCCGACGATAGTCAGTCTTACATCAGGAGCCTATTGATGGACTTGGCGATTTTTGTTACTGCCGATCGGCAATTCAAGAAAGATGATCCAAACGTCCTTTTACAGCAAACACTCTTATTTATGTATATTCGAATGATGTTTAGACGATGATCAAAAATAAATGGACTTGTTGAAAGTCGTTTCTCTCCCTGTCCGATTCATATAATTTAAATGGTACTACCGTTGAGACCCGATTGTACCATGGAAAATTGAAGTCAAGTAAACTTACCGGAAATGGCTTGTTGAAAGTTATGTTTTTCTTCGAGACTGCTGGCCACGCCAAATGGTGTTAGTTGACCACCCTTGAACGCAATCGAGGAAAAACATACCGAAGACTATTCATGCCTTGAGCGGATTCTTGAAGCCCCTTAAAACGACAAGCTCCATTGCATCAATAGTGGCCGCAAAATTCCTCCGATCACTGTGCTGCAGGCCCCACCAAGAACTTTCCTCCTTGATATCCGCCTCGAGTTTGATTGTGGTCACAAGACTGTAGAAGAAATCCGGGAGATCGGGATTGGGGAACGCGAAAAGCACTCGGTACTCCCAAGACGAGTTGGAGGATGAGTTACTGGTAGAAAAGTCAGCCCACCCATGGTCCTTTGCCTCCCTCAAGTTCCTAAATGTGGTATCAATGTTCTTAGTCAAGGCATCGATGTCCTCCTTGGTCAACGCAATGCTAAGAACAACACGCAGAAAATCGACAATCTTGTCAACCATAGTGGACACGGTTGCAGACTGTTGGTTGATCGTGTTGTTCTGATATTTGTCGAACGTCAGGTCATCGCCTAGTACCAGTAGAGTGAGTCTCAATCTAAAAAATGTGACACAATTAATGGACATGCCTTTGTAGTTGTTGATGCCGTCCAAGAATTGGTCCCAGTGGAATGTTTTTGGCTGTTTGAGATCAACGAAGTGTCCCGAAAATTGCATGACCTGTATAGCAGTCATTACAAGGTTCTGCGGCAACTTCGAGAATTGGTTGAAGGTCGTCGCTGTAGTCACCATTAGAATGATAAGTCGCACTTGAGAAATACTTGAACGTACGATCATCAGACATTGCAAAGTATCACACGGTCTTGGAAGAGATTAAACTTTGAGGTACTGCTCGAGAACGCGGGACAGAGAGCACATTCGAGGGAGACTTTATAGACATTGAGTCTGTGCAAGGACCTTTCGATGGAAACTGGTGGAACCACGAGAAGAGGTGCAGACTACGACACATGACAGGAGTGCCAGAAAAACGGCAGTCCATTATTGTTAGATAAAAATCCTAGTTAGGATTTTGCAGGAGCACAGTAATGAACGTGCCTCGGTAACTGACTGTCAACTGCATCCAAATTTTTGTCCCGATGGAGTAGATCCACGAGGTCAACGAAGGTCCAAGGCATGCAATCTCTATAGCTGGGTGAGGGTACGATCGAAGGTGGTCAAGCAAAGCACAATGATGCCGCCATCAGACGTTCTGCAGAAATACTCATAGCCTGAGGCAAGTTGGAGGTTTGAGCTGGAGCGGATTACTATTGTGACATCGAAGAGTGTATTCGAGGGACCATTCAAAACATTAGAAAAAAATGGGACTTTTGGACAGCTGAAAGTGAGCGGGCGTCGGCCCGGGTGTGAGGAATTCGCCAACTTGAAAACCATTACCTGCAGTGGGACTCGGAGGCGATTTCCGCCCGAAAATCAGCATGGGTTGAGGACAGAATGGCATTGTTGCAAGCGGTGATGCAGACGTTGACGGAAAGGAAAGGAAATTTATTGCACGGCATGGTCCAAGAACTGAACGGAATTCAACTTTCCCCGTGATGGATCTGCACCTCCCACAGGCCTACAAACAGGCCATCTGACTTAAAACTTTTGAGTAATCGTAACATGAAGCTGAAGAGCAAGTCGGAGCCGGTTAGAAGAATCCAACAATGGAAATGTAGCCTGGAGTCTTGCACCTCTCGGGTCAGGTGCCATACGAAGAGGTAGGTGCTTATATGCGACTAGGTGAAAGGTAAAATTTCAAGACAAGTCGAATATGGCGAGGTAAGTATCTCTCCTGTTTCTTCAGAGCACAGGCTGACCTCACAACTCCAGCGAAGCAAACAACGAGAGGCAAACGTCGACTCAAGGGGCTGTTGGTGATGGTAAGCCACGCAAGTTCACTTCATGGATTCGACTTGCCCACACTTTACAGCGACCAGTGCTTTCCAATCGCTGGCCAAAATCAGCTCAGATCTCTTTTCAACTGAGATTCAGCTCACGAAGTTTGCCGCACATTACCTTCGACTCGGTAATGGAACCCAGTGGTTCGATTGGCAAAGTTTTCTTCGAGCGGTCCGCGCCTACCAAAGGGACGATCTCATTCTCATTTATCCGAATGGTAATGCCCTCGTTGGAGAAGAAGGGGGAAGGGAGCTGATAAGAGGCTCAAGTGATAAGCCTACCCTTGGTCGGACTCACGAACCAATCATTCGTCTCGATGAGTTGAGCGCAGTCTCAAATATCGCTGACTACATCGTTTACTTCGTTACCCAAATCGTTGGAGTGTCGATTGACGCTGATGCCATCTATGGCACGGTTCTGAATGCATTCACCAACTTGGAGTGGGCAAGCGAAAGCGGATTCGCAGATTTCTCATCGTCGAGCACAGGGACCAACTCGTCTTGGGAATACAGGATCACCTTTTCGGAAACGTACTCTGGCTCGAGTGACACCTTCCTGAGCTTTGTGAGCACAATCCTTCTGGAAGCAGATATCAAGAACAGGTCGTCGTGGTGGGGCCTTGTGAGCAGCTCCCGACAACATTTCCGCTGTGAAATTATCGGACTCAAGTTCAAGGTCACCAAAGGCTTCCGGGACCCTGTAAATCCGTTTGATAAATTCTCTGATATCTCAATCTGAACGGCATACATACAGTATATGCGCTTTATAGTAGTGCAACAAATTCGATCGAAACTGTGTATGTGTGTAGTCAATTACTTCGTTGCAATATTGTAAGCCTTTGGCTGTATCTAAAGTGAACTTGTGGATTGCGTTACAACACGCGAGGAGAAGGCGGGAAAAATGCTGCTCTGGTCGATTTGCAAGCAAGGCTTTCATTCAGTACGGCTTTTACGAAACAACGCCTCCCCACCCAATTATTCCTGAAGTCACAGGAGAAGTTGGCACGACGTATTTGAGTTTAATTGCAAGCTCTGCATAAACGGCCTAGCATATAGGATATTGTACATAGGTTTCGATGAGATGTAAGCGAAGATTGAAAAAAAATCGCAATGGACTTGTTGAAAGTCTTTTTCTGACTTGGTCCGATTCAAACGATCTGAAAAGAGCCACCTTGAAATCCAAATGTAGTATAATGAGGGAAGCCAAATAAACCTACCGGAGATGACTTGTTGAAAGTTCCTTCGGACAACCTAACCAGCCGACATGTCAGTTAATCACGCTGGAATGTAGTCGGAAGAAAACTGTACTGAAGATTATTCAAGCCTTGAGCGGGTCTTTGAAGCCCTTGAGAACAACGAGCTCCATTGCGTCAATGGTGGCTGCAAAGTTCTTTCGAGTACTGCTCTCTAGACCCCACCAAGACGATTCCTCCTGGATATCGGCCTCGAGTTTGATGGTAGTGACAAGACTGTAGAAGAAGTTCGGAAGATCGGGGTTGGGGAAGGCAAAGAGCACTCGGTACTCCCAAGAGGAGTTGGAGGACGAGCTACTCGTAGAAAAATCGGCCCAGCCGTTGTCTTTGGCTTCCTTCAAGTTTGTGAAGGTGGTTTCAATATTCTTACTGAGCGCACTGATATCCTCCTCGCTTAAAGCAACGCTCAGGACAACACGAAGGAAATCAACAATCTTGTCAACCATGATGGACACAGTCGCAGACTGTTGGTTGATCGTGTTGTTCTGATATTTGTCGAAAGTCAGGTCATCGCCTAGTAAAGTGAGTAAGTCTCGACCTGAGAAACATGGCGCGTTAATGGACATACCTTTGTAATTGTTGATTCCATCCAGGAACTGGTCCCAGTGGAATGTTTTTGGCTCTTTGAGGTCGACGAAGTGCGCCGAGAACTGCAAGACCTGGATCGCGGTCGTCACGAGGTTCTCTGGCAACTTGGAGAACTGGTTGAAGGTCGTCGCTGCGATTAAGATTAAAATGGGGAGCAGCGCTTGAGAAACACTTCAACGTACATTCGTCAGACATTGCGAAAGGTTTGGGTCAAAGATACGGTTGAAGGAGTATTGCTGGGGGATGCAGGTAAAGGATCATGAACTGGCAGTAGATTTTATAGGAATGCGGTACTGACCACGAAACTTTTCGACAGAGGCGTGCAGAACTGGCCTGGTGAGAATTCAATGGATTGGAATGGACAGAAGTTATCTTGCAATATTGTGTCAGAATTGCGACCGGGACTTGACATTGACGAAGACCGTGTGTCTCTGACCCTTCTCGCAACTAGGAAGTCGGTCGGATGGTCTTTCAATTACCGTTATGAACTTGATTGAAGTCCCAAATGCAAGTCGTTTAATGTTAACCCGATGTTGACGTAGATAACATAAATCTGCGTCCACAGATGGAGACAAATATCTCAATGGCTTTTGCATGATACTGACAAATTGTTGCCATTTTTTCCGTTTGGAAAACCGATGTCAAACACGACGTTGGCAATCGCTATGGACCACAAGCAAGTTGTCAAACCGGTGTCGAACCGATGTTTCTCGAAATGCACAAATAGACAAGCGATTCCATGGGTGGGAGCCTGAGGTGAGCGGGAGGGCAGGAGTTAGGGCTAAAATTAGTTAGGGTGCGTCGATGACTCTGAGCTTCTCTTGTGATCGTGACTGGTAGACTGGGAGACAAGAAAAGCTTCGGTGCGTATCCTACTCCGAAATTGAGGCAGGGACAGCCACTTCCGCAAGGAGAAGAGGTTATGCGAGTCGAAGACAGAGAGAATAATGAGAGTCATCTATCCGAGTAGCAAATAAAGTCAAAAGGTCTTAGAATGCTACCCGACTCAGACTTCCGAGCAGTTTGTACCATTGTATGTCATGGAATCATTCCAGAACATTGGAGAGGCCTGAAGAAACTTAGAGCATATTGGAGCCGATGAGAAGAACCCGACAATGCAGACGTGATGATTTGGAGTAGCCTATAGTCGCGTCAGGTTTGCGAAAGGTGGAAACACCGGGGTGACTGTACGAGAGCACCACTCTCAAGACCACTCAGCGGCTATACTATATATATGAGATGAGGGGGAATGCATAATCTTTAACATAGCGCTAGCTGAATATGTCGAAGTAAGCGTCTCCCCTGTTTCATTTGAAACATAGTTGACCTCGAGCAAATCAGCAAAGCAAACAACGAAGAGCAAACGCTGACCAAAGAGACTGTTAGCGATGGTAAGCCATGTTCAATCCATGCATAGATTCAATATCCTCACCGTTGACAGCAACCAATGCCTTCCAGTCGCTGGCCAAAATCAGTTCAGATCTCCTTCCGACTGAGTTGCAACTCATGAAGTTTGCCGGACACTACCTTCGACTCAGCGATGAAACCCAGTATTTTGATTGGGACAGTTTTCTCCAAGCTGTCTTGGACTACAACGGGAAGGACCTCGTTCTCATTTATCCCGATGGTATCGCCGTCCTCACTGAAAAAGGGAGGGGAGGAGAGCTGATCAAAGGCTCAAGTGATAAGCCTACGCTTGGTCGAGCCAACGAACCGATTATCCCCCGCGACCAGTTGAGCGCAGTGTCCGATATCACTGACTACATCGTCTACTTCGTTACCCAGGTTGTTGGGGTGTCGATGGACGCTGGCGCCATCTACGACACGGTTTTGAACGCATTTACCAACCTAAAGTGGGCAAGCGAAAGCGGGTTTGCGGATTTCTCATCGTCGAGCACAGGGACGAACTCGTCTTGGGAATACAGGATTACCTTTTCGGCACCGTACTCTGGATCAAGTGAGAGCTTCCTGAGCTTTGTGAGCACGATTTATCTAGAGGCAGATATCACCAACGAGTCGTCGTGGTGGGGCCTTGTGAGCAGCTCCAAGCAACACTTCCACTGCGATATTACCGGACTTAAATTCCAAGTCATAAAAGGCTTCCAGGATCCTTATTAGTTCACTTGCATATGGGTGAATTTTCGGTTTGGCCGATGTGGACTTGTTGCTAAAGATCTACATATTAGTCTCGGAACCAATGGGATCGATTACACGTTCACCTTTGGGCCCCACATCGTTCCGACACTTGAATTCATATTATGGTACCGCGGCCAATCCCCAAGACTTATTTTTGACCTACTATTTATCCAAAGATTACAATATAAAGTAGTGCTTCAGCTTGAGCTTTGTCAGGAATTCCCTGCCGCAAGGGCAAGCAAGCGTAGCTGAGGCCAATTAAATTCGCGGATTCTTGAATCGTCGATTTATGATATTGTGGACTGATTGTGGAAGGAGATCTTCTTCGCTCGGGTCTCGTAACCCTTTTACACCATACAGGCATGACTCATGCGCGAATTGACATTGACTTCGATTGACGGACTCGTTAAACGATTGTCTGGTTTTCATGATCATTGCTAGTCCATATCTTGTCATGATTTTAGAGACCAGCCACGAAGGACGGATTTGTATACTTACCGGAAAGCTAGCAGGGTGCAATTTCCACCAATACACTTTAATCTCCTCGAGATAGCTTGCCACCTTCCTCTCTGGCTTTCTTCCTCCCGCCCATCAACAGTGAAACATAATCTACTCCTCCGAGGACATGTTCTCCTTCCTTTCGTACAGGCTGTGAAGTATTCGTGCTCTTTGCAACCTGTTTGGTCTTCTCCTTGAGTGTCGCTTTCTTTTTCGAAGCCTGCAACTGCAGCTGCTGCTCAGTCTGCGTTGGATACTGAGATGGGGTATTTGAGCTGGTTTTGATTTTCTTGGCCTAATACAAAGAGGCTGATGAGATGAGAGATGAAGTTCTTGAATGGTAGTTTATTTACTACTCGTTTGTGCACTTTTGCGCTGCGACCCATGTGTGAAAGAAGCAAAGACCCAACGCGGGAAGATCAAGAAAAAGTTCAATCTTCCTCCGATCTCAATCTCAATCTCCAGTTCATGATGAAAGCATTAGGCGTGTTCAATTAAAAAATACGGTTTCACGGCTTTCTAGAAATTGCACGATTTCTTGAAAAATAATTTCCATACTTAGTAATTTCTTACAGATTCCGCAAAGCCGTGAAACCGTATTTGATTAATTGAACACGCCTATTCTTCTTTATTCTATGTATAAGTCAATGCAAATTAAAATACAAGTCGTGAACATATGCAACGTCGATTCGGACACAAGAAACTTCTACTACTTCGGCGCTAAATACACTGATGCGGAGCAACAAACAAACTAGAGCAATCCATCCTCTCCGTCGCTGTACGCCGAGCTGCTTCCAGGTGAAAGCAATTCAGTGTAACGTGCGATTTTGAGTCTCTGGGAAGGAGGAATTGCACGCTTGTCATCTAAGCCATGTGGAGAGCCGCCGTGCAGGACACCGACGCGTTTCATAGCGAGAAGCTATAAGACACGACGTCAAAGGCGAATACAGGAGATATTGGGAGATAAACGTACATTGTGAGCTGCGTTGGAGTGATCATATACACCTCCGAAGAAAGCCGTAGTAGCGTCTTTGCCAATGTAATTGCGAACAAAGTGTGCACCACCCGGATGTTCTTCAATGAAATCTGAAACATCGTGGATGAAACCAGAAATAAGGATAAGAGGTCTCTTTTCTGATTGACTTGTGACTACGACAAGGATGAGATTTTGCGAACACGAGATAAACGAAACACGTACAGCTCTCCCAAGATATAACAGGAAGGTCGTTACTATCACTGGGCCACGAAAGCTTATCCTGCGTTCGGCGAAGTTTTTTCAATTCCATTGTGAGCTGACCCTTGCGAACTTCATTATCGGGGAAGACCTGGATAAAATCGGGTTAATGAATGCCATCCGCAAATTGTATAATATTCTTTCTTACCTTAAGATGCGAAGCCAAACCCAACTTGGCCAACACCCAAATAGTCCATTTGGTGGGATCGTACTGGTACCACTTGATGGCATTTCTGTAGTCCATGGGGAACTAAATTTACCCGGGTCACCAACTATTGAATAGATAACTCAAAAGGTCCTTTTACCTGGTGGTGGAAGTTATGGTACCCTTCACCGATTGTCACAAATGCAGTAATCATGTGGTCCCGAGGAGTGTGTTTGTCGTCGAAGGGAGTTTCACCAAGCCAGTGCGCAAGCGAATTGACACAGAAAGTAGACTAGATAATATAAGTCCCGCAGTTCGAATCAAAGGTGTATATTGTCAACTTACATGATGCACAAAAACCAATCGAATGACTCCCGCGTAAATGAATCCACCTTTGGCATCTCCCCATCCAACGTAAGCGACTATCGATGGCAGTATGAAGCCCATGAACAGGATCAAAGAAAGATAATGCTTGTGCTGCCATTTGACGACGGGATTATGTCTCAAGTCGCTGACATCGGCAACACCAGGCTTGCGACGAGGCTTGACCAACATCCAGCCGACGTGGGAGAACCAAAAGCCTTTGTGTGCGTTGTACGGGTCGAGTTCAGTGTCGGTATATCTATGGTGAGCACGGTGACCTCTGGACCACCATTTGATAGAGCCCTGGAGGGAGCCAGCGCCCAAAATAGCGAGAACATATTGCAAAGGAAGAGATGCGTTAAATGCACGGTGAGCCCATAGACGATGATAACCAGCCGTGATACCTGAAGTGATATTAGAGCGTAAACCCAAAGGTGCGAAAGGATAAGTACCTAGACCAGTCAAAAAGTAGTATGCCACAGCCCAAACAGCGGTTTCCCATTGCAGTTTGACATAGAACGCGCCGACGAAACCAACCAAAGGCGGAATGGTCAGAATGTACACTGAGAGCCAGTTGAGCTCATTCAGGAGATTCGACCAGGTAACAGGAGGCAACGCCTTCGTGTTTTTGATAGTATATGCGACATAGTTGTCGACGTCGGGAATAGTCGGTGAGTCAGTCACCTGCGACGTTACCGTTGCAGAGGAATCATCGCTGCCCTTCTTAACAACGTCCGACATTATGGACAACAGTGAGAAGAAAGAAGAAAGAGATGGATATCCAGTGCGTAGTTTTCCGCCTAATTATATTCTCAGCCCCACCCCAAAAGTTTTTGACCTGATCACACATTACGTGACGCAATTGTAAGTGTTGGGGATGTTGGGGCAGTTCAAATTGGGCAAGAAATTCGCATCTCTATAGAAGAGAATCTCAGGCTCCTACCCGAGATAACACCAATGACTGGGGGTAAGGCCGCAAGCGGCAAGGGCCGAACATTTAGTACTACTATATCCAATATATACACAACTGGCCAATCTCCTGAGTATTGTGATGTGTGTATACACAAACAGTATAGCACTTTGTAATGCCCTGTAAGGCAGCGGCCCAATACATCTGCAAAACCTGTATGTTCGGCTAAATAGCCGAAAGCAGCTCAGAGCACTTCCCAGCAGTGAAAGCACCCAGAGCAGGCTTTGATTTTTGCTTTGGGTGCTTTCGTCGCTGGAGAGCGCTTTCCAGCCAGTATCCTTGCTATGGCGAGTATACAGGTTTTGCAGATGTAGTTGACTGTTGAGTATGTTGAGTGACCATGTTCACATGATCTGCAAAACCTGGATATTCGGCTAAGGGCTGAGAGCAGATCCCAGCAGATCCCAATGCTGAAAGCACCGAAAGCAACATGCTCTGGGTGCTTTCACTGCTGGGAAGTGCTCTCAACCGCTTTCGGACCCTTAGCCGAAAATACAGGTTTTGCAGATCAGTGAATGATACTTACGGAACAGCAGCCATCAATGGCCATCAATTGGCACTCTGCCTGTCTTCAAGTTGAAAATAGCACATGAATACAACCATGAAGCCTGAGGGGCAAATAACTCTTACGCTGTACAAGTCATTTATTTCTTAAGGTTCCTTTCAGTAGTTGTATAAGCAATACTGCTCTGGCTGCTCTGCTGCCTATTTCTACTAATGCATTTGATTCAAATTTGAGTTTGATTGGGCAGATGCCGACTCGGTTTATACTTCTTTGGCTTGATGAGTTTGCTTAGTCATACTTGTCTATATCGGTCAAGATCTGGTGGATAAGGCCAACTTCCCCCCTACGAAAACAGACAAAACACTTTTGTAAGGAGCCTTACCTAAAGGTTCGGCAATAACATCAAAGCCAAATTCACAGTCGCTATATTGATTCACAGCAAAGACTGTAGCACATTTGGCTGGGGACAGCGCAGCCTTACCAGGATAATATGGACCGGGCCCGACTGGACCTGCTGAACCAGGCAACCTTAATGCTGGGCCTAGAGCCAGGGTACATTGGAATGATAGTCGTCGCAAGTCCGGACTCAGATTGGATAGCTGGATTGGAGTCTTAGTACTCTTCTAGTACTCTAATAGTTAGACAACGAATTCGAATAAATTCGAACTCTTTGGTTCTTCATATGGGATGACGGAACGCTCACTGGACTCATTACCAGTTATTGGGGGAGTGTGTCGGGAGCTGGGCGGAAATTGACTTTCAATCGTATTTGGAATTATATTTCCGCACACACAGCCTACAGGTGCATACATACCCATTGAAGCGAGCCAAACTCGCGAAAGACACGAAACTTCGCAGGCACAAGATGTATCTCGCAGAGGAAAGGGAAAGACCTAATAATTACTGGCAGCTGAGTGCTATAGCTAAGTGGTCCAAGAGGTGGGAGGAAAATGACTCACTCATTAAATTTACACGATGCACGTGGACCTCACGATAGACAATTGACCGTAACCACCATATCAACAATGGCCAAGCGGCTTGTAAGCCCTAATAGCGACGATGAGGATGCTCAAGACGCGTCTCCCGCCTTTAAACGAGCTCGTACTGATGGTGCCAGTGATATTGAGCCAAATAATCGTTCTCAACGACGCGGACCACGAAACAAGGGGAAAGGGAGGGCACCCGGGGAGGATGGAAATTCGTCCAGCGATGATGATCAAGAGCCAGAGGTTCATGCCGATCACATTGATGACGATCAGTTTGAAGAGCAGTACCATGAAAGAGTCGAAAAAGCGGTCGACGCAAAGAGGCACATTGTCGGTGTGAGTTGCAATGATATCTGCTCTTTTCTCTCAAGTTATGGCTCATGCGCTGCTCAGGGCGTTGCGGAACACGGAATCATTGAGAGCATTGAGATGCACCAGTTCATGTGTCACAGGTTTTTGAGTTTCCAGTTTGGACCTCAAATCAATTTCATTATCGGTGAGCTCAATCAGCAAGTTTTGTTACATTCTCTTGACTTGGAAATCCCTAGGACACAACGGGAGTATGTACTGGAGCTTTCTGCACTCTTGACTTCGTCCTCATCCTCTATGTAGGTGGTAAAAGCGCTGTCTTATCCGCCATAACCATCGCTTTAGGTGGTAAGAGCAACTCGACCGGTCGAGGAAGCGGCCTCAAATCATTTATCCGAGAGGGCCAATCGTGAGCCTTCTCCGTCATCTTTCCTTTATATATGACCCACCTGGGTTTTCAGTGCTGCCGAAGTCACCATTGCCCTCAAGAATCAAGGCGAAGAGGCATACAAACCTCATGAATATGGCAAGTCTATACTCATCACGCGTCGCTTTACCAAAGAGGGTAGCTCGACCTGGAAGATTAGAGGATCCAAGAGCAACCATACGGTCAGTAGCAAGAGAGAAGAACTATCTGCGATTTGCGACCACATGAACATTCAAGTCGATAATCCGATGAATGTTCTAACTCAGGGTACGCTAATATTCCAGTGAAGAAACTATTGGAAATCTGAACTGTTGTTTTGCGTGTAGATGCCGCCAGACAGTTTTTGAGCGCGTCCGCGCCAGCCGATAAATATAAGGTATGTTGTGTCTCCTAAATATCCACTATTGTTAATGTATTCCCTTTTAGTTCTTTCTTCGTGGAACTCAGCTGTCCCAACTTGCTACGGAATACGAAACCTGTTATGAGAATATAACCAACACTACGAAGGTCCTCGAAAACAAGAAGGAGGCAATTCCTGACCTCAAGCAAGCATTCCGTGAAGCCACTGCCAAATATCAGGAAGCTGCTCAAGCCCTCAAGCAGAAGGCGAAAGCCAAAGAACTCAAAACCGAGTTGGCCTGGTCACACGTACGAGTGAAAGAGAGGGACCTACAATCGAAAATGGAAGATGTAGAACATGCAAAGAGACACCGGGAGAAAATTGAGGAGAGTCTTAATGCCGCTAGAGTCAGTACTCCACGTCTGTTCAAATTTGGTTCGATGTCGATCTTTTTTTTCAAGGTCAAGTTGCAAAATGCCGGGGAGAACGTCACCAAGCATGAAGAAGAAATCAACGCGATTGGTAATATCGATGACCTCGACCGACGCAAAAGTGATTTCAAGACTGAGATGAAGGCGCTCAAAAGCCAAATCTCGAAGTGCAGTGTCTGTGCCTACTGTCCTCACCACATCTATTGTCATTTGACCCCCCTTCATAGTCTGATATGAAAGAAATTAACACTTCCACCACTGCAGCGAAAAATTCCATTCAGGATCTTGAGCGCAACATCGCTGCAGAAATTCAACGATCAGCGCAAGATACTCAGGAAAAGCGTGACGACTTCACACGCAGAATGGACGAAGCACGAGCGACTGTTGCGGAGCAAGAAAGCATTATCAAACAACTCAGTGCTGCTAATTCGGATATTTTGCGGCGCGCTCAAAGTGCTGAGCAAGATGGCCAAGCGAAGCAGGCTGAGTTAGAACAGTTAAAACAGAATATCGGAACTGTCGAGAATTCCCTCCGTCAACTACAGCGTGATCAGGACAACAAGTACTCGGCCTACGGACCTGGGATGTCTCAGGTGGTTGCAAGGATTCAGCAGATGAAGTGGTACGGTGACGAACCCTTGGGGCCTTTGGGTAGATACGTGAAAGTGAAGGATCCTGACGCTTGGGCAGACCTGCTTGCGCAGCAGCTGGGCGGATCGTTAACTGCATTTGCGGTCACGGACCCGAGAGATAGGGACAGTCTCAAGAGAGTGCTTGATCAGGCGAATTTGTGAGTTTTTCCGGATATATCTGTCTGCACTATGTGGGTATCTTGCTCACCACGTATAAACCATAGGAAGCACAACCAGATCATAATTTTCGAAAAGGATAGGTTCGATTATAGCTCTGGCGAGCCAGCACCCGATGTTTTGACCGTCTTGAGGGCAGTAGAGGTCAGAGGGCAAATTAGATTATTACATCCTGATACTGCCTTATCATCGTTATTCGATAGATTGAAGACGAGGACGTCAAACGAATCCTCATTAATCAAGCCAGGATTGAGACCCTGATACTGGCACCTACCCGCAAGGAAGCTGAACATGTCTTGCGTCGTGTCGGTGGTGGGGTTGCATGGACTCAAGATCGTTTCAATGTGAAACGTTTCCCGTAAAGCATTTCTTCACGTATAACTCAAGTGTCGTGATGACCCCTATCCTGTAGTGACGGTGGTGGATCTACCAACCCGCTGAGAAAACCTCAACGAAGCCAAATGCTGCGAAACGAGGATTTTGCTACATGCCAGAGGTTCGCGATTTCACATCGGTGTACAGGGCACTATCTTACATGCATTTGCGAAGGCATCTTGAGGCTGAACGCAAGCAGTTGGATGCACAATATGGACCTTTGACTTCAGAAGTTCAACGTTTCCGGACTTCTTACACGGCGCTCAAACACGAAGAGTCTCAGAACAAGGTGAGTAACAAGCCCCATATGTGTCACCATTGTGCTTGTTCTTACTGTGACAGCAAAATTCTCGTCGAGCTAATTCGATCCTTACCGGAGCCAACCAAAAAATTCAGGATCTACTGCAAGAGGCGAATGAAGATACCCCAGTCAATATTCAGGGTCTGCAGGAAGCGAAGCTGGTGAGATTCTTTTACTCATCGATAAATTATGGCTCATTGCTTTCGATGAATATAGGAAGTTGAACAAGAGAGAGATACCTACATAAAACAGTTCGAGGATGTTGCACGTACTAAAGCGCAACTCGAGCAGACATTGAATAGTCTGACTGAAGAAGAGCTTGCGCTCCGGGCAGAGATCAACAGCTTCAATGATAGACTGAGTGCGATTCGAGTAGGTTCAAATTATTTCGACCTCGCATCTGTTCAGTCTGACAATTGTTTGTAGGCACGAGTCGATGCAGCAGTTGAAGCCCGAATGAACGCACAGCGTGCGGTGCAACATTATGAGAAGAAGAGACACGAATCCGATGTAGCCATCGAAGCTGCAGAAACAATTCTGAAGACTACAACAGAGGAGTTCGAGGTTTGTGGGTGTCTACTCCTACTTGTCTGCCTAGACTAAGATGCATACAATGTGTTCGTCAGAGTTGGACGAACAGTGCCTCTGAAATAGGTGATCGAGTCGAAACGAACAGGAAACCTGAAGATATACAGAGGCAAATGGACAACGTCAAGAATGCACTGCAAGAGCGAGAGAAGAGGCACGTTCTCTCCTCATTCTAAGCATTCCTTTGATTTACATTTTTCTTTTAAAAGGCAAGGAGCCACTGTTGATCAGATCATCAAGGAAGTCAATACGACAAAGGAAAAACTGGAAAGGGCGCAGAAGGACTACAAACAGATGCTTCAGTTAAACAAGGTGAACGCAGTTGTGCATCGTCCGCTTATCCTCTTTTGACTCGCTTGAATCCGGCAGATCCTCCGAGCCTCTTTAGCCGCACGACTTTCACGGTGGCAAGAATTTCGGCGTCATATTGCTCTTCGTTGTAAGATGGTCTTCCGGTACAACCTGTCTCAGCGAGGATACTTTGGAAACATCTTGTTTAACCACTCCGAGCAGACATTGTCCCTCAAGGTATTGATTCTTTCAATATCTAGATGGAGTGGTCAATTCACCCTTTTCCCCAGGTGCAAACGGACGACCAGCTTAGCACTCAAGATGGCTCGAAGGAGAAAGATCCTCGCTCTCTCAGTGGAGGAGAGAAATCCTTTTCCACGATTTGTCTCTTACTCTCGCTTTGGGAGTCGATAGGTTGCCCTCTGAGATGCCTTGGTACGTCGCGGTCGAAGTAAAAGCAAACCCCTTCATCACTGATTTTCCTTCCTTAGACGAATTCGATGTTTTCATGGATGCCGTAAACCGTCGTATCAGTATGAAAATGATGGTAAAGTTTTTTTGCTTATTTTTTTTTACAAATGCTCATTGCGGACCTGCACAGATTGATACTGCAAATCAGTCTGACAAGAAACAGTACATTCTCATCACGCCTCAGGATATGAACAATATCACGATCGGTCCTACCGTTCGTGTCCATCGTATGACTGATCCGGAACGAGGGCAAGGCATTCTTGCGATGGGTTGAATAGGCATGGACTGAAATGACTTCTTTTTCTGCTGATTTCTTGATTTCCTTTGTACACATACATAGAGTAGTCGTATATTTCCAATCACTTACCTACCTATCCTCATAATTACCCCCTTGATTTCTTCGTCTATTTTGATACTCCTTGCACCAATGGAGTCTATACGTGCTTGCGACCTGGTATCTTCATTGTCTGAATCAAAGATTCATAGTATATCAATCATATTACTACAGTATCGCTATAACATCAATCCTCTATCTGCAAGTCGCCATAAGGCTGTGTTTTGAAGTATGATTCATCGAAATGATGTACTCGTACAAACCCATCTTCCCCTCCAGATGCGTACGAGATACCTTTCGGGTGAACAGCAATGCTAAAGAACTAGTCCATTAACCTTTTTATGAATAGGATCCAACAAGAACACGCACGTATTGATAGGTCCAAAATGACCCTTAACACGACCGACTTCTTCCTCGAATACCTTGTGCCAAAACCGCGTCTCAAATTTTCCTTGGCGTAGGGATGTCGTAGTAACACTCATGGCTTCCTGACCTCCCCCAAGAAGCACATATGGTTTATTTGGTGCGATAGCTGCACTATTCAGTGGGGTTTCTGTTGTAAAGGTCTTAATCACGTCGAGGGTTTTAGTATCGTGTATCTGCATAAAATTCATTTGATCAACACAGATGTCGCATTCGAAGCAAATAAAAAAGCACCCTAGCGGATTTATCTTTGCTGCTCGTGATGCAGTAGGTTTTATCAGGACTCATTTGCAGATCTGTTACAACATCCCCGTGTGCGCGCTCGTTGCTATCCACCTCTTCGCCGGTCTTGTAATTGAACAGCGCGACCTTACCGGACTCATGGCCGGTGAAGATTATGCCTGGTTGCGAGGTGAATGCACAAACTGTGGCTTTTGATCCAACAGGGCTGAACATATGTGCTGGCTCTTTTGACTCTGTACAACGTTTGCGATTTGAGAATGGATAGATATCCAGAAATCGACCCCAAGACGTACGTTTGGTGCCATCCCCCGTGCGATTGATGTTAAATACCCGGATTGTACATTGAAACCCCATTCGCTGTTCAGTGATACACACCACCTGCTTGTCATCCTCGCTGAACGCTACTCGTTTTACGGCGGTAGGGAATTCCCAGGTGTATAAGCATTTTCCTGTGGCGACATTCCATAGACGCAATTGATTATCTGCCGATCCAGAGACCATGTACATCGATTCTGCTGTGAAAGCGATACTGTTATGATATTGGTTGAGGGTAAAAAATCATCTCACAATCGACATCAACCGTCCATACTGTCCCATTATGCCCATCATAAGTCCCCAACCGTTCCCCGTTATGCGTATACCAAACGTTGATTACATGGTCTTTTGAGCAGGAGAATAAAAGGTCCCCATCGCGGTTGTATTTGATCTGAGTCAAGGATCGTTCATGACCTGATGATGAAGTCAAGACGAGTCGTTAAAAGCATCAAGAAGTTGAAAGAACCTTGCAGTAGTATAGGTCTCTATAAAACCAAGTCAGAAAAGCGAGTCTGTGTAAAGGGTATATAACTTATACCATTTTTTGTCCAAGCACTTCAAGAAGGAGATTGCCACGTGCTTACACGAAAACCTTGGCCGAGCCAGCTTTTTGATGCCATCAATCGGCAATGGCAATTCCCGATTTTGCCGACTCTCGTCACGTATTACGTATTTGGCGCGCGTTAATTTCTTCGCGAGAAACATTTCTCTTTCGTATTTATACGCGTAGAACACGCCGACGTTCTTTCACACCGTCCGATGGTTTCTCCCAAGAACTTGCGCTCTGTACAGCGCATAATTTCCCTCCCTATTACTCGCCCGCGAAACGCTTCAGCAGTTCTACCTAGCCTTAGTCATAAAAACGCGTTTACTTTCTATCAATTTCAAGTAAATCTCCCTCAAATTAAGCGGGAAGAGCCAAGTCAACCAAGATGGAAGCCGAAGGGAGGATGGATTCACTGGGCTCACGAAAAGGCTTCGAATACCTGGGCAGGTTTCGGTAAAGCCCCAGAGGGTAATTGGAAGGTGATTTAGAGCATCCATTGAATTACTTCATAATGTCCTGAAGTTCACTTAGTTGAAAGTTTTTCGAATTGGAGAACGCCTAGTGGACCGATTAGACTATGAAGAACTGGCATTGAAAGGCGTAGATCCTTCAATGGGTCCCACCATCCTTCATTTAGACATTAGAGGGAAGGGAGTCGAGGAAACAGATGAAAACAAGAAAGTCATAGTAAGTAATGTTGTTGCTTTATATGGTTTGCGCTCATAGAGTTTTTACTAGCTACCACTGTTGTACCCACCTTCGATACAAAGCGCCGAGTCATCGTTATCCCAGCTACGGGAGCTCATCCATACGAGGGAGCCTAGACATAAGAAAGGGTTCTGGACTTGGATGATCATAGCTCCATTTACTGCTCCGTTTATGATCATACGTTCGTCTGCTATTATGAATCCTTGTTCTGTTGACAAACCATTCTAATCCAATATACTTTCAGCGATCATACCCAACCTACCGTTCTTCTTTTGTGTGTGGCGTTCATGGTCACATTATAGAGGTTTGCTTTTCCTGGCTGGCCCCTACCTGTTCTCGTTCTAATCCGAATTCCTCAAATGTAGCATACAGAGCTTCTCAATATCTCGCGGCTCTTATCAAACATGGACATGTAGTTTCTGCTCCCAGTTTAGAACTTGACGCGCTTTACAAGAAATATACCCCGAAGTCCTTGACTTCAACATCCACTCGACCAGCACCCTTATCTCATCAGCCGTCGTCCCCACATGCTTCATCACACTCGGAAACAGAGAACATTGAGCTACTGCTCACTAGAGACGCTGTCCCCGACATCGTATCAACATTCTCCCTGGAGGAAAGTTCTGCATCCGATATGTACCGTGCAATTGAGCAGGCACGAATTCGAACCAAAACTTCAACAACATAACGTGGTTAAGTATATGACAATGTTTCTCGAGTTGCCCTGTTCCTCTACACGCCTTCGGAATGATGGGGCAAGTTGGCGTACATGTATACTATTGAACTGTATCGGAATATGATGTGTAATGCGGTGTATTGATCTTCCTCGTCGTTTCGCTGACACTGTACTTACTAGTGATAACTTAACACAAGTAGTAGAAGTAACGAGAGCGATCCAGATTGAATTTCAAGAAAATGATTAATACAATTGATCGTTCATAGGTTCAACAAAACACACTTCTTGCGTCTAATATCCAACACCTATCAGGTAATCGGCCAAGCCTTCGACAATTGTTGTTGCCTCAGGTGCTTGCGCAGGTGCTTTGTAGATACAGCATAATATGGCCTGAGTAGTTTTGACCACGATAGCGCCGTCAACCTAAAGCGAAATTGTTGGGTTCGAGAGGTGAAAGATCAGCAAAAGTAAAGCACATACACCTTTCTTTAGATATATACTCCTCTCGTTAGCCTGCAGACAGAAGTACTTCACGCCTGCGATTACCAAGCCCGATGCCTGTATAGCTGAGGGTTGTGAATGAGCTTGCAGAATTCGCGCCTGTTCATCTGGGCTGATCTTTCATATTCATGAGAAGGGTTGACTAGTTGTCTGACAGAAGAAAATGCTAACTTCAAAGCCTTCTGAGGTAGCCCATACTCCTCCCTGGGCACCGAGAATAGCAGCTTGGGCAATTTTTGTAGTGCCCACGAGATTGGTGTCGACGTATGCTGAAATTGAATTGACATTAGAAGGTTTGAGGGACGCGATAAGAGATCGAGAGTCGCACCTTGCCAGGACATGACTGAGGTATTGCGTAGAAAGGAAAACGACGGTAAGGTGTGCAAGTGGTGGTAACTGAACAAAGGCAAGCACAGGATGTAATAGGAGAGCGCGCCGGAGATAGCCGCTAGATAGACGAAAGAGTAATCGGGACTCCGAGCGTGAAATTTACCTTTTCACGTCGAGCCTCAAGACCCCAATAAAGATGATACAAAAATCAGATGTTAAAGCTACAAAAGATTGTACAACAAATTCAACCTTCTATGTAGGAGCCTGATAATAAGAGCCAATAAATTCCCAATTGTCCCTAAAACCCGATTCACCGAATTCAAAATGCTCGAAAGACTTAGCAGATAAATCCAAAAAACCTACTCAGTACTTAGCATGTTCTTCCACGCTACACAATTAGCATGGATACGCACCAAAATCACTCCCATTCAGAGCCACTCTCATCGTCTGTGAGTCCATACTCATCTTCAGCAGGATCTGATTCCTCGGTATTGATCATCTCTGCTTGAACCATCACCTTCGTCCAGCCATTCGTCTCGACATTGATTGGGATAGGGGCAGTTGAGCAATACTCAGCCTTCACCTTCCTCCCATAGGCATCTCTGAGTTCGGGCTCCAACCGCCGAAGAACTGCAGACGGATTCTCCTCGACCAGCCGATCTGAAGGCTCAGTGCGTGTGTCCCATCCGCCCAAGCGACGTTCGACACAGTTTGTCGGAAAGTAACAACATCCGGAGGTGATCAGTTTTCGTAACACCGGATCGTGCTCCTCCATCTCTCTCGTGTATCTGATAATGTACATAGACCTTTGTCGAGTAGGAACGTTGTCGGGATATATGGTGGAAGTAGGTGCGGGCATCGCTCTGATGTCCGACTCGCAGGTGTCCTTGACGACGCATTCCCTATTCCTGATGATACCCTCTACTTGCCTTCCTCCAAGACGGAGAATTTTAAATACCTGCAGCTTTGGAAGTAGTAGCGGACCTTTTTGACTGGAGGGTCTACTTAAACTATCCAGCACTGTTCCTGTATCTCTGTCTTCCATATGAGCAATTGGTTCATCCGCAAATATGCGCCACGCTAATGACGATTCCGGATACATATCATTCACGCAGACTCGTTGAAAGTCGATTTCTAGCTCGATAAGCTCGGGTAGGCAAACCAACAGCGATCGTAGCACTGAGAGTTTACAATCGAGAGCCGACAACGTCAATGACGTTAATGTAGGAAGGAAGGGGAAGAGAGGGGGTTTTAGATTATCTACCGACAGAATGGTCGACATCGAGGAGTTAGATAGATTTGAATTATGAAAGAGCCGAACCGAGGAGCTTTCAGTGTTGCTTATGCCGGCACTGCAGCATTTTTGGAGAAACTCGCTGTAATCAGAGTCCTCCTCCTCCGATGTGAGCTCTAATACAAGCCTCTGGACGTTCGGAAACTGAATGCGGTCGAGGATTCTGGCGAGGTACGGTGCGTCCATATCCGTCAGGCTCAAAACTTCTAGTTTATCCAGAATTATCTTGCCAGAAGGCAAGTCGGAACGCCACAGGTCGTCACCTTGCCATGCAAGGGTGGAGCTTGGAGAACCTTCCTCGTCCCATCCCTCCTTCGGTCCAGAGTAATGAAGAATGAGGTTCCGTAAGTCGGGTGAAAGACGCAGCATCCTGTCCCAAACCTCGTACGGCGGACGAATCTTTTCTGGATGTAGAGCTAGTTCTAGGGTGTCTAAACCCTCCAAGTATGGACTTTGTGCCCAAGGAAGGTTGACACCAATGAGGCTGAGATGCTTGAGTTTGGGGACGTTATTAGCGAAGCATATAACAGGATCCCGGATAGTAGCCTCGATGAGCTCATCGACGTTATTATAGTCCTCGAAATGGTAGAGCTGCAACGTTTCTAGATTCGGCGCCCTTCCACAATTATGACCTAGAGCGTCACGGGCTACCTTCTTACATGTGTTATCCCGAACACGCAGACAAAAAGATCTCCACCGGACGGTAACCGGAACCAACAAGTTGAATATTTCCTCCAATTCCTCCTTGGATATCGAATCGTCATCCTGTGTCGTCTTTCGTTTAAATGGAACAGTTGCAATAACGATATCTAGAAAATACCCAGAGCAAAATTCTGGCGAGCTAGATCCTCGTGGAGAACAACGTTCCAAGAAGACGCGGCCTCTTTCAAGGTGTGATGCATGGTCGAAAAAGAGCGTGGACCAAAGAGCAGGCGTATTGAGAGCGATGGCCCTCCATTTTCGCGAGACATGAGAAACCAGGATTGGAAAATGAGGAGAATAACTATAATCGTTAGACTTGCAGCACGATTCAAACACAAAAGGAGTCTGGTTTGGACTATGCTGGAGTTTTCCGAGCTCGGTAAAGGTGCCTAGCTCGAAAATCATCGCGACAACTTCGCTGGGGAAAGAGTCAAAACGCGGAGACTGCCAGGCCATGGTGGAGGTGAGGGAACAAGAGGTTGCATTGAAGCGGAAGCCTAAATGAATTTATTAAATAAGAAGTGGGAAGTGGTCAAGCTAACTTAAGTTCAATTCAATCAGAAATCGTTGTACCTTTTCAACTCCGCATTTTACGTAAGTGGCCCTCGATGTTCTCATCTCCTCGTTTGGATGTGGCCTTTTCTCTTGCAAGTAGCAACAGTGCTCAGCCTAGTCAGGACCTGTCAGGGTCCGGCAACAAATTCTCCTACAACCACTATGACCTGCCCTCATGTAATATCAAAGTACCTCTCTTCTGCAAGGTCACTCAGAATTCTCAACCCTCGGGCCCCCCCACGTTGTGAACGCTATCGATCGCGGCGCTCCTATTCTATCGGATGCCTCGGCTCATGCCGTGAGACTGGGCTTTGTCTTAATTGACCTCTCTTATGACTGCTAGTCTCTGCTAGTTGATACTACCAGTATAACAGGATCATGACGTTGTCTCCGTCAGATCACGAGGTGTTGATTTAATCGCTCCTGCCACGAAACTCAAACGGTGAGATGATGTTTTCCGTTCTATCTTGCGGATCATCGAATCTAATGTCCTTCTCAAATGGGCGACCGCGATTGCGCAGTGAACTTGATCAGTCTTGATCTCTTGCGCTTAATACATAATATCCAGCAATCTGTGATAACAGGTGATAACCTGTTCCTGTGGGGGTTCCCTATGTATAGGTTTTACGGAGGAGGAAACATAGTGAGGCCTAGTATCCCGGTTGGCAGTTACGGGAATGTGGCGACAGCCTGAGTGCCTTTTGTTTTCGATACGCAAATTAGGTATATGAAGTAATCTTGTCGGCGGAATCTGGAGTAATCTTTATGCAGAATTCCAAGTTATTATCATAGGCGGTATCCCGGTTGGCAGTTACGGGAATGTGGCGACAGCCTGAGTGCCTTTTGTTTTCGATACGCAAATTAGGTATATGAAGTAATCTTGTCGGCGGAATCTGGAGTAATCTTTATGCAGAATTCCAAGTTATTATCATAGGCGGCTGGAGCCCTCTAGAATCGCAGCCTACATAATCACCATGAATGTAAGTTTCGATTTCGAAACCTCGCTGGTTGCTCAAATATTAATAGGACAAGGCTGTCATGTTTTACACACTATTCTTATACAATGACCGTATGATAGTACTACGGAAATAACAGAACACGGCCAAAGTCATGACTAAACATCCGCAGTGCCAAATGCTTTTGCCAATGCAGCGACTGCATCTGAAATTCCTCGAGCTCCGCTCGCCATCATACTATATTCCCCGAACCGTGAGTAGAACACACTTAGAGCCAATACAGCGACAGCACTCACCCTATACCATACATCCATCAATGCATTATTCACCAGAAACCAATTATGTACTCACCGTCAAGCATAAAGTTCAGGTGTGTTCCTCCTTGATAAACCACACATTCCGCCTGCACATCACAGTGTCGCAACCTCTCTGCGTAGGCTTCCGCTTCGTTGCACAAGACGTCCAACTCCCCCGCGGCTATCCAAGTTTTGGGCGCCTTCCTCACTAAATCCTCGGGCGCTAAAAGTGGCGAAACTTCCCATTTCAAACAATCTTTGTCATCGGGAACATACATTTTCTTGAACCAATTCACTCGGGCTGGTGGCAAAAATGGTGCGTGTTTGTTAGATTCCCAGCGTCCGCCGGGAGCGTCAGTTGCTGTTAAGTCGAGCGAAGGAACGATAAGGAGCTGGAGGGCTAGTGGTGCGTGAAGAGTGGGTGTAAAAGAGTCTTCAGTCGATTTCAACGCAAGAACGGCTGCCAGATTTCCACCACTATAGTAAACCGGTCAATGTATAAAAAGGGCCTAGAGCCTTATCTATGCTCACGCAGAAAGACCTCCAGTCGCCACCTTGGACACATCGATATTTAGCAAGTTCTTCCCATCTGTTAGCACCCACTGAAGGGCCTCAACAACGTCTTCAACCGCTGCTGGGAATGGGTTCTCTGGCGCCAATCGATAATCAACCGATAGCACAACACATTTCGCACCTCAAGTAGGCGTTGCATCAGTTTCGTACCGACGTTGTTGTTATTGTTTCAGCCAGTGCTCACCGACGCAAATATTCGTGATGATCGATTGTTCGCTGTCGAGTCCTCCGAGTGCCCATCCACCTGTGATCACGCCACCATGCTCAGTTTTCAGAAAGAATTCACAGTTGAAAAGTCACCTCCGTGAAAATAAAGTATAACTGGCCAGCCTGTCGTCGGAGGCTGTCCAGGTGGTGTATACGCCCTCATTTTCCGTCCATGCCCTCCTTTCTTCAGCTCGTACTCTGCAATCTTACCTACCTCAACTGGTTTCCTCGATGCAGCCCCGAATTCAGGCGGCGCTCGCATCTTGACCGGGTCCCATGGGAGCGAATGAGGAGGCGTGATATGTTGGAGGTACTTTTCATGGAATATGACATATTCGGGATCGAGCCTCGATATGATTGAATCGTGAAGTGGTTGCTTTGGAACGGGTTGAGGCTCAACTGGGGTGGCCATTGTACTTACTGTGACAGTAGTGGGGATCGAGGGAGAGTTTACACTCACATGGATGAGTCCTAATAGAATACGGTATGGGAATCGTTGGAGCTTCTTGCTTCCGTATTCCGTCGAATCTGCGCAATTAAATGGCCCAGTCAGGCTTTCAAACTTCAAGGAAGGTAACCCCGGAGTCTGGGACTGGGAGGAGCCGCCGAAAGTTAAAACATCTCTCACGAAAAAAACACATACATACATATAAGGGTATCAGAACACTTGAATATCCCTACGAAACTAGACCTCTGCCTGAATCGCACTCTGCTGGCCAGAACAAGTTCGCATCCTGCGGTCTACCAATGTCGCCAAAACATCCAGTACACTTTCTCCTTTTCATGATCAGCTCATCCTGGATTCTTTTCACCTTCCCACATACTTATGCTGTACCGATGCCAAGCCGCCCGCCACCACCATATTCAGAACATTCACCTTCACACCCTATGTCAACAAGCAGTTTATCTGAAGCATTGAACATACCACCACCGCCTTCATACTCTCGAGACATGGTCTTCCGTGTCTTGAAAGATCAGAAATATGCGGTACCGCCTAGTAATTCCTGTTTACCTGCGCAAAAGACTGACTGGCCCGTCTCCCATCTTTTAGCAGGCTTGGATGATCAGGGTATATGAACATGATCCAGCAGTACGAGTATCATCATTTGATATGACCTTTTTCAGTAAGTCTTTGAGCTAAAGGATGAAGTGTTTATTGAACTAGCCTTTCTTTCTCCTCCTCAGCGCGGACATTGTCATATAAATGCAAGTCACCAGAAACAAGAAACGCCCGCAATTCTGCCATCTGTATAGCCCCAGATCCGTATAAGAAGAGAGCAGAAGTGATCATCAAAGTCCTTCAACAATTCGACCGCTCGGCCTTGAGTGAAGTTGGTGCACTGAAACGCTTTTCTTACCTTTTCGATTCTGGATTGCTCAAGGGAAAACCAACCATAATCACTCGCAAATTTCCTGGGGTTCCCTTGCAGCAAACAGATGCCTGGATAAAAAACCCAGGTCAGAGAGAAAATTTGAGGGAGCAAGTCCGGACCAAAGTGCGAACGCAGGTTTTACTATGGGCTCTTGGTGACAAACTTCTATATATGCAAGTGGCAGATGTATATTATGAATTCAAGTATACTCACCCTCCCGATCAGTGATTTGCATTGGGAGAACTTCCTAGTAGAGATGACAAAGGATGGTAAAGTGAAGGAGGTCCATATCTTTAACTTTGAATATCCTCTTTTACAAGTTAATTTCCTAACTCCCTATACTACTAGGAGTGAACTGGTGAGTTTGTCATTGAAGAATGAATTTTTGTCTGACCTGAATGAATTTCTCAGGAGACTTGGTTCAATGCTTATTGGGATTATCGGGTTGACTCAGGACATTGGGAAAGTGATCTGGTCTGATTAGACTATGTACATTTGATAGAATCATTATCAGACAGGTATACTAAGGCTGATAATATACGTCGTCTAGGACCACGTTCTTCGTGCTATTGAGCCTTCGAAGATTCACAAATCAGGTCAATGATTACTACAGTATGGTAGGAATAATGTACCATGCATTGGGATCAAATTTAAGTACGGTATATTTTATCAATCGTAGCAAAACACCGTGTAGTCTTTTATTACCAGTCACCACGGCCCATCCAACGCCATCCAGTCCCGCCTCACGATCCCTATCTCCGTTCCAATCTGCTTCGTCATCTCTCTCTGCCTTGTTATCGACGAACTCTCGAAATGTACCAGCAGATTAGCATCTAGAACACCCTTCGAGAGAGGTTTGGAAACGTAGTCGTTCCGGACGATACTATAAAGAAAATGCATTTGTCACGAGTATGAAGTGGGCAGATAAAATACGAGTAAGACATAAATGACCAACCGTAACGCCCTCGGATTGAGTCCTGCGACATGTTGTATATTTCTGGTCAATTGTCCTTGCAATAACTGCAATCGTTTCGCGGCAGACTCTTCGACCGGAGTGATGGTTGCAATTGATCCATTCGTCGCACCTAGTAACCGATTACATTGGCCTGGAACCAGCAAAGGAAGAGTGTATACCGTATAACAACTTAGCTTGCGGGATGACAGTATCTGTGCTCGTCCGTCGTGCAATGAGCGCCGTCGTGCGGTATTCTGCTTGGCTGTTGAACTCCGAGCGCATGAGGAGGTGTCGGCCATCTCCGGATTCGGGGTCTAATGATAGCAACAATTGATGGTTCAATCAAAACACAAACATAACGACCAACCATGCGGATTGTAGTCATACAATCTCAGAATTCCCTCCTCGTCGTGCGTAAAGATCGTCATCTCGTTTTCAGCGAAGAAAAAATCTGCGGTAATGACACAGAGGTGCCGCTTATCTTTAGCAAGAAGAACAAGTTTATAAGGGTCTTCCTGAACATTTACCGCAGTAAGAATGAGTAAATCATCGATTAATCGGATAGAACGCACCTGGAATGCCACAAATGATACGCTCTTCACCGCGTCACCCACTAACAACAAGTTCTTGATGGTTCGAAGCGAAGTGACATATACGCCAACGTCCATGAATGCTACACCCACCAAACGTTCGTCCGAATCAAATGCACGAACGAAGATCTACAGTGTATAATCTTGAGATCTACACAATGCAGGAACATCGTTACTAACCTTCTGTCCCATGGAAGACACTAGATATCCGTTTAGCCCGCAGACTGCCGTCACCGGTCCCTTTGCATCGTCTCTGCACCTGAGTCGGAGTTTATACCATCGATTAGGAGCCAACATCGGGTCAGCGACAACTTCAACGATTTCGAAAATGTACGTCTGTAACATTTATTATGAACAACTGCGTTGATACTGGACTTCTACAAGAAGCATAAAGATATACCACTGGAATCACTCACCGCGCCCTTCGCAGCCAAATCTTCCCCACGATTTATGGTTGTCCCCACAGCGATGAATTCCTTGGATCCTGTCTCTGTGCTTGAAGTTTCAAGAGTGACACATGCGACGGCATTGACAACTTCATTGGTGGCAAATTCGTATCTGGTTCGTTCAATCAGAGACGTTTCGGGTATTCACAACGGCAAAGGTCTTACCCATCCATGGAAACCCACAAATCCGGGGAGATGAGTTCCAAAGCAGAGCATTCCGTGGTGGGGTCCGAAATATTCGATGCTACAGAAGCGAAAATCAAAGTCAAACACATTCGGGGGCGAAACGCGAATTACCGTCGGGGGTCCAGATTCTATTATTATCCTCGTCAAAGCTGGCAAAGCGAGCCTCTAACACTGCCGCAGCAACGACAAGAGAAGTCGACGAGTCAAAGACGACGCTCGAGTACGCCCTGCCCCGAGGCACAGAGCGCATGGGTAGAGGAAAGTCCAATCCAAAGTCCGGGATCCATTCAAGCAAGGTAGGTCCCTATAGGTCTAAAAATGAATGTGATGTCTGATGATTGTTTGCTAGGTATTACCTCGTCACTATAGATTAAAAATTCTCCTCCTATTCGTGGATCCCTGGAGGCCAGTACCGGACACGCTGTAAACGCATGTACAACTGCGTGTCCGGAAGGGTATAGGTGCACACCACCGCGGTCGGTGGAGATGATCCAAGAAGGATTTTCGCCAGTGAAGAAAACCCCCGAATACGTAGTTGTGCCCTTCTTCTGTTTGTTTTGAGGAATTGTTAACGAAGATGACACATTCGGTGTCACAAATGGTAAGAACATCCTCGTGAATTTCTTTTGGTCTGTCAATGCACTACCACTTGCACTCCCCATACTGCCAACTCCGCCCGGCCCATTACCGGCGCCGGCAATATTTGAGTTTTGGAGTTCAAATGTCTTTGACAGTACTTTAACGAAAGCGATGCGGAGGCGGACAAGTCTTGAGTTTAGAGTGGATGGTGTTGCCGCAATGGTAGGCGAAGTCGGTTCTACACCGTTCAGTGCTTCCACAGCAGTGGAATGCAACGGTGGAGCAGGAGCAGGGATAGCTTGATATATGGCCAATTGTCCAGAACGAAGGAGCACCTAGGTACAATAAATGTAAGAAATACTCAGTCAATACTTGAAGAAAGATAATAGGCAAAGAAGGTAGAGATCTCCCTGAGTAGGGATCACATTGGATGTTTTTGCAGCATACTCACAAACAAATGCAGTTCTGGTCTGGTCTCGCCCAACGGAGCAAGAAGAACTTGTTCAATAGCACCAGTATCTCTTCCGTCAGTCTCCTTCGTTTGATTCATTGATTCCGGTTTCTCTTTATTCTGCATCGCTGCTCCAGCATCCCCCGCATCAGACTCAACCGGGGTCATAGTTACATCTTGCGTTTGAGATTGACTTCGAAGCATGGCCGGAGCCGTTGGAGGGACAGGCGGGGCAGAAGGGGAAGTTGCGCTCGTTACTGTTGTCGCAGCAGGCACAGGGATAGAAGATGCCACCCCTTCACCTGAATCCATCAGCACATTCTCCAGAGTCGCAAACGGGATTGCAACTGAGAACGCCAATGTCATCTTTGGCAAAGACCATAATTCCAGGACACCTTGGGGTCGGACTAGGAGTAACCACTGATTATTTAGACCATCGGAAGAGCGTTGACCGAGGTCTACTTTCGGGTTTGGCGAGAATACGTTCTTCTCCAGCATTCCTGTATGGTCGGTGAAGAAGCAGCCGGTTAGATATTTTGATGTCTAGAGAAAATATGCATCAATGTCTGATTACGCCGTTCATAGTAATTAACACTGACTTTTCCGCCCAACATACTCATATCTTTCCTCCTTAGTTTTCCTTTGCTTACTTCACCGATAAAGAGACCCATGGTATCATCCTCTCTTAAAATCAACACATACGGGTCCGAAATCGAACATGCACGTATTCTCGCTCGGGGAGTAGAAACAGTGGAAGAAGAGCTGGATTCTACGTCTTTGATCACTTGACGTTCAGTGCCGTCTATTTGGGGTTTGAAATCACAACGAAGGCCGTAAACTCTAAAATAAAGACTCACCAGTCTCCAAAACCCTTATACTTCCTGTCATGACCTGTAATACCACCACACCACCAAAAAACGGACCTGCACCAATGCTGGTACCTTGAATGCGGGCAGTGATATCATTATTGGATATGTTCACTATGGAGGGTGTAGAGGGTGTAGTAGACGAGGGTGGGGGGATGGTTATCTGTTGTATCAAAAGTGAAAAACAAGAAAACATCGGGACGAATCAAACCCACTCTACTGAATCCAGGACTAGGGTTTGCGTCCGTGCTGATTATCATCATTACATCCTTCGTATCCCTTTCTCCTCCATTACTATTTCCGGTACCATTATGATGACCAGTCCCGCTCCCCTTCTCTACCTTCTTCTGCAAAGCAAAACTCCACAGACCCTTTGTTCCACCAAGTATATGCATCCTCTTCTTCGTAACCTTCACCGGAAGATCCCGCTGGAAAAGGGTGAATCCACCATGTTGGTATGTCGACGTGGCTGTTATCAAAATTGGGGTTGGTTTGTCCTGCAGAGCGGGAAATATGTCAGCGTCAGTGAACGTAAATGTAACTCAGACTGCCAATTCTCACTCCATTCTTTGTCAACCCAAACGCCATATCATTGATGCTCCCGTAAGAAGGTAGATAGTCTGCTAACAGCAACTGGAGTTTGAGCTTCCGCCGTTTTTCGTCTCTCTGCCGAACTTCTTCCCTCTTTGGATCAGGAGCAGAGGTATGAGAAGGACCGTAGATGTCTGTTAAGAGTGAAGACAAACAAGGTATAACAATATGAGATCTCCTTACCTGCATCATCATCGTACATATCATCGTCTTCTCCTGCAGGCGCGCGCACGTCGTTACCGTTGTCTACTTCCCTATCGGTGTCGTCCTCCTCTGACTCTACCATGTTTGTCTTAAGCAGCACAGAGGGTCCCTGTGTACTTCCTACAAATATGAAAGGAATGGTATGAGCATCCACATCACGACCAGCATGCGGTGATGATGCAGTGACGCTCATGGCTAGGCTCGGAATCGTAGTTTTTACCATAGGTTTGTCCGAAATTGACAATCCCGAAACTGCTTTCCCGTCCATTGCCAACGTGACCGTGTAGGCATCACCGCGAGCCAGAATTAGAAGGAGAGTGGTCTCAGAGATGAACGCTGCGCGGGAACCTTCAAGTGCAAGATCTCGCGTTTGAGCTACATCGGTAACATTGACCGCAGCGATATCAGAGACACGCGTTGCCCAGCCATTGACCGGCAACATGAGTTTCTTTGTTGCCTGGTCGACGTAAACGATGCTGTTCGATGTAAGAATTACCAGTCCTGCAACACCGGATATGCATGGAACAAGCGCATAAGCGTCGTATGGCAAGTTGGGAATGTTTGTGATCACAGTGAAGGTGGAGCTTATGCCACCCCAAGACGAAAAAGAATTGGACATGGAAAATATGATTAATCCACAGGTATCTTTAGCTTCTTCGAGTCTGCCTGTCCAAGTCGGCCGTTCATTGAACAGGACAGCGATGGTGGGGTTATGAAAACCAGGCAAAAAGACAAAATCGATAATGTTGTGTATAGATGAAGAGACAGATTGAGGAAGGTCGAGGATGTAGGAGGGAAAATAGGGTATGTCCGAGCGATTATTCCCTTCACCGTCGACATCCATCTGATCTCCCTGCGTGGGATGTATGAGCTCTTCATGTTGGTGGAAGGGTAGGACGGCTAGCGCGTCTTGAGGCAGAAGTAATGCTGCACATCGTGAATTAGGGTCAACACGAAGAAGAGAGCGGAAGGTTGGTCTGATGTCTAAGCATTGCGGTGCTCGCTCATACGTGTGTATGGAAACCGTTGTGAAATCGTGTAGAGCGTCGGACCATTCCAGTAAAGCAATCTACTGGGAAGTGAATATATTTTCCGAAGTGAAGGATATAAACGGACCTTGGCATCCTTAAATCCTACTAAAAGCCTGTCTCGTCCATCTTCCAAGCTTCCAAGCACCTTCACGCCCTCGAGACCGGTAACAATCCCATGCAGGCGGTGAGTTCGTACATGGAAGAACTTTTCCTCTCGGACCTCGAATATTCGCAGGAGATTCGAGCGAGCAACAACCAAATTTGATTGTACGCCTTCATTTACAGTGAGCTTGACCCAGGCTGCAAATTCCACTCCAGATGGAGCGAGAATTTCTTGATGTAAAGCGTGCATAATGTTTCCAAAATTGTATCTAAATGCGATACCCTTTGTGCCGCGCTGTGGATATCCAGGAAACTTGATTCGGACTAGCGTTGCTCAACAAGCTCGCATTCGCATTAGAAAAGGGCAATGAATAGATTCTGTTGACTGTTGGCTTAAAAAGTTTGGCTTAAGATTTTGAGGAAGCAAACGCAATCGTTAGCGCCCGTATATACCACGCTTTTGTTTTTCCACTGTCCAGCCAGTCACTCAGAGTCAGAGTCCATTCCGTTTCACTCGTGTTATGATATCTAATTCTGCAATACTCCACCATCAAGCCTACTAGATTCTAAGTACCTGTCTCCAGAATTTCCCGTTGAGTATCGAGCACTACTCAGGCCAGAATTTACGGGGACAAAAATTTCAAGTACAGTACCCTGCTCTAACTCTTGAGACCCTTCGGCCAGTATTCAAATCCCCACTGTTCCCATTCGGGGGGCGGAAGTTTAACATCCATAGATGTGCCTACAGTTGGGTAGTTTCGGATGGGAGTAAGTTACACACGCCACAATTGCACGGTGAATCAAAAACTGGAGATACAACAGCCGCTTACCTTTAGGCGTACACTTGAGACTCAATTGAAGGTGGTTCTCTCCAGATGGCTGTTTTGGGTTACTCGGAGATTTGAGGAGGTAGTGGTACGGGACGAGAACCACTAGCTGAGACCACCCTTTTTGCATTCTGGCAGCTAGCAGAGGCGGTCCAGGAACGAAGTGTTTGCCTTTATTTTTCCATTCCTTCTGGAGATCCTCGATGAAATACGTAAGGTACCTGGGTTGGTTGTAGGCTGGGCTTTTAACGTCGTCGACGTACCCCTAGTTAGAGCACAAACAGAGGTAAAAGAAATGTTCCAGCAAGAATACGCTAAGACGCTGGAACACACCCGTAAAGTTCGAACCATCTCCAATGTGTTGATAAGGACAGCGCACTGTGAACTTTCCCTTAATATGATGTTAAATCTGAGAAAGATAACTCCGACCAACCTTCCAATACGAACTATATATTCAGTGGCGCGTCAATAACTGTCAGAACAGCGAAACGAGAACAAGAAACTGCTGCATAGGTAGCTGGAAAAACAGAACACCACTCACTCGGGTAAGTGTTTGTCTGGGATGGCAGTCGCTTCAACGTACGTCCCGTCATTTCCGAGTGGATTTGAGGACCTTGGGACTGGGATAGCTGTGAATCCATGCGCATTGAATTCTTCAGCTGTTTTCTGGGAACATTGTATAATCACAATGAAATCGATGAAATAGGAGCTCAAAAAGACCTTAACGGACCTGGGGTACAGCCAGGTATCCTAAAATGAGGTTGGGCTTGTCAAAATCGACTCTACGATAAAGGTCGTGCGTGGCGTTCGCGTTGTTGTCTAGGTCTATTGTGCCAGCCCCTCGTTTGTTGAGCAATGTGAGATTGACGGGCGAAGAATAAACTGCGACCGAGTGCATTAACAACACCAAAAGGAATATCGATGAAGCAGGAGAAAAAGTCATTGATGAATCAATGATGGATGAACGGAAAGCGCCTTAGTACCGTCAAGAGACCAGCTCTGACGTAGGTGATAGTAGAAGCGAACAATAGACAACTAGTGCACCAGGCAGCAATGATCCCTACGAAGGGGTCAACTTGGAGGTTCTCTTGCTTTTTAAGGCGGACTATGATTGTTTGGGTGCGGTAAGATGGGAATCGAATTGAGTTTTTGATACAATATTCATCAATGTTCGTGGACTTAGCACTCTGGAACGGTACCGTGTATTCAGCTGTATCAAGACGATCAAAATCAGTGAAAATCTTCATCAAGATTCTTTCTCTTTGAAACCCGACGAGCCAACTCGGAGCAGCATGACCTTGTTGGGTTATCTATCACTGGCCTAACCATGGCGAAGGATAGCAGGGGAAAAAATACGAGACTGCTGAGTCCTCCTGCTTTAACAGATTAATATGCGGCTCCGTCCAAAGACGCCAACCACCTCTAGTATCTGTCTTGTGCAACGTAAGGGTTGATATGAGATCATGCAATATTGTGGGCACTAAACCCAAGGCCGCCAGCGTAAGCTGCAGAGGATACACTGATTATGCCCAAAACTGAAGATCTTTGCATTTGTTGTACAAGACACAATTACTGCATTCCATCATGGGTGATGCAGAAGATACCCTCCATCGATTGCAATTGTCTGAGAAACATTAAGTGAGTCCCAAGTTGAGATGCATAACAACCTCACAAACTTACCTGCCCATAAGCGTACTGGTTGCACGCTAACATCAAAACTGCCTGCGCTATATCTTCATCCCTTCCTGGCCTTCCTGCAGGAATACCCTTCTTCTCACCGTAATCGTCTCCAGTAGGAATTTCAGACTTGTTCGCCTCATCGCTCTCTTGTGTCGTCATTTCACTAGGAAAGATCCCCGGAGCGATATTGTTCACTCTGACATTCGCTCCATCTCGACGGAGTTCCTGAGCAAGGAGGGTGGTAAGATGGATAGCCGCACCTTTGGAGACATTGTATTTAAAGTGATGTTGGGACGTTCTAGTGATACCAGACATGGACGTGGTGTTGATTACCGCTGCGGTACGGCCAGGATGAACGGTAGCGGTTGCTGCAAGGAGGGGGATGAACGCGGCGGTGGTGAAGAAATGTCCAATAACATTCGTTCGATAAACATCTTCCCATTTGACTAGATCCTCCCCGAACAATTCCTCACTGAGTTGTTTTGCACTCTCATCACCCTTCTCTACCTGGCTGGTCCCAAGACTGATACCGGCGTTGTTAACCAAGACGTCGATGTTTTTCTCTCGCCCTTCTACCTCCTCGACGAGTTTTTGGATCGATTTTTTGTCCGTGATATCGCACTCGAGAGCAATCAACTGGCCTTTTGGATGGGCAAGAGAGCTTCCCCAGGTGTTAACCGCGTTATCGAGAACGGATTTTCGCCTCGATGTGATGTAGACTCGAGCGCCATTGTTGGCGAACGCCTGAGCTATCATCAAACCGATACCAGTGCCGCCCCCAGTGACGATGCAAGCCCAGTTCGAGATGTCAAACAGGTTCTGCACTGCGAATTTTGCGTTGTGTGATTGGGTTGAATGTGAAGACATGGTGCAAGTGAATTTGGTTGTAGTGGTTGAACGAGAGGTTGCTCGAAAGAGGGAGAGCATTAAGTACCCAGATGAAATCCCTCCGAGTCTTCTTGAGTGAAAAACGCGTCCAACCGTGACGCGAATTCTGACGATTGGAGGTCGCTGGAGGTGGATCTTGTGACGCCATACTTGAATTCTTACAATTGCCATTGGCTGACGTCAAGATAGATACGTGCATTCAACGTGAAACTCGCACCGGAGGGTAATGATGGTTCAGATGGAGGGTATGATGAAGATCCCCGAACGGACACGAAAGCTTATAACAAACTAATTTGAGCTTAAGAGGAGCGCCCGAGCTTTGAGGTACAGTCCATGCGAAGCATTGAAATTTCTGGGCATCACACTGCAGTGTCAATGATTCTTGGCAATGATTGTGAAGGATAGACGGTGTGGATGAAGTTAAAGAATGGATGCATTCAGTAAAGAAAAGCGTCTTCGCACGAGCGCTCAAAATTAGGCGCCGAAGAACCTATAGAATCTACTATCTCATTCTTTCTATCGTCGGTGATGAGCACATCGAGGAGCTCCAGAGCAATAAGTTGGACGTACTCTTCAAAATTAGACGCCATCACCCTCAAATGTTCCAAGCCAATGCTGGTCCCGCTACTAAGCCTAACCGAGAGGTCGAAAAGGTTCTGAATCTTTACCCGCGGATTTGCGTGATGAATCTTAGCAGCTAAATCCGCAAACTATGAAGAATCATGGAAAGCAAAGAAAGTTTCAGGAAGCGCTGGTGAAAAGTTTCTGGATTCATTCTAATGCCAAAGTCTTAGGATCCAAAAACGCTAGCTTCGGGCTAGCTTTGACCTCAACTCTGACAAAATCGACCCCAACAACGCTACTCTGATTTTCCTGTAGTTGGGGTCAAACTTTGCCTCGAGACGCTACTTGGACCCTATATGAACTCGTAGTCGGATTCGATTTTACCTGGCTGTTCTTTCTTCCTTGGGAATCGTGCGAACAACTTGTCGTTCTCTGATGACAAATTTTACAGAACATCAAGCTTAAGTGCATGTTTCCGATGCAGAATATCGGAAAACCAGGGTTCTGCATGTTTACTGTCATTGATCTTTTTCGATCAACGCTCGATATTTCTAGCTTTGACCGCATGTATGTACGTCAGACCAGTGTTAAACCCTGAAGCTGCAGATTGTTGCTTTCAAGTTTCAATTTTCAAGATACTGTAACTCGTACATTATGCCATCGTAAAGCGTCATGAGTCCTGATATACCATTGACAGTGGGTGACAATTCTTTAAAAGCATAGACATTTCTCGGGATCCCTCTACTTCCTTCCACCACACTAGCTGCCTAGAGGATATATCAAAATGTCGGCAACGTAACTAAGACTGCGATGAATCAAAAGGATCAGTACAAGACATGTAAACTTCCAAGATGCCAATCTCAAATTTGAACATACACCAGTAGGCTGCTTTCTGGGATGTCGCGGTACGTCAAATTTACAGTCAAATCAAACACATGACAAGTTTTTCTTGATAAACAAGCGTTTGTCCTCATTTGCCTCACAATACTTACCTCTAGGCTCTGGTAGTTAGCTTTTGCACACGTTCCTATATAAATCTAAAAGGGCTTGTTAAAGCCTTGTATTCAAAAACCGAGAAAGAAATCGGAGTTATGGGATGAATTGACCAATCGGCTGTTGCCTAGCATTCCCATTTCTGGAAAAGTCTGCCCCACCAGCCGTGACTACCGTGACAGTGTTTGAAGTTCCAAGAATTCAATCATTTTTCCACATATCCCTCTTGATTCCTCCCCTTCACAAGCAGCAGACCGCTCATCCTGCCTTGCTTTTGCGAGGCTTCCGTTCTCTTCCAAGCACTTTCTTTAAAATCAAATAAATACCTTCAAACAACATTAGACTTTTACCATGGCACCTCCCAGGCCTCCTTTTGGAACCGACGAACCGGAATCTATTTACGAGACTCCCAACCATCCTCAGCGACGAATTCGTCAGCCAGCACCCGTTGACCCAAATTCAAGAACTTCTGCTTACAACGTGTCAGTGCATTTCTTTTCCTGCACTTCCTGTTTGGAATCCGACGTTGATAAATGGGTTTCAACAATTGCAGGTATAACAACTACATCCACGATGACAGTAACCGCCAGTCGGGGATCGACGCCCTTGGTGCAGGCTTCATGAATGGCTCTATGGATGATGATGATGATGAACCGCAGGAAAAGTACAACCCCTTCACCTCCGCGAAGGAACAGGAAGCATCGAAGCATGCCATGTTAGCAGCCGCAATTGGTCCTCGCAAGACTCCCACTCCACCCCCTCAGTACATTGCTTCTCCACGTCCGGGATATGCTGCGTCCGTAGAAGCTCTGTCACGCCCGGAACCCGCTGCCATTCCAGCCACTCGTCAGCCTCCGAACGGACTGAGTATAAGTACCAGCAACAATCCTTTCGCAACACCTATGGATCACCAGGCGTTCCCGAATGGTCCTCACGTGCCTCAGCCAATTGCCGTCCCTAACACTCCGCATCCACTTCAACCACCTATGACTCCCATCACCCCGGTCTTTGCTAGGCCTACCAAACAGCAAGACATTCGTTTTGATGAGAAACCTATCATGCGAGGTGCAGGCGAGGGTACTTCGATTCCCAGCAGAGGAGAGAAGGGTGATGATTTTTGGAGGCGATTTAGTATGGTTGTCAAGGAAGAAAACAGCAAGCCTTCTCAACAGAAACAGAGGTTCGTTTATTGTCCTACATCCTCATAATACCCTTTCGTGCTCACTTTTCGTTTACAGTTCTTGGTTAAAGACCACACAGGGGCGCACAAACTCCATGTTCCGTTGGGTCTTCTTTATCGGTATGATTCTCACTATAGTAAGTCCTCTCGGCGTTCTGTGTTCTCTTCCTCCAATTGACTTCTGATAATAGTGCGCTCTTGGTGCTATCGGTTTATGGTGGTACGCATCTCACAACAGCACTGCTCATGATCAGCCGCATGCTATGGGGGGGTCAGAATCAGAAGCAGGATCAGCATCAACATCGGCGGTCGGACATGCATCATCGGCTGGAGTTCTGCAAACAAGTTTGCACGTCTCGCCTACGAATACAGTTGCTCGACGGATAGTCCATGAACTATATGAGACTCAGCCAACCGGTCTTTCTCTTCTTAATAAACGACACAAACAGAAGCTGCATTTAAATCGGGTTGATTGATTGAGGTCCATAAACATGGATTTACCCACGATATCTTTGGTCGTCCATTCTCCACCACACATCATACCCTACCTCCCTTTGCATTGGAATATCTACTGTTCCGTCCATTCTTTAAAGCCTTGACTGCTCGTCCCTCCTCACTGCCATTGCCATACATACGTCCTATTTATTGCTCCCATCTTTTGCTCGGATACCCATTATTGAGGCAGGCTGCAGCATTCCTCCTCTTCCAACTCGACCTACTAGCCTACCCTACCTTCTTCATTAATATCCCATCCTGCTTCCCTCACTCCATCTTACATCATGTACCGCTTTATGCCGCGCAGTTGAGGTTATAAAGTATGTGTTCGCCTCCGGTTCGCGTGCTTTTGATTCACGGTTTGATAAGGCCAAGTAGGGTCTCGAGTCCGCATCATTTTTACTTCGAATTCGGATTGCATTTTGATTTCACTGTGGTATACGCATTGTTAGTAGTAGTATAGCTTGAATCCTATCGGTGAGGCCTCACCTCATTGCCCTTGCGGTCCAAGTTTTGAACTCCGTGTGGAGCGGGAAAGCAATCTTCGGCCCGAGTTTAACAATGTCTTCTCTACCTCCACTTTCATTATCGATATTGGGTGTCGAACCTCTCGATGAGTTCATCAAAGAAATTGCAGATTTTATCCATCATATGATAATCTCCAGACCTGATCTGCCGGGAAATGTTGAAGTAGAAGCAAAAATTGGTCTTTTACGCGAAAGAGGTGGAGGGAGGCTATCGCTTCCTGTCCTCGTCGAAACGAGTATGTGTGTGCCAGTACCCTCATCTGCATATTCTATACACTCATAACCTTTTCGTTAGTCCTTACACCTGATTCGATTGATTGTCGATTCGAATCAAATATGACTGCTGTATGTATGGCCATTGGCCTATGTAATTTTGTGCAAGACCTCCACATCTCTGACCATGGTCTTGATTCGAAAAAGGCTCAACATAAGCATTTCAATACGCTTCTAAACGAACTCAAAATTTCCTCCTCGCAACCGGGATATGCGTCCAGCTCGCCTTTGGATTACCATCATCTCCGTCTGGTGGATTCTTTCTATCCTTCTGAAACCAACGACCGAGAAAAGATTCGCGTCACTCGGGATGAGAAATCGGGCGCTGTTATTGAGTGCATGAGGAAGATACGGTTGGGTGATTTGAATATATACAGTCCCAAACGGTCGGCGGATTGGAGAGTTTCTGTCAATTTGGAAGTACCCTGTGTGTGTTTTTATTTCTTGACGCTCTCAGAGAGATGTAAGTGAACAAAAAACATACAGGCTCACATCCTGTCGGATCTTCGACACATCAACGAAAAAAAGACCGAATGAGCTACTCGCATGAAGAGTTCAATATTGACCTGACTCAAGTTACTTCCACAAATCAGAGCGGTACAGTACGTGGCGTTCTTTCTCGTATAGTCGAAATACTTGACGTATACGTTCGAATTTTTTGTAGCCCGAGATTCTACACGAGCTCGAACTAGAGATCGCACGACCGGCTTTGCTGCTGTTAACTGCCTCAAAACGAGGAGATATGAACGCGCCTGAGAATGAACGGAACGCATTTGATGAGCTTATTCGGGCTTTTGTAAACAATGCTCGTATACTAGCGAGAAATGCCAGTGATAGTTGGCATTGAGTGGCCGAGTGAGTGACACTTACCGTGTCTGTCTATGGTCTCTATCTAATGTGTCCGATTGCGAAAGCTTATAATTAAATTTGGTTTCGCACCGTCTTGTACAGCTGACTCTGGTGAGCAGCGGTATCTATGGTAAAATATCTATCTTAGCTGAAGCCATCAACGCAACTTACTGCCGTATTGTGTTCATATACATATGGAGAAATTTCTCATCGCTGCTTGGTTTTAAAGCTGTGAGGGTCTTATCAGAGTACGTCGTTTATGCAGACAAGTCTGTTCCATTTTGGAATAATTCTGAATATGAACTGTAGACGATCGATAGATGCTTTGTACGAACTCAAGCTGCTTGATGAAATTATTTGAGCCACAGGCAAGACCTTAGTCTGTCTTATGAATCGACAACCGCTCTTTCAATTTACCAGATGCTGAAACTTGAGGGAGAGTGCTGTCACAACCACAAGTGTTCATCATCGAGCAGGTCAACTTGCGTTCGTGTTCGTGTTTTCTGCCATTCATGCTGCCAAAGCCTTCAGCAGCATGTTGGTAAAGCCTGAGCTTGTCACTTGCCACTGACACATCCATTCTCTTGGGCCAAGGGAACGAATCTACCACACCATATGGGTGCAACTTGCACAATTCCTAACCGTATACTTAGCAGTCTTCTCCAGTTTTAGGTCTTAGTATCTGACGGGCTATTGAGATAGACCGGAATCCGGTTGAATATCGTCGGGAAAACAATGATTCCTGTTTCCGTTTCTTCCTTTCATTCCCAGTATTGTGGTTTAGCGTCGATGTGCACCATTGCGATAGACCATAAAGCCATAACGATTCTAGCCTGACTCATAATCAATGCTTCAACACTAGTGTCTATATTTAGTGTTTTTCCGGTTTTTTCCGTTCGAAGTCGTATGTAAGTACCCCTCAACCGTTAATTCGGTACACCAGGATGCAGATTCCCTGACCTTTCGGCGAATAGGTGATGCTTCTGGAAATAAGCCCTCTCAAATACCGACTATGATGCTCGTGATAGTGCAGGAAATATGGAACAAAACATTCGAATTCAGCATTACACCTCCAGCAAACCTCGTAGTTGGGTCTGTCGGGTAAGTAGGCTCTCATTATTACCACCTCTAAAATGTCTCTGCTTCCGAAACATCCTTCAATGAATCCTTACACGTGGCAGCCCCCGCCCAAAGACCTGGAATCGGTTTTGGATTCCGATTAAGTACTGTTTATGATCGGGGAGGAGCGAACCTCCTTCAGGACATCCACTACGTTGGTTTCATTCTCGGGCAGTACAAATTTGAGCTGGATCACATCCTGACTACCCTCACCTTCTTTTCCCTTCATCATCTTTGTCAACGTCAAATTCTTCGTCGTTTGTCGTTGTGTTTCGCTTGCCTTACCATGTCTCACCATCACGACGACCCTCCTAAATCCAATTGGACGCAGAAATTCCTCAGCGCCAGCAGCGTCGTTGTCCATCATGTTCGCAAACACGTCGGAGTTGGGCTGGTCTGTTCCATCGCATACTTTGATCCGTGCGGTCTATCCTTTTTAGATTTTGCCTGTCATCAGGAGCCTGATTTATCTTTATAGAGGAAATTGGGGAGTTGACCTACAGGCCGGGTCGACGTACGGCTATCGTTTACTTTTCGTCGTGTTAGTAGCAGGGTTGATAGCGGTTATTCTGCAGGTCCGTTTCCGATGATTTACCCCCGGTTGTTTCTGACAGTCCACTCTCAGGTTCTCGCAACTAGACTTGGTTGTGTAACCGGTTTAGGCGAGTTGACTCGCTGTCCATTATCTTTTCATTCTGGACACATCTCACTATTTTTTCACATAGACCTTGCATCGCACTGCCGCTTACTTTTACATTCGCACCCCAAATACCCCCGACTAGTACGGTGGATTGCGCTCTATCCTCTATACGTCCTTGCAGAAGTTGCCATCATCTCAACTGATCTCGCAGAACTACTTGGTTCCGCCATGGCGCTCTGTATGCTATTCCCAAAACTCCAATTATGGCAAGGTGTCCTCATCACGGCGGGTGATGTTATTTTCCTTCTCGCATTGAAAGACCCCCTACGTGGTCGTCCGGTACGGGCGTTCGAACTAGCAATGGCCTTTTTGGTAAGATTTTTTCACATTAATGGTTCGGACCCTGATTGAATTTCAAAGGTGTTAGCAGTTTTAACATGCATGTGTATCATTATCTCTCGGGTCCATGTTGAATGGAACCACGCATTCCAAGGATACTTACCATCCAAATACATTTTTCCCAACGGCGCGTTTTACACTTGTGCATTAATTTCTCAAGTACGCCCAAAGTTTGTTAATCTTGTTGTTGAATAGCTGTCGGTATTCTCGGCGCAACGGTAATGCCCCACAGCCTATTTCTTGGCTCAGCTCTTGCCACACAGGACAGGGACTCATCCACAAAATCACAATACCCCTCCCGTTCAATCGATTCGAGCATATCTTCAACATCCACCGTTTTCTCGGCTCGCGATTCCCCTGAAACTAGTGCCCCTAAGGAAACGCCCGAGGGTGGCTTGCGAACGCGCGGCAAATCTCACACCTCTATATCGCGCATTATTCAACCGTTCCGGTTGATACTTGCACAAGTGTTCCGGACGCACCCTGAAACCACGTACGGGGCGAAATACCACATTAAGCGACATGAGGACTGGGAGAATAACAGCTTCGATTTCGTGAAAAGACATCTGTACCATGGAATCGTGGATATGACTGGGAGTTTGCTGGGGTTTGCCGTGGTCATTAATAGCATGTAAGCCCCTTGTCCGGATTGTGGTTCTACTTTTTATGGTATTGATTTTTTTCACAGGATTCTCATTCTGTCCAGTGCGGTTTTTTTCTCTGGAAATGGATCAGGCCAAACCCAGCGCGCGGCGGGGCTATTTGATGCTTACGATTTGATTAGGAGTGCTGTCGGGCGAAGTATGCGATTCCTGTAACTTCGTCTATCCATTCTTCTTATTTCATTTTGTAAAGGTGCTGCTACACTATTTGCCATTGCCCTTCTAGCCGCTGGACAGGTGAACGCCATCCGTCTAAAATATACTAATCGGATGCTGACGATTTGTGTTGATATCTTTTCCTTCCATAGAGTTCATCTCTGATTGCTACCATCGCAGGTCAAGCTGTAGCTGAAGGCTTTTTGAGATGGAGAGTTTCGGTGAGTTGTTCATAAAATTTTTCGACCTAGTTACCCAACGTTTTCAATATTCCCTTAGCCAATCATCCGTCGACTCTTCACACGAATAATCGCTATTATACCTTCCATGGCCGTTGCAATCGCTTTCGGGCGGCCAGGTATAAATGCTCTACTCGTGATCTCGCAAGTCATCCTATCGATTGTTCTCCCATTCATCACTTTACCTCTGCTTTATCTCACATCGTCGAAGAAATTTATGAGCGTGGAACGTCCTTGTAGCTGTTGTCCCACCAATTCTTCCCCCGAAATGATCCCTGCTGACTTGGAACGAGTACCTAGCCATCCCCACGAGTTCAGCGGTAATTCGGATGCTCCCTGTCATGATCTTGAGGAAGGGTATCATTCTGATCCTTCTATTGAAGACTCTGATAAATCATCCCATCCAATTGCACCTTCATCTGACCTCTGCTGGATTGCATCCAATACTACAAAAAGTTGCGAAATCGTAGTTAATGCTACTGCGAATGTAGACACGTCCGCAGTGGTGATAGAAGCGCACCGCTGCCATGGAACACAAATAGACTACAGCAACAACATGTTCATCACCTTCCTGCTTTGCGGTGTGTGGATAGTGATTGCAGCTGCCAATGTTTACGCCATTGTGGCACTTGCTATGGGACAGAGCTCATAACCAGCGTTGTTTGTGATTTTTTTGTTGTAACATATATACATACTACATACTACCCCGAATCTGTATCTTTATATCTGTGTATCCAAATTCAAAATTTTACAGCTATCTTTTACAACTGAAACAGCCTTTATCCCTTGTGCAACCCCCTTTCATTATCCGCGCTCTTCCCTGTACTAGGTCCCCGATGTCCTTTTAATCTTCTGCGCTAACATCTCTCCTCTGTTTATCCCAGCTGGTCCTTCTTTCCTGGTCTGCTTGCCGTCTCCTCCTTGCTCGTTTCATTCTCACTTGATCACCTTAAGTTGCATTAGCATCTTGGTTGTTGCCTTCTAAGCTCCCATCTTCGTGGCCATTTATTACTTCCTGCTATTATAACGCTGTGTTTGTAAGTACGGATTTCACGTGCATCGGATAGCTTGTATAGTGTTTACGCGCCCTTTCGAGAGGCTCATGATGTTGCAGCTGGTAAAATAGTTTTACCCCGGTTACCGATTCAGGCTCTTTAGGTGGGCCGGGCCGACAATTAACCTAAACATCCCATTCGACCATCCACCATCCTAGTACTACTACTAGTTCCTCAGAGCTTGGATGCGATGCCGAGCTCAGAAATCTTGCCCTCAGATGGCGTTTCACGGGTTCCACTAGATCTCGAGGAGCGTCCGAATATTCGGACATGTGGAATCGGTGACCTACCAGTGGAAATCCTAGGACACATATTCGCAATGATCCATTCTCAGACTATTTCGTCTTCTATGACCAAATTCACAACTTCTGATACCGTCCTTAGGCTCTCCCATGTTCACCCGCTCTGGCGGGAGACTTGTATCTCAGTCTCCAGCCTCTGGAGCCATATCCACATCATCCGTGCTTCGAGCGATGAAGTCGAACGTACTGAAATGTTCCTTGAAAGATCAGGAACATCACTCTTGACAATAGAGTTTCACGCTCGCGCGAATACAATCCCATATACTCCAGAGGCAAATAGAATGATACAGAAGCTCTTTGCGGCATGCGAAAGGTGGAAAGGAGCTTCGTTCTCCATCCAAGCTCAATCCATTGAGCAGGTTATGATAGCCCTTTTCGGTGAAAACGGGACTCCTCAGCTTGACCAGAAATTTCATTTTCCGTTTTTGGAAACATTCTCGTTTACTAGTCGACCAGAGAGCCAGAACCGTCGTTTTTTTGACATGTTCCAGCAAAAATCCACTCCTCGATTGCACAACCTAGTTATTCCCAACTATACTACATTCCTACCCTTCGCATTTGGCCAGATAACAGATCTAACTCTGTCCAAAATGAATAAGGATTTCCCGGACCTTTCTGTGTTGTGTCCCCATCTTGTTAGACTGAAAATCGGACAAACATTTGGCGAGTCCAATGAACCCACACCAGCGCATGCTGCTACTACTTTCGAATTGCCCAAACTCGAAACAATGATTGTGAGCTGCTCTGGACCTGGTCGGTTGTGGAGCATGTTAACCTTGCCATCTCTCCGAAACCTCGCCTTGGAAGCAATAACGTTCATGCCATTAGAACACGTAGCCATCCTCAATATGCTGCGCAGGTCTGGCTGTGGACTGGGTCTGCGAAGGTTGACCCTGGCATATATGGATATCACAGATGTAGATGTGATGAGCATGCTGAGTCTCATGCCACAATTAGAGGAGTTTGTGTTACACGAAACACTCTTGAGGCAACAGAAAATTCTGACACCAAGGCTACTTATGGTCTTAAAACTGCCTAACACTAACCGGGATTTGGCCACCACTGTCAATGACAGTACCTTTGTCTCGCCGGCTGTCACCAGAGCTCACTTCATCCCTAACCTAGCGTACATTGAACTTCAAGTATACTATTTCCCCACATTTGGACTTGACTTGCTCTTTGACATGCTATCATCTCGAGCTGTTATTTCCAGCGGGGATCATCTGTCCTCGTTCTCTACCAGACAAGCCTCAGGTATCTTGAAACAAATTGTTCTTTGCTTCGTATTGGACGAAGTCAATCCCCCTGTTCAGATACCCTTAGAACTAGAAAATATGGTGAACAGGTTGAGGCTGGTGAGCACATCCCATATCCAGAGCATGGTGCAATGCGGACAGGAGTGGAAAAAAGAATTCTGAGTGGGCTATGTGACTCGAAGGAGTTAGAGTTCGAACCACGAAGCCCAAATAGTACTACATCCTGAAGCTTTGTCCTAATACTCCGATCCATAAACACAATTATTGAGATTTGAATTTGCTTAAACAAGATGTCCGACAGCGGAACGAACCACACAGTACTAAGTACAGGCTACGCGAGTCATTTGGCTTCGAGATTGTTATGGCGAATGCATGTACAAGTTGACAGAGTGGACAGTGCACTGGCAACTTTAAGCAACAAATGCTCTTAAATAGCATGACTCGCAGGGAATAAAGTCAAGACAACCGATAGCAAGGTCAAGAAGGTGACTGCGGTAAATCACACTGCTCAAAGTCGAAATGAAAGAAATTTTACCTTTCGCAGCCTCGCAGAGATAAAATTCATGTTGGATCTTGATGAATATTGCGGTATAAACCATGCACTAGAAGTAACAGTGATTAGAGTAGAGCACTAGAGCGAGACGAATGAACATACTATATTATATTATTTTTGCAAGGAAAAGCCGGATCTTAAAAAGTACTGCATACGACCTTCAAGCTATTCCTAGTCGCGATTTTAAGCCAACCATTTGCAGATCCTTCGGGAGCATGGGAATAATCTAGTGACAGAAAATATTACAGGTCAATGTCCCCGTTCGGCGACGTTGATATAAGCGAACCTTCTTGAGAGCCTCTTCCCCTCCAACATCCCATCCACTGTCGGCGACGTCCATGCACCCATCTACCACCTTCGTTATTAGTTGGCCGACACCAAAAAGTTCTCCGGTTGATTTCCTCCATCTCGTCAAATTAGATATTAATTTTAGCTGCCGCGCGAGGTATCGTTTCCGAGCAGGTATGGCTTCTGGGTTGAAAGTAGAGGCAGAACCGTGACCGGCCGAATTGAATTTTGCAAGCAATGCTTCATTTTCCGATACCGCTTTGGTGAAGCAAGCTATAACAGCCTTGTAAAAAATCTGCAAAACAAGTTTGTTTATTCAATCAAAAGAATAACCAGCATTGTAGAAAACCGCGACTCACTTGAAGCTTGAGGTGCCCCTGGTCTACTTCAGAAACACTAGCTTGAAGTTCTTCTGATAGATCGACTGCCCGTCGAACATGAGAAGACGAATAGACGTCGAGCGCACCGGTTTCAATAATTTTGGAAAGTCTTGGAATGATAGCGGTGGATACCATGGAGGATACGAGGTCACCTTCAGGTCCTAGTTCCCGTCCTTCCATGTTAGGATTTCCCGGACGACAGAATTCGTACAGGCCGTGATACCATCGGAAGCTGTCTAAGCTTTTGGAGTCCTGTCAGAGGCAAGTGTCAATGAGTCATGTACGTGGCTCCAGAAGGTGATAAACCATGCCTGGATACAGTCCCAGCCAACAGACTCCAGCCTTGCCCAGAATTCCCAAGCACTGACAACACCAAGTCCACCAAAGGCAGCAACATAAGTTTCTTCATACTGACTTCTCCATGTTCCCCATCTACCTTTAGCCGGATCCAAGAATTCCTTGGACTTGACATCTGCAAGGACATCATGCGTGCGCGTAGCAATCGATGCTAAAGCATCCTGATATGCTGCTTCATCAGGCGGAGGAAGGTCTGAATCTGTCCAGTACCCCTCATCACTTGCCTTTGCCTTGAAGTCTTGATATCGCTGGTACCGTATACTGCGTCGTTCTTGGCATTCCCGACGAGCAATGGCGGGATCTGATCGGCGAATTTCCCGACCAAACTCATCAAGTTCTGGGGTTGTGTCCTCTTGTGTTGAAGGCAAAGGACCTAAGAAAGTGGAAAGATCATCTTCCACGTCTTGCAATCTTCGTTTGGTAATGATATCGAAACGCTCTTGTAATAGAGAAATATGTTCGCTTTCTAATTTTTCCAGTAGAGGATACTGAATGATACGGTCAACAAATCACAAGGAGTTCTTTATACGAAGTCAAACTAACCTTCTCGTCTAGAAAAGCTGCAACACTCTCTACCCATTCGCTGAAAGAGCTAAACCAAGCTCTCTTGTCTTCAGCATTTGACACTAGGGCCCGAAGTTCTTTCTCCCTGATGTCTAATTGGTCCCGTTCTTGGGCAACAGTGTTCAAGCTAGCCGTATTCGATGCATGAGATGTTGTCAATTGCGCTAATTGTTGAGTTAAACGTGTAAGTGCAGAATTAAGAGTGGGTATAGGGGCAATAGGAGGTACTGAAAATGCAATGAGACTTGGAACAACCCATCCGAAAAACTCGAACTTACTCGGAGCTGGTATGTACGTCTGTTTGATCTTGCCTTTGGAAGTAGATGTATCTGGTTTAAGATGACCTCCTCGTCGAAGCTGCTCGTGCTCCCATTCCACAGATTCTTCGTCTTCATCCGCTCTAAACGTACGTCATGAATTATCAGCGAGAAATGAACTTGGGCCTACGTACGCTTCAGTAATCAGCTCTTGCATCATTTCACGCCGCTTAGTAACCTCGACTTTGCGTGATTTTTTCCCCAGAGCAATCCGTTCCTGCGCACTGGTGTATTCAGCGTACTCTGATCCAACAATGAGCAGTTTCTCGATAACAAAGTTGAAAGACTACACATACCATCATCCCCTTCCCCCAATTCGTCCTCCTCTCTAACGAGCCTGCTCTCGGGATGAGGGCCCTGATCATCTGCTTTTCGCGTCACAGATAGGGATATATAATCTTCGGATGGGGAAACGCCCGATTTTCGTAACCGCTCGCGACGTTCTTTGGCATTTTTGATTGCAGATTCCGTGTGTATCAGTGTATCGGATTCCCCTGTATGGGCTGTGAATGTGTGTAAACTCTTGATGGGTCATCGACGTACCTGTGATGTCTACAACATCCAGCATAGAAACATCTCCCAAGTCCATTGTTACATCAGTGGACATGGACATATCCGCATCGTAAGGGTCCACAGACGTTTGCGGCGGTGCTCGAGATGAGGGAGTACTCTTCTTGAGTTCCTGGAGGTAAGCTGCATCGTATGTTGGCCCATTGCGGCTGGGTGATATTGTCGCTTGATCAAGGTTGTCTGGAAATTTACTATTGAAGTGAATTACAGAGAACGTTAAGAAAGAAGACTCACTCACGTAGAATGTTTACTAAGAGTTAAATTCCTACTCAATTTTGATTTTTTCAGTTTGAAGACTTCGCCTCCTGAAGTCTAGCAACACCATCACGACCTTAGTATATTGCTCTCTTGAGCACTAGAAACTCTCACCTCATCATCTTCCTCTGCGCCAAAACTCAGTCTTGATTTTGGCTGCGACTTCTTTGTCCTATCCTTGAACTTTTTGACAGCCAAAAGTGGTGACTCCGAATCGGTGGTTAAGTCTACATCTGTGCCAGTTCCGGCAGTCTCAGCAGCCGGAGAGCGTTCATCAGCAATATCGTCTTCAGGTAGACCGCGGTTCCTTTGAGTTGGTTTAGTTTTCGAGCGTTTGAACATTACAGTCGATAACTGGGTAACAAAGTGATTACATCATCCACTCTTGTTCGAACTAATTCTTCAGAATTGGCATTGGCAATGCTAGATAATGTCAGTAATTGGTATAATCAGTCGATAATGTAGTTCCTGGCTAGAAGGAATTTTACTGGCAGCCCATCACAACAGTAAACATATAAGTACTTGTACCATGCCAGTATACGGTTGCTACAGGTCGACCACCTCAACCATATCACCTTCCTCAAGGTCATAATCCCCAATCTCTATATCATTCCCAACCTTGTCACCATCAATACTCAGCTTCGGCACCTTATTAATCGTCGAACCAACGACACTTCTCCTCGACTTGGTCTTCTTCTGTAAACTGCTACCATCCGCAGAAAGTGCCGGATATTTCTCCATCAACCCGGCTTTCTTGAGGAAAGCATTGACAATAGCGCCGCACTTGGTTGTTGAACGAACATTGAGGGTAATGTCTTTTGAAGTTAGAGCGGAACGAAAGACTAATTTGAATTTGTCTTCGTCCTGGTCATCCCCAGCGGGTGCTCCTGTCTGTAATGCAACACTGGCGTTGGAATGATCGTCATCATTGTTGTCCATAAAACTTGAAGGACCGATTTTGTCGTCTTCTTCGTCAGAGTCAATCTCGATAATATTCGAGGGGGGATCTGTAGTAGTCTTATTCGCTTTGGCTGCAGCTTCAGAGCGCAACTGTTCCGCGGCCACCTTCCGTTTATATTCATAAGTGGGTAAATCACAGGCGACTGATAAACATGAGCGAGTATTGAATAATTTGAATTCGGAAAGCCTCACCAAATTCTGCATCGCTCCAAATGTTGAGGGTCTGAGGCGTAACAGAAGAGAAAAATCGATTCCCTCTATAAGCCATGACAAGTTTGTCCGCAAGCACATTAGCTTCTTCGGCAACTGACTCAAACAATTCGGAAAAGTTATCAGTCTGATACAACGTTTGATGAGCATTTCATCCGTATCATGGTTGACGAAGCATACCCTGTCTAACTTGAAGCCCCAAGTATCACGTTTCCCATGCTCGTTCAATGGATGAGGCTCCCATCTAACAGTGATATTCACAGTGTCATTTCCTCCATTGGGTTCGGCGGAAGAAGAGGTGTGGCCGAGAAGTTTGGATTGAGATTTCACATTTTGAGCGATCTTGGCTAACTGTGGATCATAAACAAAAGAATCTTCTTCTTCGAAATCGTCCTCAATATCTGGGGATGACTGGCGATCTCCACCAAGAGTATTTCTGAATGCAAGCATTGGATTACATTGTAACACCGCATACATTAACACGATGTGTTACTGACCTAACAACTTCTTTTGCATGATCTAGCTGGTATTGCGGTATAGCAGGAGGTGGAGTGATAGACTTTGAGCGGCCGCGTTTTGACCCTTCTGTACGTTTTCGCTTGAGTTTACCATCATTAGCGTTTCCGGAATCCTCTATTGTTATAGAACCATCACTATCCGTGCCGCCGTCCGATATATCTTGCGATAGAAGGCTGGGTAATAATGAATACGCGTGTTCGGAGACGATTCATTGCGGCACTCACCGAGCAAATTTCTTGTCAGTCTGCCATCGAGGGCGTTTGAGAGGGCTATCATATTCTTTCTTGCGTTTGGAGTTGCTCGGCTGAGGTGTGGAATTATCACTGTCACTATCTACAACAACGACGGTTTTCTTCTTTCTCTGATCTGTTTCTGGACGAGGAACGACATATTAGCGCGTTATAGTTGCATAACATATGCATGCAGTTTCAGTCTGATAACTCACCTTTGCTGATTTTCCGCAACTTGGCCCAACCATCTTTACCACGGTTCCGCATAAACATCTCGTCGTTGTCTTTGACATTGTCATAAGTGACCTTGTTGGCAGAAGATAAAGTGCCTGGTGCAGAAGTGTTAGCAAACACGGTACTAGATGTAGCTTTGGGCAGAGGTTTAGGTCGTGGTTTTGGGCGGACAGTTGTGGCAGCTTGAGACATGTGAGTCGTGCGAAAATTAACTTGGCGCGGCAGCTCGTGTTCCGGGCTCCGGGCGAGTCGGGATCTGGAGTCTGGACTAACTTGAGACCAATCCGCAGTTGCAACGACGATAACGAAAACTTCCACACCAAATTTACCCTCCTCTTACTTCTGCAGCTTTCTGTTAACGCGTCCACATTATTTTCATGTCACAGGGGACAATATGACCAGCTCAGATGCAGACTCCGAATCAGGCCGTTCTTCGCCAGTCCTTGCTTCCATCAATTCCTCTTCTGCTCTTATCCTTGTACACGATGACGAAGAGGAGGGTCCGGACGTCAATTACGCGCAAGATCTAGAGGACGTCGAAGATGACGGTGATTCGCCGTATCTTGGTATCACCCGGCCATATGTCCAACCACTTTCTCCAACGACTGTTTTGCTATATTTGCTTGCACCCTACCTCAAACTAGGAGCAATCTTACTGCCCAATGCGGACCTGCCATTGAGGCTCAGCATTCCTCTTCTGCTGGCTTTCGCTATCCTCGCAGTTTTCGCGAGACAGATCTGGTATATGCTTTCCCGCTACCTTCGAAAAGGACCTGGAGAAGAGGATATCCTGGTCGACGCCTTTTCTCTTTCGAGAGGAAGCAGAATAACGCGACAACGTATCCGAGAAGCTGTTAGGTCAGGAATACGGGCAGTAACTGGGATATTCAGATTATTCCTGGCAACTACGTATCTTCGTGGTGTGTACTTTCTTCCTTTAAATAATACCATACCAATATACGACCAGAGGCTAGCTATGCGTTAGTTTCCTTACTCCCTTCAGACATCGTGGTTCCAAATTGGACCTTCACTCTGATTTTGGCTGTATTCATATATCCCTTTGTGATCGCACAATCGCTCGGAAGCAAGCGAGTCATATACACTACTTGGGCCTCTATTGCATGTTATATAATATGGTTCATTTGTGTCGTATTTGCACACGCACATGGGGCTCTTATCGGTAATTCCAGCTGGCTGCGAATGGGTTTACTCTGGGAAGGCACATGTATGTGTTAATTCTTACATTCACCGACTAATAACCTAACATCAGATAGCAACTATCGCGTTTACCTTCACCTCTTCTTCCACACTCATTCTGTACTCTTCGCTGCAAGCAAATGCGCATGCCACAAATTCAGCAGCAACTAAAACACCGTTATCACGCTCGTTCAAAATACTTTCTATCATTTCCGTAGTCCTAGCTGTTTGTCTCACTCTCCCACTATTGGTATTTGCCGCCTTTCCTAACAAACCTCAAGCTGTGAGTTGTGTCTGCGTAGAATGCTCCCGCTTTCGTTAACTTGTTCTCCTTTTCAGCAGGACATACCAAGCTATAGGGTGATACCATTCATCCTAGCATTAAGTTCTATCACTCTACTTCTGGGTATACCTTTGGTTCTCACCACAACACCATCCCTCCCTCTTCCAGAACGTTTTCGACGCAGTACTACCATTCCGCTGTCCAAAACCTTCATCTTCGTCGTCGTTGTCTTACTTTCAATTGTCCCAATATATGTATCTCGTGTGTATAACGACGTACTTATCGTGTGCGCATTAGTCGGCACCTACTTTCTTCCTGGTAAGCTATTGCACTTTTTGGTTGAATAGACCTCAATGAATATTTCCAGCTCTCGTCCACATCTGTACCCATTTTTTCAAACGTCCTCTCTCCATTATCATGCCCACCCTTCCGTCCACGCCAAACGATCCATATTCGGCTACTTTTTCCTCAAATCTTCCTCCGTTACCTGATTCCTCTTTCGGTGCAATGTCTTCAACATCTACTCCACCGAACTCCGCCAACGATCCGCTGTTGCAACGGAAAGAGCTCATGCTGCAACGGAAGCAATTTGGGAGGCGGGTCATTTGGGATATCGGCGTCTGGACGCTGTTGTTGCCAGTTGGCGGAGGAGGGTTTGTGTGGGCCATAGGAAGGATCGCTGGGCGGTGGTAATATATCACGTCGACCGCTTTTGGTACGTTGAGGTGCAGTTTTACTAGCTATCAGGATGTAGAGTACTTCATGGACCCTGAACACTGTTCTCCTCGTATTTGAGTGTATTTTTTTGTATTGTCAATGTTTACTCTTAGGGTTTTCCTCTGAAGCCGAAATTGCGTCGACGAGCTGCAAGTTTTCACAACGATCCGAATTGGATTTCCTAAGGAATTTGCGGTTGCCGAGTGGAGACGTACAAATGGCGGCGAGACGGAACTTCGAGAATAAAAACGCTAAGTAGCTCGGGAAGAACGTGTGCCTCCAACTTTCCGATTTCACACGAACTGAGGTTACGCGCTTCTGACGCCAGCAAGATTTTCTTCTCTGTACACCACCATCATGTCTCTTCCTCAGCCTGTTCCACCGTCCTGGAAGGTCAGTGTTATTCTTATACCTTGAGTTTTTTTTTGTTCAAACAATGTTACATTTCTTTCAGGATCTCGGAAAGTCCTCCAACGACCTCCTCGGGAAGGACTATCCGTTCAACACCACCTCCCTAGAGATCAAGACTAAGGCTAACGATGTCAGCTTCAAAGTTGCCGGAAACAATGCTGGAGGCGCTATTATTGGTGACCTCGAAGCCAAGTACGGCAACAAAAAGCACGGTTTCACCCTCACCAACACTTGGACCACCGCCAACGTCTTAAAATCTCAAATCGAGCTTGAGAACCAGCTTGCCAAGGGACTCAAAGTTGACATCTTATCCTCGCTCGCTCCTGAAAAAGGTACCAAGTCCGCTGTCATCAACGCTGCCTTCAAGCAATCTGGTCTGCACACGCGCGCTGCTCTTGACGTTTTCAAGGTGTGTAGTTAGTTTTTTTTCCAAAATATTAGGTACTGACTAATCCTACTCATAGGGTCCTACGTTCACTGCTGACGCTGTTGTTGGTCGTGATGGGTTCCTCCTTGGTGCAGAGACCGCATATAATGTTACCGAGGGTAACATTACGCGTTACGCTGCCGCTATTGGTTACAATGCACCCGAATACGCTGTCACCATCCACGGTCTTAACAACCTTCGCACCTTCTCTGCCAGCTACTATCACAGAGTGAGCCCTGACGTCGAGGCTGGCGCTAAGGCTGTATACGACTCTAAGGCTACGACAGGTGGTGTAGCACTAGAAGTCGGTACCAAAGTGTATGTATGCTGTTGTTGATGGTTTCACGTCTTCCTCTTTGTCCTTTAAATGCATTTTACTGATGAAATTCACGACGTTACAGTTACCTCGACCCCGCCGCATTTGTTAAAGCGAAGATCAACAACGTTGGTGTCCTTGCTCTTGGTACGTGACAGCCATGCTCTCCTTCGATCGTCGGTGCCAAACTAAGTATACTTTGTAGGCTATACCCAGGCTCTCCGACCTGGTGTGAAACTCGGTCTTGGTCTAGCTGTCGACACTCAAAAGCTCAACCAAGTCTCTCCCAGTGGTCCTGCTCACAAGGTCGGTACTGCATTAGTTTTTGTATTTGTGGATTATCCTTACCAACGAATTCACAGGTTGGTGCTAGCTTTACCTTCGACTCGTAGATCGGGTATAATTGGGAGTGGAGATTGCGAATAATTACACGTCATTGAAGTTTCCGGTACATACTGATAGTAGAGTAATTTTTTCCTCAGTTTCTCTCTTTGAACGGTGGATAGTGCACCTCCCAATATACAGTCAATACCAATCAAAAAGAGCGAGAAAGCAATTCCTGGGTGCATTTTCATGCAAGTTGTTTTCTCAGTCTGCGTACTAAGTCTGCGTACTAAGTTAGCTCAAGTACACCGATGCTCGCAAAAAGGGTATATACGAGTACGAGCTACAGCATTTAGAAACGAGCAATACAAGAAAATGCAATAAAAGACAAGTATGAGTACATACATAGTATGAATAAGTGATTTTCATTTGGTTAATAGAATGTCAATGAGAATTATTATGCTGACTCGGAGGATTGTGCAATTGTTCAATGGAAGTCTGTTTCAAAGTCTGTTTCAGACAAGGGTAAAGAGGATCCGTAGGGTAACGAGAACGAAGGTGATCATTCTGCTGCCCACAGTAACTTGGGTGGAGCCGCTAGACGGGCTATCAGAGCCAGAGCTGTTGGATGAATCCACGGTCTGATTGGCAGCAGGATTTTGCTGCGATCCGTCTGAAGCAGTGAAATTGGAATAGACGATGATCTTTTTATTCGAATTCAAAGCAGCAACCTGGAAGTACGTGAAGTTTGTGCTGGTGCCTGTGACACTAATTGCGGTCTCGAATCCGCTTCGGGAAGTGTTTGAAATCGGGACTGCGAGTTGTGGGGAGTCTGCGGTGGATCCTGACAGTTGCCAGGTGTCGACCTCCGTAGCGCCGTTCCAACTAGTATACACAGTGGTATTGGAACCATCGGTTTCCACGAAAACGGAGGGCCGGGTATTAGGGGTAGCAGTCCAGTTGTAATGGTAAGCTCGATCTGCAAGCAGGAAAGAGTCAGGAAGCTTCCAAGCGCAACAGGCTATCTGAAACGTACAACTCTGTACATCTCCCACTCCGAACTGGACAACGTAGAGGAATTGACCATCTGCATTGTACTCAGAGAAATATGGGATTTGTCCCCAGCTGTTGTAATCAATTAGTGAATCATGAATACAGTGAGGAGCAAACATACCCGATTAGAGTGTTTCCCGAATCCAGTATACCAACGTTACCTTGAGATTCTGATACGGTTACATTATATGGAATCCACTGCTTGTTCAATGAAACTGAGTTGTTAGAGGCGTCGAAGTCTAATAAAAGGCCACGAGAGCTGGAGCTGTCTAGTTCCCAAGCAGTTCCTTCGTTATCAAATAAACTAAGGGCGGAAGTTGAAAAGTACTATGTACTCAAGAATGCAGGGAAGGACAGAGTCATACCTCATCTGAGTCTCTTGATTGTGCCATCTTACGTCGTGCTGCCAAGCGAACGTGGTTCCGTCATTCATGGTCACTGTTGAGTTGTGGCCTGTAGCACAATTTCCAAGTCAGCGTACTGTGCGCTATCTGTATATGGTACATATACCTCCGAGTGTCCAAATGATGTCCCCAGAAGAAGCGACATTGTAGATTGCATGACAATGGCGACTTGAGATGAGATAATTACCCGCACCGTCCTTGTTGACTGCATTGATATGCTGTAATCGTGCTATAATAAGACCACAAGGTACACGGACGTGGATTGAGACTCACAAAGTAATCCCATGGGTTGTCGGCAGACGTGCCTGTCGTTCCCGGACTGGCGTAGCAGCTATCGGGATCGACGTGGTCACTTGCGACCCAAGTAAAAATTGCCTCCCCTGAAAACGTAGAACTCGAACGGGTGCCGTTGAAAAGTCAAAGTACCTCTCACGTACCAGTTGAAGGGTCAACCTCCTGCGCAATGCTATCTAGTAACCATCCGTCTGTGATATTGAACGCTGAGAGATCCCAAGTTTTGGGCTGGTAGGCAGTGATCAAAGCCGTATCGTTAGACGTCATCTCAATCTATTAGCTTCTTTTGTGAGATGGAACAGAGCTTGTTGCATGTATTAAACGTGCTCACGTCGTGAAAGTCAGCGAGTGAACCATTGAGATTTGCGGCAGTACTAGATGAATGTCGGATCGGATCAGAAGTGTTATGAACAGATTACACGGAAAGAACATACAAGTTCGCAATAATCTCATACTTGTTGTTCAATATCAAGTCATAACCAAATCCTACACCTGCTCCAGCTACTGTTCCGGTCCACAGAAGCTATCGAATTTCAGAATGATTCTTCTACAAATCCTTTGGACATACAATAACCGGTTCACCCTTGTATGTTGCAACCTTGAACGTCAGAGTTTGACCAAAGCTTAGAGAGAGAACGACGATTACTCCAAAGACACTAAAGCAAATTCAAAGAGTCTCACTGAGTTCCATCCCATATCAAATTACCACTTTTATCATAAATCAGCGCGCCCGGAGAATTCACGTTCGTGCCTAATTTTCGAAAACGGTTCTTCGACCTCAGTGTTCCAACGACGTCAGAAATAAAGCTACTGACCCCTTGGGGCAATGAAGACAAGACCAGACTCAATTTGTCCGGCTGTACTGTCATTATATGGAACTACGAAGTTCCATGCTGAACTAGATCACAGATATAAGGTTCTTGAAGTTATAAGCAGTATGATTCTACGCACGGCGTTGAAGAACTCGACTTAAAGGTTTGGTAAGGTCCTGAACCCAATGTGCCGCTCGAGTAATCACTGCTCTGAAAATATGTTGTGTCGGCCAACGCCCTCCTTGATAAAATGCCTAGACATATGAAGGACAGAAAACTCTGTAGCAGCATGGGTAGACAACCAGCGACGAACAAAGGGCGCGGCGGGGGTGCACTTTGGGAAAGAAATTTTGTTGTCAACCAATCAGTCGTTCTTAAGTAACTCGTGGGTTCAATGGCCACGGAAAAAATAAATTTTCTTCATTACCCGTCGCACGGGAATGCATGACCGCATAGACCAGGACCGTGTATGAAGACTGCGGAATGGGAATGGCCTCACATGTAGCGGAAAATCTCACATGTACAGTGTCAAGCGTGATGCATCAAACGTCAGTTTTCCGCAGGCAAGCTTGTTGTTTGGCTTTGTCTGGTCCTGGTCTGAGTCTCCGGCAATTGCGTAGGCAGTGAGTCATATGCAAAAAACTGGTCAGCTAAGGGCTGAGAGCAGATCTCAGTGCTGAAAGCACTGAAAACAGTCTGCTCTGAGTGCTTTCACTGCTGGGAATGCTTTTGGACCCTTACATCAGCCCAAAAAAAACAGCTGTTCCATCCTGGGACCACACCTTCTGCAGCTGGTGGAGTCATGTATTAAAACCACTAAGCACTTGTATTAGGGATCACTCCCTCAGTCATCTGAGAATCTCCTCCCATTGTTCTTTTCGTCAAATATTCATTCTGTTTAGCCTACGGGTGAATAAGCTAGGACATAAGTAATGCGTGAAAAACGTGAACATGTAGATGTGAAGTAGAACTTGCATGTTGTTCCATTGACAACATGAACTGCTACTGGCATAATGAAGGCGTATCAACCAACGCGAAACAGGTTGTGACTGTCTGTACGGTTAATGAGCATAAAGCAGAGGGACTAGAACAGCAATGGACAGCAAAGCAAAGAGAATAAGATAACAGAATGAACAGCAGAGGTCATAAACAGAAGTTGATAAACAAGAGATGGACTAGAAATGGGATGAAAATGCAAATGCGGAGAGGTATGAATAAAAATTTGTGATAAAGATGCCAAATTTGAGATGCTAAGAATACTTAGAACACAGAACTTAGTTCATGCGAGACAACCTGCGGTTCACAGTTTTACCAGGCACAATGGCCTTGAATGCCCTCCTCACGAGAGCGACCGTCCCATTGTTCTCATCCTTGAGCACAGTCACACCTGTGCTTTCAGTGGAATAACCTATGATACCAAATTCGTCAACTGCCACAGCCTTCGCCTGGTCTTCACTCGCGACAGGCGGCGGCATTTGCAGGGGCTTCCGAACGGAGTAGAAGGCACGGTGGCTTTGTTTGGTATGATTTGCGTGACTGATGGTATTATGAACCGGCCCAACATTGTCAGATTGATATCCTTTTCCTAATCGCTTCACACCAGATGTCGCCATGAGGAAACGGTCATAGACACCCTCTACGCGCTTCTGTGTAGGGGTATCAGGGATGGAGTGAGAGGAAGTTGTCGGTCGTGGTGCATAAGGCTCTACTCGGAATGGAGACGACGTCAATTCGTCGCCAGATTCATCGTTGGGCTTGGATGAAAGGGACACAGAAACATTCCAGCCCAGATTCTCACTGCTCCTGACCGGAGGAGCAATAAATACTTCCCTGTCCACAATGGCAGACAATCTTGGGGATCTCAGCACATCGACTGACGGAGACGACGCCGTCGCACCTGTGAAAGGGAGTTTTTCAGTTTTTTTTCATACGTAGAGGCTACCTAAGACTCACGTTTATCGAGTTCAGCTCCCAGAGCTGCAGCAGGAGCGATGTGCAATTGAAATAGATTACCGTGGGATTTGCTCTTCTCTTTTCTCTTTGATGGTGAGCCGTGATCGACGTCAAAGAAAGAGGTTACGGGATTGTTTATGACAGGATCTGGAGAGCGAGTTGAAACTGTTGCCCGACGTTGCCTGGAAGGAGTCTGTAACTGAGGGACCGATAAGTCTTGAGTGCCACTAATGTTGTCTGGGAATGTGCCGGTGTCAGGTGAGGCATAAACGGACGTTACAAAGGACGACATTTCGGCACTTCGATCACCTGATTCAGTGAATATTTGATTCGCAGCCAATATACGACGTGGAAGGCGGGAAGAACGGTTGCTACGTGTTTGAGAAGAAGAGAGGTTGGACCTAGCTGCAGGGGGGAGTGGGAGCGGAGGAAGTGGAGCCTCTTTGCCAGAAGAGAAGTTTTGTCGCGCATCCTCTACGACCTCTACAGATACAAACTTTCAGTGACTTGAACCAACATCAGAGACAGATACCGACGTTCAACATTCCTCATCCAGAGCGTCAGCCGATCAGCTCTATTTTCAGCAGCGACCTGCTCATTGTGAACCGCGTGTTTAACTACAGGAAGAGAAGATTTGACTTGAATTTGGTCAGAACGACGTTGGCAAATTTGTTTATAGAACACACTTACCAGCTCTTACACACTCTTCTTCTTCCCATGATTCTCTTTCACTGTGGGTATCCCGCGATCCGGCGTCGGTGTGCTGATCAACAGATAAATTCCTAGAATGATAACTCCTGCCTCCCAGGCTTGATGTTTTGTACATTTGGAATGTCTTATCTGCAAAGGGACTAAGTATTTCCATGCAGACAATCAAGTATAACCCTACCAATGGATCGTTTGATAGCATGCCTAAAAGTAGCGCGTCCTGAACTACTGTTTGGTCGTTTTAGAGGTGCCGCTAGCAAATGGGAGGACTGATGAGAAGAATCGGCAGCAGGCGATACAACTATTATTGATGCATACCGATTGAGTAACAAAAATTAAAACAGCAGGAGCGATTTACCTGGTATAATGCTTGTATCGACAGCGGGGGCAGGTGTCGACGGTTCCGAAATGATGGGCACAGTCCTGCTGGCACTGGATTTCATTCCCAGATCTAAAGAAGGCAACCAAGTACCAGCAATTGCAGTTGGTGGAATTTTACTTTCGGTGTCCTTGTCCTGCGATCGGAGGTCAGTTTGCGCATTTTCCGAGGTCCCAATTTGCTCGAGCTCTGGGGTGATGTCTACCACCTCAGGTTCCGTATCGCTTGAATTGGATGGCTCTGCGTCTCGTCCACGCTCAATCTCTTCCAAACGACTAATTTCCCTTAGGCGCTCTCTTTCTCTTTCCCAATCTCGAACTCGCTGGCTCACATGATTTTCCTTGCCCTTCCATCCCTTGCCTTGAACTTTCCGAGTTCCCGGAGGTCCATTGACTAACTCATCAAGCATGCCAACCTTGCTGTGCCGTTTGGTCAAATCTTGAATGGAAGGTTTACCTCCAAGACGTCGATGCGGGGCAGTAGGTAGGTTTTCCGCATTTCGAGTGTGAACGGTACCAAAGGGTACTCTTTGCGATGGCTTGTTGCTGGCGCCGTTGTGTGATGCAATGTTCTTGCGTGCTTGCGCTGGTGACGCTGGGGGTGAGGCCTTGATGGGTGAAAGATCGATATGCGCCGCGATCCGTTTACGTGGGACATCTGAATGGACACAGTCAATGCTGGTATGAACCGCGAAGGATTGAAACCTACTTTTTGTTCCCTCGACCATACCGGTGACCATCTTTCCTTGCGACTTGGACTTAGCCAATGGCCGGGAGGCAGCATTTCGAGGAGACTCAAGCCCTGGTGGCGAACGCGAGTTTGGCACATCACTTCCTTCCCTATCTTTGTCGTCTGTCGCGTGGCAAGATGGCGTTTGAGTAGCCAAAGGAGAAGAAGCCTGCGTCTTTTGTTTCGTTTCGGACAGCTTAGTCCAGTCTTTCTCGAAGACGATTGAAGAGGTGTAACTCGCTGACCGACCTGTTCAAATCAAGCTGAGAATTTGACGGAAGCCTCGTAAATTCAAAAAAGTCTTACGATGCTCGTTAACATGGTTCGATTGTTGCATTTGAGCCCAGTAAATATCCTGCATTGCTTCATCTGCGTTACAGCGAAGGTCGGCATTGGGAGAGAGCATTCTCTTCAGTAATCTTTCCATTCCTTTGGACATCTTCCATGACCCTACCCATTTTCCCCGAAGCTATGCAAAGGTTTAGCTTGGAACGGGAAGATGGTGATGTGTCTCTTACAGTTCTTCCCCAATACTTTTGAAGGTCTTCTTCGGTGACACACTGATCTGTGTCTGAACTCTCAAAAGGCGTGCGGCCTACCAATATCTCAAAAAACGATACTCCCAGCGACCAGATATCGGATTTGCGAGTGTCATGAGGTATACCTCTTGCCCGTTCTGGTGCGAGATACTACAGGTCATAATAAGAACGCGGCCGCACTGAGTAAAAACTGCCCAAACGAACCTCTGGCGTTCCGTAAGCAAAACGAGAGTGAAATGCAGCGCTGGACCCAAGGTCGTACGCCTCCGCGAATCCAAAATCACAAAGCACAGGTATTCCTTTGGCTGACAAGAGAATGTTCGCCGGTTTGATGTCGTTGTGAACGATACCTCTCGAGTGAAGGAATTGAATGGCAGACAGAAGGTGTTTGAACCACACACGAGCGTGCGACTCGCTAACTTGTACAGTGACGAGGTCAGGATGAAAGGCCATGGTGATGATTGCGTAACTGGGGGTCAACAGGAAGGATTCAAATTTGATGATTGAAGGATGAGGGTCTGACTTCAGCCGTCTTATAATCTTCATTTCATTCCATCTGAAACAATAAGAGTCAGATCACACAAGCCAAAAAGACGAAAGAGATTTGATACAGTGATTTGACGCGAGCTGCGCTTGTCTTGGATTCCTTGTTTCGATGAACGAGTTTCGTGGCAAGAGGTCGCTTGTGCGCTCGGTCTTCACTTTTGAGCTCGCATAGCCATACACTCCCCCAGTTTCCACAGCCAATCTTAGTAAATGGGACATGAACTGACGCCAGAACAAGTAGGAGGTAAATGAGAACTTACTTCCTTGATAAATTGCAGACGATTGCTAAGTTCTTCGTCATCCTGGAATGAGAAGACGTCTGTCGTGTTGTCGTTAGAGCTCAATGGCTCCATAATAAAAGTACAAAGAGAGAGAAATAACGAAGCAAGAGGAGGGGACTGAGTCCTTGACCTGAGAGGTAAACAAGGCCACGAGGATCTCTCAACTTTCTAATCACGTTACCGCATAAAATTGAAGCGCGTCTATTGCGTGATCCTTATCAGTTCCCATCAATGGCAGAAGAGCCGCCCAAGCAACGCATATTAGCAACGGAAAAGCAACTGGGACTACTGAAAGAAGTCTTCGACCGAACCTCTGGACATCCCTCGCACAAACAATATGCTGAACTCGGAGAATCAACAGGATTGTAAGTACCTATTTTTCTTTGAGAATCAATCTTTACCTTGTAGCAGGCCCCATAAATACATCATTGGCTGGTTTTCTAGAAAGCGTAATCCGAAGAAACGTAAACAGTGCTCTACAGACAATGGAACGGACGATTGCCGGAGCTCTAGCCCAATGTATGACAAGGCTGAACTTCTGAGTCCTGAGCCTCAGCCGGAGAAGAAAATCGACAAGGACCGTGATACTGAACCCCCTAATCCCCAATCAAAAAGGTTCAAACTCGATGCGAAACTCGACAGGGACGCTATCACTCTTGTAAAGACAGAGACTGCAGAGGCTAATATACCACCATATTCTCGATCGTCCCTTAGCCCGCATACATCCAACTCCATTCTTGCTTCCAACAACTTGAACAAGAACGTTCACACTTCTCCTGACAATTCGGTGAAAAGGAATCATTCTCCGCAGATACGTTCTCGTCCCGTCGCAAATCACAACAAGGACCCTCCTCCCGAGTACGCAAGCTCGCTCGACACATATGGCTTCGTCGTATCTCAATCCCCTGCACACGTTCAACAACCCGTTTCGTCCACGATTCCTATTGCTTTGACTGCTCCTCTTGCTCTACGCTCTGGCTTTCCGCTTCTCGAGACCCCCCGGAATAACAATACCAATACGTCTCTGACTCTTAATCAGGTTCAACAAATGTATCGTGCGCTTCTTGCAAACACTCATGCCCAAACCGCTGCCCAATACCAACCTCAAGCTCAGCCTTCCTTCCAAGCTCAAGCTCAAGCTCAGCTTATCATGCAGCCAATTTCTAACAATCAAAACCAGCCTCGTTGTGCTGTTTCCTTTCAGCAGCTCGTCAATGCCCCTGTTCCTCCCGTGAGTTCCTCTCTTTCCTAGTTCTGTTACAAATTCGCTCATCCTCTTGATAATATTAAGCAAGAAAACTTGTTCACTGCTCAAGCAATCCAAAATCACTATCCTAGTTACATTGCCTCCAACAGACTTGTCCCTGCTTCGCACTACATTCCACAGACTTTTGTTGATGCAGGCCCTAATAATTTCCAATCTCCTGCAGTCCCTTTAACGCTTGTTCAACCCCCACAACATGACATTGATCCTTCCTCATTCTCCACGCCCGCACAATTCCCTTCGACTCTCGCGAATGATGTAGATGGATCTCAGCCTCAATTCTACTCAGCATCTCTTGATCCTTATAATTCCGGCGTGACACCATTTCAGCATCTTCATGTCCTCGAGCCTATCCTGAATGCGAATCGCACTTCTCAGGGGTTTCTTTTTTCACCTCTCAACACTTTTGACGTCGAAGATGTTCAGAACCTACTGCTACCGCAAAATACGGATCAAGTTATGGACCGCTTGCTAGACGAAAATCTTGTTCAGGAGGACCCATTCCAAGCGTCGATGGGACTTGTCTGGATGCAAAGAGTCGGGTTAATTTAACGATGACCTTTTTCCACATCAGCAATGTGCATTACGATCGCCCTGTTTCTCATAAAAATTATTCTGCAATTTCCTGTATTCTGTCATTGTACTTTTTCGTTCCTTGTGTCGCTAATGGAAACAGCATCTTGATAGCCTTATTGTGATAGATGTAGATGTTGAATGTGTAGTTCATGTGGGTGAAAACATCATCGAAATTTCATTTTACTGATACATACATACGTATCATGCAGAAGTAATTAATGTCAGAATACTAACACTGAAGCCAGGCGCAGTATACGCAAACGTCTCGCCCACAACGAGGCTACTATGCTGGGGAGTGACCATGCTCGGGGCGGTTGGAGTATTGCTATCTGTTTCGGCCCCAGTTAATAGTTGGACTGTCGCTGTATCTTCTATGGAGAAGGGCAGCTGGAAGGTAACATTCGATGCAGCGCCCACTGTATTCACGACCTAAAGCGACAACGTCAACCCCCGTTTGAGCAAAAGGAAAAGGAATTTACCTTGATGATGATCTCATTGGGAACGACCGACGTTTTTCTTACTACACTCCAGAACGTAGTCCCGTCGGCATCTGGAAGAGTACTAGGCAGGTACTCGTCGCCTCTGTTAAGGCTGAATAGCTGAAATCTGGGTGAGCGAGCACTACTTCAACCTAATGCCAATCAAATGAGCCTACCTGCTGTACATAGTAGCTCGTGGACGGATATACATTCCCTGAACTACAAAAAATAAAGATCTTATAGGCATATTTGATCAAGTGAAGACTCACTCGAAGCTAACTAGATTTGGAGTCTAAAGCTCTGTTAGAATGGTAAGCAGTGTGAACGGAATATGTCGACTTGCCCACTGGGAGTTTACAACATGCTACAAATGCGACTTCAGCTAGATGAGGACCAATGCTAAATATTGTAGTGCTTACGTTCAGGAGAGGTGCGTAAGAAGCTGCGAATACAATGTCGCTGTTACCTATTACAGGGAAATTCAAGTGGTGAGAGCCTGTCTGGTCAAACGGAAACTTGCTAAGACTAACGTTCCAGTCCAGTCATGAAAGCGGCCTCTCCGGTCGAACCTAGTGGGGAGGGAAGTCAATCAATCATTGATTAAGACCCAAGGCCGATACGAGGAAAAAACACCCACTTTCCATTGTTGGGAACGTTAAACGACCGTCAGCCGGAGTTCCAAAAAGATCATTGGAATTTGTAGAAATCGCTAGTTAAAAAGGAATTTCAACGGCTTTTGAAACGATTCCCGGGAAATTCCGCAGTACCTGCGTATTCGCCCTAGAAGAATGTCAATATTTTTCGACTGGGGCAAGTATGGAGCAGTTTCTTACTTCGAAGTAGTGTGTCCCATTACGCTGCGTTATCGCAACCTTACTAATGTATCGAAATCATAAATCAATCTGGCTCACCTCGAAACCATCATAAATGAATGAGTTTTCCGCAAACCACGCTGCGTGTATCGATGATATTAGTTCGCTTTACTGTGCGTGTAAGCCAACAGAACATACATGGTGTTTGGTAGACGTGTATGTCCCATTCAGCTGGGTTTGGAATCAGAATTGGGTTGAATGTATCTGAAGTAGCCAAAAATGCTGGAGGAAAGGGATGGTTAACAAATCGATAGTTCCACTATAGACTAATAAACAAACAAAGGTTAGGGAATGTCGCTTGGAGTGCAGTGATATATTGGTTCCAGCGATATGTGTAGCTGAAATATCATTGTTAGGTTTTCTTCAGGACCACATATTGTTACTGACGTGTCGGCTGCAAAGAAGTCCTGAAGAACAAAAAAATCAATTAAATCGTACAGGTACTTATTATATGCCAACCTCGTTGCCTATCTCTACGTGGACCACTGGGAAAGGATCCGGATGGCCTAGGGACGCTCTCAAGGCAGCTGCATCGAGGAATAAGTTTAAAAGAAAGGGTCCCTCATAATGATCGGGCTATCTTTACCAGCGTCGCTTTCAGCAGGATCTCCGACCGCGAAGTTAATCTTTAGGGCCCAGTGGTAACGACGATCAGTATCTAACCAGTAAACACTGTCAGCTATTTCTGTACCTGGTCTATAGCCTGTTGTATGTACGGGCCCAGATCATCTTCAGCTATACTCGTTCCGCCAAGAGCAAAGCCTGTTTATAATTTAGAAGACATAACCTTGAAGAAGCACTGTAACTTACCAGACCAAACAGCCATGATGGCTTGCATATTCAGGTCTTCACACCATGTAAGATACTCAAAAATTCCTAGGCCGCTGAAAGAGGATTGTGTAGTACTAGTGCATAAAATGTCGAGGAAGCATACTCTGTGTTGACATATCCCCAGTCTCCAACACGCCCTATTGGACCAAATTAGATATGTCTCTATCTCAAGCTAAGTCATACCTGGCCTATCAACAAGAGGACCGACGGTGTTGTTCCATTGCCATCGCGTAGCGACTGTTTGACCCTAGTTCAAAGATGGGATTGAGGCTGATTGAGAACCGTTTTTGACTATGAAGCTATGATATTACCTCCTGCGAAATCATCAGTCAGTTCATTTAACGAAGGGATATATTAGTGGTACTATATATATATATATATATATTCTACTCACCAGATTATTTCCTCCAGGAAGCCTGAAGAACGAGGGTGCCATCGCACTTAAGGTCTTAGACGAAATTCAACCACTGTATCTTCACTATACTATGTAGGCGCAATATCTCTGCTCACCTCAGCAATGTCGATTCTCATACCGTTCGGTCTATTCTTAAAGGTGGGCGGGAATAAGGAGAACATTGCGAAATTAATGGTCTGGCCCGCCAACTCTGCGCCATCCACAGTCACAGTAAAATTGTTTGTTAGTGAATCTGGGGTGATAGTAGGCTGGATCGTGGTATTGACTTGCAACCAACTAGTTTGTGATCCGCTGAGTGTCACGTTTATACCACCTAAGAATTCTCCAGTAGAAGTTTGAAGACCAACTGTCGCAGTTCCGTTGAAAGATGAGGCTACGGGGAAACGGTAGAAAAAGGATGCATTGTATGTGTCGCTCGAATTCACTTTGATACCTGGAGGTCATCGAGGTAAAGACCGCCGTGAGTACGTCGTATCGTGGATATCACTTGTGGGAATTCACCAAAGTAACCTTCATTGCCTACCCCTACTTGGCCTGAGGAGCCACTCGGTATCACCACACTCAATGCATTTGGAAGAGCGGAAGAAACTGGAACGGTTTCTTCGATGACCGTGAGTTGTGCGCCGTTCACCGAATGCCATGCGTTGAGGGCTGTTGTTTGGTCTGTGCAAGAGCTTTCGTTTGAAAACGAGCTGGGATGAACAACATGAAGAAGTAACATACCAGTTGTATCGACCATTTGGAAAGCTCGGTTTTGCAGCACTGCAGCATTGAGACAGCGGCCAATGAGTTGACAATGCCAGTGAGCTAGAAGGATCAACATACACTCGGCATACAAGCCTCCATCTCCGCTCTGGGAAGGTCAAAATAGGTTCATTTCAATACCATTTAACTTACATGCTATGTAAGCAAGACGTTTAGTCAATACCAGAGCATCGAGTGAAACGGATGAAGAATTTCGAACTGACACTTATATCCTATTGCGAGACGTTCATAGACACACATGTCACATTGCAATCCAAATTTTCTCCCACTACCACTCACCTCAAACATTTGGCCCCCTTCAAAAGAGGCTGAGTTGCGATAGCCTGGGCAATGAATCCAGAGACGACTTACATAGTGTAGATGGAATAGGATGGCTTGCCGTCCCATTGACAACAATAGTGATTTGGGATTTTACGGAAACAGAAAGAAACGCTAACGAAGTTAGAAGAATTGGTAACATCAGGGAGCTGGGCCGCGCAAAACTTGTCAAGACCTCTCGTCGCGTCGTTTTAAGTCTGCTCCAATCTCTTGTCCGCTGACTGGCCCATCATATGCAGCTGTAATTAGCACAATGAGGATTTTCTTCATGTGATGCTTCACAATATGAACGAGTGGGAAAGAATGGCCGAGAGAAGACTCAGAGAATATGATGTTACTTTGAGCGTCCTTGATGATGGCGTCTAGTGAATCTGAGGACCCGGTGGAAGTCGAGCAGAACGAGGACCCTGATGCACACAACCAGAGCGACAAAAAACGAGCGAAAAGAGTTTGTGCGTTAAAAAACTTGAGAAAGATTGTGAGTACATTCGTAAGGCCCGGAATTCGGAAGTATCGGATTGACCACCTGCTCCCATCACTCCCATGTATTTTCAACTCGGTCCGCCTGATAGACGCACATCTCAGTCCATTCCACGATACAAGCAAGTCGCTGACCCACGAAGATGGACCACCCTCGATAGCTGCGAAGTTGATTGCATAGTAAATGTTTTATCGATATTAAACTCTCAAGCAAAAACCTTAAACATCGGAGTTAAACTGAACGCTCGAACGATACAAGTAGAATTAGATGCACATTGAGGCAGAACGATATTAGGGATATATGTCGATACTCGGTATATTGAGGAAATCCAAAGTGAAAGAGGCAAAATTGAACAAAGTGTCGGTAAGATGTGGAGATTATGAAGGTTCATGCAGTACAGCTAAAAGATAGCGGCCGTCTGAATGAGCAAGAATGACGTTAGCGGACGACTATTAAGCTGCAGAGCTTTTACCTGGCGATATCATGAGCTCGTGACGTTTTGTTCGGATTCGAAGGAACTTGACATCGTCCTAGATTATGAACTGTGAGTCTAAGGTGTTAATGAAGCAAGGTAATGACTCACCCCTTCGCTTTCAACGCCGTTTATTTCCTCTAATCCCGCCTGCACTGTTTCGACAATCCTCGCAATTACACCTGCATACTTTTTACCATGTTCACCATCGAATACACCACCAGAATGCCGTATGATGCTGGCTGGATGTCCTCTTGATAGTAGCATGTACCCAAGCACAGATCGATGAGATGAAAGAAGGGCGAGGGTTTGTTCTAGTTCCGGAGTCATCCCTACTGACGCAGAAGATGTTGAAGAGGGAACGCCATTGGATTGGGAGGAAGAAGCAGCATTGGGAGGATTTCCAGAAGTTGCTTGTGAAGAAACGCCAATAACAGACTGGTTTGAGGAATAAAATGGAAGCTCTAGAAAAGGGAATGATTTCTTACCATGATATATCCAGGAATGGCAATGGGTCGTTAGGACAACTATTTCCCTCGAGCGACAGCTTGACAGAAGAACTACGCCGTGTATGTTTGTGAACCAGAAGGAATATCAGCACAAGGGACGCTGCAGCTGAGTATATACAAGCGCTCGTAGGCGTTTAAATTTAATACCAACGGTACGGAGAATTTCCATTTTGGGAAATAGCTTGAACAGGCTTGAACCCCACCATTATTATTAATTCTCTCAAATCATCTTCAGCCATTCCTTCAGCAGGTATCAGGACACTGTTGAAGCTTCATCGTAATCCTATCTTATCCCAGAATCGCATTTTTCCTATAACAACTCTTCGAGTCCAACGTCACTTCAATCATCGACACATTTCTTTCTTATCTCCCATGACAAGCTACATTACTGGCGACGTGCGAGCTTCGATACATCCTTCTCGATTCAACCTCTTCCTGACGATCACAGGCAGGAACTTGCAGAGATAATCCGGAGTGGCAAGATTCCCAAGAAAGATTATCTTGTAGTCGACGTTCGGGACGATGATTACGCCGGAGGGAACATCGTTGGAGGCCTCAATGTGCCTTCAAATGAATTTCTCAATAATGTGGATAAATTGGTGAAGGAAACTAAAGACGTCCCGCTCGTGATTTTTCACTGCGCGTTAAGCCAAGTTCGAGGACCGAAAGCCGCAAGGGTGAGGAGTTTCTTAGGCTAAGCTATCGGGGTAAACATATAGACTGAATATGTATACCTTTGTAGATATACAAAGAAACACGTCAAAATGTACTCTCCGAAACCGATTCCACTTCTTCATCCAAGATTCTTGTCCTCCGTGATGGATTTACAGGTTTCCAGAGCAAATTCAAGGTAATATCTTCGAGTGATTTCCTTGTCCTTGTAGCTAGTCCTGACATTCCACCAGGATGACGCGAACCTGGTTGAGAATTGGGACAAGGATGTCTGGGCCTCTGATTGGAACTGAACTCTTCGGCGTTGATTGATGTCTTCACTTGAAGTCGGTATCTTCCTTTTTCAACGTTCTTTTAGGAGCGCTCTCGATAATCTGCATAACTTGTTTGCGTTCAGTCTCCATTTGTCGCATACATACTTGGCTATAAAGAAGTTAGGTATATACACGTTGAAAACGATGTACATCACACACTGTGAGATTGCTGCAACGGCCACGAATGTAAAAGTAAACCAATGGCCAGCAACGATGGGAGCTGAGTGAAGTCGTATCGGAACACGCTAGTTTAGAGAAGGTCAAGGCACTCACCAGTAGAGACGCCTCGAATGAAAGCTACACCAGTCCCAGCTGCCAAGCCAGTCAACAGGCTGTTCCGCGCGCAAGGAAGCTTTTCGACGTTCTTCGCGGCCTACAGACACGGACTCGATGAGTGCCGGAAAATGCCCGGACGATGTATTTGCAAACCTCGATACTGTCACGAAATAGATTCCCAGTATTGGGGGGCGCAGCAGAAGGAGGAGGCGGTATTGAGGAAGATGGTATCGTGTCAGAGCTTGGCGGAGACATCACCGGAGGAAATGAAGTGGGATGAATTTCACACGAATACTACAGTAATTAGGTACCAACAACATTAACAACAGCATATTTTAATATCCAATAGTGACCAGCTTGTTTTCGAACTCGCTCCACCGATTCAGCACCGCGTCTGCTACAAAATGCCCAACATCCTTCCGCGACACAGTATATGCACTAAAATCTCCTTCCTTCACCCTATAAGCATTTTTCTTTCCACCCTTCTCAGCCTTGCATTCACCGTCCGTCAACAGCGCCGGCCTAATCACAAGCACGTTTTTGAACGATCCAGCAGCAGGTAATCCATCCCTCTCTAGCCATCGTTCACCCAAGATATCATCTCCCGGTTCTTCGTCACTGTCCACTTCCCACTTCCATCCCGCACAGTGGGCGATAACGCGTTCGGCGCCCACTTTGTCCTTGTGCGGGACAGAGAGGAGAGCGTACAAGGGTTTCAGAACGAAAGGAATGAGAGCGAATGAGGAATGCGTGAGCCCCGTAGAGGAAATGGTGATAAGCCTGGGTTGTGGCTGTTGTGAAGGCATTGTGCACAAGACGTTTAATAAAGATTGAGTAACGAGATTAGCAGGAGAGACGACGAAACCCTTCGATAGTTTGAATGAGGGCAAACCACCTGTATGACCAGAAATTAACCATTTGTCGTGGGGAACCCTCGAAGTATATGCAGTCGAACTCACCGACAGTGAATAAGACTAGATCAACAGCTCCGTGGGTCAGAGCTTCGTCCCAAGCATGTTGAACGTCACTCTGCACCAGAGCATCTCCTTTGACAAGCTGTGCTTTGCCAGATCGAACATATGACTGAATCGTTTCGTCCGTATCGAAGACAGACGGCGAGCGAAGCAAAAATGTGATGTTACACCCTGCGGCTGAAAAACAAGGTATCAGATCTATCAAAAATCACAACGGTAGAAATGATCATACCTAGCAGGCGAAGGGAGGAATAGTAACCAATGTTTCTGGAGGCCCCTATAGCAAAAATGTTCATCCTGATTGTCAATGTGATGTGAATATTTGTGTGCCTCTTTATAAAGGAGACTACATAGTCTGCGCCCAACACAAGGTGGTATAAATGGAGAATATTAATCAGGGTCTATCAAGGTTGATGACGCCGTCGCACAGCATAGATTGCGCCGCCCATCTATTTGACACGTACTAGCACGTGGTCCAAACGTATCGGCGTATTTGCCCGTACTTGACGGTACTACCACACCCGATTCAACAGGTTTTGCACTATTGTCCCAGAAAGTATTGATACAATGTTTGAATATAGCATATCTGCGCTGAGAGAATCTAATGAATGGAATGAGCCTGTAGCAGTCAACACGGCAGTTAGCAGGCAGAGAAGTTGGGAGACACTCGAACCTACTCGAACAAGGCAAATATAAAACCAAACAGTGCAGGCCAGCAGCAGGGCCCACTGCCTTGTTAGTTGCAATAACTCAGCTTGTACTAGTAAGTAAAATACTCCTGCAAGAAGAGGAGGACAGCATATACAATATATTGTCCACTACAGAGACTTGTACAGGTTACAGGATTGAATGTTGGTTGTAAATTGGTTGTAAAAGGTGAAAGAAATGGAGAACCCAAACAATGTCAATGAAGAAAGGTTGAATGACTAAAATTGAATGGCTGGGTCTATAAAATCCTTCAACCTGGAAAGAGGTACGTAGCAGGAATAACTGCAGGTAACTTTAAACTAAAATGTACAGAACTGAACTGGGTCCATTACTGCTACAAACACAACAACAAATCCTACATAAGCCAAATTAATCAAGAACAGCACAATGTAGTGGGCAATCTGATTTAACATTGCAGCTTGGCTTTGGTTGTGGGAAATAGTGCTGATACGAATTGCCTGGGCATGTGTAAGACCATTGAGAACAGTAACACTCCTAAGCTCGGGCTGCAAACAGGCATCATCAGGCTAGCAGGCATGATTAGATTTGGAGAAAGTATACTAGATTGAGGGCAGGGTCTGAGATCTGAAGGATTACCATCTTCATTCAAACAATAGAAAATGGCGTCTTCAGACCATCTTTCAACTGGTTACCTAAGATAAGCAGTTCTCTCCCTACATATAACCAACATTATTACTAAGGTCTTAGACTCCATTACGAGGATCTTGAACTCCTTCACGAAGGCCTTGGACTCCTTTACGAAGGCCTTGAACTTCATTACGAATGTCTTGGACTTCATGAAGAATAGGCTGAAGAGCTACTTGGAGAGCACCATTGAACCAAGCCGGGGCTGCATCTACGTAAGGTGTGTGAAATATATCTATAAAATACGCATATATTGCAACTTACCAGCTGGTGCATGTTGCGCCACCACAGCAAGGGCATATCGCGTCACTTCGCCACATTCTGCGTCCGTCGGGGCATTGGCAAGGGTCCCGCCTAATAAGTCATGTAAAAAAAACGAGATAAAGGCGAAAAATAAACTATACGTTGCAAACGCAAGAAGTTCATAGTGGTCTCATACAGACGAGCTCGACCGACGTCCTCGATAGTAGGTGGGTTTTGAGGAGGAGGAGGAGGAATGATATCGGAATGGTTGCCGGGTACTACTAACGCCATATTCACTGGTGAAAGTCAGGAAGATAAATAGAATGGTCGCACAACTCAGAACGTGACCTACTTAACAGAGCGCTACAGAGCGCCAACACGTCCAACCAACGATCGTTGCGATTTTCACAAATCAGAGAGTCACCCACATATTTTGATACACACTCTTCGAGATAATGACGGGCTGAAATCTGCTGCAAATACTAACTAATAGTAGAGCATATTTGCAAACGTTTCAGACGATTCTCTTGACGCACGTGACGTTTTTTGCACACAATCGCCGATTTCGTCTCGAAACCTTCTTGCAGCGAATGGTGGTTGCGAGGCCCATAAATCTACTCCAAGTGATTGCGAGCACGCTCTTCATTTGACAGGCACTAGCATGTTGTCCAGACGTATCTGCCTGTATTTACCCGTACTTGACGGTACTACACCCGATTCAACAAGTTTTAGAATATTGTCCCAGATAGTATTGATACAATGTTTGCCGACTCCCAGCCCACAAGCACAAGCTTCCGTCACTTTCCTCCGCAACTTGCATGGTCGGTATCGGAGTGGGGAACTCCGTATTGAAAGGGTTGCGGAATTGGTTGAGGTCAGGGTAGGAGGTGGAGGACGACGATGACCTTGAAGTCGATGTGGGAACGGATACCGCAACAGACGAAATTCCGTGCAGTGCTTTTCCTGTTCGTAGGGACCATCCCCGGATACAACGGTCTTCTCCTGCCGCGAAGAGAAATTCATGCATGGGGTCAATGCAAATACCCTATCGAACGTGGCAAATATTTTAGTGTTCACGGCTAAAACACCGGTCAACCAACGAACCAATTTCTGTGTAACTGAATTACGATGTCCTGTGAAGATTTGAGAAGGCGTGCTATGCACAGGAAAACGCGTGTCGTATGTACAGAGCTAAAGATCACATCGTTGAGACCTATTGAGACCCAGTCAATGTATAACACGAATCTGCCTACCTCGCCATTCATTCGACTGACAAGTAACTGTGAATCTTTTACAAGTTTGAGGTATAACACGGGGCTGGGCGATGTACTATTTTTTGAAGGTGTGAATCGGGAGTGGAAGAGCAATTGACCATCGTGCTTGTTAGAAGAGACACGCAAATCGTGGCGTAATATAGAGCCGTTGCGCAAGCCTGTGTAGACAAAATTCTATATTGGGGGTATCAGATATATTATCTAGGGAGATGATACCCAACAAAATCACCTCGTCTCGATCCAGAGCAAAAACATCACTGTTTTGGAAGTTGCTGAGGTGTTGAACAGACCCAGAGATATCAATATCAGGTATATACACAGCTTTGCCTTTCGCGCCTGAGTTTACAGTAATCACGTCAGGTTTAAAGTTGGAAGGGATAATGACGAGCACACCTAGGATCAGTGCGTTGTCCTGTAGATGACTGACCCGAACATCATGAACTTGATTCAACGTAATGAGTGTTGTACGCCTGTGCATTTTTAGGTATAAGCAAAACGTTGGAAAGAAGGAATGACTGACCCGGATACATGGAGATCTTGAACAGCGACCTTAGTGACAGGACCAAAACATGTCGCGCTGTCAATGGAACAATAAGTGGATACCGAAGTACTGACGTTTGAATTCCTTACACGCATTTCTGACCAGAAATTTTGATTGAGGATACCTGCGAGTGCGAATGCAGATTGATTTCTGCGGGCCACATATACGTCTGAGCACTTGGGGAGTCTGTAGGCGGGTATTGATTCAGAGCTTCGAGTCGGTTGTCGAACGAGATATCATCATACACAGAACATGTGTAGAGCCATCCTTTGTTGTCGCCAATGTATCGACGCGTCGAACCGTTGTCAGACGTCGCAGACTGTGTGCCATCAGTATTTCATGACGTCGTACGGCGCAGCACCTTACACAAAATTCCGTGATATCACCAAAACTTGCTGTTTGGCTAAAATCAAATCGTGAAGTAGAGGCGACGCGTGTACATTGTATATCGCTGGAAAACTAAGGATCAGGAACTGAGGCGGAGGCTTTTCGATAATTTGAAAGAGGGCCCAGTAGAAACTACCCACTGATTTACAAGGGGCCTGCAATGGGATACGGGTGAGCTCAAGAGCCTCTGATTGAGAGTTTGAGCACTTCTTGTATGGCGACTGATCGTACGCGGTGTAGTAGATGGGTCCACTTCAACAGATGATCTAGACGGTGTGCGTGAAAGTGTACTTTGTGGTGATGTAGATGGCCTTGATGAGAGGGGAAAATATCTATTCTTTTGTGTGTCAAAGTAAAATCCAGGAAGATCTTTGGGCATGATGTCGAGAGATGACAAGTGACCGGCGCTAATTCTGCTAAAGTGGTGCCTGTTGTGCCTTTGCAAGCCAAACTCCCGCACCTAAATCGAGTCAATTTCGAGGAAAAATTTCGGATTTCAATATTTGGTCGTTAAGCCTCCGGGCTTCTACCGGTTGTTGCGAGATAGATAGATAGACAGATAGATAGTTTCGTCTGAAGGCGGGGAATAGCCTGTAACTAAGTCGTTGGATTGTCAATGTCGATAGATGAGCTTGTACTCCTATTACAGAGACCACCACCACCTCAAGCTCAAGGGCGATCGGTTATCTTTCTTTTCTTCCAAAATTTTCCGATTTGAAATAGTCAAATATATCAAATACCTCCGTTTTACAAACTTAAACAAAGCAAATTATGGTTTCCCAACGACCACCGAATTCCGCGTTGTCTGCTTTCTGCCTAAATCTTCCAGGCCAATCAACCTTTCGTGAAGAAAAACGAAAATCGGCGTTTCTCGAAGTTGCAACTGATATCTGTGGAAAGGAATTGGTATACTACACCCCCCATATTCAGGTGAGTTTTTAGCCTTGGCGCATCCGTTACAGTATATGTAAATGAATTTTCCAAGGTCTTCATACGTCCCAAGGTCGAAAATTACACCATGCCTATGAGACCGCGGCGTTCTCTTTCCCTTCTTGCCTCCGTATTCCAATCCTCGCAGTCCGAAGATTCTAATACAGCTCCTAGTACGGCTCCTAGTACAGCCCCAAGCACGCCATCATCTGAAGATCACTTTTTCTCTTCCGACTCCTCAATAGAAATCCCACCTATCAGTAGAGAGCCTGCGTACTATGATGATCTTCGGTCTTCGAATATCGATATACTCTCCGTCTCATCTGCTTCCGCCACGGTAGAAGAAACTAGTCTTCTGGATAGCGATCCCTTTGCAGATCTCTCCGCGCCTCCTGTGGTTATCCCGCCCACAACAGACAGACCTTCCCTAGCTATAACCCGGCCGCCAAACTCACCTCTGTCGCTATCGGGTAGCGCCTCTCGCTCCCGTTCTGCTACTCTGATCCAATCACCAGTCAGACCCTTATACCAGAAGCGCCCTCTCCACAGCTCTCCCTCGATGCCCTCTCTTTCAACTCTAGCTACTGCCAATGTCAAGATAACCAAAAAGGTCTGTTGGCTCCTCCTTCGCCGCTCTTCATATCAAATACGCACTTTCTAACATTTAGCATCAGGCTCGCAAAGGCAAAGTGGGTGCTGGACTTCCGTCTGAGCCGTGGGACTTGCTTCGGGATGTTACCGTCAGCACGCCCAAATCGGAAATACCGTCCTTACCACATTATTCTTCCGAAGAGGATGAAGAGGATTACGGAAAATTATGTTCGAGGTTGAGTATCGTAGATGAACATCCAGGTTTAGGTGACAGGTTATCAGACGAGTTTAAGTTATCCGGCGTTGAAGATGACTTCTCGCCAAAGCCAAGCTCCCCCATTCCTATCAAATCGTCCAATTTTGAGGATTTGGGGCGCTCTAGATCGTCGTCAACCTCTTCCGGCTCTAGCTATGAACCCACAGATTGGTTTTCCCAAGGAGGAACCACTTTCCCGGATTTTGATGTTCACTCTTCTTCTATAACTTCCTTACACTCAAGTCAAACGAGTATCCCGGATGCTTACTCGTTGTCTTCTTCATCATCATCTTCGTTCTCTGATCACTCTGATCAATCTTTCGATCCCATGGTCATTTCCCACTCATACCCGCATGAATACCCATCATCTCTTCCTAAATTCTCTCTTTCATTAGAACTCCCCACTGGTCATTCTACCGAACTACTTGACGAGGAAGAGTTTTCCGCGCTAAGTAGTTCGCCGTGTCAGACGGCTAGACAACGTGTAGATTCGCCTTACCACGAAGAGGCTATTAATATGAACTCACTTCACGTCAGCGACCCCTTGGATGAAGCGGCGCAGTTCGAGCCGGGCAGTTCCGCTAGCACGATTCGTGCTTCGCCGCTCAAGAATAACCCCCATATGGCTGGTATCCAAAAGCTCCCACGTTCACAAAGCCGTCGTCGAAGAGGTGTACTCAGTACAGAAATGTGGATTAAAGGTAACACTTCCTCATGTGAAGAGCCAGCTGTTGACGGGGATGATTACTCACGAGGACGAAGTGCGAGTGCGAGTGGTTTGTCCTCATCTTACGCTGGCAATCACGGAGCAGGAGGCTATAGTGGGAGAGTATATAGTGTTGGTGGCCTTGGTGGTGGTGGTCATGGATTAGGCGGACATGGAGGTGACGATGGCGACGACGGCAATAAACGGAACCGGCGTGTGGTACCAGGCTCTTTTGCTACATACCAAAGCGACGAGGACGAGGAAGACGAGAGTGCAGACGAGGATGATTATGGACTACCCTCAGGACTTCCTCCAGCCCAAACTCAAACTCAATTTGACGATGATGACGTTCCACTTGCTCGCAGTATACCCACCGCTCTCAAAGCTCAGCAGAGCATTCGAATTAAGGATCGCGAGGCCCGTGATAAAAGGAGGAAAGAACGAGAAATTCGTGCTCTTGCCCGTGATCAACAACGCCAGCACCAGGCTGCTATCAATTCCTCGTCTATCCCTACTCAGGAAGCCGCACCAAATGTTGCTAGACCTGCCCGTATCACCTCTGCTTCTCAAAAACCCACATCCTCCTTTGCCATTGATGATCTGACCAGGAAGCTTGAAAACGTGCAAACCAGAGGTCGTCCGGATTCTCGTCCGTCTCCTCCATCAGCTGACGCAGCTTCGAGGTTTAATGCCGTTTTGTCTAAGGATGTGGCAACTTCGGCACCTCCAATTCGGACTCTTCGTCCCATGAGATCTTTCCACAGACCAGGGTCGTCTCAGAAGGTGTCGGATACACCCCCATTGCCTATCAGTGCTGAAGCCAGACTCACTAGAAGTACCACTCGTGGGCGTGCTCGCAGCACGGCTTCGCGGGAAGACCCGTCTAGTACCATTGCCTCTCAAGCCCGTGCAATACCTATTTTTACACCAGTCGACGAACCAGGTACCGCTAAGGTCGAAAGGAAACGGACCGTCAAGAGCGCTGATGGCATCAAGTCCGCGCGAACCTCTACTGAACACTCGCGACCTCCGCCGCCTCTTCCAGCTCCTGCAGAAGTTATTGCTCGTCAAAATCATGCCAAAATCACTTTGACCCAACAGCGGGTTTTCATTGGTGATAGACAGCGGTTTGTCGTCGTTGAAATCAGTTCGTCGACATCTGCCGGTGAGGTTGTTCGCATGGTTGAAGCTCAAGGGGCATTTAAGGAGTGGAGGGGAAGTGGAGGTTGGATGTTGTTCGAAATAGCTCAAGACTTTGGGATGGGTATGGATGCCTGTTGCCATCCGCTGTTCGCTCATTACTGATGTCCAATACTTTCAGAGCGACCTATCAGGAGTTTCGAATTGTTGTCTGACGTCGAGGCTTCATGGAATAAAGACAAACTTGTCAATGTCTTCTTGTTGAAACTTACTCCGTTGGCCTCAATCCTGAGTCGTTCCGTGAGCGTCAGCGACCCATTTTATCTTCGAAAGTACTGATAGGAAGAAAATAGGCACTTCCATCCAGTTCTCCAACTCACTCAGGTTACGTCGAATGGGAGAGCAAGCGAGGCAAGTGGAATAAGCGGTATTTGATGTTGAAAGAACATTCTCTGTGGCTTTCGAAGCGCGATAACGTAAAGATATACGTTTATCCCCCGATCCTTTGCTCACACTATCTATAGGGAAGAGACGAAATCATGCTATGTTCACTGTCCAATTTTGACGCATATCAGATCACTCGTCTTGTGAGAGCCCCGAAGGACTTTACATTCGCCGTGAAATCTACCGATAACCTATCATTCTTCGAAAATACTGCAGATTATCTCCATATATTCTCTTGTAAAACGGATGCTGGGGAGAAATGGATGGAAAAAATATTACTTGCTCGTGTAAGTGGCTAATTTCACCGCGTCTGTGTGCTTCATTAACGGTTCGTGCAACTCGTTAGTCTTATATTCTCCACCAAGAGCGGAACATCTTATTCAAAGCACCTGCTAAAGCTCATCAGAAGTCACCTCCCCCTCAGACTGTGTCAACGGGTCTGTCTCGTTCGCTCACAAAGAGAGCTGGAGCTACTCAGCCCTTAGTCAATGTCAATCCGGGCAACCTCTTTGAACCAGGGTCTCTTCTACATGGGTGATCTATCTTTGCGGTTTCAGTCCCGTCTTATTTTGACTCATACGGTATACCTTTGAGCATCTTCGTTCTTTTGAAATTCGCTTCACACAATCGTTCAATATTCTTGAATCTATATCCTATCACATATCCTTTCTACCTCACAAGCTCGCTGTTCACTATTTAAATCTGTAATTTTTTCCTGTTGTAATAATACTGTTCTGAGACGCAAGACTGGAAGCTTGAAGATACAATAGTGGTTGAAATACTCAAATCATTGACATCGAACATAAGTGCAGTGCACAAAACTAATCAGCGGTTTTCTGCTTCTTCTTCGGAGGTTCCACCACTGCCTCACCACTCTGCTTTTTAGCCTTGGGTTTAGGCCGAACCTCATCAACATCCATCGTGTCATCTTTTGGCTTCGGTTTTGGCTTCGCTTTGGGTTTCGGTCGAGGTTTGTCGTCGACATCCATCTCGTCATCGCTCGACTTCTTCTTGGCCTTCGGTTTAGGCGCAGCCTTTTTCTTCGATTTTTTATCTTTATCCTCGTCCTCATCCCCGTCAACATCACTATCGTCCGCTTTCTTTGCCTTTTTCACAGATGTACTACTCTCTTTCTCTTTACCCTTCGTCTTTTTCTTCTTCGACTTCTTGGCAAAGTCGCGGTCCCCACTAGCATCTGAAGCTGTATCGGCTCCGCCTTCTGAAGAGTCACTCTCACTAGGTGAACCTTCGTCAGAAGATGATGCTTGGAAATCCTCTGAAAAACAAAATGAAAATCCTGAGCATATAGAAGACAGAGCCTGGCCAACCGTCGTTTTCGCTATCTTCATCATCGTCAAAACCAGTACGGGCAGGCTTGCCTCTCGGCCCGCTGTCATCAGAATCTACGCTCGCCATATCTTCATCATCATCTCCGACAGCTGCTGCCATCAGCAAATCCGCGTCCGGCACCATCTCGTTCTTGATACGGATCTTCTTGTCCTTGAAGTAAGATTCGGTAGGTTCGTGCTCTTCTTTGTTGATAGAGCTGAACGTGTATTCTGGTCCGCTTTTCGTGACAATTTTGAGGTCAAATGTGCGGGCGGCGGCAGCACCCATACTGGCACCTACTCGGGAGAAAACGACTTGGTGAATGTCAGAGAGTTCGATGAGAGTAGGCTGTTTTGAAACAAAAAAGACATATTTTTCGAGCATGAAAAGATCGCCTTGTACTGCTTTGAGATTGGCTTTGATACCGGGATGACCGTCGCGGCTACGCCCTCTAGTGAGTTCTCTATCTCGCGAAACTCAAACACAACGTTACCTTTGGAATGTACCAGAACCGATGATCTTCTTTTGCGCCAATGCGCGGAAGAGACTTGACACAACTTCGTACGTGGGACATTCGTAATTCTTGTGTAGCTTATCATATTCAGCAATCTCCTCGCTAACGAGACAGTTAGCAATGATACAACTAGAACTGAGCAGCAAACGCACTCTGTCATATTGAGCTCTGCTGTCGTTTCCTCCTCGCGGTTAAACTGCATTACCAGGTACTGGTATCCCGTTTGCCCTTGCCGGAGGGGTTCGGTAAGACCAAACTAGTTGGATGTGAATGATAGATATATCTCTCGTGACGATATGGTTCGAAACTCACAATGAACAAGACATGTTGATCATCCTTCGGTAAAAGAAACAGCCTTGCGATCTTCGCGAATATGATTTTATAGTCGTATGTTTTCCCCCGTAGGCGAAGAAAGTCCTTGAACATCACCACATCGTAACGACCTCTGGGTGTTAACACAAGCACCTCTTCGAACATGAGTACAATATCGTCAGACACTTGATCCAATGAGGCCTTCTCCTTCACCATATCATGAAAGACCTGGGCAGCGCCGACTTCATCATCATCATTATCTTCTTCCCCAGAGCCAGCATCAGCCCCCCTAAGTTTGGATTGGGTTCCGGGAACGTAGAATCGAATTTCAACCATTTCATCGACCGCCCCCTTGGATTTTGTCGTTGATGACGGGTTTGAAAACTCCAAGGAAACTTCAGTTTTTCCGGTGATATTTGAGTTGGCAACATACTGTAGAGGTAATTCAAAGGCAGTTCGATCTGAGGATGTAAAGGCCAAGTCCTGTCCTAGAAAGATATTAGAATTTCGAAGCCTCCATTATGACTCTGTGCACCTTGGAAATCAGTGAGACCCCAATTCCAACCTTTCAAGGAAGTTTCTCTTGTCTCCAGCGTGACCGCGAAATGGGTTTTTAGAAGAGATGCCATTCTGTCATGATCCTGCAGCATATGAGTTGCCGATAACGGATACTGAACAGGATAGAGATACCTCGCGCTGGAATCCGTCAAAGGTTTCTTTGCGAAAGTCACCCTTCTCTTCCTTTATACCAATCCGAAGCTGGAAATTTCGAGCTACGCGAAGCCACTGCGCCCATTTGATAGAGCTTGCGCTCATCGCAACTGGTCTCTCAGTATCAACACCTTTCCACGCCATTCCACTGGCCGCGATACGAAATTCTAGAAGCTAATGTAAGAGCAAGCAACGACTGGTGGGGAGGCTTTACAGACTGCCAATCTCGCGTGAAAGGCCATGATATACTCCATCGAATTGAGTAGTCATGCCAAAAAACGAAGGTGAAGGTGGTGAAGGATCAAGCTGAAAAAGATTTGTTTGACGCGATTTGACGCGTTCGTGGCTGTTCTCGAGCGCTTGTCTTGTTCTCTTCATATCCGGTTTCTTTCCGTTTCCTATCCTGAATATTTTATTTTCCCCAATAATCTCAATCACGGCCTTTCTGAATGGAGTCTTTGGAAACTCGGTCGCGCGATGTACAAGAAAGGACATTCTGTAAATGGTACACCATTTCCGATGCGATTGAAATCCATGTTGCGATCCAACGACTGACCTACAAGGCTTGCTTTTCTACCTGAAGGCTGAACACGAAACTAGAGTCCAACGGCTATCCTGCAATGACATCCCTCGTGAAGGATCTATCTGATGGTGTGAAGCTGATACAATTAATGGTGTGTTATACCCGCATCGGTTCTGGAATTTAACTGACGATCTTCCAGGAAATTATGGGTACTCTCTCATTTTCTCTCTTTTCGAATGTCTTTCACCTGACAACTGGTACAGGAGATGTCTCCCTCGGTCGATACAACAAAACACCGAGGATGAGAGTTCAAAAAGCGGAGAACGTAAACAAGGCATTGGAATTTATCACATCTAGAGGCGTCAAGCTCACCAACATCGGCCCTGAAGGCAAAAACTATTCGGACTGGTTTTGCCCATGATTTCTTACTCAAACCATAGATATCATCGACGGCAATTTGAAACTCATACTTGGGATGATTTGGACCCTCATTCTTCGGTTCACTATCGCCGACATCAGGTATGCTTTCCATCCTCTTCAGTCCCAAAACCTGTGACGATGATCATTAAACAAACGAAAGTGAAGAGGGCTTATCCGCCAAGGAAGGTCTCTTGCTATGGTGCCAACGCAAGACAGAGCCGTACAAGGAAGTAGACGTACAAGACTTCTCTACCAGCTGGTCGGATGGTTTAGCTTTGTATGAAGTGTCTTTTCCCATATCCAGCCAATTTTCACGATACGCAGATGTGCATTGATCCACTGTCATCGACCTGACTTGTTGGACTATGACAAGTTAGATAAGGTATATTCTCACCTATAAGCGATCACTGTAACTAAAGGTATTCAGACGGATCGACACGGAAACACAAGGCTCGCCTTCCAGATAGCAGCGGAGCATCTTAACATACCCGTACGTTGAAAGATTTTTGCGGGAACACCAGTAAATTCACCTCTTTCTTCAGCAACTGTTGGAAGTTGAGGATTTATGTGATACAAGACATCCTGATGAACGCAGTGTTATGACTTATATTGCAAGCTTCTTCCATGCCTTTTCCTCGATGGGTGAGGTCAAACTGTATATCATATGTGACTTCAGCTAATTTCGAGGAAATCAAGACCAGGCGGAGACTGTTTCTCGGCGGGTTGAAAAATTCGCAGAGTTGATGCAGTCCGTGTGGATTTCAAAAAACGACTACGAACGTCGAGTTCGACTTGTGAAGCTTTTCTATACACCGAATGTCTTCGTCTCACTCACATTTATGTAGTTACTCTTAGCATGGACCGAAATGCAGACGAGTTGGAAGGCAAGCCTATTCACCGGGACGTATACTGAATCAAGGGAACGTTCGGCGGAATTTTCTACATACAAGCAAACCATCAAGCGTGCGTGGGTTACTGAAAAGCAGGACATCGCGACTCTTTTCGGCAACGTACAGACAAAGCTCAAAACATATGGTTTGAGAGAATATGTTCCCCCGCCAAATCTATCTTTGTTAGATGTAGACGACGCATGGAAAGTTCTACTAGCATCTGAAGCGCAAAGATCACGAGCTATTAATGCGGAAATCAGACAGTCAGTCCCAATGTAACTGATTCTTTTCTAATCTGACACCCTGTTTTCCTTTCAGAATCAAAGAAACCATTCGGAAAAAGTTCGCCGAGGTCGCCAACGATTTTGAGCAACGTCTGCATGCCATTTCGTCCGAACTAACTTCCATAGATGGCCCACTTGAGGTTAGTCTCCTTGCAGTCCTCCCGAAGTTACATGTACCCATTCCAGTCGTTTGGGTGCCAGGTTCAGCAACAGTCAGTCGAACAAATCCAAACACGACTTCCTGCCCTGTCAGAAACATTGAACTACGTAGCGGAAGCTGAAGCTGAATGTAATGCGGCCAATATCGAGGAAAATGATTACACCATCTTCACTTGCCAAGATCTCGAGTTTGAGTTAGAACTTTTGGTGCAGAGAATTTCCAAGAAAATCGCCTTCATTGATAATCAAGTGAGTAAAAACAGCGCACATCAAGGTCAACTCTCCTCACATCAGATGTAGATCGTTTCCAGAAATATGACCAACTTGACGCCGGCGCAGTTGGAACAGTTTGAGAGCACATTCAGATATTTCGACAAAGACGAGTCAAACACACTAAATCAATCAGAAATGACTGCCGCTCTTGCCAGTCTTGGGATCGTATACTCCGTTCGCTGCCACTAATCAAACTATCATAGTACTTGCTGACGAATTCGTATCTAGGATGAGGATATGGATTACATATATGATCAATTGTTACAAGACTACGGTGCAGTGAGCTTCGAGGCTTTTATCAATCTATTGGTGAGGACGAAGTAGATGTCGGCTCCAAAAGCTGATCTGGAACAATTCTTAGGTGGAGATCACTGAAGATCAGACGTCGCCCGAGCAACTCAGAGAGGCATTTCGTGGTATTGCGTCCGATAAGGTGCTGATGAATCCCCTTCAATATGCTCGTAATCCTCGTTTTGTTTTGACCGACTATTACAGCCATATGTTACCGAACTGGACCTTCGAATTGCACATTTACGAACCCCCTCGATTGAGTTTCTGCGAGAAACAATGCCACATACTCAGAACGAGACCGGTGAACCCGAGTACGATTACGAGCGGTGGTTGGACGATGTATTCGCGTAGTACAAATATCGATATCTATTGCTTTGAACGGCCTTTCTGTAGGTCGGATCTCTATCCATACAGAATTTGTATGTTTGGATGAATACAGATAGACAGATAGATATGTGGCTAGGACGGTGTCCCACAAGGGAACAGTCGAGTCCATTCATCTCGGCTGAGAGGCTCATCCTACATGGGATGGTAGACTGCAGTGAGAATGGAGGGAATACTATTGTACAGGTTGAAGTGTCTACTGTCCTTCCAGTATTAGGTCAAGCTCATTCTTTTTCCATCTCATTGCTAGCACTCTTCAATTCATCTAGAATATGGTCAGACAAAGTGTTGCCACCGAACCACCAGTACATAATTAAAATTGACTGGTCCATTATGCAAGACTAATGCCCGACCAATGCGAATAAAGGCCCCCTCCGAGCCGGACGAAGGAGGCTCACATTCGGGCATGTTATGTATTGGGCAACTCAAGAATAATGACACTGTTTTCTGTTCATTACATGCATACAATAAGGAAAAGCACTACTAGGGATACAAAAATAATTATATGCATCAGTATGGATATGTTCGAGCCAAGGGGTACCGATGAAATGCAGAAACAAAGCAGAAACCTTCATGTAGAATATTAACCAGCCCTCATGCGGTCCGATTTGATTCTCGTTTTGGCCTTTCGGTCATGAGGAATAGTAAGCGTACTAGTCTCAACAATGTCGATGTCACTATCACTGTCAGACAAACCATGTACCACAGGTTCTGTTCGTCGAGCCTCATCATTAGGCGCGTTCTCCTCTTGTTCCTGCTGTTGAGGAGAGTTCCGCGTCTTCCAGGACCTCGACAGCTCACCAACTTTCATCCGAAGCTCATCACGGAAGTCGTCGAGACGATGACCCTCCCAGTCAACCTGACGGTCGACTTGCGACCGTGTACCTTTTTTCTGCTAAGAATTTATGAGTTTCTGCAAGGGGGATGTAGCGCATGATAATCCACTCACGGAAATTCTGGACAAGTAATCTGCCTTTTTAACGAACACCTGAGCGAAGTGTATGAGGTAGACACCACAATCGCAGAAATTGGGTTGAGTGGGCACCTAGACGGATGAATTTTTATAAGGCTGATGAACTCATGCAACTCGAATGTAGGCTGACTGGAAGATTTCTACCCAAAGCCTTGCTTGTATTATGAAGATGCTTTTTGTCTATGGCTTCTAATTGGAGATACTTGCTCAAAGTATTGATGACTTTTGGGTGCTTGTTACCCAATGAATCAAGGGTAAAAATCATGGTTCTATATGAAGCGTTCAGAGTGGGTTAAAAATGAGATATCCAACATACATAGGTTGGCCTGAAGTTTCACGAGAACTTGAATGGACGGGATTGACATCACTATTAGAAACCTCGTCGGATAGATTGATGGCTTTTTCTTTTCCCTTGTTAGATCGCGCAGGGACAGCGTAGAAACTGGCCGGTGTAACCGTAGAGGTTTTCGAACGGCTTGGCGATATGTGTTTGCCTTGATTGCCATGATGCTGGTCTTGCTCCACACCCATAGACAGTGAACGATCCCTTGGATCTCGAGAGGATGTCACTAGCGAGGTGAAGGAAGGCGAAATGACCGTTCTTTCGTCTGCGCTCCCATCGACATCCATTGGCTCATCGACAAGGGGTGTACAGGGAGAGGGAGATTTTTCATGCGTACTTGGGATTTGTATATCGACAGAGATATCCATGGTTGTCAATCCACGAAAAGTCTCTTCAGCATCAGCCTCGCTAGAAGGCTTGGTTTCCTCCAACATTGCACTCGCCTCAGATGGAGATGCTGCCCGTGAAGCTGAGCCACTCGGTGTGGTCGAGATCAGAGATCTGCGCCCAGAAAGTGTTGAACCAAATTCAGCCTCGTTACTCGACGCAGCTGCGGCAGCAGGAGATAATGCATTATCGGGTGCATCGACGCTGGAAATCAAATCTTCATAAACATTGGAGGAACGAGTATGATGTCGGGTGTTGGGCAGTTCACGCTCAGGAGGGGGCAGAAGAACCAATTCTGGTAGGTGGATGATAGCAAGATACCAATGCATACTTATTGCGAGGTTTGGTGAAAAATGGACCACAGCAGTTGAACGAATATACCTACTTTTCATTGATCGGGACAATAACAAATTTCTTGCTGAAGATATCAAATCTGGATGTCCAACGTCTGACACTCTGATACCCTTCCTCAATACTATGAACAGTCAGATTGAGATCATAGATAATTGAACGCTGTCGTCACCTCTTCTTGTTCAGCTTCTTGTAAAAAAAGGAATTAAAAACATGGATCTGATTTGCTAGCTGGGGGTCTTCCGTCGCGAGTTCGTGATGCCATAACCTAAACACTGCGTAAACGAGGAAATACTTAAAAAAGAGAAACACCTTACTTAAGCCCAAATTCAATGAGCGTATCGTTTAGATATTCATCTGGAAGTAGTCGGTTATAGTCCCCATTCGTGATCTTCACTGCTCCAGTTGTTACCCCAGGAGGATAGCTCAGGATTCTTTGGTAGACTAGTTAGCATCAGGAAGGTGCAAGAACATCATCTTCAACTTACATCTCGTCTGGATCTTCAGAAGGCTGCTTCTTCCCTTGTTTTCCTTGATTCTGTTGCTGTCGTGTTGAGCGACGAACAACAACAGTAGTATTACGGGTTTCGGACGTGTTGCTAGAAATTGTGTGAGTTTTGAGTATCGAACGAACATGGACAATTACGCACGATGATTGTCGGGTCGTATACGACTTCCGAGGTTCTCGGGGGGTAGGTTTATCAACTATTCCATTTCGTTCGTTAGACATAGGCAAGTGATCATATTCGGGAATCTCCTCTTCGCGAATGTTATTGTTGAGGGGGTCACTCTCTACTTCCGCGTATTCCATACTCGTATCATTCTCACAACTACCAGCGGCTTGTTGAGCGAAAGACCATAGCGCACGATTGGCGCCCAGCCCAACTACATCTGTGCACTCGTAGGGAACCACGCGCTTGCAAAAAGTTCGGAACGCATCGAATATCTGAGGTGACCAAATGGGGTCCTCTATGTCAATCTTGAGACTCACTTCACCATTCCCTCGTTCGCCTATAAAGCGATGAGAAGTCGCCCTATCGGCGAGGAGCCTCTGAAACTTACCTGGTTTGAAATCCCCTCCCCATCTTTGGCCGATACCCGTGTGTCGTTGTAAAGGGTGCAAGAGTCTGGATGTGAACTTGATACACGGTTCTGGACACTTTGGATCTCCAAACTGACGGTGAAGAAGTAAGAGGTCTCAGCTCGGGCTACATCAGGAAAAAACTCACTTGCATGGACTTTACAGACTGAGCGAAAGTAACAGACTCTGAGTAAGTCCCCGGACCTTGGATATAAAAATTTCGCTCCTGCATAGGATTGAAGACTATGCGATAGCCCTCCCCAAGATGCTTGTGGCCAAAATATATCTCCTTCAGAGGTATATAGTTGAATTTATTGCTTGTCTTCGAGTTGTTTGTATACGGTGTAGAGGAAGTAGCAATTGGATCTATGACAATTGGCTTTGATTGCTGTTCTTATCATGAGCCTAATGAAACAACCAGGGATACAAGAACGCACTTTCACTGTAGTTCTTGGCTTCATGCCATTCTTCACATTGGGGAGCTGCTTTAGATCAAGATGGGGAACTGTAGCCACTCTCGCCACCGCCATCTTTCGATTCAGATTGGCCTGTTCATTGCGATCCAGCTTCCTAGCTTGCTCCTTGACATATCCAATTTTCCCAGGTTGCCCGGGCTTCACCTCCGAGTCTGAAAATTCTGAGATGTCCTCAACTTCGCTAGACCTCGTAGAGTGGCCTGGGGAAGACAATTTTCGAGAAACTTTTTTCTGCAGCCAAGCGGAGTGTTTACCATCCGGAGGGCCCGATACAGAACCGTTTAAATGAGCCGATGGGCCCTCATCCTCTTCCTCACTGCTGATCAATGTGACTGGTGTCTCCTTGGGTGTGTTTCGTAAGTTTTTCGGTTTGAGAGGCGCAGGATTGAAAAATGATTCTGCTTCATGAGCATCATCCTCGTTCGGGATGAGAGTTATGTCTTGTTGAGGATCCTTGGCAACCAATGCTGGGAACAGATCTGTGAGCTATCCGATGGAGGAGTATATGTATACGCACGAGCATGAGCAGTCTTCCGACGCTTTAAAGAACGACCTGTAAGGGTCTGCTGCTTTTGTCTGCTCCCGTAAGATTGAGATCTTGAAGAATCCAAGTTGGTGTGAAACCTGGCAGAATTGTACGGGTTTTGCATGCTCTGTGCTCTTATCTAAGAAAAAGCTCCTCTGGACGAAGTAGGATCATACATTGGAAGGAACTGGGATTAAAGTAGGAGGTTTATCCCATCTATGAAGACTATGAGTAACGAATCAGCAAACAATATGCAAAACACACACTTAGTTCTGGTATTTGAGGATATTGACGCGTCTCTAAGAGTTCTTGGGGGTTTCTTGAGTACAAGTGAAGTACCGCTTGCCGGTAAATGTGAAAGAGAACTGATAGTTTGCCTGTCCGATGCAGATACGCCTTTAGCAGCCATTACAGCACCTTGCAGCAAACGACATGAGTGACTGACGAGAAGGTACACAGGCGCTCAAATTATTCAATGTTACTATCGTTCAAAGAATTACACTATCTAATCCTCGAAGAATCCGGTAGAAATCCGCGACTAGATACAAGCTACCTGCTACCACTACTAGATTTGGGTCCGAAGAACTGGTGGCCCACTGCAAAGCCGCTGATAGGTTATCCGTTCTGTCATCATCACCTTTCCACAACTCGGCCTTGGGACAAAGACTTTGAACAACGGAATACAGAACAGAAGGAAGAACAGACTTGACCCAAGGCATCCCTTCTGGAGAAGCGAAACGTAAAACCGCTACTCGAACTTTCAAATTTGAAGGAAGCGAGGGAGGCAATAGCGGAGAGAGTGTTTGTAGAGGGGTTTTAGGAGGAGAATGTGAAAGCGATAAGATATAAGTAATCGCGGTAGTCGCATTAGGAGCTGCTGGCGAATTGCAGTAATCCATGAGATAACGACTCAACGTTGTGGATGATGCAGGATTATGGGCACCATCAGCCAACACAAGAGCTTTCGGACTACAAGGGTCATGCAGATTCTTGGGAATTGGGTGGAAGGATAGTCTTCCAGGCCAGGAGACATTCGCTATCCCTCGGACAACAACCTGCGGCGTCACTCGGTCTCGCAATCCGAGCGAGGAGCACGATGGATAATCCACAGCTACCGATATGATGAAGGCAGACAAACCAACATTTTCGAGCTGATGCGATCCGTGCAATGGCAAAAGCGCATTGAAGGGATCTCGGAAGCAAGGCATATTCAGTTCAATCGGACAAGGTGAAGGAGGTTGGAACTGTGAATACGATTCTGGGCGTCTTTGATCCTCAGATGGCATTTGAAGAGCAGACGGAGCACTGAAAAAGTCCCCTCCAGCCTCTTGAACGACCATTCTAGCTACTTCTGCTACTTCAGAGTGTTTCTGGGGACCCATGACAAACGGCTTGCCTCTGCGGGCGATGGACGCTTTCTCCTTTGTGATCGCTGCTACAGTGTCACCTAGGAATGCTTGGTGATCCAAATCAACAGCAGTGAGGGCAGAAATCATGACTACTTCATCCGGGATGACATTGGTTGCATCCAGTCGACCACCCATCCCAACTTCCATGACCACGATGTCGACTTTGACTCTCTCGAATATTAGCAACGCTGTGAGGACCAACATCTCAAAGCTGCTGATCTCTATCGAATTATCGTGAGCAACTCCTTCAACATTATCCCGGGCTTCATGATAAGTTTGAGGAGAGACTTCTTGATTGTTGACATAGATGCAGTCGTATATGGTTATTAGGTGTGGGCTATTAAACCGACCAACGCTAAGTCCAGCAGCTGTCAAAATTGACGACGTCAAGGCAGAGACGCTGCCTTTGCCATTGGTGCCAGCTATGTGAATTGTTGGTCGCGTATACGCCTGGATGAGACGATATAATCGCTCTATACGATCTAGAGTCAAGTCTATAGACATAGAGCCTAGAGAATTCCTCAATCTGCCGCCATTTGTCAAGATTTCGAGATGTTGCACCTACCAAAGCGCCGGCATCATATAAAGCGCTGGCTGGCAGTAGCTAGGCGCTCTCCATGAACCGCATTTGTCGACCTTAGCTCTCGTGCTCTTATTTCTGAATTCTCATTGTCCTCTTCAAACAATGTGTTTTGCGACGCCGTGCCGCCGGGTTCACATTACCATGTTTCTTTGTCTTCGGGCAGTAGAAGCGTAATATGTACTTTTGTGCTTTCTTCCGATGGTACACTTCCGACTCCGAGCTTGTCATATATGGGGGTTTCCCTCGAGCACCGGTTAAAACCAATATAACAGGACAATGGTCACCTAAAGCCGATCATATATACTTCCATCGCTCAACATGCCGGGTACACTGAGAAGGAAGCATCGTCAAGAACTGACTCTTCGAAGATCGTTCATGGAAGTTATGCAAGCCAAACTATCTACTTCACTGTGAGTTTCAGCCCATGTTTCCGCTTCGTTTCCGACTTCAATATATTTGACTCCAGCTTCCGACGTCCGAGTGATCAACATTCACCTAAATCCCCTGAAAATCGACGAAGAGATCCATGTGCAGAACATCGTTTCAAAGCACTACCACCTGCCCATCGTTCATCAGCTACCTCATACACATCGACGCATAGTATTCGCAACCTTCCACCCGAACTTCTAGCTTACATCTTCGTCCTTGGTTGTGAAGATGATCCTATGCTCCCGCTCTCCGTATCTCATGTTTGCTCTTTCTGGAGAGCGCTTGCGCTTAGTACACCCGTTCTGTGGCGCAGAGTCGTCCTTGGATCTCATTATAGCATGTGGGAGGAGACGATGTACCGTGCGAGGGGTTGCACACTCGATATCGAATTCAAACCGCAAAACCATCGTGGACCTCTCGCGTTCTACGAAGTGCAGCGATATATGCATCTCGTTATGCCTCATATTACTCGCTGGAGGTCGTTAAGTATCGTTTTTTCAGAATATCAACCGTATCTCTGGAACAGTGCACTGTCTGAATGTTGTACAAAAAGTAGTTATACTCAGGTGCCCGGTGAGTTGTTTCTTCAAATTTTGCCACTTTTTTCTTCCCCTGACACGATTGTAGGACTGGAAGAGTTATGCCTTGTGTACCGACACAATGATGACACTAAGGAGTTCTGCTTGTTCTCTGGGTTTGCTCCAAAACTCCGCCGCGTCACTTTGGATGGAATACGACTAACCTGGCTTCCATCTCTATTTCAAAATCTCACATATCTTGATTACACTCACCATGGAAAAAGCAATGGGTATCACGCTATTCAAGAAATCGGCAACGTTTTACGTGTCTCCTCGAGATTGATAGAACTCCGGGTCTTATTCCCAAACCAAGGCCACGTAACTCGCCCGCAAAATACTCGAACATCCCTTCCTTTTGGGTCGCTGTATTTGCCATGGTTGAGAGCACTCCATCTTCGTGTCGAGACTAAGCAAATACCAGAAGAATTGGTTTTACTTGCTTCCATATTCAGTACACCACGACTTTCGGAGCTGCTTTTAATAGACACCGTGGGCCAGCGGTTAGCGTTCCGACACATCGATGCATTTTGGTCTGCTTATACGATTCCGTTTTCGTTGCGGACCCTCCATTTACAGAATGGGTGGTACACGGAAGATTCCGTCGTTTTCCTTAGCAGGGTTGAGAACTTGAGGTGGCTGGTGCTACGTCGTGGTTGTTCCGATGTTGTTCATTGGCTTGATCCTGATATTCAGCGTAGTGCTGAGCGGAAGTAGGCAGAATCTCCGAATTTGACTGAACTTGTAACGCAGGTCCCAGGATCACACGGACCCTCATTTTTTTTTGATTGGACTGAACTGGGCTCAGCCAGGCTCAGCCGCTAAAAATGAGTAGTCTGAAATTCCTGAATTCGGGCTAAATTTGACCGCCGGGTTATGATTTTCTCAGTCTGCCTTCGACACAGCTTCGATGGCTGAACACGGATCAGGTGAAGGGATCGTACCGTGCAGTATCTAGAATCAATTTCCCATTATCATAACGGGTCCTATGTTTACTTGAGTTCTTCAAACAGTAAACTAATGGATTTCCTGGGATCCGCGAAGCTCAGAAGCAAAGAGCTTGAGTGACGCCACGCAAACTTTGCACTCTAGCAGGTGGCTACAAAGGTTCTAACGTTATTGCTCCTTGAACGAATCCATTCTCTCTATTGCGGTGCTTTGAGATTTGGGATGAGTGTTGAGTGACCGATATGCCATCATCCATGTGCGGTGGAGTTCCGTGAGAACTTAAGAATTCCTTTCTGTGCAATTTCAGCGGCCTCTTACTTTCTACCGCTATGTCTAATCCTCCTTCTCGTCGTGCGCCACAGCAGCAAGGCCCGTCTCAATACGCTGCTGTGCCACAGAGTCCCCGCTCATCGGCGCTTCGACCACCTGCTCCTGGCACCCGTGGTAGCCAGCAAGCCCTTACTCAAAGTGTTCAGAGTGGTGCTATCGGTGGTGGTTACGGGCCATATTCAGTGTGTATCACATTTTCTCTACTTTTATCAATTTTTTTGAAACTCCTCCAGTACAACCCCAACCAAGCGAGAGATGCAGCCATGTACAGTAACTCACGGTTCAGTGCTGCACCTTCGGAACATTCAGCATCTTCAATATCCGCCAGCGCTGAAAAAGCAGCAATACTAGCAACCACTGCCACAGTGCCCAACTACCTCTGGGACAAAGACCCTGATCTCGACGACGCTCTCCATAACCCAGATCCCGTCCGGGATGCCAAATTAGACCGTTCTTTTACGTTTTTTTCTGCCAGAGGCTGGGCTAATGCCGGCGCACTTTTTATCCTCATTCTTGCTATTATAACTCTTTTCGCTGGATACCCCATCATCGATAATTTCGCCCATCCACAAGCAACGATCACTGGTTTCAATCTGGGCGGAATCAACGGCACAGGCCAGATTCCAGATTTACCAGGAATGCCGTCTCTCATAGACACAGATACGCCGAGCTCTGCGTACAGTCGGACAGGAAGCGATGGAAAAACGTATAACCTTGTCTTCAGTGACGAGTTCAATAAAGAGGGGCGCACGTTCTACCCTGGTGATGATCCCTACTGGGAGGCCGTAGATTTACATTACTGGTGAGAGCTCTGCGTCTAGTCCACAATGTTCCGTTCTCAACAAGATGTAGGCCCACTGGTGATTTGGAGTGGTATGACCCTGGGGTAACATTGGTTCATTCTTCCACATAGTTTTTCCATTCATACTTGCTGTTTAGGCTATAACAACCAAAGGTGGTCAGCTTGTGATCACATTGACTGAAGAAGACAGTCACAATCTCAACTTTAAGAGTGGTAAGCGGTGTAATCCAATAAATCTGTGCTGTCATCCAATTTTACGCTGCCGCAGGCATGTTACAATCGTGGAATAAGCTTTGTTTCATGACTGGATATATCGAGGTTGCTATCAGTCTTCCTGGATCACACGATACTCCTGGTTTCTGGCCTGGTGCGTGGACGATGGCGAATTTGGTTGGTAAAATACATGACACTTCCTCTACTCTGCCTGATATCTCTTTGCATAGGGACGAGCGGGCTATGGTGCGACAACTGAAGGAACATGGCCTTATAGCTACGATAGTTGCGATCTAGGGACATACCCCAACCAAACCAACAAAGCTGGAACTTCGCCCGAGGGTGCTCTCACTGGAAACAGTGGAAACCCTATCAGCTACCTACCTGGCCAGCGTTGGTCAGCCTGCACTTGTTCCGGTGGCGATCATCCTGGTCCAAGCGTCAGCACAGGTCGCGGTGTACCCGAAATCGATATCATTGAAGCTCAGATAGACGTGAACAACGATTTCAAAGGTCAAGTGTCACAGAGTTTCCAAATTGCTCCATTCAATTATGACTACCAAATCGATAATTCGACAACCACCTTCTATGATGATACATTGACAGAGTTTAACTCTTACCAAGGGGGTCAATACCAACAAGCTGTTTCGGCACTTACATACATTCCTGACACGGCTTATGGAAACCAGTCCTTCATCAAGTACGGATACGAATGGTGGTCCAATCCCGACTCCCGATCTGAAGGATACATCACCTGGTACAGCAATGGAAAAGAGTCATGGACACTACCTGCTTCTGCTATCGGTGCTGATAGCGTTACTGAGATCAGCAATCGTTTGATTCCTGAAGAGCCTATGGTATGTACAAACATCAGATTAGATTCTCCTTCCTATCACTAACCTTCCCATCCTGTACATAGTACATGATCCTAAACTTGGGCATGTCCCCAAATTTCCAAGCGCAGGATTTCATGCACATGCAATTCCCGGCACAGATGCTCGTTGACTATGTCCGTGTATATCAACGCGCAGGACTTAAGGGCATGTTTACTTGCGATCCAAGCACGAGGCCAACTGCGGACTATATTAACAAGTTCAGTCCTCTTCATCCTTGTTCGATCTCATTACTGACATACTTCGGATGTCAGCCACATCACAGCTTATAACGATGCAAATCTCACTACATGGGCCGACGCAGGATACACATTCCCCCGAAACTCACAATACGATGGGTGCTGAACGATCACGGTCGTCTACTCTCTTTAGTTGACACTTAGCTTAGCATATGCTCTATAATGGCTGCTCTTCGTCGCACACTCCCTTTCATAAATTCCGACTTTACCCATATCCTTTACTGTCGTGTCCTCTCGCACATTTATCCTACACCATTTACACGCATTGCTGTACCACGCTTCAAGCTTCCTGGACCTTTAATGATTTCATGGATGGACTCGTTCAATCCCCTTTCATTTGAATGTGGATATTCTGTACTTAGGATCGCCGGTACTTAAATTATCTTACATGTAAGGCATGTACATACTAACCACGTCTAAACCACTGCGGGATTTACCGCGCAATAACCACCATCTATAATGAGTTCTTGACCATTCATGTAACAACCTGCTTTTGAAGCCAAATAGACAGCCGTTCCAGCCATTTCCTCAGCGCTACGAGAGTCAGTGTGTTGAGTGTTTCAGTGTAATGGAAGTGCTTACCTGCCATCCCGTTGCGCTGGAACAGGAGTGATACCTTTTCCAATCTTGTCTACTTCTTCTGCCGATATCGTATCGGTAGTCATTTCAGATGCATAGACTCCAGGAGCGATAGAGTTGACGCGAACTGGGATTTTCTTAAGTGCAAACTCGGTTGATAGCATCTTGGTTAAATGAGAAGCTGCGGCCTTTGCACTATTGTAACAAAACTGATCATGACGGATGAAAGTCAGCTTTTGTGTATCAAGGTTCATATCACATACATGGTCCTGTGCAAGCTTGATCACTCCGCTGATACTAGTGATATTGATGACCGAAGAAGTGTATCCTGGGATGTTGGATTCTTTCGTGCCTTTCTCCAACAGTCCCAAAAACGCAGTAGTTGTGAAGAATATCGAGAATACGTTTATCGAATAAAGATCGGACCATCCTTGCTGATCTTCCTTAAACAATGCGCTTCCGAAACTTTCTCCGTCCTTGACTTCAGGTGCATTGGGATCAGTCAGGAATGGCGACGTAGGCCCAACTTGTCCAGCACTTACAAAAGATTTAGCAGCAGCCCGGATATATGCATACAGGAAAGCTTACTTGTTTACAAGTATGTGTAATTTCCCTTCCTTCGTTTCGATCTCTCTCTTGGCCTGTAAGATGCTATCTTTGGACGTGACATCCATCGGGAGTCTAGATGCGGTATAGAGTAGAGTTTAAGCCCAAGCAGCAAGTAGAGCTTACGCGAGTATCTCTCCTTCTGTCTTAGGGGTTGTGTCCACGACCCTCTGTAGAACATCGGCACGGCGTCCAGTGATGTAGACTTTAGCGCCATTCGCAGCTAATCCTCTAGCAATCATATAACCGATACCTGTACCACCCCCGGTTACCATTGCAATTCGACCAGTAAGATCGAATAAGGCATTTGCTTTGAAAGCTATGTTTGCCATTGCGAAAACTACGCCGTAAACAAACGTAGGATGATTGAGCGTCTTCTTAACTTATAAATATCTACCGCTTCGCCGGCCCGCCAAGCTCGATTTACCGGACCGCCACCGACACCAGAATTGATGAAATCAACTTTATTTACCACCAAGTAGTTTACGAAAATCATCCTGACTTTTACCTCCCGACGTGGAGTCCACATTCGTCATAGCTTTTGCTTCAATAAATCCCGCTGAATTTATTGGAGTGGCAGGCTTTTGCTTATGACCAAGCCCCGCCCTAGGTTTTGATATCGTTTTCCGGGGAATAAACGTTCCGGCGCGACTGTCACCGTCCGGTTTGCGAGGAGCAGGAACTTCCGCAATGAGTCTGAGAGAAGCTCCGTTAAAAGTGATAGGTTCCGGTTGTAGAAGAAGTTTGCCCACATCCTTGGGAATTGAAGATCAGAAAAGCACTGTCGCCACAGAACGACTTGAACTCACAGCCGGACTTTCCAGCTCAACAACAGCCTCGTTAACATCTTCAAAGAGCTCCAAGCGCTTGACAGAAACGAACTTTTCGAACATCTGTTGTAGAACTCCTTCCTGTGTGCTCACTGGAAGATTTTTGACACGAATAGAGCGACTGGCGAGTTCTGCATTGCGTCCAAGACCACGCTCAGTATCAAATGTTCTACATTCCCTTAATTAATTACTGCCGAGGCCAAACCTAGAAAAACATTATTGAAAGCTCACCGTGGCCTTGACTTCCCGCGCGAGTCAGCGATTGTGATTGCCATCCGTCGACCTTTCAGCTCCTGATTGTTTGCGTCAAGAGCAGCGCGTGCATGACTCTACGAAAACATTCGTAAAAATGGCGGCGGTTAATGACAGATCCTACCTCATTTTCAAATTCCACAAAAGCAAAACCTCGAAATTTGCCATCATTATCCATTGCCATCCGAATGTCCTTTACTGGCCCAAACTTCAGGTTTCGCTGTGGTTAGCTACACTGCATGTTACATGGATGTTTTATTTCTTGCCTTGGTGAAAAGTTTCTGAAGATCATGTTTCGTGGTCTGCTTGCTGAGACCAGCAACGTGTAGTTCCCTGTCATTGGCATCTTGGTCCGTTCTCTCTTTTTTGCGCCCAGGATTAGAGATGAGGACATTGATGACCCGATCGGGCTCAAGCTCTTGTCCATGTAGCTCCAAAGAAGCTTGAGCTGAGGTCTATATACTACGTGAGTAAGTAACCAGGAGACCAGAGGCTTACAAGCCGCACCGGTGAAGTGAACTGTACATAGCAGAATCTTCTTGTGTTTTTGAATTTCTTGCTCGGCCATCGTACGTCGAAAATGGTACCGTACTGGGGGTAGTGCATGTAAGGCAACCGAAAAGTTTGATATAAAGCCACGAACCTTCCCAAATAGATTTCTGATATACGAGTCGTCTGCATTCTCGGGGAAGTTGGTGACATAGAGCGTGGACTGCCACGCCAAATGGACTGCTATTTCTTGCTCACTAATTTTTTTCTTGTCTTTTGTCAGTGCTGCAGGAACAGATTCCTATAATATAGTCAATTAGTACTCTGCTCTTCAAAAGCGGTAATGTCATACTCGATCCATGAATTCAACTGTTGCAACAGTAGCAGAGGATAACTTTGTGATTTTGACTTCACGAACACGCCCACACTGTAGACGATCAGCCGAAACTCTTACTCATTGACTGGTATACGCACATCCTTAAACACATTTGTCAACTCTTCTTCAGTAACGTTGTTGGGTATATCAGCGACAAAAACTGTTGAATTTTCGCGATCTCTGTAGATAAACACGCGGATTACAAACCGTGACAATCATCACTAAGTAAACACACACCTCTTCAAAGGAGCCGGAGGAGGTTCTACGTGACGTCTCTTAGAAGGTATCTTTCATCGTAAATAACAAGCCCCTACCGAGTTTGGTCTTCTTGTGGGAATTTTCATCTGTGGTGTCCTCAGCGGCCCGTTTTGTCCCTCTCGATCCATTTGCAACATCGACCTCCATGGAATCCTCCGTGGGTGCTGTTGCTACGAGTTCGGAAACAGGAGCTGGGGCTGCCTGGGATTCAGCGATCACTTGCATTGCAAGATGATTGGCTTTCTCAGCTTCCTGTGAAGACTAAGGAATACTCATAATACCAGGTAATTATGAGGACCTTACCTTTAAACGCCTGATATTTACTTGATATCTAGCTTTCTCTATCTTGTCCAAGCAAGCCTCGATTTGTTCCACTGACCCATGGAAGTGCTCAAACAACGACCATGCTTCCCAAATTGCTTCAGGCCAATCGATCTGCTTTGCAGCGATATCAGAAAAAACCTTACGAGCCTCATCGTGGCGGTCCGTTTTACTTATTACTGACGTTAGTTCTGTTGTGTTTGGAGTGATATTGTTGGACGAAAGACACACATTAAGCAATCAGTGTAGGAGGTCCACACAAAATAACTATTCTTGTAGTGCTTTACAGCTAATTGCCAAACAGCGACAGAGCTTTCAGGGACTCCAGCAAATCGATACTAATAACTCGTTGAAGTGCGACAGATGATTGGAAAGAAATACTCACTAGTTCAACCAAATAATTCTCTAACCGCAATCTGGGATCACCGGACTGAGCTAAAAATTCGATAAGTCACTGACAAAGCCATACATCGAATGGGCCCTTTACTTTTTCGTACCATGTCGATACCGCTTTCCAGAATTCCAATCAAAGTTGGGATGGTCTCATCATCTATGAGGGTATTAGCTCAACACAGGAATGGATGATACGCCGACTCACCAGAAAGTCCGAGGTCAATAAGACGTTTTTCAAATCCGGCACGAGCAAGTATCAAGGCGACTAACTGTTCGATATTCTGAAGCAATTGAGGTACTTCACAAGCTTGCACGAAGAGAGCTAACGCAGACGTTCAACATGAAACATGGTCAATCACTAGCAAATAAAACTAACCTGATACTACATTTCGTTCTTCTTTCATATGTTCTGGATCAGTATAACGCTCCTACACCATGAGTTAGAGTAGACTGGCGACTAGAGATGGTCTTTACATACGATGCACCGGATGTAACGAGCCCATATTTCTCCACATTCTGGCACGCTACGTACCGCCCGCTTGAAAAGGTCTACCTGTAAATCTTCACCGGTATTCAGCAGCCTCTGCAGAAGACAATCAGGAACATAAAGTACTCAAAGAATATTACGTACCAGCGCATCGCTGTAACCCACCCAAAATGCTCTCAAAGCTTCCTCGGAGCCAGGTTCTCCTTGAAATTTCCTCTTCGCAGCCTCCGAGATAGCTCTCTCATAGACGGCAGATGTTATGGCCAAGTCCGGATACTTCGCTTTCCGCTCGTAGGCTATATAGCGCTCAAAGGCCTCGAGCGAATTTCGACTTCGATTCTACCGGTAGAAATCAGGAGCCTGACCAGACATGTAATTAAAAGGACCCCGACCAATGCATCCTCATGAGGATCCCTGCGCTCGACCGCCTTCTGAATCCGAGATTTAACTTTTGAGGCCGCGACAAGCAGCGACTCGTATTGGCTAGCGGGTTTATAGTTAGTTGTGAACGAGGAGTATGCTTGAAAAGTATCGTCTGCATCTGATATTGGAAACTAATTCGTCAAGGTAAATTACACCTTCAGCAAGCACTCACGAGCGTGAGGCTGGCTCAGTCTCTCCAGAAGAAATGCCTCCAGATGTTCTACAAGCGAAGGCCTGATGAGGGGTAAGGATCTTCTTTCGAATATTTTTGATGACGACGTACTTTTCAGATGCGGAGGATGATTCAAGGATCCCCAACTCCCAGTCACGCAATAGGTTCCAAAGAAGATGGCTCTATCGAGAAATACCAAGTTGGCGACAAGCAGATTGAACGATGACAATTCCGTACTTGCGTGATATGGCCAATACCCTTATTGACGATGTCCGTCACTGCCGTCCTCGTCCATTCCTTCGAAAACAGCTCTCCGAGTTCATCTGGTTTGATTGCTTCATCAGAATAGTGTTCATATCGACGGAGAATAAACTCTATGTGGCGTTTGAGCACCGGGATAGCTGGAATTATCTAGTTAGGTGTAGGGGTTATCTGGGGGACGAAATTTCGCGCTTACAGAGATAATCTGCCTCAGCGCGTTGGTATAGGGCAAGAATTTCTTCAATACCATTTACCGTGTCCAGGTTGACCGAACGCTCCTTTATATCGAGTAGCTCCAGCCAAACCTCATCCCCGGCTGCAAAGCAGTTGGTGAACATTTCCAGAGCTGATGCTGATGCTGCTTCTGCTTCCAATCCTTCGAGAGACTTGGCAAGCCTAATATGCTGAACATGCACAGAGAAGTCGCGGGGGTTATCTGCAAGTTGTTCGAGAAGGCCAGCTAAAGCATCGAGGGATGAAGATTCATCCATTTATGGCTGGTTAAACTTCAATGTCCAAGGTTACAAGGCTGGCGTGATAGGCGTGATCAATGATCACGCGATTCCGCGTTACGCCCCTAAGACAGCTCGATGGTCTGTAGCCTAAAATTAATTCATCAACCACGAAAGGAGGCCCAAGGAAAAAACAAGCATAAATGTAGTGGTATAAATATCACTCCTCAAAAATTGTGTCTGTATCCTGCAGCAAAAGTCTCACTCGGGTGTGAAGTTTGTCTTCACCAAATAGCGACGTGGAACGCTATCAGCCTGAGCGCGTCCTTGCGAAGACTCTCATAAGTGAGGAGACATTTGACATCACGGTAACTCGGAAATGGTCGTCTCTTTGCATCCCAGTGATAGGTTAGTTCTTTGGAATACTATATTTTTGATCCCAAATAACTTTCACAGTGCATAGAATGACGAGCTATTTCACATATCTTCGCATCCGAGTCCATAATTTGGTCAGACTGCGAGCAAGAAATGTACACCTACTAACATTACTATTTCGACGTAAGTGCTGTACATGTGCTTACCTCCGACGAAGGAGAGATCTATCTCTAATGATCTCACTGGGAAGAGACCAAGGGTAAAAAACAATGAAATCAAACGAAAATAGGCTGTTCTTAGCTTATGGATGTAAGTATGGTCTATCACCGCAAATAAATGCACCAGGAAGTGTTCCACCACCGCATGGAGGGTGGGGGTGTGAGGAGGAAGCCTGAAGACGAAGCCAGCAAAGAAATTTGGGGTACTGGTCCAGAAAAGAGAAGGTGATTTCGGTGACTTCGGTAAAAATGACACGAGCGCGATGTGCGGCGCAGTCTACCTGCTATGAAAACCTGCTCCAATGTGACTGGAACTAGAACTTCTCCTTTCCCTTGAAATCTGCTCAGGTAAGGGGATAGATCAAAATTGGGTTTCTCCGGCTGGCTAGAGCTGTGTAATCTCGTCAAAGCGAAGCCACGATCTCCAGCAGTTGCTTCAAGAACTGAAGCTAAATACACCTTGAGCAGATGGTACATTGACAGACTCATCATAGATAACCTGAAAAAATATCTTTCACCATATGTCAGATACGGTTTTGATTTCCTATAATACTCACTCCACGAAGTTCAAGGAATGTAATTTCCTCGATATGTACCGGAACATTACTGCCAAATTGCAGCAACATGAATATCACCTTGAAAACTTCGGTTTGCACCCGGGACTGCAGCGCATGAAACGGATCCATTGGACGAACTTTTTACTTCTAGAAACGCAAAGTGTAGGACACTCGTAATTGGGGTTCAGAGACAAATGCGTGGACACAGGTCGAAGGCAATCTCCTATTCTTATTCTGGATATCGAGGAATGGATCAGAGTACACACAAGGGGAACCTACTATGTACTGTTGAACTACCCGAACTCGGGACCACGCCCTGAAATCCGGTGCCACAGTCGAAAAAGCCGGGTCCCGAATTTAATCAACACTGGTCAAGCTTCCACTTTCATGAGAGGCATCAGTATCAGCGACGCTGGTTCGTTCGCCGTGGTCACTAACACCATCACTGTCTGGCCTCCCCACAGGGTTCCTGAAGAATGGGGACGATAGACGATCATGATCATTCAACGAAAAAAGACTTTTTGGTGAACCTTGCGTCGTATGACGTTGAGCAATAACATGACTACAGATTGATCATCAATCACCATTCATGAATGTGCCGCTGAGCGAATTGGAAGCACGCTTGAAATTTGGAGGAGACGCATGGGACAAAGGCGACGATCTCCGAGGAGTTTCTTGGGATGGAGAGATGTAATCCTCGTCCTCTTCGTTCATCTGATAGCGGTCCGGGGTATGTGACCCAGGAACAGCGGTCTCTGGGCCTGACGCTTCCGACCAGGACTCGTACTCCATGGAAGAGGAAGGCTTGGCGTGAATGGGTAGTGGGGGCATAGTTCCGCGATTGAGATTCTCCTGATCGCGCCATTCCGCTACTCTACTTAGTCCAGACTCGACATGCACGTCAGCAGGAACGAACAGCTGCTCTTCGTGGTAATCATCTTCCTCTATAAGTTCGGGTGGCGTAGAGCCAGGTACATGGTCAGGATCCGGAGGAGGGATACGGTGAAGTAAACCGAAGCTATAGCAAAAGAATTAGGGTACGGACTGTCCTAAAGAATGATACTCACCCAAATACACAGCCCAATAAGCCTTCACCACCCCAATGCCGGTTTGGAACCAGAACGACTTCGCGAAGCGCGCTATCGTCCGCATGAGAGATAGGCTTTTGGAATAACCGAAGGGGTACTTACTCGAAATCATGGGAATACACATATACCCGCAGGGGTTTGTCAATGTGCTATAACGAAATGGTTAGAAATATAGCAGAGCCATGATACAAAGATACGCACTGCTTCAACTAAATCATAGAAATCATTCTCAGCACTGAGCACACCTCCAGACCATCCTATGATGTAATCCCCGTATGGAACAAGTCCAGCACTTTCAGCTGGGCTCCCTTCTAAAACGTCAAGGACATGCCAGACGTTATTGGCGTATTCCGGAGCGCACATACGCATGCTCAATCCTAGTAACGAAGGTTGTGCATTCGAATCGTTCTGATATTCTTCAGGCGATAATTGGGACCATCGCCGAGATGGAGTGATCGGAACCACTACATAGTATAATCAGTAAATAAAGTCGTCTTGCTGTAACATCAAAGGACGCGCCTCGGGTATCTTGATTTTTGCTACTCCATACAAGTAGATTGAGAACGCGTCCTTCGTGCGCTTCAACAATCGTCTCAAGCTCGTTAACATCAATGTTACTGTGAGATGACAGCGAATCTCCTTCGAAGCCTACGATGAAGTCGAAAAACGGTTCGATATTCGTTTGGGATGCTGGAGAAGAAGGGGTGACCCTGAGAACGTGGAGAGCTTGCGAAGGAGAGTGAGCCTCAGAAGTCGACTGTGAGGCACCCATGCACGCAGGAAGTTGGCAGTGTATAAGCTTCCAAACTCCAGGGTAGTCGTAAAAAATCACGGATCGAAGCAGACGCGGACGAGACACGTGGCGATCATTAATATTAAATAGGGGCTTTATCATCAAGGTCCCTGGTTCAAAGACCGCTACCTATCTGTTTTCTAGTTCACTCCCAGAATAATCGGACATTCACTTATCCTTGCGAGCTTCAATCAGCCGCCATTTCCACTCTAACTATAACTAGTTCTGGCAGGTCCTGAATTTTTTAGTTTTACGAAAGCCAAATGATTATGAAGGCTGAATTGGAGGTCCAACGAAGCTCGATGGAAGTTGCTGCGGTATAGCCATATTGTGGTAGTCTGTGGCCAGCAGGATTATCCACAACGCACATCGGGAAGCTTGCCACCAACGAGAATTCGGGCCCGTTGCAGCTCATTGTACATAATCTGCATTTAGTAACGTTTACTTTACTATGTAGTCCATGATGTAGTCAAGCGGATCGCATCAACCTGAAAGAAAGTTTGAAGAGCGGAACCGATTACATTCAAAACTCTTAGCCATATTTACAAAGTTTTTCCGATAATATTTACCTGTACGGCCGTGGACATTCACGAAGCTTGGCACCTTCTTAATTTGTTTGGGTTGTTTGGCTACATTCGTTGCTCAATGGCATTACCATGTGAGCTCCACCGGATAAACTGCAGTACACGGTACACTTCGAAAATCATGAGCAGAAGCCTGAACATTCTATAATATAATTTAAATGTGCCAAGTCGGTGGAGTGACCTAGAAATTGGTACATTGACTGAACTAGTGACTCTGTAAAGGTTGTCAGATGCTTGATAGTACCGCGTAGTTCGAAGAAGGAGGGACTTGGAAGGAAGGGTAGCAAACATTCGAAAAGAAATAGCCCCCGCACCATACATTTATACAAGGTTTGTTTAAACGATTTTTGGTCCGAGAATCGAGAAGCTTTTACTATTCTGTTGGGTACCATGTTGTTGGGGTAAGTCAATTGCTTTTTTTTTACCCCGCAGACAATCCATGGTCTCGCCGAAAAAGTACCGTTCTACGAAGATCCACAACATGGTCCTGGAGAATACCAGACGCGAGTCCTGCCGTCGACTGAATCCAAGCAGATAGATCCCAAGATATGGATGGGGAGGAAGAAATAAAACAAGGCAAATACCGCAGCGCATTACAGCTCGAAAAAGGCGATGGAATGAATTCGCCCGAGGAGGAGATTCTATGCCTAGATTAGTTTGATACTCACAAACGTAAATATTTCACGGAAGGGTGGTAATTGTTTGACCTTCACTGGATCAAAATTCCAAGTATTGCGGACCCGGATGGAAATCAGTGCCACTACGTGGCCAGCACGTTAGCAGAAATCGGATTGGGAATGGTCTGCAGCCCAGGAACTTGAGGGGGTATCGAAGGATCAACGCTTTTCTAAAATCATCAGTTCGGAATAAGGACGCGAGGGGGCTACGCCGTTGGTAAATATGAGCAAAGTCCATTCGAAATCTTCAGTGCTAGTATAATTTCCCAGTTACAGCAGTCTACAGCAGTACATTAACACTCTTAACGTCGTAGTAGCGATTTCGAAAATGGCAGCATCGTAGGGCTGAAAGCAGCCTGGAAGCATAGACAGGAAAGAAATAAGTATCTTGGGAAAAGACTCAATCAATGAAAATTTCTGGAGCGGGCCGACATGCCCAATGACAAATCGTTACGTACTCAAAATTTTGCAACCTTCGCGTCGTTGGTGAAGTATCTGTTGCACGACGGGCAAATAAATATTGGCCCGAGACAAAATCCACGTCTTGCGGCATGCGGTGCGTATTCGACTCCCTCTCTCCTTTGCTGCACTAAATCATTCGCGTCACAGCTGACTTATGTTTCTGTGTCGCCGCCCTTTGCTTCATCGACTGTACACCTTGCAACCAAGATTAACACCAGGATTACCGTTTCTCTCAAATCGCGCCCATTTTTCATCCACATATGGACTACCGAACCCCCATCCTAATACAGACGATTCAGCTTCTTCCAGCTCGGCTGAAACGAAAGATGTTGGAACGCGAACATGGACTCCTGTCAATATGACTTTACAAGAATACATATCTTCCCGGCCCAAGGCATGCCACAAGGTGCACATAGCTACATTGCTTCGCCTTCTGAAAGAAGCTGTCAAGAGCAATAACAAACTTGCGGTAGGATACGTTGCTGCCGACATATTACACCTACGCGCGGATCCGGAGCGAAACCGAGCGCTGCGACACCTTATTCTCGACACCGAACATAGGCTCATTTGGCCTAATACTATCTTGGCCATACTTAACGCGCTTGCATGGGGTAGTCAACTCGACAAGTTTACTGACTACCATCTTAAAACGCTTGCACATCGCATTACGGTCGAACGTGAACGGACGCCTTTTGCTGGTGATTTTAGTGTCTTGTTGCACTCCAATATTATGCGCAGACTTGAGCTGCTCCATCGTGTTCCTGTTGGTGCAAGGTCTGTATCATATGAACTGCCGGACATAGTTGAGGCTGCATTCGAGCTTCTGTCCTATCTTCTTTTGTTGAAGAATGAGAGTTTGATTCTCGAGCTCTTTCAGGCGCTCACAGAAAAGCTCTTCATTCCCCCCGAGGCCGTACAACAGGCGCCTACCACTTCGACCGACTTTTACTACATTGTTTCGGTGACCCTTTCCCGAGCATGCTTGTACTGGTACAAACGTGGTCTCGCTCATCGCCTACTTCTCAGATATCTTCCCTCCGGTGTAGATCTGACGACTGCTATTCGACAGAAAAACGCATCTCTAAATTCTCCGACTCCGTCGCCGGCAGATGAACAGTCCATAGAAGAACCACAGCAGTCCCTAGATCCCCAATTACTTGACCTCATCACTGACACCTTATACGCGACTCTCCGGAATCCCAATCTTTTCGAGCTCGAACTCTGTGTTGATGTCATCTCTCGAGTTCATCTATTAGCCCCCATTCAAGGCGGTATTATTCGCTTGGTTTATACAGCCGCTACAGAATGTAACTCTGGCAATGTTGCTAGAAGACTGTATGCATTCACACGCGAGCCTGCTATCGAAAAAGAACATCATTATCCTGGTCCCCAAGGTCGAGCAATATTGTTCCTGATGGCCTTTCTTACCCAAGAGAAGGGAAACACTCACTTGGCCCGTGTTCTTGCAAACGAAGTCGTAGAGAATGATACATTCCTTCCAGTTAACGATAGGCCCAAGTTTCTGACTCTGGTCGCCAGCCAATCGTTTGGGAAGGCTACCCGAACACTTTGGGAGCGATACGCAATCGGGAAAGACAAGGCATCGGTGGTTGGTTATAATGCTCTCTTAACCCGTATTGTGAGGCTCTTCACGCGAATGGCCAGATTGATTGAGGCAGATCTTCCGGACAACGGCGAGGATGCATCTGATACGTTGCAAAACGAACAACTCGGTGATAGTTCCATTAATATAGGATGGGAAGTAAATCATGCAGGTAGCAACCACGAAGCATCATCCAACGCTTCACAGCGGAGAGATCCTAATGGCAAGCCCAGTGTAGCTGAACTCAGTGAGCGTGCCAAAGACATCAGACTTTTCGTGCAAAGGGTCATAGAGGCTTTTGTTCAAGTCCATGAACCACTAGCACATGCTAAGCATGCGAATTTATCTTCGCTGGCGCGAGTTTATTTTGTTATTGGAGATTTTACCAAAGGCTTCGAGGTCTTTAGAAACCTCATTCGTCGTCGTGAAGTTCCGGACTTACACGACATCAACATCGGCCTTTCCGCTCTTGCTGAGCATAATCCTCGTAGCGCTGCTAGAATGATTGAAGTCATGACCCAGAGGGGAATTCAACCCAACTCAGTTACGTTCGGTACGGTCATTCATCAGGCACTAGTTCACGGGGACATGCAACTAGTGGGGGACTTGCTTCAACTGGCACGTCAGGCTGGCAATATTCAACTTTCCCCTCAGGGACTATTTTCACTTACCCGTGCGAGTGTCATTCTAGAGGATGGTTCCGGTACAAGGAAGAATGCGCCTTTGAAGGATGCATTAGAACTTTTCAAATCTTTACCGGACAATGGGAGGCTTTCGTCTCCGGACATGGGGAAGTTTATGGTATTTGCGGCTCTTCGGGAAGGCGAACCTGTGTTGGCCTTCGAGTTTTGGAAATTGCTCTTAAAGTATTCCTCGGAATGGGATGACCAGGAGCAAATCTTCGTACGACGCCTCTTACGACGAAGTATCATTCAGACTCTAGGTTCAGGAATGTCAAGGTCGAACATGCTTAACCAACTTTGGGAGCGACCGCCATATCATGCTATGAAGTGACAAGACGTCTGCAACCCAAATAAAGTAATATATACACTACCCCATAATTCATTCGCTCATAATAAACTACAACGTATGGGACGAAGGGAACTATGGTTCACGTGGAGGAAGGTTTAAAAAGTACCGAATCGGATTCGGGTGTTATGTCCTGTAGAAACTTGATCATATCAGAACGAAAGTGGAAGGCATTGGGCGACTGGCCAGATGGTGAGGATAAGACCGGGATTTGCCCGATACGAAAAGTCATCACGGGGCTCATGGTTGCATGATGAAGTTTGCAGTTGGATTGCTCAAAAGACAAATACATTTTAAAAACCCAGAAGAAGAAAATTGTTTGTTGATATATAAGAAGTCCATGTTACCGCCTGTTCCTTGAAAAAAAAACCACAGTGCTTGTCCAGCCCAATTCTCGATAACTAGAATATGCCTGCTGCTCGTCCAAAAAAAGAATCACATTCGACCACGCCTCCTTCAGATTGTCAAAACAATGAACCCAGAAGGTAAGCATTCCCACGATTCGTTCACCCCTAGCTTTGTTCTTCCACTACGCGGTTAACCTACATACCTATGATGTTGTTATTTTATTTTCACACTGCTCTGCTTGATGCTGACGGGCTTTCCAGAGCAGAAGGGAGATCTCGTCAATCGTGTGATGCTTGCAGAAGCCGGTTCATATCTTTAATCTGTGTCCAGGTCCTCCTCTAATATGATTGTCAAACAGGAAGGTTCGCTGTGCGCGCGAAAACTCTGATGATCCCAAGCAGTCATGCAAGCATTGTATCACTCTCGGTGTACCTTGCACATACGAATACCAGCCCAAGAAACGCGGTCCCCCAAACCTGTATGTTGTTATGTTGTCACAGGTATATTTCATGTCAATCTCCTTCCAGGTATCTTCGGCGTCTCCAAGAAGCTGCTGCTGCTGCTGCGAAACTACCGGAGCCCGCTGCTGATTCAGAACTCTCTGTTTCCCCCGTATCTACTAGCCAGTCTGTGGTTTCGCCAAGCCTGGGTCCGAAAAGCCCATTCTCGGAGACACCGATCAACACAAGCCCGACTATGTCCATCCCTTCCATTGCAATCTCACCCTCACGGTATCCCATAGCCGCTGACTCATTTCATGCCCACTATTCTTCTACCAATGGCAATACGATTTCGTCGCCCCCCTTCACCAATGATTTGTCCCACTCTCCCAAAGCCGAAGAGAATTCCACGTTTCCTGGTTCCGATTCCTTCAACACGTATCCCTTGTACAACTGGTCTTATAAACAGCATCACTCGCCGTCCACGATCCCTCCCCTTTCTTACTATTATCGTCCTCATCGCCTTGAGGAAATAGCGCCTCGAGACACCATTTATCTCATTATTGCTTTGTTTTTCGATTTTGTTTATCCGCTCACTCCATGTGTTCATAAACCTTCCTTCATGGCCGACTTGCATGCCCGACGAGAAGAACGAGACCCTCTCTTTTTTGCTCTTGTTATGTCAACCGTAGCTTCGACATTGGTGCAGGTTCCTCGATCATACCTTCCTATGGAACGTCCTGTGGTCCACAAATTAGCACAAGTAAGTTCCGCCATGTCAAAGCTCTACTACGATCTAATCTATAACCGCTGCTTCAGACATGTCATGAAGCTAGTCGACATATATCAGTGGCTTCGTACGACCCTCCGACCTCGATGCATGTCGTTATACGTTACTTGTATGTATCATCACAACATGCTCTTACACTTAACTCAATTCAGAATAGCGACTGCGTGTATCATTTCTGCGAGGGGCACGATGCTACACAACACGCAGCATTCGGGGAGGCTGCGCACATTGCTGTCACGCTCCGCATGCACGAAGAGGCCTCTTACGATGGTCTCGATCCCATAGAATGTGAAGTTCGACGGCGGATTTTCTGGCTTCTTTTCGGTGGTAAGAGCGTTTAACTGTGTTGTCGTTACAAAAATTGAATTCACATGTACAGCCGATAAATCAATGTCCATCCTTTTAGGAAGACCCATTTGTCTCCGAGACGAGGACTGTTCCGTGCACTTCCCGAAAGAGTTGGATGACGAGTAGTAAGTACACAGCTTCTTCTGTATGAACTTGCCTCACAATTCACCCGGTGTTATTTCGGTTTTCAAGTATCACTCCCAGTGCCTATTTACCACAACCACACGGAAAAACTGCTTTGGTGTCGGGTTTGAACTACACGTCTCGGATTTTTGCCCTCCTCGGAGAAATCCTTGTGCGGATCAGGGTAGACAAGAGGTCTCCACCCCAAGGACAATTCGCTACCGCCCGGTTGGAAGAGGTGCAGTCACTACACCAGAGAATACTAGGTGCTTTGAGCCTTGCCCCCGAACCGCTTCGTCTCAAGCCTGTTCTCTCACACTCACATCTTCCCCCGGAATATGGAGGAGCAGGGTTCCGCAAGGCGACTTTTGACGAGGTCAAAGATTTTTTCGACAATCCAAATGCCTCTCGGGCCAATGCGTTAAATCCCTTCCTCGTGATGCAAGCGAACCTCTACGTGACACAGGTATGCTCGATTTCATTTGATTGACCATTTACCGAATTTGACTTGTGCTATGTAGCAACTTGTCCGTTTCGTCATTGAGCAGTATCGCGATGAACTTTTGCTCTCTTTGCAGGGCAGTCTCGACGATCAGAAGATGGCTGAGGATCGGGAAGCGGTTGCCAGCGAATTGCTCAATATCCTTCATAGGTAACGTCGCTGTTCATGTACTCGCATGTCAGATGATGAATAACCATATTCAGCATCCCCATTCAATCGATTGCTACCAATGGACCCAGCTTGGTTAGTCCCTGTAATTCCTTTTTCCGAATTGTTCCAATCAATATACTTGCAGGTCCACAAAGTACGATTTGTAGCATCTACCCTGCTTGATGCAGTGAAGAAGGCAGAGATTGCACCTGCCTCAGCGGCCCGCGCTCATGCGTATCTTTGTATGTTCATATGGTTCGCGATCATGGGACCTTGGCTCACGCCTCACAATCAGGGGATTTCCTCAGCATCCTATCCGAAATTGAGAGGAATTATCTGTGCGCAACCAGTGCTTGTCTGCGATTGACCTTTCTCTAATTTTTTGTTTGTAGTTTGGATGACGATCGCGACGGTACTTCAAGCGGAGACGGAATGCCAATGATTGGCTGAATACACGAATCTGACAGCATCGTCCTAAATATTTATCATTCATTGGGATGCTAACCCTCGATTCATGGGTTTGGGTTGTAAAGTTAAATGACATTGTATCTTCCTAAATGCTTTCTGTACCTGTTCTGTACCTATACCCCCATTATACCCTCATCATCAAACTTATTGCTTACTTGTATTTGACAAATCTGCTTGTCTCTCTACTTTATTGTATCAACATAGCTACTAGTACTACTACTAGCAACATGGGTGTTAAGCGTAACGTGCACAACGTGCACGTGCTTATAAGTTATCGCGTCCTTGACTCTCAACTTCATTAAAATAAACATTCCTCAGTCTCCATAATCAAAACCTTTGCGTCCGAGACTCCACTCGAACTGGGAAATCTTACTGACAGCAAGGCAAACTTCAGTTTGGACGTCATCTAGTACGATGGCTTCTGGTGAATTCACAGAGGAAGAGCAAGGCCGGTACGACCGACAAATTCGGTTATGGGGTATAGAAGCGCAGCAGAGGTAAGAATATGTTCGACGCGGTACTCAAAACTTGTTTTGTCCGTTTTCAGAACATAGACCGGTTTTGTTGACTGATCGAAACGATTAGGATGCGTAATGCTACTATTCTTGTGGTCAGGCTTAGGGGAACTGCCACAGAGACCATTAAAAACATAGTGCTAGCGGGTATTGGGAAGCTGATTCTTGTAGATGCGGACGATGTAGAAGAGGAAGATCTTGGTGCGGGATTTTTTTTCCGCGATGACGATGTGGGGAAAAAGGCGAGTCCTTCTTTTGCCACCCATGCACCGGAGATTTAGTGGAGAATATTCGGTATCACATTTATCCAGAGAGTCGATGCGGCAAAGGCACGAATCGAAAACCTGAATCCACTTGTGACCGTTGAAACCGTCCCAAGCTTCAATGTTCTGAACAATCAAAACTTTGAATCTACTGTAAATGGTGTTGACCTCGTTTGTATTACAGAATGGGACCGTGATGATCTTGTGAGTAAATCAGAGGTGTTTTACACAGTAGCACCGCTAATATCCGTCTCTCAGATTCGCCTGAATAACATATGTCGTCGGTCGAGAAAACCATTCTATTCAGGAGGAACCTATGGTCTTTTAGGATATATTTTCTGCGATCTACTAGACCATAATTACATTTCTCCGTAGGTCGCGCCGTTACGCCCATGCTTTCCGTCGCTCATTGATACTAGAGATCGATCTTCACCTAAGGATGCTCCAAAGAGCATCCAAATGAAAGTATCATATCCATCTTTACAGGATGCATTACGCCATCGATGGTCCCTTCTTTCCAAACGTCAGACGAAGGAGCTCAATCCAGCTTCGGTATTCGCTATATTAGGCGAGGAACATTGTATTAATCTCGCGATTTTCGAAATTTAATATTCCACCCAACAGCTCTTTGGCAATTTCAATCGATTCGAAAGCGTCTTCCTATCGGAGCACAAGATGTTGGAGAGCTTCAACAGATTGCAGACGCTCTAGTTTCCGAAGCAGATGTGAACAAACAAGTCATCACGACGGTACCTCACAGTTTGATTGAGTAAGTCTAAAAGCCCAGCATGCTTCAGACGAACTTCTTGATGACCATTCCCAAGATCCGTAACGATGACAGCTGTACATGAGTTTTCACCTGTCTGCGCCATCGTTGGTGGTCTGCTGGCCCAGGACATCCTGAAGACGCTTGCCGCCCGTGAGCCTCCTATCGCTAATTTCCTCACTTTCGATGGGAACATAGGCGGCGCATCGGTATGCAAGTTATCCATGTCATGACGTAGAATTCCTACATCACCTGAGTATAGACAATGTGTATACTTTGCCGTTTTGCTGCTACTCGTGTATCTTCCTTCAATGATCCCTCTCGATCGTCCGGGATAAGGCGGGATACATAATCTCATCTCTGGTCAGATTCCTGCTCCATGGGATCCAGCAGGTTAGTCTGAAAATATAGCGAGTCGGAGCATATAAACCAAGACCGAGCATATCTTGATTTTCTATGGAAGTTCAAAACTGCAATTCTTCATCAAACTTCCCACATAACTCGGGAGCTGTGGCGTATTACTCTTGCCCCATTCCTTAAGCTCACCATGTTTACCGCAATCAAGTAATCGGGAGAACGCACCAAGAAAAGACTGAAAACGCAGATACCGTGCGACGCTTCTTCACACTGGCACAGCTGAAGCGAGGATGACGAGACTGAATAATCTCACTGACCAGAAAGACTTCGATGTTGTTGCCGAGCAAGATCAAGCAAGTTTCTCTCTCCCTCTCCGAAGACGAACACGTCACAGCATTTATTTTAGAAATCTGGAACGATACGATATTTTTCAAGTCATCTATGCATCTGAATCGTTCATAGGCATTTCTCATGACCATGATTACGAAGAAAGACATAGATGTACTGCAGAAATACAGGTGTCGTTTTGGTAAGAAATGCACTTCAAGCCTCAGGTACTCCACAAAAGAAACTTCGCCGGTTTGCTTTTTGACTTCTACATACCCCCAATTCCTCCACAAAAGATGATTGTAGGGCCCTATTTCTGCTACGCGTGAGATCTTTGAATCGTTGGAGAGAAAAAACATATTTCTTGCAAACCTCGAGTCAAAGCGTCGGCGTCGAACTTGATAACGACACTCCCTGACCCTCGCCGTGCCCCACTTCACGGTCATAGGGTACCAAGGTCGTTCCCTTGAGAAAATTTTCACGATCGTATGAGAACTTGTTGAGACACGACGTTCATCTCCAATTTCTTCATTACTGGGCGGTACATTCTTTCCTTACTATATGAGTTTGACCAGCTGCGTTGCTTACCGCTACGTTCCTTCCCAGGAACTGAAGGGTTTTCTTTGCTATTCTCAAACAAGATAACGTGTCGTTCGAAGAATTCCCTCTTCAAGTATAACAGAGTATAACGCCTGGTTGAAGGGAATAGGTTGACAGAGGTTGACGTCAAATTTCCTTTGCACAATGCGTAGTATCATGGCCACAGTCTGGCTTGTTAATAACTAGGGGTGATAATAATAATATATATTCATCTCAATGAATTTAACAATGCCATACCCTCCATTGGATTGTAATCAGGAGTTTGGGAAGGTAGAGGGAGCAGAATTAGGCAGAATTTCAGCTTTGGAAGTTCGGCTTAGTTCGGCCGAATCAATGCTAATCACATCACGGGGTTGCGCAGGGACTTCAATTTGAACAATCGATTCAACGATTCAAATCGCCGTGGCCGGATGGTCTCTCATCTGCTGTTGCTTCTCAGGAATTCTCCTTCGTGCGACTGTCGAATGCCCGAGCGCAGAAACCGCCGCAATATCATCTATCTGAACAGCTGACCAGCTCTTGAACTAGTACAAGCTTTGCCTTTTCCCCCTCTCACCGTCAGGTAAAAGACAAATATTCTGAGCGCTCTATGTACTACGACTGTATAGTTGTGGGATCCGGTAATGCAGGGAGCTGTGCTGCTCTATCAGCAAAGGAGAACGGCTGCCAAAAAGGTATGTATGCGTCTTAATCGGTACTGTGTTTCTACTCCAAATCACTGAACATCTTCCCCCTCTGTAGTACTACTTGTGGATAAATGCTCACCAGACTGGGTCGGAGGCAATGGCTACTTCACTGCCGGTGCCTTCCGAACCGTCCATAATGGCTTAGATGATCTGTTGCCCATCGTTCAGAATGTTACACCGGAACAAGCTAAGCATATCGATCTGAATCCATACAGTCATAAAGACTTCATCGAGGACATAATGCGGCTTGGCGGAAGACGGTCCGATCCAGGTTTAGCTGCCTCAGTGGTGAACAACTCCCGCGATACTGTAGATTGGCTCGCTGGACATCAGGTCCCATTTATTCTTTCTTTTAACCGCCAGGCATACGAAGTCGATGGGAGACAAAAATTCTGGGGAGGATTGGTTCTCAGTGTCTCTGACGGGGGCAAAGGTCTGATTGCTGCTGAACATAAGGCGCTCGGAAAAGCCGGAGTCGAGATTTGGTTTGACTGTCCATTGGTGAACCTTTTGATGCGGGATAACGCTGTCTCCGGAGTAGTAGTGCGAAAGGATGGGTCTGAATTGACAATTGAGTCCCGCGCAGTAATTTTGGCAGCCGGGGGTTTTGAAGCAAGCTCAGAGTTGAGAATTGCTCATTTGGGCGTGGGCTGGGAAAAAGCAAAGGTACGAATGGGAAGTTATTACTCACCTTAACTCCTAAGAACTGATTTGAAAACAGGTCCGAGGCACCCCTTTCAACACAGGTAAGTTGATCGAATGCTAGTGGTTCGTTCGCTATCAGCTCCTTGTTAACGATGCTATCGCTCTTCGGAGGGGATTGCTTCGCCATCGCTCAGGGCGTAGGGGCAAAATTAGTCGGGGACTGGGCCTCATGCCATAGTACAACCTGGGACTTTAATGCACCTGAAATTGGTGCGAGAGATCTCACGAACCAATTCACAAAATCAGGCTATCCATTAGGCGTCATGGTAAATGGTAATGGCGAACGATTTGTCGACGAGGGCGAAGATTACAGAAACTACACGTATGCCCGTTTTGGGAAAGCAATACTTTCGCAGCCTGGAGGTTTTGCTTTTCAAGTCTGGGATTCGAAGATGCTCGATATTCTACGGAAGGAAGAATACGGAGATGGAGTCGTCGAGAAAGTATACGCTGACACCATTGAAGATCTAGCACGCAAACTTGCTGAAGTCGGGTTGACGGACCAAGTGAAGTTTATTGAAACTTTTCAAGTGTACAACGCGGCTGTTACACAGCATAAACTAGAAAATCCTGATTGGCACTGGGATCCTGCCGTCAAAGACGGGCTGTCTACACAGTCTTCCCATTTGTCGCTTTCTCCACCCAAGTCACACTGGGCAGAATCTATTGACAAGCCTCCGTTCATGGCTGTCAAGGTTTGCTGTGGAATAACATTTACCTTCGGTGGTCTAGCTATTGATCCTGAATCAGCGTCAGTTCTATCTGAGTCAGGACCTATACCCGGATTGTTCTGTGCTGGCGAGATGGTTGGTGGTCTGTTCTATAAAAACTATCCGGTATGTCGATGTTACTATACCAGCATTTGACCTTGAATGAGCCTGACACTCTCACAGGGAGGGAGTGGGCTATCTGCTGGCGCCGTGTTCGGGAGAAAGGCAGGAGCTTCCGCGTCCAGATGTAAGAGGATCATGTAACATTTAAGCCTCTAAACTCTAAGGGTCCAACCCTCTCGGACGCAAGGTGTATCTACTGTATCATACGTGCCATTTTTGAATCGATAACGAACGATGAAAACTTTTTGTACTAGTTCTAGTTCATGGTTGCTCGGATCCCCTCTTTCGCAGTGATCGATCAAGCGCCCAGGCGCGTTGAGAGGCGTGAGAATTAGTCAAGCGATTATGACGTCATGACATTGAATTCATCTTTAGTACCTTTTGTTGTCTAAACTTCAGAACACAAATATTGGGATGGCCCACATTGATGTTGTAGACCTGGTTGACCAACTCAAAGAACATCGCCAACATGAATCAGAAATCGAAAACCACAACGAACCTCCAGCTCCTCCTCAGGATTCACCACATCCATCTCAAATAGATTTACCCCACAATCATGCTCATTTTCGGTCTCCGCCTACAACTCCTTCTATGAGGACTGGTCCTCCACGATCTCTTTCATATGTTTACTCCTTGCCCAACTCTCCTGCCGGCTCGCGTGCAAACAGTAAACTTGAGAGCGGCGAACCGAAGCTCACTAACCACGAAGAAGAAGAAGGCAACGGCTTTCCATTTTCCGACAGCCAGAATACTCCGTTTCGTGGTGCGCTTGAAACTGGAAACGGTTCCTTCTCTAGTGATAGGAAGGGGAAGAAGAGAGAAAGTAGGCTTCTTGAAGAAAGCTGGAATCCAATGAAGTGGTTTCATGAGAGTCCCAAAGACGAAAATGCCCCAGATTCGCCTTTTGGTAGAGAAGATGGCGCGCAGGCCATACCGGACGATGATAGAATTGGTCCTAGTCTGCGGAGAGTGAAAACCGAGGAACTAGCGCCGTCTCCTGAAACTCAGAAGGCCGGTCGCGTGAAATGGGGACGCTTGCGCTCTCTCCTCCCTCAGGTTGCCAACCAAAATCCGAGTTCAGGACCGGGACCTTCGGCTGTTACCTCTAGCGCAGTCAATATAACCGATGAACTCATAACCGGAGGCCTCTCCACGTTGATGCTACGACTATGGTTTGAACACGACGAGAAAGGTCATCGCAGGGTTCCCGTACTTCTTCATCGATTACGCCTCCGCGTTAGTGATAGTTTGCATCCGTTGCAAGGTCACAAATCTGTCTTTCGGATCGAATGCGAATACGCTAACGGTGCGGCCCGTTGGGTCATATATCGACAGCTCCGCGATTTTATTTCCTTGCATACCCACTACGCGGTCTCCAATGCGTATAATCGCAATGTAGATGGGCTCCCAGAATTTCCCCGCACAAGTGAGTCTGAATTATACTCTCATACCTGTGGACTGATATTTACTCGTCCTAGGTCTACCTTATTTTAAATTTCTGAAGAAGGAGGGTCGAGAGAAAGGCGCTCAAGTCGGTCATTCAGAATTTGCACGCCTCCAACGTGAAGCTTTGGAAAATTACCTTCTTGATTTGATACGTGCTGTGGTGCGTTAGTTTGGGCCCTTTCCCGTTCTGTGTTACATGGTTTGACTCGGTGATGGAAAGATGTTTCACCCAGCCTCTAATCGTCTATGTGGTTTCCTTGAAATCAGCGCTTTCTCTATCGCCCATGCGCAAACCGGTGGCTTCCAGTATAAAGGTGGTTATTTACAGATAGAGGCAGCGAACGGCAGGAGCGGGGGCTTTGGCAGGAAAGGCGCTAGTTGGAAAGCTAAAAAAGAATCTCGGTGGTGTGCGATCCGAGAAAGCTATCTAGTTGTCATGAAAGAACCTGGTGAGGTATGTGATATTTGAACGCAGCATTAACATACATTCTCAATGCTATTGCTTGCCAGCTCGAAGTGTGGGACGTCTTCATGCTAGACCCAGATTTTACTATCGAGCGCCCTAAGCGTTACTACCGTCAAGGTCTCAGCCTGTTACATCCGGATTCCCTTTCCGATGAGAAGGCTGAGAATGATGCTGATAACAGGCGGATGTCAGTCAACACCGACACCGAACATATGTCCCTCATGGGATCCATTCGCGGTCACTTTTCTCAGGTTCTCCATTTCGGGAATCACACACGCGCTAGGACAACCTCGAACGTTGGGCGGCAGGATGATCATGATGATGACACGTCTAGCATTTCTTCTAGGTCCTCTGTTTCCTCCCGTGTGGCCACCCCAATGCTCGACCCCTCCACCCACGTCAATCCCCTTGGGCCAGCAGAAGACGAAAATATGGGCGAAGAACATCCGTGGTCAAATAACAAGAAGAAGAAAAAGGCAAACGTTCATGAAGTCTCCAAGCATACATTCTTCATTACAAACTCTCAGATGAGATGGAAGTTATTCGCAAGGAATCAGGTATGCGGGAATGATATGTGATTTGAGCTACTTTTCATTTCTTTTACCCAGAGACAAATGTTACAATGGATAACTGCCCTTGAAAAAGCGGCAGCAGCGTCACACTATACTGGAAGCAACAGATTCGAAAGTTTTGCCCCGATACGACTAAATGTAGCGACACAGTGGCTGGTTGATGGGGTCTGTGCTTTTATTACCCTCGTGGTTCAAACAACGTTCTTAGATGTCTGCATAGCGGGACTATTTCTGGAATCTCTCTCGAGCTATCCTCATGGCGAAAGAAAATATATACATACATGATTGGTGGCTCTCTCCTGGTATGCGATTTGACATTAATGCGGCTTCCGCCATTTGACTAGTTATGTATTACAGAACTGCAACTACGGCGTCCGAACAAGGATCGGTATCGGTTGGATAAATTGCTGGAGAGCAAGGCTAGGGAGGGTGTCAAGATTTTCATCATCCTCTAGTACGTGATTGCAACTTTTTGTGTTTCCCTCTTTCTCAATCTTGATATGTTCACTAGCCAGGAGGTTTCGAGTCGAACAACTCCTACGGACAGCAAGTGAGTTTACACCTTTTCAAAGTTTGCGCTTGGGTTAATTCTTTCCTAGCTATTCCAAACAACGGCTTACAGCACTTCATCCAAATATCATGGTCCAACGTTCCCCTTCGCATTTCCAGACTGGAACCTTCTATTGGGCTCACGTAAGAGTTGATGCTTGTTGACATGTCTCCGTCTAACCTTGAGGATGTAGCACGAAAAGCTCTGCGTCATAGACCAGGCTATTGCTTTCATGGGTGGTCTTGATCTCTGCTTTGGCCGGTGAGTTTGTGCTGTTCACTCATTCGGATTTCGATGAACATACTTGATTAGATGGGACACTTCCCAGCACGTCTTGATAGACGACCCCGATACCGACCAGTCACAGATATGGCCTGGTAGGGTCTGAGTAGTAAAACCGTTCCCCAGCTGACAAAAAGCATAGGCAAGGACTACAGTAATCCTCGAGTCTCCGATTTCTTCACTCTTAACAAGCCGGAAGAAGATATGTACGATCGAAGTAGGATTCCTCGTATGCCCTGGTAAGTGACTATACTGTAATGTTGTTCTCGTATCAGAATTTCGAAAGGCACGATGTTGGATTGCAAGTCGTAGGACAGCCTGCTAGGGATTTAGCTCGCCATTTTGTCCAGAGGTATGGGAAATTTCAACTCAAGGAATATAAAGTTGATGTGATGTTCGATGTCTCCAGATGGAACTACCTTCTGCGAATCAAGGTAAGTTCATTGTGGATCAGGTCGAATAGTTTCGTTTGACCGTCATTCAAATCAGAATCATACTCGAACGATGCCTTTCCTTCTCCCACCACCTGAATTCAAACCAGGCGAATTAACTCAGATGGGTCTCACCGGCACCTGTGAAATGCAAATTTGTCGTTCAGCTGGCCCATGGTCGCTGGGTACCCCTAGTCGGATCGAGCATTCGATTCAAAACGCATATCTCAAAGGTACTTTGACATTCATCCTAGGCGTTTGTTTAAGCCTATTAATTTTTTTTGGCGACAGCTATTCAAATGTCAGAGCATTTCGTGTACTTCGAAAACCAATTCTTTATCACATCGTAAGATCTACTTCCTCTTCCCTTCGCGCCTCTGGACTGACAGAACATCGCCGATCTTTTGAAGGACTGTCGTCAATGATGTTAAGATCGAGAACAAGATTGGTGACGCTCTGGTCCATCGAATTCTCCGCGCGCATCGTGACGGTACGCCTTGGAAATGCTGTATCGTCATACCGGTGTTACCTGGATTCGAGTTTCCTATTGATCACAGCGATGCAAGCGCGGTAAGCTCGTGGTAATCGTTATGTCGGCGTGGGCTAATTAGGTCAAGCATAGGTGCGTATCATATTGGAATGCCAAAACCGTACTTTTGCTCGGGGTCCACATTCTATCTTTGCTCGTTTAAGGAAGGAAGGAATCGACGTAAGTGCATCAACAAAATCGTCTTTGTGGGTAGTTGATCCAGTGAATCATTCCAGCCGGATGATTATATTACAGTTTTCTCACTTCGTAATTGGGGAAAACTGCGGGGTGATGTTTTGACCACAGAGCAGGTACGAAAATCCTCTATCGTGAAATAATTTCTTAAGGTGGAAATATAGGTCTACATTCACGGCAAAGTCTGTATTGTAGATGACCGTCTTGCTATCATCGGAAGCGCAAACGTAAATGAACGTTCCCAGCGAGGTGACCGTGATTCAGAAATTGCGGCTGTGATCAGAGATACCGATATGATTGATGGGTAAGTGAACTTGCCCCTTCAACTCAACCGCGGTGGATTTACATTTTCTCAGTACTATGGCTGGCAAGCCGTTCCAAGTCGGACGATTTGCACATACCCTCCGCAAGCGTCTCATGCGAGAACATCTTGGTGTAGATGTGGATGCAATATACGAAGAGGATCTCATGGCCAATGAACCCCGCAAAGCAGAACATGAACAGGAAGCTTGGGATCCAGAATCACAGCAACAGTATGGGAAGGAAGAAGGTGTCACTAAACTCTCGAAAGCCCATCAGCGGACTCCTGCAGGTGCTTTGCTGCGCGACGGTATCGATGGTTTCAGGCAAGGTGAGTTCATTCACTGATGAGATGCGCAACGCATTGACTCTCATTGTCTTTGAGCGCTTCACGCGACTGGTGAGGCAGGGTCTCAAGAAAAAAAGGAAATACTTCACAAACTCGGATTGAGCAGGGACACTGCTGGGAAGGCGACAAATGCAGCCTTAAGGGAAGAACGTCAGATGTTCACACGTGACGGGGAAAAGGTTGAGGGCTTTCCCAGTTCAATTGTCCCCACTTTGGAAGAGAAGACTGTGATGGAACATCGTCCGCCAGGAGCCGAAGCCGATGATAAACCTATTGCAGACAAATTGTCAGAGGGTACTCTTTCAGGCAGTGATGGGAAATCTGAAACAGAGGACTCATCAACAGAAAGTTCACCTTTAAAGGGAGATTCAACTCTTCAGAACATATCCAACACCGAGGTCACAAATAGAACTCCTGAGGACCCTCGAGTAGACGAGGAACTTTTGGGGGCTCCTGCAAATGCTTCCATCTCACCTCAAACTGACAATCAACCCCCTCAAGCTAGGTCTCATGTTGATGATGCTGACGAACAAGAAAGAGCAGCACCTCGGGCGCGTTCTATGATACGAAAACAACTAACGAGCAAACTCGGGAGTAAGTGGACGCTTCCGACCCCTAGACCAAAAGTCGATCCGCAAGCCTTTGATGACCCTATATGTGATGTGTTTTGGAAGGACGTCTGGGTTGCGTCTTCCGTCCACAACGTTTGTGCAATGTCCATCTTGGTCCAACCAGAACGTCACTGAATTATCCATAGACCGAAATATTTAGAAAGGTATTTCATGCCGTTCCAGACGATTTGGTGACCACGTGGAAGCAATATAAGGAATTCGTCATTCATCACGAGCGACTAAATAAGCCAGTCAGTGACTGTTCTTTTTCCAACATAGTGCAGCATTAATGACCGTTCCATGAAGTTCCGCGACAGCACAACGTCAGATGTTGTCGGCCGTGTTCCTTCTGAAACCGGCGATGAGGATGTTCCATTGGAAGGAAAGAGTGCGCAAGCGGATGAGCAGGAAGATAATCACTCTCGACCGAGTAAGGAAGGCGAGGAGAATGAAGATTTACATCTCGGTGCGAGTTCATCAGAGAAAGATCCAAAAACTCGCAAATCTACACGAGGAATTGAAGGGTTCGAAAAATGGGAGAGAGATGAAATGGAAGCATTACTAGGAGAGCTTAATGGTCACCTTGGTGAATGAAATTCGCCTATCTCAATTGTTGCGTGTCTAAGGCCTTCATTGCAGTTTTATACCCTACCAGATTCCTGGAGGGTGAGGATGCTGTCAACAATTTCCTCTTCAATGCAGACCGGTGTGTATAGTAATTCTTCAAGCGGCAGTTGTGGCTGAAAATTATGCTTTCATTGCAGCTTGCTTCCTCTTCCTATCTATGACTAGTGTGGTTGTAATCCTGGACATCCATTCAACATGAACTCTTGAGCAATAGTTTACAGTACAATCATCAATAAGTGGCTAGTACATAGTTATATACCCGATTCTATTATTTAATCTTACATTAAAGTGCAGTAGCTACGGAACAGACAGAGACAACTATACTTAAAAGGAATTTTGTACCACTCGAGGTTATGGATGTTCAATGACCACTGCGAGCAAGGTGAAGGGTGCCTTATTTGATAGGCAGCAAAGGGATGACCAGAATTGTTTGAGTATCCCGGACCTCCCTGAATCATCCCTCAGACTGTGTGTAGTGAATGAGCAGACTGATGGAATATGTGTGTTCCATAGTGCACCAGTACTGTATCTGATACTGTAGTACATTTAAATAAACTGGTGGTTGGAGAATTGGGCCAATGGTTAGTAGAATGCTATGGTTCTATATTGAAAAGTCACAATTATCTGTACCACAAAGCAGGAAAATAATAGTAATAATCATGTATGGAAGCGGGAGACTGTTTTCATTTGGTCTCAGGATCGACATCAGCAACTTCGGTAACTGTCATCGAGTGTTTATGCGCGAGTTTGTGGGCTTGTGGCAGATAAGCATTCAGACAAGGCGTCCTCTTGAGGTTCTCAAGGTCAACATGAATAATTTCCTGACAAAACATATCCAAATCCAAGTCGTTATCATCATAACCTAGAAAGGTATTAGTGACTAAACCACACAGATAAACAAGACTATTCACATACCGAACGGTTGTTCAATTTCCTCTCCGGCAGCAAGAAATCCGAGATATATAAAAGCTGCAATTGTAGTGCCGGGAATGGTATACCAAAGGAACTGATCGATGAGCTGGAAGGGAAGAAAGAATAGATAGATCCAAACGGTGCTAAAAGCGGAGTTGTCAGTACATGAGTGAAGATATAACATGACCGGAAAACCCACTGTCTATATTGAAGGGACAAAAAGCGCAGCATCAGCATTGGATGTCACTGTTCATTTAATAAAGACAAACCGTATATGAACAGAATAAACAAACGGAAGGGGGGTGGTCAAAATGCGCTCAAGAGCTATATTCCAAAATTGATGAATGGAGGCACGCAGAAAAAGACCATGACTCACCCCCGAGCGAATCCTCCATCGCTGCGATACAGCCAATCAAGCTTCCCAAACTTGTACCTATGAAACCTCATGAGCTTAGATCCAAATTTGGGCAGAGACCAACACACACCTGGAACGGTGTTTCTGTCCTCCAGGACACTGCACCATTCGCTGAAGCAACGTAATATTTCAAGAGGAAGATTTTCTCCGCGAGCTTCAGGATATGATCGTCCGTGCTTTGCCTTTCCAAATCTCTGCCGAATTGGACCACTCCATTTGCGCTGGCTTGCATCGAAGCCCAGGGTATCTCTCCAAATGTCGTTGCTCGTCTGGACTTGTGTGTACGAGGAAGAAGACGAATATTGACCCTTGAGCCATTCCTTGATGTTATGGAAAACGCCGGAGAAGGGGATCAAGTCCGGATCGACATGAGTCATCTTCTTGTGTGCGTCTGAGAAAAAGTTTGTTTATTTCTCTGAAACAATGCAGGTGCTTCGCTGTACTGACTTGGATTTTGTGAAGGATGAAGGGCTTGGTGTTCACTTCGCACAGACTCGTTTGACAACGAGGAAGTAGAAGAAATGTGACGGAGGCTCCGATGAGACCCGTTAGGCGGGCTGGAGTTGTTGCTGAAAGTACCGTAGGCATTTATAGGGGGGATTATGGGATCACCGAGATACTTAATGGACTTCCCCTTATCTTTGTCAATAGGTTCGCCAATTGGACGTGAAAGCGCGGAATTGGACGCGATACGTCGAACCTTGGTTGTGGTTGGAAGAGCGCTCGAAAGGGCAGCGTCGCTTGAGCCAATGGTGTGCTCATGCTGACACAGAAATGAGTGTACAAGATAGGTATGATGAAGTAAAAGATGTTACGTCATGTAAAGGGCGGACCAAGTGGTAGAGATCCTCAAAGTAGATACCAAGTTCACCTGCATTGTTTGATTAGGCACGAGTAGGTAAAGTATAAACGGGCAAAGCACCTCGAATATGATGTTTGACCGCAATGGCGAATCTGTGACATGCGGGTGAAATGTTCAGTAGGGCCGGATTAGAGAAAGAATACATACGCTACAAACAGTGAATGACCATCATCACCTTATACGAAGATACACTGACCTTCTATAAGGTCAAGTCCCATTCTTTTTTCAGTCATGACCTTCATTAGCTCTTCATGACTTCGGTCCAATTGACCACTTGCAATTTCAGCATCTGTTTTGGGAGTGAGACGAGGAGGTACGTGGTACCACACCAAACGTCCCATAGTTCGCGAGTTTCGCATCAAATCGCTCCAAATACTTCGTGATCAACGTGTAAGACCACATTATGAATACTCATTTTATAGAATTCTAACCTTCTTCCTAGCCAGTACCGATCATACCCTATGTATGCATCAGTTGCAAGACTTGGTTCAGAGGAAGGAATGGGATCAACCTGACATGGCGCGGTACGATATCACGAAGCCGATAACGACACCTATCATGTATCTCGAAAAGGTCCTTCACGACGTTCGGGAAGGCGACACACCAAGGACGGTCAATAGCACATTGGGAATCGCCAGGCTCCGGATCTTTGCCTTCTCTTCGAGTACAACGATTACTGGACACGATATATGGATAAGAAAACGTGATTTATGATCGAGAGCATAGAACTTGCCCGTGGAGAAAATGGTGTAGAATAAAACTGCAGGCCAAATCTTCCAAATCTGCAGCGGGAGTTTTTAAGTCAATTTTGCTCCAATGAGACTTAGGTTAAATACGCACAACTGAGCCACGGCCAAAGGTAAAGAATGCAACTTCGATCTTTGACTCCTGAGTCTCATTTGAAAGAGGAACGATGGGTTGGGTAGCAGGAAGCAAGTTGTGTTTGCCAGTAAAGGAACGTTTTCCATGCAGACGTGAAACTGGATTCGTTTCCATTATGAAGGGAAACGAGAGGAAAGTCGGATAAATATAGCTTGCTCATTTAGCTTGGGCGTCGGCGCCTATGGTTTTCAATGGATAGAGAGACAGAATGAATTGTACCGGGGGATGTGTACGAGCCGGCGACCGGAGACGTGCGAATTTATCGGCATCCAGCATCAGCACGTGGTCCCTTGAATTGCGAAATCTTCGCCCTTTCCCTTCCTTTCGAGTTCTGAGTCTTACTTCCATTTGGTTGAGGATGTCGATCCCACCACCACCGCCGGGCTTTATGCCACCCCCAGGAATGGCGCACTCATCTCACGGAGCTTCTAGCTCGAAAATACCGCCCGAAGGTGAAAATTTTCTCATTTTCATGAATATGGGTACTCATTTTTTGAAACGTTCAGTTATCGCCCAGAAGTCGATGAAATGGGTGCAGATGCAGAAGAAGAGATACGGAGAAAAGAGGAGGGGTGGATACGTGGATATGGGGAAGCAGGTGCGCATCCATAGCAGGATTCACAAGTAATTTGGTGTTGAATTTTCCTTTCAGGATCTACCCCCCGAGCATGTTCGCAAAATCATCAAAGATCATGGTGACATGAGCAACCGAAAGTTCAGGAATGACAAGCGTGTTCATCTTGGTGCCCTCAAGTATGTCCCTCACGCCGTCATGAAATTGCTCGAGAACATTCCATATCCCTGGGAGCAGGTTCGCGAAGTCCCAGTGCTATATCATATCACGGGGGCTATTACTTTTGTCAATGAGATTCCTCGTGTTATTGAGCCGGTATATCATGCTCAATGGAGTACTATGTGGCTTGCCATGCGTCGAGAAAAGCGCGACCGTCGACATTTCAAACGGATGCGTTTTCCTCCATTCGATGATGAAGAGCCGCCTCTGGACTACGGAGACAACGTTCTTGACGTCGAGCCCTTGGAAGCTATACAATTGGAGCTTGACACTGAGGAAGACGCTGCCATAATTGACTGGTTCTACGACCCAAAACCGCTCATCGACACACCTGCTGTCAATGGTTCTTCCTACAAATATTGGTCGTTGTCATTGCCTGTAATGGCAAACCTTTACCGTCTAGGCAGGACTCTTCTTTCCGATCAACCTGACCGTAATGCCAGCTACCTATTTGATAAAAAGTCATTTTTCACTGCTAAAGCTTTGAATGTTGCAATCCCAGGGGGTCCCAAATTCGAGCCGCTGTATCGTGACATGGACTCGTTTGACGAGGACTGGAACGAATTCAATGACATCAATAAGGTCATAATCCGACAGCAAATCCGAACAGAGTACAAAGTTGCTTTCCCACATCTATACAACTCCCTTCCACGTTCTGTTCGCATATCTCCTTATCACACTCCGAAAAATGTTTACATTCGAACGGACGATCCTGACCTTCCTGCCTTTTACTTTGATCCTCTCATCAATCCCATTTCCAATCGCGGCACCACACCAAAGAACATGCCCTTGGTATCTCACGAAGACAGTATTTTTGGACCCAACGGTGCAGAAGACGATGAGTTTGAGCTGCCCGAGGACATAACACCTTTCCTTGAAGACAAGGATCTTGAGAATGATCTCACTGCTGATGGTATTGCACTCTGGTGGGCACCAGAACCCTACAGCCGCCGGTCAGGCCGCATGCGTAGGGCACAGGACATTCCCCTAGTAAAAAATTGGTATCTAGAGCATTGTCCCCCGAACATGGCGGTCAAAGTTCGTGTATCATACCAGAAGCTTCTCAAGTGCTATGTTCTGAACGAATTAAGGACACGGCCGGAAAAGGCGATGGCGAAGAAGAATTTGTTCCGTCAATTGAAGGCCACGAAGTTCTTCCAAACCACCAAGCTCGACTGGGTGGAAGCTGGTCTTCAAGTCTGCCGTCAGGGTTACAATATGCTGAATCTCCTGATTCATCGTAAAAACTTGAACTACCTTCATCTGGATTACAACATGAATTTGAAGCCTGTCAAGTAGGATCCTCGGTTATGTTACTTTAACCTTACGCTAATTTCATACCACAGGACGCTGACGACCAAGGAGCGGAAGAAGTCACGATTCGGAAATGCTTTCCATCTTTGTCGTGAAATTCTTCGTCTAACGAAACTTGTCGTCGACGCACACGTCCAATTCCGGCTCGGAAACGTCGATGCTTTCCAATTGGCTGATGCTCTACAGTACATCTTCGCCCATATTGGTGCGCTCACTGGAATGTACCGGTACAAATACAAAGTCAGTTTGCTCCTCGGATTATCGCCCATTTCTAATGTGTTCCAATTTACAGTTGATGAGACAAGTGCGCATGACGAAGGACTTGAAGCATTTGATATACTACAGGTTTAACACTGGACCAGTTGGAAAGGGTCCCGGCAATGGGTTCTGGGCTCCTGGATGGCGTGTCTGGTTGTTCTTCATGCGCGGCATTGTTCCGTTGTTGGAGCAATGGTCAGTATCGTTGCAGGAAACCTCAAGTTCCTCTTGCTAATGATAATATTTTCCCAGGCTCGGTAATCTTCTTGCTCGTCAATTCGAAGGCAGAAACAGCAAGGGTGTAGCGAAGACTATCACGAAACAGCGTGTCGAATCCTACTATGATCTGGAACTCCGTGCAGCCGTCATGCATGATATCCTCGACATGATGCCAGAGTCCATCAAGCAGAATAAGTCGAAGACAATTTTGCAACACTTGTCTGAGGCCTGGCGGTGCTGGAAGGCAAATAGTGAGCAGTATCCTTTGTCATTTTCCTAACGGTGTATATTCAACTTTGTTTTAGTACCATGGAAGGTTCCAGGCATGCCTACCGCCATCGAGAATATCATCTTGCGTTACATCAAGAGCAAGGCCGACTGGTGGTGCTCGTAAGTGACTTATTACTCAGATTACTCTCAGCTTGTTCAAAAGTCATCTAGCGTTGCTCATTATAACCGTGAACGTATTCGGCGTGGGGCGACCGTTGACAAAGCCGTCGTAAAGAAGAATTTGGGGCGTTTAACCAGTGGGTGTTTATGTCTCTCGTAAATTTCGCTCTCTCACCAAATTCGTTATCAGGGCTCTACTTGAAAGCTGAGCAGGAGCGTCAACATGGCTACCTCAAGGATGGACCATACATCAGTGCAGAAGAAGCGGTCGCGATCTATACCGCCACAGTTCATTGGTTGGAGAGTCGGAAATTTGCTCCAATTCCTTTCCCGTGGGTATAATTCTATATTCGTTGTCATCTTTCCTCATTCCTTCTTATAGGCCTTTGTCATACAAACATGATACAAAGCTTCTTGTCCTTGCGCTCGAGAAGTTGAAGGAAGCATATTCTGTCAAGGGTAAGCCGTTCCAATTTCTGCAAACACTGTAATTTCTCACAAACTTCTCAGGACGCTTGAATCAATCTCAGCGTGAGGAGCTGGCATTAATTGAGCAAGCTTACGATAATCCTCACGAATGTATGCATTTCGTCTCCCGTTTTGACGTACGCCTGATTAATTTCGTATCATCGGAAGGTCTATCCCGAATCAAGCGTCTATTGCTTACTCAGCGAGCGTTTAAGGAATCAGGCATCGAGTTTTTCGATACGTACGACAAACTCATTCCTTGCTATGACATCGAACCTATCGAGAAGATTACAGACGCGGTGAGCACGTTCAATTTGAAATCTTATACCTGCTGACGTCGTCCTGCCAATTTAGTATCTCGATCAGTTCCTCTTCTTCGAGTAGGTATCTTCAACAAGTCTCTTTGATCTGGAAACTCATATTGCTCGTCAGGGCCGACAAGAGAGGTTTATTCCCTGCCTGGATCAAGCCTGCAGTGAGTGTATCCAAGGCACCTTTCGTACAACAGGCTAACAATCTGTAGGATACCGAGCCTCCTCCGCTCCTCGTGTACAAGTGGTGCCAAGGTATCAACAACTTGACGGACATCTGGGAGACTAGCGAAGGAGAATGCAATGTCATGATGGAAACGGTGTTGTCCAAAGTTTACGAGAAAGTTGATCTCACATTGTTGAACCGTCTGCTTCGTTTGATCCTTGACCACAATCTTGCGGACTATATCACTGCTAAGAACAATACAGTGCTGACTTACAAGGGTATTTGCTTTTTTTGAGATGTTCGTTGTCGTACTGATTCACCGCAAAGACATGGCCCACACTAATGCTTTCGGCTTAATCCGTGGTCTACAATTCTCGGCCTTCGTCTTTCAATATTATGGCCTTGTGCTCGATCTCCTTATTCTAGGTCTCCAGAGGGCCAGTGAAATGGCTGGACCTCCACAAATGCCGAACAATTTCTTGCAGTATCGTGACTCAGCCACCGAGACGCGCCATCCAATCAGGTTGTATTCTCGATACGTCGACCGCCTTCATATCCTCTTCCGCTTCACTGCCGATGAATCAAGAGACCTCATCCAAAGGTACCTTTCTGCCAACCCCGATCCTACCAATAACAACGTCATCGGCTACAACAACAAGCGCTGTTGGCCTAGAGATTGTCGAATGAGGCTCATCAAGCACGACGTCAACTTGGGCCGAGCCGTATTTTGGAACGTGAAGCAGAGTTTGCCGAGATCTCTAACTACCATCGAATGGGAAGACACTTTTGTGAGCGTATATTCCAAGGACAACCCCCAGTTATTGTTCTCCATGTGCGGCTTCGAAGTTCGCATCTTGCCAAAGATTCGAACTATGAGTGGAGAGCAATTCTCACTCAAAGATGCCGTATGGAACCTGACGAATGAACAAACAAAGGAGCGAACCGCGCAGGCCTTCTTGCGTGTTTCTGACGACGGTCTGCTTATCTACTCATTTTTGACGCTGTTACTGACTCTGATTCAAGGTGTTCAACAATTCAATAACAGAATTCGCCAAGTTCTCATGAGCTCAGGATCCACGACTTTCTCCAAGATTGTCAACAAATGGAATACGGCGCTTATTGGATTGATGACCTACTACCGAGAGGCAGTCATTCATACTAACGAGTTATTGGACTCCCTGGTCAAAGCTGAGAACAAGATCCAGACGCGTGTCAAGATTGGTTTAAACAGTAAAATGCCTTCCCGGTTCCCTCCTGTGGTTTTCTATACCCCGAAAGAGCTTGGTGGTCTTGGTATGTTGTCGATGGGTCATGTACTCATTCCGCAAAGCGATCTACGGTGGTCTAAACAGACGGACGTTGCTGGTAAGACACATCCCAACTTTCTAAACGTAAATCCTTGACGTCGCCTCCATCAGTTACCCATTTCCGTGCCGGAATGTCTCACGAGGAAGATCAACTCATTCCTAATTTGTACCGTTACCTCCAGCCTTGGGAGGCAGAGTTTTTGGACTCCGCTCGAGTATGGTCCGAATATTCGATGAAACGTAAGGAGGCGAATGCGCAGAACCGTCGTCTTACGCTGGAGGATCTCGAGGATAGCTGGGATCGAGGTATTCCCCGTATCAATACTCTGTTCCAAAAGGATCGTCATACGTGAGTGGTCCTTTTTAGCTGGGTGTCACGAATGCTGAACATCAGGATAGTCTTGCATATGATCGTGGCTGGCGTGTGCGCACTGATTGGAAGCAATATCAGTTGCTAAAGCAGTAAGAACTTTCCAAGCTCAGCATCTACATTCGATACTAAGCAATATGCCAGTAATCCGTTCTGGTGGACCTCTCAACGTCACGATGGTAAACTTTGGCAATTGAATAATTACCGAGTGGATGTCATTGCTGCTCTCGGTGGTGTCGAGGGTATTTTGGAGCACACCTTGTTCAAGGGAACCTACTTCCCAACATGGGAGGGTATGTGACGCAATATCTGGCTTCAAAATTGACCACTCATGTTCCTCTCCCCTTGTACAGGTCTGTTCTGGGAGAAAGCATCTGGATTCGAGGAATCAATGCGATACAAGAAACTGACTAACGCTCAACGTTCTGGTTTGAATCAAATTCCTAACCGTCGGTTCACTCTGTGGTGGAGTCCTACTATTAACCGTGCCAACGTCTATGTTGGTTTCCAAGTCCAACTTGATCTTACCGGCATTTTCATGTGAGTAAATTTCATCTCATCCCAGCGTAGCTGAGCTAATTTTACTTCAGGCATGGCAAAATACCTACCTTGAAGATCAGTTTGATCCAGATTTTCCGTGCTCATTTGTGGCAGAAGAGTAGGTTATACGTCTATATATAAAAACCTGCGGTTAACGCGTTTGTGTAGTTCATGAAAGTGTTGTCATGGATTTGGTTAGTGTTATGCTCTGTCAAGTTCAGTGCTGGGATCTAATTTTCATCTTCAGTGCCAAGTTTTCGATCAAGAGCTGGAGCCGTTACAGATCGAAACGGTGCAGAAGGAGACAATACATCCTCGAAAGAGTTACAAGATGAACTCCTCATGCGCTGATATCCTTCTGTTCTCTGCATATAAGGTAAGATTCGCAAAAAAACTTTTGTTGTCCCGAGGTTTAATTCCTCTTATAGTGGAACATATCAAGACCTTCACTTGTGACAGATGTGAGCTAGTCCTGCCTCTTTTAACGTTGTTTTAAATGAAGACAAACATCTTCCTTAGGTGAAAGACGTTCTCGACGGTACGACAAGTAACAAATATTGGATCGACGTGCAACTCAGATGGGGAGACTTTGATACTCATGATATCGAGCGATACACAAGGGCCAAGTTCTTGGACTATGTGAGTATCTTAATACCCCATTTTCAGTATATTCAAATCTCTCTAGGTCTCCGACTCAATGAGTATATATCCTTCTCCTACTGGTGTCATGATTGGCATGGACTTGGCATACAATTTATGGTCCGCCTATGGGAATTGGTTCCCGGGTATGAAACCTCTAATCCAACAAGCAATGGCAAAGATTATGAAGGCCAACCCTGCTTGCCATGTCCTCCGAGAGCGTATTCGTAAGGGTCTGCAACTTTACTCCTCAGAACCAACGGAGCCGTACCTGAACAGTCAGGTAAACGTAATACACCACTTCCGTTCATGCCTTTGTTAACAATGAAGTCTACAGAATTACTCGGAGCTGTTCTCTAACCAGATTATCTGTGAGGTTACCCAAGATGTTTCGTACGCATAGGCTAATGTCGTTTAACAGGGTTCGTTGACGATACTAATGTTTACCGTGTTACCATGTGAGTGTTATACCAACGCGTATCATTGTTGTGCTCATCTTCATCTGCAGCCACAAGACATTCGAAGGAAATCTTACGACGAAACCCATCAGTGAGTTGAACATGAACTACTTGATACCTCCAGTCATTAATCTCTGCGATAAGATGGTGCCATCTTCATCTTCAACCCACGTTCTGGTCAGTTATTCCTCAAGATCATCCACACCAGTGTGTGGGCTGGTCAAAAGCGTCTCGGACAACTCGCCAAGTGGAAGACCGCTGAAGAAGTTGCTGCTTTGGTACGGTCTTTACCCGTTGAAGAACAACCGAAGCAAGTCATTGTCACCCGAAAGGGCATGTTGGGTGAGTATATCTTGTGTCCATTCACGAGGTGCGTCTCACTGAGATACTGCTAGATCCTCTTGAGGTCCATCTTCTTGATTTCCCCAATATTGTGATCAAAGGAAGCGAACTGCAATTACCTTTCCAAGCCTGTATGAAAATGGAGAAATTCGGTGATCTTATCTTGCGTGCTACTCAACCGCAGATGGTGTTGTTCAGTCTCTATGGTGTGTACCTGTCATACCCTGCGAGGATTTCTCAATCCTGACCCAAGTTCAGACGATTGGTTGAAATCGATCTCGAGTTACACGGCGTTCTCCCGACTGATCCTTTTACTTCGTGGTCTTCATGTTAACAACGAGAAAGCAAAGGTCATCCTTCACCCAGACAAGAACACCATTACCGAACCGCACTTTGTGTGGCCGACCCTCAGTGATGAAGAGTGGATCAAAGTTGAAGTCGCTATGAAGGACCTCATTCTTGCAGACTTTGGTAAACGGAATAGCGTCAACATTGCTTCGTTGACAGTTAGTGAAATACGAGATATCATATTGGGTCAGGAAATTGCAGCACCTTCTGTGCAACGTCAACAAATGGCCGAGTTGGAAAAGAGCTCAGAAGCCCAGGCTCAAGTCACTGCTATCCAAACGTGAGTTTTTGACCTGTCGCTCGTCTTGTTCGTCAAACTGAAGGTATTCAAATTCAGGCAAACAACCAACGTCCACGGTGACACCATCCAAACTGTTACGAGTATGTGCCTTCTTGTCTTTTTATCTAAACATATCTTAACATATCATGATAGCTACCAACTACGAGCAGCAGGTGTTCAGCAGCAAGTCGGACTGGCGTGTACGTGCTATCTCAGCCACACATTTGCCTCTACGTCTCCAACACATCTATGTATCCAACGATGATGTGAAGGATGACGCAGCTTCTTACACTTACGTTCTTCCTAAAAACGTTCTGCGGGCGTTTATTACGGCCTCTGATCTTCGCACGCAAGTCGCGGCCTTCCTCTATGGCGTCTCTCCTCCGGATAACAAGCAAGTAAAAGAGATCAAGGTATGTTTGCTTGGAGGGTATTTTGACAAAGTGCTGACTATCCTCGACAGGCCATAGTTTGGGTACCACAGCGAGGAAGTAACAACAGTGTTGAATTACCGTCTCAGCTACCAAAGGACGACTTTTTGTTGAAGGACCTTGAACCTCTCGGTTGGATCAAGACTCAAGCTCTTGAGATTCCGCACCTTTCGCCTACGGATGTCACCACGCAAGCCAAAATAATGGCGGATCACCCTGAATGGACTTCGTCGTCGATCTGTATCACTGCATCCTTCACTCCTGGTTCCGTATCATTATCCGCCCACTCTCTTTCCGTGGCAGGATTTGAATGGGGTCGAAAGAACGCAGATAACTCTGCCAACCCTCCAGTATGATATTATTTTTAATAAATCTATGTCAATTGGCTGATAAATTGTCTCTTGCAATAGGGCTTCAATCCAAACATGTCCGAACGTGTACAGCTGCTCCTTTCAGATCGTATACTGGCTATGACTTTGGTACCGGAGGGCCGAGTGTGGAACTATGGAATCGGTCTCACGCAGTTGTGGTCATCGAATATCAGCTATTCCACGATCTTGGATACTCCCCTGCCATTCTGGGCAGAAGAACATCGTCCAAATACGTTTTTGACTGTACGTGTTGATCTTGTACTTGGGAACCGATCATATCGTACTGACCATATGTTTTTTTGTTGTTTTCTGACAGTTCGCTAACCTCGAACAAGGAGAGGATAGTGCCGATGTCGAAAATAGCTTTGCTTGAATTGATTTATTTCTTGCTATGTACACTGATCGTTGTCGACTTCCATTCCGCCTGTTACTTACACTGCTTACCATGAGATTTTTGGTCTGTATTTGTTTCTTAAATAATTGTACTGTACGATTTTTACATGAAAATTGAAATGCCTCAATACGCATACTGTGTTGCAGATTTTTTGGGTGTAACGTCGTGAAGTAAAGCTCATACATAAACATCTAACCCTGTGCTAGTAATAATGGTTCCTGACTAGTGACTGCCTGGAAATACTTTTTGAGTGACAAGGGCGTTCTGACTGAGTAGGCGTAATTCGTGTGGGGGAAGGTCTGGGTAGGTTCAAGTCTGTTCAAGTGAGAGTGTTGAGCGGTGTTGCAGGCAGGATACAGGGTTACTCGTGAGTTTGCTGAGCTGTACTGTATACACGTATCCTAATGGGCTTATTTATATAATTTTTTAATTTTGCAAGGCGATCCGCCCCTGAAGGTTTACGGGAAAGGTAACGCGTTCACGTTTGCCGTTTTTGTACCAGTTGTGCACTCAACTCCAGAATTTACTTCAATGGTGGGGCCGATTTGAGGCGTTGAAGCTTATTTGACGCAAATGGATACTACAACTGTAAACTGTTGGCTTTTGTGGGCTGAAATTGGTGCAACAAAGAAGTCTCCGGTGTAATTATTGCTTGCCGTAAAATTGATCGGATGTATTCAATTTTTCCCAAGCCCGCGGCCCTCAATGTTGAAGGTAAGCGGGGAATTGGCAAGTCTTCCCTTTTCTGTCGCTCTCTTTGTACCTTTGACATTTGTTGTTTTCATGGGCTCTCTCTGCTGGACAAAAGCTGTGTCTTGAAAGCATACTCATAACGAAACGGTGACTCTTGATCTGATATCTTGATGCTTACTATACTCACGGTGTTTTCGCTGCTCAAACAGAAAAGATCTGCTTAATTCTTGCCTTCAATGGCTTTTACTGGCAATAGGCCATTGTCACCTTCGATACCCCAGCAATCCTTGTCGTTCAGACTAATTGGAAACTCGCCAGGAGAAGTAATGAACAGGAGAACAAGTTATAAGGGAAAGGAACGCGTTGTGGATGATACCGGTAGGTTTTCCCAGAGTTTCTTTTTTTTCGTTGCTCAACGGTTTCGATATTGATGCTGTTTAAAGAGCCTCCCTCGCCGTCTCTCTACACTTTTGTACCGCGTCCACCAAGTAGATCTAGCATGTCAGGTAGTACCTCGACTCCAACTTCTCCCAGTAGCAAGCGCTCCTCAGTGCTATCTACTGCTTCGTCGTCCAGGAACAGCGCTCTGCTTGAATTCAGTCCATTTAAATTTGGCCGAAAGAAAAAACTTCCTCCTCCACGCCAGAATCCCAACTTGCGAATGAACCTTATACTGCCGGACGTATTGGAGATCAGTGCCGCCAATTCTCTATCCACGCCACCTGCCGGAGAAGACGCTGATCCTATGGAGGATGAAGAGACACGCGAGCGGGTCCGTTTGAGAGAGGAAGCTGCCCAGGCTTTGGGCCTGAGTATAGCTGGGCACCAGAATCACAGTGATGACTACAGCGAGTCTGGACATAGCGTAGCATCGAATGGTACTCTACGTATACGAGAAGAAGACAGAACGACCGAGATTTTGGACCAGGCGGATGGCGAATTACCCACCCTTAACAACAACCATCACTACCAACCTTCTCCTTTGACTTCCACCACATCTCTGCATCCGCCGCTTTCCCCTACTTCAACGCACGGTAGAAACCGCTCAGGCTCTATGCCTCCTGCTTTTCCATATCATCCGTCCGCCTTACCTCCATCTCTCCAGCAGAACTCGAATCAAGCGCCTTTACCGCTGGTTACCGCAGTTCCATCCTTCCCTTCTACTCCGCGGGCGCTTGCCTCATTTATCCAAACTGCCTCTTCAGGAACCCTGCCGAAATATTATCCCTCCTCTTCTCTGAGAATTTTCGCAATGAGCAAACAGTGGAAAAGCAGACATCTCGTTCTGACGAGTCCCACGAATGTGCCCTCGGGGTCGAATTCCCTGCCGCTTACGTTTGTATCTGGAAGCAGCACGTCCCATGTTCATGTGTCATATTTACATCTCTTCAAGAGTGCATCCCCAGATGAACGTGAAATGGAGAGGCTCGAAATTACTGAAGACTCGGTAGTGTTTATATCTGAAGAAGAGATAGGCGGAAAGAAGGGCGTGGTACAGGTCGCTGGTGTTGATGTTGGGTTCGTTTCGGATGGCAAAAAAGCAGGTTCCAGCAAGAAAGACAGTGCCAAGACCAAGGACAAGGAACAGGTGAAAGGCAGAGAGCAAGCGATGTGGTTGTTTCATATCGCCGACCCCTTGGAGAAGCAAAGGTGGATCGAAAGCATAAAAAACAAGGTTTTTGGGCAACGGTGTGTTCTCTCTTCGTTAGTTTAGAGTCACTCATATTGAGTTGTTTTCTAGGACCATCCGTGCAGGCCTTGGCTCTTCCCTTCCTTTCTCAAGCCTAAACGAACCGCGCGGCGATATGGACGTGATGATGTCGATGCGTGCTCAGGCCGTCATCAGCCCTACGACAAATACAACATCTCCTACACGAAGCACTTTCAGCAGCCAGGATTCAACTGGAAATGGATACCCGATATCTCCTGCGTCTCCAACAACACCTACTGTTGGGTCTCATTCCGTCTCTGGACACGACGCTGCTTCCGTCTCCTCTACGAGATCGAGTAAAAGAGCTCGTCCTTCAAGCTCTCATGGTAAAAGTCCTTCGGTAGCCGGTATTGGGAGCGGAGCTGTTCTGTCGTTAAAAGGATTATTCGGTAGCAAAACCGCTGTGGGGCATACTTCTGGACGTCAGCGATCAAGCTCTAGAGCTAGTGGTGTAGACGAATGGGATGATCCTCCGAATCCCCGTGGAGCTAGGGTTGAGCGTACGGAATCTGTCGTCAGTGTTGGAAGCTCAAAGTCATCCGTCATACCGAAAGGAAACAACCTGATAAGCATCTTACGAGCAACTTCACCTCCGAACGAAGGCAGCACCGTTGGATTTATTTCCAGTGGGTCAGGAATGGGCGTTCATGCCCCTGCAGTAGACTTTTCTGCTCTGGGTATCCACTCTTCCCCGGCACAGACTCCTCAGAGTCAACTTGATCGCAAAATTCTTCAAAGACCACTTGCACACGATGATCACGATGGAAGCATGACAGCACGTCCGTTATTGTTCGGTAACGATACAGCAGCCCCGTTTGATACTGCAGCGGGCGGTACCAGAGAAGATAGAAGAACACCTCGAACACTATCTGTTGGTGAAACCTTTTCCTTACAGCCCCCTCCACGGAAAAGATGGACCTCAACATCAGATGTTCATACGCCGCCAGTGCTAAACACTCCTTCATCACACCAGTTACAACTCCAGGAGTCGCCCTTCATCAAAGATCGTCGGAACCTGGATGACTTTGACGTTCTTGGTGGTGCTCCTAGTATAAGCCGCTTGAACACGAGCGGGAGCGGGAGCCTGACGCCGGAGCCCCCAACAAACAGTAGTCCGGCAACAAAGCGCACCAGCGGACAAAGTGCATTCTCCTTCTCGTTTGGGACACCTCCTGGGTCTGGGAACCTTGATGTTGAATATCGACCGAGGTCATTGTCTTCGCGTTCGGCGAGATCGGCAAGGTCTGGACAATCTGTCCGATCTGGGGATACAGCAGAAGAAGAATTAGAAGAATTGGATGTGCCGGTGAGCGGATTTGACGGACATTCTTCTTCCAGTAGGACGAGGAGAGCTAGTGGTGGAAGTGGGTTTGGGAGTTCTCCTGATGTCGACAAGCGGTCCAGCATGAGCAGCGGCAAACGCAATTCCGTCGGTGTTTCCCAGGGAAAACGATGGTCCCGCCAGTTGCCTAAACGATTGACGCCTCCAAGCGGACCCCCTCCAGCTGCGCCCAGCACTCCACCAAGTTCTCCTGCTCATAGTGTCATTAAGGGTACGAATCAGAGTCCAGTGAAGTCGCTTCCAAAGATACTGCCGACTCATCCATACAGTGGTGCTGCCACAGAACAACGTGCATCAATGATGACCACACGTTCAACTCGGTCTACGTCAAGTCGACCATCCTCCTCTCACTCCAGTGTTGTCTCCAACCTTCCTTCCTTCTCAAAACGAGCTTCTGCTTCGTCGGCGATGTCCGTTTTGAGCACGACATCCTTACAGGCATCTGGGACTACAACTCCTGTATCCTCTGGCACTCATGCAGTAGGTAATGGAATCACCGGTCACACCAGACCTACATCTTCGCATCGATCTTCCCTGGCTCCCCCTCCTCGTCCAGCTCCTACCTTTGCCCTTCCTCCAGCACCTGGTGAAGCATCAGTACCTCCAATGTTGACTCCACCAATGTCTGCACCTGTGTCCTCCACAAACAATAAGTCTTCCTTCCGAGACTCTATCACTTCTCGTGCATTCAGACTTTCATTGATGGCTCCAAAGCCTCCTCCGTCAGGTGTATTACCTCCCAGACCGGATGAGCTTGAGCACCCCAAAAGTCCTACCAGCTCTATCGCCTCGAGGAATACGCACAGACGGTCTCAAAGTGGAAACAACTCACCACTTAGCGGTGGCCCAGGTAGTTTATACTCAATACCAGGATCTCCAGTTCCTCCATCAGCAATGGATGCCGTTCATGTTACTCGTGGACCGCTCCCGCCTACACCTGTCTCTGGTGTCCCGGCCTCAACGCCCTCTCGTGGAGTGTCCATCAAGCAACGTCTACGTATTCTGAGTGCGCCTTCCCCATCATCTGCACCCCCTGCCTCACCGCGGTCTTCTACACGACCGACAACGATAATGGCTCCTCTTACCGGAGCGTCTCCTCCCGGTACACCCACTTTTGCGCACGGCTTGACGCATTACTTCGAAAATTCGGGTAGCTTCCATGCTGTTGCCACTCCGACGACCCCATCCCTACCTGCCCCGAAAATTCACCACGTCGAAGACGAACCTGATGTAGAACCCGAGCTCACCTCCCTATCCCCTCCTCCTCGTCGAGGTTCAAAACGTATATCACTTCCAGAAGTTGAAGCTCCTCCTGCTATCCCAGAGGATGAACCAAGCCCCCTTCAACGCATGCCTATCGAAGATAATCGCCCTAATGATACTAACAAACCATTTTCGCTCTCTCGTCCCGCTTCAGTCATCTCATTTGGGGTAGTCAATGTGTAGATCATTCTCCCCTTTCACATGCATTCCTTTTTTCGTTGTATCCATATTTGCTGCATACGGTGAGCTTATAGAATTGCGAATGTCAGATATACCTTGCTTTTACCTTTTTTTGTCTTCCTTGATTTCGGAGATCAAATACCCTTGTACATAGGCTCGCAGTGGAATTCTTGTCGTCGCATTTGAGTTTACACGTATCCTTATAAATTTAGTAACTTAAACATTCTGTAAATTACACTCTAGCATATATGCGTGGTTTTGTCCATATTGCATTGCAATCCCAGATTAAGAATTCATAATGCTTGTCGCAGCGAAGTCAAAAACTCCGAACAGTATGTCTTAAGGTGATTTCGGGATTTGAACAGGAGTATATGTTTAATGGAATAATTGGTACATACATAGTTCTAATCTTTAGGCATGAGCTCGATTCAACTCGATCTGAATCCTTTCGAATCACCTTGCTTGCTAGGTCCTTTGCCACAAGGTTCCGGGCTGTTCCGGGTCTCCGGTGCTCAATTAACATCCGTTTCGCCTGGCGCCTGTTCCTCCCAGGTTCCTCCTAACTTTCGACTATGTGCTGTATTGTATAACAAAACATGCTGGTCCTTGCCAATTGTCCTTACATTTTTCTAATTGGCACCCGCTGTTGTTGCGTCGCTTACTCTATGAAGTTTGCGTTCTTACTCTGCGTTGCTGTCATCGTTCTTCTTATTAGATCGCCTGTTCACTGCTGTCTCCGAGTCTCGTCTCATGGTCCTGATTGTGGCCTCTGAATCCCACTTCGTGTGTCCTGTTCATCTCTGCCAGGCACACCTTTCTTTCTACACTAATTTGGGCAAGTTCAAGCAGTCTCGAGTACCACACTGACGATATACACGATGTTCGTAGTCCGGGCAAATGCTGTAAACTGAAGTTCAATGGTATCGAGTTAGACCCATGTGAGACACTGTCACCTCACCGCCCAAATATGGTCGAACTATGCTTCCCGCCTTTTTTCATTACAGTATTCTATGCACCTGAAGTCCTACGATGGAATCTGAGCCTAAAAAAAACTTTACACATTACGCCTATCATGAGGTGATACAACATACCTACCACTTTACGAGCCATGGCACTTGAGTAATCATGAGAAGGCAAGTACATATCTATTTTGCTATTACTTGCTCCTTTGGAACATGAGCTAACTGGTCTGCACTTGTTCGCGTTATTCGCTCTCGGCAGAGGATATATGGTCCTTGTCAAATGTGACTGGTATCAGAAAAGGGCATGTCTTTCACGGAGCTCGTACTGTACATTTCAGACTAGCCCACCTCAGAAGGCGAAATTTGATAGTCTTTAAGTATGCTCTTTTATCATGTTCCATTGATTTTCACTTGAAAACATGTCATTCATGTATTCTTTCCTAATAGCCTAATCCATGTATCTAAAGTATATTGCATCACTAAGATATTGTGTGGCCTCGAGGATACTATTTGATGTGTATTCTTCGTGTGCCCCAAGGTATCCATGCAATGTCTGCCTCACAACTTCCATCCCGACCTTGTCCCTGTACCAATCGAATAGCGAATTCCACACAAGTGCTGGAAGCTGCAATTCGGACTCCCTATCATAATTTGACTGGCGGTAGATATCCAGTATCCAAGGCAAGACGTCGTCGCGTTGGAGCATGATAGTTTTACCATCATAGCTGATAGGGACTTCAATAACACCAGCTGATAACAACGTCAACGCAACTGTTATGTCGGGAATGGGGATTTTGGGATCTAGTTTCATCTGGTAGAAGTTGAGACGGCAGTTAGAATAAAGAATACAAGCTCGAACTTGACCCTCTAGATAATCCAGCTGATCATTATCTTGGACGTCCACTACTTGAAATAGGTCTATACATTCAACAATCAAATCAACCATTGACCTGTATCCGTAGAGAATGCGTAATGCATCGAATGTGTATAGGTTATCGTTATCCGATGTTTCTTGAGTGAAGGCCCCAAGTGAATGTCGGATGATCACTTTCGCAGATGGACTAGTGGTTGATTCCCCGAGCCAACGAAGGGATTTCAGCTTCATAGGTTCATTCCTTGTCGGATCGTCAGTACAAGCTACTGAGCGCTCAACTTCCTTTAGAACCACAATAGGTTTCTTTCTTTTCGGCGCTCGTTCACGAGGAAATCGGTCTTTCCGAAAACGGAACAAGTAATCACGAAGGGGATAGAAGATCCAGCGATTGACCCCCAAGATGAGCTGGTAGACGTAATAAAGTATGTCGGTGAAGGTTGTCCGATATGAGCATTGGACAATGAACAGGGGGATGCAGCTGGCAGCCATGTAAAGGATGATGACTATAGCTGTGATTACCCCGACAATGTATGCCATCACGGTATTGAGGGGTACAAGGAAAATTACCAGGCCTACGAGAAACAACACAAGAGAGATGTGAAGTAAAACCGGGAGAACACCAATGATAGCCTGTACATGCCACTTTTTGAGTCCGTCGAATCGGAATTGACGGATAAAAACACGCTCGAGGGGCGTACCAGTGATGATCGACATATACTGTCGCAGCCATTGTTTTGCAAGGACAGCAAACAAAGCGACAGACAGTGAAAGAGTAAGACTGATGAACCACAGTCCATTCAACCATATATCAGTAGTTGCAGGAGCAAAAGCAGTACTGGTAAGAGGAATCCCCGCAAGAGTAGTCTCGTTTCCGTTAGCGCGAAGCAACGCTGTGACCTCCTGAAGGTATGAGGATGAAAGTTGGGTATAATCTTGGGAAAGTGCTTGAGAAGTCTGAGCGACAAAAGTTGTGAGGACTGCTGAAAAGAGACCGGCCTGGTACAGATTGGTGAATGAAATTAGACAAGATTAGATGCGAAGATACGTACAAAGACCAATAGGATATCGAGACTATCACCAAGCTCACCAACCATATCATTGTCGAAGTCGCTGGCCTCATCTAAGTAAACCCACCAAACACGAGCCTCTTCATCTAGCTCATGATATCGTGGATCTTTGGGATATTTTACCCGATAATCATAGTTGGCTAATCCACAATTAGTATGGATTATGTAGTAAATTCCAGTAAAAACTGTACAAACCTGCCGTTGGATGTGTTTGAACCTTTCTCTCTTTCTCCTGCTTCAGGCCAAACCACCGATGCTTGAGGGGTGAATTGCTATTTGTGGGTGAGTTTGCAGTGAATTGGGCATTTGGTGAAGGTCGTTCCCCAGGGAGTTCAACAGGAGGATTCGGTGAAATGAGTTGAGCTGTATAATGCTCAGACGAGCTAGGACAAGTAGGCTCCTGGGGTTTTTCGCTTGAATTGAATATTGCTGTAGTATCTATACCAGGCAGATCATCGCCTTGACGAAAGCAGAAAAACCTCGTTATTCGTTCTCTTCTGTGCTCAAAGCGTTACAGTGGTTAATAGTCACCTGTACCAGAGTGAGGGGAAGGAGCGCCATCTTCATCTGCAACTCGGGGTCCTGCAGGAATTGACAACTCCCGAGAATGCATCATATCGCGTATGTCGCGCATAATTTCGAGCATTTCTTGAATTGCAGAATCTGGGTTTCCAGGCATCGTTCATGAGGATGAAAAAATATAGTGGGCGGGCAGAGGAAAAGAAAGGTGTGATGAAGACAAGAGTGAAGGCTCGGCGAAGCGCGCGATTACCCAAGGAGATAGATGAATATCAATCAGGCGAACTCAACTCTTATGTAGGAAAGGAAAGGAAACTGACGCGGTCCCACTGCGTTTTGAGGGCCTGTTGGGAACACCAGCGCAAAAAAACTCGTGCAGTTGAGGGAAAGACATGCACAAGTAACTGGTCAGTGAAGGTTTAAAGCGTCTAGAGTCGTGTTGAAAAAGTATGAACGGAACCCAGCTGCAGCGGAACCCGTTGCTTGAGGGGACGTGTTATGTTCACGTCAAGTACCAGTTGATCATGAGGTGGACTGGTCTCAGAAGCTGACTTAATATTTAAGTTTTCGTTATGTTTTGAACAAAGATGGGCATAACTTTTGAAGAACTTTCATCAAATTTACGCGTATACATACATACATAGCTATCTATATGGTTCTAATGATCTTGCTGCCGTGATTGTGACCACTTCAAAATAGATCCATGTACCAGTCTTTGCACTATCACTGCACTTTGACTCCGTTCTGTTAGCCATGACCGGCAGTTTAAAAGGATTTCTGAGCTTTTACTCAGCAATTTCCAGGGGACAATGCTGGCTAATGAAGAAGGTTGACTTTCAAAGGTTAGACATGTACCCACATCTTGTTAAAGCCACCATAGCCCGTATGTCAGGTATATAGATTGAAATTGGTATCACATTTTTTAGCATTAAAACAGAATGCAAGCGAGGTGAAAGGGGTTTGCTATTACAATAACTAATCGATACAGCGTTGTAGTGGTAATACAGATTGAATACGGGATCTACTGAGAAGGGAGTGAATTCGGGATCATGAATGCATGGATAGTGTCGAGAGAAAAATTCGTGGAGGTCGTCAATGGGGCTAGGGAGATTCAAATATCAACGGCAACGTCGGCTTGCCATGCATCCTCGAAAACGTTCGAGATAGAGACCAGTACAAGCTTGTCAAACGAGATGCCCATCGGACCGATGTGCCATTCCATTGCAGGTGTCGAGGAATACTGGAGTTTCTAAAAGTAATTCACCTTTTAACACTGGGTACGAGGATCACTCGTAAAGGCTGGCTCACCTCGAAGTATCGATGGAAATTCTGAGCAACAATCGCGGCGATTTCTGCGCGAGTGATTGGACCACTGGAGGTGTTGAGTTCAATGGATCGTATCCACTCGTAATTCTCGTAGCCAGGCCACTGTAAAAACAAATTCAATCAATGAGGACTGGTACTAAGAAAGAGATACATACACGAATGTGAAGCGTGATGCGCTTCAAGCCTGTATGAGCAAGGACCCGATCGTCCCCGCCCTCCATCATTTGGCTGAGGGCAAATGCACCACGAGCATAAAGCTCCATCATTCTCATACCCTGTCTTGAGTAACCCTTGAAGTCAACCGATACAGGAGCATGAATGGGAGCTAGACGACCGGTCTGATTTCTCCACTTGCCAGTCGGCTGGTAGATGGACTGAGGAACACGTCGTCGATTCGGAATGAGGAACGAAGACTGAGCAGGAGATCCGCGCACTGCTCCGCCTAGGGAGGAATATTGAGATGTGTTCTGGGAGCTGACAGTAGGGTGAATCGGGTTGTAGTAGTGCGACATCGCGGAAAGAGACGGATGGACGAGTTAGAATGTAGAACGAGATATGAGAACTGTCAAGACGAGTCGGATTGATGAGGAACATACCGAGCAGTGTGCAAGCTTTTATACGACTACCTAGCACGCTTTGATACCGTATCCTTTGAAGGATCGGCCAAAAGAGGCGAATGGACCGTCAAAGCGAATGTCCAAGCTAAAGGGCGCCTCCGAATTGCCAAAGCCATTGTCCAAAAGATTCGTTTTTGCGCTTCAGTATGCCCTTGTAGCTCACTTGAAAGAGTGTAGGTAGGACGAACACAAGGGGTGCCAGAAAGAGATAAGGCAGAAATCATCGACGATGAGGCGGCAAGGTGATAATAAGGAGAGTACACCCTTGAAGGAAATCACAGAAGGAAATCACATCACATCACATTGGCCGATCAAAGGTGGACAGGCGCCTAATCATTTTTTCGGTCATATGCAGGACAAAGAAGGATAAAGACATACGCAATTGGAAAGAAACCTTTGGACTACGCTCAGGTCTTGGCCGTTGACCAACAAGGGCATGAACTATTTGCGAATATCTTCGACACGAGAAGCCACTGAATTTCTAGAGTAAAGTCGTTTGCCGATGCGTGCACTATCATCTCACATTGTTGAACGATATAGTGGATATATGGTAGAACACATCCGAACTGGAGTAGGCTTACATGCGACAGTGGTCAAACGTTGAAATCTACGAAAGCAAACATAAATGAGTTGTAATCAATGCAAATAAGACTCATCCTAAAAATTTTATGTGTTCAGACGCCCAGTCTATACAGTCATTTGAGTGATTCAGCTCTCGCTGTGTATTATGAGGATCTATGTACAAATATATATGGGTATAAGTGTGCGTCCAGGCTAATGAGTAGTTGTGTGAGTGCCTGAAGCATACTCCGTCCTCCACCACTGAAGACGATCAAGTTAGTAATTAGGCGCATGAATAATTATAGCAAGCACATACGTCGACCATTCTTTGAACACCGTCGGCAAGGCCGACCTGAGGCTCATATCCCAGTACTCTTCTCGTCTTTTCAATATTGTGGAAACGATTTACACAACTGTAGGTGACCTTGAACTTTGTCAAAGCGGGCTCTTTCCCGATCACCCATCCCCAGCACTCTGCTCCAAAAGCCAGGGCTAATCCGAGGGAAGCAGAGAGCACGGTATATCCACGCTTTTGACGATGTCCAGGGAACATAGTATCAAGGTGATTCCACACTAGCCTGGGCATGTCCCAGAAATAACATGGCTCGCCATTGGTGATGTAAAACACTTGGCCAGCGACTTGCAAAGGTGTGGAGTCAGGGTTGTCGAATTTTGCCCGGAAAAGATTCGGTTCTGAGAGTGGATCAAACCGAGTTCGCACAACGGGCCGTCCTTCAGGTTTTTCTCGCTTTTCCTCGAAAGCAGCTACAAGTTTCTCAGCATCTGGTGGTGGAGTTACATAGGGACCTAAAGGACGAGCTTCTGATGTAGGTATACTGCGTCGACCGACAGTGAGATCCAAGGGAGGAAGAGGGCGAGTGGTGATTTCCAACTCCGCTTCCGTGAGTGGAGGTGCTTCGAGAGGAATATTTTCGAGTGTGGAGAAGGGAGGTGCAGGCGGAGGAACGTCCAACTTGTCAGCTGCGAGTAGGTGGGCGTGTGCGACATTTTCAACGTAAGTCCAATCGAAGAGATTGGTGTTGTCTCCGATCTGGAAATGAGTTTTTCCATCTTCGTACACCTTGTATAATCCTGCCATTACTTGTCGGTCGCCGGGCCTGCAAAAGAATTGAATGAACACAGAGCGTACAAAGCAAATAATACATACCCAAAAATACCAGCAGGTCTTAAGGCGACAGTCAAAAGTCCATCCTTCCCATTCGCAGCAATCACTGCTTCCTCTGCTTTTTGTTTTGACTCATTGTAGGCATCCATCGGCCGTTCTGGAGGAGCCAGTCTTTCGTCTATGTTGGTCAAGGAGTTTCCATTGAAGACGACACCAGCTGAGCTCGTAAAAACGAGCTTCCGTACATTGTTCTGGACTGCAGCGGCAATGACAGCTTTTGTTCCATCAACATTGACTTTCCAGTACAACGCGGGGTCGCTGAGTCCGGCAGGAGGAGAAGCGGTGTGTATAATACAGGTCGTTCCACTCTAGATTTTCACGTTGAAAACTAGTTAAAGCCAATGTAGTGAGACGCACCCTTCTGAGCGCAGTAGAAACTTGTTCCTTGTCACTGATATCTCCTGAGTAGAATGGCACGTCGTGGTACCGCTGTACAATGTCGAATACGGAAACGTTGTCTCCACGACGGAGAAGTTGCTCAACGATGTGCCTTCCTACAAAGCCACTGCCTCCAATAACAAGATAAACATCATTCGTGGAAGCCATTGTCGGGAGTTGAGCAAGAGCGAAAGTAAAAACTTAGATTGAGAATTTCAATGATACGATATTATTTCCTTCTTTAGCGCCCGCATGAAGTAATCGATGGCGCACACGGGAGCACGTGTGCATTGCCTTTCTCCTTCAACAATCGCGGTCTGCCGACTCGGTCGCGTTCCTTTCCTTATTTCGCCATGAGTTCGCGTGCAACATATACCGATGAGGAGAAGAAACAGCTTCTGATTAATCTTGATATTGAAGGTCCGAAAACATCCTTTCAAGTATACTTCTATGATTGATTTCAAGCAGTACAACATCGGACTCGTCAGTTTCGCTCATGGCTCGAAGATCAACTCGAAGGCTTCAAGATTCATCAGGAGAACACCATCTCGCGCATACCCAAACCCGTCAGGACCATAACGATGAAGGAATTCGGCGAAAAGTACCACGGCAATCCTGTCATTGCGGTCACAGGATCTCAGAAGGAAAAGCTGGCGGCACAAGTAGGCGATGGACTTGGAGAAATTGATAAAACTGAGAGGAAGCGGAAATGGATGGCGATACAAGAGACAAGAGACGGCGATGACGCCGAGTCATCAAGGAATTCCAAGAGTGGTTCGTGAGGTACTTTCCCCTCTTTTCGTTATAGGCTGACCATTTTATTGTAGCTCGTCTTACGTCGTATATATCGCCAAAGAAGAAAGGGGGTACATCCACTGGGCCAGGTACCGCGCAACGCGCTAGACTTCTTGCAAGCGGAGAAAAGGCACCAGGCAGGGTATGCATGGCCTTTTCTCTCTGCCACTCTGTCAAGATCACTTAAACATAAACTGTAGCCCCGTGCTCCAATGGATAGAATACCCGGCTCGCCTAGTCCGCAGAAAGTCAAACCTCCTTTCACCACTTCGAATGCTCATATTCCGCGTGCTCCTTCATCTCCTTCGAAGTTACCTCTACCAGGTTCATCCCGAACGCGTGTCCCGTCGAGCTCGACGTTCAATCCTATTCTGCCTGCGAAAAACCCTTCTTATCCCCGAATTGTTCATCACACGCATACTTCTTCCGCCACTTATCGTCCTCCTAGAAAGGACGAGCAGATGCTTAGTCTGAACGGTTCGCCACTAGCGAATCCGTTTTGGACGGATGGTCTACTGCCACCAGATAGCAGGTCTAGCGGGGACATGGGTGAACCACGCACACTGAAACGCACGCAGAGTAATATATCCATCCGGAGAGATCCTTCATTCGTCTCCGGTCTCCCTCCTCGAGCAGACTCCCAGAGCAGTTTCTATCCTGGCACATCATCTAAACCACATTCACGGAACAACTCTGATGCTACCTTGGCTGAGTCTACAACGGGGCCATATAGTGGTCTTCCAAAAACCTCTTTCGAGACACCGTACGCTCCGACAAAAAAGTATATGGTAACAATCTCAACAAAGGATGGTCATATTCTCGAATTCGATCCCTTACAAACGTCGCCGAAAGCATTGGATGCTCTCGAGGGAATAACAGACAGCGCAAAGAAGCAGGCAAGGGAAGAGATGGGCCGTTTAGTTGAAGCGGCTGTAGACAAATGGAAGATACGCTGATTTCACCATTGCTCTCCGTTTTTCTCATATACCCTTCACTTCCCCATTCTTGCATCGGCCAACACTGCATTGTGACTATATCCCCTGCACGTTAACATGAGAGCCACACTACGTAGAGAGCCGCAACCATAACTAAGTGTATCAATTCTGCACGACATGAATGCGTGCCAGCCGACACTGGTGTCCTTTTCGATCGCGGACCTTCACGAACAAAGTCTTATCGGACTTCACGTAATGCGATAACCTGAGCTGACAGTCAGACAATATGACAGTGCGAGTGAAATATACAGACCTTTTAGCTTGCTGCTGGAGCTCGAACAAACGAGTAAGAGACATTGCCCCGATTGCAAAGCCCTCTCCCCGAGAAAGTGAGAATCCCCCAGTTGTTATGTACCCAATGATTGAACTGGGAGCAGGAACAATATCCGGAAGCTGGGAGAAATTCTGTGAGATTACAAAGAGAGAGCGATCATAATGCTCACGTTCACAAATTCAACTTCTGCGGGTATAGGGTCCACGCCCGCCCTTGTCAAACCTTTCCGCCATTCTTGTAGCTCTGGATCAGGAATCGAGTACACAAGAGAAAGATCGCTCGGGGACCCTTTCGAACAAATCGTTATACGGACCGACACCAAAGCGCTTTTCAGCAAGTTGTCAGGCTTGATAGTACTCTCAAGTGGCTCAAGTGAGCGTTTCGCTCGAAGGCGGTTCAGAGTGGCGAGAAGCGATTGACTTGGAACTAAATCCTCGCTCAAATCGGAAACGATGCTGGAAATCTCGACACCACGAAGAAGCCAAGGACCAACTGCAGGATCATCATCTACGAGGAAATCTTCTCGTTGTTGCTCCAGGGACTGTTCTGGTTCGCGCTGTGTTGTGATGAGGTCCTGCATATCTTCCACATCATCTACATTCTCCTCGTCGTCGTCATCATCATCTAAGGGCTCATCGGGCATCTCCTTCAACCCCAAGACGACTTCCCAATCGGGTATCCACGGACTGCGTGTGCCAAGCTTCCTATAATTTACCCTCTTAGCGGCCGGAGTCCTAGCCCACTTCGCCTTCTCTTTCTCTGCTCTGGCCGATATGTGGGTTTTGTATGCGCTAGTAGAGGGATAATCTGAAGGGAAATATGGAGTGCCTGCTTCAAATGCCTGTGTTTGGCGTTCGCGTTGCCCAGCGACCCGAGTCCCAGTATACGTGAGTTGCTGGAAAAACGCCATAGACCATCCTGCCGGAAATATGAAAGTCCATCCTTCGATGCTTTCGGTATCGTTGGAGGCTGAATGTTGATATGATGTTTGGATGAGCATGACCGGTATCCGATCATCCTGTCGCAGCGGATTCAAGGGTGTCCCAGGAATCAGGTTCTAAAGCAACAGAATAAGAATTGTACAAACCAAGATGCAAAAAGAAGAAGGGTATGACCTGAGCGCGTCTTGCGTTGATATCTTTTGTCTGGTATCGCGGATTTTTGAGTTGGTTTCGGATATTCTGTTCCCATACGTTACATGCAGCTAATGCAGCGGAGGGGAAGACTCCTATCGAAGACGACACGCTGTTTCCAACCGGTAACTGCACCTTGGCATTTTTTGGAGGAAATCTGGAAGAAACTATTGAATATGCTCTCTGTCTCCAATTCACAACGAACCTCAAGCGCGGGTCATTCACAAGAAACCCTATGATCATGCCTCTTGGCACTGACCCACACGACTGTATATTCCCCAATGAGGCCCAGAATTTTTTGAAGTCGTCACTCGCCTGCGCCATCACTGGAGAAAGCGAACCTCGAAGAACTTGATTTGACTTGGGCCCCATGATTTCAAAAATGCCGACCTCTCCTCGAATATCAATGAGCTCGACGTCGACAATGACGCCTTGACTGCCTGCAGCCTCTAGGGTTTGAGAAGTAGAAGTACGAAGAGCAGAGAACACTTCATCATACATTGAAGGGTGAAAATAGATCCAGAGAACTCGCATATTGTCGCCGGCTTCAGGTGGAACTTCTTTCTGCTTGTCTTTTCCTTTGCCTTTCTTAGACTTGGAGGCCTCCTCTAAGGGTTTACTTATAATTGAGGGCCTGGACTTCCACATCACAGTGATCGGACAGATCAGACCAAGAGGATAACGATTTGGTGCGTAGATGTGGGTTTTACACACTCGAGCTCCCGAAGTATATCTACGGATAGAAGTTTGAGAGACGCTATCAATAGGTCAAGACAATGATCACCTTTGAGCCCCAGGACTGACATCTTGAGCGTCACAGCACATTTCCAAAATGGCCTTTAAAGTTGCTTCAGGTCCTGTCATTTCAATGAGAGATAGGTACGACGCATCATGGAGGATGGAGCCATGTATTGAAGCACGATGTGAAGGACGAAATGCCTTTTCTGTGGGAGTAACTGCCTGGAGACAAATTTGTTAGATGGATTTTGTGATTGATGTAGTTCTTACCAGTCTGTATCCCCACATATTCTCCATTTTCATGCGCTTTGCATGCCAAATGTGGGTCTCTAACCACCTTTTGTCGTCTACAAGGAGGGTCAGCAGCGAAACGATGCGACTGAGAAGAAATTTCATACGTTGTCGATTCATGAATATCACTTCTTTGGGGAGCCGCCTTTCCTTTCCGAGTTTTGGCATAGCACGTCCGAGGACTTTTCGCCTCATAGGATCCATCTGCAAATCGGACTTGAATAAGAGGTAGCCGTTATGAGTACGCAGCGCACCTCTGAACGCGCTTTGTCGCGTAAACGGAGAGGTACTCGCCGGGGATTATGACTCGCTGCTCGACGACGTAGATGTCGGGGAAGAACTTGCCATGCTCGAGTTGTGGAGGCCGAACTATATGTACGGCTTCAGATTTGTGGCGATTTCATATAATGGACGAGAACATGCCTTGCTGTTTCAATAGCAGTTTTCATTGCATTTATTTCGAAAGAACGAGCCTGGTCGACAACGATTAGATGATATTCCCTAGTTAAAGAACCAGAACTCACCTCTGCAAATTTCTCAACATCGATAGCACCCGGGAGCCGCTTCAATTCTGAAGCACTACTTCAGTAATATTTTAGCAAGTTTCATGAACCGACTGACTGTCATTGACGGTAGGACCTAATCGCGAAGAACCTGCAACAGCATTCGAGGTGGTGATTGGTGATTGTACCACGATTGTCCGAGCATTTGCAAGCCTTTGTTTCTTCCTCTCTTTGAAATTGGTAGGTTGCGTTTTTTCCAAGGCGCGTTTCATGGTAATGAACTTGAAGGAGGGGTAGGGAGGTTTGACCACGTGCTGCTAAAACAGCCCTTCCCAATTACAATTTGCAATGCCCATGAACGTTTCCATTGCCACCAGCTCATTACGCTGCGCCTATTTCAACAATACTCGCAATGCACTTCAACGCTCCCAACGTCGTCTTCTGATGACCACCCGCTCTTTGAGGAATGAGACTCCCAGTGTTGGTGCTCCGGCTGTCCAAAAGAAACCCATCGGAGGTTTCCGAGGCGGGTGAGCTCAGTTACTACCGCTATCGCTGAATAAAAGCCTCAATTTGCATCAGGATCGTCGGGTTCCTCTTTGGCTTTTCTCTGGCTTCATCTTTTGCTGCTTATCAACTACTAGATGAATACAAGCAGGCTTCTGCTGCATTGCAAGCAAGCGTCGAGGAACTCAAACTCAGCACTGAACAGGTAACCACTCAGGTCCGACGTATACAAGCTGTGGAGAAGGACTTGAAGGCGTTATCCGATGCTTCTGCATCCAAGGAGGACATATCACGCGTTCGGGCAGAAATGAAGAAGCTTTACGATGGGCTGAACGTCGGTATGCCACTCAACTTTTACAGTTTGCACCTACTCATGATCAATATTGGCTTTGTTTCGTTTTATAGAATTCCTTGACCTTAAAGCACATGTTTGGGGTATTCGTAAGCACTCGAGCCGTTTATGTTCATTCTCAAACTCAACTTTTATAGAACAAGATGTACATGCTTTGACCAAGAAGAATGCTACATCTGTCCGCATATAAAGAGCATGAGTGGGTGTAGTGGATAATGAATTCATCGAGATATTGAGACTTCAGTGAACATAGTACCCTCCATTAGAGTGCATATTTAAGTGTCGAAAGGAAGATCATGACCATCCCCGACTCGTCCCAACGACAGTATTCCATAACACCGAAGCAACCAAAACCTAAGGACAAGAATTGGTTACACGATGCCGCTGGTGTTCAACTAGACTGTCCCTGGGCGTACGGTACTGCAGTGACAGTCCAGACTTTGCATCCCGGAAACATCCTGGAAGGACAACATCAATGCCGATGTCAGTCTATAAATAGGGAGGTCGTGTGAATCTTGCTACGTTGTGCGCTCGCTGCTCAAAGTCTTCTACTTATGATTCAAATTGGTGCCCGAAGAGTGCTCAAAGCAAAAAATCCTCCTCAGCTTCTCGTTCTACGGGTGTTCTACTTTACACATTTGTTCCTCAATCACTGAGGGGAATTGTCGGAAAATTTGACGACCTGTTCCTCATGTCTCTCGGGCGATAATAGGCGATAATTGAGGCACAAAAACAATCAAAAATTCGTATCAATCGTTATCCGGTCGTTACCTTGGTTTCGCGAAAACCAGAACCGGATACTAGACCTCTATTCCCTTACCGGAAGCAGGAAACGTAGGACCAACACTGGTAGCAAAAATTATGTTTGTTAAAACTCGGAGTAAATGGCAAGTCTGCTTTGATCATTCAAACTGCATAATGGATTCGGGAAAGCAGGGTCAGGAAGAGTCGAGAAGGGGTGAGCAGAAAACGTCCGGTTGGGAAGAAATTTTATTTGGTTCCTGGTGACCACCATTTTACGTGGTAACGAGAATTTCTACTCGGAATCAATATCCGAGAGGTATATAAGGCGAATGAGAAGAAAATCGAACTCATTCCCTATTAACCCTTCCTTTCTCTCTTTTCTTTCCACATTCCCTTCACTCGTTGTTTTGCCAGTCAAGACAGGTTCTTGTAGGATTTTTCCAAATTCAAGTTCATTGGTATGAATCCGTCGTATGTCTAGGGGTCATCCATTGATGAAGATCCTTTCATGCAGGTCGCCGAGCGTGATTCTTTCATTCTACCCCCTTTTCGCTCAGTTGGATACTTTCCTTGTTCACGCTATAATCGAACATTCTTACAATGCTCTTCAAATCATTTGTGCTTGCCCTGGCTTATACCGCTGCCACTAACATTGCGGCGCCTATCCTTCGTCGTGAGGTTCCTCAAGGTGAGTTGGAATCTGTTCTATCTGGGTTTCTACTAATCAGACGACTAAACTTTCTTCTACACAGAGCACTCTCATGAGAATATCTTGATTTTGATGCGAGATGCAATCGCCACTGGAAGCAACCCTCAGAACCTTGGAGGTAATTGGCAATGCACGACAGCACCGCACTTGTTGTTGATTGTCTGCCTTTTTGCACAGACCCTGTGTTCGGTTTACTTGGAGATGCAGCAGCAGCAGGTGGATTGGGAGATACGACTGATCCTGACTGTCTGCAGCAAAATTTGGCTGATCTGGTAAGTCGTTTTAATATTCTTTTTCGTGTTGTCGGATTGACTGTTTTTCGTAGGCTTTCACGAATGCCAAAGCAGCTGGCAATGTTACTCTTATGACCGCTGCTCTCATCTATCGAGCGCTTGAGCGGAACACTGGCTCTGTGTGAGTTTGAAGCCAGTTCATGAAGACGTGCACTAAAGTTCTTGGTTCAATCTAGTGGTCTTGCATCTGTTGCATGCAATAGTACCACCGCTGTAAACTCCGAAATCGCTGCGATATCTCAACATCAAGATCCTGCTTCTACCGGTGCTGCCGCAACAAACAAGGCTATTGTTCTCACTCTGGCTCAACAAATTGCTTCGATTGGTGGTGATCCTCAGGACGCTCTTAAGTCTGGCACCTTCGCTCCTGGTACCCTTGGCGATCCCACTGCCGCTGGTAACACCTGCGATAACATCGTCGATGAGGTGAGTATCGACACTCAAATATTGTTGATGATTTTCTCACATGGCGGATGCAAAAGGGTTGCATTAACGCCGACAACAAGCTTGTAGAAGATGCTACGGCCGACGAAATTAACGCTGCTGTTTCTGGTGTAGCTGCTTCGTCTGTTGCTGCTACTACTGCTGCAGCTGCTACGTGAGTTTTTTTCGGAGTTTTCAGTAATCATTCTACTGAACCGTATCATCTCTAATTCAGATCTGTTGCTACGGATGCTGCTTCTGCTACTGACAGTGCAGATAGCACAACTGTCACCTCGGTTTCATCAGACGGATGCACAAGTAAGTTTTTATTTATTTTTGAAGCCAACGTTGTGTGCTCAATTAAATTTATCTCAAGCGGAAGTCACTGTTACTTCAACAGTCACCGCCGCGGCTGCTGCCACCTCGTCTGCTGCAGTTGACGTTGCTTCCACTTGTGCTGGTGAGCTCCGAAGAAGGCCACAAAATCTTTCTATTACTGAGCACTCTTCATGTAGCTCCTGTCACTGTTACTGTGACTGCAAGCGCGAGCGCGAGCGCCTCCGCCGCGACTGAAGCTGTCGCCACTGCTACCTCCAGTGCTTCCACGACCACGACTTCCGCAGCTGCTGGCCAGGTATGTTAAATAATGGAGTTTTCGGTCAATGTAGTACTAACCAGTAAACCCCTTTAGAACTTACAAACCTTTACTGGAGATGGTAAGTAGCTCTGTACCTGCCATCTCGCTGGGTATATTAATCCTTCTTCATTCAGTTGGTAACACTTTGGCTCCTGCTGTGACCACTGGTGGGCGTGGATTCGTTGTCGCGGGTGAAAGTATGTTGATTTTTTTCACGGTGATCATCTGCATGCCAACTAATCTTCGCGACTTACAGCCGGTGACTCTTTCTTAAACCTTTCTGCTGCTCTTCAGAGATCCTGCTCAATACAGCATAATGCTTGTGCTGATGCTGCTAACTCTGGGTCTGCCGCAGGCATTACTGTCGGTGATTGCGATACCCAAAACACCCAATGTACCGCTGCTTAAGCACATGAGCATTCTCTTGATTTCGTTTTGAATGTGCACATACATCGACTTACAGTAGCTGGCAAGAATGTATCTATATCCTTACCCCTTACATACCCTGGCAATACATTTCAGTGAAGGCTATAAAAGATTGCGGGATCATTGCTTGCGTTCGAAAACGACTTTGTTGTTCGGTGCATCAGATAAGGATGCTTCTGCGCACATGGATTTCCTCTCTTTTGTAAGTACCCATCTTTCAATTTTCCTCACGTCAAACCGAACTGATTGTGGTCACAATTTGGATTCTTATCTAAGACTCATCTAGCAACATTAACAGCTTGAACTTGACCTTGTTGTATGTTGTACTCCATTGAACCAAGTCAGACCAAGTCTCGATCAATTAATCCTTCTTCCTTCAACGAACGTGCGAGGTAAGGATGTAGTCAGGTTGGCAGATATATGACATCTCTCACAAGCTTCTGGGTACTAGCATCCATGTGCTTCTGCTAATACCGTGTGCGTTCCATTTTTCATGTGTATACTATAGCCTGATAATGTCCTGGACATATAAAGCTTCGAGAATCTCGATGATTGCGTCCTTTTGACGCTTCTTGTGCACCCTCGAGCCCCATGCTCAAGTCAACTCTCTTCTGGTTCTGTGCGCTAATATCTACCATACATGCAACTCTAGTCACAGATGTCCAAGGAATCGCTTTCCAATCACCATTCGCTGGCAAATCTGTGTCTAATGTGACGGGGGTAGTCACTGCAAAGACTAGCGGGGGGTTCTACATCTCAGGCACTTCCTCCTCTGATGTTCGGGCATCCAACGGTCTATTTATATTCTCGGAGACTACCACCGTTCTCAACAAAGTTGCTGTTGGCGACATGGTCAGTGTAACAGGAACGGTGTCCGAGTTTCGTTCAAGCAGCGACCCAGACGATCTCACGGCCACCGAAATCACTTCTCCAACAGCCGCAAACGTTGTGGTATTATCTACAAGCAACACAGTCAGTCCTGTGAAGCTTGGTACTGATAGAATTCCACCGACTCAAGCACTTTCTGCTTTGGATGTTGGCCCCGACGGATGGCTCAGTGTACCTAACAACCAAAGTCGAGTTGATACTGTTAATGCAACTCTTGTGCCAGCTGACTACGGGCTGGACTTTTGGGCAAGTCTCGAGGGCCAACTCGTGACGGTTCCTTCTCCTCTCTCAGTTGCCTTTCCCAATGATTTTGGCGAATTCTGGGTTGTCGGGGATTGGCCCGTCACAGGGCTTAACAGCCGTGGAGGGCTATCTATCACAATTGGTAAGTATGATTTTGTTCCCTTCTCATTGACCTCTAACCTGTTTCTCGTGTCAAACAGGCCCAGATAATATCCCCGACGCCAATCCAGAAGCAGTAATCATAGGTGCTCCCATCGATGGAACCACCAACCCTGTCGTGTCTCTCGGGGTTACGCTCTCTGATATCACTGGGGTAGTTCAATACCAGTACGTTGATAATTCCTCGCAACTCTTTCGCATTCTCATTCAGTGCCACTAGATTTGGGTTCTACTACATATTGCCGCTGACTGCACCTAAAGTTCTCACTACGCCTACTACAACCGCTCCCCCGACCAATATTACAGCTGATATCACAGACATCTGTATCGTCACGTTTGGTGATTATAACGTGAGCTGTAGAAATTGAATAGTTACACCATTGGTGTGCCTCCTCTAATCACATATTCATCTTAGGTAGATAATTTTGGACCGACTGCGACTCAACTCCCAACAGTCGCAAGTCACATTGCAACGCATCTGTTGAGTCCGGACATCGTTTTTCTCCAGGAGATCCAGGACAACGATGGAGCAACAGATGATGGCGTCGTCAGCTCCAATGTCACTCTTTCTGCACTGGTGTCCGCGATTGCTGCTGTAAACGGCGTCACTTACGACTTTGTGGTTATCGATCCTGTCAATGACGCGGATGGCGGTGAACCAGGAGGGAATATTCGTCAAGCTTATCTGTGAACTCCTTACGCTTAAATTTATAATCATCCATTTAATTTATGTCCACCAGGTACCGCTCGCAAAAAATTAACCTTGTGTCTGGTTCCCCAGCTGGAACGGCTACAGAGGCAATTGCAGTGAGCAGTAGCTCCGGAGTCCCAAAATTGAAGTCAGTGATATACCATGGACATTTCTCCTTGATTTATATCTGTCAACTTGCAGCTTTAATCCCGGAAGGATTGATCCAAGCAATGCTGCATGGGAGGACTCTCGGAAACCTCTGGTGGCGGAATGGCAAACTAACGGCGGAGCTACCCTTTTCACCGTGAATTTACACTTGGAGTCAAAAGACGGATCCTCGTCCACAGAAGGAAATTCACGCCCACCCGTCAATTCTCCTGTGGCGAAACGTACATCCCAGGTTGACCTTGTTGCTGTGCGTCATAGTCAATCATATGTTCAGTAGGTTGACATCTTCAAATAGGAATTCGTACAATCTGTGCTAGATATCGACAGCAAGGCCAACATTTTGGTGGCAGGGGACTGCAACGAATATCTGGAGACACGCTCTGTGTTTGCATCCTTAACGGACATCATGTCCGAGATGGATGAGTTGGCTGATGTTGATCCGGTAGAACGTTACACTTACGTGTTTGACCAAAATTCAGAGCAGTTGGATCATGCTTTCGTTTCCACTGCCTTGTCGAACAGGCAAAACGCTATTCAACACATTCATGTGAGCCACATTCTCTTTCGATAGTGCATCAACTGTAACGACGGGTTATAGGTCAACAACTGGATGGCGAACATTGACGAGCGAGCCAGTGACCACGATCCCTCGGTGGGAAAAGTTCGACTATGTTAGCTCGTGTATTATCACTGAATGAGTATTCCTGTGCAATACCATAAATGCGTGTACTGAGAAAGTCTACACCCAGGTTATAAATACCTGCGGAGTACTGCGTATGATGTCAGGCAAAGCGAGCACGTTGTTCGGCATAAAGATATAATTGCGCAGGCAGCCGCAGACTCACAACTGAGATACTACATAATCTGAGCCTTCCGCAGGCGCAGTCTTCGTTCTTCTATGATGGCCTTGTCCTTAGCTTTTCTGCTGCTGTCTGCTTTGACGACTTTGACTGCGATTTGTGCTCAAACCTACACGATATCACAGAACCTGAGTGGTTCGAATTTGTTAGTCCATTTCAAGTTAATTCTTCATCAAGCCTTCGTTGATCCACATTTCTTAGTTTGTCAGCATTCGCATATAATGAAAGTGCTGTTGACTACAACAATTTTGGTACGATGCAACACCCCCCCTCTCTTCATCTAACACAAAAATCGCAGGAAACGTCCATTTTCTTTCTCAGTCTGACGCTGTCGCCGACAATTTGACTTACGTCGACAGTAATGGCCATGTAATAATAAAAGTCGACAATACTACCGATGCCAATGGTGACTCCACATTTGGACGAAACAGTGTGTACCTTGAGAGCAATGAGATGATGACTATTGGCAGTCTACTGGTTTTTGATGCAGTGCACATTCCCTACGGTGTATGTTTCCCAGAGAAAGTGTTGAACGGATTGCTAATCGTATCTCAAGTGCTCGGTGTGGCCATCCCTGTTCACGCAAGGGCAAGACTGGCCAGACAATGGCGAGATGGACTTGATAGAAAATGTGAATCTGGCGACAAGCAATCAGTATTCCCTCCATGCAGGTTCGAGCTCGTGTGTCCAATCTAGCTCTGCGACTTCAAATCAAACTGGAACAACAACTTCAACAAACTGTACTGTGGTCCCATCCGAGGATGAAAACACTGGATGTGTGGTCGAAGACACACAGACAGATTCATTTGGTGCTGGATTTGCTGAGAACAACGGAGGAGTTTATGCAGTACTGTGGGATGAATCGGGAATAGCAATGTGGTTCTTCAACCGGAGTTCTGTTCCCAGTGATATCTCATCGTCCCAGCCTGATCCAACCTCTTGGTCAACGGCGAGTGCGTGGTATCCTGCCAGTGGGTGTTCCCCGTCCTCTGTGTTCGGGCCCCAAACTATTACTTTGGTATGTGTTCAATGTAACAGTTAATACGATTTATAGTTGACATCGAATTCTGTAGTACATCGACATTTGTGGAGCCTTTGCTGGAGACACCACAACTTTTGATGAGACCTGCAGTTCCGTAGCCTCAAACTGCACATCTCTCGTCCAAACTGCGAGTAATTATGACAACGCCTACTGGGAAATCAACTACTTACGCTTGTTCACTACGTAAGTTTATTTTTCACTTTATCCTCGATGCTGTGTGCTCATTCCTATTGCGAAATTCAAATTCTATCTAGCGGGACTTCCAATGACGCTCATGCGGAGACCGTGTTTTCATACAAAACCCTTTTAGCGATCTTAGTGGCCGCCTCCCTAGAACTTTATATGTTGCTGTGATCCTGGTATGTAGTCGATCTTCGGACACTTTTGTTTAGCATTTACTTCAATACATACTCGAATAATCATGGCTGTAACGACGAATTTTCTGCATCGAACATGGAGACGAATTCCTCAAACACTTTCATTCGTTCACTAAGGGCGCGCTTCGAGTGGCTTTCACGGATCGAGCATCTGCCATCAGGTTTGAGGATTAATGCTTCAAAAAGCATACTCAGAACAAAAACATACCTCTGTTTCTTGCCAGTGTCATCCAAATCAGGAACTATGTGTTCAACCCACTCTTCATCTACATCTATATCAAGGATCTCTCCATCCAAGAACATGACTTTGTACCTTCCGCCTTGAGACACTTTGGAGTTATATCGAATGCACCAACCGGCAGAAGGAATATACCGCGTTTGAAGTGGTTGTGTGGAGGCGATGAGTTCTGTTGAGCAAAAACCATTCCGATACCAAGAAGGGGTAATATCAGACGCGGTCAGAGATAGAGCTTTGGTTGAGTAATCGATTTCTTGAAATTCTTTTTCAGATGGTGTGAAGATATCCTCTAGCTCTTGGTCGTCTTGAGTCAAGCGTTTGGACATTGAAGAGAATTTCGGTGGTCGTGGAGCAAGTTTGAGATCGACAGAAGATACAGAGAATGATTGCGCCAGCGTGCGGGAGCTACTTGCGACCCTGTTGGTAATATGAGGATTCTTGGATACTAGGGAATTTGCGACCAAGTCCGATTCTGAGGAACGTGCCAGAACAGTTGTATCGTGCTCTTGTCCATAGATTGTTTCTTCTTCTTCAAGTGATACACAAACGCGCAAGAACTTGGATAACCGACTGAGCCCTTCCGCCTCAGCATTGGTAAATTTTAGGAGTGCAGGTTCTATGACTGGATCGAGGCTTGAGATCCTGAGAGTTCGTTTCTTCCACTCCTTTCCCTGAGGACCAGTCACACACTGGGATATTTCGAGAGAGTGCATTTGCCGCGAATATCGAAGACGGATTTGAGGTCTGTCACTGTCCAAAGTAACGCCCGATTGCTTTTGAGGAACTTTGCTAGTTAGTGAATCTGCGAGTAATAATTCGATGTCTGCTTGAGGAGTGTTGGCCATCAAAGTACATTTGGAGGAGGGTTCGTGTACTGTCATCTGTTACGTGAGAAGGATTTTAGTCCCAGGAATATACAAGTAACAAAATGTCCTCACTCGAGGGGTACGTTGCTTCAACCGGCCGATGAGACTTCCAGCATTGTTGTATTGAACCCAATACTCTCGCGGCAAGGTCTTAATGGTGTATGTCGATATAGGCTCCGTTAGGCAGCAAGGTATGCTTAGATGAGGCGCTGAGAATATACTGATCTACTGAACCTATTAGCGGAGTGTATAAGGTTGGAAAAAAGTCTCAAACCTGGTTGCCGTCTGGACTGACGACGAACACCTCGGTCCCAGGGTTGCTTCTGCGTCTTTCACCTTCGCGAAAATCTACTAGTAACGACCGAGAAGGTAAGATGGTAATTTGACCGTTAATCGTTTTGTGGGCTTGAGCAGAGAGTAAGTTAGTGGTTAAGGCAGAAGGACGACTTGTTCCGATTGGAAGCTGATTAACGGGTGACTCAATAAGGATGAAGAAGGAACGAGAAAGAAGACGATACCGAATCAGAGACAGCTTCCTTCACAATATTGTGTGGCTCAACACCTTCATGTTCGTGTTCAGAGGAGTCGGACGATTCTGATATCTCCGCACGATCAAGCACCTGAGGGCGAACATGAATGGGCAGATTTAATGATGAATGTCGCCGACTTCCATAGTCAACGATAGTCCCGGACTTTTTACTAGGGTCCGAAACAGCGCGTCGGTCTCCAAAGGAAATCTCGTCACTAAGGATCCGTCTAAGATCAGAGTTTTGTATATCGCGGAGTGGTGGCCTGTCGTTCTTATGAGTGGAATGCATAGAGACTTTTGTCTTCAGCGAAGAGGGCGCTCGGAATGGAATCGGGTGCGGTTTGAGTGTTTTGATGTGACCAGATGGAAGGTCTGGGTTTGAGAACTTCAGGGGAATTTCTGGAAGCCGCGAGTCGAGGAAGGGATCAACAAATATGGAGGAGAGATCAAGTCTGACCATAGGATCCTGATTACATTTTTAGTGACTGCGACCTCGGCAATTATTGATGTGAAGGCTCTCACCACTAGAATGAGATTTGAGATGAAATTCCTAGCCAATGTAGAAATACTTTCTGGTGTTGAAAAACGTCCGTGCAGTATATTCTCGAACATGTCATCCATTGAAGGCCCCTGGATATAGCGTCAGTCCGCCTTGCGAAATCATATTCGGAAAAAGAAAACCTGAAACGGTGGCTTTCCAACTAAACAAGTGAAGACGAGGCATCCTAGGGACCAGATATCGGCGCGGTAGTCATAAGATCTTCGCGACAGGAATTCACTATCTAAGGATGTTAGTGAAGGAAATTTGTGTGGGGATAAACAGATGCATACGGGGCGATGTACTCAGCACGAGTTAGAAGAACGATTGCGGTATGATCTTGCGATGGAAGACGTGTTGCTAAATCCAGGTTTGAGATTTTCTGTAGAGGAGTCAACAACTTTGCGATCTCAAACGAGAAAAGGAACAACTACTCACTATCCTGCAATGTTCGGTCAATAGAACATTTTCAGGGCTGATGTTGCGATGAACGATAGAGTTATTCTTCAGATAAGTTAGACCGTCCAAGATGGCTTTGATAACTGAGCGTGTTTGGCCTTCACTTAGAGAGCAGTGTTCGTGAGTACGGAGAAAAGAGGCAAGGGATCCTCCGGAGCAGAGCTCCAGGACCTGGAATCGGTGATTGGAAGTAGCGAATGCAGAGAACAATGAAACAATGGAAGGATGGCAGAGTGTTTGGTAGAGGGAGAGTGAGGAGGGCGAGTGTGATCTTTCGACCGGGACCTAGATGTTTTGAGTTCAAGAGAGCGAGAAGACAAAGTGACGACGTTCAAGACCTTTTTGAGGGCGATTATCCTGTTTTTGAGTCGTCCGCGTTTGCATCTGGCACGATACACGTAACATGCGGCACTAGTAGAAATCTCTTCAATTATTTCATAGTTCTATTGAAGGCGAGCGTTTGAGCAAAATTAGTCGAGACATAAAACCCCAGCTTACATCTGCCCCGCCATTCCCGAAATTATCAGTGGATGCCATCGTAAGTACTCCAGTCAACGTCGTAGATGTTGGCAAGGGTTTTGCATCATTTCCCACGCTCGTCACTCCCGCTTTTACACTCTTTCACATCTCAACAAATACTAAGTATTGATTTGTCTGTACATGTGTACGAAAAACACCAGGAACTGCTTCAGTTGTCGGTGGCAATACAAGCAAGGTGACACATTGTTCCCTACTGTTCCCCAATGGCTTGATGCTCGAAGACCAGATGAACAACGACAAAGACGGAGCTCAAGTGATACCTAGTGATACTCGTTCACATTCAGCCACAAGTGGTTAGTGGTTTAAAAATGCAGTAAACTTACAGTATCACAGTACATTGTCATACAAGCAATTGGCAAGCGTTCGTGATTAACGCCCAGAATGGCAATGTAGCCGATGTCGATAAGAATCGAGGAACTTGAAGACTATGTACATAGACCGAAGTTGTCTAACAACCTCACATTCACATTCATTTTTCCCTCATTCGTTTCTCATCCTGAGCCGACTCAGGCTCAATTTTTCTTTCACCTACATACCCCACCTACAAATTGATCGTTGAAGACTACATGTCTGTGATATTAATCCAGGACAACTACTTCCTTGCTGAAACCGGCGGTGTATGGACAAATTTGTCAACGGGTGGCACATGGTACAATGGAAGCGCTCTTTTTGCCTCGAAAGCAGACGCTACGACGAACGGTATCTTGCATGCGAGTTTTCAAGGCAAGTGGAATGATCCCTCCCCGATATGTAGCCTATTGATCTTGGAAGCTTACCTTCAACTTCACCATAGGCACCTCTATATCTTTCGTCGGTGTAACTCCACCCTCAAATGAGTCCACGACTTTCTTAGTGGACATTGACTCGGAGGCAAATTACACTGCGACTTATCCTACCAGTGCGGTAGGGGGAACATGGTATACTTCACCCAATGTTGCTGACCAGGCGACGTACCATGCGATAAACCTCTATGGCATGGATGAAATAATTACAGACTACGTTCTCGTCACAGCCGGGTCGCAGACCAATTTGACCGACCAAACGATCTTTGTCGATGACAGCAACCCTGAGATCGCTTGGTCCGGGCAATGGTGGTCTGCCGACAGTTATGAAGTCGTTACTGGAACGTACGACCTAGCTCCAGCTGGAAATGGAACTCATACTTCTACATTTGCGGGCGACGCATTCACGTTTACTTTTGCCGGTTCGTGTTTCGAACAATTTTTCGACAACCACATTAACTCTTTCGTCAAATTGAAGGAACGACGATCAATGTCTACGGTATAATGTCATGGGGATCAACCGGAAGTGTGAAAGCCTCTTTTAGCGTTGATGGATACTCCACTTCACAAACCTTTACTGCCAATACTGCTGCAAATAACGGATTGACCAATTCCACTAATTATCCGTTTTACTCGAACACCAGCCTTTCTTCTGGAAACCACACCCTTACGGTCAACGTTACTTCCGTGTCGGGAAATTTGCCCTTCATTATAGACTACCTTACCTATCAGCCAAATTTTGACAACATTGACTCCAAGCCTAACTTCACTGCTCAAGCTGGCATTGGTAGCTCTACTGGGCCCGACTCAAATCCTGGCTCTTCAGCTGGAAGCACTTCGTCTGATACAACCTCTAAATCGCACGCCGGAGCAATAGCTGGTGGTGTGATTGGTGGCCTATTGGCAATCGCCGCAATACTAGGAGCGATCCTTCTCTGGAGACGAAGGTCTCGATTTGATAAACCAAAGTACTCAGCGCGTGGAAGAGCTAATGTTTTGGATTCGAATGAGAGATTGATGGTCGAAACCCCTGGCAGTAAGCTAGTCAATTGCAAAGAATTTCTCATAGGCTACTTTTCTTACGTGCATCTCGACATCTCTAGATATTTTGTATCCAATGCAACACCTGGCACAAGACTTGAAATTGGTTTCTGGCCCTCCAAAGGCTCTTTCAACTGAAATGCATAGCGGCAGTGACTACACTTCTGCTTCCGGCGCGACCACTCCGACTGCCCCAGGATCTGATTCTTCTAGACCGTTGACAGTCAATGAAAAGCAGACAGAGCTCCGAAGAAGACTGGATGAGATTGCTAGTCTCATGCAGCAGATGGAAGTACAGACATCTGCAGATTCTTCGTCTTCTGCTCCAGTGAAGGGTTCTGGGGATAGTAACGTCCTCGATCTACAGGCGAGAATTGACCGGCTGACAAGGGAGAATGAGAGGTTAATGGAAACGTATGTCGTCCCGCCTGCATATGAAGGGGTCGAAGGGACTACTACAACTGGTGAAAGTGTATTGGGAGAACATGTTCCGGGCAATGCTAGGAACGAGAAGCGTATCCTCCGACTGGCCTACGAACCAAGGGATTCGGAGTAGTCTTTAAAATCCTATCTATGCGTCCCTGCTTCCACTGTCACTATTATCATTATATATTATCTGTCACTATGCAGCTTTATTTACAAGAAGCCTTCCATGGAGGGCGTTTAAATAAGCGCCGATCATGGAGAGAGCCGGGTGTTCAAGGCATCTCTCTGCTTCACATCAACATTCACCATCATGCTCTCTACCCGTGCACTTGGTCTGGCACCCGCCTTGCGACAAGCTACGTTCTTTCCAGGCAAGATTTGATTTGATTGGCCTAAATATTGCGAATTTGACTGTCACCATCAGCCAGAAATCATGTTCTAAAGACCGCTATTCGTTCAAGTATCATCAAGCGGTAATTCTCTTGGATGAACGCTGAACGGGCTAATAATAGGATGCTTGTCTACAGCTCCGTTCAGACGCAGTCCCTCAAGCCCGAAGATGGAACGACAATCCTAAACACACAACGCTTGCAACGGCCATCCAGCCCTCACTTCACAATCTATGAGCCTCAATTAACATGGATTGGTTCAATCTTCAATCGTGTCACTGGTGTAGGACTCGGATTCTGTGCGTGCATGCAATTCTCCGCTCTCACTTCGACTAAATTAGTCCCAGTGCTTTACGGTTTTTCGTTGGCGTATCTTGTAGCTCCTGGTACATTTGACAGCACGCACGTTATTGAGTTCGTCGGTGGCTTGCCTGATGTATTTAAGTACGCAGGCAAGTTCATCTTGGCTCTCCCTTTCACTTTCCACTCCTGGAACGGGATCAGACATTTGCTTTGGGATTCGGGCAAATGTGCGTGCTACTGTTTACTCTTCTCCAATTTCAGCTCATTCTTGTGTAGTCTTGACCGTCAAGGGAGCTTACTCTACCGGCTACGCAGTCCTCGGAGCTACTGCAATTTCTACAATCGTTTTGATGTTCCAATAAATGTATACTGCGTCCAGACAAGAATCTCTGTATCCTTCGCAAACAGCGACAATACATACAAGCCTACTTACATAGTAGTCATTGAAAATTTCTTGCTGAACCAAAAGATGAATATCGTCGAACTCTCCGGTATCGTTAATGCCATGTCATGTATGTGACGACTTGAAATCCTCTCAGCTCTGTTGCTATTTTGCACGTCTGGTCCGCTCTGCAGTTGTGTTCATGCAACATTTTATTACAATAGTACACCGGCCCATTAGAGACCTTGAATGTCAGGACAGTTTCGTATGACAACTACGTGAAACATTGTGCAAGTTGTGTTTTTCGGACGGGAACGGGGCCAACGGAACCTGCCAACCACTACCGCAAGCCATGACCAGAGAGCCCCTGCCGAGTGATATTTTTGCACAGAAAATAATCGTGAAACCATGATTGCTACACAATGGGATTGAGGGATATTGAACTACTAGCAGGTAACGGGTATGAAGCAAATGAAGGGTATAAAAGTACAAAATGGTCTACTCATCATCTATGATAGCAGGGATGTAGAAGGTCAAAACGCCTCCGGCATCCGCTACGTCACCTATGTAAACGTACAGGATTAAGCAGTGGTTTTGACATATACCTGAAGCGCACGTCGATGATACCAAATAACGAACGGTGAGCTAACGAAGAACTTACAAGCTATCGTGGTCGTTGATACAACATGGCTACTCAAGAATTTGAGAAAGCTCCTGACAGAGACCAAAACGGAAAATAGATGCTCTGGATCCGGCGGAGGATCATCGGCGTTGTCGTCTTGTGAAGCGCTTTCCTTCACTGCAACATGGAGTCATGAGGAACAAAATCATCACGACGGAAGCCTGACACGAAACTCATTTGAGGAATAGTGCAATTCTTCCATTCCGTATCAACTTTAACACTCTCTGTGTTGATGGAGAGTTGCAAACATCCGCTTTGGCTGGCCCGGATGGCCAATACATCCGACATTGACCGTAACCGTTCGACGATTGTTCGTATTTTTTGTAGAGACGGCAGCAGAACATGTATCTGTATGCATAGGCTTATTGACTTTTTGGGTTGTGAAAGGGAAAAAACACACACATCAGGTTCAGGACACATCGGCTCACTCAGTTTGACGACATCTGCTGGCTTCATGACCTCGATCTTAACATCATGTCCAATCCTCACTTTTCTGCCTACACGAGTAGTCCCGGTTATCTCAAAATTAAGCACTGCCTGGTCGTTCTTCTTTGCGAGCTTGATGATGACTTCGTCCGTTTCGTAGGACGAGCCTGATGCCGAATTGGAAGTACCGGAAGACGTTGATACGGACCTAAGTGCTCCCATGAGAGCCTCACATGTTAAATTGACAGTGATTTCGTTGTTAGAGTTAGATTGGATCCGGTAGTTGTTGAATATCGAGTCTATCTTGATCTGACTGGGTGTAAAAAAGAAATCAACGCTTTCCCTTGGAGATATTGTACGTCGACTCACGACCAGACTTGTATTCCTCCTTCATTAGCGTCGTTATTACAGATGACGTGCATATTTTCTTCCGTGAACTTGATAATGCATTTCTTCTGTAGCTTTTCCACAGATTGCATGATCCCTTCAACGTTCGCAGTGGTTCAGTATAAAGATGCGAAACAAGATTCCATCCAGACCTACGAAAAAACGTGGTCACATTTTCTACCCCAGCACGAAAACGCATGATTCTATCGATGTTCACACTGTTACACGGAACAAATTCTCTGGCTGATGCTGGAGGGTGAGTAAGAGTCGCGTGACCTACGGCATGATCCAAAGTAGATCATAACTTAAACTGCGCCTAAAGGCGCCTACATAACTTATACGCATTGCATACTTTTACTCCGAGTCGACAGGTACATAGAGGATATGAAGATAACTACATCCAACATTATCCGACTAAGCCCACAATCACAAGCCTGTAACAGCCCGATAGGAAGAGGCCATAATGTATAAAGCTGTATAAAGGAAGTTGGTATTCATGCATTTTCGTGTTTAATCATGCATCGTCGTTTCTGAGATTTTTTTTAAAGTCGACGTTACTGCTACTGACTTCTAACGACTCACCTCAAGCTAAGCAATAGGAGCTCTCACTCTTCACCAATGCGGTCGAGGCATCTCTCGCAGAATTCAAATGCGTCTCTGGGGAGTGCGACACCATCTCTAAAGAGGGAGGAAGAAAGAATGTTAGTTCATTCCACAACGACTGCAAGATGAACAGTCGATGCTGAACATTGAGGAGAGAAGAGAGACGTACTGCGGCTCAGGAATTGGACTAGCACTAGTCGCTGATGCAAGCACTAAAGTGCAAACCAAGGCGAATTGAAACAGTCGAGTCCAGCGTGTCATTGTCTATTCCCTTTGGTGAAGCTTTGACTAGATGGGTAGTAATGCAGTTCAAATTATAGAGTCGACAAGGTTCTTTATAGGCTATCGTTCATATGTATACATATATAGTAATGAACTGAAACGAAAAGCTTAGCCGACGTAAATAAATTCTTTCTGGGTTCCCTCGCGATATCCTGCAGGCACTGATAGGCCCCGGAGAAGCATGAAACTCACCGAAGCATCCACGAGTGGAGCTGGCTGGGTCGGTTGAATGATTTGCAATCAAATTCAGGAGCGGTGAACATTGAGCGTAACGAATATATGTAGCGCCCGATCATGGCCATTGCTGCATCCCCATCTATGCATGTATATCGTGCTTTCTGTGAGTTTTTGTGTGGGTCATTGGCGGAGGCTCATTTTACATCTCGAAAACGTTCTAGCCTCCAGCCAGCTTCAGCCCTCTTCAAACACAGTTCAAACATCATCTAACTAACTCCGGGTTGGCAAAAATCAATTGAGGAAATCACTGAAAACCATCGCGTGCTTTGTGAGTTCATGCATCGGCCATCGCAAATAGAGACGCCTGGAATGGCTCAGGCTGATACAGGCTGATACTAGACTTGGGAACCGACGCCTCCTTACCAAAAGAAGATGCGAAAACTTGCTTGGACATCGTGGGAATCCTCATGCGTTTACTCAATTGATTCACATTGTCATTAGTATTACTATATGTTTAGAGATTGGCTGATTGGGAACCAAACAATTCGTTTAAGAAAGCCTTGCTGTTTGGCTCTCTTCCCAAAAAGTCCTGCAAAACCATGATATATCAGAAAACGATTCATTAGTCGCGGATAGTGTCACCTTTAAGGAGTCCAATTCCTCGCGACTTCCACCAGGTACAAGAATCTTTTCACGGTAACGCTTTCCTCGAGCAGGATCCAGAGGATCAGCCTTGAATATGGTGGCTGTAATGCCAGTTAAGGTAGTCTGCCGATTCATGCATCAACAACGTGCTCACCATACATATCCGCCGCGAATACTAAGGAATAGGTGTAGCTGGAAAAATTGTATATTGGTTTAGCGGGTGCCCACATTTCGCTACAAGTTTCTTACCCGTAGTAACCAGCGTCATATCCACCGGTAATGTGACCGAATGTACCTGGACAAGATACCATGAGCTGTGAGATGAATTTTCTTTTCAAGATCGACTCACCTTGCCCAGGTGTGAGCTTGCCAGATTTGACCAGCGAGATGGATTCCCGAAGTGAGTTCCAAAGTGCAGTATAGTCCTGGTCCTCTAAACTTTACTTGAATAATTGCAACCACTGACACCTTATGCGTCTACCTACCAGAAGAAGTATGCACTTTGATATCAAATTTGGCGAAGAAAACTTGGCGCAGGTAGAACAAGCCAACATTGACATAGCGACTGTTGCGAGTTATTCAAAGTGATTGTAAGCAGTCAACTATAAATGTGTATCATGCCAATCAACGAACCTCTTGACAAGCTTTGTGATCAATTCAGGAGAAAGAGGCTTCTTCGTCTCAAAATGACTGGACATTTTTTCCAAAACCTGAGGTTCCCAGCACCTTGAAAGCATCTGAATCAAGGCCAGGTCCTATTACAGGTTCTGGCGTGACTTACCAATTCTCCAGCATTTGGGAAGGCGCCTCCACAAAGTCGCGCGCAACACTGGTAACTTATTGTCAATGCTTAAAGGTCAAAGCAGATTGATAATATCGCACCTGGTGCCATGGAATCGAGAAAATTTGGTGTGGCTCAGCAGACCATGGAAGACGTGACCCATCTCATGGAAAAATGTCACAACGTCGTCGTGCCTCATCAATGCCGGTTTATCGGGGGTGGGTTTTGCAAGGTTAGCTACCATAGCTGCTATTGGGTAGCTACGTTTTCCATCTGAATTGTCATGACCCGGAAGAAGAGGCCACACAGCAGCATGCGAATATTTTCCAGCTAAATCATGCGAAGGAGTCGGACATCGTCAAAAGAACGGAGGGTGGGACATATGAACTTACAACGAGGATACAGGTCGAGATAACAATATCCAATAAAACCGGACTCGTCTTTGCTGTCCTTTTCCCAGACAGAGAACTGTTGAACCTCTGGCAAAAGTTTAAGAAACGTGAACGTTCCCAATTCAAAGAAGGCACAAACCAGGATGCCAGGTAGTCCCATTGATTTCCTCGAATCTAACGCCAAGCAAGTTTTGATAGATATCCAGAATGGTTGGTACGACAACTGTGACCGGGAAATACTCTTTGACGAGCATGTCATCAAGATCCAAACTACTTTCGATGAATTTCCGGTCATAGTATCGATAGTCCCAGATATAGAATTCGCCGTCGAATGGCAAGCCAAGCTCTTCGTGTTCCTTCTTTTTCAATGCGAGAAGGGTTTCTCTATCCTTTAAACCAACCGGGCGAAGTTTTTCTTCGAGATCGTCTAGGAACTAGGACAGATAGATGAAAAATTGCATTAAATTTCGAATGACTGGATTGTACATCAATGACGCCTTTGCCGTTCTTGATCATTTTGACTTCAGTTACATAGTCGGCCCTAAGGTGTAGGTTGAACGAGTGAAAAACAATGGAAGAATCATCAAAGAAGACACCAACCAGGTTTTGTAGCCAAGTATACTGGCAAGTTGCCGGCGGATGTTAAGAGCCTTGCTCAACAAGGGAACATTAATTTCCAAACGAGATTCGTATCCTTCGAACGCCTTGCGACGGGTTTCAGGATTCTTTGCAAATTTGAACTGGGGTAATAGTCAGTTTTTGAATAAGGTCATGAACCACGATTGACCGTACAATCGGGAAAATATCAGGCGTTTTGTAGGTCGCATCGTAGACTTCTTCTGATCCTTCAGTGCGTTTCGTGTAACCCGAGATAACATCTTTAGGCACGCCGTCAAGTTGTTTTGCGGTGAAAGTAATCCTTTGCTGTAGAAGATAAGCCATTGCACAAGAAAGATGGGAAGAAACACACATCTTCTTCGTTGAAATTTTTCTAAACATCTATCAAGCATTACATCGATCAACCAACAGCATCGAGCTCACACTGAATTCCAAACAGAGTTGAGATAACTCCTTCTTTAGTGTTGTCAGTTGATTTCGCTGCTCTTCCGGAAGAGCCAATCCAGCACGAGTACCGTCCAGAATCTGTTCGATTGAAAGTTCAGGGAGGATCTGGAGGTAAAGATACGATTTACGCACCATTCTCTCAACTAAGCGCTTCTCTTCTGCACTAAGTTTCTCCCATTGTCCTGATTCCTTGAGATTCTTTTCCGCCGCAACTTTGGCTCGGTAGACATCAATCCGCATCGAGGATTCCACACCGTAGTCACGAACTAAAACTTCAGCTTCGTTAGATGCATCGCGTAAAGCCTTGTCTGCAGAGACATTCTTGATTCAACAAACGATTAGACCAGACCCGTGGCTGCAGCGACGGTGGATCGCACCTGATAGAACGAGAGAGGTTCTGCGACGGCATCAAAGTCAGTTTCCGCCACAGAGAGAGCCAGCTAGGCAAGACGATGAGATCGTGATAGGAAGAAAGAGTCATGCCCTACGAAAACCTATCAAATTATTAGTCTCAGCACATAGAAACACAGTCATGATAATAGTGGACATACTGATTGAAAGTTACATTCCCCTGCGGGAAGAGCAGCAATCTTGTCCTAAGAATCCAATTTTTGTGAGAAACCTTTTCTCAGAGTGTGTCCAGAATCGAGCCAGTTACCATAAGTAATCTATCCTTGGCAATAAGGTCTTTGATGAGGGTGCCTATCTCTTCGGGACGATGGTCCCAAGTTGGAGCGGGCTGAGGAGGCTTAATAGACATCGATGGCACGGTGGTAGAAGGGAATAATAACGAGGTAACAGTAGCTAGACTTCGAGTTTGAGTGTGAAAGAAAGGCGTGACAGCACGGAATTCTCCATGTCCTACTGATCTGAGGCTGACAGCTAGAAGGCCTGCAGCAATAGAGCCTCCCAGCGTCTTTCTGTGTCGAAGTATAAGCTGCCCAAGGCCCGGGGGAGTAATCCTTCCGCGAACCAACATGTACCGTCCAAAGCTCAAAAATTCGAAAACACGTCACAGAATCATTATCTTATCTTATCTGCCAAGCATAGATATTTACTGATGTTTTGAGTCGTCGTTGAGATTGAACATTAACATGAACCCCTAGCATAAACAGTCGACTCTTGCTCAAATTTTCAGTTTGATCTAATTTGTATAGGTACATCATGATGTAGGGCGAAATCCTGATCTTCATCATCTGGCCGTTGTCTGTTGCCCACTGGCTTTATCCTGAAGCCGGTCAAACAGAGGAGCATCTGCAGCATTTGCTGCGGGAATATCCATCTGAGGGTTCTTATCCTTCTTAAGCTCCCTTATATCCCCCTTGAATCCAATGTAATAAATCCTGGAAACATCCCCTCCCACAGATTCGCTCTGACAACAGAGTGTTAGTTTAGTAACGGACCAAGGTAAATGTAGCAGACGCACAAAGAACAACGACACAGAATTGATACTAGCAAAGGCAGCAACACGAAGCGGGTATTCGACGACGCCGGGTTCTCCCTGCAAAAGGCTTATATCTAATTGTGCCTTGGTAGTTTCAGCCTCCGAAAAATCCACAATGTTTGGGTGATTCGCATAGATCCTCAGATGGACTGGAGCAACCTCGCCTCTACCTTCCGTACAGCAATTGGAACCAAAGGAATGAGCATCCGAGAGGGTAACGCACCGAGCTTCAGCAAAACGGAGCGTAGTCGAACATTCTGGGAGAAAGGAACATGGATGATAACCTAAACACACATCTTAATTGGAATTCGGATTGATCAAGGTTGTGGCTTGCCTGATCATCTACATTAGATTCCGCAAACTTTTCAGTGTTCTCTCTTTGGTCCCAAGGTTTGATGGTCTCTTTGGCATCATCCGGGTCAGCCAGATTCAGGCCATGAACGCTTAGCTCAACCAAAATTCAATCGCTACAGAAAATCGGTATTTTAGCTGCTCGTACTTGTCTCGATCTATACAACGCCAGAGATTTGAATTGTCTCCTCCAAGTATGTTAGCTGGATCTGAACTTGAGGAGGACATGAATTCAGATGGTGGATTTGGCACAGAACAAGTAGCTGAGGTACAGAAAGTTACGGAGTAAGAGCCAATGGGCGCTTATGGATAACTGACACGTGCTCTAGGTGGCACGCGTAGAGTATCCGATGTTTCTCCGGAGGTAATAAGCTTTGGAAACCTCCCGAAGTTGACCATAACTTCATTACCACCCATATCGCAAAGGGGGCAATGGAACTGGATATTCTCTCTAGCCCCAATGGTATGAATGCATCAGTACAAAGTCTTTCTCGTTTGAACCGTGTCTACAACCAAAATGATTCGAATCATGGTGGGATCACTCAGATACCTGACCTTCAAAAGGCTCCACAAAATGCGGTCGAATCTACATTGGAGTACGACTTAGGGAACGGAGACAAGGCAATATCTCAATACAAAGGAAGGGAGTATATACAACTAGCTGCATTATATTGGTGTATGTTTCTCGCCGGCTGGAACGATGGATCTACGGGTCCCCTCCTTCCAAGGATACAAGAAGTGTATAATGCGCGTAGACAACTAGATGTCTTTGGAATCATTATCTGACATGTTTATAGGTTGGTTATATCATTGTCTCCCTCATTTTCGTATTTGCTTGTGTGGTATGGCCAATATATACCAGAATATTAATGGTACCAACTTCCTGATGATCACCGTGTAGGGCTTCATATCTGGTGCTTGTTTGAATGTTCCGTTTTCTGAAAAACTTGGATTCGGAAAGGTTTCGTTGTTCTGTATCATTCGAAGGAAAGCTCGCTGATACATGCTTTACAACAGACGATAGTTTTAGGTGAATAGATATGGCACCAGTGTGATTAAAATGAATCGAGGCGAACTCATTTCTACAGGTTCTTTTCTACAGCAGACGGCCTATGCGCTACAGGCTCCTCAACTTCCATTCCCAGTTTTTGTTATGTCCTTCACAATTAATGGCATCGGTCTAGCTCTACAAGTGGGGTACTGTTCAAAAGCTGTTTGTGTTTCTGACCTTTTACTTGCATTTAGGATGCTCAATCCAATGGCTTTGTTGCATCTCTCAAAGATCATGCCGAGACCAAAATGGGTCTGCTTCATGCTAGTTATGGTGCGCCGACTCTCCGATGCTCAATGCTGGGTACTCAATGCTGGGTACTGACTACTTCTAGGTGCTGGCGCGCTCTGTGCGCCTCTTGTTGCGACACAGTTTGCTCAAATGGACCACTGGTCGTTCTACTATCTGGTTTCTCTTTCCGTCGCAACCATCAATACCATAGTTCAAATTGCTGTATTCCGATTCAAGACCCAAGATGGTTTGTATCCAGTCCGTCAATCTGTTTAATCAATACGCTCAGCCTATTATTCTCAGACTGTCTCGTTGAAATCGGACAAGAACCAGGTGAGAAGGGAACCAGCGAGCACAGTCATTTCCGACAAATCATGTCTCTGAAGAGTGTACATCTTCTCGCTGTGTTCATCCTCGTATATGTTGGAGTTGAGGTCACCGTAGGCGGTTGGATAGTCACATTCATTCAGACAGTACGAGGTGATATCTATATTCTTAAAAGGAGTCAGAACGTTTCACTGACTTTCCTGCTCGATTCCCGAAGGTGGAGGTTCCAAAAGTGGCTACATCTCTGCTGGTTTCTTTGGAGGTATACTCTATCTCTAAATTCAATTTCTCGATCGACTCTGAACTGAAATCCACAGGGCTCATGATAGGGCGTATCGTTCTTCTTTGGGTAAACCAAAAAATAGGCGAACGTCGCGTACTCTATCTTTATTCGGCACTTGCTATTGGGTGTGCATATCCCTTCCATTTGCTAGTCATCTATTCTTATCTCTCCTAGACTGGAGATTGTTGTCTGGCTTGTCCCTTCGCTCATAGGGGATGGGGTAGCAATAGCCATCGTCGGCATGCTTCTTGGCCCAATGTATCCCATCACGATGAACCACACAGGTCGTATTCTCCCTCGCTGGTTATTGACCGGTTCCATTGGATGGATTGCTGGTTTTGGTCAGGCAGGCAGCGCAGTGTTCCCATTCATGACAGGAGCTCTGGCCTCTAAATTTGGTATCAAAAGTCTTCAGCCTTTGTACGTCTTCCGATTCGTAGTGATGTCGAGTTAATCAATGACTTGTTAATGCAGACTCGTGTCAATGATGGCTTTTATGACTATACTGTGGGCCTTCGTCCCAGGAGCCCCTCGTAAAACAGACTAATGCAAACAACAAGGAAAAAAAAGACATCTTATGCTGGATATGCGTGCTAAATACAAAATGTATTTTTCTTAGCTAGACTATCATCAATCTCAGACTTTACATTCTCTTGAGGTAAGGCGGAGGATTTCAGGATTCAGTGACCTATGCATGATTATCGAATTTTGTAAACGGATGAATTTAGAAAATGACGGTCACGGCAAGAAAGACTCAGGAAATTGTGGACGACATTCATACCAGAGAATTATAGCGCTACGCCAGCCGACATTAGGCGGACATTTCACGGCCTTACAATATAATATTAGAAATTGTTGGAAAGTCCTTTTGCGTTCATTGTTGCAAAGAAGCCGTGCCCGCGACTTTGACCCCAGCCGCTTCATCGTCTACTTCCTCGTCGCCCTCATCGCCATCCTCATCTATCCGTTCTTCCCGAGCCTCTCTTTCCAGCGCTGCTTCCGCGCCAGGATCTTTATGCACAGTTCCACTTCTCTGAGCATCATCTCTTTGAATCTGGTCTCGCATTTGTTTGACGTCTTCGTCTACCTTTGCAGCCACACGATCAATACCAGCATCAGCAAGGGATACATGTACTCGGTGTGTAGCCAGATGTGCAGATTTACGTGGAGGACGTTTCAGTCTGCGACGTGCAACCATGACCGGGACAGAACACTTTTGAATGAGATAATGTGAAGTTGACCCGAGAAGTATTCTGCATTAAAAATTAGCGAATGGCTCAAAGAAGCAGAACGGCTACTTGACGGACCCTTTAAGCTGTCCTAGACCTCTTGACCCGACGATTAACATGGTTGGTTCCATATGATCAACGATATCTTACGCGTTAAATCAACACGTATGAAGAGTAACCGGGATCCGTTGCATCGCTCACCTAGTAACATATGCCGCGCATTCTTTGCATGCCACGCCTGACAGGCTATGGTCACGTTCAGCTTTGTTCGCTGTAATAAGCTAGTTGCTTGCCGAATGAGGATGTACGCAAGTCCTTGTCGCTCCTGCTGGCTTCGTAATTTATTGGCGCGATCTGCAGTATTGGGTATGGGAGGGTCGACTACATGCGAAGTAAAACCAGTTTGACAAAGATAAAAGCAAACTGAAGATGAAATTTACCTCTGTTTTCGTTCTCCACTATAGTCACGACGAGCATTTCATCTCCGTCCCTAAGAACGGTCCCTATTCCCCACTCTACAGCATAACGGCTCTCTTCACTCAGATCGCTAGCAACAATGTACTTCTTCTTCTTCCTGTCAGTGGTAGCGGCTTTACCCTCTGGATCACCTTGAATCATTGTGATAGTACAGCGATCTCGCTGAAATAATGGCCTCGAAGTGTTCAATGGCAAAGGTTCATGATGCTTTGTGCTTTTTCGACGTCGGGCATTGCGTTTTGTTCCTGAGGGAGTGCGAGAGGGTAGGCTATGGATTGTGGACGGGAAATAAGGCTCCGGTGGAACGACGACATTGACTCCTTCACCGAGTGGATCGGGGTCGATATCGGCATCAGCGTCATACAGCCCAAGAGCGCCTGCGGCGGGAAGCTCAACGACAGCATTCCTTTCAGTGTTGCGCTCGGTCACATCGTCGAATATATCAATTTCGTCGCCACTATCTTCATCTTCGGTGTACTCTCCATCAGTTTCACCATTAACTGTTTCCGTCTCATCCCCGGAGCCGTAGTCTAACACATCAGCGTCATCAGTGAAGGCTGTACGAGGCCGAATGTTCGGCGAGGGATTGGTGTCAGGGACCAAGCTAACCTCAGAAGAAGTTGAGCTGAGGGGCAATGGAGGAACAGGCGACGAGTCACGTTGCGAGCGAAATCTTCGGAATGAGAAAGGGGACTGCGATCGTGCACGCGAGTGACTTTTGGACGTAGTTTCTGTGGTTGATGGGACATGGGAAGAAGACCTGTAGTGCTTGTTTTTCGACATTGAACGACCACGAGCATCTTCGTTGTTCGTGACGCTATCTTTGGTACTTGTGCGAGACAAGGTCAGGTTCGATAGCCCAGGAATACCGCCCATCATTGAGCTCAGCGACTTGCCAAAGGAACCAGTTCTTGAGCCCTCCTTTGTGATAGAAGGCTGCGTAGAACTGATGCGTTCAAGGGCATGGTCAGAAGGACCATCTATGGAGTTAAGGGGCAAATTCTTGGAAAAATTGGGAGTCAGCGACCATCGTCGTTTGTGCGAAGAAGTGATAGAAGGAGATGTCGAGATATCAGCATCGTGCTGACCATCTGACTCCTGGCATTCAGTTCCAGTAGAGGAAGAGATACTAAGCCTCCAGCTTCTACGTTTCTCATTTGCCATGAAAGTATAGCACAGGCTCAGGTTTAAGGAAGGATCTTTGTATGTACTCACAAGTTTACCGATCTATTCAAGACAAAAGTCAAGATCAATTCTGGGCGTACTTGGCACGGATATAATTGCTGATCACGTACATTCATTACACCTGTTGAGGATTTGTTCAGCGAAAGGATGGAGTGAAGGAGCAACCAAGAGCTCAATTACGCTGCGCTGTGGTGAGCAGCAACACGAAAAAGACTCAGAACACAATCTGAAGGTACAATGGTTATGGAAGTGGCTGTGTCCTGATCTGGATCAGTGCGGCCCGGGGCTTTCCGTCGAACTCTCCAGTAAGTTTTCATTCTATTCCTCAGAAAGAACTCCCTGTAACTCCTCTCTTTCTTTGACAATGGATGGAATCGACCAACTTCCGTGTTTAACTACCCTTGCAACCCTCATTCAGGAATGGGACGGACCTGCGGCTCACGCTCGTTCAGCAGCAATCCCACTCACTCACCCTCCGGAAATATTGAGCAAAGTTTCTTTATAGCCAACTACATGCCGTGGCATGGGTCCGATCTCAGTCGTGGTTCCGACACTTAGCATTCTTCCTACCGACCGAGCTGGATTACAGAAAGTCTATCGATATTTTGACTGTATCATGAGGATATCGAGGGTAGATACTCAACAGCGTTTCAATTTCCCACTTCTTCAAGTCTTCTTGATCACAATGCACACAATCATCGCAATGGTAGGCCTTGACCAACCTGGCCAATTAAACAAGATCACGCAAAATTGTCTTTCACCATCTAAGTTGATGAACACACCTCAAGAATTATGGTTCGTTCCTCCAACAAAAACTCTCAAGCTGACATGCTAGTGGCAGTTTGGGAGATCTTACGGTTAGTGAAGGAACGTCTCCAATGCAAAGACCATCGTTGCGCATTCAATTTACATTGTCTACGATAATAAACAGACTACTATCACTACAAAAGTTCAATCTAACATGATGTTAAACAAGGAATAACACAGCAAATTGGTTGTGGCAAGGTTGTACACGAAATGTGCATACAACGAACTTACGTTCAATACAGGCAGCGGACAAGTAGAATAAAGAGAGTACAGTCACAATTGACGGTACACTGGCATGGCAGATATACAACCGAGGTAACAGAACGATGAGAACGATGAGTGGACGTCGTTCTACATAAAAGCCGAGGGTATATGCTGATAAATAGTGATCAACGGGCATCTTATGCTCGTGAAGTTTGAGAAGCACATACCTCATTCTTATGTGCTGCTACGAAAGCCGTTGATTCTTCATCCACATCCATCAAGATACCGGTACCATCCATGTTCGACATTCCATTCATTTGGAACGAACCCAATACCGAAGGTGACATCGGTTCATGTCCACCCGGAAGAATCTCAGGCTCCGTAGTGGTGGTTGGAAATGCAGCAATCTGCTTGACTAGTGCGGCCATGTGATTCAGGTCTACACCCGAATTACGCACTTGCTCGTATGTTTTACGAATGTCTTGCGCATGCTCTCCAGCCTCTTCGTAAGAGTGACTATACTGTTTGAGACCGTCGATACACGTAGCGACTTCCGGTCTACCGAAGCGCGCCAGTAAATGACCTGCTGCTATGATGTGGAATTCGACAACGGCGGGGTCGAGTTTCTAAAAAAGATATAATATTTAGTAGACGCCCGTTGATTTTTCATAGTGTCATTACCAGATATTCATTGGCCGATAGAACTGAGGTCTGAAATGGTATTGAGTTGGCAGTGACAGGTTGGAGTATAACTACACACCAAAGCTGCGATACGGAGAGCACCGTTTAGTGCCTCTTCTCCGACTCTTCGCATAGCATCTTCAATGTACCCCCGATTTTGGACATTCTCAGGAGGCGAGCCGCTTCTGTCATTTTCGTTCAGCTCTTTTACACCAAATTCATCCAGTGCGTTGAAAAGCACAATCCACATGACATGATATTGAGCGTCACTGGCAAAGCATGACACGGTCTAATCGTACCAATCGGTATTAATTTAAGGCTTAGTTACTTTCCCTTCGGAAATGAAGAGTAGAGACACACCGTGACAAAATCCCATCCCGCATTGTAGTTTTTGGGCACTCCTACACGAGCAAGATACTTCTCTCGCCAGATACGAAGTGCCGACGCGAAAGTCCGTAGTGTTTCAAAAGATATGCCATCGGCGTCAGTGATTGGTCGCCACAACTGTCTGGACATCTGTCTTGCAGTCCTCGCCAATGAGTGAGCTGCTCGGTAATAGCCCTGTATTTACGTTTCTTATCAACATCCACGGAGCAGGAATTATGTAAACCTCATACGTACGAGAAACTTTGAGGTGTACAAGGCACATTCGAATGAGGGATGATCAAGTGAGGTAGTGATGTTTGTGGATATGCGGGGGTAGCGAACAAGGCATGCAAAATTTGGTGAGGGCCCATTTGCCTTTGAGCAATAATTTAAGACGCACCTCTAACTGCTCACGGGGGGAAGGGGCTGTCCCATCCGAGCTTAACTGAGGGTCCGCAGTGTAAAAATCGATATCGTAGTCGTCGTCGTCTAGAACAGGCTTGTGTCGATAGTAAAGTGAGCTGTAAGCGTCACAAATACATGCCATCCACCAAGCGAAAATCAAGGTTCCCCGGGCCTCGGTGTCGGGAATCTGAGCAGCAACAGATTTGTGGTTAATCTGGATGATTCCAAAATGCATGTGTGAGATATTGTCAAAAAACTGTTATCAAAACCACTCACCTGCAAGTCCAATAAATGACGAGTCGCCGCGGTGAGCCAAAAGCCATGGAATGCTGACAAAATCACCGTAAATCACTACCTTATGCAACTGTAACACGGCGTACCACTTGGATCATCAGGGTTCTCTATCGAGAGGACTGGATGAGTGGCCTGGGGCAAAGAGATTTAGGCTCCGGACTCACGGCTTTGAAGCGTTTCAACAAGTAATCCAATCACGACGTGATCTTGATTTGGGATACGATGAACTTTGAGCGCCTCTGCAAGGTCTCTGGTCCGATTGATCATAGCCTTCGAAATCAAACTCTGCCCATTGTGACACTGGCGATCTGCGATGAGTAGCGGATGTTCGGAAAACTTTGTACCCCAGGCAAGGACTGTCGCCACTAGAGCAGGATGAAGAGGCTTTTCCGTGCCCGGATTTGAGGACAACGATGTTCGTAGTCGATTACGGAACTGCGTGGGATTGAGAAGGGGAAGCCGGGAATGGACAATTTGGAAATAGATCTCCATCAAATCGAAAGCAAGTCTATAAAACAGAAAAAAATGGTAAGCTCAACGGGAAATGAAGGTGAGATGCTATATGACAGCGTAGTAAGTTGTGATTGTTCTATCAGATATGCCAGAAGAACCAACCAATTTTGCTAGCAGTTTCACATGGAGAATAGAGCGGTAGACATACTCGGATTTGAAGACATCGTCTTCAAGCTTCACAGCTTGATCACCCCATGCGGCATAAGGGGATTTCGATCGGCCCGGATTAAAGAGATTTGGATCACTGATTATTGTACGTTCCGGTTCAGTCGCAGAAAGTAGGGGGGAAAACGGTCAAACCTTGATGCATCTTCCGGAGGTGCAAAGAGATATGAAAGAACATCGCGTGTGGGGGTGTCAAGCGTGATGGGCGGGTAGAATCCATACTTGACAACAAGAGGAAGCGTGGGTCCAGAAGGCATGATATATGGTGAAGTATTCTGAATACTATTATCCGTGATAGGTGAGCTAACCATTGATATGTTAGAGCGAAATCGAAATTAAAGAGCTAGGACATACAGGATTGATGAGCCAACGGAAGATGCAGGGCTAAGAGGGCTAACAATACGTGTTAGAATAGGAATTGTGTAATGAAATCAGGCAAAGCACATGGGTACGGAGGAAGGATTCCTGGACCTCCTGGCAGTTGTGGAGTTACGCTTTCTTTCGCTTGTGGCTTGTTGTACAAAATGACTAATTAGGGGGTGGTCGATTCAAAGACGATTAGGTGTAGAGAGCGACACGAACGTGCAGGAATAGTTCTTGGATAAACAATGCTAGATTGAAGGGTTCAGTACAACAGAAGACCGATATGAAGGCAAACTTTACCTGGCACTATTGGAGAGATGATGGATGTGAATCATTGCGGGGCCACCACAACAGGGTTTTATCATCACTAACTTTCTCTTGTCCTGGAATCCGATGACATTTTACTTTTCTTGAACGGCAATTGTCACAGCTAGAGTGTCCACGTCGGAACGGGAGGAAACACGAATGTGATCTTGTTACGCACGCTGTATTTTGTCGCTAGTCGACATATCACAGGGTGTCAAACAGAGTGGACGATGTGTCGAGAACCGTTAGAAATTGTCGAAAAATCGACAGAGGGATAACAGGGGATGACGGAGGGAGGATAATATTTTAGAAACCAATGAAGATCTTTTCATATACGACATATTCACCCTTCAGTTCCGTGGCGCGCAAGATGGAGATAATATTGTGAAGTGTTGGTACGGTCAAGGAGCAAGGCAATAATCTTTGAGAAACCGATGAAAGTTCATTAAGATAAGGCATAATCACCTCGGTGGCGGCAGTGTCTTTGCCAATTCATGGATCTGGCTTTGCATCGATGGCGTAGGAAGGACAAGACCTAGTGAAATGGAAAGAGGAACGTCATACGACAGTGAGAACAGAAAGCATCAAGTCGGATTAGGTTTGAAAAACCTGGTTGAGCCATTGTATCAAGTAGCGAGCGACTTGTGAGCAACAAAGGAAGAAAAGTAGGTCAAAGGCAAGCAAAGAAGAAGGGAACCTGACAGTAACAGCCGTTATAAGTGAATCTGGAATCTTATTCAGTGAAGGATTGAATTTCTCTTCCCACGCTCCGGCTCCGAGAAACAAAGCATTTTTACGCTGTTGATTTTGTTCACGAAGTTCCCATTACTGACATCTGTTCATCATGGTCAAAGTCGAAATTGTTGACGAAAAAGAGTCAAATTCTCCCTATGCCTCTGGCTCCTCCGCTGCCAGCTCCTCCTCAGAATCTCTTTCTTCTGTAGATTCTGAACTTGCCAGCAACGAGACCGTGTTCGACCGCTTAGCTGCTTTGGTCGACATTGTACCGCCTACCACACGTCACAAAATCTCCTCACGTATTGCTTCAACGGGGAGCTTTCTAAAAACTACAGGAAAAGTTGTTGGAAACATTGTCTGGATTGTGACAACCTCTGCACTGCTTGTCGGGTTGCCATTAGCAGTCAGTTTGGAGGATGAAGCAAAAGTCGTAGCCCAGGAGAAGGAGGCCCAGGAGCAGCAAGCTGGTCAACAGGTTTGCTCTCTATGCTCCTCGTCTCTTGCACGTACTCAAAATTTTCTGTTTTTCAGATGTTGTCTTCTGGCTTGTACCCGACGCCGACGTCATCCTCACCCAAGCCTCTCGTACCCCCGGGTTTCTGATTTTTTGCAGTTATTCGTCGTGGAAGAAGGATTTACCTATTCCGTCTTCCGTCCCATTAAAAGTTTCGTTACGCCCACACATGCATTTTCTCTACTTGTCATAGAAATGACGATACGATACTCCAATCACCACTCTGTCGTATGTAAAAGATCATCATAATCCTCGGACCTCGTGTCGAGGTTAAAGCATCGGGACCGGTTATTACAACTATAAAGCAACTCCGGCAGACTTTTATTCGAATTGGCATCTTTTCGCTAATAATCAATATTCTACCAAATTGAATACTCAGAACCCTAAACCAACTTCTTCCTCGACGAGCTAGCAAGTAAGAATTCAGCTATGTGTCGAAGCAGAGTAAACGTGACTTACAACTGGTCGTGGAGGGAAAACATTTGGCCTGGAGAAGTTTTCTGCGGAACGATAACGCCTGACGTATTGAATAGCATGTTGCTCAATTTCTGAAGGAGTCACGCCAACCGAGTCCCAATCCCCGGGAGTATCGGCATCGTCAATGTACCTTCTGACAACTTCGTCCGGGCTGAGAAGGGGCCACCACACGGCCTGAGCAGCTTTTGCTACAGCTAGTGCCACTGACTTGGGTACAACAGGGGCACGAGAGGGAGGTTGAAAAGTTAAGGAAGACACGAGGTCGAGGAGATATTCGTATGTGAGAGTAGATGGCCCGGGAAGGGCAATCGTTCGACCTTGCTGCGCGTTATGCACAAGATTAGCTAGTACCTGTGCCACATCCATGACCTGCGATTTGTAACGTGTAAGTGTAGGCCCCGAGAGCATATGAAACAGAGCGAACATACATGGACAGGGCGTGTCCTGGTCTTGGCGTCGTTCAGTTTCCACCAAATAGGCCAGACTAGAGATATCCCGGTTCAAACGGCTAAGATAAGATTGGGCACTTCATACGCACTGGCTAGATTATTCAGCAGCTTATCTTCATAGCCGTAAAGAGGACCGGGTCTAATGATAGTGGCTCCTTTGAATGCGGTATTCACACGTTCTTCTCCTTCTGCCTTGGTCTGGTAAAGTTTAGACGGAGATGTCGCAGAGGCATTGAGATGTGACACATGAACAAAACGCGGGACTCCAGACTGCGCAGCAATCTTGGCTATTCTTTCAGCACCGTCAACTTGCACAGAAGCGAAATCGAATGACCTAAACCACAAGCATAAGGAATGAGAAATATTTCAGGAAGCACATGTCACGGTTGAAAGGCGCACTTTGTCGCATAATCACGACCTACGAGATTGAAGACGATGTCGGAATGTCTAACGCATTCTGCAATCTGGTTCTCATTTCGGATATCCCACTCCTACGGATACGAGGGTTTACGTGAATATCTCAAGACTGGAGTTTCATGCCGCGCACCATTGGGACAATTTGACCCAAGTCACCCATGGGCTTCAAATGCCTCTTCTCGTCCTCGTCACGGTATGGTACGATTACTTGAGTACCCTGTCGAGCTACAGAACCAGCGGGTTAGTTTGGAAGAATTCCGGCTTGCGTTCGAGCGCACCGAGCTTGGACACAAGGTATCTTCCAAGGAATCCAGTACATCCAAAGACAGTCACCACATGTCCGGTGACAGCACTGTACCCAGGAGGTCCTTGGGAAATAATAGGTTTCTTCGAAGGGAGTGTTATAAGATCATGGTAGGCCCGCTAAAATGAACAATGAGCAAAACATTAAGTAGAGACATGGCCAATCTTGACTTTGCTCTGACGATTGATAGCATGGTGTATGCGCAAAAGGTTGGATGAGGCAGTCATTACGCTGCTCATCCAAAGAAGATGGTAGGAGTGGTCGGTCAAGGTAGTCACGCACCGGACGTGACTGTGACTGCGCTTGTCTTTATCGACCGCCATGGCCCAAGGCAAAACTAAAGGGCTCCAGGTCAAGGCACCGTCTCAAAGACATGCACAAAAGGCTGCTTCATCGACGAAGAAAGGAAAGCGTCATATCCCTCCCAAAAAAACTGCACTGGTCAAGCAGGCGACGATGCACAAAGTTCGAACCGAGTTTCATTCAACCAGAGTGTTAATTAACGTCTATTCAGAACCTCACTGCCAAAATTAATAAATCGATAGAGCAGCAGATGGTGGCTGCGGCTTCTGCAGGAAAATTGACTATCATGAAGAATAGTATCCCCGAAACGTAAGCCTTGTCATTTTATCGGTGTGCAAAATCCGAAACTTGCTTTAGCACTGCAAGCTCTTCAAAGGCCGGGAAGAAATAGTCAGAGCAACGGTGCATAGCGCATTCCTCTATAGCAGCTAGTTTTACTAGGACAAATTCAAGACATCGATGTGGATGTGGTGTGGACTGGTGTGGATTGATTGGATGTGGGGGGATTCTACTTAGATCTGTGTCGGCCGTCCCAGACTATCAAGTAGGCATCTTCGACAACCTGCCCAACTACTGCTGCTGTTTCTGGCTGACCTTAGGAATCATAGCCTGTGGTACAGTGTGTAATGTGACTGTTCGTAAGTTCGTGTAATTTGTACGCATGGTCCATAGCATGTAGAGGCAACGAGAGCCTGTTTACCGCGATATGATTGACCCTGTTGTAAAATTGAAAGATCAAACTATAGACTTTTCGATTCGATTCGACCGACAAATTGGGAAACCGACTTGCCAAACTGGGAAAACTTTTTCTTCCCGACTAACTCTCATCTGAAATGCCTCGCAGACCATCTAAAAAGTCAAAATCTGCTGGCAAACCGCGTAACACTAAACGTCCGGATGCTAAAATTAACAAATGGAATGATAGGTCGGACATACCCATGGATGAAGAAGACCAGTGTAAATTCACTACTTTATCGCACAGCTCCCCAACTAATTCACTCCAGTCCATGCATCTAGGGACCAAATTCTGCTCAATAATGATGAGGAAGAGGATGATGGTGACATAGATGACGATGAAGTGTTTGCGCTACAAATGGAGGATGAAGAAGATGAAGAGAGTGAAGTTATGGAGGAAAATGAGAATCAGTCAAGTCGGGCATCTCCTAAAGCGGCCAAGTCGAAACAGAAAGCTACTGCGAAAGGGAAGGGAAAAGGAAAAGAAAGCCAGCTAGAGTCATCAGACGACGACGACGAAGAGGAGGAAGAAACTTGGGGATCAGGGAAAGCCGCCTACTACTCGTCGAATGCCGCGCAAATAGAATCAGACGATGAAGAGGCCCTCCAGCTCGAAGAACAAGAAGCGAAACGACTTCAAGCAAAGGCAAGAGACGATATGAACGACGAAGACTTTGGGTTGGAAGATTCTATAGAGGCCAACGTAACTGGTGGATCTGAGTATGTATGTTCCTTGTGAATGGGTCATCCGTCTAATACTTCCTTCAGTCATTTGGACGAAGAATTTGTTCCAGTTCAACCTGTTCTCCAGGACAAACCTTCGATCCTCCGCCACCTTCAGAAGACGGATCCAGAATGTTTGGCTCTAGCTGGAGACTGGACAGACTCGGCGACCACCCTCATGAAAACTAAACAGAAGCTAGAAAAGTAAGTGGGAGACTTTTTGTTCTCTTATTAGACCAAACAATTTGAATTCTCAGATTAGAAGCTGAAGGAGGATCCAAGAATCCTATTTCTTTAGGAATGATGCATCTACACTATCGTGCGTTTTCGCTATTATTTTACCCAATATATCGCCGCTCATACTCATACAACTTGCAGAGACTCTTTTAACATATACCACGACTCTTGCATTCTACTTGTACCTTCGAGCATCACAAAAGTATGCTCAGAAGCCAGAATTACTAAGGTCTCATCCTGTAATGCAGCGACTGCTGAAATTAAAACAATCCCTCATCACTCTCGAGGATTTGAACTTTGCAGTTTCTGATGATGATGACTCAGGAGACGAGGAGGAAGAGGAGGAAAATGAAGAAGACGATATTATGCAGGACGCGAGGCAACTCTGGGAAAGAGAGCATAGTAATGAGGATGAGGATGAGGACGTCGATTCGGATGAGCTAGACCAACTCCTTGCTGATGCTCGTTCAATTACTAATTCCAATTCGAATCGGGTCATCATCCAACCCAAGGCGCCAGCACTTACACATCCTCCAAAAAAGAAACGCAAAACCGATTCGGAATCTGAAAAGTCTTCTCTATCTATGTTCGACCTCGTCGAACCAGAATTCGTATCGTCCAAAACCACATCTTCCACCTCCCCCTATGCAGCCGCGGATGCATTCGGAGAAGCAACTTCCCTTCAACACGCTGATGCCGCAGACAAAAGTGCACGTCGAAAGACCCTTCGATTCCATACATCTCGTATCGAGAGCGCTAATGCGAGACGCAGTAATGCACGATCCAACGCCCTCGGAGGGGATGATGACATACCTTACCGCGAGCGTAAAAAGGATAGGGAGGACAGGCTTGCACGAGAGGCGGCGGCTCGTGTGCGTACGCAGGGTGGTGCGGATCTGGATGATACCGAACCGGAACCGAGGAGACCAGATGACAACGATGGCGACGGTGATGAAGAGATGGAGGGTGCGAATGGTTATTATGATTTGGTCAAGAAACAAGTTAAGGAGAAGAAGGAGCGAAAGAAAGCGGAGTATGAAGCCTCAAGGGCTGATCGGTACGTGGTCTTTCTTCTACTATCAACGCGGGCTAATTACTCGTCGAGTAGCTTTGTGGAAGAAGCAAGCAATGGACCCCGGTCATTGACGCGCGCGATCCTGGCGAACAAGGGTCTCACACCTCATAGACCGAAGAGTGTACGCAATCCTCGTGTCAAAAAGAAAATCAATTTCGCCAAAGCTCAGAGGAAGGTTGCTTCACAGAAGGCAGTGTATAAGGGAGGGGTCAACGCTACTGGCGGTCGTTACGAGGGTGAGAAATCTGGTATATCGAAGGTTGTTAAGAGTGTTCGTTTGGGTTAAAAACTTCAGTACATATCACGATATCAGGAAAGATTTCAATGTCATATCATTGCGGAGATGCACCACCGTGCTATCTATTCCATTATCTCTATTCCATTATCGTCCCGTTGTAACTGCGCGTGCTGTACGGCGGCTTCTGAAGCCCGTTGATTGTCATAGTGGGCATGTTAGCCTGAGAACGCAAGTAACCCTTCCCTTGCTTCCAATGTTCAAAATTCTGTGTACCATGCAGCCGTCAATTCATGAGTAAGCTCGCTCAAGTTTCTAGGCATCTATTCACTCATCTGCTGTCTCAACGTTAGTTCGGTTTGGTTTGTTGGAGGAATTACGGGAGCAGTATCAGCAGTATCTTTGATTTTGCGTTCTATGTTGCGTTATAGCGCAAATTGGGCGAAACAGGATGAACCTTCCTCAGAAGCTTATGCCCCAAAAACCCAAAGCCCGGTGTTCCTGTATCGCTTTCTTCGCGTCCTGGCTTGCCTTGCGTTTGCAGCCCTTACATTCGCATCTTTCACACGATCGAGTAAAACTCTCACCAAGGCTGAAATTGTCATAACGTCTCTTAGCATTGTACGCTATTGTGTTCCTTTGAACTGCCCATCTGCTTAGTCTTTTCAAGCTCTACTTAGTATGGCTTTCACTCGTATCTATGTTTTCCAGCAAATTGTTATCAAGCAAGATTGCCAATCAACACTTAAATGTCCTCCTCTTGGCATTGTTTGGCATTTATACCTATCGCGACCTATGGACACTCTTGACATTCAATAGAAAACCCCTAGATGAAGCCGAGGGCAATGTTTTATGGCTGAAAATCGCCAGCTTGGCGGTGGCTGCGATCGTAATACCTGTCACAACGCCTCGACGAGCGTACCCTCCAACTATCGACGTACGTATTAAAACACTTTCGTTCCATCGGGGGGCTAACGTACCTCTGGTTCTTAGGACCTAACATCGGAAGTCAATCCCGAAGAGACAGCCTCTATTATATCTCTCCTCACCCACAGTTATATGGACTCTTTTATTTTCCGCTTGTATCGAAAATCTACACCTCTTACCCAAGATGAATTGCCTCCACTGGCCAAAAATGATCGTAGCGATGTCCTGATGCCTGACATATTGACAATACTTGATCCCACTTCCAAGAAACCACAGTATCTGTTTTGGGGACTGCTGAGAGCTTACAGTGGGTTTGTTCCACCTCCTCAGTAAAACTCTTTTGGGCTTATCATATCTCAGGAGAACGTGTCTATAAGCTGATAGGACTTCAGCTCTTGCAAGTGAGTAGAACCTCCCTAAACTACTCAGGGACTTTTTTCATCAAACCCTCTCAAGATTTCCTTATCTTTTGTTGCTCCAATCGGTATCAAGCAGGTTCTCAGGTCAAAACCTACAAACATTCCATTATTTAGCATCTACTAACTGCAATTCGAACAGTTATCTTGAACACGGCGGAGATGGCGCAATAATTCGACCATGGGTTTGGGTCTCGTGGCTCTTTTTTGGACCCTTCTTGAAGGCAATTTTTTCCCAGTTATATACCTACATCGCTGTAAGTACGTCGTGCATACTATTCTATCCTTTGATCAACTACATTGTGTATCTTCAGTGTCGTAACAGGTTACAAATTGAAGGGATCATGAACCAGCTTCTCCTCCGACACTCCCTAAGGATCCGCATAGCTTCGGGTAGCCTGCCTGACGATGAAGAGAAATCGAAAAATTTCATGGGAAAACTGAACAACCTTGCTGCATCGGACGTCGCCGAAGTTGCAGGGTTCGCAGAATTTTGGATAGTTTTTTTGTGCTTTCCGGCGGAACTTGCGTTGTTTCTGTGGTTCTTGTATGAAATCCTTCAATGGAGGTGAGTTATTCCCATTCTTTTCTACGTATGATACGCATTGTGTCCTGGATATTCAAACCTCGTAGTGCTTTCGTTGGATTTGGTTTCATGCTGGTAGACTATTTCATACATGCGAATATTAGTAACGCTTACAACGGCTTTCAAGCTATGTGTTCCATTGCCCGGTTATATTTCCCAACTCATGCGCGGAACACAATTCACCAAAAAACAAAAGGTATGTTACATATGGACCAATCATTTCTGATCCTACTCATTGGTCGCTCTTCACCAGACAGACGCTCGGGTTCAAAGCGTAACAGAGGGTGAGATACCTCCATTTCGTGGGTGAATAAATGCGAAATACATTGTCGCTAGCTTTGAGTATTCTGCGCATGGCGAAGCTCTTTGGCTGGGAGGCACGATTACAATCGCTTATTGACACGAAACGACGCGACGAGCTTACTTTCATGAGGAAAAGTAATTTATACGGTTTACTGAATTCCCATATCAAGTAAGTACCCCCCCCCCCTCTTCGCTTTTGTAGTCGACCTGATCACTCCCTTCGTGGGTTAGTCTACTGATACCTATGTGCACAATGATGATCACCTACGCTTTCTATGCGCGTCTTTTTTTGTTTTTCGTTTTGGCTTTTTGATCTCAAATCTGGCTGTTTAGACTGCCGTTCTCAAGCAAAAACTGACCGGTAGGTTCCTAGTCCTTATTCAAGAAAAACCCAATTCATCTCCCTTTGTAGCATCTGTGGTATTCTCTTCAATGGCTATTTTCGAAATGCTTCGTGCCAGAATGCAAAATATGGCCAACAATATCCCTACCCTTATATCAGGTCAGTGAAAATCCAGGTTCAAGTTTATCTGCTTTTGTCTTATGCCAATGTTTTGTCAGCCAAACTGGCTTTAGACAGACTCGATGATTTCCTCCGAAAGGTATCAGACAGCATTCTTTAAACCTATAGAAGCATAACACAAGTCCGTGATAGACAGAATTGTCAGATACATTCTGTCAACACCAAATCACAGCGCCCTCCGATCCATGTATGATTGGTTTTCGAAATTCGGTATTCAAGTGGTCGGGACCGAATAATCATATTTTCGAGTTGAGAATTGAAGGAGATATTACGTTTCATCCTAACTCTATTAACCTGATTGTGGGGCCTACTGGTTCAGGTGAGGAGGTGATCCGTTGGCAAAAACTCAAAATCACAAATAGACAGCTATCTTTAGGAAAAACTTCCCTTCTCTTGGCGTTATTAGGTTTGACCTCTGAATAATCTTACTGCAGTATCCATTAAACGGTCACATTTTGACAGGCGAAATGCATTTCGTACCGACTGGGCCTGACTCCCATTATAATCTACCTCGTGAAGGCGGTATCTCCTACGCTGCTCAGGAGTCGTGGATACAGAACGATACGATCAGAGTAAGGGCGTAGATTTTTCTGCCTGGACGAGTTGCTCAATTTGTACCATGACAGAACAATATTCTTTTTGGATCTAGGTTTGACGAGGAGCGTTATAACAGTGGCAAGAGATATCAACGCTTTCTTTCTTATCTGTAATCTAAAAAATCACCATTTTTTTAGTTCTTGACCAGTGCGGCCTTGAGAGAGATCTGAGCCTCTTCGAGGCTGGCGATATGACAGAAGTTGGCGAGAAGGGCCTCACCTTGAGGTTTGTCCGTCCTTAACATTTACCCGTAAATCCACTCTTATTTGCCCCCCTAGCGGCGGTCAAAAGGTGATTACTTCCTGAGCTCGTGCTCAACTCCATTTCTGTCATTGATTGTAACTTTAACAGGCTCGTGTAACGTTAGCTCGCGCAGTGTACTCATCTGCAAAGACTGTTCTTCTGGATGATCCTCTCTCAGCGCTAGATGTTCATACAGCGAAATGGATCGTCGAGAAATGTTTAAAAGGGAAACTGATGCAAGGGCGGACCGTTCTTATTGTTGTAAGGCTAAACACTCTTCCTTGGAATCAATCATGCTCAGTGTCTTTCAGACACATAACACTGCATTGCTCAGTCCACTTGCTCAACATGTGGTAGGCATTGCATTAAATGGAAAGATTATTCAAGGAACAGTCGCCGACGTTATCATGAATAACACCATCTTAGCAGCCAAGCTGATTGAAAGCGAGACAGGGAGTTTGAAAACGTATTCAAAATCTTTCGGAGAAGAACAGCCAATGCAGAAGGAGCTCCATAATTCCCAGGGAGCTCTCGTATTAGCTGAGGAAATGGAAATCGGGCATGTGAGTTGGGAAGCCTGTAAGTTATTGGTAGGCTGCTTAGTTCATGAGTTCATTATTCCACAGTCAAACTGTATCTGAACGGCCTTAATAAACGTCCTATCGTGTTCTTCTGCGGTCTGGTCACCATGATGCTTTTGAATGCGTTGAACTACTCACTGCAGTCTTGGTTTCTCGGTTATTGGTCCAGCCAGTACGATTCACAGCCCGCTTCCAGTGTATCCGTTTCATGGTGAGATTTTCATTTTGTTAATATGCATCTCCGACTGCAGTCACTTATTTTACAAAGGTTTTTATCGGTTTATGCCGGTTTACTGCTCTCCTCGATGTCAATATATTCCTTTGCATTCACTCTGTGGACCTTTGGATCAATAAGAGCCAGTCAAATCATACATCGAAGCTTTATCAATTCCATTATGACCTCTACATTTAGGTCAGTTCCAATGATACTCCTACTGAACCCTTCTAGTGACACCTGTACCTCTTGTATAGATGGCTAGACACCACGCCCACATCGAGGATTATAATCAGGGCAACGGCTGACATCCGTAGCATCGACGATTCCCTGGCATTCGGAATTTGGCGACTTATCGAAGCATCAGTGACAATGTTCGTCAATTTGGGCTCAATAATGATATTCGCGCCTTTGTTCCTACTTCCCGGTGTAACGATTGCAATGCTAGCTGTTTCCTTTGGCCAGATGTATTTGTCTGCCCAGCTTCCGTTGCGGAGGCTGATGTCGATCAACAAAGCTCCCATTTTAGGAAAGTTAGTACTTCTAAGTTCTGAAACCTTCGATAGCGTCCTTAAACGTAGGATCTCGTTCTCCGTAGCTTCGCAGCGGCTGTAGCCGGTCTAGGTATGTGACGAATGAATCTGCCAGTGTTGCAACCTCTCATCACAGTAACTTCTTCTGCAATCAGTATCAATTAGAGCCTTCGGAGCGGAAGATATGTTTCTCAAAGAATCCCGAATGCGAATCGACGCATGGCTCCGTCCTGGACTGCCGTCTTTCAATGTCAACCGGTATGCGGAGTTCTTCTGTTAGCTTTAAGTTTACGTGTACACCTGTCCTGATCTAGGTGGATTGGTATTCGAGTGGACGCTTTAGCTGGTATCTTCACAGCCGCACTTGGTGCATACTTGGTTTACGGTGATAATGGAACTAGTGCTGCGAATACAGGATTCTCGATGACCATGGCAGGTAATCCAAAATCAAAGTTCCCCTAAAAATGATACACTGTTCTTACTACCCTCCCAGTCGGGTTTACTTCGTTGACATTGATTTGGATTCGTATATACAATGCAACCGAACTGGAGGCTAATAGGCAAGTTCTACTGGGAAATTTACTCTGAAGAGTATGATACAACGCTGTAACGAAATAGCTTGGAGCGCGTGCGACACTACCTTGTCATCGAGCACGAAGACGAGGCTCACTCCGAATGCGTTGTGCCGCCAGCGTATTGGCCTGCCAGCGGAGCTCTCCAGGTTAAAGGCCTTTGTGCGAGATATTCGAAAGTAAAACATTGTCCCCTCTCCCATTGGTCTGTATAAATGTTCATATTCTGAATTAAACCAGGATGGGCCGGAAGTACTCCATGATTTGACATTCTTTGTTCGATCTGGTGAACACATTGGTATAGGTGCGTACGTAAAAGTTGGCATTTTCCGCGTTGAAGACGCATTTGCATTTGTGCAGTTGGACGAACGGGATCAGGAAAGGTATGTAGTACCAGCTGCAGTATAATAAGTAATTATTCATCCTGTCCCTTCTGAAACTTTGCAGAGTTCCTTGACCTTAGCCCTTCTCCGAGCCATCCCCACGTCTGGGCAAGTATTGTACGACGGAATATCGACTGAGAAACTCAATCTGGATGTGTTACGGTCTAATATCACAATCTCACCTCAAGTCGTGAGTGGATACTCAATTTCAGGGCTACTCGTAATAGTGTGATTAATTTGCTTTTCGCAGCCCGAGCTGCTGAGTGGCACCCTTCGGTCAAATCTAGACCCGTTTTCGGAGCACGATGATTCCCGGTTGAACGACGCGCTTCGTTCAGCGGGTTTGTTCGCTCTTCAAAGTCAAGGCAATCAACTTCACACACAGGATACTAAACTCGGTCTCGATAGTGAGATTAGAGGTGGAGGAAGTAGCAATCTGTCTGTTGGCCAGCGGCAGATAATTGCTCTTGCAAGAGCCATTGTTAGAGAAAACAAGCTCATTATATTCGATGAGGGTGAGTGAGACTTGTTCGTCAATGCGACTGGCGTTCATCCTGTTTTGTATAAGCCACATCTTCCATAGGTGAGTCAGAGCTCTCATTACATTTGTCAAACAAAATTCAATTTCTGAGCAGATCATGAAACGGACTCTAAGATTCAAGATACCCTCAGACACGAACTGGGCGACGATGTTACGCTGATTACTGTAGCGCATAGGCTTGGTACTGTGATGGATTATGATAGAATAGTGAGTTCATATCCACTTCAGATCCTGACACTCGACTTATATATCCATGTCGTTCGAAAGATGGTGCTCGATGAAGGCAGAATCGTGAGTGTGTTCCCCAGTGCATTCTAGGGTTTCTTCATTCATTATTCGTAGATCGAATTCGACTCTCCGAAAAGGTTGCTAGAGAAGGAAGGAGGTGTGTTCCGTGGACTCGTGGACGAAAGTGCGGATAGAGCAAAACTCTATGCTATGGTAAACTAGGTCTGGGATGTCCCAGTCCCTCTTATCGCAATTGACGACCCGAATAAACATAGAATCACCATTTCGGTTTTCTTTTTCTGGCATTCTTCGTATTCCTACCTCTAGCCCCTCTAACCTTTTGCAAATCCTCGAACTTCCTCTTCGCATACCTCTTCATCTCTGCATCGTCCACAAGCTCGTCGACTAATGTCCTCTTGCGCTCCGCGTGAGTGAGATTCTCCCCACTTGCGCCACCGAAAGGTGTCTCGGTGGTAATGATTTTCCCAATCTAAGCCAAAGTTGATATAAAGGGAAATTCAGGGAAAAGGTAAAAAATCAGTTTGAGAGTTCGATGAGTGCTAAGAGCGACACACCGCAAAGTGTTTTGGCAATCCTTTGATTCCTTTCCCTTCTCCTTCCTCCTTGCGATAGAATCTTTTGGGATCCAACTGATTGCGGAGACGTAGAGCTTCAACCTCGCGGTGTAGTCTGGGGAGATCTGATTCTAGGGGAGCGGGGAGGTCGAACCAGTCTGGGCCGGCAGTTTTGTTTTTTAACTGTAAAACGAGAAAGAGTGAATAAAACGAAGTAAAATTTCTTGAGTAGAACAAAACACGTAGGATGAGAGATCCATGATCATTAGATAGAAGATATAAGGAATATAAAAAATGAGGGAGTTGTACCTCCTTTCTCTGCCTTTTCGTCAGAGCTTTGCCGTGGTGGAATTCCGGAGGGGGCAATAACGAGGATGAGGCTGACAATGACGACTTTGCCACCTTTGCAAGAGCGGATTCAGCGGATTCGACAAGAGGATCTCGGGAAAGGGAGAAGGCAGCTCCTGAGGGGAATGACTCGTTCCCGTTTTGATTTTTGGAGAAACCGGAAGTGTTGAAGTATGAGGGAGGAAGGTTTCCGGGATCAAGCGCAGGGATGCTATTGTAAGAAAAAGATACCACGACAAATGAAGAAAGTTCATTTAACTGCGAGTTAAAAACATACGGTTGATGATCAATTTTGTCAAGGATTAGGACGTCCTCTTGGTCCTCTTGAGCTCGTTGTTCCTCCTTATCCTGCAAATCAGCATTTTGCCTAGCTTTTTCCAGTAACGAATCGAGGAATTCCTGAGTGATTGATTCTTCCTCGTCTTCTGACGAAGAAGAGGAAGAGGAATTCTCTGACTCTGAGTCGCTCGACTCGTCTGTCAGGTCTAGGATCAAATGAGTCTCTGGTAAATTTTTTTTGAGGATGGATACTGACCTATAACCTTGGCCTTTTCCTTTCCTTTGACAGACATAGTAGTTAAGAAAATGGCGAGATAAGATAAGATAATGTGTGCGATGACGGCGGCGCCTATACATAATTCCAACCATGTCACTCCCAACTCTTCGACGGTCCTTGGCTCGCAACAGAAACTTTGCTAGATGTATAAGTTCCTCTTCCTCCTCTGATCCCCAGCATTCAAAAACCACGTCCTTCGGCTTCCAGACAATACCCGAAAATGCCAAGGAATCCATGGTCAAATCCGTCTTTGACTCCGTCGCGTCGAAATACGATCTAATGAACGACGCCATGTCCATGGGCGTACACCGGTTATGGAAAGATCAATTCGTGGGTGACTTGAAGCCTGGGCGTAGAGGCCCAATGAAATGTATAGATGTCGCAGGTGGAACTGGAGACATCGCGTTGAGGATACTAGACTTTGCAAGGGAGAAGTACGCAGATAGAGAAACGAGTGTGGAGGTTGTAGATATTAATGAACAGATGTTGAAGGAGGGGTATAGGAGATTCAAGAAGACCATGTATCATAATAGTAAGTTTTACTCTCATGGCACGTTAACTCAAAGTCTTCATGTTAAACTATTAGCTCCTCAAATATCTTTCCATGAAGCAAACGCTCAATCTCTTCCAAAAGAGAAGTTCCGCGATAATTCATACGACCTCTATACAATTGCGTTTGGGATTAGGAATGTCACGTCTATTCCTGCTGTTTTAGATGAAGCGTATCGTGTGCTCAAACCCGGAGCGACGTTTGCTTGTTTGGAGTTTAATAAAGTGGATAATCCGCTGCTGGGAACGTAAGTCTGTTTTCTGTTTCCCGTTTTCCGTTTTCTCTCGTTTTTTAAAGTCAATGCTCCCGTACAGACTATACGACCAGTACTCCTTCCACATCATTCCTCTCCTCGGGACCATCCTCACCGGCGACCGTGCATCATACCAATATCTCGTCGAGTCCATCCGTAAATTCCCCGCCCAGCCGAACTTTGCGCAGATGATCAGAGACGCTGGGTTCGTCACGGGTAAAGACATCGATGGGGGTGCATGGACGAATCTTTGGGGTGGGGTGGCTTGTGTACATACAGGGGTTAAAATTTAACTTCGGTATGTGGGTATACCAGTACTGAAATACTGACAAGTTATATCGAATTCCTGTTATAAATAATAGAAACGTTGGGCGACAGCTAGCCGCTGAGCGTTGAGCGTTGAACATTCATGGACTGTAAGTAAAAAGCAGAGACTGAAGAGACTCGGGACAGGGCGCGTCGGGACGCTTACTCCACAAAAGAAAGAAGCAAATGTGGCTCCTCCGAAAGAAATCGGAAATCCTGTGTTCGTGCCAGGTTCGTGCGGAAGCTTGGAAGTTTCGCCTCGGCTCTTCATACGCCTTTTGGAAGCTGTTCCAGCACCAAATAGTGCGGAAAAGACCAGCATTTTACTGCCGTTGACCAGCCCCGCCTTTGATTTTTTAGTCCACTGGGCTTCATTCAGCGCAAATCTAGCGCAAATGCACTTGAATTTAAATCTACCAACGGGGACTCAACTTTCATGTATCGATATTAGATTTGTTACACATTCTTTGGCTTTCAAAACTAGACAACACGAATCCAGTCGGGAGCAGTGACCATCCCAGATATCAGATGCTCAACTAGTGGTGAATTTCAGGACCTTCTCGGTTGCTTGTCGTTTGGAGGGCTACAGCCTCGCACCGCCCAGCTTTCTCCTGGCCCCATCCCTCTCAAATTTTTGTTTTCACTATTCCTGAACAACATTGAAGTTCCATCATCTTCATCAGACTTTGTCCCGTTGCTGGCTTTTCATTCAAAATACGTTCGTCCATCGTCAAAACTATCGATCATTGGACGATATTCATATTGGCCGCCACGCTTACATAATCTATCAGTGGTTTGAAGTTTTATGAATTACAAACATGTTATTCCTGTGCTTTGGGCACATATAATCACCTTGAAGTTGAGGAACTCGGTCAACCTTTTCCCCCGCCACTGCCGGTCAGTCGTGTTGTGCCCAGAAAAAATATTTTCCCTTTTAGTTCTTGCTGGCAAGTTGTTACCATCAAACACCATCACCTCCCTCGAATCTTTGAAAACTCCTCTTTCGAAACATACACCTATCACCTGGTGAATCCCTAGCACCATTGACGATGCGCATCGATATTCCGCTCCATTTCATCCTTGGCCTCGTTTGTGTCATGAATTCCGCCGCATACGCAATCCCTGTGCATGTAAGTTATTTCTACCTGTATGCATCTTAATTTTTGAGCTATGGATCTCACCCTTACCTGATATCAATTTGTTCGTAGACCGACATTCACTCACTCATAGAAACTCATATATACTCAACCTCTGTGTCAAGTCCGAGCTCAGCCCCCTCCACCCGAACAGCTCCTCAAGAAATTAAACCCTCTACTAAGACCATTACCGGGGGGTCGACACAAGAGACCACAATAGTCCGCATAGAGTTCATGAAGCCTCATGCTCGCCGACTGTTGAATGGTCTTGACGAAGAACCCTACAATCCCCCAATGCTTGGAAGGCCAAATCAGCCACCGCAAGCTACTTTGTCCGAACGTATACAGAAGCTCATAGAGTCCTACGCGCGAGATAGGTTGTGTGATGCCCATCGAGTTATCAAACTCCAGTTCACAAATGCGTTCCAGTCGCAAGGATCACGGACGGATAAGAAAATCGGGATGTATTTTTGGGGCGTGGGTGGTGATTGCGTTTACCATGATCTGACTGGAAAGTCGAAGAAATGTGAGGCGCATCTTGACGAGCGTAAAGTGTATAATGCTATTGGGGGGTATATCTTGGAGAGGACGGGCGCGAAGTGGGCACAGGAGCATAGTGGTATAAGCTGCACCATGATGTAAATCAGGACTGGACCTCTGAGATTTGAGCGTTGATTCGGACTTCTAAATACGTACCGTCATGTACAGATATTTATTCTGGACAGTTTTGGACTCTTCAATATTCTTAACGATTTCTTAGCCTTCCATTGTCAATCGGAGTCTAATACATTACCACCACACTAGATGCCAGATGCGGACTCCTGCTTATTCCTAAATTACTGGGCTTCCGTGCGCCTTCCAAACTTTAACACGCGAGCTAAATGGACACTTCCGGCAAAGTATCGTTATAACTTTATTTCCTCAACGACAGCGGTCATCCATTGTTCATGGCAGTCAAGCGAGACCCATATATTTCAGCTCATAAATCATCCTCATAGCCAACATTACTTGCTTGTCCCTTCCCTATCACAACAGAAACATAGACTTGGCAACTTCTAGCTAGTCAGCAATGGTTCTCAAACTCTACTCCCACGCAATCTCCACCTCCGCTCAGCGTGTTATCTGCGTTCTGGCCGAGAAAAAGATTCCATTCGAGATTGTCGAGGTAGACATCCTCAAAGGTGAAAACAAGGAGCCGGCGTATAAGGAAATGCAGCCTTGGGGTTTACTTCCTGTTCTGGTGAGCACGTTCAGATTGTTAGCCAGTCTATCAGTCGTTGACCATGTTCGATTCTATTTGGCAGGAGGATGACAACGGGTTTCGTCTGTACGAAAGTCGAGCGATCTGTCGGTACATTGCAGAAAAATACGCGGACCAGGGAACGCAACTGATTCCTACTCCTACGGACTTTGAAGCGAGAGGACTGTTCGAGCAAGGTCTGGCGATGGAAGCTGGAACGGTGGATCCCTGTGTCTTCGCAGCGCTGAATGAAAAGCTCTTCAAACCGTAAGTCTAAGAGATATTTTATAATCGTCGTGACTTCCTCGGGATTACTAACCCCAATTCGATCACTTGTTAGATTCAAGTCGGGATTATCTTGCGACGACGAGTTATACACGGTCCTGCTCAAACGCGTCGAACTCGTTTTAGATGTGTATGAAGTGATTTTGGGCAAGCAGAAATACATTGGAGGAGACGTACGTTGTAGGAGATTGATCTTACTTGGTGCATCGTATTGATGGATTTATTTGACTAGCAATACACCCTGGCAGACATCTATCACCTGCCCAATGGGTATACATTGCAGACCCAGTGCGGTGAACTCGTATTTTTGTCAGAGAAAAGGCCAAATGTGGCGCGCTGGTGGACGGAAATTACTGGAAGAGACGCTTGGAAGCAGGTGGGGGAGTTGAACAAGCCGGGAGTTCATATGTGGGAGTGAACGAATACATTGATGGAGGGTTGATGTGCATTTTGTAAGAGAAAGAAGACAGAGATCTTGTAGTCAACGGCAATAGAGAAAGAGTTGCATTTGTGAAGAGATACAATTGACTTGATTTGTGTAATTTGATTCACCCAACATTTACGCCCATGCAATTCTACCTATCAATCCTGCAGCGCTTGAATGTCCCTATTGCTCGACTCGAGGTAGGTGTCGTAAGAATCGTAGGAATCCTGGTAGGCAACTATTGAAGACGGAAAAAGAATTAGTTGATGGTTAAGTAGGGGAGTAAAGAAAGATGCGGAAACTAGGTGACAGAGAAAGTAGAAAGGCGAACGTAACATCCCGGTGGACCAAAGACGAGCGGCAAGAAAGACACAACGAAAATCGTGGAGAAGGAAAGCTGAAAACCTACCAGGAGCACCTGCCATTGCCCGATACTTAGCTATCACCGTCCTATTATGTGCGATCGCAGCTAGTTGGGCATGTTTGATTGTGCCTGCATGAAAAAGCGAGAACGACAGGTTGGCAACGAATAGGTGTGTGGAGGAAAATCAACACTCACCCGAAACATGCACAACATTAGGAATGAACTTTATGCCCTCTAGACCGTTGAGCAGCGTGAGAGCGCCCCAAACAATATTGTGTTGGTCCCGCCCAACTCGGATGATGCAGATGCTAGTTGTGGGGGAGAAATATTTGACTATAAGGAGAGGTGAACATCGATGATTGATGGAATTTCGTTTGGGGGACCCACCAGACAAACTCAGCCCGACCGCACCCCATCCGACATCCCCATAGTTCGAGATAACACTCTGCTTGAGTGCGGAGTAGATTTGTTTGCTGTCCAAGTTCAGTCGGGTAGGTGTGCTTGAACCTGAATGAGGAATAGGAGGAATGGAAAGTATCTTTGCATCGGAGGGAATGGGTATGAATTCGACTAGGAACCACCGATTCTCTAGAGTTCCTCAATTTCATGACAGATAACCAGGAAAATGCGGCCTACTTTAAATCGAACCATTAGAAAGTAGTGCGGGATCGTGGTCAACGCACAAAAGGGCAATGCGGGCCGAAATTCCCGTCCGAAGAATCTCCCAGTGTGACGGCCTAGCCAGGCTATTTCAGGTTATTTCTCGTCCAATGTGCTCATCTACTCAAGCAAGATACTGTCGCATTGTCATAGATAATGTATTCAAGCTACATCAGACCGCAATTGCAGCAAAATTTCGAATTACACCCTCTCTACTCCTCTTCTCATTCAGCTTCCCTCCCTGGACCAAATCAAAGAAGTCACCCTACTAATTTGCGATATTTCCCACACGTCGTCCAATGATGTTTTGGACCGCAAACTTTGTGAAGGCTCCGCGGACTACTTCGCTCTTCATGGATGCACCAAAGCTGTGGAAATTCGGTTGTGAATTTCTCCCTTGGGGATGAGTTTGGGGTTAATGAAAAACACCAGGTGAACTTTGAAACTTCTTGCCAAGTTTCCTAACCTCACGTACTTCCCTGGCTGGTTTCGTCCAAAATCGTTCACCGTTTAAAGGACCTGAAACCTCATCCTGCACTGGAGAGCATCCACCTTAGTGCTCGGTACACCGGATATCGCGACCTTAAGGGTTTGAATCTTCCGAACCTGAAGATGGCCCTCATCCTCTGGGGCGAAGTCTTAGGAGGTTCCAATCTTCTTCCCCTCATATACCATTCTCGCAATCTATTTGCGAATATGATTCTCAGAGTCTTTACCAGCATTCCGACTATGTATGTTATACTGTCCATATTCAGGACAGGTGTTGCAAGTTAGACCGGGCAATAACGGAAAGTGCCTGCTTCCTGAACTGTCGATTATCGAGCTTCAGAATATGAATGCGATACCGAAAGGATGTGTGCTAGCCGATATGCTCGAGTCAAGGTTTAGGCAGCCGCAGTAGGAGTAGTGACACGGTTGATCGAGATGAAATTGGGTTTAGACTGTTGATTCGACAATGAATCTAAGCAAAGAATTGGCAAGAATCAAGTAATCAGCTACCTTGATAGACTGTCGGGAAAATGGATTTACAAATTGATACCTACTTAAATGTGTCTCTATCTCTTTTGCCGTCGTGTTCAATCATGGGTGAAATTGTCACTACATATGATGATGCACATTGAACATTATTGGATTTTTGAGATTGTCGAAGGATAACGCACAGAAAGACATGGCGGTCGTGCTGGTCGTGCGCCTGAAACGCGGGCCGAATATGTCCCGAGTCACGACATTCACCAAATCAGTTGCGACTGCCAGACAGGCTTCATCCTTGCCAAATTTACTTGTTTCTATCATAACCATGGAGCCACCTATGCCAGCCGCCTCGGCGGATCTGGCCACAACATGGGCATTCCTCGAGGAGGGTGTAGATCATATCATGACCAAACTTCAAACAGGCGTATCGTATTCCAAGGTAATTGACATGCATTCGTTTGATACACCGAACTCAACAGGTGCCATTTGAACAGTATATGTCTCTCTACACCGTGGCCTATAACTACTGTACATCATCAAAAATCAACAATACGAGCTCTGATTCTGGCATCGGTGGTCTCAGCAATCGCAGTAAGTACTTTTGACGAAATATCACCTCTTCATTAGTGCTGAACACCCTACAGCGGGGGCCAATCTAATGGGCTCTGACCTTTACAATCATCTTATCCGATATTTTGTTGTTCACCTCAAGAACTTGCGTGAGGCAAGTCGTTATCCATTTCAGGCATGATCCTCGCTGATGCTAACTCCAGCAAAGCGAAGCACTCCAAGAGGAAAATCTGCTCCGTTATTACGCACAGGAATGGGATCGTTATACTACCGGCGCTAACTACATCAATCGTTTGTTCACGTATCTTAATCGGCATTGGGTGAAGCGCGAGAGAGATGAAGGTCGAAAGAATGTATATCCGGTTTACACAGTACGTTCTTCACAGCTATACACTTTGCTGAATCTTACCTGCTACTCATAGCTAGCGCTCGTGCAATGGAGGAACAACTTATTCGTTCCTATTCAACAGAAACACACCAAATTGGCCGGTGCTGTTCTCCGTTTGATCGAACAGCAGAGAAACGGCGAAACGATTGACCAAGGCCTGGTCAAGAAGGTCGTGGACTCGTTCGTATCACTAGGCCTCGATGAGACTGATACGAACAAAGCGTGCCTAGATGTTTACAGAGAACATTTCGAGGGCCCTTTCATTACCGCCACAGAAAAGTTTTACAAACAAGAATCAGAGTCATTTCTCGCAGAACACAGCGTTTCGGAGTACCTGAAGAAGGCAGAGGAACGCTTGAAAGAGGAGGAAGACCGCGTAGATCGGTATCTGAACACTCAAACACGAAAGGCTCTGATCGGTAAATGCGAACACGTCCTTATACGCGAACACGCCCCATTGATGTGGGACAGCTTTGAAAACCTACTGGACTTTGACAAGGATGAAGATCTCCAGCGGATGTATGCCCTGCTATCACGTATACCAGAGGGTCTCGATCCTCTACGGAAGCGCTTTGAGGAGCATGTGAAGAAAGCTGGTCTGCTAGCTGTTTCCAAGTTAGCGGGAGAGGGCACCACGGAGGAAGCATTAGATCCGAAAGCCTATGTTGACGCTCTGTTAGAAGTTCATCAGAAGAACTCAGAGACGGTCACACGCAGCTTCAGAGGAGAAGCGGGTTTCGTCGCGAGTTTAGATAAGGCTTGCAGAGATTTTGCCAACCGCAACGCGGCGACCGGCAACTCCAACACCAAGTCACCGGAGCTTCTTGCCAAACATGCAGATCTCTTATTACGCAAAAACAACAAACTAGCTGAAGAAGGTGATCTCGAGGGTGCTTTAAATCGCGTTGTGAGTCATTTTGTTGAAGTGGGAACATCGACATATTAAATTTCTTTCAGATGATTCTGTTCAAATACATCGAGGACAAGGACGTCTTCCAAACATTTTACACGACGAAATTGTCCAAACGTCTTATTCATGGGGTGTCTGCGTCAGACGAGAGTGAGGCTAGCATGATATCCAAGTTAAAGGAAGCTTGTGGTTTCGAATACACCAATAAATTGCAGCGAATGTTCACAGGTATGTTCACAGGTATTATTACCGGGATTCGTCTGACAAAATTCTATAGATATGAGCCTAAGCAAGGATCTCACTGACTCTTTCAAAGAACGGATGCAACAAAATCATGATGATATGGACATGACCTTCAGCGTGATGGTACTAGGGACGAATTTCTGGCCACTTAATCCCCCTAGTCATGAATTTGTCATTCCAGCAGAGATTCTGCCCACGTACGACCGCTTCCAGAAATACTATCAGCAAAAGCATTCCGGGCGGAAGCTAACTTGGTTGTGGAACTACTGCAAGAACGAATTGCGGACAAACTATCTGAACCAAAAGTACATCTTAATGACAAGCTCATATCAAATGGCTGTGTTGGTACAGTACAATAAGAACGATACGCTGTCACTAGAGGAACTCATAGCCGCGACGTCTATTCCGAAGGAGCTGATGACACAGATCCTAGCGGTTTTCGTGAAGGCAAAAGTCTTGATAAATGAAGAGACTGATCAATATGACTTGAATCCTGGTCAGTGCTGGAATAACCGTCGAGCAAAACTCACTCCTTTCAAGGCTTCAAGTCCAAGAAGATCCGTGTCAATCTTAATCAGCCAATCAAGGCTGAGGTGAAGACTGAGACGGCTGACGTCCTTAAAGCTGTCGATGAAGACCGGAAATTCGTCATCCAGGCTACTATTGTTCGGTATGGTGCCTCTTTAGTATTCGTCTGTCGATGTCGAATTTTTACCTTCTCCTCAGAATCATGAAAGCTCGCAAAACGATGAAAAACCAATCGCTTGTTCAGGAAGTAATCTCACAGATTTCCCAACGTTTCGCACCAAAGATCCCTGACATCAAGAAGGTTTGTTCAATTCTCTTCTTTCTGACCGATATGTAATTATCGGTGTAATTACTCGGTATCTTTTACAGGCAATCGACACACTCCTCGAAAAGGATTATATCGAGCGTGTTGAGGGTCAACGAGATACGTTCGCCTACGTTGCATGAATTCTCTGTAATTTCTATTATTCGCATTCGTTACATCTTCATCTTCTGTATCATTAATGCAATGTTTCATAGTTATTTCCCCTCTACGATGTTTGGTGTAGCCCTTGAATCGGATGGTGATTGGTGGCACGAGCGAGTGCATCTGACTAGAGTAAATACTCCGGATAGCGATGAAGCCGTAATCCAGCGATTGGTTGGGAAAAGTGTGTTTTCAATATTGAAATATTGCTATTTCTCCGAGTTTCACAGCTTCTCTCTGGATGTCATATACTGGTGTACTGAACAGGCTTCTCTGGACACGGCGCTTATGGTTTCTCGTTAAAACATCAGTATCCTGACCAGCGCATTTGCCCAATGTGGCAATTATTCCGCCACCCGAGGAATATTCTCATCCCCCGATTCGCTGGTTGTGAAAGGGTTCGCACGCATTAACTCAGAATGACTACTACGAGATTTAAAGAGCTGCTCGAAGCTAAAAACACATTTTGTGGTTCCCTTCCCCAGATCGAGCTTCCTCACTCTCCATGGACTCAACATACGGAAGCGCCTTCGTAGGGCTCATCGTCAGCGCCACGTAAGTGGGGATACTTTAAACTTGTTACTCCTTTCCATTGGAACGGTACTATTCAACTGAGCCAATGCTATTAACAGTTTGTATGGCGCTACGATTCTGCAGGCGTGAGCATCCGACATGGCATCGAAGACAGTTCATAGTGACTTTTCTGAACATTGCAGATATCTTTACTACAGGTAATGATCGACATAGGATTGGATTCTTCCCGGAACTCAACTGTTTCCTATATTAGGAATTATCCCAAGGATACATACTTCCTCAAGCTTCTGGTAAGATTTTGTTTCCTGAATCCTTGGGACTTGTCGGCCCGGAAACCTGAATTCGAGCAGTCACAAAGACGTCGACTCACAATTCGGTTAAACCGGAACGCGAGTCCTGGAGCCAATGAAGGAGGGTCTTCGAAGCGTGTAGCATGCTCATAGTCTTTTGCATTGTGGAAGGTCTTCGCATTATGGTATCAACTGTGTTCTGCAGCTATTTTCCTGTGTTACTCATGTAGCTCGAAGTATTTTTGACACCATCCAGCTGGTTCTCTGCGTAACCGCGATGTACTGGTGAGTCGCCTGCCACATGCAGTAGTATCATGCGCAACGGCTCGAACTATCTATCCTCTAGGTATCTGATTACGAATTACGACAATCCTCCAGCACTTAGTCGCTTGACATGGTTAGTACTTTCTTGAACCATGACCACTTGTTCTCAGGCTCACATGTACGTATCCCCTCGTATCCCACCGTGCGCAATTCTACAGGAGCATGGAGGTATGTGACCATTGGCCCGCGATAGTCTAATTGGACACTGAGAAGTCTCTGTCAAAATTAGCTGCAAACTGATTGTAATGTGAGATAATGACGAAATTTGAGTGGCCAGTAGGATGACCGTGTTTTTCAGGGAGTTATCGCGCTATTGGTCGAATGGTATGTCGTGTTCCGTCCGCAAAATCGGACACCTTTTGACGTTTGCATATGAAAGCTTCTTTGCTCGAAGGGTTTGGTTGAGTATGTGATGGGATATTGGAACCGGGTGCGACGCTGAGCTCAGAAGTAGTGTCTTCTAACGTGTATCTGGTGACCGTCATCGTGGGTTACACAGATTCCCTTTGAGTTGAACATGTTGATTGAACAGAGCTCGTACCACAGGTCATATTGGCTGTCGTACACTTTGGTAATTGACGAACAAAACACTCCACATCTACTAATTCCTTACTTGGACATTCGGTAGTTTTGGGTATAGGTATGTTTCTATTGACCAGGGATTTTATCGCGAGACTGAAGCATTCTTCGTGGCGGGATAATCCAGTTTTTACGATCGACAGGTATGATACATGTACTCCCAAAAAGATTCGGGTCTATCTAAATCAAGCGATCCTCATCGCTAGTTTTCAACTGGTGTCCAACACAGAATTTGGAAATTTGATTGTAAGAGAATAGTCTAAATCATGGCGAGTCTGCAACTGAGATGCATTACAGTGGGTGACAAGCGCAGGAATCGGGAGTGCAGCAGCGGCAGATGTTATCATTGCCGGAGCTTTATGCTTCTATCTTTCTAAAAGTCGAACAGGGTTCAAGAAGTAGGTCATCGTTCTCATTCTCAATGGCAGATTTTAACTGCGCTCTTGGAATAGGACTGACTCTCTCATATCGACGTTGATCGTATACAGTCTGACCACCGGATTGATCACTAGGTAGGATTCTCCACAATGTGAATGATGACTGATTTCAACGCTTTTCTTGATAGCTTTATTGGGATCGTCATAGTAGTTACGGTGAGAAAACCTCCATAATAGCGATATAGGGGTTGATCCACCGAGGACACAATCTAGTTTGCTACCATGCCTAACGACTATATTTGGCTTGCGTTCTTCTGGATAGATGGAAAGTGTAAGTGGCTCCACATTATTTGCATAGCTCCCTCACTCCTATATCCAGGCTATGTAAACTCCTGCTTGGCTGCGTGAGGTTTTATAATTTCCACAATGTCAAACTATTGACTTGGGAGCCTCATCTACAATTAGCCTCAATAGTCGGGAATCATTACGTGAAAAAGCATCACCTCAAGATGGGAGCTTTCTTCAACTTTCAAGGGTCACAGCGAATGGTACACATATAACTAGCACTGAGTCCAGGGTAATTATAAGAGAACCAAATGTTTTTACAAAATCCTGACCATATTTCTCTGTAGTCTGACGGTACTCGTTTAGCTATCACAGTCCACACCGACACAGTTTTCAAAACAGATTATACTGATCCAGTAATTATGATGCTCGAGAATTTGATCGTGGTTTACTAACCGTTCTTTTCCAAAGTCGCCGTCATCAGAGTTCTCTGTCTTGGAACGAAAGTCGGGCTCTATTCTGGTGAGAAGTAACTATAGAAAGTATATAACATTGCTGATCATTCTCCATGATTAAGAGTCGATAAGGTTCATTGGGGTTACATGTAGTAGCACGTAGCCTGATTCCTCTTAGGAATCAGATAATAATCTTCATTGTAAAAATTATTCTACCCCATTCAGTGGTTTTACGATGAGTCGCGTCACCTAATATACGGTTCGAAATGGATACTGTACTACCTTTTTATTCTCTGCCACTTGTTCTTACGATGAGACGCGTGATATGATAGCCGCGCGTTTGTCACGAGATTTGATCGGGACTATTGGGCAAACGTTAGGGCAGGCCTACATTTTAGTTGATGTCGATCAACCTACGCGACGCACTCTTGAAGAGTTTGACGACACTGCAAGGCATTCGCGAATTTCATCTGCATGCGCTCGTTTCCTCCCCCAGAAAACATTTGTCTTTATTCCCTTTCTCCAAGCCAAAATGCAGGTCCTATGTACAGGATATACTCATCCTTGTATCCGAACAATCTACCCCAGATTCCCCTCGAATCCTCGTAACCGCTATTGAGGCCTGCGTATACAATGTGCCTTCTACATCGTGCGCAATATTGTACATCTCGAAGGTCGATTCGACTGGTCAATGCACCTCTCCTTCACCGACCGCCACACTTGTTCGAGCGCTTTTGTTGTACTACGGGGATCAAGCCACTCGACCAGTAGCTGCAGATCACCTTTGGATTCAACTATTTGCTCGAGCCCAATCTCAGTACCTTTTCCCCAACTCTGCGGATTTCTCAGGAAAACATCCCCTCGGGGACGTCCAGCTTTGTGGATGGTGGAAACGGGTCTTTACTGATGCGGCCCTCGAATTAGAATCCTGCAGCAAAGGATCTATGGCACCACTCATCAGATTATTTTATGTCCTTCCCGGTTATAGTGAGATTGAGGCAGAGCATTCTCTGAAGCCTGTCAATGTTGCACGTCCGGTGACTCACAACTATCAGTGGACATATGGGCATCCCTATTCCCAGACCGAAATTCCCTTACCTTGCCCGAGGAATGATATTGATACCGATGTGCCTCGGAATTTGGGACAATTCATTCCGTCTTTTGACGACGATCCGAAATCGCGATTTATGGACGAGATAGCTTATACTACTGGTCCTGAAGGCATCAAATCACCTCCAAGAAAGCGTGCACGAGCATCATCTTCAGCCTCACACGAAGAAGGTCACAAGTTAAATGTAACCGTGTCCAACGATGGTGATGACAATGGCGAGAGAAGAGACATCCACATTGAGAAGGATGACCGGCCTCTTGGAGAGCTCGGAAAAGTATCAGTGGATGAATTTTGGGAGAGAATGTCTTTTCGTCAGGAGTGCGTCGCGGGTGCAGTCACAGGCTTTTTTGCACTTGGGGCGACCTCATCTCGGAATGATCCTGATGAGCGTTCCGCAGTCTCACCTCTTAAACCACAACCTGGACAGGTGTCTTCCAAGATGAACAAGCGCGTTATCACCTCACTCATGACAGGCGTTGAGTTCTCTACCAGAGAGCGCGCCATACGCGCAACAGAATTGATAGAGGGCACAATACGAGGCCTTTGTGAAGGAATCTCGGTCGTTCCAGCTCCCGTTATTCATGCCCCTCGACCCAGGCCCCCGACAAGTTCATCAGGGCGCGGTCTCACCAACGCCGAGCACGACATTTCTCTTCTTGCACCCCCTCGTACTCCTCCTCGTATGGCCAGCGGAAAACGGATCGTACCTGATGTTTCTCCAAATCCATTCCCGGAACCAGAGACATCGCTAGAGACCTATCAATCATTCATATACGGCTCCGTGAATATCAGCAATCCAATTCTGCAAAACAAAGATGCCTTGAACGAGAACAAGGCCACATCAACACCGCCTGTGACCATCTTGACCGTCCGGAGAAAGAAAAAAAGACAAGGATGACATTTGTTTCGTTCGGAATTTCAAGTGAAAATCTCAATCATCCCCGGGCAGAATCCATGCTTTTTTTCATGTGCTGTATTTATTATATTGTTGACATGTAGGCAATGGCTTAAAATTTCGTGGTACGTCGGAATCGCGTCAAGCTGGTTGATTATCATTGTATTTTTCGCTTTTGCATGCTATTCTGTGCCGCTTGATCAACTTTTCTTGACATGTAAAATACAGATCGCGGGATGGATTTCTCGTAGCACAGTGCGTAAACATTTAGATTGAAGCGAAGTGGAGCCAGATTCAGAAGCGTTTACTGTAATAGGGCTTCTGAGTCGTCCTACTGATACTCAAACTGTGTGGAGAGAATTTCGTAAGTGGAATTGGTCCAAAGAAAGAGTATTTTCAGTAGCGGATGACCCAATGAAAAAAGTTCGATGGCATCGTGGTTTCATTTTCTCGTGTTATCTTGAGGTTTTATCCTTTCATCGGTGGCAATTGATTGACTTGGTTAAGTACTTGCTTTGAGGTTAAGCTGCAATACCTGGTGGACCCGTATGCCCATTGATGTTGGAAAACTTGAGATTAGAAAAAAAAACAGTACACCGAGGTTGACCGTGATGATCAAGTTTGTCCAGATTCGCAGAACTTGGAATACTCATAGCAATCAGAAGAGAGGAGTGGAACTGGAAACATGTCAAAAAGGTTATTGAGCCGAATGGGTCAAGCAAAATCACGGTGTACAGTACTGTTGCCGTTGCGATGATTTTTGGTGACAATCTTGCATCGTTATTTTTGTGGTGATTTGTTGAAAAGAAATGAGGGGTTTTTAGGCAGTAAAGAATCACGATACCCGTTTCAAGGGTTGATCGGGATGATTACGAGAAAAGGGTCCATTCCATGAAGAAGTTCGATTTCATTATGCATCCTATCCGAACTTTCAAATTCCCATCTTGGCAGTTGTTTCCATCCTTCAACTCAACAAGGCGCAACACTACCAACGTTCCCGACGTCGTTCGTGACGGTGACCACGCTATTTCTTTCCTGCTCGTCATCGTCATCGTCGGTGCTCCCCATCTTTTCTATTCCCCAAAATGTCTGTAAAGCCCGGAAGTGTTGCGACACACATTCCTACATCTCTTCCTTCTTTTGCACAGACATTTAACTCGAGCTCATTGAGCTCTTATGGACCCGATGATAATTCTCTCCCTCCTATTCACGATTTTAGTCGCGTCGAGCGCCAGTCGATTCTTTCGCGACATCGCAGCGACGAGGACGCATCAAGAGCAGGAAGAAAACGGACTCATGCTGAAGCTTCTTCCAGTAGAAACGAGGATAATCAACTGGCTTCAGAGTGAGTACCAGTATGCCGCCCTCTACAAACTTCTGTCTACATTACTCATATCCTTATTAAATTCCCAGCCGCGATTCTCCCAGTTTGACCCGAGTGAAGGAGGAACCTGAACAAGACATGCTAGCTTCGCCGCCTCCGCCTTCCAGTGATAACACTAACAGCAATATCCATGACACTTCCGGTGCACCTCCTCCGTCTTCTATCAATGCACCGAAAAGCAAAAAACGTCGAGTTACTATTAGTGGTGCTCCTGCACTTAATACTGACGTTAGGATCGCTGCTGATCAGACCAACTCAACTCCCATATCTCCTGTTGTGATAGGTTTTACCGTACAACGTGATAATCCTTCTGAGGTTGAGCAGATTCGATCAATGCTCACGGTCAAGCAACAACAACAGGCCCTCATTGAACAGCGACGAGGTAGCACCTCGGGTATTATGTCTCCCACTATTGCTGCAGGTCCATCGGCAGCGGCAGGCGAAGGGCACCCCAAAAGTTCCTTGCAAGGCACTCGCTCTGTTCGTCGTAGTCCCAACTCTGGAACTAATAATCGACGACACACTGTCATCATTCAAGCTGGCACGAACAGGCCACTTAGTCCAAATTCTAATATAGTACATACACAAGCACCGCCAGCGTCTGTTGCTTCGCACTCACTCCCTCCCCCGCCTATAAGCTTTGCACGTCGGCGAGCTAATCAAATAGGCGGCGGGAAGAAGAAACCTGCTGACATCATGATCAGTCCTCGGGATGCGCACACACCCGACCAGTTTGCCCCTTCCATTCAAAGCGCCCCTCCCATACCGCATGCCGGTCAGCAAGGCAGTGGATTAGTAGGTAGATTTCCTATGGCGTTGCCCCGGTTACCGTCTGTAATGGGCGATAATGTTCGGCGCACGGTTGGTGGGAACGTCCCACCAACACCCACAAGATTTTCGGCCCAGCGCATGGCCATTTCTCAAGGAGTTTCTCATCCAATAACGGGCATATCTGGACGCTCACCTCCGAATGCTTCCGTTCCCATTTCCTCTACATTGGTTCCGTCTACCCCAAGTGCACTTCATAACCCTGGTTATACTGGCGAGAAGTCAGCCTTTCTGGCTCCATTTGAGTCGTTTTACGATGCTTTGAACGATTCTAAACAGCTCAAAACATGGCTCAGCGAGCAGCTACAGAGGTCCAAGGTCTTAATACAAAATCTGACCCAACAACAGGACAAACTTCATGAAACAGTGGATAGTTTAGTGGAAAAGAAAGTAGCTGGGATGAGGACTGAAATTGTTGGTCTTAATAGGCGAGTCGAGGAATTAGAGGATGCCCTTCGTGTCGCTACCTCGAGCCGGCGACCAAGTATCGAGGGCCCTGCCTCCGGTAATAAAGGCAAGCAAACTGTGAGAAATGGTAATCTTTTGGGGACAAGTATAACTGAAGGTTATACTTTCCCTCCCATTGCTACCATCGATCGAGAACGTCTCCGGTCCGAATCTTCTGAACACCGGATGTCTCCAGGATGGACACACGATAAGGATTCTCGGGATACCCAGGATTCTGAACATGGCTCGCCGGTTTTATACGAATCACGGCGGCTTTCTCTTTCTTCTTCTCGGCTCGAACCTCGCGCTCAGTCCATGGAGAGTGTCGTCCGTCCGTTTGCTTCTCCTTCTTTGCCTTTTCGGGAAGTTCCCTCTGTCTCGCATCCTCCACCGACCAGTAGCAAACTACCTCGAGGGGGCCGTCCATTAGGTCCCGGTCGACATCATTCAAGTCCTCGTCTACCTGGGCCCGTTCAAGATTCGTTGGTGATGTCCTCGCCTAGGCGGGAAGAAAGTCGGAGGAGTTCTATCGTTGATGGTTCGATAGACGATCGAGAATCATAAACGGTATGCAGAAGATTTCTTTGATTCGATGCTTGCTTATTCATACTGTGGCTCTTGGACTATACTCCGTTTACGCCTGGACACTTATCACCGTCCAATTCTTGTTGGCTCTATATTACAATCCTTTCATGATCTTGTTTTTTTCTTCTTACTTTTCCTCGTTCTTTTCTTTGGTCTTTTTGGGTTGACTTGGGGATCATGGAGCCCGTCAGTCTGTCCTTACTGATTCTGGCGCGCCTAAATTTTTTGTTCTATCTTTTTCGTTTCAATTGCGCTGCCTCTCCGTTAAGATGTACTCTTTTTAAATCAATTTACGCTCCTTCCTACGTTCTATGACATGTACTTTAGCATCACAATTGTACACTTTCCCTCATTACATTTTTTACGCATATCCAGCGGTTGCAGTTCGAACATCGCATGGTCATTTGAGTTTGTAGTCAACTGTGTAAGTGCACAGGTCACGAATCCTCCGAATCAACGTTTTGTTCTTGCTTGGATCTGCAGAAATCTCAAGTAAAGTTTTTCGGTATTTTTCAGTGGCTGAACTTTGAACAAAGGACACCCGAGAAACACATGGTCATTGATATAAAACACTTTTCTCTGCACTTCTATACCGCCATATCCTCCTTTGAAATCCCGAACTTTTGTATGTAACCTCTGCGGAATATTTCCCAAAACCCACGGATGTATGATTTCAACTTTTAGGATACAACTGTATTCCTCAGATCATTTCCAGATCATTTCTCCCCGCAAGCAGCCCTCTGGAGATAGGACGTCCAGTGTCCTCCGGCCAAGACGCCCCGAAAAGAAGGGGAACTTTGTAGGTACTGTGAAATTTCATTGAGTATGTATGCGGCACTGAATATATGTAAGCGCATCCGCTAAAGCCTGCCAATGTTCAAATTCAAAGTTCAGCCACAATTTTTAGTAAACGTTTGTCTGTTCAATAGCTCGGATTAGCTTTGTATGCATCTGAATTCACATCTTTGGTTTGGTTGAAAGATCACGCGAGAAGGGCGTCGAAGATCGAGCATACGGTCCTAGTACGATGGGTGTAGAAAATAGATAAGGCTGAAGTACTTTGGTTACGAACGTTGAGAATCATTCTCCAATTCTTCAAGGCTCCATTTTGGACGGGGATTGATCGTGTACTCGTCGTAATCGCCTGCTAGAAAACGATGCATGGATGCCCAACCAACCATTGCTGCATTGTCTGACAGGAAGGAAGTTCATCAATGCGATTTGAGTATTGAAATCGACATTAAAGCGGCACATACCAGTACACAGTTGTATCGGCGGAAACACTGTCTCCACTGACGAATTGGTTGGTGAAACAGTAACGCATGCCCGTAACCTAAAAGTGTAAACAGGTTTATGGCAGTCAAGGTATGGCCTTCAACACAACTTACCTCTCACGAAGTAAGGCGTTGCTTGCGACTCCTCCACTGACAACAAGATGGTTAATCTTGATTCCTTGTTTTTCGCAATCTCCCAAAGCAAGTTTGAGCTTCTCTTCCAATTGAATGAACGCTGCATTCTGAAATATACGAGCTACAGCAAGTTTATTGGCTGATGTGAAACTTTCAATTCCACCGTTGAGAGCAAGTAACCGGTCAACATGAGAGTGGACAGCAGAGTAAGAGAACGCGAGTCTGCCGGGCATAACAGGAGTGAACGGAATGAAGATATCTGGGAGGATACCTTTTTCCGGCCGAAGACAGAATTTTTCGAGAGCAGATCCTGGGCTCATATTTGCCCATTCGATTTGGAGTATACGAGATACTTTGTCAATCGTTCGGCCAATGGACTCGTCGAGTGTTGTTGCCATGATGCGAAAGGACTTCACGGACTTGGCAAGCACAATTTGTGTATGGCCACCAGAAACAAGAAGAGTAAGATATGGAAATCGGGGATAAGCAGGATTTATTTCGCCATTGGGCTTGTGCGTAGGCGTGGTGAGTAGCGCTGTAAGCGCATGAGCTTGCTAGCACTAGAACGTAAGGTTTGATTGTTTATGGCAGATGGGTACCCTTGAGGCATACCATATGGTGAACGCCGACTAGAGGTTTGTCGAACACTGCAGCGAGCGTCTTGGCTGCATTGAGTGTTGTCGATAGGCAGACACCCATCCCAGGACCCCTTGTGAAGGCAATTCCATGGACATTCGATATGTCAATTTTGGCCTCCGTCAAAGCTCTCTTAGCTGCTATTGGCTTTGAAAAATTTCAATATACATATTGAACAGAGGACGCATACGACGAACCAAGTTGGCCTGATGTGCCATCACTGCAGCACCGGGGTTTATTCCTCCAAATCTCTCCACACTAAGAAGTCAAGGAGTGTACGTGAGAAGATTATTTGAACAAAACTTACAGGTCATTTTGGCGAATAACAACGTTTGAGAGGATTTGACGGTCTGAAGTAACAACAGCTACACAGGTATCATCGGCGGAAGATTCAAAGGCAAGAACAGTGAAGAGACGATTGAGCCTTCTAGAAAGATGAGCGGTTTTTCGGAATGGAAATGAACGGAAGGAAGTGAGCATGAGCCTAGAGTCAAAGCTGTCTCGATCTCCCAGAAATGGCAAAATCACGTGAGCTGACTGTGACATTTAGGCCGGGGTGACAATTATTTTCTGCGGAACGACAACGACTATGCTAGGTCTCCGGCTGCTTCCGTTTACTCGTCCGCTAACGAGAGCTTATGCTCCCAAATGGCCTCGACCAAAACCTGGGACATCGGAGCGTCCACCGTACCGTGCACCAGATCCCTTAATAAACAATCCATCTGCTATAGTAACTGCTCTTCCCGAGGAAGATTTGACCTTCATTCATCGACCCCCACCAACAGCTCCTTCACCGATATCATTCACAACCAACCCCGTATCGCCTCTCCTGAGGTCTCCTTCTTCATCTACCTCTTCCGCCTTGCCTCCTCTTATACGACCATCAGCGGACAAGACTCCTCCACCGCGACTGTCTACTGAACAAATTGTCGAAATCCGTCGTCTTCGTTCACTCGACCCGGTGAAGTGGACTCGTGGTCGGCTGGCGAAGAAATTCGACTGCACACAGCAGTTTGTTGCACTGGTTGCTGCTACGAAGAAGTCTACGCGGACAAAACTGATTCAGAAAAGAAATGAAGAGCACGAGGCAAACAGAAGGAAGTGGAGCGAAAAGAGGTCGCTAGTCGTCGCCATTAGCCAAAAACGTCGGCAATACTGGTGACATTTTATTCACAAAATTGATATCTGGTTCGTGTACAATCGTATCTTTCGATATCTCGCGCCTCGGAAGGTAGCTTTTCCGTGTATCGTACTCATTATCGTCTCCTTCTCCAGGGCCTAATTCACACAATATCTGGATATACCACTAGTAAAGCCTTGTGATACAATACGGAGTAGTTTATAATCCTCGAAATCAGGAGTCCCTGTGTGTTTTGATCCTCATTTTCCCGAAACTAGTTCAAACAAGATGGTATGAGGTCCTTTGACAAGCTAATTCGCCAATTACCCCTCCGTTATTTGTGTTCATGCCTGGATTGTTTCACATGCGACTCCGCACTACCGCTCTCGCTAATCCCAATTTCAGAATAGTCGAACGGGAATTTACCGAGCACCGAGAGCATTTATATCGTGTAAGACACTGCTAAGAGAACGCATCCCTGTTCTTCAATCCGACCATGTCTGTCTCTGTAATGAGCCCTGCTGTTCCTGCCCCTATTTCGTTCTATACTAGTATTCCTCCCCATATCACTGAAACCGACCATGTACAACGCAGCTTAGTGCAGCTTCGCACCAAGTCTAAGGGCTTGGAACAGTACATCTTCCTCAATGGCCTCAAAGAACGAGATCCTAGTTTGTTCTACCAAATTTTGCTTTCGAACATGATGGAAATTATCCCCATCCTATACACTCCAACGGCAAGTTTTTTTTTCGTCCGTGAATCTCTCGGAATATTTATGATTTCCATATCACACTAGGTCGGAGATGCATGCTCATTCTATTCTCATATCTGGCGTCATCCAGAAGGACTGTATATTTCCATTAAACATAAAGGGCACATTCGCCAAATACTGAGGGCACATCCTGCTGGAGCCAAGATATCTGTTGTCACAGATGGTATACGACTTGCTTTGGGAGAGGCTTCTATTCTCACTCCAATATACCATAGGCTCTCGTATCCTCGGGCTTGGCGACCTTGGAGCAAACGGTCTGCCAGTGCGTTGTTTCCCACTCTGCCTTTGTAGTGGAGTGTAACTAGTATCTGCCTTTGGCTCAGATTAGCATTGGCAAATTGTAGGCCTTACAATTTTTCATATGTGCTCTGCATATAGATTGAATATCATCGCATAGGGATCTCTACGTTGCTGGTGCAGGTATCCGGCCTTCCTCTACACTTCCTATTTGCCTCGATGTCGGAACCAACACCAAGAAATTTATTGAAGATCCTCTCTACATAGGCGTACGACAAACAAGACCCGTGGGCTCAGAGGCAAGGTTATATCTGACAATTCTTCGTTTACTCACTCGTACTGCTCTTTACACTTCGGACAGATGGATGAATTCATGGAGGAATTCATGTCCGCCATGTCTGAGGTGTTCCCGGAGCTTGTCGTCCAGTTTGAGGATTTTTCAACCGAAAACGCGTTCAAGTATCTGGACCTCTTCAGATCCCGATACAGGGTCTTTAATGACGATGTGAGTCTTTTTCCAAGTCGGGGTACTCTGATGTTTAATTTGAAACCTATCGTCTCTGACTGACCCTTTCCTCGCACTTGCATGGGAATATTTATCATCTTTTCAGATTCAGGGAACAGGCAAGGAAACAGGTTTTCGGTATCAAGTAGACTCGGACTAACTCGTGGCTTTCATTTTACAGGCGCAGTCGTTCTCTCAGGCTTTCTCAATGCTGCTCGCATTTCCTCCGCAGCTAGCGGTCTTCCTTTGTCCGAGCATAGAATCCTCTTTTTTGGCGCAGGTTCTTCAGGCATTGGCGTGGCGAAGCAGCTCGTGTCATTTTTCACCGAATTGGGCCTGAGCGTAGATGAAGCTAAAAAACAGATCTATGTACCTACGTTCTGCCTATGCTATTGGCTATCCACTGATGCCGTGTGCATGCAGACTGTCGACTCCAAAGGCCTGATAACAGCTGACCGTGAAGGGCTTCAAGAACACAAGAAATGTATACTCACAAATTCTGACCAAACATGGGTTCTAACCCTCCATTCTTGCAGTTTTTGCTCGCACGGACTACCAAGGCCCTGCTTTGACCAGCCTGGTTGATATCGTCAATCATGTCAAACCAACCGCGTTATTGGGTTTAAGCACGATTGGCGTAAGCAAATGAAAAGTTCTTTGCCTGAGTCTTAATCTTCACATTGTTATCTCCATCCCATCCGCAGGGTGCATTCACGGAAGAAGTCGTAAAAGCCATGGCTGCCACGAATAATCGGCCAATCATTTTCCCTCTTTCGAACCCAGTATCGAAATGCGAACTTAGTTTTCAGGACGCTATAAACTGGTATGTGTTTTCGCACATGATAGAAGATCTCTTTTTCTTACAGCATGTGCGATAGGACCAATGGTCGAGTTGTTTTCGCGTCTGGTAGTCCATACAACCCTGTTATCTACGAAGGAACTACGTATGAAGCTGGACAGGGCAACAATATGTATATGTTCCCTGGGATTGGTTTAGGTGTTATTCTATCGAAAGCCAAACACATCACGGATGCTATGGTGGAAAAGGCTGCCATTGCCTTGTCCTCCTCGCTCAATGAAGAAGAGAATAGTCGCGAATTAGTTTACCCTAGGCTGGACCGGATCCGGGATATCAGCGCCCAAGTCGCGCTTGTTGTAGCAAGAGAAGCGCAAAAAGAGGTACGTATTCGACTCATGATCAAGACATGTCTTGAATAATGCTGTATGACTTTTAAAGGGCATAGATAACAACATTGTCCTCCGTAGCTTGAACGACAACGAGGCGCTGAAACACATCAAAGGTAAAATGTGGTAAGTCCTGGGTCCAACTCAATGTTATAAGTCGAGCATCGTTTCATGCTGTTGTTTTAGGAAGCCTTACTATGAGAGTCATCTCAAGCTCGGTTTACGAAGACTCTGAAACTCGAATAGATTTTCAGATCCATACGATGATACCGTGACAATGCGATTTTTAATGGGGAGTAAAAGATATAAAGTGACTAGTAAGATGATTATTCGATGAACGGATGCAAGAAGAATCATGCATTGGTGATGTTGATGGATGAGTGGAATCTGGATCATACAGTTGCATGGATTTGTTGTAAAATATATATACAGTATGTTATAAGGAGCGCATGGAACAAGGAAGAGAAGATGTGTGAGGATGCAAGTAGATAATAATGCCTGAGAATATAGGTAGATACGGACCGAATGCCTTGCGATTGAGAAGTTATTATATGAGCATTTAGAAAGGCAGTTTCATGGGCAAGAGGAGGGGCCAAAAAATACACGTGCATAGAATGGCGATGGCGTTGAATTACGAGCAAGTAGCGAGAGACACCAGATTAGTAGAAGACATACGTCTTTTCATGGAGCCTCTTCATCGGAGTCAGGTGTTATAGGAATCCCACTTCCTGCCTCAAAAAACACAACCTTGAGTTTCCTCAACCAGTCCCTTCTCCTCAAAGATAACATGCCCTGACCGGGACCTTCATCAACGTATCTGGACAGTTTAGTGAGGTATTCCTCGCATTCAGAAAGCGTTGGGATGGAGTTATCTGAGATGGGCGGTGGGGGAGGTATAGGGGCTTCGATCACGGTTTGCATATGCACTTCAGGCTGGAGATGCATGCCCTGCTCATATGGAGTGGGGGGGTTGTGTTCTACCTCTGCATGCACAGAACTATGTTGATGATCATAAGAATTGTTGTGGCTGACCTGATTCTGAGGCTGAGACAAGTTCGAGGCAGAATACTCGGACTGGTACGAGTGGAGCCCCACCGTCGAGCTCGCATTCTGATCAGAACCGTTAGGAGCGCTATGGTCGACAGTAGTGGTGTAGGTGAAGGTCGTCTGATGCGAGTTCGTAGGATAATGCGCTTGGACTTGCTCCTGATGGTGTTGGTGAGAGTCTCGTGTTTGCGATTCTTCGATCATGTTTTGGGCGTGGTGAACATGGTTTTGATTATGCGACATGAGGGAGTCCGGAACTGGCTGGGTGTGACCATGCTCCAATGGAGATTGTGAATGTTCATAAGGGGATTGTAGTTCCACCGTGGCTACGGATAGCCCGGACACGGATCGACGGTGTTGTCGAGAATAATGTTCAGGTAATGGTTCAGTTGGCGTTGGGGGTTGCGATGCGGTTGAGGTCGAGGACCACTGCGCAATACCGTAAATATGGGAACCTGGCACGGGATGTGGACTCATCAAAGACTCGCCACTGGCAGAGGTAGATGATGAATCTGTCGACCAAGGAGGACGGGGAAATGTACTATCGCGAAGGTGAGATAGAGAGGAAGGAGGTTGAGGATAAGGCAAGTCCATTAGATCAGATTCTTCGTCCTCCTCCTCTTCAGAGTCGCTTTCTTCTATGTCTTCAGCCTTCGGATAATTGGATATATACCTGTACTCTTTGGTGGGCAGTTTGCTAGCTAATGCGCTCGCCAACGGAGGCGGTGCTGGAGTTGTACTCGGAAAGCTAAGCCCCATCCCACGGGCGGCCATGGCATTCCTTCCTTGTACGTTCCGCAAGTATCCACCCCAGAAACCATTCTTTATACCGTGGCGATTTTTGAAATTCTCAACCCATCCCGACGAAGCTTTGAACTGCTCGGGTGTTATCCCATGCGATCTAGCGATAGCACGAGCTTTCTCACGAAGACTCGCGTCAGAGAGTGGTCCGTGAAGCGGCGGGGGATTTTGAGGATCAAATGGATAAGTAGAAGGATCGGGAAGACTGGCATAATATTTGTCACTGATTTCGACCAGCCACCGTTGCATCTCGAGTTCAACAGGAGGGAACTTGGACGGACGATGTTTGGCAAGTCGCAAAGGTAGTCCTGTGCCATTCGTCCCACATCCACGCGCATCACCTAGCTCGATATTCAGCCATTTTTCCTTGTGCTTTAAAATTTTGCTGATGGTACTCCTCTCCACACCGTACTGCCTAGCGATGAGCTCCTGTTTTTCGTTGGGATGTGCAAGATGATACTCGCAAATGGCCTTGCGATCGACATTGAAAAGACGTTGTTTACGTTGCTTTGGTTTTGCGTAAGGACGAGAAATTACTGGATTAGAAGGTGGTTGAGAACTGCTGGATGGTAAAAGTGAATTAGGCTGTGGCCCAGGAAGATGAAATCCATAGGCAGAAGGAGAAATGGCCGAGGAGGCGGGAGACATAGACATTTGATACTGCGGCTGTTGCTGCTGGATTAACCTTTGGCTACGGTGGCTATGGCTCGATATAGAGCTCAAAGCAGGCGAAGCAGATAATTGACGGGTAAGCTCTGAGGAAACTGAAGACGTGGAAGGTATGGAATCTGGCGTAGGCGGATAGGCCGAATTAAAACGAGGGGTTTGTGATCGGCTTGTTGACTGCATGCTTGGAATTTAGGAACGTTCATACGGCAAGGATGAATGGAAGTCGAAACTAACCGTGACACCAGTATTCATCGCTGCTGCTGCCTTTCTCTGACCACGGGTCATAATCCGGTTTGGTACACTAGGTCCTACGCTCGATTCGTGCTGACTTTCAGGAAAACTGTACGCAGATGGCGAAGATGCATTAGTGGATGAAGACATGGATGGCGCTGGCGACGGGTAATTTCCGTGCCCAGCGACAACAGTTCGGTAATTTTGATGACTGGAGCTACCAGCTAATTGTAGATAATTATCTGTGAATTTAGCATCATCATCCGTGCTTCTATGCGCGTACGACATGACGCCTAGAAGTCCGACAATGTGCTAGGTGAGAGATATTATCCGTTTAGCAGCAGCAATGAGCGGATGTAGAAGCTGGACCAGATAAGCAGGTGCGCAGCTGTGCGTGTCGCAACCACGGATGAAGAGGAACAGGAGAAGAAAATAAACGTCGGTGAAGATAAAGTGAAATGTCACACTCTGTGACTTTTCGAATTTCGTTACGACCAGCTCTGAGTTTATACATCGATCATTGTCAACTCAATTTTAGGCTCACTAGACACCTGTGCCCGGAAAGCCTCCATAATGCCTTCAACCCCATTTCATTTCATCAATGCCTGCTTTACAGATGAGTAGGATACAATTCGTGGAAGTTCTGTGAAGTGTATGTATCTGTATGTATCCTACTATTACTTTTGCAGAACGCGTCCACCTGACGCTTCGCTTTATCAGGGCTTTGTCTGAAACCCTCCAATTTCCGCCGAAGCAAAGCTACAATCCCACGTTCCCTGTAGGCAACTATTGTCGCCTTCAGTCTTCTATCATTTCCAAAAAAAATGGGGGCGCCTTTCATTAAACTTGATGCCAACTGAATCCACGTCCGCCGAGATCCATGATCGAGTCGTAAGGAATAACGACGGTTTGACGGCGGTTTCGGATCTCCCCAAACACTGTTGGAATTCTCTTGATTCCGACTACCATCATAGGCTGTCCGCCTCTGTCTGCAACGTACTCCTGCTCAAAATCCAAAGATTAAAATCGTATCCTGCCAAATCTTTCCTTAAAGTCTTCCGACTGTGAAACTACGCGGTATATATGACATTGTGGCCTTCTGCCTTGATCTATGTGCCCTGACAAAACTGGCGCACGAGCTTAAGGCCCTGAGAAGATCAGTTCAGTATAGAGGCCCTCGATTAAAGCTTGCGGGAATTGTCGAACCTTATACTAGTGTTTCCTGTTTAGCAGCGCGCTCTACGGCCTTGCTATGCTATCTAGATCTCTCGATGAATCAATATCATCAACATGCCCTCTCCTCCTTGCATGATTGATAAGCTTTTTTCTTATGTCCGAGTGTCTGTGTATGCAACATATGTAGCACTTGCGAAGATCCCTTCTATCTTCGAATTTTATGTTGTCGAAACGTTCGCGGGAAGGTCAAGTGATATGCAGATGGATCTTATCGCATGGTCCCAGCTGTACAGTATTCTTCTAATATTCTATGCCAACCTGGGCAGAAGGTTTATCAATATGCGTTACACGCGTGTCAAGCTCAGGAATGTTAACGAGTTGCGTTTTGTTTCGATTGTCGATTTTCCTCCTTCAAGTTGTACATAATATGTACTTACCATCCAGCTCATAGATCCACAGGATGCCGCATGCCAGCTATGCACTTAGTCCCTTCACATGCCGCAGTACATACCGCTCTTGAGCTCGAGGGTCGAATTCGAACATGAAGGATTCTCAATCTAGCCTGAGGACTCAAACTCAGAGCTCGAATTTCACAAAAAGGCCCCTATTCTAGCTAAAATTGTGGCGCGTTTCGATCACATGAGCGTGATTGAAAGGCTAGGCTTAGCCGGCTCATTCAACATTTTGTCCTTAAAACAGGTAGAACTTGGGTGGGTTAAACTGATTGAACAGCTGTGAGCAGTCCTCGGGACCAGTACCAGTAGATAGGCAACTGCTTTGATTATGTTTGACAATTCTGGGGGTCATATATACTTAGTCTGACCTTTCGAATCGAATATCTGCATGTTCTAGATTCGAAATGAAGTTGATGGAACATTTGGAAGCTTCGTATAATATGAGGAGGAGGAGGAGTAACCGATGATGAAGCCTAAGTAAAGACTCAACTCTCAAGTTTGCACGAGTGTTATACATTAGGTTCAAAAGTGTATCCAAGTTGACAAAAATTGACGCTAGCAGGGATAAGCAGGCCCCGTTCGCTGGCTCTCAGACATGCACCTCTTTCGAGTCCAAGTCAAGACAGTGAGAGACAGTGTCAAGAATTGTTCAATTTGTCACCGCGATAAATCTCAGTTTCAGTATTACGCAAAACTGCCGTTCTACTCACTGATTAAGTTCACTCTCCTTTAAGATTCTCCTTTATTTTTGGTATATATGAGCTCAATTTTATTTACAACTAAGTTAAATCTGCATATCACATTCTGCACGACATCATCATGTTTTTTACCAATGCTCTATCCCTTTTCCTGCCAATCTCTGCTTCTCTTGTTACCCCCATCACTTGCCTTGCTATCGAATCAATATCCCAAAGAGACAATAACCCCAGGAGCTCCCAAACACAACTAGCCAGCGGCTCAGCGATAGGATATGGCAAAATCAGCAACAGCTTGTCTTGGCAAGCCAGCGGTGAGTCCTCAGCTATCGGTAGACGCACAGATCCACACTCAATGCGCACTCCAGGCCCGTTGTATAGCGGTTGCAGTTTGAGCGGTGTAAAGATTTCCGACTGTTATCAGCTCACTCTTTCGAGCGTCGCCACTCAAAATCTGGAAGATTACGGTTCATCCACCCCGCGTCAACGCACTGAGTTTCTGACTGCAAGTGCAGCAGCAGGAACAACGCACAAGTATCAGTGGAGTTACTTGTAAGGCGGAGCCTTCTGAATCACAACAGTTCTCTTACATTCAAACAGCCTCAAGTCGCCTGTAGGGACAAGCACCCACTTTTTCCATCTCATGCAACTTTTCTCTCGGGACGACGGAGGCCCGATCATCACGCTCGACGCAATCAACGGAGTCATTGCGATCAAAGACAACTACCGAGACTGCTCGAAGACAGGTTGCCCCACTATACCTCTGAGCACCTTTACCGATAAGACCACGATTCATACTGTCGCAGTTACATACGGCGCAAGTAACGGAAGCTTCAAATATGTTATCACGGATAGTGCTACCTCGAATGTGCTGTTGAGCTATAGTGCAAGCGGAAACATGGGTGGTAACGCTTCGTAAGTCGTCTTTGTCTGACAAACTCAGCAGATCAGCTCAACATTCATGTGACAGTATCAAATTCGGTACCTATCGACTTGCTGCTAGCAACATGAAGAGCTCACTGTCAGTACTTTCTCGTTCCGCACGTCGTCCAAAGATGATTAATTTCCTAATAGCGCTGCCGTGGGTGATTTCAAAGTCTTAGCATGACAAATTATCTATGCTTTGTATGCGTCAATGAACTTGCATATATATTTGCTTTGAATTTAACTCGTTGTGAACTTGAACGCCATCTTCGTATACCATATCAAAAAAATTTGCAGAATAAAATTGATCTGGAGGCGTAAGCAGGGTACAACTCTCTATAGTCTGTCAATCAGATACTACCGGTACATTGTTATATTACTCACATTGATCTGCTTGCATTACCATTTAAAACTTACACCGACTTTTGACAATAATGTTCTCCCATTGCGATACAAACACTCTATCACTTCTTCTCATATATCGCCGCCGTTTGCGCCTGCGGTTGCTCAGTAATAGCTTGATGAAACCTTCCGTCCTTGTCTCTCTGATAATTCCTGCTCATGAACTCCATCTTGATGTCATTTTCCTTGGGATGTTTTCTCGTACGAGTTATTTGAGAGCCCTCGGGTCCTGGATCTGTGTCCTTGAGACAGCCTGAAAAGGAGTCAATACAATAAGAAATTTGATGAGGTGAAATACTACGGATATGAGTAAAAAAACTTACAACAGCCACCACACAGATACGCTAATCCCATGCTCACATCTCCCATGTCCAGAAAATATTGCTTGATTGGAGGATATCGTACAAAACAACAGAGAAGCGTAGAATGCTGCTGAATGACGTAATGTAATTCGAACGTAAATGCCATGGCCCATTTCGAGGCGACATTGCCGGCCGCAAAAATAAGAAGTGCGACCTCATGTACGCTCCAATAATAATAGAGCATTTCGTTGTCACCGAATACATACAAGATACACTGTGGGGAAGAACACGTTTTGGCACCTCCAAAATCCATCCATTATCCGTAGATTTTTACCAAAAATTGACTGATTTTGGGATGTCGAAAAGTTTGTATATTTCTCATATAGCTGGATATAGAATATGAAGTTCATATTGTGCAGTTATTCTGAATTATCTACCAATAATATTGAGGATATAATAATGACTTTGTGCCTCACAATTTGTTAATATTTTTGGCTGCTCGAAATTTGAAATAATTGTAACATAACCTACCAGTGAACATGAGGAACATAGTCCGAGCTTATTTGAAACAATCATACAATATTCTCCCATAGATAATTTAAAATTTTTGCGAGATATTCACTTAACAAAAAACATGAGGTTTTTCAAAATAACCTCGCCGAGGTTATGCATACCCGATGTTGGGACATCGAGACGTCAAGACGTCGTTGATATCGGGACATTGAGACACCGGAACGTCGTCGATGTCGAGACGTCCAAACATAGAAACGTCACTGGTGGTCGGGATATCAAGACGCGTGACATCCAGGACATTCAGGATGTGCCAGTGCAGCCACAGGCAGCCACTATGTTCTGTGAAATGATAAGAAAAGCCTTCCTCAGGGCCTTCTGTGTATTTATGGATGGGGCCAGAAGTTATGTCATTCCTACATAGGTCGTGGTGGTCAATACTAACCTAATACTAGGTGAAAACTGGCATGTTCCAACATGTCCCGAATTTCCTGAATGTCACGCATCTCAATATCCCGACACCAGCGACATTTCTATGTTTGGATGTCTCAATATCAACGACATTCCAGTGTCTCGATGTCCCGATATCAACGACGTCTTGACGTCTCGATGTCCCAACATCGGGTATGCATAACCTCGGCGAGGTTATTTTGAAAAACCTCATGTTTTTTGTTAAGTGAATATCTCGCAAAAATTTTAAATTATCTATGGGAGAATATTGTATGATTGTTTCAAATAAGCTCGGACTATGTTCCTCATGTTCACTGGTAGGTTATGTTACAATTATTTCAAATTTCGAGCAGCCAAAAATATTAACAAATTGTGAGGCACAAAGTCATTATTATATCCTCAATATTATTGGTAGATAATTCAGAATAACTGCACAATATGAACTTCATATTCTATAGCCAGCTATATGAGAAATATACAAACTTTTCGACATCCCAAAATCAGTCAATTTTTGGTAAAAATCTACGGATAATGGATGGATTTTGGAGGTGCCAAAACGTGTTCTTCCCCACAGTGTATATATAGCCGGGAGGGGAACTTTAGCGTGAAAGACCGGAACCATAGCCGAGCAAGGACAATGTTACATACTACAAATTATTAGCAGAAGATAATTATAAAACATTCGAATGAGCAACTATAAGGTGAGTATGGAGTATAGCTTAAAAAGTTATCCACGATTATCACTTTGCTTGAATCATGTCTCTGTCGCTTTCGGCATTTCGCCTTCGAGTGTCATATTTGAAGGAACAGGCTGCGGTGGAAACCGGAAATCTTGACTCGAAGAGCGCGATGACATCGTATCTTCGTCGGGGAAAGAGTCGAGTTTAGACGAAGGGCCGTTGAGGCCGGGTTTTACTTGTGCGATTTCTGCAAGTTCCTTTCGAAGCGCTTCAAGCTCCCGTTCGAATCTTTGAAAAATCACGTTAGCTGGGATTTTGTTGCAAAGGAAAACCTCTTTTGGACTCACTTCCTACCAAACACCTCGATATAGAATCCTCCACCATTCCATACGCTTACAGAAAAGATGGCAATGAGGAATGCACCACTCCAGAACGGAGACTTGTACAGTATAAACACAGCGGGAAGCTCTGTTATGATACTGTATACTTTTCAGGGAGGTCAGGAGTGATAACACTTTGCGAGGATTGAGAAAAACGTACCCAGTTGTCCGAACATGAATGACGGTATGCGTCCTTGAGGTGGGATTTTGCTAAGGGCCTTTCCGATGATGCTGCTTTTCGAGTTTAAGAGCCATGACATAGAGCTGGTACGTTGGCCGGATTCGATCTTCTTTCGGCGGTCGACGAAAACAAACTGCAGAATATTTGGCGGATATGGATGGAAACGCGGACAAGATAATGGCTCTGCAGAAACCTACCTTCCAGTAAAGGAGTTGCCAGATAAGATCTTGATTATCGTATAAGTAGAAAACAAGCAAAGTACAGCACGACATACAAATTCCTCCACTGAGTAAAAGCGCGCGCAAGGGGTTCAAATGTCGAAGTTGGTTCAGTGCTGGAAATCGGTCCTCAGCATTTGGGTAGTAGTGTCTGCAAATACTGCTCAGCATGTACCCAGTATTGGGAAAGGGATTTCACCAAACCGAATCACCGTGAAAGAAAACGGTGCGTAGATGTGAATGAAAAGACTGGTGACCTTGTCTTGATCATGGAATACTAAGCTATTCCTCCAGGTAATGACCGCACTGGCAAGGCTCCCATGGCTCAAACAATAACACGCGATGAACAGTGCGGGAGATTGAGGCAAAAGCCAAATGTAGATGAAGTTGAGTATATTGACATAGTAGCATAGGTCGAAGAGGAAATAATGCCAAGAGCGTTTCTTGTAAAAGTATACGCGAAGAGGAAGGAGATAAAGAGCTTGGACTGTGTACGCTATGTGTACCCATCTATGATTGATCAGTGTTGTAGGATCAAGCATTATTTTCGACTCACTGAGGTGCTAGCCCAAATAGCAAAGCCGATGATAAGAGAGACATGACGCCGAAGAAGAATGAAATCTTTTCGCGTGTGCGTACAACTTTTGCAGATTGCCACGAGCTAGCGAGTTGCATCATACGGGAAGAAACCTTGGAATGAATTGAATCAACCAAACCGGTGCGTACTAGAAGGCAAGCTAACACCACCTTTAGCTGAAAAGCCTTGGCCTCTCTTTCAAGGTTCGCTATTACATTTTCTCCAGGTGAAGAAGAGTTGCGCCTTCTCAGAACCTCATCCGCCTTCGATTTCAGTCTATCAGAGTGTCGCTGAAGTCGACGTTGAAGGAGATCGACATGTGAGCCAAGGAATGTCTCCAGAGTGTCTAGTGCATGAAGCCTTGAGCAGGATGAAGACAAAGTAATCGAGTTGTACGCACCTAATAAAGTGAACGCAGTGCTGCCGTCCACCATATCGTCGCGTCCAAAAGCGTCGGAAAAGTTATTATTTTGACTGTTTCCATCTAGAAGAGGAGAACTTGGGGCAGACATGATGTTTTAGGGAAGGGCTGTCTAGTTGTGAGATATATAAGAAAGCTATAGAGGGCGCCACCGTTGTTGCTTCTAGCTGAGTACACACTGCATTTGGTGAGTTACAACTTACTGTAAGTTCTCGCCAACGTGCGCGATATCCCCGTGGTAAAGTCGCACGTGAGCGAGATAATTGTCAGCCCCTATGAGTACCTGCATGACGCGCGCTCGGCTTCGGGTTCTACCCTCTAAACCACGGTAACATTCTGGGAACAGCGAGTCGTCGCTGTAGGAATACGAACCTTCTCTAGACCTCAAACTCCGTAGGCGAGCTGCTCTACACCACTTACACTCATCTTGTGTTAATCCCAGATATCATTTAGCGTGACGCCCACCAATTTCAGCGTTCAATATGTCCTACTCCCCACACGCAGCTGCCACCCAACTCGCGTCGGCCTTACGAGGATTCGACCATCTCTTTGCTAATGAGATTTCCTCCGCTAAGAGAGTGTTTGCCTCGGAAACTGATCCATTCCACCTTGTCGGTGCTGGCTGTCTCTGTTTTCTGGAAGCATCTCTGGGGTTAGAAACAAGTAAGATGAGTGAAGCTACCCGTCTTCTCGCCCTTGCCGAGGCTGGATCAAGGGCTGCACTCAAGACTGCCGCCAAATCTAAATCGAGAGCGTCAGCTGCATTTCCCCCTGGCCTCGAATACGAGATCGCAAATGCAGACACTGTGGTACTTCTCGGGATTACACACGCACTCAGCGAGTCTTATATGGGCTATTTACAATGCATCTATGCCATGAACTCTGCGCATGGAAAATTCAGCAAGTTGTACAAGACAGTGTTCCCAAACGGTCTCGATAGCCACACTACCCCTTCGATAACACCCTTTTCCTGGACCCCATCAGTAACACCTTCGCCGGCGGTCTCCCCTGCTATCACACCCAAAACATCATCTTCGAATCTTTCGCTTGAAACATCCGCATTTACCTCAAACTCCAACAAACCCGCCCACCCAGCTGTGAAGCCGTCCTTATCTTTCTTCAACATAGCGGGTAGGTGGGGCTCTGGATCTTCCTCACCAGCTTCGTCGTCAACCTCTTCCCTCTCGCCGCCCACGCCCAATGGTGCATTAAGTGTAGTTGAAGCAGGAAATCCGGAAGAGATTCAGAACTTGAAAAATCTTATCATAGCCGGGACTGCTTTTGGTGCGTTCTGCTATTGGCGCTGAGAATCCCCCCTGCTGATACTCAACAAAAAAAGGATTTGGATTATTCAATCTTGTCTTCTCGCTCCTGCCAAAGAAAGCCCAGTGAGTCAATCGTTAACTTTGGTCATTCTCACCTTGAATGTTGCGGAATAGATCTGTCGCTGGACTCTTCGGTTTCGCCCACTCTCGTCGTCTTGCACTTCAAGCGCTTGCTGTGAGTGCAGAGTATGCAGCTGAAGGTGAAGTACATGGTGTTTTTGCAGGGTATGATTACTTCGTTTCTATCAATTATTAGGTACTAAGGATCTTCGACCGTCAGGTTAGTCCTGATGACGTACCATGGAGTCGTCTTGCTTCTATCTGGATACCAAGCGGATGAGGCTCGCATCATCCGTGAATACGAAGGCGTGGTAAGAGGTATTGAGGCGCGTTACCCAAAGGGTGCACTCTGGATATTGAACAGAGTATGTGCCATATTATGTATTTTCCTTATGTTGTTAAATCATAGACACAGGCCAAAATCCTTCGTATGACATACGATTCAGAAAGTGCTATCCGTGTACTCAAAGGCGGACTGGAAGAGACAAGAAAGGACGCGGAAGGGGAACACAGTGAGGGTTTTAAACAGGCGGATACGCTGGTAAGCCCTTTGCTCCAGTGGTTGATCTTTTATGTATTCACATGAAAACTGGGTTTATACAGTTAGTATTCGAGCTCGCATGGATTTACCTCTCGCAGAGACACTATGTCGAGAGCGCAGAGGCGTTCATCAAATTAACAGAGCTAAATAGTTGGTCTCATGGAACATACTACTTCATCGCTGCTGGTTGCCATATATCGTTAGCTCATTCAGACGAAGTTTCACCTGATGAGAAGGAGAAATATCTGAATCAAGCTCAGAGACTTCTGGATGCTATTCCCAATCTGTTGGATAAGCGGAAAATGGGAGGAAAGGAATTGCCGACAGAGGTTTTGATCAAAAAGAGATGTATGTTTTGAACGTTTTCTATCTGTACGAAATCCTGACTAGTACAATAGTGGCATTCTACAAGGAAAAGCAGAAACGTCGCGGAGGAGACGAAGCAAAGTTTGCGGAATGTATACGGATCAGTCCCGCAGATGAATTGGGTATTTGTGAGTTTACAATTCCTGTCTTTCAACCATATATCTGAATCAACTTTGTGACCAGTTTGGAATACCCATAATCGAATTTCTCCTTCAATTGCAGAGGCACACATCAAAGACTGGTCAGTGCTTTCACCTCCCGTAGGCATCGACAGCCCTTACATGGCACGTCCACCGCCTACAACGACGCCAGATCTAGATACGCCAGACGAACTGGCTCTTCGTCTTTTACTGCTAGGAATTGCACACCGCTCTATTGGCTGCGTCGGAATAAGGATAAAAAATAACAGCCCCGCGTCGACTGAACCCGCATCTTCCTCTTCATCCTATATCGATACCTCGGGCGCTGCACCAGAGTCCATTGTAGAATCTACCTCTTCTCTATCCCTCTTCGAGGAACTCACTCCATACGCTGACAATGCTTCTGCGTGCCTCCGTGCATCTCGCGAACTACTCTCCGCAGCTCACGCTCTACAATCTTCAATCAAAGTTAGCACCTGGATCGGTGGATTGGCAATGTTCGAATTGGCGGTTCTAGACCTGAAGGAGGTCGAAGTCGAGGAGAACAATGAGAAAAATGGCAATTCCATAAATCCAGGACTATCGGCTGATCTGAAGAACAAATGGAAAAAGGCCCTCGAGTCTGCTCGTATCAAGCTCGACGCAGCGATGGCTTTGGCCCCAAACTCGGTTGATTTATCAAGTCGACTTGATAGTCGGGTTGTCATGTTAAGAGACGAAATTGGAATGAAGGCGGAAATGCTCGGATTCACTGCTTGATGCTCTTTGCATTCACGATGGCATATAAGTACATACAAGTTATCTTATTCATTAATATCATCTGCCCCTGCGTTACGAAGACACCAAACACAGTGTAGAACGAATCTGGATATGTAGAATCTGATGCACTAGACTTGTCCTATATCATTAATTTAGCATTATAGACTATAGTATGCCTTGGACGACGTTCTCGAGGAGTGGACACAGTGTAAAAGACAGTAGATGAGCTCAGCCAGCAAGGGGACACAAATGCCGTGGCTGTAGGTACCCCCTGACTGAATAATCTCAGGTGAAGTTCCATTCGCTTTCCAACCCATAACTACGGTCAAGTATCTGACGGATGTTGTATGAATGAGTTGTGTAGCGTTTATTACCTTCAGCGCAAGTGGTGGTGGTGAAGGGTGCTTGAGGTAATTGGAACATATTGTTGCATTCATTATTCTGCAGATGGGTTTTGTTTCACAGATATACATGGATCTATTGAAGTGATGGGATGGTAGTGGTACAAGAAATTATAAAATAACCTGAGTACAGATAGTATTTACAAGTGTTGGTACGACCGGATATACACAACATAAGTTGTAATACAATCGGCAGACACACAGAGTTGTATGATAGAACAACCGGAGCATTTACTTCTGAGCCAGATCCAAAACGATTCGGCCTGCAATCTTCCCAGCCTTCATTCCTTCGTAGACGTTTTCTAGATCTTTCAAGGGTTTCGTGGTAAAGTGCACTTTGACCTGACCCCGTGCAGCGATATCTATAGCTTCCACGGCATCCTGCCTGTTCCCCACATACGAGCCAAGGATGCTGATACTCTTGAACACCGTAAACCAGATCGATGCTTCTAAAGTGGCTTTCCCAGGTAGACCCACTGCCATAAGAGTTCCTCCGGGGCGAAGGTAGTCGACAGCCTGTCTGTATCCTGCACCGGAAGCAGAGGTAACGACGGCCGAGTGTGCACCTCCGTTGGTGATCGATGTGATCTCGGATACGATATCTTTGCACTCCATAAAATCAATCCATTTTTCTGCGCCTAGTTTGAGGCACAATTCTTTTTTGGCGTCACCAGTGTCCACGGCGATGACACGAAGGCCACGGACGCGGGCATATTGTACAGCTGATATTATTAGGAAACGTCCGTGTGAGCTTCTGTGGAATTGAAGAGAGAAGTAGCATACCGAGATGTCCTAGACCTCCTCCTGCACCTGGTAGAACAATCCAGTCTCCAGGGCTGGTCTGGCTGTATTTTATCGCGCGGTAAACTGTCACACCCTACGCAAATGCGATAAACCAATGTATATCGCGAGGCAAATCAAAATGTTTACTTACTGCGCACAGGACTGATGCTGCCTCGTCGCTAGGAATGTTAGCGGGAATAGGGGTGACGTGGTTGACGAATGAGACAACGTATTCTTGGAAAGTTCCGTCGACAGTAAAACCGCTGAGTTTGGCTTCCTTGCAGTCTAATGAAGAGGAAGATGAGAACGATTTGGCTTTTTGGCGAGCTCTTTGCTCACTCTGTTCTCGGCCTTTCCTACAGTCTTCGCAGTTTAAGCACCTTTTGCACCGCAGGTGAGCGTGATGTTTGAGAAGAATAAAATGAATACGAACGAATCGGCAAGCCACTTGATACCAACACGATCACCGAGTTTGACCGGTGAATGAGCAGTATTATTGCCGATTGCGACAATGATGCCGACGCCTTCGTGGCCTCCGATGAGGGGCGTTTTAGCAGGAATTGGCCAATCTCCGAGCGCGGCATGTAGGTCAGTATGGCAGGCACCTAGAAGAAAACAAAATTGTATTGGCTCATTGATTATGCAGATGAATTCGAACAAAAGATGTACCAGAGCAGTCAAGCTTGACCAGGCATTCTCCGGGGAGGAGCTCTTCCTGGGATTTGACCGGGAATTCGTGGTCGATCCGTATGTCCGCACCGCTGTGATCTACAACAGCTGCAGTTTGGAACTTGGGAATAACGAAGTTAGCCATTGTAGAGAAGAAAGTCAGAGAGGTAGATGTTTAATCTGATAACAGAGACATCGCAAGCTGGGGTATTTATAGGGAAGTCTAGATTGAGCCGGAGAGGGGCATCAATGTGATTACGTAATTCATACGCAAAATACTCATTCCAGTGAATTCAGTCCAAGGCCCAGATTGTGGTTAGAGCCTGGTTAGAGCATGGTCACCCGCTTTCAAATTCCATTAGTTAGAGCCTTGAAGCCCGTAGCCTTGTTTGAAGGAGCTCAAAGGCCAGGCTTCGAATCAAAAACAACGCAAGGCTAGAACAACAGCCTGCACATTCTAGAACTTTGGCCCGATGGTTTATCCGCGGGGTCCCGCATGCAGCCGATCTGCACCGACCGCAACGAGCTCACATAGGAGACTAAGGTCATGAGACTCGATATCTCTCGATATCGTCCATCGATACAAGTGCTTTACCCCACTTTACCTGGTAGCAGCTGGTAGCCGGAACTCCTTCAGCCTAATGATGACAGCGTGCAACTTTCGACGAGATACTTATCTTGTTTTCGGGCCTATCATACACAAGGAGTGGTATCCTGTGATCACTCATATCGAGCAGAAAGCAGAAAGGTATTACTCGGTGCTTGACATTTGACAGAGTTCGACATGACTGTACAGGAGAAGGAATAAGTATACCCAAATATTTACAAGAACAAGGAAGCGGAAAATCAAGTAAGTTGCAACAAGCTTCCATCGCCTATCGGCCCTATTGCCTCACCGAGCTGCGGGGTAGGATCTACAGGTGTAGGTTGAGTTCCCTGACCCGTAGTGCCCAGCGAAGCACCATTGGCTGCGTTGATAAGAGTTTGAGGAGCAGCAACACCCATCCCTTGGAACTTGGCAATCTCTCCTCTAACGTATTCCAAAGACCTCTTGATCCCAAGTCTTTCTTGTACCAAAGCAAGCCTAGCACTTTCCAGACCTTTCCTCTCATCTTCCAAAATCTCTTCGAGCTCTTCGAACTGCGTCATCTTCAGTTCCAGTTTCGTCAGTGTGAGATTGACGAGCTTGGAAAGGGAGGATTTTATTTGCTGGTCTTCAGCGGAGGCAAGCGACGCAGCAGCTTTCGCAGAAGAGTTCAGTGCTAGATGGGCAGCGCGGACGACCTTGGAGTGAGGAACACTGTGCTTTGACGAGGAAGGGGAGGGAAGGTTTGCGGAGGTAGAGGATGGATCAACAGACATACGATCTGTTGGAGGACGATTTGTCTCTGTATCCTCATTGCTATCTTCGACCATTTTGTCGTCCTGTTTCTCAGAATCTGGCCCCTCCGCAGCAGTCGTCTTGGTGTCTGTCGTTTCCACCCCTTCAGTTACGTCTGCGACGGGTTTTTGGTCATCTTTGTCGGTTTTTATGAGTTCGTGTAGTGCGGTCTTCGCAGCCTCGGCCCCAACGCTTGGTGCGACAACACCTGCTAAGAATGCGACAACACTCATAACAGGATTATCTGCTTGCTCGAAAGGTACGCGCCCAAACCTGAGGGGACCCATAGACGCTTCGGAATCCAAGTATGGATCTTCAATAGGAAGTGCGATAAATTTCTGTATACACTGCTGTGCGGTACGTGTGCCAACGTGTTCCTGCACCTTGCTCCAATCATCGTCGTACATTTCTACACCTTCAAGTAAGAGTAACACTTCTTGATCTGTCCAGTCATCATCCGTACTCCCATGTACCACAGCACGGGAGAGCTTGACAAAATCACCACTGAACATGTTGGACGGAAAGCGACCCTCCAAGTAGCACGGTGCACATATTTCGAAGTTCTTCTCCTTTAAGTGGTGATATCTGACTGCAGAGCAGTCGGATCCACAAGTATCACAGGTATAGAGACCCTGTGTTCGTGAGCCGTTAGTGCCATTGATGCCATTGGCAAGAGTAGTGGCTTCGGATGCAGAAACCGGCCGTGAAGATTTGTTGGTGGTCTGATATATAGAATTGCGAAGTTTCAAGGATGCGGAGGTAGATGAATCGGTGTGTTGGGAAGCGGAATTGACGCCATTAACGGCAGCAGCGCCAGGGTTGGACGGACGAGTCCCAGGATGCAATGACTGAAGCCCACGAGGTGTGTCAAGGATAACACGGAAGTGACCTGTGAATGGAGGTGCTAGAGTCGCGGGGCGAGTTTCTGGGTCAACCTGGACAAGAAATTGGTATGGGGAATTGTTCTACGATATAGCACATACTTGATAGTTAATAAGCCCCCACTGCTCTAAAAACGCGTGCACACGCATGATGGCACAAACGTCTCCTGCAAGGTTCCGGCGACATGCAGTAAGAGTTAGGTATTCTGTGGGCCTTAGACGATATGTGTTAATCATGAAGTCGCGGTAATCCTTGTATATCGCTGGCGTTTTGGATCTGTTTCTTGAGTTGAAGAACTCGGGCAGAGCGCGCCTTTCGACCGGATGGATTTTAGACATGTCGAACCAGGCAGAGAAGGAAGGAATAATGACTTCGTGAGTCTGCGCAGCGAGATACTTTCTGGCCTGTTCCTCTAGACGCTGCCGAGTAGCTTCCAGCTGTGCCGGATCTTCGTCGTCGTTGTCGTCTCCAGAATCACCGTCGTCGTCCGCGCCGTCTGCCATAGAAATGTCGCCTCCATCGTCATCCTCCGCGTCGGCTTTGAGAAGCCTGACGCGACCGCCTGATTCCGGTCGAGGCTCGGGTTCTCCTTCTGGTGGCAGATTGCCAATCTCCCCAGCAGAAATTGGCTCCAACTCACTGCGTTTTCCGGGCGCAGTTTCAGGGTCTACAGGTGTCGCATTTTCTGACATTCTCGCCCTCTTCGCGTCACTTTCTTCTGAAGACGGGGAACCGGTTCTCTTCTCCATATTTTTGATTGTGAGAGACTAGAGTATATTTGATGGTTATCGGCAGGCCAAACAAACGAACATCGGCACAGCTTTGACCATACAAGCACTCAAAAACAAGCCTTATTGAAGAACTTTTGGTTAAAATAACATTAAGTATTGCAACCTCAGTACTATACAATAAGCAGAAGTAGTCCGATGTCAAAAGAGAGCAGGATGTGGGTGAGAAGTCCATATTATTTTCAAAAAAAACTCCAGATTCATCGTACTGAGTCCATTAAGCCTGGTTTCCAATCGCTGATGATCGGAGGAAAACGTGAACAAACTGGCAGGTGGAAAAATCGTAGCCATAGTCCTCGCTGAAGCTGGCAGGTTTGAATACGAGGCCCAATTGCAAACTATTGTCAGTGCGATTACAGATGGACCAACTGTCAGATGTGCCTTCGGCTGCCAATACCGGGCCAGGAATAGGACTACCATTGGGATCAGTGTTGACCTGAAATGAAGGCGTATAATCAAAATCATATCCTTGGTACGAAAATGGATCGCAACGCACCAGTTCACAATAATCCTCAGCAATTCCGGCCAAAGTGGAATTTTTGGACAAGAAGAAGGGGAGAGGACCGCCATCCTCAGTGCTTTCGGAGATCCAGTTTCTGGTCTGGTCATTGCCATCAGGATAACCTATTCCAACCAATCCTGAATTATTGAGTTGGAACAGGTTCCCTACTGTGACTCCGGCATAATCAGCAGGCTAAAGAGCTGTGAGATGCAAGTATAAAAAATGAAGAGTTATCTGACGGACCGCTAAGAAAGCGGAGTCGACATCCCCTCCCGTCCCGAAGGTGCTCATCGCCAGAGGTAATTCGACACCGGTCTCGTTGTATTGGGCCCACAACGAGAAGTAATCGGAGTTAGTGCTGATGCCGTTTATAGGGAAATTACTGCATCCATCGTCTCGCTTGAAAATCGCAGCACCCACAGCACTGGAGGAGAAAGCGAGAAGAGATGAAAAGATGACAGTGGCAAGCATTCTGAACGTAGGCGGTTAGGAATGAAGCGATGAATTGAAGGGGTGTTAAAGATTGGGGGGACAGAAAAATACTATTAAGTGGAGCTTCGCCTACTTATATACCTCACCTCGCTAACCCTGTCTTTACCGTAACCATACATTCAGTATACAGCCAGCCGAGTCGAAGTCTTGGCTCGGCCCTACACAGCTGCAATAGCCATGACGAAAGTTTATTCAATTTTGGATGTTTGGCTTTGCGTTTGCTTTGGGTTCTTCGAGGGTCTTTGTCGGTCGTAAGCTTTACTTCTACATCCAAGCTGTCAGTAGTGGCGGGTTCGAAACGCTATGGCAATGCGATATGTTATCCGGCGTGGCAACCCCGAACAAGCCCAGTCTTGTTGGGGTTCGAATCCCGACGCGGGAGTGTGGACTAGTGTGGCACGAGAAGGCATACATACAGGTATACAGTTGAATACTACGACTGCGACTTAGGGGGACGCTCTGGGGGCAAGGGGTAGGAGTGGATAGATAGGTGGACAAGATATACATAGTGGCCCGGTAGTGGCCTGATTTCTAAATTCTGATCCATCCATGACAATGCGAGGGCAGTGACATGTATATCCTGTAGCACAACCGACCTATGATAAGAAACGAGATCAAGATAGATAGATTTTTACACGAGTACATACATATGCATACTCATTGATGCTCAAATCCAGTGCTCGAGTTCTTACCTGCAGCATAAAATACTCAGAAGCTTTTAGCTGAGTCTTTGTGTTCTGGAAATTGTTTTCAATGACCCGCGTTATGCAAGATGATGGATTATTTACTGTAAAAGAAAAGCAGAGTACCTGAGAGTACCTATGAGTGATTAAGTTCTAAAATTCCGAGTCGAATCCACATGTTTTCAATGCGCGAATAACACACGCTAAACCAGTCCCCAACACCAGCCCAACAACAGCGCGCAAACCTGTATACTCAAAAATATCAAAAAATAACGCAAGCCATTTCACAATACCGGCACCATTGCTGCCAGTATGATACGTCCCACAGACGGCATTATTTCCTCTTGGTCCACTACTCTCAGCATACTCAATCTCAAACGGTAATCGTACAGTGGGCTGTAATATGGAAGCATAAGAGGACGCTGCAAGCAACCCAGAGGTAAAACCATCCTCGTGGAAACCGTATTTGAGGTAAGCACCAGCGTAAGAAATATTGCGTTTGTCCTGAATTTGGGACATGAGGTTTTGCGCTTGAACGGCCTAGGTGACTATTTTCAAAAGTACTTCGATTGGATGCAACAGACAATCGTACCTTCCCATCTAGAACAGGATGTTCGTAGCTGTGACATCCAAAATTCGTTGCAGGTTCGAACGGAGGATTAAGAGTGACTAGGACAGGTCCGTGCTCATCCTCTGAGATGTGTTGAAGATCGTTCATGCCATCTAAATGAAATATAAGATATTTATAGTAGGAACTGTGAAGTCAGTAAACGTACACGTTCTATTTCGAATGATAAGTATCTTTCAATCGGTAAAAGTATACAACTCACAAGGAAACCTTGTCACTATTAGCTTTCCGTATACCCTTTTCGTCCACCTGGGAGTACGTCAAGTAGTTCCAACAAGACCAAGCGGATCGAGCTTTGGGCATGAGCTGAATATCATTGTGAACGACGACCGTATTCCTGTTCCATTCAAACATTCCGAGAATTGTCTCTTCGTCTTTAGTCACGTCCCCTCCTGCGCGCAGGATCGAGAGGGCAGTATCCGAATGGCATGCAAGGATTATATGATCGTAAGTTGATGATTGTCCAGAAGCAGTGGTAAGCTCTACCGAAGACCCGCTGTTGCGAATGGATGCGATAGGAGTGGACAAATGTAATTGAGAGTCCGGGAGAGAAGATAGAATCGTTTTCACATATTGATGACTACGAGAATGTAAAACAAAAGTCCAGATACGTGCAATATTGTGGACTCACCTCCCTCCTGGAATTGTAAGCCACGAAGGTTTTCCGGTGACCTGGAGGAGATGATGGTTGTGCATGAACTGTATCAGTGTGCGCGCAGGAAAGTCTAATGCGCATTTATCTGGAGGAGTGCTCCAGATTGCCGCAGTCATTGGCTGAACGTCGTTAGAAAAGGATGGGGAAACATTAGACGACTACTCACGATAAGATAGTTGTCCTTGAAAGACTCCGAGTAACCTTCCTTGTTCAAGTATTCCCCGATGGAGATTTCTGTTACATCGACAGTGCCGCTATTCCATTGTGCTACAAGCCTTTGCGCCGAAGCATTGAAGCGCAGGACATCATAGAGCATCCTCCACATATTCGGATCTATTAGCCGTCGAGGCTGGCAGAACACGGTGAAGATGGTATCTCCAGCCCATTCAAATTTACCATGATCTCTCGATACGCTGAAAGTCATTTCTGTGGGGGCAATTGGTATGTTGGGATAACGCTTCAAGAAGCGCAGGAAGTTTGGATATGTGCATGGGTTGAAGACAATCTAGAGACGACCATTAGATGAATGCTGAAACAAGGTTCACAAATTGTCACTAACGAATCCAGAGTCCACATTTACGCCTTCCTTAGAGGGGAAATGGACGGTGTTCGCATGACCGCCAGGTCGGTTGTCGGCTTCGTATAAATGAACTTCATGTTGACTGTGTTCATTCAAAAGCTATCTGTCTGTCAGACCCGCATAAACACGAACAGAAATCAGGTAATTACCCAAGTGGCCGCCAATCCAGAGACACCGGAGCCAACTACAGCGACTTTCATGGTAAAGAGATAAGGGAGAATTTGAAAATGGATGATAGTTGCCCCTTTTCATGGTGTTCTTGGTGACCGTCGCCAGTGTGCAAATCATTCTAAGTCTTTGTGTTGTGACCTGTTGTGACTTATGGAAAACTTACGAAGGAATAATATTTCCCTTTATGAAATTTTTCCGTCATAAGTTCTACGCAATACTGTACCTCTATGTACAGTTACAACCGTCACGTGTGCGTCACGGTCCCCATCAAGGCGACGAGCCCCATTTCGACCGTGACATGGGCGACCGTTAATATTTTAGTCCATTATTCCGAGAGGCTTGGTTAGTGCTGTGGGCATATGATGATGAGGGGAATCTGTGGTCAGAGACAGGAAATTTCAGGTAGCAGTCTTGTAGGAACCAAATCTATTATTTTAGCAATTTTTTGATGTCACGGTCGGAACGAAGGCGACAGGCTTAACTTTTACCGTGACATCACGGTAAAAAGGCGACACGACGAGGCCTCCGTGACCGTGACCGTCGCAACTGTACATAGAGGTACAGTATGTAGAGCTTACATATTAGCAACACGTCGAAAACTTTTTGAAAACGAAAAATGAACAGTCATGCTTTGATCATGCTACAGTACTGACATTGTGACCACATCTGCAAAACATGGATATTCGGCTAAGGGCTGAGAGCAGATCCCAGCAGATCCCAGTACCGAAAGCACTGAGAGCAGGCTGCTCTGAGTGCTTTCACTGCTGGGAAATGCTTTCAACTGCTTTCGGACCCTTAGCCGAATATCCAGGTTTTGCAGATGCAGAACTCAAGAATGTTCCGCCCTCTACCCTTTGTAACAAAGTTGCCCAGCCTCCGGTTGCGCTATAACGATCCATACGTGTAGGCCATCAAAGCCTGTCATATTCGTGTACCCTCTCCTCAAAAAATCATGTCGTACGAGCAATTACTAGAAGTTGTACAGTACTGAGTACATAGAATAAGACAAACCAATGCAACTTTGTCTAATGCTGATCACGTCCTCGTCACACTTTTCGACTTTATCCCAGGATCTTTTCGACGTGGAGCAACTTTTCGACGTGCTGCTAATAAGCTCTAATCTTATGCTTTTAGCTGCAAATTTCCGAATAGCCGAACAGACATTGTGTAACTTTTCCACGTTTATGATCCGGATCGAATGCTACGCTATGGTACGGTCATTGGTCAAAAGTCCTTCCTAGTTGTGCTGTACATATAATATGCATACATGATCTAGATACAATTTTATATCATCCTCTTCAGCAGCGGTCATTATTCTATAGCTTTGATCCAAACTGCGACTCTGTTACACCAGCACCCATAGCAGCTGTCGACGATACACCTCCGGTTACTGTCTTGAGTAGGTTGTCTGCATAGTCGGCTCCACTCCACTGTAAAGTATATCAATATCGATTTGGAGGTGAAGATGCGCTGGCGTTGAACTCACCTTTTGATGTGTAAGTACGTCGGTACCAAGTTCTCTCTCCTTTCGCTGAATAAGCTCCACGTAGGCTTTCATACCAGTTTTAGCGTATTCTTTCGCGAAGAGATCAGATATGTATGCGTTGGAATGCAGACCACCAAGCGTGATGAATTGCCAGACAAATCCGAGTTTACCCTATGAATGCATCAACAACGATTATGGATACACAGAATAAGAAATTCATACCAGCTCCCAGACGTACGACTGCATGTCCTTCTCATTAAGACCGGCAGCATCCCAATTAAATGAAGGTGATAAATTGTATGCAAGCCAGTGTCCCGGATACGCTGCGTGTACTCCGGCTGAAAATTGCTGAGCCTGCGACAGGATGGGCTTCTTCGTTTCCATCCACAATAAGTCGGCGTAGGGCGCAAACGCTATTGCACGATGAATAGCACATTCTGTTCCTCCTTGGTATCTGTAGTACCCTTCCCGCGTTCGTGGGCTGTCCCAATCCCAATAAGGGACGGACTGCAGACCAAACTCCTTCTGTGCGATGACTACCGCATCAGGATAGGAAGACTTTGAAACCAGCGCAAGGAACTTTTTCACGGTCGCGTCGTTCTTGCCTTCCTTTGCAAGCGCCTGAGCCAGAGTGCTAGAGAATACCTGGAGGTTGGCAGCAGCCATCCATTTGTCTTCGATTGCTTGAAGTTCATCTCCAACTTTCCCAGCCCGTTCAGCGTCAACCATAACTTTGTTCAAGGGAGGTAGAGATGAATTCGTACAGCCGAGTATGAACGGGTGATCTCGGTCATCAATATTGGAAGTGATGAGAGTAGCAGCTTCGGAGTCTGTTCGTGCAACAGCGAGGTTTTCGACACCAAGGATATCGTATTGAAGCCGAATGGCAACAAGTCTGTTGATATGTTCGGAGATGGGTACGAGCACCTTACCAGCCATGTGCCCGCACTTTTTGGTACCAGGTGCTTGATCCTCGACGTGAATACCAGCTGCGCCCTTCTCGACAAACAGTTTAGTCAATTTCATGATGGCGGTCAAGCCTCCATGACCAGTATCCGCATCAGCCACGATAGGTCGGAGATAATCAATAGCAGGGGTTTTAGCTAATTCCGAGTCGGACATGTTGGACCGTGCTTCTCGTTGTTTACGGTCATGGAAGAGTTGAGCCATGAACAAGTGTTCAACCTTGTTGGGGACTGTGTTTGAAGGATAATCTTGATATTCATCAATTAGCGGGGCGGGTTTTCCTTAGACTGATTGACCAACTTACCTGCGAGATCAGGACCGGGTTCATTGGTGCTAGACGCCGTACTGGATGATTGCCAGCCAGAAACGTATACAGACTCTAGATATTTCGCCATTTGTGTGACCTGCACGGGATCAAGGCTTGAGAATGATATTAGTGGCAGGTAACATGATTGCGATTAGAAATGAACTTACGCTCCGTACGTATGAGAGGGAGTTCCGCGTTTAGCATGCTCACCGAGCAGAGCAAAGAATTTTTGGGCTAAGATGTTGGATGGATATTCAATTTTGATAGTACCACGTTTCGAAACGACGTCGGCCGCAGTATAAGGTCGTGTTACTCGTGCAAAGCGGGGACTCTAGAAGATGGATGGATGTTAGATGTGGAAACAACCCGTATATGAAGGAATGACCTTCCACCATTGCTCCACCTGCTTGACCTCCGCTTCAAATGCAGCGCGTTCGTTTGACATAGTGGATATCCAGTAATAGTAATGGCAGTGGTGGCGAGGTTGAGCTCCCGCGCCAAGGCCTCTCCTCCGTATTTATGTATAGCTCCTGTCCTAGTAAGGGGCATGTGATAATTCCTCGGAACTCGATTTGGAACCCGCTTTCAAAGGAAAAGAAATTTCCGACGGAAGCCCTGTTCATTGCCCCCTCTCCGAAATCCGCTTTCATGTGGAGTTACACTGGGGTATTTTCGTCCCGCGTCTGTTTTGCGGCGAATGGTAAAGTTTCTGACAAAGGACCGCATTGAAAAGTCACGATAAAGCCCAGGTCATCTACATCGTGAGTCAAGGTAACTGCTTACGCCTTATGTCCACAGAGTTACTATATACTGATCATGGTCTCATGGTCCTTGCTTTATAGACTTTCCGCAGACCTGCAGACTGTTCAGACACTCGGGGTGCGGCAGAACAAGACGGGAGATATATGTGACGGCGGCAGGCCGGCGGGAGCAGAGAACGGATCCCCGTGCGTCTCGGAGACCGGTTCTAGAGCTCTCAATAGTCGAGTCGTTCTGGATTGCTATAGTATACAACGCACTATCAAAAATCCACTATGATTGGTTGTTCATCTTCTGTCGCCATCATAGACTAATCCTGCGAGTCCATATCGCACGGAGAACGCCAGGACGCTTCCACCAATCTGGTGTAGAAACAATCCATTATTTTGACTTCGCAGAGAATGCCACACTCGCACTTACCTGACAACACATTAAGACTTGAACCAATCGCTTTTCGTTCATCGGACCCAGTCGGACAAGGAAAAAGTTCAAGATCGTTAGGTTAGTTGTTTCCAGTATTACGCCAGAAGGATGCACAGTCAAAACAACCAGTTTGAAGATTGATAGGATCCGCAATACAGTTGCTGTCAATTTCGAGGGAGGTTTCATGAATATCGCTTTGGACGGATGGAGCAAATTTGTATCTGCGTCAATTCTATGGTCATGCTATCAGAAAGGCTTGACGCAAATGATGAAGAAAGTACCTTGGAACACGATGTCGAGGACATGGGACTAATCCGAACAATTGCGGGCACGAAAGGACAAAATTAAATATCTGCGGCAAGAAGAACAGCAGCAACGTTTTCGAAAAGTGTGCTTGTATGCCCACAACTGCAAATGCCATTCCAGTGACATAACAAAGCGTATCCCCAGGAAAAACACGAGCTGGGTACCTGGGACAACCGTCAGCAGATCGCGGGAGAAATCCAAAGCCTACGGACCAGTTATGATACATAAATCCAGAACAAACCGCGACAAGCGGTAGCATGAAGTACAAGCTGAACAGATGTCTTTCAACGAGTTCCTTGCTTCCATATGCCATCCCCGCACTCCAAACGCCGCCGAATTCAACCTCTGCAGTACTCCCCAGAAGGTGGACGGGTAGATGGAAGCCAATTGGCCAAGGAAGGTATAATAAGTCATTCAAGATGACTGATATCGCAATGATGAGTGCCTGGCTAACTTCTGAGCCATTGATGCCAGCAAGGATATTTATGCTGTTTGTAGCGAACGTGGACAGTAATGACATATAAAGATAATACAACGGTCCTGCGCAATAAGAATCAACTCGGTACGTTCTTATAGCAATAGCTTACCTACCTAGGTTAAGCAGTGATCCGAGGAGGAATCTCAAGGGCAACGGAACGACAATGTGGGTGTTTCCTCGTTCGGCATAGTAGACCATAAGAAGTGGGATAGACGCGATGATTGGAATGGGCAATTTGTGTCGCCATCGTATGTCAAAGACATCATCGAGAAAACCAAGGATGGTTGCAATGAGGAGAGAAAGGAGCGAAGAAAGATAAACAGACAGCTATCCAGCTCATTAATATCTGAAAGATGAATCCAGACTCAAGGTTCTCTCACTCTTGAGTGCGGAAATTCGGACACAAATATTCCTTCAGGTGTTCGCGTCGACCTGATGGTCAAAGAATCGGAAAATGCAAATGGAATGAAGAGGATCAAAGCAAGAATGTATACAGATGCGCAAACGAGCCCTAAGCTTTCTGGTCTAACAAGAAACAATGAAAAGCCGCATGGAGGTTATACCAAGAACGTACATTTGTGTTGCATACACCTTAAGCAAATCCCTTCCGCTCAGATGCGCCTTAACGAAAGTAGGGCCCAGAGCTGGTACCAAATATAACGTAGCCATGAAGGTAAATATTGAAAAACCTATCGATGTGTATAGAGCTGGCAAAGAAGGTATAGGGTCCAGAAACGGGCGAACGATGAACCAAGAGGCTATCGGGACCAAGGCGAGCAATAGAGTGGAAGATATTGGGCGTGGAGGTGGCTGAGAGGACGCCATAGTTCAAAGACGTAGCAGCAGGTGAAGTTGTAATGATTCAAATTTACACGACATTTTCCTAGGACGTGTCCATGTCACGCGATGAATCACGGGCGGCTAATTACGGTAACGAATGTCTGTCTCCTCTTCTTCTATCGCGCCGGAGCATCTCAACAGCTCCGGATGTCGGATTCAGTACTCTGAAAGCAAGGGAAGAGGAGTATACGGTCTGTGCCCTCAACCGAGTATTAGTCAACACCATTTAATCATCTATTCGAGCAGCTTCTCGAGAAATTCCAAGAAATACGGTCATCGAAATCAGCCCAATTTTGTTTTTCGGAAAAGAAGAATACGAAAAGTACGGAAAATATACCGTCTTGGATCATTACACTTTCAAATGGAAAGATGGGCGAATGGCTTTAGCTCTTGGTCTTGGTAAGTCGCGTCCACTGTGTGTGTGGATTGAGACTAATACGTCTAGCAAGGCTCACTTTTCAACCATTCGAATTCGCCAAATGTTTCTTACACCCTTGATCCTTGCACGGACTCTATACGCTATAGAACTGTTCGAAATATCGATCCCGACGAAGAACTCTGCATTTTCTATGGTCATAATCTATGGTTCGATCCTGTCGATACTACTGTATCTGTCATAAATCCCGAGCTTGAAGATGGTTGGGGAGGCTTGTCTGCAGCTTGGAATGACTACGATGATCCCGGGAAACTCTCGAACAGCGTCGATCAGAATGAGATTGTCGATGATCATTCTCTTCCTTTCACTATGTTGAAGCCTCCTCCGGAGGAAGAGGATCTGGCAACAGTTAGGACCGGTACGTAACACTCCGATTATGGTTCATTCCCTCATACAGAGGCTCTCCATCCAGTTCTGGCTTGGGTCGTCGACGTTCCCGAATCTCGTCAGATCACGACCTTGCTCAAGTATGTCATCAAGTTAACAAGAATGCTGCATCACATTGATTACAGTGTTGCAGGTGGCTCAAGAACTCTGGATTGGAAGACGCTAGTCTTGGACATCTCAAAAGAATTCGAAAACAGGATGGCAAGACGACGCTACTGCTGACCGTTGATTCAACGCCTCCCGAATTGCCTGTCGAACTTGAACTTGCCTCCCCGTTCCAAATCCCTGTGCCATCATCGGCCGCCTTGACCCTTACTTCTCTCAGTCTGAAAGCTACCTTCTGGCCTACTTTTTATGCTCCAAAACGAAAAGGAGAAGTGGAACACTGGTCGCGGGGCAAGGTTGAATGGGCTAGAGAGGCAATGAAGGTTGTTGAAACAGAAGCTCTCAAATCCCAATCTGAAAACGAGGTTAGATTTTCTATAAGCTTCTGAATTTGCATATGGTTAGCCTCAACGTTTTTCTAGCTTCCGATATCCGCTTTCATGCCTGCATCATACGGTGGCGGGGAAAATGAAAAAGTTGCAGTTGCCTGTGACACTCGAAACTCAAATTCACATCCTCTACGGCATGCTGTACTCAATCTCATCCGACGAGTGGCAGATTTGGAAGCGGATAACAGACTATCATCTGAGAATGGTTCCAACTATCTTCTGACTGGGAGATCGGTGTTCTTAAGCCACGAGCCATGCATCATGTGTAGTATGGCACTCCTACATTCACGCGTCAAACAAATTTTCTATCTCAACCCAATGAGAAGAACTGGTGGTTGTGGAGGTGTTACATGTCTGCCAACTCTCCAGGGCGTTAATCATCGATTTGAAGTATTTGTTTGGAAAGAAGTCGTATCTAAACTAATAATAAATGAGGCGCTGGATGCATAATTCGTGTTTGTGTTCCGAAAGCGAGAATCTATGTAGGGGAAATCTACGGAAATGGTGGGACCTAAACTATCTTACATTCACCATTCGTTCGGAACCTCTTACCACAACATCACGACCGCGGAAAGCAAGAACAACACAATCAAAACTCTTCCTTTTTCGGTATCCCAAATTTCCATCCCTCTCATGCTAAGGCCTTGCATGCCTCCCATACTTTCGACGTCTTCTTCCGCTTGTGCGAACGCCGCTATCTCCTCCCCATCTGGACCTCCGACAGACGTGTCCCAATTCCCCACACCAGTGATACTGGCGTACCCATCTCCAGAGGCCCACATCCGTTCTTCGAAAACGAGCCCCGTGGGTACGTCATTGAACCAATATCTCACCACCGGTATCGGGGTAATACCTTTGGCAGCGCATAAAGGCATGTGCTTTCTCAGTTTACGAACATGCAATCGGAGACGAGAATGTGATAAGGTTCCTGGACGAGGATAACGATGCAATGAAGTAGAGCCCAAAGAAAATTGCGTTGGATTCAAAACCTCTGCATCTGCATCTGCATCCGCATCAGCCTCGCCCAATGCCAACACTGTGTCTGTGCGCCGAAAAGGAACGAACGTCGAATAAGGCTGAGATACTCCGCGGGTAGATGACACTGAATCCGACTCTGCCGCTTCTTTAGCCTGCATTCGCCAATAGTACTGGGACTGGAAAAATTGTGTGGAGGAAGCCATGGCAAAGTCGGCAGCATTATATAGATCATCCGCGTCGCATCGCAATTCGACCAAGTCTTCAAATACAGGATGAATAGGAAGCAAAACTTCCAATGCTTCATGCAAGTTCTTATTCAGATCATGAAATACAGGGGCAGTACCCGTTGGCTGGACGTCCGTGTCTTCAGCAAGCAGTTCCTGATTTTGATTGAGGTGCAATTGGGGTGCATCATTTGCAGGAGCTAAATCTGCATCGTTGGGACCTCTGAATGAGGATTTGTACCCAATGGCAGGGATATACAGATGCGTGATAGACGGTAGGGATTCCATAGTTGCTTGGCTCTCAGAAGCAGACAGCTCACTGTGGCGTGCGTCATATGCGCTAGCAAGACGACGAAGTATAGGAAGCAGATATGCGATACTGATATCCAATGCAAGTCGACGCAGAGAGGGTAAGTGTTCAAGTTCGAGATGGGATTTGAATAGCGCATCAATGCCTAGCATAACTTGTCAGACGCCATTTCAATCCACATAAATGACAAGTTTACCTTCGTCAAAAGTTTTCCCTTCCGCCCAACTTCCTGTCTTCAGACTAAGCTCTTCCAACGTGCGTCCAGCGGCCCGCAGGATTGCGCCTACCCCAGGTAAAGACCGGGCACTAGAGTACTGTTGGGAATGCCAGTCGTATTCGAATTTGCGCAAAGAGCCACAGAACGGTGCAATGAGAGCGATAGTAGCAGGATCATAAATATAGGCGATTGAGAGAGATGTTAATTGCCACTGGGCCTCAAGCTCCATCTCCCCCTTGTTTCCGACATGCGTAACTTCGACTGAAGAAAGTTCCAACGACTCTAGAAATGGCAGGCTCTTTATTAAGTTTTGAAACTCCTTCTGGTCCTCGAAAATCACGAACTCAAGGCGCAAGGATGTGATTGTGCGGAACCAGACCTTCTCAGGGCCCTCGGGAGTGACCCACACGGACGTAAACCGCACGGATAAGGAAGTAAGGTGGCCGAATACGGCGTGAAGAGCAGCGTGGGTTTTCGGTGTTCGAGAAGCCCAAGACGTGATTACACGCTCGCTGTCCGACCCCACGTCGGAGCGAGGACTGGAACTCAAGTCAAGGTGCTTGATACGAGCATCGACGAAAGTGCTGGGCGTATCGTTGTCGAGTAAATTGAGGAATGTGCGAGTGCGTAAGTCATTAGGAAGAGCCAATGAGGAAAACAGGGTACCGCGAGATGCGGGTATCCAGCGTTTACAGACCAAGGCGCAAGAGGGAAGTGTTCTTCGATCGACAAACGATATAATGACTTCGAGCAATTCGAGAGGGAGTGAGTCGAGGCCGGTCTCGAGCAATTGCATTGACATGGGGGGGAAGAAAGAGAATAAATTTGTTGATCTGTTAATTGATTCGTGGACCAGAGTGAAGTCCATGTAAAGGGATTGACTCTTGAGAACCAAATACTGAATGGCTGGCAGGCATTCACTCAGTGATTGTATTGCGCCCCTTGTGCGGCACGGGCGAACACCGGTACCAGAGATAGCTCGGAAACGGTACTAAGATGGAGTGGGGAATGTTTGATTTGGAAGAGGCCACCTCTACTATATCCCTTCAACGATGCTTCAATTTTCAACATCTGTGAATTAGCAGATAAAGAGACAAACGTTCAATACGGAAAAAGTCCGTCGGTCCACATGGGTCCACTTGCATAAATACCTCGTCAAGTTCAACTTGAAAACAACTCACCCTTGCCCAGTGCCCACCTCGTCGAGCCCTACCTAACTTAGCCAATTGCAGACGCTTAGCGACTTGCATTTGCCATGGCTCGTTGGACTCGTCTCTTCGTATCTGCATTGGTGTTCGTTTTCGTCCAAGGTCTTGCACAGTCGACGATTGCGAGCGCCCTGCCCGTGTATGTATACGTTTTGATAATTCCTTCCGCCACATCCTTCTGCACCTCCTCCCACACTGTTCTTTGAGGTCCTTTCGTTATAACAGATTCATACTAATCGATTGTGCAATATAGATCGATCGAGGGCGAGGGCGAGGTAGCGCGCAGAAAGTGGTGTGAGGACTGCATCAACCATATTATTGATCATCATGGTCGCCAACAGGAGTGATCATGTCCTCGGCCGCCAGAGCAAATCCTTCTCGAAGCAAATTTATTTATTCAATTTCTTTATCATTGTGACTTGCAAGAGGGTTTCAGTGAGTGGGAATGTCGTTTATCTATATAATACATCTGCAAAACCTGGATATTCGGCTAAGGGTCCGAAAGCAGTTGAAAGCATTTCCCAGCAGTGAAAGCACTCAGAGCAGCCTGCTCTCAGTGCTTTCGGTACTGGGATCTGCTGGGATCTGCTCTCAGCCCTTAGCCGAATATCCATGTTTTGCAGATGTACCAACCCGAATAATTCGTTTTTAAGTGTATATAGGCTCGATTTCCAGCTCTGGAGTTGGAAAAAAAAATCAGTAACTGTTATCAAACACAATTTCATGCTCCGTGCTTTGCCCGTTTAAAAGAAGCAAAAGTTCTGCCCTTTATTCCAGTATCATGCCTCCCAGGTTGGGTATGCATTGTACTAATCTGCAAAACCTGTTTTTTCGGCTAATTCTCCGAAAGCAGCTGAGAGCGCTTCCCAGCAGCCAAAGCACCCAGAGCAAGGTTGAAATTTTGCTCTCGGTGCTTTGGGTGCTGGAGAGCGCTCTCCAGCCAGTACCCTTGCTCTGGCGAACATACAGGTTTTGCAGATGGCCTAAATGCTGTGACTACTTTTCAACCCTATAATCTATTGTCAATGGCTATCAGAGTAAGAATTACTACATAAGAATTATTGAGTCACCGTAGCAACTACGGTCAGTATGCGACCAATGATCGTGGGGATATAATAACCTGATAACAACTAGAGGTAAACAACGCGATTGCAGTTCTTTATCTTGCACCATGCCAGCCGCTTCTTCTTCACGTCGTAAACGCGTCGCACCGTCCTCGGACATTGAGGATGGGCCTACACAAAAATCTACTCGGGAAGACGTCGAAGAAGAAGATGACGAACAGCCTCAACGCGTAGTCAAGAAGGAGAAGAAAGTAGTAAAGGGCAAAGGTCGCGCTGCCGAGGCTTACTACAGCGAAGAAGAGGAAGACGACGACGACAAGATTGATGTCGATAGCTTTGCTGATCAACCTTTGGACAAGAGCCATATTATCAGCATGAATGGATTTGCGTCAGACTGGGGGACCATGATCAAGACTGTTCAAAGAACAAACAACATGGTTGCTGATGTCGCTGTTGCATTAGCCGATAACGTCGAAGGTGATGTCGGTAAAAAGGTTAGATTCCCGTCCTGGTTCGCTATGGTCTCCTAATACATGTAAACTAGGGCTTGTTGGAACTAGAACGTTTTCTCAAGGAACTTGTTGACATTGAGAGTGAGATGCACATTAATTACGAAGTCATTCAAAACCTGGTTCAACAGGTAACCATTGGCACGGAGATTGTAAGTTCTGCTCTGCCTTAATACCCTTTGTCAACTGATTGTATTTCAGGACAACATCGTCGAGCAATATCAAGACAACGTCAGGAAAAACAAAGAATCATATACCTCCAAAACGACAAGGCAGAAGTACGCGAAGAACGAAACATACAAGAACTTCAAGCAATCTGTTTATGTGTGTGCCATGAGTCGCTGCGCGCTGCACATTTTTTGATATTCTGATAGGAAATCGAACATCCTGGAGAGGCCATGCCTCCGATCACCGAGTTCATGCCAAAAGGTAGCGTCTCGTTGTAACTTCCTCATAACTCAATCACTCATAGAGTATCCCAGAATCTGGCGATGACAGTGACGACGACGATGACTTGGAAATGGGTGCGGTGACGCAAGACTATAAATGCCCCCTCACGCTGAGGCCCCTAGAGAATCCGGTTACTTCGTTCGTATTCTACTTTCTTTTTTGAAGATGTCATAGCTAATGTGACTCAAGTGAAATCTGTGGGCATTCATTCTCGCAGGACGCTATTCGGGAGATGTTTGCTGGATTCAGAGGCCCTAAGAAATGTCCTGCCTCGGGTTGTACGCGGGAGTTTAGACTTGTGGACTGTAAGCCAAATAAGGAACTTGTCAAGAAGCTCAGGCTGCACGCGAGGAGGCTGAAGAAAAAGGAACAAGAACAGGACGCGGAGGAAGTTATCGAATGAAGAAGTCTATCTAAAATTCTGCATATGTATCTTCCTCTAAACCCTCTTCTGAATCCTCTTCCTCATTCGTTTCATGATCCGTATACTCTGTCTCCATATTAAGCTCGATGGACAGATCTCTCTGTGTTGTTGTGTACCGAGAGCGCTTTTGCTCTGATACGCCCTCAAAGCTGTGTTTCCTTTTCAACCTTGTCCTCGTGTCCTCATCCTCGTCGTCTGTAAGATCCTTGATTGAATCGAGGAGCAGACCCAAAACGATGTATTGAAAACTCCATGCACCGAACTTGCCTTGGGCCGCTTGTTTGCGGGAAAGAACCCATGTTGACCATGCCCGCTCACACACCGTTTTCAAGTCATGCTCCTCGGCAATTTGATTTCTCATGTCTTTGACGAGAATCTGGGTATGATCTCTGACGGGAGAAGGTCAGACTTTTGTATAAGATTTCTCGATGGTACATTGAAAAACCTTAGTCTAGCCATCTTCTCCCTTCTGCTCTTGAAATGGGAGGTTTTTGCAGCAATAGTTCCCAGAATGACTTCCTCCTCGGCGAGGGCCGTTGTCGACGACAGTGTATACGACGTGGTGATGCCCTCAAATAAAAAGATGAAATTTTGAAAGATACGAAGTACTTCATCTTCTGACTCTTGACTGATGCCGTGAACATCTATACCATGATGACTGAGGATGCCTTTGAGAAGGAGATATAGGTCGTCGTTTTGAACGAAGGTTCCTAAAGCTGGAACCATCGACGGCTTTCCAGGATTGCCCGGTCGCAATCTACGTTTTTGTGGACGCGGGATCGGGACGGTGGATTTCACAGGGGGTAGAGTGACTGCTCTTGATAACAGGCCGATTGCACATTTGGATTGATAATATGAGGTAGAATTGAGGGGAACTGTTTCTGGCGCAATCCAGTCAGGCATCTGCGAGAAATGCACCTTGGGTAATTCCTTCAGATAGACAGGCTATGTAGCATGACATATAAATGAATAGAAGGCAGAACAATGAATACTGCTATTCTTACCTGCCCGGTCTTTGGATAATCGACTGCATTGCTATGTAGCCGGGCAAGTTCTAGACAGTCCTCATGGAGGACCCCCCGTTGATTTTGATCAGCGATTATCAACCATCTCGTTGCGATGAGACCAACAAGCTGCGTGTGAAGAACTGATAAGAGATGGAAGCTAGTAATCGCAAGTATGATCTCACATCACTGTTGACATACTCTACAATGAAATCAGCCACGTCATTGAGCGTACAGTCTTGGTCTAACAGCTTCCTTGTTGGACGGGCGTAGGAAGCAGGATCCACAGTGATTGTTGGACGCAGTTGAGGGTGGATGTTCAGCGGTATTACATTGTACGTGTCACCGTCCAAATCACCTAGTAGCCACTTTTCTTAATACGCGTTTCAAAAAAAAGAGTAGAAAACAGATACGTACCCCCTCCGAGCATGGAAGGCATTGGTCGAGACCCTGTGCGCCGTACGTATAGAGTTAGAAAGACACAAAAATTAACGACATCCAGAAGACAAACACTGGGGAAGAACACGTTTTGGCACCTCCAAAATCCATCCATTATCCGTAGATTTTTACCAAAAATTGACTGATTTTGGGATGTCGAAAAGTTTGTATATTTCTCATATAGCTGGCTATAGAATATGAAGTTCATATTGTGCAGTTATTCTGAATTATCTACCAATAATATTGAGGATATAATAATGACTTTGTGCCTCACAATTTGTTAATATTTTTGGCTGCTCGAAATTTGAAATAATTGTAACATAACCTACCAGTGAACATGAGGAACATAGTCCGAGCTTATTTGAAACAATCATACAATATTCTCCCATAGATAATTTGAAATTTTTGCGAGATATTCACCTAACAAAAAACATGAGGTTTTTCAAAATAACCTTGCTGAGGTTATGCATACCCGATGTTGGGACATCGAGACGTCAAGATGTCGTTGATATCGGGACATCGAGACACTGGAATGTCGTTGATATTGAGACATCCAAACATAGAAATGTCGCTGGTGTCGGGATATTGAGATGCGTGACATTCAGGAAATTCGGGACATGTTGGAACATGCCAGTTTTCACCTAGTATTAGGTTAGTATTGACCACCACGACCTATGTAGGAATGACATAACTTCTGGCCCCATCCATAAATACACAGAAGGCCCTGAGGAAGGCTTTTCTTATCATTTCACAGAACATAGTGGCTGCCTGTGGCTGCACTGGCACATCCTGAATGTCCTGGATGTCACGCGTCTTGATATCCCGACCACCAGTGATGTTTCTATGTTTGGACGTCTCGACATCGACGACGTTCTGGTGTCTCAATGTCCCGATATCAACGACGTCTTGACGTCTCGATGTCCCAACATCGGGTATGCATAACCTCAGCGAGGTTATTTTAAAAAACCTCATGTTTTTTGTTAGGTGAATATCTCGCAAAAATTTTAAATTATCTATGGGAGAATATTGTATGATTGTTTCAAATAAGCTCGGACTATGTTCCTCATGTTCACTGGTAGGTTATGTTACAATTATTTCAAATTTCGAGCAGCCAAAAATATTAACAAATTGTGAGGCACAAAGTCATTATTATATCCTCAATATTATTGGTAGATAATTCAGAATAACTGCACAATATGAACTTCATATTCTATAGCCAGCTATATGAGAAATATACAAACTTTTCGACATCCCAAAATCAGTCAATTTTTGGTAAAAATCTACGGATAATGGATGGATTTTGGAGGTGCCAAAACGTGTTCTTCCCCACAGTGAAACCTATTGTCGGAAAAACGGCAGTATTCGTAAGAGGCTCACGAGCAAAACATGACCCGGAGGGTGGAGGACCGATAGCTATTGCAATTTGGCAATCTCCAGGGTGTATCGCCGGAGATCTCGTTTAAAATCGAGCGAACGGAATTCAGCAAAGATGAGCCGAGAGGTAGAAAAATCAAAATGGAAATAATGCAGGCTTTACCTGGTAACTATACATTCTCCCTCAAGATACTGAATTGCGCCATTGGGCTCTTTGATAGCAGCAAAGATCTCGCCCTCTTGTAGAAACCCATGCTCGTCTGCGACTCCAACTAGATTCCAAGCTCCCTCGACAGGTATTCTGGTATGATGTTTTAGTTCTTCAAACGAAAGTTCATGATCAAAAACGTCAATTTACATGAGAAATCACGGGTACCTCGCAAGATATGGTGCACAGCGTAATTTAGTACGGATCGACGAAACGGTTCCGCCTGTATGTGGTTATCCACCCCCAGACGAGACAGTCCTAGTAGGATTGAAGTCAATCTAAATGAGTTTCCGAGCCCAAAATTTTCAAGGAGTCGAGCGGCGGTAGCAAGACTTTCGGTCGCACGGCGGGTGTGTTCAATCGCTTCTTCCTGTAAATCTTCGAAAGTCTCATAAGGAACACCGAGATCTTCAAGTATCATGACAAGGGGTCGATTGAGCGTCAGCTTTAAAGGACGATCGAAGAATTGGGCGACCTCGATGTCGTGAGTTAAAATGGAATCGAACTTCCGCATGCTCGGCCGCACACTGATTACGTTGCCGCGCAGCTTGTAGTCAATGCTTAACATGCCTTTTGACCCCCCGTAACGAATTTGAAAGTAAGGTATGGTGGGATCTGCGCCGTTCCTCGTGCGCCGCTTGGTGGCCTTCAACTCATTCCAGACCTTTTCAGCAAAGTCCTTGGACGTAGTCCCCACGCCATCTGTAAAATTATATGCTTTGTCAAGCGTTAGCTTGTCTTCGATTGGAAAAACCTCTTCAACTTTGGTGAATGATGCTTCCGTGGCGGTAAAAGCTTGGGATATGCGAGCGCCATACAGCGCAGGACAGCGTCGAAGTTCCGGTTCTTCAAAGCTGCCAATCTCTTGAATGATAGAGAAAGAGTCATAAAATTTAATGTTGCTGTTGGGCTTGAAAAACCAGACTGCTTGAAGGTCAATTTTTCGCAAGTCGATATACAATAGAAGCTCACCCGTGTGATCTTTGAGTGAGCTTTGAGTATATGCTAAGAATTTGAACTCTCGACCCGCTATAGTAAGACCCTTGGAAGGGACAGCTCCGATTCTATTACGAATGTAAGATTTTCCGTCAATGTTTCGGTCGTGCCTTAATAGCATTTCTATGAATTAGCGATTTTGAGTGGACAGAGAAATGAAACCTACCTATATTTATGAGAACCCTCATCGGCAAAACGCACCTTCAAGAACAGTTCGCTCTGAGATGAATCGAACCATCGTATAACGCGGTTCGAGCGTTCAATGAAGGGCCCGTCAGGCAGGTAGCTTGATGGTGTGACAACGACGTGGTACGAGGTGAACAGATTTGAATCTGTAGTAGATAGTGATGACAGATTGGAGGTCTTGCCATCTGCTACACATTTAGCGTAACTTTTCGATGCTAAAATGAAGCACTGTTCAATGCTATCATATTGATTGCCATCTGTTTCTTCTCCAGTCCAACGTTGAACTTTAGTAGAAAAGTGCCGGAGTACAGCGACGGCATAATCCGGACCCTTCATTCGAACGAGGGAGCGAATTTCAGGAATCAAGTTTACCATTTCACGAACATCTACTTGCAGTCGTCGAATAAGATAATCAACTTGGAATGCGACTTTCCATTCAAGGATTCGAACGAAATTCTCCACTAGTTCAATTGCCTTCGGCTGGAAGATGCCACGACGCTCTACCATTTCCTCATATCGATCGATGATGGTTTTCATGGGACGAATTTGAGCAAGACGGAAAAGTCGTCGAAAGACAGGTAGATCGGTTGCTGATCCGCAAACGAGACGAATAACCTCTGAAACATAAGGAGCAGCTAATTCATGTCCAGGAAGTGGCAAGAACGAAACGCGCTCGTTACAAGGACCAGCGTCAGGTGACACAAATCGGCTTCGGGTTTCGAAGGAAGGGGGATGCCATAGATTGAGATAAAGTATCGGTCCTTGAATATGGGATAAGTCGGAGACCGAAAGATACCGAATCAATGACAATTGGATACGAATAATAGCGAAATTCGAAGGAGTCGTTGTACGAATCCGAATCTCTGGCGGTCCTTTATCGCTGAAGGACAGGTGTCCATCAAGGCAAGAATGTTCCCATTCGATGGACACAACGCCGTCCCGAGCAAGCCATCCAAATTGGATTGATTTGAGGCTCACATTATGAGACTGCAGGTGAAAACTTCGATTTTCCTCGCCCTCGGCAACACTTGGATCTTGGAAGGGTAGTCTAGTGATCTTCTCAATGATATCACTCCTAGGTTCGTTATAACTTTCAGCGAATCTGATTCGTTGTTGCCCTACGACACAGGACTTCGGCGGCGCAAGTCCATCCTCTTGTTGACCATATTCTTGGAGGAACTGAGTAGCAATAGAGATGTTTGGGAGGGTCAGGGCGCCTGTGATGACAACGTCAAAGAAAAGGTCAAGCTACCAGCTCTAGCACTCACCCCTTCCCAAGCGATTATGATCATACAGATAAACTTCAAAGTTTATGGGTTCTTCCTGAGGATCAAGATAGCCTGGTCCGTGAAAAATATGCGCAAGGTGTCTGGTTACGTCGAATTTTGTCAAGCTCAGCTCGATATTCTTCATATGAATCTCCATCCACACTGCATAGGCCAAATTTTTAGCAATACACGGAACAAAGCTCGAGCCTCGTACATGTAGCTTTTTGAGAGCTCCTGGCTCACTATTTCACTGGAAATCTGGAGTGAGGATAAATATGTGCCTTAGAACCTGGTTGGAAGGAAAATAATGGAAGAAAGGGGTTGTGGGCGCTAAACTCATCGCCTATGGTTTTGGCGTTTTGGCGCTCGACTCCTACGTAACATGCATTCGCATGTGGGCCTCCTTCGTCCGGCTCGGAGGGAGCTCAAGTATGGCTCACATGTGGTGCTCATTTGCTGGGTGACCTCGTGGCATCTGCGAATATAGGGATTTTGATTTTTCACCCTGCACACAGCCAGTATTACTTATCATTGTGCAAACTTCACCTGCCATATACAAAGTCTGAAGAGGATACCAGTCTGTATAGGCGTACTAGATGAACAAACACATTGACAACAAACTACAGTCCACAGAGGCGCAAAGAAGCTCTTCAATCAGTGTCCATAGTATCTTCTCCTCTTTCTGATTCAGCCTGACTTTGTATCGCTCTCAAAAACGGTTCAATACCAGTGCCCGCCTCTTCAGGCAAGCCAAGTCCACGAACGAGGCCTCCCAAAAGACCAGTTCTGAGCGCTTGGTCGAAACTGGACACGGCCGAACGAAATTGCGGAGAGCTAGACGCATGTTAGAGAACATATTGTATGACCCAGAGCATAGCAAAATCACCTTATTATTCGCTGCAAAACCTCAGGGGAAGGAGGCATTGGTAAATCCGGAGGGAGGTGAGGAAAGAGGGTCGGAATGAGATCAGGATGGGATGTGAATAGCGGAGTAATGTTCGCGGGGGTGAGAATATTATTCAAGGACACATCTGGAAAGTATGATACACTTCAACTTGATTTTGCATGGTTGTGCAGTATCGACTTACTAGAAGGCGGAGCAGCTCCGCTTCCAACAGCGGAGGTCAACAATTGCTGGAGTTGAGCCAACTGTTCAGGCGTGGCTTGGAAGTTAGAAGGCGCGGAAGATCTGGAATAAATGGCATGAGTGTGCAGGATATAGCTCATACGCTCAAACATACTGAGAAGCGCCAGCAGTTGAAGTAGAAGTAGAAGGTTGTGATGAAGAACCCCAAGAGGCTTCATAGTCAGGGTCCATTAAAAACCCATTCACATTGTTCACGAATTCTTCGTCCCGGACGGAGGAGGCATCCTAAGATAAAGGCATTTCTTTAGAACAGGACATTCTCGAATACAACTGCGAACAAACCTGCATCCAGAACTAGATTTCCCTGGGGTCAGACACAAAACAAAACAAGAAAGGGTGTAAGCACAACTTACAAAGTGTCTCTGGTTTGAAGAGGAAAACTTGAGGACATAGACTCGACCTGGAGCTTGAGATACTTTGAGAAATGTAGCGTCAGAAGGAAATAATATGAGATCCTGTAATTCGAAGACGTATTCAAATAAGTTAATTCGATTTCCCAAATGCATATAGGCAAGCACCTCTTCGACTTCGTTAGAGGTACGATTTTTCCACATTAGGTGCAACAGATCATCTTCTCTGCGAAGAAGAATGGCGCCCTTCGCAGGAGAGGGATCAACAAAATTGGTGCCTTCTCTTCTGAAAGCTCTTCCAGCTTTGAAAGCAAGTAAGGTTCCTGAGTCGGCCATCGTATTGGATGAAGTTAATTTGCCGTTGGTATGAAAGAGCTATGAAGATGATGGGGGTGCACAAAATCCCAACCTCAGCCGACGCGTCAGTGCTATGATTTACGTAACACAAAGGTTCTCTCCTTACAGCCGGAAGCAAGACAAGCTTTTGCGCTCTTTGAAATGTCCTTCGATTCATTTAACGAACCGTCTGCGTGGGCCATTCCCGCCTCATCGGAACCAGGAGATATTGTCACAGAGGCCTTGAAGAAGGAGAAAGTGCTAAAGTACGTCCTTACTATCTAGGCTCGATGACTTTCATAGGAACGATTCAATCCTAGGGAAATTGCTGCATCTCAAGAGGACTTGAAAGGTGCAGCCTGCTCATTCGATAATTCCCAGAAATATAGCATATACTCAATCAAGATTACAGCTCTCTACAACCGAGTACAATCTGTGCAGAAAGAGGTCGACAAGCTTCACTCAGGAAACGAAACACTGCAAATGTATATAGATAATCTGACGGTGCAAATGGCCAAGAGGAGATGAGATGATTTTCCAATCAGCCCTTGTAAATTCTTGGCATACCAGGAGGAGAAACTAAAGATACAGACGGTCATATACGGTATGTATAAATTAATACATTGAAGAATCGTTGCATGGACGTATATGATATGATGAAGTTATCCAAATGATTTCAATGACTCCTGTCCGAAAGCCAGTGTAACACGATATCGCTTTAGAAATTATCAGGGATGAAGCACAGTCTAAGTTCAATGACTTACAGATTATGTTGAGACTTCATTGAGCACTTTAAAAAGCGGATTTGAGCAATTTCTATCTCCAAAAGAACAGTATGACCGCGACATTACCGAATAACACTAGGAAGAACGTCGAAGAGTATTAGAATATACAGAACATATGAAGGCCCAGGGTACTCACTGAAACTGGACGATCACTAATTTTATCTAGTTGACTGTTCCCAGTGCCAACATGGACATAAGAGCGGATTCCACGAGCAGACCACAAACACGTACAAGGCCGGTATAATTTCCTTGATAGGTGCATGGTCTTCCAAATCATTCTTGTTACCTAGCTAGAAGAGATGTTACTAGGATTGGCCAACAAGGACAAAAGCTGACGGACCACCAGTAGAGGAACACCGACAAGACTCAGTTGAGATAGCAACTGATGTAGTTCAAACCGGGCAGCGTTGAATTTCTCTCGCTACATGTAATAACGAAATAAGCTGTCAACAATTTTGCAGAGTAAACATCGAAGTGACAATGTACATCTGAAGAATCCACGACAAATCTAGAGCAGCCAGGTCAAGGTTCATTCATACTGATAGAAGATTGTGACGAACACTATAGCGTCTACACCATTGCAATATCTCTCCCATGTAGATCGAAACTTTGGTTGACCTGTTCCAATCGGTTCAGTGACCATACAATTTGGCTCACCATTTGTACGACGCACCAGCAATATCCCAAATATTGATTGTAACATTCCCCTTCCGGACCTTCCTAAAGTTATATGCGACAGTGGGTACTACTTCTTCGCTCCACTGTGAAACCAATGCATCAATGAATGATCCACATAAGCTGACATTGCGGTATTCTACCGCACCTGGCCAGAGCCTATTACATGTACAAAGGAGGTCTTCCCGGAAGCCTGAGTAGCGTTAAAGAATGGTAGAACCAAGAGACGACAGTCAAACTAGACTAACCTGGAGACCGACCACAGCAATTTCAACGGCTTTGGAGAAAAAGAGTCTGCGAAATGACAGTGAGGAGTAACATATTCAGAATTTACGACTGCCGTACGCAGAGAACCATTGGAAGAACGAGGAAAAGAATGTTGCCATTCACTATGATTTAGTTATAAGTGAAGTTGGATTATTTGCACAGTCGGGTCAAAGAATGTTTCCTAAAGGGGACATGACCAACTCTCTTCGAACATGACCGCCATGTTGCGGACGTTCAGTCGTCTATCGACATCTTCTCTATGTGCAGCCCCTGCAGGCGCTTCTAGATTTATCCTTGGCACTCAAGGAGATATCTGCGCCAGGAATACTAGTCTATTGCACCAGTTTCGCTCCTTCCACTCTACTCCGTCAGCTTTTGCTACAATGAACCAGGCCATGAAGCGCAAAAAACCTCCTCCACGTCGCACAGCACTGACTAGCTCACCTCTTCTGGAACAGTGTCCCCAGAGAAAAGGCGTTTGCACTCATATCTTGATCCGGACACCCAAAAAACCCAACTCGGCTAGACGGAAGGTCGCTCGTGTCAAATTGACCAATGGAGAGTCCGTCATGGCTTACATTCAAGGAGAGGGTCACAATCTCCAGGAGCATAGTGTCGTTCTCGTTCGAGGTGGTCGTGTCAAGGATTTGCCTGGAGTCAAGTATGTATCTAAAGGCGTGTCGGCTTTTTCCTGTTAAATGTATTTCTAGATACAAAATCTGTCGTGGTGCTTTGGACTTTGGTGGTGTAGTTGGGAGGAGTACGGCTCGCAGTCGCTACGGGTAAGTGTCCTATCGTGAAATTCAACAATTCATAATGCAATGTACTAAACTAATATACAGTGTCAAGAAGCCCAAAAAATAGTCGTATAATGTGTAATGGTATGCTAATGCGAATATTATAAGATATAATCCAAAGTCCTGAAAATGCGCGGGGTTACTGGTCAAAACCTGTGGAAATTATTCAGAATTCCATCAATCCTCCACTCTCCCTCATCTTGCGCTCTCTTCCTTTTCGCACTCTAACCGCTTTTTCAATGGCGGTATTTAGAGCCCAGCACCAAGCATCTCGTTCGAGCTTGCTCCTCGTTCGAAATATGGCGAATTTCCTTTTCGCGCTGAGCGGTAGAATTTTTGCTTCTGCCGCTCCGAAATGCGCAGACGGAACATTTGAGGATGTCTCCGTAGTGATGCCTGCACCATCTCCTTCTTCCGAACTTGAAATTGTCTTCCGATACCATATCACAAAGAGCCTATCTTCTTCTGGGTCGTCTGTCTCCAAACCGTCCTGGTATCTCCTTGGAACGTTGTTCTCAGCGGGATTGAACTGTCCAGCCGGAAGCACTTGCGCTGCAAAGTAACCCGAGCAGACATACGCGTCTACGAGATCTATCTTCTTCCTAATAGAATTGTGCATCACTGATTTTGGAGATATGCGAAAATGTATCAGACGTTCGGGTACGAGGACAAGATCCACAAGCCTATATTAACAACCCGTTAGAGATGCTATAGACCGCTCAAAGATTATTTCTTGCCGGTATTGTCCATGGAGCCCTTGCCTCATGAAAACTTTCCCGCTCTTGACAATAGGCTTGCACCCCTCTAGCACACACCAATTGAACAAGGAGCCAAGTGCTGGTAATGTGGATGACGGGTCGACCGGTAATCCAGCGTAGATTGTCCTATCAGCTTCTGCGTAGATGTGTGGCGTCACCAACGGACGGTATCCTTCAGCAATCTCCATCTCTTCTTTGGCATCGTTTCCGTGTTTCATTCTCCAGTAACTTACAAGAGCTTGCAGTTTTTCTACCCACTCAATCGTTACCCTACACGAGAATGTCTGCAATATATTAATATCAATGCTAAATCGTAAACCGTAAGAATGATACTCACCTCAAAACGAAGTATATGCCCGTTCTTGAGGAGCAATTCAAATGACCTCCTCATCCTCAGGTCACGTTTGTCCTCACTTCTGTTTAAGCCTTCTTCTCCACCTACATCCTCTTGATCGCTCTGGATCACCACTAGTTTAGGAGCTTGACAGCCTTCCTCGTCTTCTCCTTCCCTGTGATCATGTATAGGTTGCATCGTTGGGTGCGCCGCCCTTCTGACAATCAGAATCGACCTGAGATCCACTATACCGCTGGCGTCTAATAGCTGTTGAATGCCGCGCTTCACTTCCGACTTTCGTAGTGTATGGGCATAACCCGCGTCTGCTTCGACAGGTTGAAGAATGGCTCCTAGAGGTGTGGGAGGATGCGCGTGAGATGGATTTAAGACAAGCAGATTGCCGTCGTGTGTGGCCAAATAAAGTGCTTGCTTGGCGTGCGTGTTAGGCTTGATGCGGTCAACGTAGCCTTCGATAGAAGGAGGTTCCAAAAGTCGCTCGCCATCTTTTCGATGGATGAATTCGGGACGGTGCTGAGCCACTCGTAGTTCTAGATGCACAGGAATACTCGTCTGATATGAAATAGTGAGATGTACAAAAACTAGGGCTTACTACCCAGCCTTGGAGACATACCTGCTTCAAAGCCAGACCACACAAAACATCCCAGTCTCTCAGACGTCCATCTACGTCTTTATTGAGCCAAATCCAGTCCAAATATGAACCTTGGCGCCAGCAAAGCTGCAGCACATCCCCTTCCGCAAGTTGACGTTCAATCACATTCTTCCAATCGGGAACTGCCCGGAGTGATTGCACACTGAGTGCGATAAGATTCTCCCTTGAGAAGACCTTATATATTTGGCTACTATCCAGGTTTGGCATATCTATCTTCAATTTACTGTCCAAACGGGGGTTGCGGATCTCGACCACTGGAGGCAGGACTCCCCCGCGATGTCTCCTGCGCACATATACAGTGAGAAGATAGAGGTAATATAAAGAAGAAAGACATACCATAACTGCCATATCCAATCAAATGCACGGGAACGGCTCTTGTGTTTAAAGATGAATATGTTAGACCCTTCTTTGGCTGAATGTATAGTCCACTTTGCTTTCACGGGGTTGAAACGACGGAAAGTAGGACTGCACGTTATGCAGAATGTGAGATCCACAAATGAATAAAGCGACAGGCGCGTTCTTGAGGACTTCAACGGAATAATGAATGAGAGGTGTTTGTGACCTGTGATCCATTCTTTGCCGGGGATTGTCTGGACAATCATCAGCCGCGCTACAGGAATCCGCCATGAACAGACTCACATAATTCTCGTAAATTTCGATGCGATCCATTCGCCAAACGATAAGAAATTCACCCCAATCCTCATATTTAAGATCGCGGGTGACACGATGCAACGCTTCATCGAAACAAGGAAATACATCGACTGTTTCGGTTGAATATATCCTGACAAACATTCTGTCTGATTTGCCAGTCAGAAAGCATTTTCAAGCATTGGCCGGGACATACCTCTCATTACAGTGTCCCCCCAGTCAATTTGTTGATCATCTATTGCAGGAATGTTCATGGCACCTGCACTAGTACCACTAACATCAGTGCCAGTACGTTCTAGAACTGCTGAGGGGGATACTGGAGGGAGAGACGAATTGCTTTCAACGGGAGAAAGGTTGTAGTGGACGCTCTTCTTGGCTTTGTGCGGTGAATCACCATTGCGAGAGAATGAAGGGAGCCTGATGATTGAACGACGTGCAGGTTCTGATTGTGCATGGCTCGTACCAATGTCATTCTTCCGGGATGTAGATGGACGGAGGAGAGCTGTGCTTGAAGATGGACTTGGACCACGCGCATTCTGATGTTCACCGTCTGGGGGCGAGGGGCTGAGATTTTGGGTGGTAGGTTCCGGAGTTTGGACCTGAGAAAGTTCCGTGAACTCTGACGGAGCCGTGACAAAAGTCTGTTGCTCGGTGGCTAAACTGCTCTGACCAGGGCGACCCAACGGTTCGAGTCCAGATTCAAGAGGAAAGATAGGCGCAGAAAGCTGCGAGGTATGTGTCGAAACTTTGGAAAGTGACTCCGCCTCGTCCATGATATTAATCCCAACAAAGTTTCCAATCTCGAAGCTTCCTCCAATCCAAGCATCGGGTGGTGCATTTTTGCTGGACTCTGATTGTCCTCGAAGGCGACGCAGGGCGACTCCCCATTCGCTTTCCTTCCAACGTCGATACATCTCTTCTCTCGTGCTCTGTTCTTCATTCTCGCCCCAGTCTTCTTCTCGACCTCCCTGGCGTATAAAAAAGCTCCGCGCATGAACTTTGATAATTTGCGTTAGTTCTTCGTCTGTTGAATCCGAGTTGCTTATTCTAGTGAATAAGTGTTTTCGCTTGTTTCGCCTCTTTAACTCTTCAGGTGTAGGAAGAATCTTCTGAGGCATAGGTCCAATGAAAAACCTCCTGTGTACATGCTCGGATTGAGGGAATTGATCATCCAGTTTGTACGCAGAAGTTGTCGCACCCGACGAGTCCGAGAGAGCACGCGCTGTCGGAGGCACCATCGTGAAGATGAAGTTAGTTCGGGTTACAAGACTCCCGAGCCATCTTTATTCAGGGTAATAGTAAGTATCAGTAAAATTCAGAAGGTACTTTTGTGAAGATGACATTAACGAGCGCTAACTCTTATATATACAGGCGCTCGAAATAAAGTGCGTGAGTAAGTACAGTAACAATCCTCTAAAAATATGGGCAAACTTGATCAATGAGTGGGGGTTGATTATAATGAGAGGGTCCTGTACAGTTATTAGATGTGTATAAAAAAGAAAAAAATATTTCGTATGTTGGACCAATTTAAGAATCCGCAGATACTTTTCGAAGCATATCCCGAGTTTCCTTGAAATATTGCTCAGATTCAGGCCGCTCGAAACTATACGAATCGTCAGAAATGAGAAGGACTGGAGCATGGCGAATAAAAGGACTGACGCAATTTTCTTGCCCTTGGTGTGCATGTCTGGTTCCTGTAGAGCGAACGGGTTCACATCCGTATTTACATCGAGGTTAGCAAGGCTGTGGTTGACGAAACGGTGTGAAGTTTCGTCTGAACGGACAGCATATATGACATCCAATAATTTCGAATTAGGGTCAAGACGCCAGTAATCAATGGCAATCTGGGGAGCGGGCAGATCGGACCTATGTACCTTTGAGTCTAGAATCCAAAGAACGGAGTCAAAGAGGGATTGTATGTACCATTCGGGGACCCGACCAGCTTCTATCTCCTTGATACATTTGGTATATGTCGCGACGGCTTCTTCTTCGAGATGGCCAACGAATCGATGACAAGCACGAGGCGAAATGAGGTAGGAAAGGACTGAGGTATCACCGTCAGATATAGCGAGAAGATATGAGGGCACACTTTTACTTACAAAACAAGTTGTAAAATACGCCCTGGGCACCCAATATCATTGCGCGGAAGAAGATGGAGGGATTCCGGAGAGTCATGAACGTCCTGGATAATGTTGAAAAACATGCACAAAAAAATGAATCGGATTGCTTACATCAAATGCATACGTTCATTTTCAGCTTCTTCTAAACAAGTATGGATCCTGATCAGTAATTATTGTGAGCTAAATGTACTTTTGATGAACAAAGGAACTCACCATCCATTATCGCGCCGCATAAGACGCAAGCTTTGTAGATGGCGAAGCGTGGCGGCTACCATGCCAGGAACGCCCGCAATGGATTCTAGGAATAGGATACGCTAGATGCAAGTGAGTATTAGTGTCTGAATGTCTGATACATCATCCTTACTTGCAACCACTGCTTCTCGTTTAGAACATAGCCTCCCTCTCGCAACTGCTCAAGAGTCATGTTCGTCCCAGGAGGAATGGTTTTGTGTCTGAAACCAGACACAAGATCATATCCCCATCTAAGCCGGAACTGTTAGAGCCCGTTTACTACAAAGGAAATCCACTGAGCACGGACTTTGAAAATTTCACTAGATTTGCAGCCAACTTGTCCGAAAAGCAAGTCGCTTCGCGGTGAAGCACCTGAAGACGGTCATTTGGAATAGTTCAAGCAGCGAAATAGAAATTGTTACCTCAACAGACTTGAGTTCTTCGGGAGCATACACAGGATGGAATAAAACCCAATCCCCGTGGGTTCCCTTGTTCTGGTGTGATATATCGCCATTGTGGTTAATCGCGGTCACCGAGAGCGATGGCGAGGATGCATCATCTATAATTATGGCGCGTATTGACGGGCAAGTACATGGTAAATAGCAAAGAGAAATACTGACGTTTATGAGGTCCAACAGCGGCAGCTTTGGCTTGACGATCATTTAAGTCATTGTAGCGTTGAGCGCTCGAAGAGAATGAGCGAGACGCGGTCAGCCTTAGCGAGCCGACTACGAGGGCATTGTAGCCGACGCGTCTTGTAACATGAGGAGCATATGTAATTATCAAGTGTTGTAGCATGATAGGATCGGTCGAACGAGTCAGACCAAGTTTTAGATCGTGAAAGGGAAGGGGAGAGCGACTTGAAACTGGTGAAACAAGGGGCCTCAATACTGTACCGTTTTTATACCCCTGTAAAGAGTCACCGTCTCCTTCCGACCTTTTCCGATTCAAACCGAGCAAGCGTCTATCCTAAGCAGCGCCACGGTAATGTAAAGACTCAATTGTGCACCGCTCAGCATACCCATCTTGACGAGAACACGGACATCTACAGTAACCTGCGATGGGTTGGCGTAAACGGAGAGAATCGAAGTCCGGTTCCTGCCAAAAAAGTCTAAGACCCGGGAGGAAAAATCCCCACGCTACTCAACCACCCCAGCAGGAGTCACGGTAAGTAAAATTAAAGCGCCTGATCTTTTGACTACATAGATCGATAGATTGATTGATAGTGGATATGCTCGGTGAGCCGTTTCCCAAAGCTCCTCAACTGTGGCGCCTGCTTATTTCAGAGATGACCAGCTTCAGACGAAATCTTTCGCCGGAATTGGGAACGCATTCGCGAAGTCGACTTCGATTTGAAATCTAAAACCAATCTGTATCATGCTATAATCGACCTTAGTGGCCAACCCTCTTACGACGAAATTTGGTATAGAAAGGATGGCGGCGAACTGTATGTCAAGATACATGATGTGCCTGGAACTTTGTCAGGAGATATTCTTCGACTTCTTGCCCCGCTCCCATCTTTATCAACACACTCCGAAATTAAAGGCAACTCAATCCAGTCCATTCCTGATACCCCTCTTGTAGATGTAAAAGGTTTTGAGTTTCCTGACCAAGATACTTCGACTGTTGTTCTCGGACTTCCCATCACAACATTTAACGAGGCCATACATTTTGCAAAGACGTCACGCTGCCTTAGCGAAGTGCCTAATCTCTTACGAGCCAAAGGAGGACCACATATCGTCGAGCTTTTAGGAAGAACTGAAGACGGTCTTTTGGTTTTTCCCAGGTACCTCGATAGTAGGGCCTCCTCTGTACTCAAAGGTGCCGACTTAAGTATTGCCTGGCTTAGACGGGTACTCCTCCAACTCGCCGAGGCTCTCGTATTCCTACACGGTCAAGGGATCATCCATCGCGATGTTGCCTACAGAAACGTCCTAATCTCTAAGGACCGACAGGACGTCTATCTCTGCGATCTCGAAGGTGCGATTGGCAGTGACATTTGTCCAGAAATAATTGCAGCCGGTCAAGTACCGCCAACTCAGCGACCGTACACGGACAAAAGTGACGTCTACATGTTTGGAATTACTTTAACCGATTTCATTCTTGGGAACAGTACCATGAATAGGTGGTGTTATACCTCTCATTGGGTACCACCTGCACCCTTCGATGTAATTGCTCAGGCGTGCCTAAAAACGGCCCCACATGAGCGCCCTAGTATGATGGAGATTCGAGCAATGCTTGAAGCAATCCCTGTTTCAACTTGAGCATAAATGCTAGCTACCTGCCTGATTGTGTAGTGCTTGCCCTCGATTCCCGTGTATTAGCATGTATATACCTAGTCCAAAGATGTCATCGGAATGTAAGGGCTACTAGATTATATTGCACCCACTGAAATTTAGTCTATGAGTTTAACACATGAGTTATTTGTAGACCTGGACCATAATCATAAATTATGTGAAATATTAGGCAAGATAAGTACCATCCGAAGTGCACTGGAAGATGCCTGAATCCAAGCTCGTTGTAAATCCAGCCTTAGTGGTCATTTTCCGGAGGTTTCCTGTTCGTTATTCCGGACAAGAAAGGGCGGGCATTTTTGTGATTGCTGCTATCGCCATCCTCTGCACCCCAACTTCAACGGAAACTACTTAGAACCGACATCGACTACATTCTGAATTCCAACAGTGAGTACCTCCTTCAGCCCTCTAACTGGCTGTTTCGGCATCGGCAGTGGCTTCTTTTCTCCGAATCTGTGCTGAGATTTCTTGTTCGGCCAATGTGTCTTCCCAATCAATCTCTCCAACACCGAGAACAACCTTTCGCCTTCCCCTGTCCTCCAGGCCAATCCTGATTGTTTCCTCTCGACCGCTATTGGCAAGGTCACGAAGATATTGAATGCGAGAATCAGGAGGGGTGAAATTATCGCTGAAGAACGATTCATCCCTAGTTTTTTTAGTCGGTACACTCGATAAGCCCACTTCAATCCCCTCATTGCCTTCGTCATCCACCGGAGTTATGGGAACATTGATTTTTTTGCTACCACTGAAATCTAAAGCATCCCACCATTCCCTGATGTTCTGAGGAGAAATGCCTGTCGGTAAGCTATAAGCACGGAAGCGCCTGTCCTTCGCAGCCTGGAGACTGGCGCGTATCTCGTCTTCTTTGTCCGAATCAGAGGAACGATGGGTGATAGTCCAATGAACAGTCCCTGAGAGAGAGGAGTACAATTAGTAGTAAACATACTATCTATAAGACCGTACTTACAAGGTTGGTCCATCGTCCCCACGCATCGAGCACCCTTTGCGGGGACATTTCCACAAAAGCTTTTTGCAGTAACTACTATTTGTTTGATTGGTGTCTGTCGCGCTTTCGCCTGCTTGAATCCGTTTTTCATGAATTCTGGTTGCCAATCAAGCGGTTCGACCCAAATGTTCAAGTCTTTACCCATCCCATCTTGTGTCTCAAAGGTACATTTAACAGACTGGACTGGTGTATTAGACGACATCTGGAGTATGAATTACTTGCAGCTCGCACCTGGCTAGGGAAACATGCAATGATTTCATCCGAGACCAATTCAAGGGTTTCCATGCATTTCTGGAATACTCTGTCCCCTACACCTGGAGCTGAACCAAAAAGTCGTTCATCCATTTCCTCTAAAGGAACGTATTGAAATCCAAACATCCTCGCAGTGTTGTGATAAGCGACGAACACGCCGTCCATGTTTCCGATTCGAGCTTGGAATTGATACTTGAGAAATGCTGAACGAATAAGGTCGAAGTACTCCCTCTCAAAACTCTCCATTAGGCCTAAGTTTTTTCTAATCAGATAACCCGAACTTTCCTGTGTGTTGAAAGCCTGGTCAGATCAAAGGCCATAACGTAGTTTGGAACCCAAACCTCGAAATTCAGAATATCCATTCGAATAGGAAGACACGCTCTTGTTTTGATATCAAATACACCAGTACCAGGAAGTCGACTGTCATGGCAATCAAGTTGCGAACGCAGGACAAATTTCTCGGACTAAAGGAAATTCAGTGCGCGTACTCGAGAGGTGTGTCCAGAGTAAACTGGCCTTGGAGTAACGATAGGCCTCTCTTGTAGACTCATCCGTGTTATTTCCTGGTGGTGCCGGGCGCGACCGCAGGTTCGAGAGGAATTCTTCGGATGGCATAGTGAGATATTTTTCCAGGATAGTGCCCATCCACAACAGTATATTCTTGTCTGCGCTCTCTTCTTTATCAGAATCAGAATCGATCGAATACACGCCATTCTTGTAGTTGAATACAACAGAAGCCGCCATACGTTGACCGGGTGTGAAGGCAGGACTCTAATGATGCTGGCATGAGAATTCTTCGACAGTACAATGAAACGACACATACTTCTCGTCTGAAATCCAAACTCAAAGTACTAGTATCGACGGATTTGTTTCCCGAAAGCAAGAAATATATGTGACAGAGCATTCCTGAGAGCGATGAAGTTGACCCGCCAAACTTTCGCTTTTCTTGCTTCGCCAAAGCCCACAGATCCTAAATGCTGACCAATTAGTATGTTACCACAAACTCAGTACACAAGAAATTCACGTCGTCTCGAGAGCTTCGAATGAACCCGGTAAGACGCTCGAAAGCGAAGTCCGCGACTTTGGGAATGATACTCAACGCAGGGGAGAAATTGTACACAAGGGAGCGAGGATCTCGTAGCCAATGAACTCCTGGGCTACCGAACATTGTTAGCGATACTCATTAGGGCCATGAATAGTTATAATACTTGAACAAAACACGCTCCAGTCCGTGATGCAAAGTTGCGACAGGATTCTGCTTTGTGGGCGGAGAAAGATCTTGGAGGACTACTTTAGGTGTGTCTTCCAGGAGACCTTCTATACGTCGAGAATAGGCAATCGGTAAACTGCTGTGCGGAGGGGTTCCGCGAGATTGAGAGGAAGATGTTGAGAAGCGCAGCTCTGATCGCTGTAAGCATACTTGCAAGATTATCATAAACGGTAAACATACTATCTTCACCCCAATCCTGCTTCCAACTTTCGCCAGACCATCCGGCTAGACCTGATTCTGGCTCCGGTACCTTTTTCTTCTTCTTCTTTTTCTTCTTCTTTTCGTCGACGGAAGACCATAGACCTTCTTTCAGTGTCTCAGTAACCATGTTCGCATCGCTATATTTGTTGGCTTCGCCGTTTGTTATGGCTCTGAGCCTTCGAGTCAAATCTTCATTCAATGACGACGGAGAGGGTGTAGACTGAATCAAAGGTTTGGAGGAGTTTGGCTGGACTCCCCGCTGCGTGTATCGCTTTGTGGAACGTAAAAGTCGTGATAGTGAGAACTGTAGCCTCCCTTGTCTGGAGAGCCCCATTCCACCTACGATTGACGGTCGCGTGAAGAATTTTTCGTGACATAGTCTGGGCTACTAGCACGTGACCCACGAAGGTCACGAGTTTCAGAATCCTTCTGTTCAGAGAGTTGATTCCGCGGCGAATCCGCGCTCGGAGCCAAGATCTAAAGCGGGGAAAACTGTGTACCAAGTACAAGTAATGCCAAGTATCGTATAGTAATGAATGTATGTATTGTGGATACTGTGTTTAGTTAAATATTGCATCGTAACGGTGTACCAAAAGGTGTGTGTAAGTAGGTGGATGCGATGATCAAAGAGTTTGGACAACAGATATGGGTGGCAGGAAAGGTGAGTATGAAATGATATAGATATGAGAATAGATAACATGAAATCATAGAAGGAGAGAAAGGGAACATAGAGCCAATATGTGAACTGATGAATCCGTGGTCTTGATCTGGTTGTGTCTGGTTGCATGTCGCATGCGGATGTTCTTGTTAGTCCTCGTCGTCGCTTGCATCCTCCGCAATCTTCCCATCCTCCTCTTCCTAGTCTACTTCGGTTCCTCCTTCCATATCTCCAACCTCCAACCTCGGCTGCTGGTTGACCCGTCTTCTTAAAAGCTTCCGCTTTTTCAACTTCGCTTCCAAGTATCGCTCCCATGTCGAGCTCGTCCGATACATCCCAGAGGATCTCTCGATAGTCACTGTATGTTGCCCATAGTTTACCAGCTTCTTTTGCTAATTCGTCTGCCTTTTCGTTGTCCTCTATTCCTTCGGGCACCAGGCGATTTCTACCGTGTTTTGTGTGTACGATTTCAGGAATGTCTCTATGGATCTTCTAAACCGTTGGGCATAACCTTGGCAGGCTGCAACTGGTTTCTGGTCGTATATTGTTGTGACGGCGGATGAATATGAGGATGTGGTGGATAGCGGGAAAAATGATTGCATAATACAGCTTTCAGCAAGTCCGGCCATCTCGGCGTCCTAGACTAGCCGTTGAGCCCATTCCGCCCTGTTCAATGTTCGAATCACATTTATCTTTACACTTATCATATGCGTATTCACGAAGACGCGGATTCATTGTCTGAGTGCTGGTGGGTCTCAACAGACTTAAAGGATCTACTCATATATTGGTTTCAACTTTCAATCCTGCTCGAACCTCCCTTGTCACCACAGATATGTATGTAGATTCTTCAAAGGGATGACACAGTTAGATTCTCATTACTCCATGGGCCCATAAAATCTTATTATGCATTTTGGGAGATCAGAATGGAGAGATAGTGCTAACGTGCGCTAACTTGCGCTAACTGTCAGTGTCAAGAAGCGATACATAACTCAAGCTCCATACGATCAAAAGCCGAACCAAGAATCCCTTAGGTTCTACTAAATAACAAAAAGAGTAGAATGGAACCGAGCTATACATCTGTGACGAGGGTCGTCTCATTCTCAATAAATAGCTCGACGGTTCAGCTATCTCGAAAACAATTATTAGCTTCTTTTCCGTTACGGCGAGTTTGGCGACACTGCCTCAGATTTTAGCATGAAGGTCAGTGGTATGGCCTGCATTACCGTACCTAGAGGTCATTGAAATAATTTTAGCAGGAAGAAGTCAATAAGTCCTGTTACAGAAAGGCCCGAAAACAACTGAAGATCCTTGTGGTATGCAGCTCTAGCTGTGTTCGTCCCTTTTGACTGATTTGAAGATAGGTTGGCTGTGGCCTTGGAGGTCTGGCTGCTGCGTACGCGTTAGGACGAGCAGGACATTCAATCATCGTCGTCGAAAGTTCGCCATCGATCGGTGAAGTCGGTGCCGGAATACAAGTTTGTCCAAGTAATTAGTCGTTCTTGACAGTAGTAAGATTGACCTTAAATCACTAACCTACGTTTCGCAGATCTATCCCGTATCTTGGCCAAGTGGGGCTTGGTGCATAAATTGAAGAGCATCGCAGAAAGGGATAAACCTACCTGGTTTACATTTCACCGATGTGAGTAAATGATTGATTTGGCGTATAAGTTTGGATTCACTGTATGCACACTTAGATGATACAGGAGAGGTTCTCGGTATGTCGCGTTTGGAAGGCAAACTCGACAGAGACCACGGAGCGCCGTGGTATGTTGTCCATGTAAGTGAAACCCTGATCCAAACCGCCTTCACTGCTGATTTCTGGTTCACAGCGTGCAGATTTATACGACATGTTGTTCGCGAAAGCATCGCCTTACATGGACCTTCGAATGGAAAGCAAAGTTGTCTCTCTGCATTTCGAACAACCCTTCGGACCTTGTGCAATTTTGCAGACAGGAGAAGTCATTTTTGCAGACCTGATTGTTGGCGCAGATGGTATCAACAGCGTGGTACGCAATTACGTCACTGGCCAAACGGAAATTCCATTGTCGGTGCCGACAGGCGATCTAGCGTATAGAGTGGTTCTACCAACCCGTACATTTGTGGACGATCCGCAATTGAGACATCTCGTCGATGAACCTAGAATTAGATGTTGGATAGGACCGGGGAGACATGTCGTCGGTTACTGTATCGTTCGTCATCTTCTCTACTTTTGATATGATCAGTACATGGCCAATCACCCATCGACTTTGCAGCGAAATCGAAAGGAGTATAACATGGTATTAGTCAAACCTGGAGATGGTCATTCGTATTCATGGACAGCAGAGGGTAACCTGGAAGAAATCCGTGATGGTTTTCATGAATGGGATCCGTGGTGCGTCTTTGAGAATTCAAAGTACATGACAGATCTCGAAAATTTGACGCTTTCCATAACCCAGTGTTCAGAAATTGCTGTCTCGAGCAGAGTCTGTACTAGAAAGCAAGCTACTCATCTGCAGGCCTTTGAAGACTTGGATTCATTCAAGCGGTCGCGCAGTTTTGTTGGGAGATTCATGCCATCCCATGCTAGTGCGTGAATTTTCACTCGTGGACCTCTCGTCAGGACAAACAATCACACTTCCAACACAGCCATACCGAGCTCAGGGATCTGCAATGGCGGTAAGTAATAAGTATTCGACGAACGGTTCATTTGCAATGCATAATTCCATTTTAGATTGAAGACGCCGTTGTCCTTGGCAATTTGTTCTCGAGAATTTCCGACAATTCACAGATACCAGACTTACTGAAAGCATACGAAGGTCTTCGCCATGCACGAGCGTCTGCCACCCAAGCAGCTTCGGCTCGGAACAGAAGCGTATATCACCTACCTGACGGTTTGGAGCAAGAAAAGCGGGATGCAGCTATGAAATTAGCCATGGAAGAAGAACTGCTGAACTACGAATGGTCCAAGGATGGTGATCCTCCGTCCGTTTTCGGTAATCGGAATCGAGATAACCCTAATGCATGGTCGGACAAAAACAAAAACGCGGAGCAATTCGACTATGATCCAGACACGGCGGTGGATGAATGGTGGGCCTCAGAGTCAAATGGTTTTCAAATGGATCAGTCACTGGAGAGTGTAGAAGTAGACTCAAACTTCCAGACGCGATGAAGAACAAACATATTTCTGGATAAGTAACTTGAGCTCGGGACTGTGTACAGGTTTGACGTACAGAATCTATCATGATCAGAACAGATGTTCGTGATTGCGTAGATACAGCAAACAATACAATAATGCAACAGTTGAATTCACGAGCGCTAACATATATATTGGCTTGAGCTTGACCAGGCGCTTGTTGCCATTCGAGTTTTGGACTGAACGACGACAGAGGGCGATGGAGTCCCATGAACGAATTCAAGCTGCTTGCGATTTTCTTCTCCAATCGCCACCAGGAGAAATCAATGATGTCCTGAATGGTTTGCTGATACATTTTTTGTTCCTTGTAACCCAAACTATAACCGTTCAAATAGATGTGCGCAATATAATATCTGACGACGAACTACTACAAGAAGGGATAGTTCCTGCGCTGAAGAGGTACAATCTTGCGCAGTTCATTACTGTCGATGTTCCAGAAACGAATCATCAGGTTTGTGCCGCCTTGCTAGCACAATCACCACCCTAGATTAAAAGCGTTCGCGTTCTCAGTCAATCATCAGTGAAGCTGCACGGTTATCTACAGGCTCTGAAGACGAAGAGGCACAAGAGAGATGGCTTGATCCTAGATCGAAGAAGAGTTTCGTGTTTGATCATATAGCTCTGGTGTGTTGGTCATTCTTTCGTTCAGCAGTCTTCTCATCTTGAAGTCTATTTCAGGAAGCCTCTGATCCTCAGCCTTTCGAGCCAAATGAGGACTTCGAAACATTTCGGTGCGCGAAGAACCAGGCCTATTGTCATAATACGATATTTATCAAGTTTCAAGGGTTGCGTTGGAGAAAGCGTCACTAAACTACCTACTAGCTCACTTTCACGATGGAGTTTCATCTGCGTTCTCCAATCAGACTACCCCAAATCAATTCATATTGCAAGTCGTGGCTAACAAATATAACCCGACGAACTTCTGGTGAGAAAGGTGTTCTGAATCATCCATGTAAACGAAGCTGAAGAGGCTCATTATAGGTCTGGTCGATGGCGATCGGAATACATAGTAGATCTGAACGACCATACCATAAAAGGAACGATACTAGTCAATGTGCATTACTATGAGCAGGGCAATGTCAGTTTCAATTTCACTCATATCCTCCCTCTCATGTATAACGCGTCTACCTTAGGTGCAACTATCTACCACTCACTCGATATCGATCGCACTACCTCCAGCAATTGTAACTGCATCCCCTGAGAGTGCGGGTACGAAAATCCTCGCTTTGATAGAGACCGAGGAAGGCAAATATCAGAATTCGTTAAATGATACGTATCATGAAATGTCGGAGAAAACTTTCAAGAGTTTAAGAAGGGCTTTGCCCATGACAAGGTCAAAACTGGACTGGGAGAAGGTGGGCCGATTCAGTTTGCTGCCAGCTTCCACTCATTCTCCTTTTTTGCAGGTACTGGGATACAAATTGGGAGCTGAGCTGTCTTCAAGCAAGGGTGCTTTCACTTCAGGGTCTTCTTAGAAGCCAATCATTTGTACAGATAATTGATACAACACGGATGGCATAATCCATTTGATAATCAAGGAAAGATGAGGATGTCCGGGTCGTACTTCTCGGTATCGAACCTCCTCCCCTTGAATTTCTTTCTCTGAGACCTTGCTTGAGCTACCATTTCCGTTTCTTTCTGGTTTGATACCCTGCCATCAGCGAGCCGCATGACTTCTTCTGCTCCATCTTGATTACCAACAGTTAGCCACTGGCGTAAGTTAGCTGATACCAGTGTCAGAGAGTCGTACTCCCGTGTAACAAGTAGAGTGTTGGCATTACGATCACGAAGCTCAGATACGAAATCTGCGAGCGTAAGAGGTCCCGTAGATGAACGCGAGGCAGGAGAGAGTGATACAGAAATTTCTGGAGGTGTAACAGAAAGTGGGGGTCTGTATGTCACTTTCCGAGCCTTTCGCACTATTTTTAAGGTGGTAATCTCTGATGCTGCATTCTGCTGTGGTCTAGCAATATGCTGCACGTGGGGCACATGATTGAGGCTAGGCAGCTCGTTCTTGGTGACGAACGACTGAGGAGCAGGCCAGGGGAGAACAGGTACTCTGGGCCCGTCCTCAGATATACGAGTTTTGGATGAGGGCAATGAGGTAACCAATCCTTCAGCAACAGGAACGATCAGTGGCGCTGGATATGTTTGAAGTGCTGGTGTAGGTTTAAGTTCCATGTCAGTCTGAGGTGTCACATTTTTGTTGTGTGGAGCAGCAGCTCGGACTCTTGAGGCTGATATTGAAGAATACGACGTACGTCCCCGTTCTATCGTACTATCCAGAGTGGAGGGATTTGGGCGCTGGACTACCTGTTGCCTCGCGCCGGCAGAAAGTCTAGATCCAATAAACTGGATATCATCCGAATCTGAATCGGAGATGATCATCACACTTTGATCTTGCACGACCTCTACAAAGTCGAACATAAGGATTTGTTCGTTCACAGTCAAAATGAGTATCACTTACTGACGTCGTCGAGGGGTTCGGGGTTTGGTTGGTTCGGCTTCTTTACAGAGGATCTGGCGTTGGGTAAATCTTGTGTCTTGCAGCATCGTCGACAGTGCCAATTTTCTAGCGAGAGCTGATTCGGATCGTTTCTTTCTTCCGTACCTCCGGGTTTAGTAATAAGAGGACGGATACTTCCTCTGATGCGGATCTGTATCTCTAGGTCTTGGATAGCAGGTATATGACAACCTGGGGGATATCCGCGCAGTCGCAGAATGAGTTCGCAAGCTTGAATATCGAACAGAGACGCGTACAATCGTGCCACGACTTATGACAGTTCTGACACGTCAATAGATGCTTTTCGGGCCCATGTGTAGTGCCCTTACATCGGTGACACGCTCGAGAGAGCATTTTGAAAACTGATGCACATGTACATGCGGTTCAAGTTTGAACTTGAAGTTTAGTCATGCGCAGTCCCGCTCACTAGCACGTGCCGTCTTTCGCTTTTACAGAAACCACGACACAGAAACCCTGGTATTAGAGTCGTCCAATATGGCCCCGAATTCTTTCAATGAAGACGATCTGAAGAAGTCAAATATAGCTCAGTTGAAGGCTATATGCAAGGAAAGGCAAATCACAGGTTTTTCCAAGCTTGCGAAGCCTTTGATCATACAGAAAATTCTCGACCATACAGCTCGTAACATAGCAAGTCTCATCCGATTTTACCATTTGAATGCGCAGAATTAACAATTGAATCTCTCTTAGTCCCTGCCTGTTGCCCCCACCAAGAATGCTCAACCTGGTGCTGATGGTAATCAGCAAGTATCTGGCAGTACACTGGCTCCTCAATTGCGTATGCCAAGCGTGCTGCCTGACACTTCTCGCACCACCTCTACGTTTGTATCAACCGTTACTAACCCGACTAACGCGCATATAACCACTTCCGCTACTGCTGGTCTGAAAAGACCCTTTCTCCCGGATCCCCTAGTGTCAAATGTCCCACCCCCGAAGAAAACTAAAACGGATCCTCACATCTCTTCCGACGATCGTGAAGTCAATGCAACAGTACCAGCTACTATGAGTCTTTCCGGCATCCGCGATCCATCCTTACCAGCTAGTACCAAACGCCCTGTCACTCCGTCCTCTCTCGACTCCTCTGTCATGTTCAAGAAGACCAAGATCGTTCCTAGCACTATGTCTGTGGACGTAGAAGATTTTTCCCTCACTGCGGCTCAAGCTCAGAGAAAGAACGTGCTCGAGGAAGATCCTATGGCTACAAATGTCCAGCATAACTCAGTGACTTGTGACGTTTGCGGGAAGATAGTGAAGTATACCATGTTCGACCTCTATCACTGGAACAGACACAAGACACGCTGCAAATCAGATCTCTCCCTCAACTCTAGATCCTCTTCTGTCATTTCAAATAATGCCGACTCCTCGCTTACTGCTGCACAGGCCGAAAGAAAAAGAATACTCGACCAGGATCCCTTGGCTACGAACGTCCAACACAACTCGGTAACCTGTGACGCTTGCGGGAAAGTAGTGAAGTACACCATGTTCGACCTTTATCACTGGAACAGACACAAAACACGCTGCAAACCAGGTCTCCCAGGCCCCTCTCAATCATCTTCTGTCTCTTCGAATGATGCCGATTCTTCGCTTACTGCTGCACAGGCCCAAAGGAAGGGCATACTCGAAGAAGACCCTCTGGCTACAAATGTCCAGCACAACTCGGTGACTTGTAACGCATGCGGGAAAGTGGTAAAATACACCATGTTCGATCTCCATCACTGGACCAAACACAAAACACGCTGTAAATCAAATATTTCCCTCTCTCGATCTTCATCCGTCACTATGAATTCGACGTCCTCCCAATCTCAGGTAAAGACTGCAGCGCCTTCATCTCAGACTCCCGCAAGTGATACCAACTCCACCCTCATGCTCACCGCTGCTCAAGCCGAAAGGAAACAAGTACTTGAAGAAGATACGCTGGCCACAAACATCCAACATTGCTCGGTGACTTGCAGGGCCTGCGGGAAAGTAGTGAAATATACCATGTTCGACCTTTTCCTTTGGGAAAAACACAAATCGCGCTGCAAACTGGATGCTTCTGTCTTGCAATCGTCCTCATCGTTAATTTCTTCTATCTCTCAGGCTAACGACACGCAGCCGAGAATCAAGGATATCGACATTCTCTATACCGCAAAACCGAGCCGCGTGTCACCTTTCGAGGCAGGAGAAACTTCCACTGATCACTCTCTCACTGAGGCTCAGTCGAAGAGGAAGAGGGTGCTTGAACTAGATCCTTTGGCGTCGAACGTCAAACACTGTTCGTTGACGTGCAAGGCCTGCGGAAAATTGGTCAAGTACACCATGTTTGATCTCTTCCATTGGAATAGACACAAAGCTCGCTGCAAGCCCGTCCCTTCCAATATGTCTTCCACGCAGGGAGAAGCTACGTCTGTCACAAAAGGTAAACGTTTTACGCCGCTGGTTGCGAGCACAAAAATTGCCAATCTTGCATCTACGAAAGCCTCAGTGTTTTCTGAAAAGGAGGATTTGGTTCATTCTCATGCTGGCCCCCCACTTACGACTTCTCTTGCTATTCCTATTGCCTCTGGTTTCTCCTCTCACGAAATTGCTGTTCGTATCGCCTCTGGTTCCTCTTCTCACGAAACTGCCATGTTATGTACCACAAGATCGTCCGTCGCTATCCACGCAGATGCCAAATCTACGCCAAGAACAAGAACATATGCTGCTTTTGCTCCACCATCTGCTATACCTTCTGCGCGCCTAAGAGCACTAAAGGTGGCTACGTCCGGCCCCATCGTGCGGAAGGCTAGTTCAGTTCCCGATATCACTCTTGAAGTGAATTCACCCACAAGCTTATCATTGTATCACCTCGACTTTCCGATGTCAATACCAATCGTCTTGAATCGTATTTCTATGCCCCCTGCTCTGGCCCAACGGAAACAGGTGGCCCGTTTCGCGGTCATCCTGAGCCAGATCGCCATTCAAGACCTCAGTAACTGTATGTTAGTTTCGCGAATGTTCCGATATGCCAGTACGCCCTTTAGTGTCTATACCTCGATTCAATGGCTGACTTGATTCCAGTATATTTATCAGCTTCGACGCGTCTCGGGCGTAACTTTTCCGGGTACAGACTCAATCGCATTATACATCGCCTACCGGCGAACATGATGAATATGTGGCCATATCTTCTCCAGCGGCAGGGAGAGGAGAAGTTTCGACGTCGAGTTTTCGAAGAATCCTTTCTAGGTCGTGTCTTCAGTGGAACAAGCGTAATTGCTCCCCGACTCTGGGCGAGCCCAGACAACGACAAACAAATTGTGATCGCTATTAGGCATGTATATTTATAATCCTTCTTCAGTTATCAGTCACTCAAATCTACGGATAATAGGTTTCTGATTACGCGTCTATTCTTCACTGTTTCAGTCGGGGGAGGCCAAAGCGTCAATGACTGGTTAAATGGTATGATTGTTGATGCCCGAGAAATCATCAAGGGGGAGGTTTGGTGCATCGACGTTATCCAAACGTCTAAAGCGCTCGAAACCTTCTATGTCGTCGAATCCACCTGTGAGGTCGTTGGTTTTGCCCCCTCGCCCTCCAAAGCGGAGGGCCCTCTTCCAATAAAAATGCGTGCCGACTGGTCTTCCTACATCGATCAAAGGTCGTCCATCATTCCTCCCTTACAATTGATAACCAATGGTCCTGGAAGACAACTCGATCCTACCCGTTCTTTGTCCTCGATTCCGGCTACTTCCCTCATGGATCAACTAAGTTGTGTGAATCACGAAGAGTTCACAAAAGGAATTAGCAAACTATGGTTAAAAAAAGTTCAGATTCAACAGGAAGTGGGAGTAGCGAAGAGGGTAGTTGCTGAACGCTATATACTAGCTAGTGTCGTCGAGAACAGGTGAGCTTTCTTCTTCAAGATATGGCTTTGCTAACTTTTTGCAGCGTTAGCGGTCGGTACAAAACATCGACAGAAATGGCGCACGACTTTGCCGGAGTCCCCACTGAACTTTGTGATGGGAAGAAACCCAAAGTTAAGCTGAACTTATTTTTACCTGCGTAGGTCTTCGGTTGTGTTCAACGTTCCGGAACTAACACGTTGATTGCAGTCATCATCATGTCGAAAGTGTTCATTTCACGACTGCGCAAGGCCGTCCGCTACACCCTGCTCTTGCGGTAGTCCAGACGCCGGCTAGGGAATATTATGTGTTGAGGGACAATGGCATGCAGGTCGGCTGTGAGGAAGACGGAGTAGCCCGCGTTTGGATGACGATACTCGGCTGCGCAATTAACGGTGAACGTGTTTGAATAGAAGATAATTTGTCGTTTGTGCTTCTCTTTGACGAACATGCTTTGCTACTATGTACCTTTGCTCTGCTGCCTGTGCTCACTGACCTATTAAGGAATTCAATGGATGCTGAACACATATTATTATACTTAGATTGAGCCATTCGTCGTTTATATATGATGCAAAAAGAAAGACCGGTAGTGTGGAAGACGAAACCCGAGCCCGATGCGAGAAGATTGTACAATGTCAACCAGATGCGAAGGTGTCGTGCTATGCATGTGAAATAGGAAAGAGAATGCAGAAACAATAACGAGACGCAGTCGTGCGCGCGCAATTCCCTAGCAGAGGTAAGAGCAAAAGCATGTAAGATGGAATCTAGATGAGGGGGACAGCAAAGGAAACAGCGAAGGCAGGTCTTCCGAAACTGTATGTAGGTCGTGGGAGAGGGTATAGCGTCTGGGGCAAGAATAAAGGTTAAGTACAGGGACCATGGTGAGGAAGAGATGAACAGCGTGACAGATGCAAGCTTGAGATACACTGGAGAAGAAAATGCGAAACAGTCCCCTAAATATGAACGAAAAGAGCGTGATGGACATCTGGCAGCAAAAAACGAACAAAAGGGGTTGAGGACAGACGGCCGATGAGCGGCCAGCCGCTGGCACTACCATGCTGCGGGTACCGCACGGGCAAATATGTCGTTCTTCAAAGGATGGTTTACAGGCCAGCCAGTAATGGTCTTCTCCTTGATGGAAAATTCGGGCGGTGAAGTGGTAGCGAAATCCTGAATCTGAGTGTAAAAGTCTTCGCCACCTACTGGTGTTTGCGGCGATATAGAGGATGCAGGGGAGGTACTGTTGGAGTAACTGGGAGAAGGCGTCTTGATAGCCACATGAAGCCGTTCGGAACGAGTGGATGAAGAACGTGGCATAGGGATGGGGGCGGTAGCCGTCGGCGTCTTTGCAGGGGAAGGATGACGTTGGCTGAAGGATGGGAAATGGGGATTGAGAGAATCTGGGGAGGGGGCTGGAGAATTTGGCTTTGAAGCGGTTGCTTTTGGAGCGTGCTTGGATACATCCTGAAGAGAATAGATTGGATATGGACCGTGGAGCGGGGCAAAATCCTGAGTGACCCGGGCCTGGAACGGAGTGAGAATTTCTCCATCGACGGTGAGTTCCCAATCTAGGTAGCCACACATCTCTCGTTCCATTTGATTGACTTCACGAACTGTGAACATCCCCTGAGCGACGACACTCCAGGATTTATTCGAATACGTATCGTCGCACATGACTTTGGAAGCAATCATAAAGGCGGAAATGAAGAGCCTATGACCAGAGGAGCCTTTTGCCGAAGGAAATCGAGACTTTAACCGCTGTAAGAGGGCCAAGGCTGAGAATACAACACATTCTGGGAGTTTGGTGCGGTAGATGGCGTATGCGATGTAATACGGTAGTTCGACATGCCAGCCTGACTGATTCGGCGGCCGTTCGGGACAACCAAAGAGATGCGTTATGAACCGTGCGCAAAGACGAGAAATTGCCTCTTGACCGTAGTAGGTTTTGCTCTGGACTGGAGCAGGAATAGACTGTTTAGGAGGGTTAACCTGGGTAACGTATGAGCTGTATGTGCTTGACAAAGAACAATGAAAAAGACAAACCATGGCCTCTAGTGGAGCGACTGAAGAGTTGATATTGACACTGTGCTTTGACCTCGAAGCAAGATGAGAGGTGGAAGTAGAAAAGGGTTTCTGAACAGATGCCATGTCGATAATTTATTGGAACACACAATGGTTTCAGTCAAGGTCGACTCAGAATTTCAGTCTGAGCTCAGCACTGCCACTTACATAATCTTGCGCTCATTTCACCTGTGATCTCCTTCCCGCAGCAGTTACAAATAACTGCAAATGGCCATTATCGACGGTAGTCACGGCGGGGACGAGATCTCACAACTCTGGGCTGTAATCACAGAGCTCAGTGACCAACTGAATCAGAATCGGAGCGCGTCAGTGTCGCTGTATGCTCAGGCTGGAGGCGTCAAGGTCTGTAGTTCTAATGTTTTCTGATTTCACAGCTATAATATCACTAGAATCAAGCTCTTCATTCTCAAACTGGTTTTGTTTTACGGAAATTCAATGCCGACAAACCAAAAGAAATATATGACTCTGAGTTGGAACGTATGAACGCGGCCATGATGGCAGAAAACCAGTCACTCCAGCACGACAATAAGCAATTAAACACATTGATTAAAGAGTACGAACAAACACTGGATACATTAATGAGTGAGCATTTCTACATTCTCTCCTGCAAATTCTCATTGTTTACAGGTACATTCCGAAACCGCGCCCAAACTGTCCAAGAGAACGAACTTTCGCTTATTCGACATTACGAGTCGCATCTCCTCCAATTGGAGGAAGAAAATTCATCTAGAGAACTCGAGGCCAGCACGAGAATTTCCGAAAGTATTTCGCGCTTATCGGAATTGCTACGAAACTGTCTACGCGAGGTCGGAGGCGAGCGTACCCGTCTGTCGACATATGACGATCACGAAAACGACTCAGAAACAGAAGAAGATCCGGATTTGCTTGAACGTGAGCCGTGGCAGAGCACGGATGCAACTCACGCTGAGTGGGCGTTGGAACGCGAGATTGAATTGGCGAGGCTTGAACGGGAGAATGAGGAACTTAGGAATTTAATCATGGCTGGGCGTGCGATTCCCGTACATGCACCGCAGGCAGCCCATCCGGCACCAACTCAGATTAAACCTCAAACAGAGGAGCCCTTACAACCAAGTCAAGGAACCGATCCTGGCCCACAGTTAGCAACAAAGGTAGAAGAGGTTAAAGATTCCAGTACCCGAGATCGACCTACCCCCCAGCCCCACGGAGAAGAAGATTTGGATACTGTACCAGAAGGTGACTTGTTGAATGTAGATCCGTATGCTACGGTAAAGAGGTCAAAGATGGGCGGATAGGATTTTGACGTTTATTCGTATCGTATAACCGTTGTTTCCGAATTCTCCAGACGTTCTACGCTATCTTGCATGATGGATTCCTCATGTCCATCCTTGACATCGTCAAATGCTTGGAAACTATGATTGTGATACTCGGGCGGCAGGCGTTTATGTGGATTATGTTGATTCTCTCGCGCACCGAGGTCAGCACATGCCGTCAATCCAGGTCATATTTACTCATTCAAGTAGGGTGTCGGACTGCCATACAACAAACGTGAAGATATCTCTCTGGTAACCGGTACATTATTAGACATCGAAATTGCTTCGGTTTTCATTATCACAGTTTTCGGAGTTGGAGTGTTCGACACAGGTTCGGCATTTGATACAAAACACAACCTCGAGTTTGCTTCGAGTTAAAGTTGTCATAGGTTGTCACTAAGCTCCAGGACAGTACCTTGCTTGGTTCTTATCCACTGACAAGTTTGTATTTTTACAGACTTTTGGATCATAAATTAGAAACTTGGTAAGTACCAGCTCAAGTGCTGCTGTACAAAAGCTTGAATTGAACTTGCCGGACATGGAGACTGCATGCAGCTACAGTGTTAATTTCAGTTGCTTCATATAGGGTACAGCAGAGTACAGCTAATGAGCAATCAGGATTTTGAGTCTTTGGTGGATGGTCTGGATCCTCGAGGGCCAAAGAAAGGGAAAGAATTTTAAATTGTTTCAAAAATATGTATAAGGTGCGCCACAATGGAGATCTAGACGTGCCTGCATATCGAGAAGTCTCTTGTTGAATTTTGTCTGGCCACTCCGAAGCTTCAAATACTACCTCGAATATTTCATCATACCCCCTCCCTTCTCACTATGTTTTACTAGCCTTTGAACTAACTATCTATCTATTTCGGAAGAAGAAATTCTCAAAATGTCGCAAACATTGCAGTATAGGAATTTTCTTCCACTAAGAAAACTAGTTCATCCCTCGAGTGCGCTGTGCTACGCTGTGTCGGACGAGGACTTGCGTTTTTGAGACTAAAATATTCGGACTGAATATCTGACAAAATCATGCCCTCTTGAGGACAAAATTTGGGTGGAGATTCTGGGAGCTTATGAAGTAGTCGCTGCTCGAGATCTTATTCTTAACTCTCAGTCACGTCGTGCAGATAATCTGGGCGGGTTAATATGGCGTTGCATCCGGGACCAGGATGATCTTTTCTCCCTAAATCCTCTATGTATTCAATAACACTCGATTAAATGTGTGAAGTTCCTAGGAATAAGCTTACGCAGCGCATTCGGCTTGTACATTGTACACTAAGACGGGACCAGAACTAATTACTAGTTGTGCCAGGAATTCACAAGAGGGAATCCGAAGAGAAGTTCGCTCACTGTGTACATATTAGACCTAGAAATCCGTGAAATAGACGCTCGTTCGGACGCGCGGGCATCGCGTGACTAGGTAGGTCTCGTGAAGCTATGCAGTTCCTCAGAGTTTTTCTCACAGCGTGCCTCACGGTTTTTGCATCCCCTTCGCCGTCGTCCCGAATCCCGACCCACCTTCAAGACAAAAAGTACGACAACTGTGTCCCCCGCTTTCCTTAGATCTCATTGCTTTATCGGATGCTGTACAGATAATGGCCCAGCGCGTCACCCTTCGTAAACGCCAACCGTATAACACCACTTCCTCCCGGCGAAGGATTGTGAAGACGCCTGGTGGCAAGCTTGTTTATCACCATCTCAAGAAGCCAGCTACTTCCCCGAAATGTGGTGACTGTGGCATTGGACTACCTGGAGTGTGTCCATCATAATCTCCGAATCTATACTTTGTGTTGATGATATTCCATAGATCCCAGCCCTTCGTCCCCGTCAGTATGCGACCATCTCTAAACGTCAAAAGACTGTACGTCGTGCATATGGTGGCTCACGCTGTGGCGACTGTGTCAAGTCACGGTGCGTTTATCTATTTAACGGTCTCTTACTGGTTTCTTACTATGTTTTCGTCTCAGAATCCTTCGTGCTTTCCTTGTGGAAGAAGCCAAGATCGTGAAGAAGGTTATCAAATCGCAACAGCAGCAGCAGAAGAAGTGAATAGCTGATTTATGCAGGAGTACCATGTTTTCTCGTTCTGTACAGTTATGCTTTTCATCCAATGCCTACCACCTTATGTTGCATAAGATTTTAGATTATGGAGCTATCGGGCTGAGAAATACTGACACAGCTATCATGGAACTCATTACATCAAATGGCTACCACCTTATGCTGTATAAAATTTCAGACTATGAAGGTATCGGGCTGAGAAATTACACTGGCACGGCCATCATGGAACTTTTTCCTTCACTGTCACGATCTTACATTCTTGCCTTTCAATTCTCTTCCTGGTACCCTGCTTTTCATACGATTAGCATCAAGTCTACTATCATCCGACCTCTTTCGCAAGAATTTCATAATTATCTCAACGCTGATCAAGTTTTTGTACCCAAGGGATCAGAGAACGTGTTAGTACGCATCTCGTGAAATTGTCCTGTTTTCATCGCGAAGACTGCTATATGTAGACTTGTTGAAAGTACTCTATCCGACGATGAAGACGATGAAGATAGAGACAGCGTAGACTCTGATGAGACCCCCATCTTTGCATTTCCGGAATTAGATGAAAAAATCAGAGCAGTAGTCAAGGAATACGGGGCTGTATTTCCGAAGCTCAACTTTACTTCGCCCAAGGTATCGATCATTTTCAACTGTGTCTTTCTGCAACAGCTCACAATCCTCACTAAAGGATGCCTCGTGGATACTCCCAGCTTCATCGCCGCTGAAATGTACCTCACCCGCTGACGTTTACTTGTTGCTCAAATCGTCCGATTTCATATCTCACGACCTTTCTCCATCCACCGTGTTTGATGGTTGTGACCCGGTGCAGTCAGACTCGTACGACTTAGAACTTGTGTTGCGCAAATGGTATTCCGTAGATCGGAGTCGAGAACTACGCTGTTTCGTGAGGAACAATGTTTTGCTTGGTCCGTCTTCTGCCCTCTCATCGCAACGCCGCCTTCTGCTTACTCCCTGGAACTGTAGGAATTTCTCAGCGCGATACAAATTACTATGATTTCCTGAATGATCCCGATACCCAATCCAAGATCATGAATACGGTCGTGACATTCTGGAAGAACAAGATACAACCACAATGGAAGGCGGAGGCCAGCTGTACGAAGCTCTCTTATCACCACTGTTCGAAGTTCACATATTCTTATACAGATGTATTGGACCTCCTCCTAACACGCGATCTATCTAGTGCACACATTGTCGACTTCAATCCGTATGCGCCACGCACAGATCCTCTGCTATTCTCATACGAAGAACTCCGAGATATCGTGAATGAAGATCGGGCTACAGACACATTAGCCCAGCTAACAGCACCACTACCACATTTTCGCGTAATTGACTCCCCATCTCACCCTGCGGCGAGCTGTAAATCTCCTGCTAACCAACATAACATGGTTCCGTTCGAGGCACTGAGTTTGAGTAACGGCCGAGATATTGAAGATTTCAAAGAACTTTGGGAGAAAAGTATCAAAGAAAGTTTGCAGGATCAGCAAGGGGAACAATGTTAATGACGTACATGCAGTAGATCTACTTGGAAATTCTGTTACTGTACAGCTATTCCCACACTTTGTCACGTGCTATCATCTTCAAAGGAGCCCGATTCGAGTTGTAATAATCTTTGCATTAACGAAGGCGGAAGAAGACTTAAAACACTTATCACTGAACATAAAAGATGTCTGACGCTGGAGATGACATTCCTGTCGAAGAGACCGCCGTTGAGGTCACCACCGAAGCTCCCAAGGGCAAGCTTTCCATTGAGGAGGCTCTTCAGGTGTGTCTTCCTGATACTCCTGATTTACACAATCGCCTTGTTTTACTAATAGTCATATAGCAAGTTCTGAAGAATGCTCTTGTTCACGATGGTCTTGCACGTGGACTCCGTGAATGTGCCAAGGCCCTTGACAAGCGCCAGGCGCACCTCTGCGTCCTCGTCGAGTCCTGTACCGAAGCGGAGTACATCAAGCTCATCGAAGCTCTTTGCGCTGAGCACACAATTCCTCTCATCAAAGTCCAGGAAGCCAAGGTTTTGGGTACCTGGGCTGGATTGTGCAAGATCGACAGAGAGGGTAATCCCAGAAAAGTTGTCGGCTGCTCCTGTGTCGTCGTGAAGGAGTACGGCGTGGAGAGTGAGGGGTTGAATGTGATTTTGGATTACTTCAAAAACCGGTAACAGCAGAGTATCTCGCTCGAGCTGTTTCACTTGTGTGAGTCTGGGCATCCTTCTCCATCTTTCTGGTGATGATAGAACAGACTCCCTCTTCTGAGCCCTTCTTACGAAGCCTTTGCGGAAACAGTCTTATCCGGAATCATTATACTTTTTGTCTGATCCTTTGTCATGTCCTCGCTCCTCACGTTCCATACTGATAATGCTTGTCTCTAGCTCTCATCGACTTCGGGTTATGTGTCGCCCATGTACATACTACCTAAAATCTGTATGGCCAATAATAGCATTTCCTTGAAGCATGAAATGCTTACTCTTCCACCGATGTCGTTTTGCTGGAGTCAATATATCAGCCTGCACTCTTCACTCAAATGAAAATGATGAGTGAGATTGAGTGAGAAGTATGCATATGAGATTGCAATGCTGTGGTAAGAGTATGCTATTACATTCTATCTGTATTGAGGTAACATGAAGTAAGTTAAAAATTGATCTACATGGCACCGATTCTTTTGCCGAATCCACAAGTAATTTAACGATAAAGTCTACAGTCTACAAAGCGTACTGGTTAGTTTTGCCACTCAGCTCAGCCTGCACTTGCAGTGCTCGAGGAGCATCGTGCTTGGGCATCATGACCTCTACAAGTTGAAGGACTTCGGCAGCCGCAAACTTCGGGTTTTCCAATAACTCAGTGAGCTCGCTTTTGTTGTTGACGGTGTATGACTTAGAGAGAGTTCCATCGAGGTCACCGAGGACTTCGAGAAGACCTGTCCACTTCCAGTTCACGATATCATTGTACTTCCTAGGAAAAGGAAGAAGGAACCGTCAGTGACAAGGAAATCGTTCACAAACCATAACACTCTGACCTTTCCTTCCCATGGAGGAATCGCTCAATAGTATAGCCACTGTTGTTCAAAACAAAGATAATCGGTTTGAGGCCTTTACGAAGCATTGTAGAAAGTTCTTGAACAGTGAGTTGCCTGGCACATAAACGCGAACAGTTAGCAAACGATCAACGTAGTCGTTCATTCACCTACAAGCTGCCATCGCCCACGAATAAAATGGTTCTGTTCAAGTTGCAATCCTTCGCCGCGAGCGCGGCACCTAGAGTGCTCCCTTTTGATAATGTATGAAAATCAAGGACAAGATTAGTCGAACTTTCGACTAACCGACTGTCCAACCAATGGAACCCCACAGAATTTGAGATAGGAAGACTGAGTCCTTAGGTAAAGGGACGTCGAGAATTCCGAAGCTTGATGTGCCAGTTTCTGCAATAACAACATCCTTGGGTTCGAAGAACTTACTCATCCTCGGCCAGAACCATGCTTGCGATATGATGTCGTCGGTCTCTTGAGGTACGTGGGCATCGAAGCGAGGCACTTCGAGTTGTAATGCTTTGGCCTTCCCTCCTTCAAGTCTCGCAGTGAGTTTGGGAAGAAGTTGCTTCATTCCGATATTCGGGAATTCTGCATATTTGATGTTGGTCCAATGCGAGTGCAGCTACAGAGAGATGGTGAACTCAGTCAGGATACCAGCATTTAGGGTGAAGAAACAAACCTCTATTGTCCTTGTGGTAGGAATACTGTAGGTGAAATTTCCACTGTTGAAGTCACTCTTCAAACTCCCGATGGAAAGAATGAGTTTGGCGGATTCGACTTTCTCCTTGATTTCGGGGCGGGAAATGCTACCAACATAGATCTATAGAAACATGAGTTGCATTATCTGGCACCATAGGAACATCCAACTCACCCCACCGTAACGCTCATATGTCTCATCGATGGCACTTTTGCCCATAGGTGCGCAATAGACGGGGTAGCCAGTCTTGTAAAGTAGATCCTTTAGCTCATCGATAGCATCGTGACGAATCGCACAGGCATCGGCGATGACGACGACGTCTCCGTCAGCTTCTGCTATCTGCTTGACGATTTCATCAATAACGAAGGACTCTACATCTGCGTTATTGGGAGAAGGATGACGAGGAAGAGGAATTTTAAGTCGATCAGAGGAAATTTTAGCGTAGGCCAGATCGGTGGGAAGAGTAATATATACTGGGCGGCCCTATACCGATTGGTCAGTAACAAGCAGACATGCTAACTTGTGTTGTCATTGACCTTGATCACACAATCGGAGAGAACTCGATCGATTTCCGCACCAGCCGAGACTGTGTTGGTAAGAATAGCTTGAGAATAGGTGAATTGCTCCGCCGCCTTGATGTATGCATCGAATCTGCCATGCTCAGTTCAAGATCCAAGAATTGAATGCCGGTATAGAAGATGATCCTTACCGTCCATCTCCAAGTGTATGATGTAACATAGGCTTGGTTGCTTGTTGTCTCAAGCTTGGAACACCAGCGATATGGACCATAGGGACCATTTCGGAAAAGGCTGTATGTCTATCGTTAATTCAATCAATGATAAGAAGAGCACATCAACTTACCTCCTGCCATTCCATTCATAGCTGACAATTCTCCGACTCCGAAACTAGTAGTAACATCGTGAATGAACGGGATACGACTGGATCAAGGAGTCGTACGTTGTCAGTAGCACCCCGACGCTGCCTTGTTTGACACGAGCATAACCGTCCGCAGCGTAGGAAGCATTGAGCTCGTTACTGCAAGATCATGATTAAACGATTGATGAGACAGTCAAGTTTGCGTTCCTACCAGTTACCAACCCAATCAATGGTAGGGTGATCTTCGACGAGATCCTATGACGCGAAGTCAATTGGAGAGAGAGGAAAGGAAAGACGCAGAACATACCAAGAATCCAAGGTTAAAGTCCCCGGGAACACCAAACATTGACTGCGATTATCCGTGATACAATCAATCGATTAGCAGAACAAAGAAACCCACTGTAACGCCCAATTCCTCCAACCTAGCTAGAAGATAACTACCGATATAGATTTCTTCAGATTTATCTTCGCCTTGAAGAGTCTTCACAGCAAGCTTGAGACGATTCATCTCAGCTTCAAGGGCTTTCTCTGTTGCAGCCAACATGATGGTAATATGTGATGAAGCAGTGAGGATTGTTTCTGAGATAAGGATCCTTTCTTCAACTGCTTTTAAATCACAATCTGCGTGGTTATTTAGGAACGGCCTAGAACGTTCTATTCATGTGGTGCATTAGCAAATTCAAGGCCAGAACTCTGCCAGAACAGCCCAAACGGTGGTATGCCACCTTATGCCACTGTTCTCTCGAACACAATCACCGCTGCTCTAGAACCGATGTAGACCGCATTATAAGTGATATTAGCCAGACTGAACGAGCACTCCACTGGACTGTTGAAGATTCAGAGGCGATGAGATGTAGAATTATGGATTCAAGTCGAACCATAGCTCGAGGTGAAATTTCATATGTACACCCCGAGTATTTCAATCTTGAGCTCAGCGAAAGAACTTAGGATTGTAAGTTGAATATTGTGGGTGTGCACTTTAAGGAAATTAAGCATTTATGGCCAATATAAGAACAATGAAGTAGGTATATGCCTGCAATCAACTCCAGTAGCTATCGAATTCATTGACTAAACAAAGATTTTTCAGTACGGAGCTGTAGAGAAGGGCTTAGTGGATGAAGTTATTGGCTGTTATTGGTTAGAGCGGGGGAACTTCCACGAGGGGTCAAAATAACAAGCGCCGGACACGTGTTTGGTGAGCAAACGCGTCAGGACGCGACCACTATTTGCTCTTAACTTCATCATCGAAAAGTGAATTCAAACAAGCTTTTGCTCTTCATTTCGATGATCTGATGACTTCTTCGGCGGTAAGCTACTTCTAGCATGCTAAGCCTACTTTGACCAAAGTCACATCTCACAGTAGAAATCATTACAGACATTTTGATCTATTTTACATCTATTCCGCACCATACTCGCGCTGTACAACCTCGCCTTACTCCTAAAATTTTACAACGACAATAATACGAGCAGATGTCCTCAGAATCGGAGGAAATCCCTCATTTGATAGCCAATTGGTGGTTGCAAGAGCGTTTGGGCTCTGGATACTCAGGTATGCTCGAACTCGCACTCAAGCGATCAACGCTCTTATTATTCCGCCCAGGATCAATATTTAAAGCTATCCATGTTCATACGGGCAAGGTTGTTGCTCTCAAGGTTCAACGTGTCGACCATGAATGTCCTACAAATAGGTACGAACGAGGCTTCTATCCATCACTGCAAGGAGGGGTGGGTATGCCAACTCTATGGGCTTCTGGAGTCGAAGGGATGTGGGATTATCTTGCAATCGATCTTCTGGGCTCAAGCTTGGATAGCTTATATAGAAGGAGCGGTAAAGAGACGATGGATCTGCGGAGTGTTTGCTGTATCGCTATGCAAGTGGTGAGTCGAACCCTGCAGTCGAGACATCTTCCTGTCTTAGAGCGAGTTTGAACAGATATCGAGGCTAGAGTTTATGCATTCGAGGGGCATTTTACATCGCGACATCCAGCTGGGCAATGCTACCATTGGTTTACCACCAGATGAAAAGACCATTTACATGATCGATTTTGGATTCTCTAAACGATATATCGATGCTTATACACATCGCCATATCCCTGATAGCAAGGCTAAACGCGATTTCATTGGGAACTACTGGTTCAGGTATGTTTGGAGCGACGCCACAATTCTTCAAGTCTTTGATGAGACCTTGTATAGTTCGGTAGGCGTTCACTGTAGAGGAAAAGGTGTGTTCAACTTGGTCCCTCTGACATCTTCTAATCGCTTTCTAGTCCCTTCACGGCGCGACGACCTCGAGGCCGTTGCACTAATGCTAATCCATCTTCTCACCCCTCGTGGGCTCTCGTGGACACGGAACGGTGTCCCGAAAACGGATGCTGCTCACGAAATACTTAAACGGGAGAAACGACTGGCACGACCAGAGGATCTCTGTCGAGGTCTACCCAACGAATTCGAAGAGCTTTTGAGATATTGTAGACAGTTGAAGTTCCAGGAATGCCCGGATTATCAACAGTGGATCGATGAGTTCAGGGAGTTATCCGAATCGCATGGTTTTCCTTCCAGTTACGATTTCGTATGGCCTCCTCCAAAACCGGTAAAAAAAACAATCTCGAACCATGGTTCTACATAGATGCTGATTTTAGTGAATCGGGTAGGTCTCCACGAAACCAAAGAGCACAGTGACTGCAGCTGACGACCTCGCAAATGTTCTAAATGATTTGGGTCGAATGAACCTTGGCGACAACCAAACCTTGGCTGATCGCACTAACGTTGCTCAAGCAGTTCGTCAAGCTAAACAAGATGTGGGACAGGACTCAGACAAGCGCACCATCACTATCAGCAGTGACTCTGAAGGGCAAGAGAACGACACTGTTCCGCCTGCATTTATGGCACCAAAAGCGTATAAATTAGCGAAGTTGACGAACAGGACCTCAAGTGCGACTGATAACGCTGCTCTCTCGGAACTGGTTCTGGAATTCATCAAGGTCATGAAGTCGAACACGTCCCGCACATTGATCAAGGATGGTTTTGCTTTTCTTGACGCCTTGAACAAACAGCTGGAAGACCCTTCGGTTTTCGTCGTTCCGATGCGGTAAGGTGGATGCCTAATTGTATCACTGAGTCCTGACGTGCGTGACCAGCACCCGCTCGAAGGACATTTCTTTACAGACTGAGACATCGAATGCAAAGCTGGGTGTGGTTGCCCGACTACGGCGAGAAGTCGGGAACGCAAAAAGTAATAGGCAGCTGGCTACAATGGTCCAAGATTTTGGTAGAGTGACCAATCGAAGTAGTGGTCGGACAATTACGAAGGTGAGAGCTTAGTAAGTAATGAGATCAACTTCGTTAACGCTCTGCCTCCTCTTTTTACCTTGTTCCGCTCAGGATGGTTTCTCTTTTTTGGAGGGTTTGGCACGACAGTTGAAGACCTTGCAGTAGTGGAGATACCGTACATAGAGACAGCTGATTGAGTCTGATCCCACACGGAATGAAATGTACATACGCATTTTATCGATGTTACCCGGGGCTCCAGCTCTAACTAGCTCTGACGAGCATCTTCTGGGCGTGATTAGTTCGGCGGTCCATTGGGGAAGATTTAATTGGCAAAATTCCAGTTGTCCGTTTCCCCAAAGTTATATCCTGTTATATCCACATAAGGGAGCCGGAAGATGCCGAATGCCCCATAATTATAGGGCACGGTTTTTTGACAGAACCAGTCCCTTGATTACCCTTGGACTTGTACACCCACAGACTCAGAGCCTCATAGACTGCCACTGGGCTCATTCCTTCGTCTAAATCATGGGTGCTCAAAGAGAGATCGTCGTCGAACAGGAGCCGGTCGTTATCCCAGACTTTTCTGTCAAGGATTTGCTGGGTGTTATTCCGTACGCCTTCTAATTTTGTTTGGAACATGTCGGTTGCGCCTGACTAGTACATGACTTTTGTCTTAGTGCTCACTGTCACAAGCGCTCTGCATTTAGGTCGTCGCTGTACATGTGAGTGCCTTGTTGTCTTGTTGCGACGCGGTCGGTGATGACAGTTTTTGGTAGAGTGATGGACGTTGCGGTCATCACCGCTGTCTACAATATCGCGACATTCGTGGATTCATTCCTGAATCCTGAATCTCTTTCACTTCCGCACCCTCTACTCTTCCCTCTCGCTCGTTTCGCTATCTGGGCTTTGTACGGCTTCTGGACTGGTCTCTTCGCAACTGGCCTCTGGGTCGTCGCTCATGAGTGTGGTCACCAAGCTTTCTCAGAGTCCAAGTTTGTCAACAACGCTGTCGGATGGGTTCTGCATTCTGCGTATGTTTCACTCTTCTTTTACTCGTCTCCGGCTCGTACCATCAAAAGTCCTTCGCGTTCAATCTGCACTCGCATGTGATTGTCACGTCTGTTCTGACTTCCTTCCCATTTATAGGCTTGGTGTGCCATATCACTCATGGCGTATCACCCATGGTCAACACCATGCTTCCACTGGTCATATGACAAAAGACCAAGTCTTTGTACCTCCTACACGATCTCAGTGGGGATTGAAGCCTTTCAATCCTGAGCAAGAGAACCTGCTGGGTTCTCGAGTTAGTGAGGAGGTCAGTAAGGAACTTTGGGATGCTCTTGGCGATTCTCCTATTGGAGCCATGATTGGCTCTGCTACATACCTGGTAAGATCCATTCGAATGTTTCCCCATTTCGAAATTGACTGCTATTCGATAGCTTGGAGGTTGGCCAGCATACTTGATCCTCAATGCTTCTGGACAGAAGTATCCCAAAGGTTCAAACCGTACGTTCACTGAAATATATGTACATTTCACACGAGGACTAAGCTTTTCTTAGACTTCAACCCCGGTGCAATTATGTTCAAAGATAGGGAATGGGGTCAAATTATAATGTCTGATGTCGGTATCATTCTTTGGATTGCCGGTGTTATTGCATCCATCTCCGTTTATGGATTCACCAACGTGTTTGTGCTTTACCTTATCCCTTATCTTTGGTGCGTCTCTTGATCTTCAAATTTGACGGGAAAAATTAACTTGATTGCACATTCTAGGGTCAACCATTGGCTTGTTTTGATCACGTTCCTTCAACACACTGACCCTCTCCTTCCTCACTACCGTGCTCGTGAGCACACCTTCCCCCGCGGCGCCCTTGCTACTCTTGATCGTAGCCTCCTTGGTGACCTTGGCAGCTTTATGGGCTGGATCGGAGCCCTCGCTACTCATGGTATCTCCGAAACTCACATTTGCCATCACGTTGCCAGCAAAATCCCTCATTACCACGCGTGAGCTCAAATTCTTAGAGCCAGTTCTTCATTCTGAATAATATGCTTGCTTACAGGTGGGAAGCTGGTGAACACCTCAAGAGAAAACTTGAAGCCGCTGGAATGCGTACTGAGGGGGCACCTGCTGGTTGGGCAGAAGTCTATCGTGTCTTTAAAGAATGCAAGGTATGGATGACTGCAAATCCAGATTCGTTCATCAATTAAGCCTGATCAAAATTCCGTAGTTTGTCGAGGATGAAGGTGATATTGTCTTCTTCAAGGACGCACGGGGCCTTGCGAAGGCTCGCCCTGTATACAACTCCGATTCTCCCAGCGACTCTGGTATCGAGCTCGAGAAGTAGATTCATGAAGGTTTTTCACCATCTGATTTTCTAATCGAAGTTGTCTTATTCCGCATTTCGCATATCACACGATTTTGGGCAAGCCATAATGGCTCTTAGAGAGTAGACGACTGGCCGCCATAATTTACTAGACAAAAATGAAATATGAACTCGTTTTCCCCAATCATTATTCCTCCTCTTGCCAAGCTGACTCACAGCTGTTCAGTATCGAGATCTCTGTCATTACTTGTAACAGCGCCAGCTTTGTTCTGGATTGAGATGAGTCTAATTCCTGCCCAGTCAATTTGTGTCAGACGCCTGCGGGAAGCAAAAAAGGGAAGAGTAACCAACATCGACCAAATTTCCAAGGCCCTCCTGATCTCTACCATCCCCTAAGTAAGTCTTGCGTTGCTGGCAAAGGTCCCTGATCATACATGCCGTTTTTTGCGCAAGCGAAGGCAACAAATAGTTGTGACGAGTAGTTGCTCCAATGGTAACACTTGCCCCAAGATTCTGTATTTCCCTCGAAGTCTGATACATTCCTAACTCCATCGATATAGAGAGAATCTCCTCTGCAGGTACCAATGATGCACATTGGTGAAAGACCACTACGAGCCAAAACTGCCAGGATACCTTCCCTTCGCAATTAATGCAATAGGCTGCCTCAGCGGGCTCAAAAATAAGTTCTGAATTGGAAAATACATCCACGTCGAAAGATTCGACGAGTGTATTCCAAGGTAATTCAAGAGGCGTACATGATCCCCTTGATTTCGAGGGTTTCGACTCCTCGAGAAAGTGGATCAAACTCTCAAGTTCCCAGGAAACGTTATCGTTCTCATTCACGTCTAATATGAAACCGTATCGGGTCAGCAACTGGGCATTGCTTAGGGTTTCGCCGTATGTATTGAATACCTCGGAATGAGGGGTGATAGCTGCGTTTGATACCATGTCATATGTATTGTCCTTTTCGATTTGTTGGAAGCCGGAAGTGGGGTGGCCGAGTGTGGGTTCGATATCTCGATCGTGAAGACACTGTTGTAAAGAGCCGCATTCCGGACAGACTTCGTACTCTGTCTAGTAGGCTTAAAAATCGAGTGAAATACGGGATTTAACTTACACTTACTTCTAAATGAACATGATAATCATCCGTATGGTTAAACCTGAGCTTTGGTCAATGTCGGGACTCATCTGGAATGGGATCAATGTCCACTCACGCATCAGCAATAGGAACCATTGATAGGCCATGATAGGCGTCGACCAAAAACGCTCTTGATGATACAAGGGAGTAGGCACGACAAAAGTGATGAAAAGATGGCAAGGATTCGGAAGAGAGACGAGCCATAGTTGGCGTCACAGTTTCATGAAAATATTTGCTTAAGGAATCCTACTTTTGGGCCATTTTTAGTTCAAGGAAGTCGGGCCTCACAAAATCACGCCTACGATGAGAGGAGTTCCATCAGATCCAACGAGCAGCTTTTCTACCTCCGTTCCCTTGAGCCATTTGAGAGCATCTTTGCCATCTTCGACATCTTCGAGCGTTCCCTCCTCGAATTCAAGGCCCCAGAAGACCGGAAGACTGACCACAGTGTCCGGAAGTGACTGGAGATACCCATACCATCGCGAGCTCGTCCTTCGTTCTCTAACAGGATTGCAACATGAGATGGAGACTAACGGGAGAGAAACATATCAGCAATCAGCAATCCTCACATTTCTACCAAGAGCGCCAAAGAGAGAGCAAGTTGAGCCTCCAATCCATACGGGCTGCTTTCGATGAATTGAGATGCAGAGCATGATTTCGCAGATAAAACAGCTGTTTTGGGTATTTTGACCACTGAACAGACATGTTAGAGATTGCAAGGAGTAAACTCCAGTGATTATAATTTCCCGTACATGTTTGCAATGGTTCAATCGGAGTCGCGCCAGAATAAACAGTAAGCCCTGCTGCATCGGGGACAATTTGGAGCTTTTCGTCAATCTCGATGTTGATGGTTGTGCACCAATTGAGGAGCGTCGTTATTCTATGTTCCATGTCAGTACTTCAGTGATCATGCGCATGTGTGCCAGTGTGATATTTTATTTAGGCGCCTTCAACGCATCTGCACTGGCAGGGCTTACATGGGGCTTACTTATGTGTTGAACAGGCAGTGAGGTATGAATGGGTCTTCGATGGCATTCAGGATTTTAGCAAAGCGCAAGACAAAAACTACTATCAACAATTGCAAGCTGTATGTCTCGCATACTACTCCAAATATCCAGCACGATCCTTGCGGTGGGAGGAGTCCTTACAGAGACAGCGAAAGGTAAATTGCTCTTCGCTGATTTTCTTATCGCCTCCCGGATTCAGATGTGGCAGAGACAAAGAAAGAGCAAGGTCTTTAATCATCAACATACAGCCATCAATCCTGTTTGCTTAGCCCGGCCAATCCAGAGGTAGATAATGCGACTCTAGGTGGTAGGTGAAAGAGGCAAAAAACGTTGCAGTAACGTGATCATGAACGTTTAGGATTACTTCGAGCTGGAAAGACGGAAGATAAGTGCGTGATGGCGAACTTTTCTCAAATCGTCCTGGATAAATGCAATATAACTTCGTTAACCAGCCACTGCGGGGATGAAGGACTTTTCTCATGAAGAATAGGCTGAAAATTTTAAGAATTTTGTAAAAAATTGTAGCTGAGATTATTTTGAAACAATCTGCTAAGGATTAGGCTGAAATTAATATAGGAATATTCAAAATAATCTCGTTTCCTGCCATGTTCATGATTGTTTCATGGAGAAAATTTTGAAAAGTCTCAGCAAACTCTAACAGAGAATTTTTGGAGAGTTTAGTACCTAATCTCTTTATATTCACTACGAGATTAAGGTTTCATCCCCGCAGTGAGCCTGGCTAAGCCGTCGTAGTAGTTCGAAGTGTGAAGAAATTTTACTGGAGTTTATTCGCGCGGCACGTGCTGGAACGCAAATAAGTGTAACTAAATGGGATCTTTCGAACAATGACATGAGTTATAACTGACAACTTGACACTGGCCTTACACTACGACTAATTTTCGCTGTCTCTGCGCCGTTCCACGCTCGTATACAACACATATCAACTGGAGCTATCATACCCACAGCGAACGGTGACACCGCATAAACGAAGGACCAGGCAATTTCGAATAACAAACTGTAAAGGAGAACGGTAGCACAAATGGTATGTTTTAACGAACCTACGTTCTCACTTGCTCTCAGATCTTCTTAATAGGACAATTTTTACGGCCGCTCTCGCGAAAGTATAGCGGACCTCGACGAGATCCTTGCAAATATATTTGCTAGTCATCCACATGCGGAACAGCGGGAGGATAATACGACCGTCATACCAGTCCAGTTTCTACCAGATATTTTCAAGGCACTGAAGGAAAGAGGTTCGCTACGTTGCAATGTATAACCATTTCGAAGACTGATGTTTCTTGCCTTTTTGCCCAGACCTAATGTCCCTGACTTCCTCCGACGAAGAGTATTTGCAAGGAGTGATAACAACAATCGAATCCACGCCAAGTGATACGCCCCATATGGTGGACTCGAATGCCCTTCTTTTGCTTGTGGCCCAGCTTAGCACACTGAACAAGGCCGAGGACTCGACTCCCGCGGGTTCGGACAATGGACAATCAAGAGCAAGAGGACGGCCAAGGGCCTTGTCCACATCTTCTGATTCTTCTTCTGGTTCTAATGGTACTAGTAGATATCCTTCTCGGCCACCTTCTCGTTCTGGTCCTCCTCCTTCAACGCCTACTCATCCTCAAACACCGCTTGACAAACGCCAGCGCTCCGCGCCTTTGTCTTCTAATCCTCCTTCGGCATACACAAAGCGACCCCCACCGCATAGACGAAAGAGTGATGCTTCGCCTGGGAGAGGTTACTCTAGTGGAGGAGCTGGTGGTGACTCCGACGGAACTTCAGGTCCAGGAAAACGAAGCAGGTCTCGCGCAGGCTCGCAATCTATCACGACGCCTTCATCTTCATCCACAGCATTCCCTTTATCACCTTCGGGAACATTTTCTCCCGGAGATTCGCCTTCTAGAGACCGTTTCCTTGCCGAGAGTGGGTCTAGTTCACCAGAGGATAGTACCACTCACTTGCCCAGAACGGATTATGATCTTGTAGATTCTATTTCGCGGATTCCTATGCCACATTCATCAGACTCTGATGATTCGGATGATGATCAGGATGGAAATACGTACACACACTTTGTTTTCGACCCAGAACATGGTCCACGGTCTACCACATCTTCGACAGCTTCACTCCTCCCGGGCGAAAGGCTTGAAGCTCTCTCACGTGCCAATACTGAGCTTGCTAAACGGCTACAAGACGCAGAACGCACTTTGTCAAGAAAAATAGGTGAACACGAATCAGAGTTGGAAGAACTACAATACAAGTTGGAAGAACTCAGAAGTGAACTAGCCCGAAGCAAAAGGGACGAAAAGGAACTGCGAGCGAAGGAGGTAGGTTATTACAATTGCTACATTTTTTGGTTGTAATAACGTCCCTGTCACTTCCAGCGAACCAACTCTGGTCAGATTAGCAGCCTTGAATCTGAAGTTGCGCGTCTCACCAAAGAACTTTCTACTACGAGAGATTCCCTTCACTCGCTACACAAACAATACAACGAACAAACCTCTATCTCGGAGAGGTATAGGGGAGACTTGCGAATTCGTGAGGACCATATTCGTTCGCTGCAAGATCAGGCAGGCCTTCATGACATCGAGATCGGTAAAATGACTGAGAGAGAAAGAGAATGGGAAGATCGTGTATTAAAACTGGAGAGAGAGGTTGAAGAGGCGCGCGAAGGATGTGCAGAGCTTGTGCGCCAAAAGACTGAAAATTTAGGCTTGAAAGAGACGATTGACAGATTGCGATTCGAGATGGACGACATGCGGAGTGGCATGGGCAACGGACTGGGGACGATCGGGATGCCCGGTTCTGGTCTTAATAGTCGGAACAACACAATTAGCAAGAGTTTGGGTGCCGAGTTGCAGAGTCAGCTGGAAAGGGAAGAGAGAGAAAGGGCCGAGCGAGGTGATTTTGGAGACGACGATGATACCGAGGGCGAAGATACGGTTGTCGAGGAAATTGTCGACGACAATGATGACGAAGGGAACTTTGTCACCACGATAATTAAACGCACGCGCCGCAAAGTCGCAAGTAAAGCTCAGGCAGAACTTCCAACGCCGAAGAAAGGGTATTCCGAACGCCGGATCGAGGAGTTTGAAGATGATAAGGTAAATAGCTTTGCATTTCTTGTATCGTTTATCCACTTACACGCACTTGTTCAGGAATATGCTGATTGTGCTATCCAATATGACCCTCTTGCGTTCTTTGACCCTGACTCTGAAGATGGTTTCTGGCGCAGCGAAAGCCTGCAAACTGAGGCTGAGGCTCTTCCTCTACCTCCGGTGGAGCGAGTGATGACAGAGATGGATATCCAAACTGATGTTTTGGAGGAGGAGGAAGACAACTTAACAGGTTCTTCAAGCACACCCACGCCCACGGTCCCGTCCGATGAACCTCCCGCGTACCCAGGTCCTTCTACTTCCCATGCTGAAAAGGCGGAAGAGCAGAGGGAGAAGGAGGTGCAAGCTGAGTTAGCTGTTTTGCGTAAATGGCACCGCTCGCTTGAGGGAAGAGACGTGATGGATATCAAGAACATTATCATGCACAACTCATCGGGGAGTGGCCTTTCTGTTCCTAAGGGCATCATGAAAGATTGGGCACGAGTTCAACGCGTAGCGGGGATTGATTGTGACGTTGTGGAACGACTTTTAGCCTCTGCTGTGGCCGATGAAGCTATGGTGGAGGATGAGGAAGAGGAAGGCAAAAAGGAATCGTTTAAATCTCGCTTGTCGCTCCGCCGTTTTTCACCGCGCATTCCGCATCTTCCTGCCAACCTCAATATTTCCTCATATATCCCACCGACGCTTATATACAGCTCCTTGTCTGTTCTTATAGGAGTGATGCTAGCGCCACATATTGCCAACCAAATGAATGAGCCGTACGGAGGAGCAACTTATTATGATCGTCGTGCTTGGACCTCTTTTAATAATCTGGGTGGTGGTGGGGAGGGCTTTCCTGGCTTCGGTGCTGCAGGTTATCAAGGGGGTACGGAAGGTGCACTGTGGAAGGTGTTGGAAGCAGTTTTCGGCGGTGGTGCGAGGTATGCGCGGGGACTGCCTACATAGGCACAACTCCATTTTGAAAGGTTTTTACTATATACAAGTACACCATGTGTTGCGCTACATTCATTTTATTTGCTTATTCTACGTCGTAATACTGACATTCCGCTCCTTCATGATCGCTGACTCTCCTCTCCCTTTATACGCACTTTAACTTTGTACAGTAAATCACTGCAAGAATTTTGTTACAAAGGAATGTTGTATGTACTGTAGTGTGAAATGCCCTTGATGGATCCGGACCAATCTTATAGAGGCGGTGATTAACACGAGGCGACCCACACGTGATCGTGTAGAGCTCGTGGTTGACCTTTGTTGGCTTCGATTTCTTTGTGACTTCTCGCTCTTCCATATCTTCAATGTCGGTTTCATCGTTACTACAAGACTATGCATCGCCATCTCCAATGACGCCTCTCTCGAGGGCGCCTTCAGTATCACCCTCTTCGAGTGAATCTTCTGTTATAGACGAGCTCTCCTTCGATTACGACTACGACGAAGCAGGCAACATAGTTCGTAACTCCAAAGGTTCTCGGACCTCACCCCAGTCATTTCTTTCGACTCCACCCACAGACACATCTGGCGTCTCTAGGTTGGAACTTCCAAAGTCTTCTAGTCCCCCGCTCAGACGCGCATCGCTATCTCGTTCAGAGAGTGCATACCCAGTCTTAAACGGTCCCGCGACCGCTTCTTCTGACCGTGAAAAGGTTCATAGCTCCTCAGCTAATCCTGCTAGATCATTTCATAGGGCTGCCTCTGGTCCAATCCCATCCACAACAACTGCGGATAGCGCTGGGCCCCCAATTCGTACTTTGCCTCGCACCAGGATAGACAATCAATATGAAGCTCGCCAAAAACGACATACAGAAGAAGTTCGTGCTAGACTCGCTTCTATTGAGCTTGAAGAAAAAGAAAACGCCGTTCCCATTGTTGACGACCTTTACGGTCCGCGTCCAGCTGCTTCAACCTCATCATCCTCACGCCTTGTGCCTCCTACACGAGCTACATACGGCTCTCAGTCCTTGGGCGGTCTCTCCCGGCCATTAATAGATGCGCCTCAACGTGTGATGTCATCATCTAGTCGGATGTTGTTGAAAGGCACCGGAACGAAACCTCAGATCGATAGGATATCCGAGGCTGGCACTGAGGGCGAAAGTGATGGCGGTGAAGACGCTTACGCTGGCTACGGGGGTCATGGACATGAACTGTTTGAGAATAATGCTTATGGAACAGACACAGATGCAGGTCAGTCATTTGCTTGTGCCTTTATTTGATCATTCTCTCATAGCATTACAGATGATGATGAAGCGATACCCCGAGTCAAAGCTTCTCGCTCACAACAAAGTGTTATACCTCCTCATAGCGCCGGTATACCACCTTCAAGTCTCAATGAGTTCATGGGTACCCGACCCCGACGTTCAGCTAGTTTAAGTGACACACTTCGTAAGTTTGCAGTCATTGTCTTATCCTTTTCTCTAATGCTTGCCCCAGTAAATGATGGCCCGCATCATGTACCCTCACAAGCCGCCCAACCTTCTCAACGTCCAAGTTCCAGGCCAGGAACTAGTCTTGGCCTTCGCAGAGAGCTTCCGGGATTACCTCCCCGCCGAGTCGCAGATGAGCGATTCGAGAGTAATAGAGGTGAGTTTGAAACCCTTCTACTTACATCCGGTGCGATGTTCTAAACGCCATCAAGATAATGAACGTGACGAGTATCAGCTTAAATCTCGTAACACACCCTCCCCTCCCCACTACGCTTCCGGTCAGCAGCTAGTAGTGCGCGCTCCGTACGCCAATCATAAACGGCGTGACTCCGACACTCTTCGTGGGTATTCTCCTGGTGGAAATTCACCCACAGTAATGGAAGCTCCACCACGTGTTTCACCGTCCGTCAAAGGACTTTCTGGTGGTGTATCATCTCGAACATCATCAAATGACAAAAACGCTGTAAACATTGCAGCCAAGCACAGACGCAGCCCGACCGCTCCAGAACCTGCCACTGGCAGTGGCTTATTACAGGCTGGCGTTGTGCACAATGTCCAAGGGAGAACCTGGGCAGCTGGCGATCGAGATAGTGGAGACGGGTATGATGCCTATTCTGGAAACGAAGAGAAGGAGCGTGAAAGGGAAGCACGGAGAGAACGCGGGAGGTCTCAACAGCTTGCACTATCGCAAGTTCCACAAGCTAAAGGACCAGCGCCCCCTCCACCAAATGCTGCTCAACATGGATATCCGCCCGCCCTGGGGCGACATATATTGGTACAATTCAATCCCTCGCAATCCATCGCAGACCGCATGCTCATGAATAATGCACAGGTAAACAAAAAAGTCTATGCGCGCTTGGACATGATTGGAAAAGGGGGTTCCTCCCGTGTGTTTCGAGTTATGACCTATGCCAGCGAACTCTACGCTATTAAAAAGGTTGCCCTAGATAAGACAGATTCCGAAACCATGGCTGGCTATATGAATGAAATCGCATTGCTCAAGCGTTTGGAAGGAAACTCCAGGATTATCCGTCTAGTTGACAGCGAGGTTAAAGCTGGGCCCGGAGGAAGCAAAGGCCATCTATTACTCGTCATGGAATGCGGGGAGATTGACTTAGCTCGATTGATCAGCGAGCGGAGTCAAGAAGGTTTAGATATGGTTTGGATTGCCTACTATTGGCAGCAGGTACGTTCCAGATAAAAACGTGTTGAAAATTTCTGTCTTATCCTCTATCGTACCATTTAGATGCTTCAGGCGGTACAGGTTATCCACGATGAAAAGATTGTCCATTCTGATCTTAAACCGGGCAATTTCGTGTTAGTCAAGGGACAGTTAAAGTTGATTGACTTTGGAATCGCGAATGCTATTGCCAATGATACTACAAACATTCAAAGAGATCACCAGGTGGGTTTGATTCTTGAACGATTTTAATCCTTGCGACTTATTGGGTATCTGCAACAGATTGGTACATTGAATTATATGTCTCCGGAAGCCATCGAGCTTCCCGATGGAATGCGCCGACTCAAGGTTGGACGATCCAGCGACGTGTGGTCTCTGGGATGTATCCTATACCAAATGATCTATGGGTCCACGCCATTCTCCCAACTGACAATCTATCAGAAGATGAAGGCAATTCCGAATGCCAACTTTGAAATCCCCTACCCCGAATACTCTGTTCCTGTCATCCCTACCTCAAAGTCTTCCCAAGGGGAGCCCAAGCGGTTAGAACATCTTCGACGGATGGTGCGATCAGATGTGATTGCGAACATTAGAAGCTGTCTCGATCGAAATCCCAAGGACAGAATGACTATTCCTGAACTTCTTCAAGAGGATTGGCTTGCCATGAAAGAACGTGAGTCTCTGATTTCAAACTTGACTGTAGCATCATGAGAGCTTACTATGTCTACAGCGCCAACACCGGAACCTACACCTACGATCAAGGATCTGCTGAAGCCTGACGAAGCTGTTATCAATCCGTTCTATATGGGTCAGTTGCTCCGATATGGCATTCAACTGGGCTTGGCGGGCCAATCCCTCGAAGATCCTCAAGATATGGCGAAAGCAGCTGAGGTAGATTTTGTTCCTCATTATCGCAACTTGTCTAGTTGCTAACTTCTTGTCAATCCAGCGCCTTATTAGCGAACTTCGTGCGGTGCAAGATAAATGAAACCTCTCAACTCACCTCAAAGGTTATGATATGCTTTTGATTCTGATGACTTGCTCCTCTACGACATGACCTTTGGTTCTACTGTATGTTGTGGACATTGAACCCTCATTCTTTAATCTTGTTTCACGCTCCTCTTCCGTATATGCACTCACTGTCGACATCGCTCGCTATCACTCGCTCATCGTCATTCCTAATATCAATGCGCGTTCGGGAACGCTTGTAGCCTTGCCCGCTTTCCGTTACTGTACCTGTATAATTATATGTATTTCGGTCCTGTCCTCTGGCTCTACATCTTTTTCCTCTCCCACGTAACATCTAATTCGTATGCTGCCTCCTTTCTTCTTTATTCACACTCTCCCTATTTCCTCAGCTCTTCATCCCTTCATCTTTCGTCCTCTCCGTCCTTGGCATATCTTCGCATTGCATCTACATTGTGACATTGTCCCTCATCCCAAAATTTCCATTCACGTATTGTCAATTATTGCTTTCTGCTATCCAAGCTTTCATGTTTTCGCATACAGGACGTAAATTTCTACTCTCTGAAAATCCTGCCTCTATGTATTTAGACTATCCGGTGAATTACCGTGAATAATATAGCCTCAAAATTTCTTTGGACTCATTCATGAGGATTGGTGCTCTGCTCGAATATTGTGGCCAACAACAAATTACCATCGCTAGTCTTGTACATATTATCACCGGAAGACAGCGATGTATGAATTTGAAGACGGTGGTACAATTTGTATCAATTATATTTCGTTTTTGCTACCCGCCCATGAGCATTATGACCCTTTTACCTTGGCTCATTTAGAGACACTGAGAATAGTACGCATTGGCAACAGTGCATGTATACGGAGAAGCACATGTTGTCGGGCCAGAATATCCTATGCCACCACATTGACCCCAGTGAGCGACTGTTCCTCCTGTAGGAGCAGTCGGAGGGGTAGTAGTCGTTGAAGAAGGCCCAGAAGGAGCTGATGAACCTGTTCCAGTGCCTTGGCCGACCGTGATAGTGGAGGTCCCGCTTGAAGAGTATCCTTCGGTCGCGAGGATCATGTAGTTGAACGTGCCTAGGGGTAAACCGACTGACTCCCAGCAGGAGTAGTGGTTGCCCGTGGTGACAGTGCCACCGACCCGATGAGTTTGGCGGATGGACCAGTACTGCTGGAATGTGGCAGTCCCTTGAATTGACGGCGCATTCGTGCGGGTTTGGGTGTATATATCGTAGACTCCTCCGTCACTTGTGCAAGTCCCCAGGTGAGTTCCGCCAGTGCTGGGATTGTAATCACCGAAAGAGTCTTGGACAGGGGGTTTTAATCGATGGAGTGAAGATCAAGGAAAGAGGAAGAAACTGACCAGTAATGTAATACTCAACAAGGGGACTCGTCATCCAGCCGTACACTGAAAGATACGAGTTTCCGTTGGGGGAGTAAGTACCACTGTACTCGACAGACCTATGGAAGAAATATAGATCAGTATCCGTTGTTAGAGGGGTACAATCGAGCGTAGACAGCCTGCGCAGGCTCCTGCAGCTCGATTACTATATGATCCTTACATCGGGCCTCCTGGGTTCCATCCCTTCCCTACTACGACGTCTCCTGATCCGCCCCAGGTAAGGGTGTATTCTCCACCTGGACCATTCGTGTAAGTCCCTGTAACGGTGGTATCGGAATAAACTGAATAGAAGTAGCCATTATTGGTTCCTTCTCCGTTCGGGATACTTCGTTTGCCTATGACCTCAGTCGAGTTGTCAAAGACATCGAGGGCAGTAGCGGTAACGGCGATCAAAGCGAGGAAAAGTAAAGACTTGTAGGCCATGTCAGTCCTCAGCAATTGCAGAGAGATGAACTCCCTTGTACTTCTTATATGCGTACTCTTTCTATGTTCCAAAGATGCGCTGTCACCCGGATATCCTTCCTTTGACAGACTGCATCCTATATCTTGTTTCCGAAAATTCTGCTACGAAACTCCCTATGTTGTATTGCGGTTGAGCAGAGACGTGGTGAGCACTGTGTATACAGGCAAAAGTTCGCAATTCCTAGTCAGAGTATGCCTGCCAGCGCTTGATCTAAGGATAGTCGGCTGACATGCTCCTCCAATATGAGCTTGTGCTGCTTACATAGATTGGTTTAAGCTCCGTATGTCCGAAAAATCTCCCAGTAACTAGAAGGCTCCGGCTGGAAGACAATTCAGATGAACAGCTTTTACTTGTGGCTGACGATACGTACAATATTGTGAGCTATAATATGAAGAATAAGAATAAGAGGTCACTGTTTCCCTGGAAAATTCTCACGAGGTACTTATGGAAGGTGCACTTAGCAGCGACATGACTAAGATTTTGAAGCAAGCCCATATATATCAGCCGTACTGATTCGGGACGTCCCCGCGAAAGAGAGTTATATGCGACTAGATGCGAGCGCATCTTTTAATACCATGCCTGCGGCAGAGTATGTCGTGAAGATGCAATTTATCCTCAGTTGTTTTGTTACATTTCCCATCTCACTACAGGTGTACTACACTGCATAGAGACAGAGCACCTTGAGTCTCACCTGGGTTCCACTACATCGCAATCATAGAAGTTAGATAGATAGATAGATAGATACGCGGCTCCGTCTAAGACGGGGTCCCACTAGGGAACAGCCGGGCCCAACCATCTCAGTTGCAGCGAATGCTCATCCAACGAGGGACTTAGTGCGCGATGGTGTTCCACTTTTCCTGTGATTTATTACTGTTCAAACTTTCAGTAGAATGATAGATAGAGGTGCACATTGATCTGAGCAGAGCCTTCGCTCATTTCAGTTTGAAAGATTGCGGCATTTACCAAAATAGATGAACCCCAGTTAGCATGTCTTCAGCGTCGAGTCGAGTCGCGCAAGATGTCTTGCGGTACTTCCTCTCAAGGGGCCCAAACGATGATGAGTTACGGTTAAATTTACACACAAGATCTAGACTTTTGAGCTCAAATGAAAGATGGCACTCAACATACAACAGCAGCAAGAGGTGATTATGCGGAGATTTAGCGATGGTTGTACAATTAGTCCGGTATGCAGTGGGTGATACATGATGGTCGGTATGCGCTGATATGTGCAAGAAAGATGGCGCGAAGAGCGGTGAAAGCAAACAGCAGGTGCATATGCAGAATGAAGCAATCCTGAGGCCAAGAAGGGTCCCTATCTGCTAAGGGAGTTATATATCGGGTTGTGTATCTCGGCAGTGCAAGCGGGTAACACCAAACACCACCTCAGGAATCTGTTCTTCCTGAGATGGAATAGCTGAGAGCCGACGGGGGGAAGGCATCTCAACCAGTACTGTAACTTGAACAAGATTTTTCTGGGGGCTAGGGGTTGATAAGGGATATGGCTTTTCCTGAGGTACAACCAGGCCGGAACTACCGGGACTAGGAGGATTGCTACTGTCAGAATCCGATGTAGGAGTTCGACTTCCGGAACCGGGACGAGAATTTCGCAGCAAAAAGTGAGATGCGAACAGACGCTGGAGTAGAGTTTCCGTTCGTGTTTCGTATTGCGTTTTGATCGGTTCGGTCTCCTTTACTTTCCTCTTCGTTTTGACGGGTAGTACAGAGACAGGCTGGAAGACAATCAAAGGCAAGAACAGATGTGAGAGAAGTGGTTCACAAGTACCATGAGATCTGCCCAAATTGAGGTTTTTTCTGCATCGGAAATCCAAGTATCATAGAACTTGGGTCGTGTCCTGAATCGTTTCTTACGCGACCCTTGGACTCTCGGTGCAAGCACGGCTCCTACAGCAAGTGCCTCTGCTAATCGACGCTGGTATCTTCGCCGAAGCACAAAGGACCTGAAGACGATGGAACAGGATATTATCAGCAGGACCTGTTGTCAGTGATGAGCGTCTCGTCGGTGAATTGAAAGCATCAAAGCTTGCCAAAAGAGTCGATAGAAAGGTGAACAAGTAGAGATTGCCTTGGCTTGTCGTTGATGGGCCTTGAGATGCCGACGCTGTTTCTGTTGACGAAGAAACCGAAGACGTTGATGAAGGTGACGACGAAGACATCGCAGCTGAGGTCGCAGCCGTTCAGCCTGACTAAGTTCTTGGCTATGCCCAAAACTATCAATAGAATATTCTAACTTGATGGAGACGAGAAACTTGCCAGCTCTGGTGGGAGGAAAGGAAAGCGACCAAGACCCCTGGAACCCAGTGAGCCGTAGCGGCTCGTGGCGGCCATATCCGTGATAGGAACAGAACCTAAAACTATATTATTTATGCCGATGTAAGAAACCACTCCTGTTCTTTAGCTTCCACCATCATGTCCAATTCCTCCAGCGTTGAGCTTCCTCCTTCTCTCAACCTCCCCCCTCATCTCAGCGCCCAGAAGTATTTTCTGGTTTGTACGTTGACCGTCGCAGCTTGGGACACTCTTGTCCTTTCCCCGAGAAATTGGAGATTGGCGAAGACTAGTGAATGGCCCGTTCTCAAAATTATCTTTCATTTCCTGAGAGTGTTTATGCCCGTGGAGTTCACTATCGTCGGTATGTCGCTCGAAATCAACAATTCATCGATCAGTAATAAATGAATGCCCCCAGCGGTTGCATTTTTCGACACTAAATGGTCACAAGCGGCACGTATACGAGGTTCTACTCTATATGATTGTTCTGACACATCTGCGTCCTCCAGTCATGCCAGCATTTCTTCTTATTCGAGCCAATCTGCACCGCTATCCTGCTTGCTGCTACTTCTGGTCAGAATTCCTCGCGACAATCTCATTCCCTCACATTTCTCAATAACCCTCAACAGCTGTCCATGTCATCCGCACGCACGCCATCTATGATAAAAGCCGACCAGTCCTTGTTGGCATGGGCTCTCTGTATGCTATTCAGATTGTGGTCACAGCTATATGCTGTGGTTTTTACCGCTGTACGTATCGCCGTTTCCGCATCTACCGGCGATAATTTGATGCCCTTCTAGCTGTTCCCCTTGATGTTGGACAAGGTTGTATCGCAGGTCCAAAACATAATTGGGTCGGTATTTACTGGCTTGCTCCTACTCTTCTCTATTCTGCGTCGGTGCGTGAATAGGTCTATCAACGGGCACGAAGAAATCTCAGTTTTTTTGGAATAGTTCGCCCTTGCTTTACACCGCTCTATTGTCTCTCTTCAAATCAAGCATCTGAGTCCTTGGAAGCTGATGCTTCGTGATGGTCTCAATCTTTACGGTGTATGTTGATCATCCGTGATCAAGAAATATCTATATCTCACTCGAAACTCTCAGGCCATCTGGGGTGTCAATATGGTGAACATGCTATTCTGGTTCATCATGAAGCCCACAGGTATCGAAGACCCTATTAAGACCATTGTAACTAGGTAAAATCGATTCTTTGACCCCTATGCGCCACCTGATCATTCTTGCACTTATAGCATGACTGCAGTACTTACGACCTCAATGACCCTCCGAATCATCCTCAATATCCGTGGTTCTCTCAAATCCGGCGGTGTCTTCACCGGAGGAACCGCATCTAGTGGCCACTCTTCTTCGCGCACGACTCACGTCATCTCTACTCGTTCTGGTGGACACCACAGCTCCCAAGCAGCTCACACTTATAACCTCGAAGACATGCGTACGACGAAACCAGAAGCCAACTGGTCCGAGCCCGACGCCGACAACAAAGTAATTGCTATCGATGGAGCGCAACTGGATCCCGACGGTGTTAGAGTTACCGTCGACAGGGAAGTTGGATACGATCAGTATCATCACACTAAGTAGAGCATACTCTGTGCGGAAGCTAAGGGGTGCTCCCCATAAGCCAATCTGTCACCTACTATCTATATTTTCACGATTTCTGTTTGCTCTTGTCTCGTCCTGGATGTCCCGTTACAAATAGGTTGTTCTATTTATCTATTCCAAAGTTATTGTACCATCTCCTTGCTTTGTATAACAACCACCATCTACTTCGCCTACATTCATTTCCTAGATTCTCGCCCGTCTGAGACCTTCCTCTAATATTCTTCCACGAACATAGTGTTGTAAGTACTGCCCTCGAAGTGATTCTGTGATACGCATGCGCATATACTATCCAAAACTTCACGCAAATGCGCCGCTTTCTTGGTTCAGTCCCGTATCCATTGGCATCAGTCCTATCTTCATCTTATTAAGACCTCCCGCAATAGCAATTGGTTGTTGAGTCAAGAACATGATCCTGATTGGATGACAACGCTGAAGGAATATCATGGATGATCAGCATCACCAGCTGTTTTTAATCTATCTACAGTACAGCATTTATCTCAGTGGAGAACATTGATGGGCGAATTGAAATCATCAGTCGGTGCTTGGGGTCTGTATGTATCTATACGGTTGTCATTGGAGTATGTGTATGGTTGTAACGGTAAGTGTAAAAGCAAGGTACATCCTGGTACTTTGTATCCCGAATAACATCTGAATTTTGGACAAGGAAAGGAGCACGACTGGGAAGGTGAAAAGGAATAAGAGCATAAGCAAAGATCAAACAGTGTTAATTGGGAACAAGAAAGACAGAATAATTACCAACCTCAATCGAGTTTGATTGCCAAAATGACCCAGCGGAGCAGCAAAAAAAGATGCATTTGAGGCATAATGATCATGAGTGAGATAGTCCCCGATACCAATACGGTTACAAGAAGTCCATAAATACCGATCGCGAGAGCGAGAGCATTCTCCCACCTAATCCATTTTAAACCTAAGTCCCATTTCCTTGCTCAGCATATCCTGATGTTGGTAATTGAATTGCTCGCAGTCGACAATAATGACCTCCTCCATCGTGTCCTCTGGGGCGAACCGGTCAGTGTATTTGACTCGCTGCATAAGAGTTTCAACGATGGCATCGCCGGAGATGCGGTGACAGTTATACAGCTCCAGATTACGCAAGTGGGGAAGACGAACCGTTAGTGAAGGAGCGGGTGACAGACACGGGTCATTATCACTTTCTTCTGATGTCGATGCCGCGTTGAAGTTAGCTGCCAACGCAGCCTCGTCATAAGGTTTCAGCAGTCTGATCACCGTATTGGACATATCCGAAGCCACGATAAGGAAGTCCTCGAGCTCCGTTAGATGATCGAACACGTAAATAAAATCCTTGGTGCGCATATCGCTGTAATCCATCTCGAGTGCCTTTATGGGTGGATTACAGCGTGCAATGAGATTTCGTAAGCCCATGCCCGTCGCCTGGTCGCTCCAAGGAGACTGCGAGTAATCGTGCGCCTCGTCCTCACTATCGCCTGGTTCAAGATATTCAGGGGAGATACGGTGGCTGATATTAAGGTTAGCCAGGTATAGCTTCGAGAGCACAGGTGCGTCGATATGGGATAGTATCGCACGTGCTAAGGTAGTCCTACGTAGATGCAGGGTGTGGAGGCGTGGCAGAGAAACAACAGGAAGAGGATGATATCGGTAGTTTTCGGCCTCCATCCAGCCGCTCAAAGTGAAGCTCTCAAGCTGAGGGCACGATTTGAGCAAACCGAGGACAGCAGTTGGGTCAGGTTGTGTAGTAAGAGGCGATTGCTCTGTGATGCTAAGCGATGTGAATTGAAGAGGGATCATGGATTCTGCATGGGGTAATTTGGTTAACCAGATATTCATGACCATTCGGTTCGGCCAGAGTGGGGAATATTGGACAAATGTAGAGCGGCATGTATCATTTGCGTCTTCATCGTCGTAAACAGAAATACTGAGGTCATTAAGCGTGTCAAGGCGCGAAAAGGTGTCTGAGAGACGGATGGATTCTTCACGTGCACCGGATATGGTGAGTCGCCTCCAACGACGGAGTACTGGGAGGAAAGGAGCAAGAAGAGATAGTATATTGTTCGCATCCTCAACATGAAGCTTCACGTCAAGCTCAAGAGGAGCAGACCGACTGATCCAAAGTTTAGCTTGGGATTGAGAGGCAGGAATGTACCTCTTATCGTCCAAGATGACGACCTGCCAGACGCGAGGGGATTCATCAACAACTTTTTTCCAGAGACGACAAACGGTGCCCAAAGTAAGAGGAGCAAGGGGATCTTCGGCAGCACAAAAAGCAAATGTCTCTATGAGAAGTTCCGCGGGCAAGTTGCCGACAGGGGGGATAAGAGAATGTGAATGAGATGGACTAGCATCTACAGAGATTGTCGAAAACTCCATTATCGAAACCGAGATAGACCAGAAGAAATGTTGAAAGGAAAGGAAGGAAAGGAACAGGGGGGAAATAAGGATTGATAATGGCTCCGGGTTGATCAATTTATAGAATCGGACATCCTTATTGCTTCTACAGCGTCCAATGGCAAGACCTCGTGGGGTAACCTCGATCACTGGTTGCTTTGACCTTCTAATTTGTCCGTAACCATACGTACGCCGAATTCATGCGACGATTTACTTTGATTTACACAAGGTGAATTCATTTACCACTATGATGAGAAAGACTTGTATCTTTGCCTCTCATGTATGGCTTTTGCCTCGCCGCGGCGCCCAGGCAATCATCCGTCATGATTTGAATCTGTTTCAAAAATTCAGACGACTTGAACAAAAGTAAACTGAAAATATGGCTTACACAGTTTGATGGCACATCCCAGGGTTTCAGAATGAGGGGGACTTACATAGCTATGCTGTATGTAGATGGTTTGTAGTGGACAACATCATGATTTGTTGGCATCGGGAGGAAGGCCTTATGTAGTTCTATTTGTGGCCTTGTTGTGGCTGAGTCCTCAATTTGCTGAGACTCAGAGATGAACTTGCATCTTTCGTTTGCCTCTCACTGTTAGAATCAGCTCGGTTTATTATTTAGAGTTTCTGTTTGCGGCACTAGAAAGGCCTGGAAAAGAAACGCGAAAAGAACGAGTTAGAACACATTTTCTTTGCATTTCACCTGGACCCGATCCTCTATGCAGCCTATAATAGACACTCGACGCACAGATTCAGTGGTTTCATTGGAGCTTTAGATGGAATGACAAATTAGGAGATATGACCTGCCTCTTTCACATTCCTCATATACAGAGTCTGCCTTACATTAATCTGTAGGCGAAAATTGAGTACTATGTACATATGATACAGTACCATACAGTACGAAGTTCCGTCGGCAAGCCAAACAAGTGCAACTCTCCCGTGTTATAACTATACAGTTTTCCCAAGCCACTCAAAGTCACGTTCATTCATTTCAGTCTTCGCATTCATTGGCGTCGTTGAGATATCAAAAGTTTCGCTGCGTAGCACCTCTGTAACCTTTCTCTATCCTCAAGACCCCGAAGAAACGCCATGCCTGGTGTTAGAGACGTCAGGTATGCGTCGATTAACAACAAATATTGAATTAATTCTGACGATTATCCATTGGTATTACCTTTCCTCCACAACCGTACCTACCCTTCATTTTCGATTTCGCGTGCACAATCCGGAACGCCTGCTGGAATTCTTGGCTCTGAAATGCGATTATCTTTGGTTATAACTATTGCTGTGACTCCTTCAGCGCCGATGCATTCATCGCAGCATACTCAAGCCACTTGAAGCGATCAGGCAGGTTTCAATGGTGTTTACTTCTTCAACACTCGCTAATTTGTTTGACATATTTTTAGGAAAACTTGAGGTACATGACCTGGTCGTCTGAAAGAAGGTTCATGCAATAACGCAACAAAACAGGTTCCTACATGGGTCGACATTGTAAAAACCGGTGCATACAAAGAACTCGCTCCTTATGACCCTGACTGGTACTACGTCCGCGCTGGTCTGTCGCAATACCTTCATTGAAGAATCCTGTATTAACATTTGAATCAGCTGCTGTTGCAAGACACATATATCTGCGCAAAGATGTTGGTATCGGTGCCCTCACAAAACTCCATGGTGGTCGCAATAGGCGAGGAAACCGCCCGTCACACCACGCTGACTCTTCTGCTGCCGTCCAGCGGAAGATTTGCCAGTCTTTAGAGAAGATCGGCGTCTTGGAACAGACCGATAATGGTGGCCGTAGAATTAGCCAGGATGGGCAGCGGGACTTGGACCGGATTGCTACTGCTGTGGTTGAGGCTGCCAAGGGAGACGACGAAGAGGATGAGGAGGAGGAGGAAGAGGAAGAAGAGGAGGAGTAAATATTGAATACGTCACTCTAGGATCCTGCTCTTCTATGTTGCTCTCCCTCTCTGCGCGGGCTCGACATACCCCCTGGCCTATGCCTCTCGCATGACCTTTCACATGTGTATGCTTCACGTTCTTCCTCGTATGTCACATAAAAACAAATTCTCTGCCCAATTACTGTGTGATTTTGTATTCTTGTTTTCCCAAAGCTGAACTCTTCTTATCCAATCTCGGCTCTAGTATTATATTTCACGGCTATGAATTCGGTCACAATCGCTCATAGGTTTGAACGTTGCGCGGGAAGCAGTAGCAGGTGCGGGATCATTGTCATACAGTGACATGGTACTTGGTACTTGTCTATATATATACATGACCATCTCAATTTTTGCCAGTGGCACCAAATCGTTGATTTTTGGTTATCAAATGTTGGCATGTCGTTCCCTCTGCATATCTAATCGCGAGGGGTCGCAATTTCCTTTTCAGATAGGCTGAAGGTAAAATGTCGATGCTAGCCCATAAACGTTTAATCTTCCCAGCTACATACCATCATGTCAAGTCTACCCCCACCGACCAATGATCAAGCATTTTGCACTGTATCCGCCTTGGAATCAGGACATCTGAATCTTCCATTGCCAATTTTTCTTGATAATGCAGCTCCAGGGTCTGCTATTGTAGCCCCATCTCTCAGCTTCTTGCTACGCCATTCTAAAACCGACAAAACGTTATTATTCGACTTGGGCATTCGCAAAGATATTGAGAATGCTCCACCTTCTGCTCAGAAATGGATCATAGCTGCATCCTTTCACACAACTGTCCCCCAAGACGTGTCGGAATCTCTGATTCAAGGTGGCTTATCACCAGCAGATGTAGACACCGTCTGCATATCCCATTGTCACTGGGACCATACCGGAGATACGCGGCCATTCGTGAAGAGCGAATTCATAGTTGGTGCTGGGTCAGAATCCCTTTTCAGGCCTGGCTATCCTGAGGATCCAGAGTCTCCATATTCCAGTGATTTACTTCCTAAAGGAAGAACTCGTTTTGTTGAACTCGGGGAACAGCCTTCTCTTGGTCCCTTCCCTCATGCTCTCGATCTCTATTCCGACGGCAGTCTCTATATTGTGGATGCTGCTGGTCACCTACCCGGGCATGTCATATTAGTTGCTCGAACTTCCGCAGATGGCGGATGGATACTCTTGGGAGGAGACAGTGCTCATCATTGGAACTTGATCAATGGAGAATCAGGAATTGCCAGTGGTCGGCCAGGCTTCCCTAGTGGTTGCGCTCATTTGGACAAGGAAGCAGTGGAGTTGACCATTCAGCGAATTCGGGAGTTTTGGAAGCTACCTCGCACCAGAGTACTCTTGGCACACGATGAGTCCTGGTACAGGGAAAACAAAGGTACCGCTGCATTTTGGCCTGGATGCATTGAATCGAAATGATTCTATTAATGTAGCCTTTTTTTCTTGTGTATATTCTGAACGTAAGCTCTACTTGTTTTGTACCCACGCAATATGCAAGGGTATGAGATGAATAAGGATTAATAGGACGAGGGAACGCCGGTGCGGATTAGCGGATGGCTTAAGTAGGCTTGATTAGTCTATAATACGATCATGAGGGTGTTATCTGCGCTCTCGACCCTCGTTCGCATCCGAAAACTTAAAGACTGAAGATGACTCGCGTGTGTCCAATGCCTTAATATTCGGGGCTGCAGAGAAAGTGTAGTGCATTTCATCAACTCATATCAAGGTAAATTCCGATTGTTTATCTAGTTTACATCGTGGGGCTCAACCGAAAGCTAGTTACAAATTATCCCCGTTCATAATGCAGGTGAACCCTTTGCCTCTACCCGCTCAAGATCAGGCATATTGCATTGTTTCTGCCCTTGAGTCGGGCCACATCGATGTTCCCCTCGAAGTATTCTTGGATAATGCTATTCCAGGTTCACAAGCTACTTTACCGTCTTTGTCTTTTCTCCTCAGGCATTCAAAGACAAACGAAACTTTCGTCTTTGACCTCGGCTTCCGCAAAGATCTGGAAAACTATTCCTCATCTATCGTCAAACTTGGACTCGAGAAATTCGTTAGGGTTCCTCAGGACGTGGTCGACTCGCTCGCGAAAGGCGGGCTATCACCTTTGGATGTAAAAACTGTCTGTCTTTCCCATTGTCACTTCGATCATTATGGAGATCCTTCGCATTTTGTCAACAGCGAATTCGTAGTTGGCGCAGATTCAGCGATACATTTCAATCCTGGTTTCCCTGCCGATCCAGATTCTCAATGCCCAAGCGACCTTCTGCCAGAAAGGCGAACTCGTTTTGTTGAACTCAGCGACCAACCTCTTCTCGGACCGTTCCCCCACGCTCTTGACTTCTGGGGTGATGGTAGCCTTTATCTTGTTGATGCTGCTGGTCACCTACCCGGTCACATTGTCCTGATTGCTCGCACTTCTCCAGATGGCGGATGGATACTTCTGGGAGGCGACAGCGCCCATCACTGGAACTTGATCACTGGAGAATCACAGATTGCAGAGGGTCGTCCAGGCTTCCCTACAGGCTGTGCTCATCTTGACAAAAAAGAAGCGGAGCTGACCATTCAACGTATCCGCGAATTTTGGCAGTTACCCCGCACCAGAGTCATATTAGCCCATGATGAGCCTTGGTACAAGGAGAATAAAGACGGTGCCGGTTTTTGGCCTGGACATATAACATCAAAGTAGCTTGCTGCGTGCGTCCTGAGACGTAAGGAAATGAAGTTTCATTCACTTTCATTTAGTTGTACACTATTTTGTTTGAAATTATTGTACTAATTTCGTAGCTTTTTGTTCAACTATTCCTGTGTTCCGATAATGTGGCAGAACTTCGAATGGAGACTTCTACGTTTTGAAAGGCACCACAATGTGACGTGAAGAACGAGTAACGTTTCCTGAGGTGAGTGTTAGATGCTGAGTGCCTGCCAACCGGCTCTCCGTCATTGCTCTCCGAGTTCTCTTCGTTCAATATGATCTCCGCTCGGGAGCAATCCAGGGATTGTCTTCGGAAATTTTCAAGGCTCATGACTTCAACTAGATTGACCTTAGGTTTGTATCAAGGTCCTATGATACTTCCGTTTACGATCTAAAGATTTCTCTTAACAACTCCGAATACAATGGAGAAAATATTGCATCGTGACCCTCTCGCCGAAGCTCCCCCACATCTGTTGAGTCGAGAATTCTCTTGGTTCGCAAATTCGAATCGCACGCCAGCAGAGCCGTTCGAAATATGGTCTGTACAAAGTCAGGCATCCTATAAATTCATCGTTACTAGGGTTGAAGTGGTGCTCTGAATCGTTTCTTCGAAATGAAGTCGAGCATAATACTGTATCTCTGGTTAAGCTTCAGTTCTCTGGGAGCTTTGGCTCAATCTTCTGAGTGGGGTATGTGATTTAACTACTGACCAGCTCATACTTCTTGCCGACTCTTTGATCCCAGGTCAGTGCGGAGGCATAGGGTGGAGCGGTTCTCAGAGTAAGGATTTGTGTCATTAACTTATACATAGTCGCCCTATTGACATGATGTCCAGCTTGTGTTGCTGGAACGGCCTGTACTACAATTAACGCATATTACTCGTGAGCATTGGCCCTCGTCGTGAATCTGTATGTTTTTCTCACTTGATTGGTCTGACATTTAGCCAGTGTCTACCTGGGACAGACCCAGTATCTAGTTCTTCAGTCACCAGCGTCGTTCCGACTTCGGTCCCGCCGACTAGTAGTCCTACCCCGACTGCTCCCTCGAATCCACCAGGTGCATGTTCAACACCATTAACACTGTCTGGTTTCAATAACGCAGCGCTTCCCAATCCATTCTTGTTTAACAACGGCTCTGCTGTTCAAACTAAGGAGGATTGGACCTGCCGCCGTGCCCAGATCGCAGCCTTGATCCAAGGCTACGAAGCCGGTTATCTACCACCCAAACCTTCGACGCTCACAGGCACTCTCTCCAAGTCTGGGAATACAGGCACTTTGTCGATAACTGCTTCCAATGGGGGACCCTCCATCAGTTTCTCCTCCACTATCACCTACCCATCCGGTACCGCACCTGCTGACGGCTGGCCTTTGATTATTGCATATGAAGGAGGAAGTATTCCAATTCCGGCTGGGGTAAGTGTCAGCGGTATCAACCGCAAATGTGCACCAGTGACAATTTCGTTTTGAAAGATTGCTGTCCTCAATTACGCGAATTCGGACATGGCCCAACAAGACACGACGGCAAGTCGGGGACTTGGCACATTTTATAACCTCTACGGATCAAACGCGAATGCTAGCGCCATGACAGCCTGGGTCTGGGGAGTCAGTCGTATCATCGACGTCCTGGAAGAAACACCCGCTGCGCAGATCAACACTGAACGTATCGGAGTCACGGGCTGTTCGAGAGATGGCAAAGGAGCGTTGATGGCTGGGGCTTTTGAACCCCGTATCGCGTTAACGATCCCACAAGAGTCTGGTTCCGGAGGCGACGCAGGATGGCGCATTTCCTTGTACGAACAGAACCAAGGCTCCGTGGTTCAGACAGCCACAGAAATCGTGACTGAAAACGTATGGTTTTCACCAAGCTTCAATAACTATGTCAATACCTTGAACGTACTACCTTACGATCACCATTCTCTTTTGGCTATGGTCGCTCCTCGAGGATTGATTGCATTCGAGAACACAGATTATGTCTGGTTGAGCCCTGTTTCCGCGTTTGGATGCGAGACAGGTGCTCGTACAGTGTACCAGGCATTGGGAGTTCCTGAAAACCATGGCTTCGAGCAAGTGGGCGGACACGCACATTGTGCTTGGCCCTCGTCCCTTACGCCAGCCTTGGATGCGTTCATCAACAAATTTTTGCTAGGGCAAAATGTTAGCACAGACGAATGGTCGAGTAACATGGTTTTCAACGGCGTCACCTGGGATCAGACTCAGTGGATCAACTGGGAGACACCGACGTTGACCTAAATTGGCAAGGGGAACGATAGATTGACAAATCATCAGGAAGCTAGTTTGTTATAGCCTCAACATGTATGTAGTTGGTCTTCAACTTTGAATTTGTATCATGTAGCAGCAAGTGAGTCAATAGCGATCAGTATGAGTTTTTAAATTCTGAGAGAAAGTAAGAGAAAGTCCGGGCACGCGTCCGAGCGGCTACGCATGCGTTTTATTCGTACACTCACTACGGCCAGTGGGCGCCTACCTCGATTCACGCTATATTCAGGTCCTGCCTGTTCTCTGTGTGATGTACGCCCTTTTGCTGTTTCATATTGAGGAATATACTGATATATACATATTCCAGACAGCCAAAGAAGAACTAGACAAAGTTAGGCAGGACGTAGGTAGTTTCCCGACGAACTTGCTTTTCACAATCCTCATAACCGTAATGCCAGCGAAAATTTCACCTGGACGTTGTCAACATTCAGGATCCGGGACAGGAAAAGTGGAAGCGGAAGTATGTTTATTGGATCCCGGCTCTTCATTTAGAGGGCAAAGAAATTGCCAAGGGACGATGGGACGCACAGATCGTGAGGGAAGCATTGAATCTTTGGGACCAGGAGAACGTTCCGGGGGAGCATGTATGAACGAGAATGGTTCTGATTACTCCGAATTCTTTTCTGCTCTTCCATCTGAACATCTTTTCTTCACGGACACCTCACTGGCTTACGAGGATAATTCTTCAAACTCGGGAATTTATGCAAGAAATATACATGATATCTTGGGGGCAAATCCGGAAACCGAAAATGAAATACGTTCAGTCACTCCGCATTGCTTCAATTGCGGCTCATCTTCTCACATGGTGAACGCCTGTCCAGAACAAGTCGACCGCGCCTTGGTGTCTCTTTCGCGTCAAATGAACGAGTTTTACCGAGATATGTTTAGTTTGGATCGCATCGGTGGAGATTTTTCAGCACGGATATATAGCGTAGAGGAATGGAAAAGCGTAAGGCTGGACTGGATCAACTCTTTCAATCCTGGTGAGATCAAGGGCCATGACTTGCGCCAGGCTCTAGGTATAATACCAGCGGAGGACGATAGTCAGGCTCAGGACGAGTGGCTGCAAAACATGGCCGTCTGGGGATACCCTCCAGGTTGGATCAGTAGATGGGACCCGAAGGAGCTGATGAAGGAACGAGTTTTAAGCCAGTGTATCGGAAATCCGCAGGAGAGCGAGCAGTCATTTCATATCTTCGGCGAGGAAGGAAATAGTGAAACGGTGCTGGACCAGTTGAAGGATCCGAGCAAATTGCTCAATAGCTCGGTGGATCAGACACTCAAACGATGGGCATTCTATCCACCGTTGCGATTCTCTTCGTCCCTTCTACCTGTGTATAACGGCGTTGCTTTACCACCAGTTGAATCTAAATCACAGGTATCTTATTACGTACCTTTCTCTGCTGTGTTACCAGCGCCACCTCCACCTCCGGGGTCACCTCCGCCTCTTCCGCCTCCGCCACCTATCGAACCACCTCCGCCTTTACCGCCGTCGCTGCCCCCTTCAACTCCTCCATCGCTTCCTTCTACTGCTTTTTTGTCTGCTCTGCTTCATCTGAGACCCAAGATCGAGGCAGAGGACTCTGACATGGACATGTCGGATGAAGAATGATCTTGATCTTCCTTGCATATACATATACACTCTTGAATTATGGGTAATGTCATTAACTAGGTATACCATGAATCCATTCATAATACAATGCTGTACATATAAAACACTAATCAGCGACCAGCTATGCTTCGAACATCACCGTCGACAAGCCCATTTGTTTGAGCACCACCAACCATTCCTGACACTGTTTTCTGCAGGTCGGTCCATTCCAACTCCCTTGGTAATGCCATATCACCAATGTCATAGATATACAGCCTCCCGTCACTCCCACCGAGGGCAGCACGTCTTCCGTCCTTTTTATCCCACTGCAGTTTGTTGAGTGCACGTCCTGAACCAACAGTCGTTTGCACCACAGGAACCTGTCAGCGGATCGAGTCAGATGAGAACGAGATAGAGATATAAGGAACGAACTTCAGTATCCATATTCAGATTCCACAAGTCAAATTTGCCTGACCCATCTACTGCACCAAATACCGCTGGATGTGTTGGATGCCATTTCACGTCATAGACCGGATCATCCGACTCGTCAAACGAATACAATGGGGAGATCGCATGAAGGGTAGTTGACGGCTTCGCAAGGGACTTTGCACGCCAGAGTTTTACTGTCCAATCCACTGAGCTCGTTAAGAATAGGTCGGAAAAGTCAACGGATCCACTGGTTGGGTGGAAATGAAGGCCCATTACTGGGCCGGCATGAGCCTTGTACACATCGTATTGGTTCAAACCGGCTTTAGCCCCTGCCCGGTCGTATCTGTTTGCTTGGTAGACGTTGCCCTCCTCTGTACCAACCCAAAATGCTGTTGTTTCGTTATCAGGAAAGTCCATTGCAGTGATCGCGACCTCTCCGGTTTTGTTGTGACCGGCATGTATCAGTTCTTGGGTTTCCTATTCGCACAATCAATACTAACCGACGTGAGCACCGCGAAACCCACCTGGGGCTGAGCAAGCATGTCCACTAACCAACTACACACGGTACCGTCTGTACTGCTGGTAATAAGGTTGTGAGCATTTTGTGTTCCAACCATCTGCATAGAATAGACAGGATGTGTATGCCCAGAAGCCGACAGGGGAGTTTTTAACACGGGGAGATGCTTCGAACGATTATCCCATAACAGAATTTGACCAGAGTAGGTACCGCCAAAGACCAGATTGGAGTGGAACGGGGAGAATGTCACCGAAAGGACATCGGACTGTGAAAGAGCAGAAGTCAGAAAGCTGAACCACGAATAATCACAACAGCGATAGAGGCTCACGGACTTGAGAATGGAAAACAAATTCTGGTCGTTCGAGGAGGTGCAGATTCCATACAGCAACGATACCATCGGGTTCATTCAGCGCAGCAGCGTTCTTGTTGTACGACGCAACACTAAGTTCTGGGTACTACAAAGAAGTTAGTACTGTACAATGCTGAGACACTCTGATTACCTGAGGAGACCAATCCACGTCCGTTATAGATCGATTTTTGGTGTACTGCTCGTCAAAAAACTCGCATACTCGTTTGACGCGTCCCTCAGATTCATCGCTAAGAATGCGATTGAGAGGAACATATCATTTGAGGTTTGGCATATCATACCTTCCTGTTTCAGTTCCTACTCTGTAGTCTCGGGTCGGGTCGTAGTCATGTATAGCTCTATAGAACATTTTCGTCGTCGAATCGACGAATTCTAAGAGCTCTGGAGCTGCTAAAATACTTGCCAACTCTTCCGGGGGTATTTCTAGCAAGAGAGAATAGTTAGGTTCGACATATCCTACCGAAAGACAAAAAGCGCACCTCGAATTTCCTCCTCGATTTCCTTGTCTAGCTGAACACTCTCCTCCTCCAATTCGCGATCTCGAGCAGCCTGTAATGCTTCCAAGTCAATCTCTGATACACCTCGTTGTAAAGTCTCCGTTTCAAGATCTGGTGTCTCAGTTTCTACTTCCATAGTCTGAACTTCCTTGTTATAGATGACTCGTTCCTTTCTTTAAATGTCAGTGTCCAGATAACAATGTAGAGTTCCTGCGAGAGACAGACAAACCTTTTTAGTCGGGAGTTCGAATAATTCCTGTTCGACGTCTATCAGATCGGGAAGGAAGCGGGGGACCATCTCTCTGAAACGGATGCTAAGTTTGCTCCAAGGCGAAAAAACGATGGTCATGCAGACCTGTCTATAACATTGTCCGTTGCAGAATTTGTGGACGGAGCCAAAGTCGTCCCAATACTCGAAGCAAAATCACTATTCCGGCTTGCTCTTCCCGATAGCGAACTTGGGAGAAGCGAAGTACCCATTAACGGCGTACCAGGCATCGAAGAGGAGGGTGTCAGTTCGCCACTGTCGAATTCCCCATTTCTTGCGCCTGGACCTCTGCTTTCTCGGAGAATAGAGCTGAGGAGGTCGTCGACATCATTATTCCTAGGCGTGAAAGACCCTGCACTTGTCTATGGTATTAAGGAATGAACATAAGTTAAGTGGTAAGGTATACACCACTTACCTCTGCAGATCTACGATTGGAGTCTGATATTTGTCGGTCCGCTCTAGCTTTCCGTAATTCAGCAAGCTTGGCTCTTTTGGCTTCAATTTGCTGTCGTCTCTCCGCCGTTGATGACATGGTAAAGTTGAGATTATTTTGATGAAGACATCGTGGGAGTTTTATGCTTCGCCGTTTTGCTACCAACGCAGCCAGTTCTCTTCGTTCAAAAGACGCGTCTTTTAATGCCTTTGTTTCTTTTGAAGATTCACCAGACTTGTTCAAGCCAAACGAAGGTCCATTAAATGGTTTCTCAGTTGGGATAAAAGACAATATCTGCACATCAGCCCTGCCAACCACATGTGGGTCAGCAATACTTCAAGATTTTAGGTCTCCTTTTGATGCGACCGTTGTGAAGCTACTCAAGGAAGCTGGAGCTCGCATTGCTGGGAAGACTAACTGCGATGAGTTTGGCATGGGCTCTTTGAACATACACTCTATTCATGGCCCCGTTATAAATCCCTTCGACGTTGATTCGCGACGAGCAGCGGGAGGCTCTTCGGGAGGAAGTGCCGCCGCCGTAGCTGCCGTACTTTGTGACGCTGCGCTTGGTACTGATACAGGCGGTTCTATCCGTCTTCCAGCCTCATACTGTGGTGTTGTAGGGCTCAAGCCGTCGTACGGTCTTCTTAGCAGGTGAAAATCATCGGCCACCACAATATCTTCTGGATGCTGAGTCTTTGTCATAGGCATGGCGTCGTATCTTATGCTGACAGCTTGGATACCGTTGGCGTGCTAGCCCGAAATGTACAAAAGGTCAAGAAGGTTTTTGGGAGCATCAACAAGCGTGATTTTAACGACCCAACCAGCGTGAGTGAACGGCTGAGGGAAAAGGCAAGATTGATCGCTATGGAGCGTATACAGCGCTGGGATGCAGAGAGCTTGGAAGGATTGAGAGTTGGTGTACCTCAGGTGAGAATTCAAAGGTCTATATTGCTTGCCTCCTTACATGATCGCACAGGAATACTTCCCTTCCGAGCTCAATTCAGCATCCAGTCATATCCTATCCGCTATCCGCCACTTACTAGCTCAGCTTCGTTCGCTCGGGGCGTCCATCGTTCCTGTGTCACTTCCTTCTACCAAATACGCTCTGAGCGCGTACTATGTCATTGCTAGTGCCGAAGGGAGCAGCTGTCTAAGCCGCTACGATGGGATCCGGTATGGCCTGCGTGTCCCGCCTTCGCCTGGGTCTGACCTAACCTCGACGTCCAAGACATACGCTCACTCGCGATCTCAAGGCTTCGGCAGTGAGGTTAAGAAGAGGATCCTGCTTGGGACGTATGCCTTGGGTGCTGAGTGAGTAATTTATATTTGCGTGTACTCGCCGACTAATCTCTCTCTCAGCGCCTTCGACAACTACTTCCTTCAAGCCCAACGCGTCAGGCAAATGGTCAGGAATGATTTCGATCACGCTTTCTCCATCCCAAATGTCCTATACACCGAAAACTCATCCAAAGAGGACCTGGCAGAACCTGGAGTAAACGGCGTTGACGTTCTTATACACCCTTCCGCAATTCGTACTGCGCCTCGTTTGGACGATGTCCTGGATACCTCACGCGAGCGGGATACACTTCAGGATTACGTCCAAGATGTCCTGACTGTGCCCGCGAGCTTGTCGGGGCTGCCAGCGTTGAGCGTCCCCATGCAAAACCGTTCGAAGTCTGTAGCATTTTCTCTACCGACATATACTGACGGAGGATTTCTACAAGAAGCAAGAACAGATGAGGATGGAGATGCTGGCTGGCCTATAGGTGTATCCATCGTTGGTCAATGGGGAACAGATGAGCTGGTTCTGAGGGTGGGTCAAGTTATCGAGAGGTTGAGCCGAGGTTGACTCGTCGACGCGTCAATACTTTGTTTACTAACCATGAATAGCATTTATGGCTTTTTCTTCTGCTTGAATAATTGTAATTGCTCTTATTCGTCAATCTCCATTATTGCAGTAAGTATTGAGACAAGTACACGCGCTTCACGTGACATGTAGGAAACGCGTCTGAGCCTGGCAGTGGCATAGCTATCTTGTACTTATGTATATAGTATGAGGTAGAACTTTCGCGTCTCAGGGACTGAGACTTGCTCTCGCAAGCCAGAGTAGCGAAGAAAAAGCATTCACTGGATTCAGTGTCACCTTGATACTTAGGTCTGTTTGGGTGCAAGAAGTTTTTCCAAGAACGGCGACCAACATAGCTAACTTTGGTATATAAGTTGCAGGAATCAAAACAGAAATGGTGTGGGACCATATGGTACTGGTTGAAAATCAAAGTGTTGGAATCAACTAATTACTCTCAGACGAAGCAGGTGTTTCCTCTGTAGCAGCAGGAGCAGCATCAGGAACTTCCTCTGTGGCCTGAGCAGAATTAGCTTCGGGGACCTCTTTCTCTTTTTGCAACTTTTCCAACCATTTCGTTACAAACTTGGAATGGGCACCGTAGTTCATCGTTGCATCAAGTGCGTCCCTATGTGGGTTTTTTTTTCGAGTCCTTGCAATGGGATTCAAGACGAACAACCTACCTGACAATACCCTTTCCATCGATGATAAACGTTACTCTTGCGTAATCTGCCAGGCCCATCATCCCTTTCCCAACTTTGTACGCTTTCCGAGCTTCGAATTTTTCATCGCTCAAAACAGGATACTACAAGTGCCAAGGATGATTAAATTTCGTTCATTGGACTCGGAGGAAAGATTGCAGGACGCACAGTCAATTTCTGCTTCTCGACAAAAATCTTTTGCTTCTCCACCGAGTCAGGACTTATCCCAATAACTAACGCTCTGTCGTCTTTGAAGACTTCCTTCTCTGGGTGCAAAAAAGATATATTACTTCAGTGATATTCCGATCAAGGATAAGTGGCGAGCTCACCTGCAAGTGCATCTCTGAATTGACATGCTTCCTTCGTACATCCATATGATCCCGACTTTGGGTAAAAGAAGAGAGAAATGGGGACACCATCTTTGCCGGGGACTATCGTGTATGGTTCACCATTGTAATTAGGAAGTGTTACGGACGGCGCAGCGGTCCCTATTAGCTCTTTCCAGGTCATTTGTAGTCAATGCTCAGTGGTCGTTCTCGAGTATAGTGAGGGTCTCGTTGAAGCTCAGCTGCTGGAATTAGTGTGGTCAAGGGGCACAAGCAAAAAGGTGGGGCCATTTAAAGGGCTTTTAACGCTTCTATTGACTGGTTCGGAAAGTCTGGAAAGTTCCACGGAGTCTCTTAACCGTAGAACTACGTACTGGCGAACTTCTTATAGTCTGGTTTCAACTGGATACAGTCTGGGAAAAGGATGAGTACAAGATTTTGATACGTCGAATACATGGATGGTTCAACCACTTGACTACAGCTTATTTGAAACGACATCAGGCAGATGTATCATTGTATGAAGAGTATCAGGCCACTGCGCTTCGATGCACCTCATTGATTTCGGATATATGGATTAATAGCGACGTACAGTGAAGAATGGCATGAATAATATGAATGGTCTAGAATACGATACGGGTATGGGTGATCTATGACGAGGGTTTCTGCGCGGCTGCCATAGCGTCTAGAGCGAACATGAGCTTAACTGTTCAGAGTTTGAGCACGGAAGCTGCGTACCTGCATTCAACTCTGCAAACCGTGAGCCCACTCTCTCCGAGTGTTTCAAAAACTTTTCCGTACAGCTCATCACGCAAGTTTCCTATACGGTGAACAGTATTAAGCACACTGGTTACAGGGACAGAATGAAAGAAAGACCTCTTTTGATGATAATGTTTTGCTTGTAAAGTCGTTACAGCATGAAGAGAAGCACCTCTCTACAATATTTGCGTAGAGCCTCAAGAAGTCTTGCATCTGAAAGATTGATTAGTCGCGTCTTTTGGCATTTGGACAAGTTCTATGTCCACTCAACTTGTTTCTTTTCAATTATCTTGTTCATGTGCGCCTGCTCGGCGCTGTTGAATGCTGAAAAGTCCATTTTCAAGAATTAGACGACTCCGGTGAACAGTGTATGAAAAAGAAGTATTCGACCGGAACAGAAACGTGTCGCCTCGGCCCGAGGGCAACAACTTTTTCTGAACTTGGCATCCACCACGGTCCACCTCGGTTTGCCTCGGTCTTCAATGTACGAGTCATTTAAATGTCCTTTGTTCCAATTCTGTCACTTAAACACCGACCACCATCCAAGCTCTGCTTGCTGCACAAAATCCCGTGCTCGTGCTTACTGACGTTCACACCATTGAAATTTTTCTTTCAATCCGGAATCTAAACAATCCGATCTATACATCCAAGCGACGAGTCACAACTTCGCTGTGTATATATAAACCCTCACCAATTTACAAAAATGGATGCAAGTAATATGGCCCTACCCTTCAAAGAAGCATTATCTCGCCTTGAAAATAGGCGTGTCAAGGCTACCAGGCCGTTGATCCCTCCTCAAATTCTACAAGAGGATCTCCCCCTGTATGTCGTTCTGTTCGTTGAAGAACAATTGCCTTTGAATACATTCTCCCTCAATATAGCACACTCCTCGCTGCTCAGACTGTCATCGAAGGACGAATGCAGACCGAAAATATTCTCAAAGGCAGTGACGATCGGCTCATGGTTGTTGTGGGGTACGCAATATAACCACTATTATTGAATCTGAAATTCTCACAAAATGGTTGTGATTAGACCTTGCTCAGTGAATAACGTTGATGCAGCAATAGAATACGCACATCTTCTCAAAGCTTATGCCGACGAGGCCAAAGAGGATCTCTTCATCGTCATGCGTGTTTACTTCGAAAAACCTCGAACTACAGTTGGATGGAAAGGCTTGATCAATGATCCCGACCTCAACGGTACCTTCCAGATTAACAAAGGTCTGCGGATCGCGCGGACTCTACTGCTTGACATTGCCAAACTCGGCCTGCCTGCGGGTTGCGAGTTTTTGGATACCATTTCTCCTCAATACACCGCCGATCTTGTCTCCTGGGGAGCAATAGGTGCACGAACGACCGAGAGTCAGGTGAAACTACTGCTCACTCATTTGACTTCCTCTTACTGAATACGTTACAGGTTCACCGAGAACTGACTTCCGCGCTTTCCATGCCTACTGGGTTCAAGAATTCCACTGATGGGAGTGTTGGGATTGCCATCGATGCCTGTCGCGCCGCTCAATCAGGGCATGTTTTCCTCAGTGTCGGCAAGGAAGGGCTTAGCAGTATTGTCGAGACGGAGGTGAGTGTTCTCGATGTCGTACTCGGATATCAAGCCTTCACACTAAAAATTCTCATCCTTCCATTCAGGGTAATCCAGATGTCCATGTAATTTTACGTGGAGGAGCCTCAGGTCCGAACTATGCTGCCCATTTCGTTCGGGAATGTGGCTTGAAACTCGGGAAAGCAGGTCTTTCCCAGAAAATCATGGTTCGTCTGTCCTATATATAAACGTGTCCTTTCACAACGTCCCTAAACCTTTGTGTAGATCGATTGCAGTCATGGGAATAGTTCCAAACAACATAAAAATCAGGCTATAGTAGCCGACGATATTGTGAGTCCTGAACCTTGATGGAAGTGTCCTTTTAGGTGCTTATTGTACTTGTGTATCCATTATAGGCTCGTCAAATGGCGGAGGAAGACACTTCTCCCATGATTATGGGCGTCATGATCGAGTCCAATCTCGTTGAAGGACGGCAAGATATTCCTCTGTCTGGACCTTCTGGTCTGCGTTATGGACAATCTGTGACAGATGCGTGTATGGATTGGGATATGACGGTTGAGGTTCTCAACCGACTACGTGAAGGAGTAAAGGCTCGTCGTGCTCGGATAGCAAAACGCGCTTGAAAGAGGAGTGCATATGCAATGTATGTAGTAGATGGAGTATCTGTTTGTAGTAAACGACTGTATGTACCTATGTACTTCGACATATCTATCCTGCTGTCTACCACATTGCACTGGAGACTGCACATTAAAAAGTGACCACGCAATCTTTTCCTTATGAACAGACTTTCGTTGAAATTACCTCGTGTGAGTACTGTATGATTAGTATATGTGCTAGTCTATGTATTTTTCGTACTATAGTAAACAAACATTAAGATTCTTCGTAGGTTGGAAGCCCAGTCACTTGAGAAGCGTGCGATCTCTTGAAGCGCGAGGAATATAAGTATAAATGGTACGAATAGCCGTCCTGACACCATTCTCGGTTCGGATCCTTTCGCCCACCATCATGGCTTTCTCTTTCATTATTCTGCAGGAAAACGAATATCATGACGGGTGCATTAGTAGTTATGATTTAAGTAAAATCTTTGAACGTTACCTGCTCGTAGTCGCCTTGGTAAATGCATCAGCCAACTCATTAACTCGCAAGCTCGAAACTTTCATCCCAGCCTGCCAACCGCAATAAGGTATCAATTAAAAGAGCGTCGTCTGTACATAACCTAGGCAACTCACCCCTAATTTCTGCACTCTCGAAGCCCAGAAAAATTGGTCTCCAAACCAAGGTTTAATGATCGTTGGAATACCAGCCCGCAAACTCGCCCCCGTCGTTCCTGCACCTCCGTGGTGCAAAACAGCATCGACTTGAGGGAATAACCAATCATGAGGAACTTTATCTAGTTGGTAGCATTCTGGCGGCATCAGTGGCTCTTTGCCATCAGGTTTACTCATCCTGGCGGACCATCCTTTGGAGATGATAGCACGAACGTCACCTAATGAAGAACAACGGAAAGAGATTGGAGTAGACGACTGGAATAAAGAATCATGTACTGACTTTTCAAAACAGCTTCAATGATTCGCGATGTTACACGGTTCGGATCGGGCACAGTGATACTTCCAAAGCCGACGTACACAATAGGCTTGCCATCAGTTCTAGCTTTCTCCATCCAGGCGACGAGAGACTCAGGAGGTTCCCAATCCAAGTCTGGGTTGTCTAGGAACCAGCTGGCAATATACATCATTCAGCGTTCTAATAAGGACGGACGCAGTTGATTTACTTACTATCCAGAAATAGAGATAGAATCACCCCAGTCAAGAGGTTTTGGAACAACGGCCTGCATTGCATCCAATCAATACAAAGAGAAAGCAACCAGTCAGATACATACCTGAGAAAAGTTGTATATAAAAACAATCTTCGATTGCACTAAGTGTCCCATATCGGTATTCCCAATCTGGAGAGTATTCCTTCTCCAACGATTGATTTGTCCAGAGGTTGCAGCCCACATCACGTTGCTGAATATATGTTATGCTCTTACTACGGCGTGAGAAAAGGGTTTGCGTACTTGAACAAGACATAACTGGGTGGCAAGGACAATTCAGACCCCAATTTGGAATAAGATAGGTGTAATGAGTTACTCACGACGCGCTGTTGAATGTGGGGGAGTCTACCGGCGGCGAAAGAAACGCATGGGGAAATTCAGAGGTCCTGAAAAGTACATCGTTAGACGGAACAACATACTACAATGACTCATTCACTTTGTCCATGGCATCGTGAATGTGCGGAAATATGGAATGTCTAAGCAGAAAGGAATGAGCGTACTGCAAGGAGGGAAAGTCAACATAATATTCACTCACGTAAGGCTTCCGCGATATGGACCCCTGCCATGGCACTTGGACTCTCGAGTAATACATCCGCGCCTTGACATGATTCCCAAGCATCGACGAGCACTATCAGAGAGAGACACTTGTAAGAACTAGAACGGTATATGCATTGATTAAGCTGCACAGACGTTGATCGAGCCAAGGGCGAAACTAGATGGAAATAGGCGTTAGACGGATCAAGGATGGGTACCCTAGTAAAAAGTATAAACATACATTTGCAAGGCTTTCTTTGAAGAACTCTGGAGAAAACATCTATCTAACGAGCATTAAACTAGCATGAGGTCCAGAAAGACGAGCCTGTACCTTATTCTCTACACTGAGCTTCATGAGAGCACCAGGATCGCCTCCAGCCTGCTTGAACTCCAATCCAAACCCTTCTATCCATTCCCGGTATTCTTCGTGCGTGACAATCGTAACTCTATGATGTTCCTTCTTGAGACCGACACCCAATGCGATATATGGTTGGACATCTCCTCTCGAGCCAATGGTAAGACATACAAAATGCATGGAAGGACGACTGATCAAAACATTGGATTCCATATTTATGACTTTTGGAAGCGATAGTATGGCGGATATTGGGTATTTCATGCCTGCGGAAGCTAAGAGCGCTGTACCGCGCTCTAGAGGAGAAATAGCATCGAGGGCGCTTCTAGCGGGTGAAGTAGGGGGTGACGTAGGGGTTAAGGAGAAATTTGAGCTTTGAGGTGTACTTGGCCTAGAACCCCGTGTGGGAGTGGAAGATGATGAAGTTGACAATGCCGGAGTTGAGAAAATGGAAGATTCGGGGACAAGGAGGTAGCGGGATACGTTGATACGGCGTATCACTTCATCCCTAATATCCTGGGTTTTGAACTGGAATTTAAGGTCGGGGGAACCTTCGAGCTCGAGACGAAGTCCGTGGATTTTCAAAATCTTTCCACTGATAGGTGAAGCAGAATTGATGATTCGCATTGGTAGCCGGTATTTTACGTCTTCCTTCATCACGTACTTTCCCCAGAACCCAACGTAATGAGGAGATACGACAAAGTAGCCCAAACAGCTGATCTTGCGAAACACACGGGCGCGAGTGGCTTTGATTAATCAGCTTCAGCAGACGCCCAAAATAATACGAACTTACACCATATTTCAGGTTCGTCTCCTAGTCCAAGAGCATTTCGCAACATTTTCTCTTTGGCGTCTACCGGAGGAGGGTTCAGGCTCTGCACATCTTGAGCAAACGTTAAAGGGCCCATATCCACGACAACTGGCGCCTCAGGTTGTGTGGATAGAGCGGCTACGCGCCGCTTTGCTTTATTAATGTGGTCTTCTAGCGCTAACCAAGCGGGGACACGCAAGATCGGTGCAAGATATAGTTGCCCTTCATTCTGCTCGGACCCCTCGACGCGTATGATTGCCACGTTCTTATTAAACGATTCAACCATCTTGACGCTCGCGATCTTGTGCAGAGGGTAGCTGACTCTGATACCGTCGCTGGCGTCGGAGAAATCACTACCAATAGCCTCCCGTCTGCGATGACGCTGAAGAAACAAAGCACCGCCAACCTCTTTTCTCCACTCCTGAGCGGACTCTTCCGTGTCAAATTCAACGATGCCGGAAACGTCTACATCTTCTCCCAAAGAGACTTGGAAGATTCGAGGATTATTAGGGTCCAGTATGGATAGACCTTGAATACTAGACACTGTTGGAAGTTAGGAATCACAAATACATATGAGTAACCATGAAAAGCGTACATAGCAGAGATCGTAATGGACGAATATGGTCATCAGGACTACTCGAAGCATAGGTACACATCATATCGTGTGTTAACTCCAGCCATAAACGGCGTTTTTTGTGAAACCGCGGTAGATGAACAGTGACTGGACCAGCTTTGATGATCTGCTGAGACGGAAGCAAGTCGGGTCGAGCAGAAAGTAGCGAAGCATGGAAAGTAAGGCGGTGAGTTGTCAGATGTAAAACGCCCTGTCATAGACAACATCAGCGAGGTAGAAAACGAATCACTAATGCAAACAAACCACAATGAGAACATCACTAAACATGAATGCATCGGCTTCGAATATGAGCTTTTCATCCTCCCCTAAGGAGCCAAATTCCTGAACGAGGAGATTCACGAGTTCATCTGAATCCAGTTTCCAACTATCTCCGTCTAAAGTTGCGACACGATGAAATTGAGGATCGAAATTAGGAATCAAAGTATCATCGGAATAAGAGTCTGGTTCAGAAGTGAATTCCGCATCGGTCCAGGTAGTGCCCGCTACGTCGAGGCGAGCAGAACGTTCAACGGCGTCAAGTTCATTCTGATCAAGGTCTTTGGCGACTAGCTCGTCGAAGCCGCCTTTTGTATTTGAGTCATCTCGAATAACTTTGTCGAATTCATTGGCATTGCGGCAGATGCTGAGGATAAATGGTGGAAGAAAATCGTCATTGTCTGTGTCACAGCTGTTATCGACCATGATGGTGGTTGCGCATGAAGGAGTAGATAAGGATTTGACGCGTAGTAACCCATCATGACAAAATTCGAGACAGGGAGTACTAAAACGTGTTTCGGTAGTCGGGGTCGGGTTGTAGTCATCAACTCTACGTGAAAATGCCGCCGACAACTAATTCAGAATAAATTCAGTGGCTTTTTCTCTCGACACTATGATGATGTAAATTCAAGGGCCGAACTGCAACAGACCGCAACTTCAAGAAAGGAGAACCTGCAAGGTTATCTGCCATAAAACTTGATCTATTGAATCAAACAACATGCAGAACAACTGAAGGACAGCAGAGGACAGCCAATGAAGGACAAAGAAAGGAATTGCAGATATTGTCGACGAATTCGAAGATGGGGATCAAAGTTCATCGATGTCACTGCTCGTATACCTTCGGTTGGTCATCAATATCTCGTATAGAATGCGGTATCCTATGGATTCGGGATGTCAGTTATTTTTGACCCAAATACGATACTAGTATTGCATTCTTTCACAGCCAATTCCCGAATATGTGAAATATCGGAGTCAGTCGCGCAGGGCATGCCCATAATAATCGGCGTTCATCTTTATTTGAAAGAGGCTCAACGTGTAATCGAGTCTACGAAATGCACTGTTAACAGCTGCAGCACGTTGGAAGGCCGATTCCCGGAAACAGAGTTTGGCAGTTGTCGGGAGCGTCGTGCAATTCCCCTTACATATCATTACCAGGTTGGTCGGGCCGAGCTGGCAGCTAACCACATGTCTACCGTACCAGTGTCCCTCCACTGTTGTGTGCAGCGTGCTCAGGTAGGTCGGCAGGTATTCACTTCCTGTTCAAATAACAACTCCAGCCGTTTCTTGTCCTGTTCCCACTCTGCCTCCTTTATATATCTACCACAAGTTCAGTGTATGATGTATGGCTGAAATCGGTTGACAGATATTCATGCCAGGGCGCAAGCCGCCTTTGTACCTGTTGAGTACCACCAACCACCTTCACATCAAATAACAAATCCAGCTTTTCTACCGCCCTGTTCTTACTTCGCCTCCTCCATGTCCTTATCACAAGTTGCTGACTGACATTTGAACATATTGTTTACACACAGAGTTTCTGCCTCTGTTTCATCTCAGATTCCATGTGCGATGTTGCGCCATTAGCCTTTACTTTGTGCCGCACCCGCGACCACCCCTTTATTCTGCTTGACCTGTTTCCAGCTACTTAATATTGGATTCAGCTGCGCAACAGGGCTCTGAGTTCCTCAGTAACGGGTTGAAGCCTATGGCAGGTACAACAGCCACAGTTGCAAAGGTTGCTTCTTTCACATTTGGGGAGGAGGAACATCCATTGGAAGGTATGTGTAGCTGATATATGTTATTGTACATTGACGACTTTCTGCTTGCGAGCAGAGTCAGTTTAGTTGCCCCCGTCGGGGACACAAACCTTGCTTGAGGCGTTCTGGTATCAGGTGCAAATCGCACCTTTCCGCATTTCAGTAAAATACAGTTACATATATTATCGAAGCTGTTCTAAAACAACACAGCCTGACTACAACGAGTTGAACCGAAACGTGGAAGGGAGGACTTCACGGCGCGAGGAACCAATGACAACTTTGCGGACATAAGCAGCAGGATGTTGTCCACATACATAGCCGGGACACAAACAGTCTGAGGCTGGAAAGTGTTGCGAGTGCTGAGACATTGACTGAGCAGTATAGTACAGGCATACATGTAGCTGCGAAAGTTTTAGAGACAGCACATAATGAGGCAATGTTCAATAGACCGAGGTAGGTGGTTAGATCCAACCAGAGATCATCGTTGAGGTCTGTCAATGTGATGTCATACAGAACTGGAGGTAAAGGAGATAGCGGGGGGGTCGACGACAAACAAGCATACATACATAATTGGTGGGGATAAATGTGGAACAGGTTCAACGTTAAGTATCTGAAAGCCAGTGAAACGGAATAAAGGGGAGTGATAAAGAACAACACGTCGCAGGTGCGGCACAAAGTAAGGGGTAAAGGCGGATTGGCACACATGAAGTCTGAGACAAAACACAAGCAGAAAACCTGCGCGTAAGTGAGAAATTTAAGAACAATATGTTCAAAAGTCAGTCAGTGACTTGTGTGGTAAAGACATTCAGGAGGCGGTAGAAGACCGGGAGTTGTTATTTGAAGTGAAGGTGGATGGAGGTACTTGGCACAGACATAGTCAGCTAACACCCAGACATGGATACCCGCTGACAGACCTGTACCCGCCGGGCGCACACATGTTTGGTAGGTTATACACTGGACTTGCGGTAGATACATAGAGGAGGCGGAGTAATAACAGGACTCAAAAAGTGTTGTAGTTGGTATTTGATGAGAAAGTGCATGGTGTCGTTGTACATGGCACAGGTGAGGTCTGCTAGCGCCCAGGCATGAATACCAGCCGACCTACCTGAGCACACTGCACACAACAGTAGCTAGGTCATACAGAGAGACAGCGAGGCATGTGGTACGACAGAAAAAACAAGCGCCAAAACCGTGGGTAAAATTTCCGCAGCGCTAATAATATCGAGTAAGAAATGACCTTTGCAAGCAAGGTGACCAGGTTGGTCGGGCCGAGCTGGCAGCTACATCTACATAGTAGCGCTAAGCGCTGAAGCGCCGCCGACCTTCTGCTGAAAGCGCGACAAAATCACATGTTGAAGGGAACCTCGACTGATAGCCGGAGCCTCCTATAAGCTCTCCTATATGTAGGAGCCCGTAAGCTACATTACCGTTTTGTCCTTTTACTTTTTTGCAGTCCTTGGTCTCCTCTGCAGTCTCCTGCAACAAGCCTCAATTATGTTAAAGACGGCTCTGACTCAACTCTTTGACATTCGCGTGTAAATGCTTCATCCAACTCTCAAAACGCGCTTCAACTGATTCATTTAATAGACCTGTGGTTCAAGGTGGAATGCAATGGTACTCGTTTTCATACTCCAATTTTTTGGAGCTACTAACATGTGTACACTAGGGTAGGTTATCCCAAACTAGTTGCGGCCGTGTCAAATGCTGGTGGTACGCTTCAGAATCTATGCATACCTATACATACCCGTTCCAGTCATCGATAAAGCCTTTCAGGTTTAGGTGAATCAGACAAACATATTGTCAATAGCCATTGAGTGCCACCTTGACTCAATCTTGGCGAACTTTAGGCATCATCACGGCTTTGTCCCAGCCTAGTCCTACAGCGTTGCGCCAGGCAATCCGAGAGACTCGTACGCTGACCGACAAGCCTTTTGGCGTCAACATCACCTTAGCACCCACGATCAATCCACCGGACTATGAAGGATTTGCCCGAGCTGCTATAGAAGAAGGCGTGAAGATATTTGAAACTGCTGGCAACAATCGTGAGTACCAAAAGTCGTTCGATCCTATGTACTGACGCGCGTTCGCCTGTCCACAGCTGGTCCCCTAATCAAATTCTTCAAATCGCAAGGCTGTTTGGTAATCCACAAGTGCACTACCATCCGACATGCTAAGGTAATCAATGCTGAGCCAATATAGATCTCATTTCACCTCATCACCTTAGAGCGCGGAGAAGCTAGGCGTGGACGTGTTAAGTATTGATGGTTTTGAATGTGCGCCTTCAAGCTACTTCCGCCCCATGTCAACCGAAAACTCACCTGTATATCAGGCGCTGGTCTTCCGGGCGAAGATGACATAGGTGGTCTGGTTCTTGTGCGTTATACGTTGAATGAGCCGCCTTACTGTCTCCTGAAACCTGTATCTAGCTTGCTCGGGCCGCGAAAGAGTTGAAGATACCATACATTGCATCTGGAGGCTTTGCGGACGGTCGAGGTCTTGCCGCCGCTTTAGCTTTGGGTGCTGCTGTGCGTATCACGAGCTGCAGAACTCTGAACACAGGCTCACACTGAGTGATTTTTCAAAGGGCATCAACATGGGAACACGATTCATGTGTACGGTAGAAAGGTTGGCGTGTTCTTGCACATCCCGTGTCCCTCATAATTCATTCGATCTCCCCCTTATCAGTTCAATCCACGAAAACATCAAACACAAAATTGTCCAATCCACCGAAGACGATACCGTACATGTATTTCGGACGCTCCACAATACTGCGCGGGTATTCAAAAACAAAGTCTCGACGGAGGTCGTGGCGATTGAGAAGAGGCCAGGAGGTGCGAAATTCGAGGACATTCGCGATTTGGTATCGGGTCAACGGGGCAGGGTTGTATTTGAGACCGGGGATCCAGACCATGGAATATGGAGCGCTGGATTAACGATTGGGTTAATTGATGACATTCCGACTTGCCAGGAGTTGTTGGAGAGAATGGAACACGAAGCAGAGGAAATCATTGGGAATATGAGTTCGTTGGTGACACCGAAAGCGAAGCTGTGAACTATCGTTTAATCTTTGCACATACTGTATATGTACTACTAAATACTACTTTGGATGTATTATTGTCGAATAATATCTTCCAGATGCAGACTACGTCTGTCTTGCATATTTCGCAATCCCTGGGCAAAAAATAGAATATCCAAGGTATCATGCCTGTTCTGTGCACACCAAGTCAAAAATTTTACATAGACGACCTCCCGTATCAAGATGAGGATTGAGCTCTCGAGTGTGTTTGCCCCTTCCAACACCGTTTGTAGAAAACCCAGCGTGTTGAAGAGTTGATCGAGGACGGATGAATAAAAATTTTGTCTTATTCTTTGAGAAATGTTCAACCAAAGCTGCCTCAGAATTCGGTTTGAAATCTGCATGGGGCGGTTTGAGCAGGTATTTCATTCTTGAAATGACTTCAGAGCTGATTCTCTTCGTCTCTTCGAGGAACAAATTTCCAGAGCATTTACTAGCTTGAACATAAAGAGCATATGCCCTGTCATACTTGGATGGATATTCTATCATCCCTCCGGCAATATGAGTTACCATTTGCTTTAAGCAATCCTCTGGGTGGAGGTTCTGCAAGGACTCCACCAGACTTTGCGTTCGCAAGGCTTTCAGAGCAGTGGAGAGGTCGCCGGATGGACTATCATCAAACAAAATAATCTTCTCAAAAGCTTCCCCGTCCTTAACAGCCCATTGAAGCACTGCTACGACAGCCATGCAATGCTGCAAATCTACTATGGGATCCAATGGGCAGCGATGCATGTTAAGAAATGCAAACATCACCTCGAAAAGGGCGTTTGCCTTATCAGAAGATAATTTCCGTGTCAGTACGAAACTTTTCTCACTCGTGGTGGGGGATAGTTGCGAGATGTGAAGCCGAGAACAACAATTCTCGATTGCACTAGAGGAAAGCTCTGCGTGTTCAACGGAAAATGCAGTGCGTTTAAAAGAAAGTGTCTCTATTACGACGACCGATGTGTCGTACTGAGAAGCGGTGATCCCAAGGGTTATGCGCATAAGCAGAACATAAAGCTCTTCGTGAACATATTCCGGAATGTCTGTAAGGACAGATGGAGGAATTGTCTGTAGTTGAGGACTCTGGACAGATGCGAGTGTGCCCAGAACATTTAGAAACGATCGGTATCTGTATCCATCATCACGATACTCGAAATTTGTGCAGTGCGCTTGAAGAGTTCGCGACATGTATTCTCGAGATAGGAATGTGATAGAGCCGTCCTTGTGAGCGTTCGTAAAAACAACCGAATTCATTGCCTGAGTGTGTTTGTTGCTTAGCTTGAACACTGGTAATCGGAAGACGTCCTCGCGAGTACGAGAAGCCATCAGTGAGTCGCTCCTCGTTTTAAGTTCAAGGTCCGATAAATCGAGGGGATTCGAGATCGGAACCGGAGGATTGATATCCGCAAAGTCACTGTGTACGAAGAGAGAGTCCGTTGATGCCAATCCCGGTCGCAGGAAATTACTTCGCAAAACGATTGCGGTACGAGGGCTGATAACGAAGAGACGATGGGCACAAGGTTCTCCATTGATCGTACCCTCCCAAAGCCCAAACCCATCATTGGACAAGATGAATTCATCTCCATCCGCTGCTTCCCAGATGCAAAGAAAATACATACCAGCTTGATTCTGATAGGCCAAGGCGGGAAAGTGCTCTATATTTGGATCGACTCTGTGTTGCATCATCAGATGAACCTCGATGAAGCCATACTTGTCGTACATGTCGAGAGCATGCTTCTGAATGAGATAGGCTGGTGTGTCCAAATAGTATCGCAAGACATGCAACCATAGATCGTTACTACTATCTAAATGGTGAGTGTCCTTGTATTTGTCAATCCAGTCCCGCACAGGGGCGTTTTCCGGACGTCCTTCGTCAAAATAAGACATAGACATCCGGGCTGCTCTGTAGTGCTGGAGAAATAGAAACTTTCGCAACGTTTCCAGGTCCTCCCTCTTCATCGTAACTTCTCTGGAACTAGAGTTACCGACTTCCGCAGTATGGATAGTTTCGATAATCTTCGCGGCATCTCTCTCAAGGAACGAGAACTTTTTTTCTAGCTCCTGAGGGTTCACCGCATGACTATCGGCATACAAGTCCGGTACACCATAGATCGACCCCACCGATTGAGAAGTGAGTGCTCCCGTTGCAATGTCGTAGAACCAGACATAATTAGAATCAACACCAGTTTGACGGAATTCTTTATTGCGTTGAGCTTTCGACCTGTGGCAAATAAGCAGTCGAGTGTATGGTACTAACTTCTTCAACGTACTTTTTAGGACCATGTGCAAATCGACGCAAGATAAACCTAGGTATAGCATGATGATATGGGGCTTTTGGGGTAGGAGAGGTTTTCGTTGTTGGGGATACCATAGGGACGCTTTTCGAATAGCTGTTGCACCTTTATAACGCCGAGCCTAAAAATGTTGAAGCCATCTGTCGACTCGGAGAAGAAGCGCCTGGTTGTTCTCCGTGCCTACCGGTCAGACTATTGCAGTGAAGGCCTGATAGCTAAATATGGGAACATAGTCAGCATGAACACAATGGACGTACTTTAGTAACTTCTCCTTGGTGGTCTTCTGCACAGTGAGGGAAGAAAGTAAACTCTGGTAAAGCGATTATCATTTGAATTCATTTCTCATTCATGCATGATTCCTGCTACTTGTTCTCAAGAGTCAGATCAGTTGTGGCGTATATAGACAACAATTAGACCGTCCGAAGAAATTCAAATTCCGTTAGCAAAAGTACATGTAGAGTGATACTGCAAAGCAAACGTGCTACATTGATAGAACGGTGCCAGAGTAGCACAAACGGAAGAACGAGAACACAACATTATCAATAGACCAAGATAAATGACAAACAGGAGGGGGAAAAGTAGAGAAGGATCAGTAAAAGTCCAGGAAGTACACGAGAAGAAGCGACTCACCAACTGAACACAAAGATGGCACATGCATCAGCTCTAGTCCAAGTCCTGGCCGTAGTGATACAAAGCACGAGCACTATGGGTCGTCGGTGTACCGCTAGAAACGCTGCGGCGCTTGGGATTCTGGGTTTTTGCAGGTTGTTCCTGGATACTAGGAAGTTTAACACTCGAACCGGAAGCGGTATTGAAGAAATCTTGAGCAGCATCAACTTGTTTGGCGCGCTCAGCTGAATTTGTGGCCTGTTGGGCCGCGAGAGCAGCGAGCTTTTCTTGGAGGGCAGCTTGCGACATATTGACAGCTTCCGTGCTCTCATCGGGAGTGGGTGGAGCGGATGGAGAACGGGCTACGACACTAGAGGGCATCCCTGATTTTGCACCTGTCGAGGGTGACCGTGTGAAAGAAGATGTCGGGCTATCGCCAATACCAGGAGTGGGCAGTGCAGAACCAGGGCCACTCTCATCAGAAGCTGTCGGAGTCGCGCCTAGTTTCGCATTCGCCGCCGCTAAACCGAGTCTGATGTGCTTCGGATTGAAGCCGTTCTTCACGGGTCCAGAACCATCTCCTGGAGAATGGGATGGTGTAGGACTTGCAGTGGGCTCAGCGGACACGGATGATATCTGGGAGATGGCTTGGCCAGTTGACGTCTGAGAAGGTTCAGAAAGGTCTGAAGGGACAACGTCTTTGGAAGGTCTTTGAGAGGTGCCGGTGACCTGGCTAGTCGACGTCTGAGAAGGTCCGAAAGGGTCCGAACTAACAACGTCTTTGGAAGGGGTCTGGGAGGTGACCTGACCACTCAATGTCTGAGAAGGTCCTGAAGAAGCACCGGCGACGACACTAGCACTCATGCTCATACCGACACTGATATTCGCATCTTCCACCTGTGCACAAAAAAATAAATTTATTGGTCATCGAGCTGATGGTATCAATATCATAAGGATTCTCACCATGGGTGGATGTATTGGATTGCCGGCGCCTATATCCGATGGTGGAGGAGGAGGAGGGGGAGGAGGAGGAGGAGGAGGTGGTGGTGGTGGTGGAGGTGGTGGTGGTGGTGGTGGTGGAGGTGGACTTCCAGCACCCATACTCATATGCGAAGGAGGCATCTGCTCAGGATTGCCCATTGGTGGAAGCAAAAAGTCGTTCATGCCCATGCCCATGGAAGGAGTAGCACCATAGCTCATATCCAGAGAAGGAATGCCCATGGAGGAACCGGAAAACTGAATTTTTGTGGTAAGCAATTGATTGATCGATGAAAATGTGATAGATTTGGACTTGCTTCGTTAGGTACATTTAATTCCATGGCCGCATTCACAGCAGTCAAAAGTCCCGGATTTTCTTCTCCGAGTTCCTTGAGGAATTCTGGATCGTTAAGTATACCGCTTGCCTTGAGCTCTTTGATTGCATCCTTAAAAGGTTCGTCTCCAAAGACGGGTTCCAGGACAGAGGGAGGGATGGGAGCATCATCGTTACCACTGAAAGGCTGAACGAACAAGAAAACAGGATGAGCAAGAATTCCATGATAGGTACGAGTGCGTGAAAACTTGCCTTGCGATGATCATGATGAGGCTGGAAGATCTACAAGTTCCCCAGGTCAGAAACAGGGAGTAACGGGTTGATTCAAGCGCACCTCTTCCTCCTCAATTTCCAACTCAAACTCGGGATGCTTTTGCTCAACATCCACACCATTGCCGGTGTCATCAAAGACGACGTTGAAATTTCCAGAGACAGGGTTAGTCTCAATGGAACGGCCACCGGTGGGAGCTAGGGAATCAGAAATAAAGGCAGGAATTGGAGCAGCGAGAACGCAGGAAACGGCTCCGACGGCGAAGACAGTAAACACTGAAGGAGAGTAAACCATCGTTTGTATGTAGATTATGAGAAGTTTGAGAATTTGAACAAGTCGGATAAGTAAACCAGCGGCTTGTAGTGATGAGACCAGCTCTGAGGAAAAACGAACAGGCCAGGGCGTCCTTTATATACATCTTCCATCGTCAGGGTAGGAAAGTTATGCGAGCTTATGACTGCTTATATGATTCTTGATTCCGCCCGGATTCCACCTGCTGCGGTATAAGAATCAAAGATGCGACCAGGGCAAAGACTTGTTCATAGCTGTGCATGAGCTATATCCATCAGGCACTGCACTGCAACTTACCGCAACGAGGTTGCAGTGCGTTTTTTTGAATGTTGGTTTCAAATTTGCCATTCGGAGACCTATTCTCATTGAATGATTGAGCAATCTGCATTCCATGCAGTTAAAAGCCTGTAGTTTAAGTGGGCAGGATAGGACAAAGGGAGAAAGTAAGAGAGAAATCTGCGTCGGACCTATTAGGCTTAGTCGGAACGCGTGCGAAAGGCATATGCAGCGCTCCAATGGCCCAATGCATGAAGTCCTCAAACTGAGTCGAACAATTCAGGAGGGTGTTCAAGGGTGTTCAGAGTAGTATTCAGGGAGGGCCAGGATCCAAGGGACAATCAGAAAGTAACGCATGATAAATTTGCGCTTCGAGGCAACCACACATGAGGCGTTGTAATCTATGTATATACTTTACACAGCGACCTTCACGAGCCTTGATGTTTTTTTTCATTGTGTGTGTAGGGTAAAAGGGTAAAATAACAACAACGACAAGGCCCAGGAAATCAATGGTAAATTATGGTGAACAGATAACCGGAAACAGAACAGAGAATACGAGGAAAGGAAAAAAAGTGAATTAGTGATTGCCCAGAACAGATCAACGAGAATAAATTGGACTCACGCAAACCTTTCATAGTATGCATCAATCTAAATCATCACCGTAAAGATCAGACAAAGAGCGCACGCGATGGGGTGAGGGAATATGACTATTGGTAGAAAGTGGCTGACCAGAACCAATGTCGCTGCGCGCCTGATGAGGCGAGGGTGGATCCAAGGACATAGGGCTTCCGTGACTGACTCCACCCATGTTCGTATCAGGTTGGCTCTGAGGAGAATGAGGATTAGAAGAACCATGCATGTGCACATCAAGATGTTCGGTGGAATGAACATCAACCATAGCCACATCATCTTCCTTGGATCCTTTGGAACTCGGAGTGACTATTTTCGGGGCGTCGTGGCTGAGCCGTATTTTCTTCTTCAACTCCTCGATCTCAGTATTGATTGCTGTTGTCATTGGTTCTTTGCTCTTCTCCAGTGCCTCCTTAAGTTGCTTGAGCTGGCGTTCATCCTCCTCTTTCTGACTTTCATCGGCAGTACGTGGTTGATGAATGGTATTGGAAATCGGGGTGATACCCTGGACAGTGCTTGTATGACCATTGAGATTCTGCGAGGCGGGACTAGAGGAACCATCTCCGAAGTTCGTGGAGGGAGCGGTAGGCTGAGGACCTAGGACAGGCTGATCAAATTTGAAAAATGAGTATTTTTAAATTTATTTTGTCGACCATGATCGCAGTAAGAATGAGTCGGCTTACCTCAATAGTAGTAGGGACGCTCGAGTGGTGACTATTACCGGCCGAGTCTGTGTGTATAGGAAGGCCGTTAGAACTCGACAGCGTCGGGGCGACATTCTGCAAGGGGGGATCTCCTGGAAGGGAGTTCGAAGCAATAGGGGCGGCGAGGACGGAAGAAGCGGTCCCAACAGCCAATACTACAGCCAAAACGGAATGAGAATAGATCATGGTGTGGACCCGAACGATGCAGGAATTGCGAAAAAAAAATCAAAGAGGCGACCGGCGACTGTTGATCTGCGTGTGTGCGTGCGTAGCGTGAAGAGACCAGCTCTAGTGAGGGAATGAAGAAGTGCGGCCGTTCTTTTGTATCTTCTCAGTCAATGTGGACTGCAGTATTGAGTACAGCCGACGCCCTCCGACGCCCGCGACGGAGAGACTTTGATAGTCGTTGTCAAGGCCATATAAGGGAATTCTAGGGAGGGGTCCGGATGCCTTCCTAGACGTGGGTAAGTTATTTATGCGAGGGCAGTAAATATGTATAATCCATCCGATATCGTCCTTAGACTTCCCTGGACGAGTGCTGCGAAATCTCAGCGAAACATTACAGCATTACAAGGATCTGCAAATGCATGCAATGGCAGGTGTACAAAAATCGATCCGCAAATGTAAGAATCATGGCATCAGAGATACATATTCCATTGCGAGGAGAAGAATTCGGAGGGGAATCGAGACTTGCATGATGACTTTTTGAAGCCGCCGTTGAAAAAGAGATGGAGATTTCTTAGACTCGAGCCAATAGCTTCGGATGTTGACACTTTGGCAACCGGCGCTCAAAGGTGTCAGCGAAACAAAGTGATTCCGCATATCGCTTCTCAGCAGCAGACTGGTTCGAGTCTAGAGATTTCTTGATATCTGGATTGAGCATCGCGATGCAAAAGCAGGGAACTTACTTCAAAGTTCAAGCTTGTTGACCGTTTGACTATCATTATCCGGATGACCGAATCCAATTTTTGCCGGCGACGGAGGAAAGTCGGAGACTGTCAGAGATAGAGACTCATCGATCTCACGTGTCACTGGTCCGAGTCAAAACTTTTCTGATTTCATCTTAACGCGTCTTTCATGTCTAATATTCACGAGAAGGAACTCCAGGCAGACCTAAAATCCGGCGTCGAAAAACTCATGCGTGAAAACAATAATCTAAACTACACCGAAGCTTTATCTCGAGTCACGAAGGATATGCTAAAAAACAACCCTTTCGTTCCTCCAACTTCCGGATGTCCGATAAATGACCTGCCAAATGAGCTTCTTGCTCACATATTCTACGTTGGAATGGAGATGGAGGAAGAAGGTCCATCTGAAGATGAGCTTGAGGAGGAAGACGACGAGTATGAAGACGAGCTGGATTTGCTCGACTGGGATTCCGACGATGAAGGTGAGGAAAATCACACACCCGCTAACAAACGGAAGGATACCGGCAAGGGAAAGGCAGGTCGTGGCGAAGAACAATCAGAAAAAGAGGAGGAGGAAGAGGAAGAGGAGGCCGGACTACCTTTTCAGGTGCTTGTCAGCCATGTATGTCGACATTTTCGAGAAGTTGCCATCGGTGAGCATTATACCATTCTTTCTCATGCTGAATCTCAGATGTAAATATCAGAGAGTCCACTGCTGTGGACTACCCTGCGTTTTCAATTGGGAACGTCTCTAGACAAGGCAAAAATCTGGCTGGCGCGTTCGAAAGGGCATCCTCTCCAAATTGAGATCGATTGCACCAGTTCAGACGAAGAGGACGAAGAGGAAGTAATCGCCTCGTCCTCTCCAAATAATGTAACAGATCCCCCAGATAATGCATCCGAAAACGAGGGGTCTCCTCTAGAATCCGAACCTTCTTATCTTACCAAAGCACAAATTTCCGAGATTATGGATATTATAATCCCCGCCGTGGATCGATGGCGAATCTTCAGTGTCACCGCCAGCTACTACAACTCTATTCATCTTATACTAGAACGCTTGTCCAAGTGTTCCTCGGCTCCGCTTCTCGAGGTCTTCGAAATGTATCATTACGAAGACTGTGATGAATTCGATGCATTTTCACCACCCGAACTCAACACCAAATTTACGATCTTTGGTGGTGTTGCGCCAAAATTGAAATCGGTGGCTTTGTGGGGAGTCCACATTGACTGGGATACCTCTCTTTCCATTTTGAATGATCTACGTGATTTGGAGATTGCTTACCACGCTGATGACGTCCGTCCGTCCTTCGAGACATTCTCCGACATTCTCACTGGTTCGCCAGAGCTCGAGACTCTGTCGCTCTGTGTTTCCGGTCCAGCTGGCACTGGCCTAGATTGGGGAATCATGCCGATACATATTCCGTCTGTGAAAAGCCTCACATTGTGTCACCACGAGCCTGCCTATATTGAAGCGCTCCTTCCTCTGCTCCATGCCCCTAACGTTGTCGAACTGCTACTCGACTACGATTCCAATGACTTCAGTGACTTTGCTTTGCTTCTTGCCAAACCGCTTCCAGGGCGAACAAAATCCATTCTAGCCGGCTTGGACCACCTCAAAATCGGCGGCCTTCCATCGAATAAGAATGCCCGCCAATTGATGCTCGAGCAATTGGTCAACTTGAAGTCCATCTGTATAAATTGCGTTGGTGACGAGGAAGAATTTTTCGAAAGACTAATGGAACTCAAATCGACTCCTTCTGAATCTGGCACGACGCAGTCGGTGGTTTTCTGCCCACATCTCAATACCTTGATGACAACGGGGGTTGATGGAACGGCCATGAGGAAGTTTGTTGAGACGCGTAAGCGTGGTGGCGCACCGTTGTCGAAGGTGTCGATGAGTGAGGAAGATAATCTGGACGAGAAAGAAGAGAAGTGGTTGCGAGATCATCTGCAGGAACTTGATTTCTTCGAACCATCAGATTCAGAGGAAGAGATTGAAATGGAAATTGACGATATGTCGGATGATATGGATACGACGTGAGCAAAAGAGTGCGTTCGCCTTTTTTGTTATCGTGTAATTGGCGAATTGAAATGCCTCAACACATTAGATTTCACAAAAATAGAATATACAATGTGTAGATTACCAACGGGGGGAAGGGAGGGGAAGGGCCGCGTCCCGCGACTTCAACCTTGCTTGCCTCAAAACATCTGCGTTGAATGAAGACTTTGGGCTGTCGATGGCCGGTCGATGGCAAGAAAAGTAGTTTCAAATATAATTCCAGGACAATGCCCAAGGACAGGTCAGGGACAGGCCGGGAATGCCTGTGGCCAGAAAGTGGGGAAACCTTGACAAGCAAGGTAACTGATCTTACATATCTCGGCATTCGTTCTCAATTCTTGAATTTTGAGTACAATGATAATACAATCTTAATATCTAAACGCTAACACAGGACTCGCTCCTAAAAATGCTAATTTTACTCTTTCCAAATTTCCGCCCTTTTTCCTTCAGTTGGTGAATACTTGTGCCATGTCGTAAGTCTTTGCCCTGGACTAGCTCTGTCGGTCCCGCTGCTTCGAGTCATCCGCTATACCTCGAGATATACATAATCAAGTCAAAGAATAGAAACAGCGCTAGCGATCCCCATGTTTGAAACCAACAATCTACGAATCCGAGCCGTACGCAATACCGATTTCGAAAAGATCCACGACCTTTGGAACGACCTACGCGTGCAGAAATCGCTCTCTCCCTCCTACGTTGTTCCTCTAGGCAACAAGTTTGAAGAAACACTGCGTACTTCGGCTGCCGATGCGCTACTCTACTGTATCATAGAGACTAAAGATAAAGGCGACTGGGTCGGCTTCGTGAACCTCTTCAATGGGGATCAGAAGAACCGAGACGCGATGCTTGGTTTAGCTCTCTGCCCAGAATTTTGGGGCCGAGGATATGCGACCGAGGTTTTACGCTTTGTCGTTGATTACGCGTTTCGAGAGCTGGCTCTGCATAGAATCACTTTGAACGTCTTCGGAAACAACGCAGCAGCGATCAAGGTGTACAAAAGAGTGTGAGCTGGCGCGCTAGATATTTTGAAGACGAACTAAGAGAATCACATCTGATAACACAGGGGTTTTGTTGAAGAGGGTATACAACGAAAGGCAAATTGGTCTGGCGGGAATTGGCAGGATGTCGTCTTGATGGCAATACTGGATGAGGAATGGGCCGCATCGAAAGGAGACCATGGTGAATGAAACCTGAAATACCAAATTGATGCAAAGTTTCCCTACTACTTGCGGCACAAGGCGAGACTGTCTATGTAGAGCAGATACAAAATCGATTATTGCAACACACATTCTGCATTCGCGGATGAAGTGTGAACACAACGAATTTCTTTCTTCTAGATTCGTGATCCACACTCTGTCCCGAATCGAGCTGCCAGTGAATCGAGCATGTCGCAGCCAAATCTCACAGTGACTGGTTATGATTGTGTTGGACTTGAAGCTTGAAGGCCTATAGAGTTTGTTCCTTGATGGTGGTTCAGTACTCGTGCAAGACGCTCAAAACTGACCGTCTACAATTCCGAGCTGGTACTTGATGCCAAACTGACCTTGAGAACATGCAAAAAAGCGATTGAAGTACCGTCGCCAGAAAATGTTATCAAACTCTACATGCTATTTTCCTCAGACTCAACGCCCGGACGCCAAGGAAGAGCTCCTCAACAAGCCCAAGATCACTCTATGTTGCGATAGGCAGTGAGTTCGTGGGCTTCAAGACTTCAAGACGCCAACTCCAGAATTTTGAAGCCGCGGATGCGCCACAGAGATTCAGATTATGACTGTACCTTACGAGAGCTTGCTTTGCGTATGTAGAATCACTCTGGAGGTGGTTCGACTGATAGAATAACTGGTTCTAGCTGACAATTTGCATTTCCAGTGGGTTTGTCAGAGAGGGAAGGGCAAATTGAAATTTGAATGTCATCTGTAATAAATGATCAATGTTTTCGGGAATATTCCCACAAACAATATTGGTCCGACGCTTTCAAGTTCTACACTTTCTGTCATTGTCCACTAACTCCAGTGACCACTCTTGCTCTTTATATAAATCCGATTGCTTTTCGCATCTATCGCTTGACTGTTGCATAAAGGATATTGTCATACTCTGCGACTTCCATGATAACTATATCAAAATGACTGGCACCATTAATGTTTCGGTCCTGTCATGGCGGATGATGCGGTCTCTGCATTCAACTTCAAGACATTGTGGACTAGCGCCTGAGATCTTGAGACCTGAGGCCAGTGAGGGTTCAGGTAAGTGTCCATCTATCGTTGCAGTCATCAATCTGACCAGAACCAGCCAGAATTCACGTAAATATTAGGCTAGACTGGAATAATATTTCACCTCGTGTATCGCCTCAGTTTTTGCTTTCATCTCTATCAAATAAGATGGTCGCAGGATTGCTGGAAAAGCGTCTCTCTCTCGGTGCATCAGGCTCCCGACAGCCAAAACCGACGATCCCTAATCAACTGGTAGTCTAAAAGTTTTAATCCGACTTACATCCATGACAGACTCTGAGGTAGTTTTTTGAAGTTTCCTTTCTGGATCTAGCCAGGGCGCACTGTTCACAAATTATTTCGAACATTATCCTCAACCAGCGCAAAGTCCTTGACCCCGATGAACAGTTATTGCTCAATTCATAGTATGTTCCTCGACAATAAACGTTAAAAGACCTTAATTTTTATGTAATCCCGAGTCTGGGAGTGAAAGGCATTATCCGTTTGAATCTCATTATCGCCATGTATGCATCTATTCGGGTCAGTTTCTGCTGAAAGCTGACAGATGCTCAGAATCTTCCTTTTACAAATGGTATCAATGTGCTTCTATTCGCCGTTTTACATATTAACCCTATGGATTGTTCATCGTCCTTGGCCGGTCCTTGGTGTTCATACTTACCACTATGTCCTCCCCACGTAGAGTTCTGCCTCAGCAATCGCAGCCCCGGACTTTCAAGCCGTCCCTCAAGTCCTTGCTTCTGCTACCGGTGAGATTGATTTACTTCAACCTATCGATGAATTCGTCCTGACATTCATAGTTCCGAATATGTAATCCTCCCCCCTCTGTTGGAAAAGTAAGGTCGTGTAGTGGTACGTTGAAGTCAGATTGTCTTTCTGATTTGGTTTTGACCGATTTCCACAGTGACTCCAGTGTTCGATGTTCGACTTGAGGATATCTTGGAAAGAAAACATCTTCCTCCACTGGGTGAGTACTGCTTTTTTTGTGCTTCGATTTTCACCAACAATCACGTGTATTAGGTTTAAAAGATTTCGAGGTTCGTTTGAACTCTGATGATAGAGTTGGATCGCATCTGACAGTTCGTTCAGGAATGGTTGCTCTATGTCGAGCTTTCCCCAGAGAATCTGTGAGTCTAGGAATATCCTATGCGTCCTCCTAATTCCTACTTAGGCTATCACATTCACATTAGCTACTTCATTCTCTGGTTACGTGAATACACAGTCCGATATCGACGCTCGAAGCACTTACGCGACGAGGCACGTCAATATGGCTTAGAATGGCCGACCTACTCTTCGCGGCTGGCCATGTTTTACGCTCGTGCGAAACAAACCTTCTTTACTCCAAATTCACACTACGAACTCAATCTTCCATCCGATATGCTTGCGCCATTCCATATGACCAACTCCTCTCCTCATCCAGATCCTGCCGTTTTTGATCAAGTGGCAATCGAGACTCAGAGGATGCTCAAGGAAAGCTTGCAGCGCTTCGTTTCCGCTCAATTTAATAACGTCGGTAACAACCGTGTTATTTGTGGCTTGATCGGAGGTACTGTGTTTTGCCTCGTTGGCGCACTACTGCCTATCATCTACAACTTTACGATGGGGCAATCGAGATGGTCACGCCTCTCAGCGTTGCCCGGTCTCTGGTTAGGATTGTCAGTGCTATTCGCCAGCTTGCATGGAGTCTGCCTGGGAGTTTACATCTTTGGCGATCTCAGACAGCTTCGTAGATTTGAGCTGAGCCGACCGCCTATTTCCAAGCCTCAGCCGTATCGCCCACGACCGGTCATATCTTCTCCAATCACTAGTCTGCCTGTGTCCCCCACGCAAATCACATCCATTGATAATTATACAGAAGACTTTGGTATCTTACCTCCTCCACCTGCCCATACACGCTTCAGCTTTCCTTCGTCTCATCATTCTGTGCCTTCTGTATATTCTCCGTCTGCCTCATCCTCGGATCTCTCTTATTCGGGTTCGGATGGAATGATCCATATATCTCCTGCATATTACGACCCAGAACCTATCGAAGGACCAGCAACATCCCCAGGCGGTATAATTGCTCTCCCTGCAAAACAGAAATCAGCTTTTGACGACGACGATGATGATGAAGAAAATAGGCCACCTTTTGGTGCCACGGCAGCCTTCATTCATCCATTTGATCATTTCGAGGACGATGACTATGATCTTAATAATCCGAAAAGGCCATTAGTTCAAGAACGGCAACGCGTTTCTTCTTTTGACTTCGATGCCCTTCCTCCTCCTCCGGCAGCTCGAGTCCAGCCACGATCGCCGCCGCCGCCGCCGCAACCGCGACGTCCTCCTTATCCGATCCACTCTGATTCACCTAAGAGTACTTCATCCCTTCAACTCACTCCGAGCATCATGGTTATCCAGCCAGAACAGGAAACCCCTGATAAGGAACTCACCCCAAAGGGTTTCATTCGTCGTATCCAGTCCCGATGCAACATTAACAAATGGCTTGTCATGACCAGTTCAAATTCGACCACTGATCTGAACGAGAAGGTCCCCGATGACCTTGAAAAGGCCGAATATGAGCGATCCAACTTTCCTCGTCCTCATCCTTCTTTGCAACGTGATCAAAAAACGAGTAATCTCAAAAGACAGTTCAAGATGGTGAAAGCAGTCCCTGCGTTCGCTTCGCCTCTTACTCGTGTGCTTAGTCCGGTTGTAATTCGGGGTCAGTGGGAAATTGTTATGCGGTCGATGATCATCGCATGTTTCGTTAGCTGGTTCACAATTGGGATTCTTCTAGCAGTTCCTGTGCCGAAGACCCACTGAAGAAGGCTAGCTGTCGGTTGCCTTTCCTCATCCGCACCTTCGCTATCTGTTGTTTTCACCGTTGTCCGTTTACGTGTTCATGGATATTGTTTTCATCGCAGTTTGCTCGTCGCTCTTTTACAATACTTTGTATCTCCGACCATCTAAACGCTCGTTCTCGTCGCTTTTCATTTAAATTTGTATTTGGCTAGTCTTTTATCGCAGATATGTGTGTAACACAGTACTTATACAGTACTCAGTCGTTCTTTAATTACATGTAAAGTTTTCAATAAGAATCTAGAGGTACATGTACCTTCTCGTTATTTTCTGCCTATCCATCCTGAGACGCATTTCAGGTCCACTTGAATAAGTATGAGCGCAGCTGTGGGAGTCGTGTTCAGGTAGGGGGTACATAGAAACATCTACATGTAATTAATTTACTCACATGAACATGGACGGACAAACGAAATCAACATGTCTATGATATAAGAAACTTACGTGGTCCGGAAACCCAATTATCCAGAAGGAGGAAGGGCCAAGAAACAGGGAAAAGTAAGTACCACCACCAGGAGATCGGGTTGACTATCTTAGAGACAGGAGATTCCTTAATTGCTGTCCATCTCCTCGTCCGACGATGGGCTACGACGATAGCATTTCGAATGGTGGTACGATCGTAAGGTGGATTTAAAACTGCCTGTCGCAATGTTTGTATTCCATGAAGAATAACGAAATCTGCGATATCTCCTCGCTGGGGGTATAATTCAAGCGGAACATTTGTTTGCCCTATTGCGACTTTGGACGTTATTGTGACGGATTTCTGAGCGAAATTAACGGGCATGAGACCGAAAGCATTGAGTGAGCATTGACATGTCGAAATAACAGGGACATGATGTTACCGCTAAAGTCTGTATGTCTGTTTTTGTTGCAGCCTGGAAAATCGCGGCACCAAAGGTACACAAAGCCAGAGGATCTGCAGATCCTTGAGGAGTGAATGCGTTTTCGACATTGTTAACACTCATTGCGATTTGTATATCGTATTTGTCGAAAAGGTGTGGCACCCGCAACGTACTACGAGGAGCTCCAAGCGGCTGGCCAGCTTGCAACCTCCCTTGCATGTACATATCAGAATTAGGCAGTCCTACAAAGGTTATGGGAAGGTCCCCGATGGCGTCCTGGAGGTGCCGCCATTCTTTTGACGTGAATAACTGCAAGCGAGTCGCATGCCCGATAGTAATGTGTCGTCCGAACAATTCTGGGCCATGAGATTTCCAGGCAGGACAGTACTTTCTAGCCTGTTTGATGACCTCGTATATCAATGGTTCAGAATCAGGATCGAGGTTATAATCAAGATGAAAATCTATAAGAGTCAGAGAGGTATGAGACGCGAGCTCGAAGATTAACTCGATATTCTTCTTGGCTTGTTCGATTGTAGGCTCGACATATGGTGCGGAGCCGACTGCCTCTACACCCTCTCGCTGAACCGCTTCCGCTAGTAATTGGAAATTGGATCCTGGTTCTGCATCTTCTGCACTTGAGAACAAAGCTTCTTGCGCAAAAACTGGGAACGATATACGACTGAGCCATGGCCATAAGCCCAATGAACGGAACGCACCAGCGATTTGGATGTGGCAAGCTAATCGAGCTTCCTCTTTCAAATGAAGTGCTACATCCAAGCCAGAGAAGCCAACTAGGTCATCTATTTCGACGTGAGCGCGCATCGAAGTAACCCCGCAATCCACACTTTCATGAATGAGCTTCCGACCACGACTCAACAAGTCCTCTTTTTCCAAAGGAAACCTCGCTTTCGCAGTTCCTGTCACGCTCATTGCTTCTTTGAAATCCCTATAGAACTCGTAAGTTCAAAGTTGGGCCACATAGCTTGACCTCGCACCCAGATATCAAATCACATCGATCCAAGATAAAGCACTTGTCAAGATGGATGTGAGAGTGACACAAACTGAGTTTTGTCAGGTAGGTTGTTTCCCATCAAAGACCAAGTGGATGGCACACACGAAGGAAGCAAGATCCCGCCTCTTGCATCGATTTCATATCGGGCAAAAGAAATCGGGAGGTATTCTCCCTCAATATATGGAGCGACTCTAACCACATTGCCTTCGCGACATTCGACTGACCATAACTTGCCTGCATTGAAGGGTGGGTCCGGATACGCCAGATGAACGTTTGTAATGAAAAGAATTTCAGCGGCCGTTGTAACTTTTGGTGTTGTAGATCCTGACAGAGGAGCTCTTTGACGTCCCATCCACCGCATCTGGGAAGCTCTGGGAAGTGAAGAGTCGGAGTTGTCCCACTCCTGCGATAAACCACTGAGAAAAAAAACTAAAACCTGGGAACAAATATCACAACAGATTTCTGACTGATCTTTTCCGTTTTGAAGCGGTAGGCGAAAACGTAGGGCAGATAGATTGTTACACGGCTCCGTCGAAATACTGTACATAAGTACTTCAAATTTGAAAACATGCTTGAACCTGCTTGGACATGCTTGGACGTCGACCAGGCTCTGAGGTCGAACCCGGACCGAGATGGACCGAATGCCTGTTAGTTTCTGCGTAATTTGCCTATATTTGGCTGTTGTTGGGGTCCGATTTTCCTTGTTTCCCATCGAAATTAACAAAGCCAAACAGGGGCGACGCCTACAGGATACCGGAGCCTACAGACAATGTAAGAGGCAACAAGGAGATCGTTGCAACGTTCAGCGCGAGCATTAAGCAGGAGAGCAAGCGGACACATAAGGCAAACCGGGCCGAGAAGAAAGCCATGCATTGCGATATGGAGTAAGACTTAATCCTACTCAATCAAATCAGTCCGAGAAACCTAGCCAAGCAAGGTGATTATCGTGAATACTATTCCAGTTCGAAAAAAAATCGAAAACTGGTTTCATAAAAATCTCTTTCACTATGAACAATCACTGTTGCTTATATCATGCTATTCGAAGATCTGTCCTTTCTCAAAATATATCTTCTCAGCCAAGTTAGTCAAATTTCGGTTGGTTTCCGAATCAATTCAATCATCAATTTGGTAGATAAACCGGTCGATGCCAATCTTTTCCTCCCCACAATTGGCAATGGCAAGTTGCGATAATTGCAAGAAAGGAGCTGTTCTTCCTGGCGAACCTACGGGTACGATGGTGAACGGCGCGTATCTCGCTGCAGGACCTGAAGGAAACACTTCTCGTGCCATCATCCTTCTCACAGACATCTTTGGTCTGCCTCTCATCAATTGCAAAATCATCGCGGATAACATTTCCAAACGACTACAATGTGATGTCTGGGTGCCGGATCTGTTCAACGGTCCGTTCCGTACCATGAATTTGTTATTTTGGCCTCACCAATATACCAGGCAAACCTCCTATCACGGTCGACAAGCTCAAAGTTCCCGAGCGAGTAGGAGAGAAAATAAAATGGTTTTCTCTCATCATAAACATGCTGCCTTCCGTCCCAGCAATGTTGTTCAACCGTCCCACCGTGGCCTACCCGAGGGTGGAAAATGTGAGTGAACAGTATGACACATACATAGTATTGGTCAATCAATATTGAATCTGGTACATCAGTTCGTCAAGGAACTCCAGAACAAGAAGGAATACGGAAAGTTGGGAGCCGTTGGGTACATTCCCTGTTTCTGTTATGCATAAGAATGTACAATGAACTGTTGTCAGATACTGCTTTGGAGGCACCCTCGCAGTCACTATGGCGGGTACAGACTTACTGAACAGCGTCGTAATTTGCCATCCAGGAAGCGTTACTGAAGAAGCAGTACAGGCCATGAAGGTCCGTGTGCCTATCGTCCTGTTCACCTTTGATGCTCATGTTTATGTCTTTTTACAGGTTCCAAGTGCGTGGGCTTGTGCAGAAGGTGTGTACTTCTTTGTATCGATCACCGGTCGTATTTAAATCGTTCCAGAGGACATGGGCTTCAAGCCGGAAATTCGGCGCAAGGCAGAAGAACTTCTGGCTTCACGCCAAGGTAAAGATAATTTCGTTGAATATGAGTTTAAGGACTACAAAGGTGAGCTTGACTCGACATCCCTTCGTAGTATCATCTTATTGATAAGAGGTATGTGTCAGGAACTGTCCATGGGTTTGCCGCGAGACCGAACTTAGCATACCCAGAGGTCAAGGCTGGATACGAAGGCGCGTTTGAACAGACTATTGAGTGGTTCCAGAAGACGCTTCCTGTTTAGTTTGTTACTTCCCTTATGATATCAACTTGTTCCAGTTATCAAAATAACAATAACATGAGTAAGGTGATTGCTCTGCCATATAGCTTCTGATCAAGTGTTCACGGCAAGCAAAGGGTGAGTAGAACGAAGAACTTACTTATAGGTGGTACAGATTTGAAGGTTCTAACCTGCACAGTCTTGTCTGCTCTTTCATTGGACGAAAAGAAAAGTTCGCTTCTTTCACGCTCGCAGTCTTCAATGGCACTGACCATGCAACTAAGTCTGTGTTCGATCTTCAACTGGCGGTACTAACCTATCTACTGTTACGAGTGACCTCGAGGCCCGCATCTCATGTATTTCTATTAAGAGAGTATGGGGGCCCAGGCACATTGAAAGTGGAAATTATCACAGCTCGGACAATAATTAAATAAAGCCATTATGAATTCACCAAGATATGTTGTTATCAGTGCTATAACATGTATTGAAGCCTTTCTATACCTTTTCTAATTTATTGTGGAACATTTGCTTCCTATCTCCGACACTGAGTATACACTAGGTTTCTCCAGGTTTCTCCCTGTTTCCTGAGTTCAGGCGACTCCCATGATGGGCTTTGAATGGCATATACTCCTCGGACTGGACAAAAAATGTCTAGATGGGGATTATATTATATGTGTGTCTTTTTTGGTGTATGTATGTAGGACTAGTTTACATTCGCATTGTATGAGGAGGTCGCGAGGACAGAGAACAACTGAGCTGATTAGGCGTGTGGGAAGGATTAGTTGTTAGTTGTAGAAGTGGAGGGTATACTGTGGCTACAGATGATATGCATCGAACGGGGCCAAAATGATTCCTGAATACAAAAAGAAAATTACCAAGAGGATAAATAGTGCCAATTAGAACCGAACTGAATCGAATAACTGTTCAGGTCAAGACTGGATCCTCCAAGAAGCCGTTAAGTTCGTAGATGGGAAGGTACACGTTGAGGTGCATTATGACCACTCGGGAAATTTTGTCTGTCAGATTACGAATCTCGTCAACAAGAGGTTCCATGCCACTAAAGAGAGGCAGGGTATAAGGTTGGCTACCTTGGCGTAAAGGAGCGGAGGATTCAATGGCGGAAGAAAAAAGCTGGCCGGTAGTACACTGACGACCAGGGTAGGCTTGTGCCACGACGCCGGTAAATACAACCTCGTGGAGGCGGTCATAGATTACCGAGCACAAGGGTGAAGCGATATTAATATTTTCCACGACCCAGCGCCGAGCGACGTTGAGTACGCGAGTGTCAGGAGGTGAAGCAAGGTTATACGAGGAAAGCGAGTAAGGTGCATGAGGAAAAGGTGAGGACGGTGAAACAGGTGACTCGTCTTCAGATATTGGGGATGTGGGAGGCGTGGTAGCAGGCGAATTTAGGGTGGAGGAGGATGCAGAGGGTGAGTTGTCGAGCGTGGTCTCACGAAACTGCTGTGCGCGCTTGGCAATGTGTAGTACAACATTTTCCTTGAAGTCAGCCGATCTCGTTCCCTCCGCATCAGCCTGCCGAAAACCATACAACATTGCATGACCCGGCCTTGCTGAGTTGATTATTGCTATTTCATTTTTTATTTTGAGTAGTGTCGCGTCGTCTGGTTTAGACCGAGAAGTCATATCATCCCATGCAGAAGAGTATACCAATTGTCGGAAGAGTAAGAGGAGCATGTATGAAATGACTATGTCGTCAAGATCTTTGGAAAGTGAGCGCAGGCGCATTCTATCGAGGTGAAGAGTTTCCGGATAATCAGTGATCAGAGTTGACGGATTCTGGAACTTTGCCCCGCTAGTTGCTCCTGGGGCATGAAAGACTAGATCAATTACTCCTTTGAGGGCGCAAAGGTATATTTGCCGGTTATGTCCACTGTTGCGAAAATCGATTTTATCTGGAAGGTAGAGGGGATGACAAATATGTGAGGAACGAGACAATAAGGTGGCCGCGCTGGATTTGAGCCACTGTCGGGTTATGTGACAAGTCACAAATTTTGCTTGGAAATTTTGAAGCTCGTATACGGCCGAGGTTCGGGAGATGCTAAGGCGTAAGCTTTGGAGTTGGTGGTTGGCGATATCCTTATGAAAATGGCAACGAATGAAAGCATGAGCATGAGCTTGTGTAAGACGAAGTGCTTTTGAAGGGATTCATTTACCAGTTTCATGAGTTCGAGGATTTCTAAACACGTCCGAAGGGCATTCACACCTTCGGCTTTGGTACCAGGACCACCTGGTTTACATGTCTCTGCAGCACGGACCATATCCTCAACGGCACTATCCCTCATGGGCGCGCAGTGTCCCTTGAGAAGGACACCGATGGCGCGAAGAAGGCTGGACAGGTCAAAGAGATTGTGTCTGAGTTCTTGTTCAATCAATGCTGGGTCGATGATCGAACGGATATAGTTTGCCTGAGTGGAATGTTCTTCCATTTGAGCCTTGAACGAGTCAGGATTTACGTACATGCCAGATACGCTCTGCAAAGGCTGAATAACGAGCAGCAAAACCTCAAGAAACTCAGAGAGAAGAGGTCTTATACGAGATGGCGACCGAACGGTCATTACCTGAAGAGCCGGGCAATAACCAATAATGGGATGGAGGGGAGGTATTGGAATCTGGTTGCAAACGCAAGCAGGAGTCATCATGGGAGCTCCGCTTTTGTCGACGGAAAAGCAGGTGCAACCGGATTCGACTTCGCGGATAACTGCAGTCCAGTAGGCTTCAGATAGCTGCCGTTTACGACGACTATATGTTGGTCTGAACTGTAGGCCATTGTCAAACATAAGGTCGTGCCCTGAAAGTGATTGTTGTAAAGAGTGAACGTAACAAGAGAAGTTATCACTCACGCAGTTGGGGACTTCTAAGAATAACATCTAAGTCCAGTTCTTTCAATGTATTCCTACTCACATATGGATACGTAGAAGGTACACGGGCCATCGCAACATCGACGGGTACTGGTAAATCCAAAGCAGCAGAAACTTCAATGGTAATTATAGGCGAAGGCCTTTTTCGTAGATGAAGAAGGGAGCCTGAAAGAGGACCTGGAGCTGCTTTACTGACAATACCATGGTCTTCAATATCGTTACCGAGACGATCTACAGGAGGTCTGGACGGTGAATGACCTTTTTTCATGTGACGAGTAAACCGGTCAGGACGATGCAAGCGTGGTCTTTTGAAGGAATAGCGTGGAATATTAAGAACCTGCTGGCAATCGTCGACAACGGCGGGTTCGATATCTTGTACGTCGTCAGGTACTTGTTTTCGCTTCCTCGGGAGGCCATGGGGAGGATCCATGGGAAGGGGGAAGGGAGCAAGGGACCGAACGCAGGTATAGATTCCATAGTTTTATAAGTACTGTAAGGGGCATCGGACACATGTTTTGTGCCAGGAAATAGCGGGATTATTGATTGTTGATTTGGGAAGAACCACGCGAGCAATTTCCCCACGCGTATTTCTTTTTCCTTCCTTCTTTGATGGGTGCGTATCTCCGGTTTATCAGGGTTTATCTCGGCTCATGCCTCAAGCAGGCCTCAGCGCAATCATTGAGTGAACCGATTTTGTCCTCTTCCAGAAAGTTGTCGGTTCCTGCAGTTCTTTTTGGCCATCTGCCGCTAGATACCCTGAAAGTACTCAGGCTTTTGATCTGATCGTGAACCTCCTGGCTGTCTCTGGCTATTTGCTTTAGCAAACCTGAAGATCAGGTCCAATGGCGCAATCTTCAACCCGAGCTCTTGCCTGCTCTTGCTGTCACTTACAGACTCCCGCAGTAAAATCTTCGGAGAAATTACCTGCAGGGACCCAACGTCGAAGACTCGCTCATTTCAGCAATCTCAACCCGATAACACTGTCGACAGCGTATCTGTCTCGTTGTAATTGGAACGCCACAGCTCAATGTTTCCGCTGTGTCAGAGGCTCATTCGAGCTTGAACTTGTTTTTTTGTTATTCAAACAACAAGTTTGGAAACTAGTTTGATTTTGTGCTCCTGATTGGAATTTACAGAAACAATTCCAGCATGCATGTCTTGATAGATCAACGTGTAAGTAATGTATGTGTTTCTCTAATTGAGCCAATGTGATCTTTCCATTGTTCAGATCTTGCTATATATGTAGTAAGTGCAACTCGAATTCTTGGTTCTTCCACCCTCCCAGGACTTGCATTCCAATAACATCAGAGCCCTCATTTCTCAAGTAATACCGATGAGCTATTGAGGATTCATGGATTCATGAACTTTACAGCCTCATGTCCATGAGGAGAACAAATTTCCTCAAAGGCCACTTATCGTGATATCCTACAGAGCTCGGCAGCTCCAATCTCTTTTGCTTTCGGATCCGGTGCCTTCGATATAGGTGCCTTGGTGCGCCAAGAGGCAAGCTGATCCGGTGTCTGTCTCTTGCTGTCTCTGTTGCAAGTATCTGACGCCTACTCAATGTTCATCACTTTCATCAAAGAGCACAAGTATCGAACCGGTTCATCAATATTCATACAACCCTCGGACAATTCAGCGATATGGGATGAATTATCATTCTTAGGTCCAAACAACATCAAGCTACATTTGAACAGTGACTTTCCAAGTTTTCTCTATGCAGGTCAGTCACGTCGAGAGGGGGGGAACTAAATTTATTCGGACATCGCCACCGAGCTGTACCCGAAACACGCTGGAGGCAATTCTCTTCTAGATAGGTTCCTATAACAAGGCTCTTTTCGTATCGTTGTCAACTATACACCCTTATACACCCTAGCTTAAACTTCTGTCCGCTGGCAACGGAACGGCATATTAAAATTCACTTCTGACATTTCGCACAGATCCCCCCTCCGAATTAAAGACTCTCAAATAGACAACATTGTTGGATGGCTCTTCTATTAGCTCTCCCTGCAATGCCAGTCAACTTCCAACACCAAAACTGCTAGTTGTGTCCGCCGCAAAACTCCAAAAAGACCGGGTCTGAGGAAATCAACCTTTTCAGCGGAAGGTCATAATCATTATTCCGGGGACACGAGGAGAAATACCAAGTAAGTCAAATGTTGAAACTACTAGTGACGGGAATTAAGGGGGTAAGGCAGGGGGATTCAAGAAATGCTGAGTGCAAACAAACCCGGAATGTACGAAGTCCTTGAACAAGAAGGTTGGCGTCGACATGTTCTATACCAACGATGACAACACTACGCATCAATGAGTTTTTCTTCTTTATGTTCCTCGGCCACCGCCGCTGCTGTAGGCTTTTTCGTCGGTTTGCGACCATAGAATTCAGCAATGATCTTGGGGTTAATCCGATTGAGCTGCTCCTTCGGGAAGATACGCAGAAGCGACCAGGCAAGGTCAAGAGAGTCGAAGATGGTCCGTGATTCATAAGCACCTGTACCAAACCATGAATACGTACTCTTCGTAAATCGGGATACAATAGTACGAACCTTGGCCCACAAATTGATGCTCGAACTTGTCAAGGAATTCGAGTGCTAGCTTATCTTCTGAAGATAAAGCTTCTTCGCCAACGACGGCTTTCATTGCGGCAGCATCGCGACCAATAGCGTACTTGGCATACTATGCAAACACGAAAATGGGAAGAACAGGAATCGTCATTTCATTTGAACTTACCAGTTGATTTGATACATCCCCATGATCTTTTCTGGTAAGCTTCTCGCCAATAGCACTCTTCATCAAACGAGACAACGAGGGGAGCACGTTGATGGGAGGGTATATTTGTCGGTTATGTAGTTGACGATCGACGAAGATCTGGCCCTCAGTAATGTAACCAGTCAAATCGGGGATAGGATGTGTGATATCTAAGAAGATTAATTAGCAGACACGAAACTACAACCAAGACAAATAACGTCACCGTCATTAGGCATGGTAAGGATAGGAATTTGGGTGATAGAACCGTTCCTGCCCTCAACACGGCCAGCACGTTCGTAGATAGTAGACAAATCAGTATACATGTAACCGGGGTAACCACGTCGACCGGGCACTTCTTCACGCGCAGCAGAGACCTTGTTAGGTGGTCAGCTTAAACTACGCCTATATGCAATAAAAGTTACCTCTCGCAAGGCATCAGCATAAGAAGACATATCCGTCAAGATGACCAAAACGTGTTTCTCAAGTTGGTATGCATAATATTCAGCAGTTGTGAGGGCCAGACGAGGGGTGATGATACGCTCAATTGTTGGGTCATTTGCCAAATTCAAGAAAAGGGTCACTCGGTCAAGACTGCCGTTGGATTCGAAATCCTCCTTGAAGAAACGCGCAGTTTCCATATTGACACCCATTGCAGCGAAGACCACGGAGAAATTATCCTCATGGCCATCATGCACATCCTTCGTGGGCCGTTTGACCAAACCTGACTGTCGGACTATTTGTGCAGCGATCTGGACAGACCTTAATTAGTGCAGACTCTACCGATGAAAGAGGAATCAAAAGGACCTCATTGTGCGGCAAGCCTGCAGCTGAGAAGATAGGAATTTTTTGGCCCCGGGCGATGGAATTCATGGTATCAATAGTGGAGATTCCAGTCTGAATCATTTCTTCGGGATATATACGTGAGAAGGGATTGATCGGGGATCCTGAATAGGCGAATTAATGGGTGCAAATTGCGAGAAAAGTCGGAGATCGTTGCCTCACCATTGATATCCAGATAATCTTCTGCAAACACCTTAGGACCATTATCAATCGGGTTGCCCGAACCATTGAAGATTCGACCCAGCATGTCTTCTGCCACAGGTAACTTCATGCTGCTTCCAGTGAATTCAACGTGGGTAGCCTTGACGTCAACTCCAGAAGTACCCTCAAACACCTGAACAATAGCTTTCTTCCCTTGCACTTCGAGTACTTGACCACCTCGTTTGCTTCCGTCCGGTAAAGTGAGCTGCACAATTTCATTATATGAGGGGAACTAAGGAGTAAATGGACGGTAAGCTATAGGTGTTACGATTCTTCTGGATCGATTGCTCACTTTGACGTTGTCAAGAACGACGAGGGGTCTTGACACAAACACACATTCAAGAAGTTGCTGGATGCGTGAAGGTAAATGCGCTCACCCATTGATAGCAGACACAGTACGATAATCTATTGTCAGTGTCAGCGACCAAATTATGAGACAAATACTCAATTTACGAACCGAGATGCGGTTGAACACGGTATTCCCTTGTCACCGCTGCAGCGCTAATGGCTGCCATCTCTTGGTCACTCATTCGAGGGTCATTAACCATTTTCGAGACGTCCTGGACGTGCACGGTCTAACGACGCAATAGATGTAAAGGATGAGAGAAGCGCGCGCGTAGATCCAAAATAGCAATACTTTCACACAATCACTAACTACCATCAATAAGCATTATTTTTTCGATAACTGAGCTACAAATTCGCCAGAGCAGTAAGTAAATGGCTGGAAACACTATTTGCTGCCTCTGTGACTTCACCGATATTGATAGATGACCTAAAAAATCAATAAGGATGCTCCGGTATATAACGTACTTCTGAGAAGTTCTGCTCACCATTCAGTCTCCAGCAGGAGGTTCTCTACCTCTTCAGTGTCTCCAACGAAATCCATACTCTGCAATGATATGTACAGAAACTCTGCGGTCTCACTACGAACACTGGGATATTGATGAGACAAAAAGCTCGGCAGGATTTCCACGCATGATTTATACAATTCTCTAAACGACAAAAGGTGTACCACACTAAAAAATATGAATAGACTTATATTTTATTGGCAAGACACACTTACACCTTCATTGATTGGTGCAACCTCTTGATGTTCTTGATACGACCAGGATACCTAGATACCATAGAGAACAGTCGCCGCAAACTGAAATACTCGTGAAAGATGTTGATTAGAATTCGAAGACTAACTCACAACTGAATTCCCTCGTCGGCTTCTTCAAGAAGACGGAATGCATCTCCGTCGAATAATATATTGAAAACTTGGAAGACAGGAATTACAACAGAATTTGCCGCGGAATTCGCGTTTGCATAATCAAGAAGATCATTCGCTATGCTCAGCAGATCATATCTATGTGGCTCCGTTGTTCGTAGGGGTAGTGACCGTACATATGACACCAAGTTTGCAGACACGGGGCGGTGCTGGAAATAAAATCATGAGATGATTGGTAAAAAAAGATTTTGACCGTCGTACCGTGCTATCGGTCAAACTCCCAACACTAGTGATAAGTCCAAGGAGGACAGGTTTACGGTAAGTCTCCACGTCCAAAATTTTTACGGCTTTGGGAAAGAGCCAATTAGCGTCATTCCATCCAGTTTCCTCGCTAGAAGAAAATCGATCATCGGGCCATAAATAGACCAACCTCAAAACACTCACCCGGTGACAAACAACCCTTGAAGAAAATCTGACCGGTGTATAATCCAACGATCCGAATTATCGACATCCGGGGGAGATAGCGAGAGCAGTTTAGTAAAGGTTCGTCCAGATTCTTGTCGTACGTTGTCCAGACGTTCAACTCCCTGTTTCAGTATTCCCCCTATACAATCGTGATATTTGAGCGGAGGAAGATAGCTCTCAAAATGTACTATGTGCTTCGCCCTGGCCATTAATGTTTCAGCAATAGTACCTAGTGCATTGACACATGCAATCCGAATCCACGACCCAACGTCACCCCTCTCATCGACGGAGTAGTCGTTAAGCCCATCTAGCAAAGCATCAAAAATGGACGACATGTCCTCGACAGTAAGATCTAGAATGCAGTAAGTCATAAACACTGATCTTGGGAAAAGGTACGGACGTACGATACGACAAGTGAGGGACCGTGTTCTGCAACAGAATGGGCATTGCTTCAAAGCAAGCCTGACGAGCCTCCACATTGCTTTTGAATGGACCCGACTGATTCCAGTCTCAAGAAAAGTACTGTTGAGTTTACCGATTTCATACGCACCAAACGGTTGACGCCCTCTAGTAACCCCCGAAGACTTTGAGGCAGACACATCGGATAGGTATCATAATCAATTACTCCAAGTAAACGTCCAAGGATTCTCTGAGAGTTTGTCCCTTGGATAAGTTCTTTGATCAACGTAAATCCAAAAACATCAGACAAGGATGTTACAGAGAAAATATACCTGACTTATCTCAAAACCATGTTCGAACAGTCAGTCAGTTTACTCATGGAGCCTATAGTGGCTGTAGCGGATTCTTGTACTGCCCTATCTCGATGCTTGAGCCCATATTCAACAATTTTACTCCAGTTCGGCACAGATGATTTCGCTCCCAGCTTGATCTCCTGTGATGTAATAGTCTGGGTCATTAAATCACAAGCGGCAGTAGTGACAATTTCATTGCGAGGGCCCAGCAGAGTAGATTCTGGTATGTGAGAGAGATATTTCCAGATCTTCCGGAGATAAGACAGGGTGACGAAAAAAAAGCTGGGAACTTACTTCACGTTTCTTCGATTCCAAGATTTCACCACTGAGAATCTCTTCATAAGCCATCGTTAATTCAGTAAGGCCGGCTAAGCCGCCGTGGATGTCAGAATTGTCATTGGCTTGCAAAAGCTTCACCTGTTACCTTCATGTGAACAAATACCAGCGACATTGTCAAAGAAAAGACGCACACATTTTTGAATAGCTTCCGGTCCAAACATTAAAATATCAGTAAGACAGATACGACGCAGGGATTGCGCCCCAAGGCGGCGCATGGATATATCCCAATGCCTTAGTGTTACATTCAGCAGATGATCAAGTAGATATGGTCGATACTCGATATGCCTGCAACATTCTCAGCCACTAGCTTGGCAGGATGATTGTAAAGAAACCGCACTCTGCTACCTGAGGAGCCGCCAGAAGGAATGAATTTCGTCGAATTCCTACGGCATAGAAGTCAGTTTTACGTAGAACATCTATCCCATGGGGGAAAAGGCTCTACTTTTATATCAATGATGTTGATTATGGGGTAAAGGGACCTCGTACCGTTCTTCCGACAAATTCCTGGAAGCCAGCACTGGCTGCTCGCCGAATTTGCACTTCACGGTCATAAAGAGATACCGTAACCAGATGACGAGCCAGGTCGCTTGCAAGTGGTGCAAGAGATGAAATTTCCTGCGACCTGGCTAAGGCCCATAATCCATAAGCACTTGCATCGCGAACGTTGGAGCCAACCGAATGTGCGCCTTTACGCAAATCAAAGTATAGGGCCTGGAAATAAATATAAGGGATAAATTGTTATATCGGGAATGGGAATTACTTTGGATAACCATCCAACAAGCTTTTCGAGTCTTTCTGGAGGCACGATACCTCTGCGGGTCATTTCTGCACAAGCTAGGCAAGCGCCATGCCATGTCGCCTCTGCTATAGCAGGGACGTCGTATAAACTTGCAGCAGTGACCGAATGAATAGCAAAATGCCCCAAGACCGTTTCTAGGACCTGATCAGCGAGATCTGTAGACAAGCGTTCGGCTATACGGGCAACACCCTTGGCAGCAGACCAGCGCACAAGCGTGTCCTACAATAGAAAATAAGTAAAAGGGACGTGAAAAGAAAGGATCATTAGCTACTTTGTCCTGCAGCGCTGCAAATAATTGATCCAGAACCGCTTCTACCTCTTCAGGAACGTCTATATCTTCTTCCTGTTCTACATGAAACTGCTGCGAATGGCCGCCATCGGTCAAGAAGCGTCCTGTAAACTGTAAACTAGCTGTACGAACCACAGTAAAGATAATGGATACCTTTCACTCGCAGTGCACCGACCCTTCCTGGGAGTAATCTGAGCCCTACTCTGGAGATGAGTTTCGTTTTGAATTTTCGAATGAGCGTGTTGTTCATTAAGATTTCTCTCGCATCCAAAGCATTTGTCAGGGCCATAAAATCAGGCATTCTGGATCGTATGAGCTTGAGAGGACCAGACTTGAGTACTTCGCACAATACATGTAATATCCCGATTGTCTTCGCAGAAAACCAACGTCAATGAAGGAGATACACTAAGATCTGAAGTCACGGACGGTAAAGAGACTAGCATTTCCGGGAATAGTTTTTTTGCTCCATTCAAAGAATTCAACGAATTGCTGGGATGTGTCTTGTCTGCGAATAGAGTGATTATCACAAGTATATATGAAGTACAAAATTTACACACCTCATATAATAATGCGACAACACAATAGCAGCTCCCTCGCGCTCCAAACCTGCATTTGAGAGATATCTTTTGGTGGTATGTTCTATAACCCTCGCTGTGTGGCCATTTTCGCTCTCGTCGAATTGAGACAAATGGAAGGGAAGCATGCACACTAATGATAGCCACAGAAGTAGCACGTAGCGCAGTGCCCATTGTTCTGGATTTTGAGCGCAACTGTTTTCCGCGTCGAGATATCCTAGCACGATCCATAAATCCGCAACCTCATGAGGAAAGAACCTGACTAGACTATCACTCAACATACGACCAGATTGAGCAAGTGATTCACTGACTGATTGTCTTGTAACCCCTACATTTTGTGTAGCTATACAAGAGCATTGAAAGCCGCCACATCCTGAAATCTGATCCACGATGAGAACGATCCGATAAAAACTCTTTTGCATGAGATCTTAAACGTTCGACCACCGGAGTTACGAGTTTCTCAAGGTAAGGGTCAAGGAGATACGACTGTTCCTGATATTCATCGAGCTATCCGTATTCAGTCAGTGATAGACCAGGAGAAGAGAAGAGGTCAACACACGGTATTTACGAGCTTCTGGTAAAGTGTGTGATCTTCGACTTGTTCGTCCTTTGAAGGCTCTTTAGTGAGATCCATTTGAAGAAGTGCAGTCTGAGTTTCTGAAAATTCTTCATATCTCTCGAAAGAAGAGAAGATTTTGCGTTCAGTATCTGCATCCGCCATTTTAGAAGAACGCGTCAAGACGCAAAAGAGTGGGAAGTACAAAGGAACGAATTCTCAGGCCTCCCATCTGCGACTAACTGCGACCTTTGGTTACAATCAATTCTGCTTCAGTAACAGATCAAGGGGAGTATACAATGAAGGAAAGCTCTCAGAAAGGAGGCATGAAACGGAAGCGCTTCGAACCTTCCAAAGAAGTAGGCAGTAAACTCTCCTTCGTATATATTCTGATCCCCTCATTTTCTTACTCAGAGAGACACAGGGTTGAAAGTCGCTGGAAAACTGGTGTGCAGCTCTTGTAGTCGTTCCATAAACACATAACCATTGGCGCTCGCAATAGCATCACGATCTGAAAGAGGTCAGGAAGGCAGCAAAAAAGGCGAAAACTTTTGAGACTCAGAAGTTGGTGAAGAAGCTGAAAGGCCTGCGGTAAGTACTGTTGCGCTCATCTGGTCGATGTACGTTGATCATTGGCATAAGGTTAAAGAATGAGAATGACCCTAGCATAGTGGAATGCGAATTGCAACTGAAGCATTTGAAAGTACGAGCCCCTCACCATCCTCATCTCATTTGCCATAAATCCTTACATTCTTACGCAGCTCCTCAACCACGAAGCTGTTGCAAACACTGCGCTTAAAACGAGATTAACGAAGGATAGGATTTTATCCCAAAACGAGTCTATGCAGACTGCTCTTTCTAAAGAGTTGACTACCAATCTTCTCAAACCCGCTGAGAGCGGTACTGTTGCAGCAAAAATTCAAAGTCGCTTGCTCAGTTCGAAAGTACTGTCTACAGAAGTTGCTGCCGCTGTCGAAGACTTACGCTCGGTCATTATTATACCGACAGACTCACAAGAGGGTGATATCAGCGCCAATTTGGATGAAAGTGCGTCTGAGCGGCCGACGAAGATGAAAAAAATAGCAGGAAATTCGGAGGATTCAGATGTCGAAATGGAATTAGGAAAAGCAGATGAAGCGGCAGATGACATTGAAGAGGAAGATGAAGGAGACACAGACGGATGGCAGTCTGGGACTGTAGGAGACGATGAGAAAGAACCCGAGGATGACTGGGAGTCTGGATCTGTCGTCGGGGAACTCGACGAGTATATGGATGAAGACCTTCCGTCGGACAGCCAGGAAGAATTGAAAGCAGCTTCTAACAAATCTGGCCCCATGGCCAAAACTAACTTCAAGGTACTTACTGGCGAATCGACATTCCTACCTACCCTATCAGCTGGATTCGTTCGTGGTTCCGACTCAGACTGGAGCGATAAAGAAGAAGATGCTGCCGATTTTGGCCAGAAGAAGAACCGACGTGGACAAAGGGCGCGGCGAGCGTAAGTGTATCATTTGCGATTGTTGCAAATTCGACCATCTTACTCTTCAAATTTAGCATATGGGAAAAGAAATATGGCAAAAACGCGAACCATAAGAAGAAGGAGGCTGCTTTGAATGAAAATGAACGCGGTAGGAAGCGTTGGCCCAATGGTGATTCATCTTCAAATCGTCCTTCAAATAAAGCTGGAACCAGCCGGAAGCCTCATCAAAGCGAGGTTCCTACTCGACCCAGGCAACAGGATTCTGGCTGGGAACAAACAGAGGTGATACTTCTTCACCAGGATCACGAATCACGACCTCTACATCCTTCATGGGAGGCAAAAAAGAAGCTGAAAGAGAGGCAAAGCGCTGCCGCAATCCCTTCTGGCAGGAAAATTAAATTCTCATAATACGCCCTTGCTTGCGGTTTGACGATATTCAAAAAGATGTGTATATAGGAATAATGTACATGTAGGTAGGACTACTGTGTAGGGCAAGAAAATCTTCTTGTCTGACACAAGCCACGCAAGAGTGCAAACACTCCATTACATATAAGAAGGAAACTTTTGAGTTCTCCCGCTCCGGTAAAAATAACTCAGCTTCTCGACGTGCAAAGATGTTTCCTCCCGCCCCGTAGTCGACATGGTCTCGAGCACCACATCTCGCCGCACTTGCCACACCTAGGGTAATCCGAGCCATACTTTCCACATGTCGCACAACCTACGACCGAAGTGCAAAGTTTGGACCTTCGTTCCAATTCGGAAAAGATAGGATTCATCTCTGTGGTTTTAAGACGGGCAGGAAGGAAGGTTTCATCCAATAGAGAGGGAGATGAGGATACGGAAGAATGTGTGTCATAGGAAGAGGTACGAGTAATCCTCGGTATAGAAGGGGCACGAGATGATCTAGACAAGGATGTCGGTGAGGGAGGAATACTGGAAGTTTCAGAAGCACCACTTTGCGAGTGAATTTCTGGCCACTCGGATATGGAATTTTGACGTCGCCGGGAATGAGAAATGCGCATGAAGATGGAACCTGGGGTATTCAATGTTGCCAGTGTCATCAAACACGGTAAAGCAGGAGACGTCGGAGTGAAAGATCCATGGGCTAGTTCTGTAATTATAGGGGTTGCAAAGCCAGAAGCGGCGTCAATTGGATTTAGACAGGGTTGAGAGAGTAAGGACGGTGTCCGACTGTGATCTCGTTTGTGACTTGATCGCTATGAGAAGTTGTCAAGAGTAGGTAGTACATACGATGAAGATCTCACCACTGTGATTCCAGACTGCATTTTAGAGATTCTAAATTCACCGACTGTAGCAGGAAAGAGTAAGGAAGGAGGTACTTAAAGAGCAAGTCCTCTGAAAAAATAGTGACAGTTAGACTCCTTTAAATATCGCTAGGATTGAATGGTGTCAGCTCTATAAAGTTCATGAGAACATGAAGGCCTAAGGGAAGGACCTACAGAAAGGTAAGTCAACGACCCACAATGTCGATAACGGGAATTTCGGATTCGCTCTATATCTATGCTCAGGGGAAAAAAAGAAGCTTTTGGTTACTTATGTAAGGCAAACAGTTCCCCGTCGATATGTATGCCTGCCTCAAATTCGAGTGAAAACTTCCGCCTCGGAGAAATATGGCTATCTACTATCGCTGGGGTATCGTCGAGCCTATCGAAATCCTTTCATATATCTTGTACACATGCAATATAGGGCTTTTCATCGTAGCTCTCTGAGAATTCCCAATATTTCCACGTATGTCGGGAGTGTATCTTACGCTTTGACACTGACACTTTCACCTAGGTCCTGGGCCTGAGGCCTTGTACGAGGGTGCACCCATCACACTGCATATGTCGGAATTTGTGGGGAATTCCCAAGAATTTTGGCTTGCGAGACACTACTATAGATCGAGCTGATGTGTAAACCGATGAGTCTGTGGTCTTATTCTTGTCGCGTGCAGCGTTAAGTACCGTTACGCACGTGAGTCTTCGTCACCTGCCTCCTCCATTACAATCCTCCTCTTCCCGGTCTACTTCAAATCCTCCTTCCACCGATGTACCCTTCAACCTCAGTTCTGCAAATTCTGCTGCTTCTTGTCCGCGATAATTGTATCCTCTCGTTTCCCAGTATCTCACCCATGCCCAGGTCATCCAGTACATTCCATAGGATATTTCGATAGTCGCTGTACCTTTTGCGAAATTGTGTTATGTGATCCCGAGTTTTGCGCGTGCCGCAGGGAGTCCGTTGGCATAAATTTCGCAAATCCTTCTACGGTCGCTTTTTCTTTTAGTTCTCTAAATCTATGGCTTTCGATCTTCGTTTTGAAAGAATCAAAGTGTGATAGGGGTGCCCGGAGCTCCCCTGCCTTCTTCGCTAGCTTGTCTTCCTTTTGATGCCTTCTATGTTTTCGTCCTGGGCACCAGGCAATTTCAGTTGTGTTCTGGAGTTTGTCTCCGAGGAAGGTCTCAATGGATCTGCAAAATATGTGGGCACATCAATCGTTGACAGGCTCTCAGTGGTTTCTAGTCGTATATTGTCGACACAGGAGTTGTTGGCGAAGTTAGTATTATCGATGGGTGGATAGAAGGATAGTCTATCTTGTAATGAACCACTTTTGCTGCCATCCCGGCGTCATGGAATTGCCAACATGAACTCCATAAGCTATGCATTCTGCGCCAACATAAAGGAACAGACTCGCGGTTCATGAGGTCAACGCATTTTGGCATTACATGTACTGCGGCTGGTCAGGGTGATTTTTGGATCGGATTTCACCCTCAGCCCACAATTGCGTCCTCCAACGGTACTGAGGGGTGTGACAAGCACAACTGGAATTTGGGCTGCGGATGAAAAACCAAAATATCAAAACACTTCTATCTAAATGACACAGCTAATCGAATCAGTCAAAGGCAGAATCTTTACCTCTTGATACATTTAATTCCGGATTCAAGATAGATAGATAAACACTGCTAATGCGCTCAGGATGCGCTAATGGAGCAAGTGGATGACTCGAATTTGAAAGAATTAGTGTTTGTTTCACCGACTCTGAAGGAGGAGGTCCTTGTAGGTCTCAAATGGCCGTGTTTTTCAACATCATTTTGCAAATGTATTGAGCCGAGACTGTGGTTTGTAATGTTGATGGCTGTTACGTCATGGATCCTTATGGCAATCGATTAGTTTTTGGCATAATGATTAATTAGGAAATGGCGCGATGATAGAAGTTGTGTAATAGAAGAGGTGTAATAGTAGAAGTTGTGTAATGAAAGAAGTGGTGTAATGACAGAAGTGTGATGTTGTATATTAGAATAATCTGCAAGTATTGTCTATTTAGAATTATGCTATATGTGGATGTGGAGTGATAGAAGAATTAAGTTTATTTAAGTTGATTAGTACGCATATGTGGAGCTATAAAGCTTGTCATGGTATCGGAGTAGGTTATCACAATGGAATCACTTCAGCTTATTATTCGAGACTTGAGTAACAGTGTCCCTCCCTGGTTGTCACCAGAGCATATCAATGCTTGTCGATTGCATTTGAGGAAATTACATGTGCGGGAGTTGGTTGCAGGTTCTCGGCGTATAAAACATAGTGATGCAGTCAATAATGTTGTTGAAAAATTGTTGCATTTTAGTAGTAATTATGTTTGTTTTGAGCGCAATGACACGTGTTTGTATCATGCACTGCATCAGCAATGTATTGAAGAATTTGGAACAGTTATAACTAGTGTGTTACATTTTCGTTTTGAAAAACATTGTTTAGTTCAATGCAGTGATGAAGATCTGATCAATAGTAATCTGTTAAGTGTAATTATTCATGTGTTTCAGGGTGTTTCTAAGGACGAATTGTTGAGATTGAGAAAGAGTTTAAACATATGTGAGAGGAAAATCAAGTCAAGTATAGTTTATTGCTGTCCTTCTGTTTATTATTCATCTGAAGTGAGGTCAAATAATGTGTATAAATTGTTAGCCAAGTGTTTTCAGCGGGATTACAAGTATTTTTTTAGTATGGATGATCGCACCCTTTCTGATAGATATTTGTTTCAGTATCATAAACCATTTACTTGTACTGATTTACGTGAGATCATATTGCAGCTGTTGTTGTCTGTTGGGTATACATATGGCTTATTGCAGGACATTGTAACTGCAGTTGGTATTGTAGACAAATCTAAGTCAAAAAATAGTTTGTATAAGAAGGATAGAAGAAGAGATGTTCGTATTCAACGGGGCATCGATGAATATAACATGTTGCATAATTGCTTGGATGATTGGCCACAAGCAGTATCTAGTGACATTCAAATGAAGTGTTTGTATGATTATCGTAATGCAATACAGTATGTTCCATTATCTGTCTGTGCATGTTGTGGTTCAGAAGATAATATGCGTACTGGAACTTATTTGTCTCAGCCAAATTGGCCAAGTTTAAGTCAGTTGAAAGTGATGGATTCATTTGTGTTGGCAAATACTCCCCAATCTAGGTTTACTTATATTTGTAAAGAGTTAGATGGGTTGTTGTTAGATAAAAAGGGAATACGCACAGTTGATATTGAATGTTGTTCATTTGAGCTATATTTATGTCATAGTTGTAATAGTTCGTTGCAGCGTTCTGTTATGCCTCGTCTGGCATTGAATAATTTTTTGTATCGAGGCGAGTTAATTGATGAATTGAAAAATGTTACATGGGTGGAGGAAATGGCATGCAGTTTATATCATACAACCGCACATGTATCACGTATTTATGGTTCATCAGATGATTCTGATCCTTTGCAATTACATGGAAATGTTTGTGCACATCCTTTGAACATTTGTTCTATTGCTAAGCGATTGCCATGGAGTCCAGCAGATTTGAATGATCTGATAACAATAGTATTTGTGAGCAAGACCAAATTACGTTCACAAGATTTGCAAAAACTTAAACCATATTTTGTGAGACGGCGTATAATTCGAATGCTATTGTCTGAATTATATAAACATAATCGTCTTTATGCTGGAATGAATGTGATGGATAACAGTACTTTGTCAATGTATCCTGAAAATGGTTTATTGCCTGGTTTGGAAGAGAGAATTGTATACGATCATGAAACCACAGTTGATGATTGTTTTGGCACAGAATCAAGTGGGTTTGATGATCACCCTGCTGAATTGTTGAGGGGATCTTCACACAATGATATCCTTCTTGAGCGATCTGGGTTGTATGATCCAGAATCACAGGATGTTCCTGCACGGTTTATGACAGCAGCTTCCATACACAATATAGCGCAGTCTTTGCCATCTAGTAGCAATAAAGATGTTATTCTGCCATATGATAGTGATCCAATTGCTGAATATAATAATCCAGATTTGTTTCCCGGGATGTTTCCAACTTTGTTTCCATTGGGGATTGGTGGGTTTGAAGATAAACGTCGCTGTCCTGCTATATCATTGGAAGCACATGTTGAATATCTGCTTGATCAAAGTTCTCGAGAATTTCGATATCATCATTTTTTTTCATTTGTCGCTCTAAACTTGATTCAGCGCAGAAAAGCACATCTTCATACTTCATTGTGGATGTCATCTGCTCAGTTTGCAGTGGTTGCCCCAGATTTAATAAATGTATCGGCTACAGTCTTGTCTGATTTAGCAGATAAGTTGAAAAATGAAAACAATAAGAATGACTTTTCAAGTGACGAGTTGCATGCATTTCAGTTATTGAATCAGGTTAATATAATTTCTTCAAAAATTCCTGGTTCACAAGCATCTAAAACTGTCACTCGAAATCAGATCCGTAGTTTTTATAGTTATTTTGGATTGCCACACTTATTTGTAACACTGAATCCTTCTGCTGTTCATAGTCCTATTTTTCAAGTAATATATGGTGAGACCAATATTGATTTGAATGAGCATTATCCATATGTAGTGCATCCCCGAAATGAACGTGCTTGTCGTGTTGCCAAAGATCCAGTTGCTGCTGCAGATTTTTTTGATTTTATGTATCATGTGATATTTGAATATTTATTTGGTTGGGATTTCAAAAGTGGTAAAAGTACTAAAGATGGAGGATTATTTGGGCATCTTCGTGCATTTTTTGGATGTGCAGAACTTACGGAAAGAGGTTGTTTTCATGGTCATTACTTGTTATTCTTACGTGGTGGTTTAAATCCATCTGATGTTCATAAGAAAATGATTGAAGTTGAGTCATATCGTAAGCAATTTATGGATTTTTTTGATGGTATAATTCATCACCATCTCCCTAATATTGATGTATCTGTTGAAGAGGGATATGAACCAAGAGTGGAGATGCCACCTGATGTTCCAATTATCAATAGTAGCAAAGGTTCATCTGAGGATTTGGATAATTGGCATAGACAATTTAATGATGAGCATAAGAAGATTGGTGAACGTTTTCAACGACATGTGTGCCGTCCAGTATGTCATAAGGGTCAGAGTTCTACTGATATGTGTCGTTTTGGATTTCCTCATGAAATTATTGAAAGTTCCACATTTGATCTTAAAAATAACTCAATCATATTTGCTAGAAAAGAAAGTGATGTTAACGGTCATAATCCTTATGTGCTAGTATATACAAGACATAATCATGATATCAAGTGTATCCTCTCTGGAAAAGCTGCTAAGGCTGCAATGTTTTATATTTCAGATTATATTACAAAAATGCCATTAAGTACTGAAATTTTGTTATCAACATTGTCAAAAGCAGTTGCATCATTAGTATCAGATGAGATCAATGAAGGACCAGTTCTTGATGCAAAGAAACTTTTGCATCGATGTTTAACACATTTTGGACGGAAACAGCAGATTCATGCTCAGCAATGTGCAAGGTATCTTCGTGGGCTAGGAGACAATATGATTTCTCATTCAACAGTGTCATTACCATCTGCAAATCTGATGTCTTTTGTGAATCAGATATATGTGCAAAACGTTGAAAATAAAAATGAGGATCAGTTTGATGTTATGTTGTCACTTGGATTTAAGAATGGTAAAATTGTTAGTTATAGTCAGGTTGTAAATTATTGGTATAGGGATGTTTTACTCAGTGATATGTGTTTTTATGATTTTATTAGATATGTATCATTACAAACATGTAGTAAGACAAGGACATCAAATACTTCCGATACAAGACTGGGAGTCTTGTCACGTTATAAACTTCTGGTTGGTCATCCATTGCATGAAACACATGAACTTATTCGTCATACAAATTATGAACAGGGTGACGTGGGAAGGGAGTTTGTACCTGTAATGGTTGGACTTGTACCACCACGTAGAAATAGTGCAGAATATGCTTTATTTGTAATTGCTCATTTTAAGCCATTTTCAGTGTCACATCCCTTGTTCGAGAAAGATGGTGAAACAGAGTATAAAAACTTAGTATTATGCAATGAACATCAAAGAATATTGCATAATTGGGAGGAGATTCATGAGTGTGTTGATCAACGTGATGCTGAAAGGTTAAGAAAAAGGTCTGATCATTTAACAAAAGTGTTAAATTTGTCTGAAGATATCCAAGACGTATTGGATACTGATGATGATACTGCCAATATATTTGTTTTTCCTAACAAGGTGAAACATGCAGATATTAAGATGATGTATGATGATCATGAATTGAAGTTATTGCAGATAGATCTGAAATATGCTGCATGGTTAAAGGAATCTCCTGTTTCATTGAAAAATAATATTTATAAGAATTCAATAAGTAACATAACATTACCAGAATTAAATTCTGTAAATGTACAGAAATGGTTGAAAGAGGGAAAACAAATAGCAGAGAAGTTTGCAAGTGCTCGATATTCACATGGAAATTTATCAAATCAACAATCAATAGATATGGTGACAGATATTCATAACGTGAATCCTTATGTAGGCAAAAATATTTCGCTTGCTAATCCAATTACAATGGTTGAATCATATACGCCAGCAGAACTGAAAAGTAAAATAGGAAAAGAATTTGGGCTTAATAGTGAACAACAAATTGCATTTGATATCATTTCTTCGATGGTTATATATCGAGAAATTCTAAAAGTTTCTGAGTGGATAACAAAGCCAGCTCTTGTCATGAATTTGACAGGACCTGGTGGGACAGGAAAAACTCATGTCATTTGTGCAGTTCAAGAAGTAATGAAACATTATGGTGTTGAATATGCTTATAGAGCACTTGCACCTACTGGCAATGCAGCATCTTTGGTGAATGGGAAGACCATTCATAGTGGTTTGAATATAGCAGTTAAGGAATACAAAAACGGTCGGTCAAAGAGACCATTGGGTGAGTTAACTGAGACTGGTATTGTATTTGCCACAGTAAAAAAAAATAATGCATTAAGAAGAGAATGGAAGGACGTCTGTTTATTGCTTATAGATGAAGTTTCAATGGTGGATGCAATATTATTGGCAGATATTGATGGTTCATTACGTTATGCCAAAGAAAAACCAGATGATTTTTTTGGAGGCATTAATGTTATTTTTTGTGGTGATCCATTTCAGTATCCCCCTGTCGGAACCCCATTGTATACACCAATACATTTATCTGCAAAGCAGACAGATGATGAATTAATGCGGAGATTGGGGCGTTTGGCTTGGAAGTCTATAAATACTGTTGTGGAATTGCATGAACAGAAACGTATGGAAGGAGATGTAGAATATGCAGCAGCTGTAGGCAGATTACGAGTACGGCAATGTAATGAAGATGATGTTAAATTATTCAATGCAAGAGCAATTAAAACTCCAAGCAATCCACATGGTGTTGTAATGGAAGATGAGATACAATATTGTGCATCTTTGATTGTATCAAAAAATGCATTGCGACGAGCATTGAATGAATGTAAGGCTTTGGCAATTTGTCATGGGTCTAATTCTCCTGAATTAATTCGAGTTGTTGCATATGATGAAATTCAATATAAAAAAGTTGCAGAGCAGTTTTCTAAAAAAGATCGTGTTTGTCCAAGTTCATTTGAACAAGCTCAACTTTTATCAATAGATACTTCTTCTGGAAAATTAAGGGCTGGGTTACCAGGTATATTGTACTTGTATATTGGAATGCCTGTGATATTGAAACATGAGAATTTGAATACTGAACTGGGAATTACAAATGGTGCAAGAGGAATTTTGAGAAAGTTAGAAATGTCAACTGATCATAATGGACTCTCATATTGCAAGTATGCCTTGGTTGAATTTCCAGATAGCAAGGCTGAACTTTCTGGTTTGCCAAAAGGTTATTTTCCAATAAAGTCAAGATCATGGCACTTTAGTAGTTATATTCAGAACAATAAAAATGAAAAAGTCTTGGTATCTGTTGTTCGCATGCAGTTACCATTTGAGCCTGCCTTTGCTCTTACTGGACAAGGAGCACAGGGTCGTACTTTATTAGCAATATTGTGTATGTTGCATTTGGGAGGGTATGGCGCATATGTTTCAGCATCCAGACCTAAGAATAGATCAGGTCTTTTTATTACAAAGAAGGTTACTGTGGATGATCTTAATTTTCCAGCAATACCATATGATCTTTGGTTTGAACATCAACGTTTCCAAATAATGGCTTACAACACAAAGATTGTTTGGGGTTACTCACAGGGCAAGTTGAAGGATGTTCCAGATGCTGAATGTGAACAGAAAATCAAGCACAGTTCAGTGCATTATGATTTTGTAAGTTATAAGGAGGTGAAACGACATGGTGATGACAATGTACAAATTCAAAATAGTTCTAAAAAATCAAAAGTGTCACATGCAGATTATACCAACATCACAAATAGGATTTTTGGGCAAAATCAGCATATAGGGTATGGTGTTGATATCAATGATGATGTTCACTTGTGTCAATGTGGAAGTAGAGGTCCATCATGGGATGCATCCAATTGGAGTTGTTGTTTTGATACAGCAATTGTTGTTTTATATAATTGTTTTGTTAGGTTGTCTAAGAATTCATGTCAAAAATGGATTGATCAATGTCAACATCAGGATATATTTCAGTATTTCAGAGATTTAGAAATGAAATTGGTTGATGAAGGAAGTTTAACTGTTTGGAATAATATACGTGATGCGTGGCGTATCAAAATATGTCATGTATTTGGTGAAGGTTATGTGCAATCTGGCCATACTATGTTACCGATATCAACCATTATTCAATGTCATTTATATAATAGTAACAACAAGCATTTATCAATTGTTGCACGTTGCGGACAACATAATAGTTATACAAGATATAATTCAAGTGTAAAATGTTACAATTTGGTGTCAACTCAATTAGATCCATTATATTCTCATGGTCATTTAATTAATTCAACGCAAAGCTTCATTGATATTGTGCTGTTGCAGAATGCAGGAGGCTCTTCTAGTCAGATGGCATATGAACATATGTGTAATGCTGAATGTGTCATTTCAATGCAGACATCTTCCAATGACGTACAGTTTATTGTATTTGAATTAATTGGAATTCCTGATATCGAACCGTCAAGTCAGATTAGTGTAAGATTCCATGATACCAGTATAATTTTGCATTATAGATTGAGTTCAATAATATATCATGGTTCTGGTCATTTTACTGCTAGAGTTTTTAATGCAAGTGGTGTGTGGTTATATGATGGTCAAGTTGAAGATGGAATATTTGTGTCTGATACTTCCAGTGTTCGAAAGATGAGTGGTTATTTGAATGATTTGAATAATCGAAAGGCACACATATATATTTATACTTATTTTGAGTGAATCCACTTTTGTTTCTTCCAACTTGTTTTTGTTGTTCATGGCCTATCTGACTTGGAGGTCTTTTTCAATCCCTAGTGTGGCTCAAATTATATAGAGGAGATGGTCAATTAGGAAAAATTGGGCCTACTTTTTTTGTTCCCTTTGTGGTCAGTCCATCATCTTTGAACCTATATATGCTTCCCTCAGGTGTTATGTATATGTCTTGTCCTGCCTGATGGAGTTACACCCTTCATTTTTGTAGATTACTGGCCTAGTATGAAATTCCTTCTTGTAACTTCTACAGGAGTATATGTATCAAAAGAGATTGGTTTAATAATTTGCCAATTTGTTGATTATGGGATCACTGGTGATGGACCTCTGGTTGTTGAAGGGGTCACATCTCTGACTAATCCCGCCACGTTTCATGTCTTGGGAGTTGCTCTATCTTGACTGATGAGGTAAGTCCTGTTTTGTATTTTCTCCTATGTTGTTATTCTCATTACGTCAAGGAGTTGCTCCTGAACCACCCTCATGGCCCCGGCTTGATGCTAGATTGTCATTGCCAACTCTTGAGAAGATGTTTTGTCAACAATCATAGCAGGCTGCCTCACCTGTGTTCCAGACACAAAGGCAGTCTCAGAAGGAGTTTCCTGCACAGGTACTACTCCTTCGCGAATTGGCAATGTTCTTCATACTGGCCCTGGATAGGGTATGACTGATAGGTTGCTCAGTCTTTGCAGAACATGTACAGGGCTGGGAATCGAGTGAGACATCAGATTCTGCAAATTAACTTTAAGGGGAGGGGTCAGATTATATCATTGGCATTTTCTCTTGCCATATCGATGTCATTGTTTTGCGTGCTCTGTGATTCAGTTTCACATGCATGACTGTAATGTGGTGCTGCCTGACCCTGACAAACAGGACCATGTCATGGCCATATGGTCTCATATCTGCGCATGCTTTTTGTGGCCCAATACATACTCAATCCCAAACTGGTTGCTCCCCTGCAAAGAAAACGG